AGAAAGTTTAATAATAATATATATTTTTACTAAGTTTTAAGTTGCTTTAATAAATTAAGTAATAAAAAGCAGTAAAATAGATAATATATTAAATTATTACTAATAGTTTTATACTAATAAAATAATATATAAATTATAAAATATAATTATTAAAAATAATATAGAGCTGTTTTTCAGTCAGGAATTCTGATTAATTTTTATATAATATTATTTAAAAGTACAGATGTCTTCTTGTAAATTAATAATAATAATAAAAACTTTTTATATATTATAAATAGAAGTAATAATTTAATTAATAGCTTTAATCTTTGATATAATAATCAGAATATATTAGAGATTATAAGCTTTAATAAATTAATAACTAATAATATCCACTTCGGCGCAGCTATCTAGATTTATAAAGATTTTAAGACTGTTTTAGATATAGATAGAAATATAAAAATAATATATAATTCTTACTATAAATAAAGAAATTAAAATTATAAAATCTATTCTAATTTCTCTATTTTTTTTTTTAAATCTAATAAGAATTAATAGATTCTAGCAGATTAAATTCTTTTGTTTTTAATAAAATATTAATTTATAAGATATTAGATACTTTTATATATAAAATATTATAATTAATTATTATTCTTTCTAATAGGGTTTTTTCTGCGATTTAGAATATTTTTCTTAATAATTTTATTAGTAATTTCTTAGAAGCACTTGCATGGCTTATAATTACTAAATTAATTATTATTTTGCTTGTGTTTTTCTTTATTTTTCTATAATTTATAATAATAAGTAGTAATAGCTATTATTTTATCCTGCTTCTCTAATAAATAAAAAATATATTCTTAAATATAATAATTTAGATCTGATAGTAGCTTAGTAAAGTAGAATAAGATTCTTTTCTTTTTTATTTAATAAAGAAAATATTATTCTAAGATATTAAAATAAGTATAAAACTCTTATAGATTCTGGCTATATTATTAATAAATCTATTTAAATTAGACTATAATATCTAATTAAAAAATAGCAGTATTCTAAATTAATATAAGAGTCTAATCTTTAAATTAAGATTATAATTTCTTAAGAAATTATCTCTTTTTTAGATTTTTATTATTTATAAAATAATATTATCTTTATTTATATACTAGATCTATATAGCTAATAGCAGCAAGAATCTTATATTTCTTTAATAAATATTTCTTGAATATATCTCTGAATATATATTTTAAATTAATAATTTATTTTTAATATTTTTGAAGATTAAAGTTCAGAATAAAATAAGAAATATCTTTAAACTTAATCTCTTTCTTATTCTTTTCTAATTCAGAAAAGAATTAATAATATCTTAAGAAAATTTTATTTAAAGAGCTATTTCTTTAAAGATAAGCTATTTTTTATTATAAATTAATAGCTTATTTTAATTAATAAATATGATCTTCTAGCTGTTAAATCTTTTTAATAATAAGAATAATATTCAGTAAGAATTTTAAATTAATTTAATTACTAAGTACTTCTATTTCTTTATTATCTTTAATAAATAGTATCTTTCTTAGATAGTTAAAAAAAGAAGAATTAAAATATAATAAAATCTACTTATTAGAATAGAAAGCCTGTTAACTAGATAAAAAATTAATTATAAAATATTATATATTTATTTAATAATAATAAAGATAGTCTATATTTATAAGATAGACTGATTCTTAAAGAATTAGTAGCTTCTTACAGAGAGATTAATATTTTATAGATACTAAAAAGATATAGAACTACTATTAATTATCTTATAACTCTCACAACCACTATAACATATCATTCTGATAATATGACTCTCACAATCACTATAATATGTTATCCCGATGACCTTTATCCCGATAGCTGGTTTATTCTATCACAGAAATATAGATAAATTTATAATATATTTTATATCTTCTTATTAGAACTGTAGAATACTGGAAGAGATTATAAAAAATTATTTTTAATATCTGAGCTAGATAATAAAGATAAATAAAAAATTAAAAAAGTTAAAAATTATTAATACTATAATAATCAGAATTATTATTTAATTAAGTAGAAAGAATAGCTGAGTAAGTATAATTAATAGATTTTTAATAAAAATATAGAAAATATATCCGAAGCTATAAAGTAATATTAAAAATATTATAAGAAGTACTATATATTAAGAAGACAGAAGATAATTACTAGTAAATTATTCTATATTTTTAAGAGATAAGCTATAGAAATATTAATCTTTTGATATTTTTTATTAATTATATTATCACAGATTAAATATACTAATAAATATAAAATTATTCTGCTATAAGATAATAGAGAATATTTAAATATATCTAATTATATTTATTATCTATTTATAAAATAAATAATAATAATAATCAGATTCTCTTATTATAATTTAAAAATATTTATAGAAAAAATAGACTTTAGAAAAAAAATATAAAAATTTATAATTAATTTAATAATATTATTTTTATTATTTAAAGTTAATTTATTATTATTAATATCTGGATATTAAATATATATTATAATTTTTATTAAATTAAGAAAGTTCTGCAGAGCAGAAATCTAATTTATATATTTTAAATTATTAAATAATAAATATAATAGTATTTCTATTTTATAAATATAATAATTTTTCAGCAAAGCATGAAGGCCAGAATAAAAAATTAATTATATTAAAAAAATATAACAGATTTTAATAAACTTAATATATTTAATAATAAACTTCTAACAGAATATTAATAATAGAATCACAAAGATCTTATCTCTTAATTATAATAAGAATTTATATACTTGGCAATCTTGATATTCTTTAATAAAAATTTATAAATATAAATATTCTTTATATTATTAAATATCTTTATAAGAATATAGATCTCTTCGCGGATAGTCTACTTAATATTATTATTTTAATATTCTTTCTTTAGAATTAGAGTAATCTATTTAATAATTTTTATAAAATTATAAGTATTTTCTAGCAGATTAGTTACAGACTCAAGAAATATTAATAAATTATATATATATAATATAGAGTATATAAAATTTATAAAATTATAAATTTTTTTTCTCGTGGAATAAAAATAATATAGAATAAATATCTTTATATTTAATAAATAATTAATATTATATAGAGCACTTTTCTTAGAATTAAAATTATTATTTATATATCTCAGACAGTATATACAGAAATTATAGCAGGCTTTAATAAAAATATTCTACTTAGAATATACTATTCTCTTTATTATTATAAAGTAATTAAAAATAAGACTAATATCTAATAAAAAAGAGAATAACAGTAATATAGTATAGATAAAAATAATAAAAATTATATAAAATAATAAAGAAATATAAAGAGAATAATTATAAATTATTAAAGAAATAATAATTATAAAGCAGAAAAGAAGAAGAAAGAAAAATAATATAAAAAATTTTTTTATTTATATTTCTTCGCAGGGGATCTATCTATATAAATATAACTAAATATTAAGAAAGAGAAATAATATAAGAGATTCTTTTGTTTATACTTCTTCGCAGGGGATCTATTTATATAAATATAATTAAATACTTATAAAGCTATACAGAAATAATATATAATTCTGTTTATATTATATATTCTGCGGGTTTTTTATCTTTCGCTATTAAATTCTTATTATTTTAAATTAAGAATATATAAAATTATTCTTAATATTTAAGCCAGGTGACTTGTCTTAGCAGAGAAGAGTATTATTTATAATAAAATAATCCAGCTATTAGAATAAAGATTATCGGGATAATATATTATAGTAATTATAAGAGTTATAAGATTATTAATAATAATTCTATATCTCTCTGATATTTATAAGATATTAATCTCTCTGTAAAAAGCTACTGATTCTTTAAGAATTAGTCTATCTTATGAATATAGACTATCTTTATTATTATTAAACAAATACATAGTGTTTTATGGTTGATTCCTTATCTAGTCGACAGGCTTTCTACCCTGACAAGTAGATCCTATCACAAATTATCTCTTACTAATTATAAAAATTAAAATAATTAAATTAATATAAATCTTTTTAAATATATTATTTATAATTAAAATAATTATTTTTAGCTAAATTAGAATAAACTATTTATTAAGTAGTTAAATATAATATAATAAAATAAGATTTTAAATTTTATTTAATTTTTAATAAGAATATTTTTAATTATTATAAAAAATTTTACTCTTTAATCTGACATAGAGTCTGGAGATTAATATCTTATATTCTTATATAAATTATATAATATTAGATTTCTGAATATATTTTAATATATAGATAGTCTATTAGATTTAATTCTTAATCTTATAATAATTTATAAATATTATAATAGCTTTAAAAAATATAACTTAATAAAATAATTAATTTTTTAAGAAAGATAATATTAATATATCAACTCTGTTAAGATGTTGGGGTCGCCCTACGGGCGATCTTGGAGCGGTAAGCCGCGTAGGGGTCGGTTAGTCTTTAGCTGGAGGACTATACCTAATCCAATATAGCCCAACCCAACCGATCTGATCTGATCTGACAATGGCAAAGAGTCGCGATTGATTGTGTTCCGTTGCGCCTATGGCGCTGACTACTGTGTGGTATGTATGTATGGTATTGATGGTGGATGAGAGGCCATTCCATTTCAGCCTGAGGAGAGCGGAAGTCACTGTAAGAGTATGAATTCAGGAAGAGGTAGATGGTAGGTATATTGTGTATTGTATAGTATGGTATGATAACGGATCATCCAAATAGAGACACACATACAGAGAGACTCAGAGCAGACAGATACATAGACAGACCACCCAACCACCAGACTAGAGTCTAGCATGCTACTTGCAGACCATATATAGACACTAGATACGGCAATAGATACTTACAGAAGCCTAAGCCTCTCGAGAAGAGGAAGAAAGAGGAAGAGGAAATAAATGAAGTATACAATTGATGCGTTGGGAAAAAAACAGCTCCCATCATTTCACTCATTAATTACTATGAAGCAGCGCCATTGCCACCAGCCGGGGGAGCACCACCGGTCGCAGCCGCCATCTTCGCGATTCTGTCTTCGACGCGCTCCTTATGCTGGCGGTTGCGAAGATGGACCTCGAAGTTTTCGACCGTCGTGCCAGGGCCGGGAGTGTACAGTTTGCCCGGGCAGTCGTGGCAGCGAATGCGCGGGAGGTATTGGTATTTCAGCTTGTGGCCGGGCTGGCTGTTGACGTTTGCTACGGGGAGCATGGTTTCCGTGTCCACCGCGGTGTAGCGCATGACGCCTTCGAAGGAGTCGTTGGGGTACACGCGATTCAACTGGACGAGTCCCGCTGCGAGCCAGGGTGGCGGCGGGGGCTAGATAGAGGCAGACTTGTGTTAGTATGTGGCTGTCTTGCGGCACAGAGATATGCTTGGAAGCCCGATATCGCGGCCCGTGGGGAGGTGACCAGATGGAAGAGGTCTTATTTACTCACCCCGGGGACTCCTGGCTGAGGGGGATGGGGAGCATCTAAGGCTCCGATCTGCTGGACGGGGCCGGGTCGTTGCAAGGGAGGAAGGCCTGGGGCGTGGGGGTCGGCCTGATGGGGGGGCGGAACCATCACGTGGGGGGTTGGAGTGTGCGCATGTGGTGTGCTCTGCTGGGAGAGGGCCTGCGCAGCCGGTGTAGACACGGCGAGTCCTTGTATTGACTGAATCCCGTGCGTGAGGAGCTGGCGGAACTTCTCTTTCGGGATCCGCAGCTTCACGACCAGCTTCTCCGGCTCTTCGACCACGCTCTCTTCGCGCAGCTCCCGTCTCCGACTCGCCGCTCGAGCTTCGTTATGTGGTTCAGGCGTCGCGGATTGTCCTAGACTCGCCCGCAGTGCCGCGTGTGCTGCGGTGGCTGCGCCCCTCATGCCTCTCGTGCGCGCGGTGCCCTGGGCAAGATGGGGTCCGATGGCCGGGGATGCCGTTATTGAAGACTCGTCGCTATCCGAATCCTCCGAGTCGTCGCCCGCATCGCGGAGTCCGACAGCAGCGCGTCTGGCGCGGCTGGAGCCAGACCGCTTGTAAACATTGCTCTCCTCCATGGATGCGGCGCAGTTGGGGATGACTGTCGATACGATCATGGTCCGGATAGTCCGTTGGCGGTCTTTCAGATCGGGCAGGGCGGGCCCACCGCGGCGGTTGACAGACCGTTTCTGTCGACGTTGGTCTCTAGATATCGACACCTCGGTCCTCTCGAGTTCTGCTTCGTTCAATTCATACAGATAGGGTGTGTACTCCTTCGCCGCCTGGAATGGCCGGAAGGAAGAGGATAGGGGGCTGGGGAGGAAGGCGGTTTTCAGGTCGGGATCGTCGATCGGGCGTCCGTCGAAGGGGTGGGAGAGGATATAGAGGGATTTGGTGAACAGCTGCGATTGCTCGCGGATCGAGTGCGCGACTGCCGTCGTGAACTCGCCAGAGAGTGAAAGGTCGTCGGTCATGCGGGCAGCGAACTCCTCGGGAGAGTTGTGGGGATCGTTGATGTCCCATTCGAACTGGTCAATCAGGGTATGTTGGCCAATAGTGATGTTGAGTTTTACGAGGATGCGCATCTCGTCGTTCTTGTAGGCATTGTACGGGAGATGGGGGTCGAGCGGCTCTTCCTCCATGAAGATCTGAGGGTAGTAGTCGCATAGCTGTTCCTGAATGCTTGATGTGATCATTCGTATCAGAGGTCCGCACGAGTCGAGAGGAATGCCCAGGTCCTCCACGAGCTTCTCGGCGAACAAATCAGGGGTAACCACCCGATCATGGAGATTCCACGTGAAGGTATCTCGGATCTTGATCTTCTCCCAGTCAATGTCCAGCCGGATCGGCACCAGGTCTTCGACTTGCTCATTCTGCGCCTTGAGATCCTTGCGCGAAAAACGCAGCTCCCGAGTCCTCCGGTTACCCGGACGGCGTCGGTTTGCTGGGTACAGCAGCTGGGGGTGTTGATTTCGCAGGTCGGTGCGCGAATTCCCAAAGCCCTCGTAGCCAACGCCATAGAGAGCCGCCGGGTTCATGTGGTTTTCCCGCCGGACCGTCAGGAAATAATCGCGCTCGGCGCGTTTCTGCTGCAGGAGCTCCTGGCCGGGGTTCTGCCACGCCACCAAGGCAGAATGCTGGAACTCCCGGTTGACATAGTCCTCGAGAAGAATTTTATCCGCGGGGGTCTCGCGTACGCGCACGGGGAGGTCTTCCGAAGGCTGAATCACCGAACCGTCTCGAGATCGTTTCTTTCTCGCGCCTGATCCGTTAGAGTGTGAGCTTGGCGACGGGTTGCCGTTCGACGTGTCATGGCTCGATTCGGAGGCGAGGGACATGCCTGAAGCTGCGAGAACGGCCTTCGCATTCTGTTTCCCCTCCGCGATCATGTCAGTACCGCCCGCACCTTGTCCCGTGGGGGTCACGGAGGCGGAGCCATGGTCCCCGCTCATGTTCAGCATCCCGAAGCCATTGTGCGTGTCATCCGCTGAGGCGTCAACAGGGAGGTGTCCGGACTGAAGGTCGGGAGACGGCATGGTGGGGGGTAGGTATGTTCCGAGGTGGACCTTGGCGCGGCCGACGAGACAAAACAGGTGTCACTTGCACCCGTAGGTCCAGGTGAAGCGACACTATCAATAGGCAAGGATGGGTAACCGAGGAAGCACGACTCGGTCACGGCAGCATCCTTGAGGACTGCAGGATCGGACATATCGAGGTCAGCCAGCTGGATGACATTCCCGCGGACACGGAGTCAATTGCAATGGGAACGCGACGGCGCACCAAGCGGAGGCGCGATACGTCGTCCGCGACGTGCATGGGAAGGACATGCCGCGAAGCCATCGTATAGTCGCTCTCTCCGCGTCGCGAGTCGATGCGGCTCCAAACAAAGGGAAAGGGCCGGTAAGCCACGCGGGGAATGGGAAGAGCAGCAGACAATGGACGACGAGGACGACAAGGACGGGGGGAGAGAGAGAGGGAGGGGAAGAGAAACATACCGGCCAGCCAACCAAAGGGGGGAGGGAGAGGGAATAAGGACCGAATCGGGCCAGACAAGCAGTACAAGGCAGTTACTAGCTACTAACCAAGAAGGACGAAGGAGAGAAACCGTGATCCGAGCAGCGAGCGACTCGGGGGCTGGTTCCAGGGCAGAAGGGAAGGCAGTGTGGATGGGTCTGCGAGCCGGGTCTGGCTGGGTCTCTGCCTTCCTGCCAGTTCTGCTAATCAGCTGACGTCGCTCCGTAATACTCAGTCAGGTTCGTTTTTCTCTTTGGGTCCCGAGGTTCCTTCAGGTAATCGTCGCAGTCGCAGGCCAATCGTTCAGGCTTTTCGAAACGTGGGGTTGCCGATGTCTCCGCGGATTTGCATCCGATGTGGGTGGGGGGAATGGAAGGAAAGGAGAAGAATTGCAGGAGAAGGGAGAGAGAGAGAGAGAGAGAAGAGAGGACGGAGGAGGGAGAGAGACAGACAGACAAGAAGCGAGAGGCGCTGCTGGGTCTTCCTGCTGGCGGCCAAAAAACGCCCGTTACAAGTCTGGGCTGCTCGGGTTCCGCTGGGGAGGGTCAGGAGGCCAGCTGAAGGGCAGTCGGGGATGAGCCCGCAGCGCTGGGAGATGTCCCCGCGAGAAGCACACGTCTAACGAGACCTCAGAGGCCTTTCTTGAAGCCATTCCGAGTCCAATCTCCCTCCTCCTCGCCTTCTGGTCCGATCGCAACTTTCCTTACGATTGTTACTGTATGACTCCCGTATTACCGTCTTTGGTTCCGTACGGTAATCGGCGTCTGCCCGCTCGCTAATCCGCTTTGGGGTGTCAGGTGACACGGCGCCTTGCCGGAACCGGCAACCCGGCCTCCCGCTAGGGCGTCATCTGTGATCTCGGGTCCTTGGCGGCACAGTGGATACCATACGGGACTGTCGGATCTGTACGGAACTGTATGGCTTCGGTACCAGATACTATCCACCTTCCAGGTCTATCAAAGCTGCACCAACACCAGCATGGGATGGCTCTCACTACAGAAGCAACCTTGACTTGGAACAAATTGGGTCATTTACCACATAGACAGGTTACGACTAAGCTAACCAACAAACGAACCAACCGTCTAATCGCGCAACAACACATCGATAACCACGGCGCGGTGGTCCGAGTTAAAAACCCCATCATCAAAGCGGTTCGGGAGAACCGCATACCCCAGGACCTTCCAAGGCTGACGACCACGGCTGAGAACCTTGTCAGCCGTGGACTCGAGCAGGATGTAGTCGATGCGCGAGGGGTCCTGCCCCTCGTGGCCAAACCCGGTCCATGTCATGTAGTTGCCGTAATGCTGGGAGGGAGGGACCAAGCGCGCAGCGTCCGCCAGGGGTGACTCGGGGGCCGTCAGCACGGTATACGCCTCCTGCTCGTCCTGACTATTGAAGTCGCCGGCCAGGAACACGGCGGAGATCATGCAGCCGAAGGCGGCTCCGGCGCGGTACTCCTCGACCTTGCCGAGGATGATGTTGGCGGCTTCGAACCGGGACCGAGAGCCCTGGTCATCGAGGTGCGTGTTCATCGCGAGGACCGTCTGGCGGCTGGCGCGGTGGGTGAACACGCCTACCGTCACGATACGGATCGAGGCCGCGTCCCAGCTCTTGGATGGCATGGTGGGCGTCTCGGAGAGCCAGACCGTTTCCCAGTGCCGGAGCTGCCAGATCGAGGGCTGGTAGAAGATGGGCGAGTATTCGCCTGCTTGGTGGCCGTCGTCGCGGCCAACCCCGATATAGTCCCACGTGTGGTTGGCGTTGGAGGTGTGCTCTTTGGAGTTGAGCCCCGTGAGGATGTCGTCTAGCTGGTTGTGCAGCACTTCCTGCAGACAGATGAAGGCCTCCTGGCTGCGCGTGTTATAGCGCAGCTCGCTCAGGAGGGGATGCACCCGGTTTTCCCAGGGCAGTTCGCCTTTGAAGGGCGACGAGGTTGCATATCGGATGTTGTGGGTCAGGATCCGGAGGGGGAGCTCTGTCGGTACCTTCATTATGTGTGAGCTGGGTTGTAGAACGCCACTGATGGTGTTTTACGAGGAGGAGAGACTGTCACATCGCACGGAAGACTGGAGAAGTCCTGGAAGACAGGCGTTTAAGTACTCCGTATCGAAGGTGAGGAGGTGAGGAGTCAAGAGGTGAGGTCAGCCCAGATGGCGCTGTGATTGGGCCCGGCATGCATGCTCCCGGTTTGGCACAAACAGGCTGCGACGTTGACTGATCCTCGGAATTCAACGGTTTTCCGGCAACATCACTGCTCTTTCAGGTGTGCATGTTCTACTGGCATATAGCCACTCAAGGGATCGTGTCCGATCTTTTTAGATACTCCTCATGGGCAGTCATTCCCCGTGTACTAACCATGGATATATACTTATATAGCTACGGCTCTCCCCCTCTCCAAGCAACCTTAAACGCCCCCAACCCCCAAAATAATACGAGCAGCCTGCTCAGCAAGCGCATGAACACAGCTGTATATGGCAAGCCAGCGGTATCGGAATGACACTAGCATCAACAACGCTCGATCCCCATTACACACACAAATCGCCATCCACCACCTTCCCCATCGCCGCACTACCAGCAGGGTGGTACAGCGTCCTAAACATAATCATCAGCATGCGCCTCTCCCAACCACCGCACAAATGCGGATGACCAGTCCCACTAAGTACATAGCCCGACGCCGAATCAAAGCATCAATCGCCTCATCATCCACATCCGGACCCAAAGGCCGCAGACCATCCTCAACCCGTCTCCTCAGCGACGAACTCCCGCCCAGCGGGAGTGTCACACAGCACTTCCCTTACTTTCCGCAGCCCCTCGCGCAGGACATACCGATCCGTCTCGGTAGCACAGTAGTTCGGATCGATGCGCGGCGGGCTCCGGATATCAGTATTTAGCAAGCATGCAGGCCACCCCCGTCGTGATGTGCGTGCCGTCTGTGGCGATCGTGGGGTTCTGGGGACTGTGAGCGACGTAGACGGTGAAGGTCTCGACATGGCCGCGCTGGGAGGAGACGAGTGGATGTTCGTCGGGGTTGCTATCGGGGTTGTCTTTGCGTAGGGCGCTGCGGAGGCCGTCGAGCGGTACGGGCTGGAGAACTACGAAGTCTATGGGATTTCCTCTGAAGCAGGCTGGATCGGTGAGCGCAGGCGATCCGAGTGCGAGTCCGCGTTCCAGGTGCTTCAGCTTCCACTATTGTCTGACGGCGACGTGGTCGTGGAAGTGGCGGCCCACGTCCGGATGGTCGAGGATTACATCGATGTCGTGGTCTCGTAGATGATCGCGTGGACCTATTCCCGAGAGCATCAGGATCTGCGGCGTACAGTACGCGCCTGCAGAGAGGATGACTTGCCGAGTCGCTCTGATCGGGCTCCGTTCTTCATCTGCCAGTTCCACGCCAATCGCCACCTTTCCCCCCCCTCTTTCCTGCACGATCACTCGGCTCACCAGCGAATCGGTCATGACGTCTCCGTTGAACGGGTAAATAGAGCTCGAGATCTGTCGTTTCCCACACACGCGATTCTCCACCAGCTCAGCCATCCCAGAGCTTAGCCTTGAACTTGAACCATCACGCCAAACTCACCGCGATAATAAGTAGTAAAGTACAGAGTATGTCTTGAGACATCTCAACAAATGACCGCGGCTGGACTCTCACCACTATTAATCGCACTGCCACCCCCCAGCGCCCTCCCCGCATGATTGGCCAGCACACGACCATCGAGATGCGTCTGCGGCACAGTCGAAAAGTTCCAGTCGATCTCGGAGCCCAGGAGGAGTGGCGCGTTGCTTCCGTCCGCCACGAGGGGGTGGGGACCCCGCTTTTAGGCGCGAGGCGAGGGCACAGCCTGCTGTGCCGCCGCCGATGATTATGTAGTCGTATTTGGGCCTTTCGGGCATGATGGAGGTGGATGGATAGATGGGGTGAAGTGGGTGATTCTCTCACCGGTAGGAGTAGGGATGTTTGGATTCCGGACAGAGTAGAGCAGGATCCTGTGAATATAAGTATGTATGTAGACGGGTTGGTGATCTGCGCAACTTAATGGAAGTGGAAGTGGAAGAGAAGAGTTGGGTTGCTGGCTTTAGTTAGGCTTTACCCCGCCGACCAACTTAACCAACCAACCAACCAACGAACTGGATACTCCAGATAGTCTGGGGTGTGTCGTGGAGGGGATAAGCAGCGTAGGTAAGTCAGTGCAAATGCCAACGGGCTTAACCGTGGATGACACATACAGACTAACTATCTAAGAAGGCGTAATCGTCCGGGGGTCTTCGACTAAGTACATACATACATACATACATACATACATACATACATACATATATATCTACATACAGCCCAAGTCACCGAATTCAGAAAGATGAATCCACACTGCAGTTAAGATGATCGAGCCAGTTGGAATCCCGCGGGCGTAAATGCAACCAAGCTAGTAAGTATCTTCTCGATAGCAGATTAGCAGATAGTGTAGAGGATGAGAGAGAACGCGTATTACGCGCAATTTCGGGGAGCTCATACCCTTTCCTGGCTCTGTCTCATTTGACTCCGCGGTGAGAGACATATTGGAGGGAATAGGGATAGCAGGAGAGCGGAGGGTAGATGGTAGGCTAAGTCTAAGTCTAATGAGCATCAGCATGGACATATGGACATGAGCATGTGTTCGCGAGGCTGTGTGTGGCCTGGCCTATCTATCTACCACGCCAAATCGACGCAGGTCAGATTTTAGGAGTGAATCCGACGGCCATGGGAGGTGATCCTGCCCCCTACCTAAACATAATCTAGCCTGACTCTAACCAAGACTACTGCGAGCTAAGAGAGAGGTATCACGTTTGGACAGTCCTAGACTGGGGGGCTGCAATTTTACTCAAATTAGCTGTCTAGCGACTAGACTATCTATCGATCTATCGATCGATTTTCTCCTGCACCGTTCTCACGAATGATGTCCGCTCCACGGACCATTCCGTCTGCACGCGGACCTCGCCCGGCTCCAACGACAGGAAAGACCCCGGTCGCTGGGCCTGAACGGACGCCTCTGCCCACGTGGTTCCCATGCCCCGGATGATGGATTGGGAGGAATGCACCGAGCCTGTCTCGATGGCGGCGCCTTTCGTGGGGGTGAACGTTCGAGCGCAGTCGGCCAAGGTCGGGGCGCGTAGTCGGCCCAGGAGATGAGAGGAGAGGTCGTAAGCGGGTCGTTCGCACAGTTCGTTGTCGGCGGAGCGGAAGGGGTCGCGGAATGCGATGCAGTCGACTAGAGGCCATAGACCGGGCACGCTGGCGACTATGATGGCGACTGCCCATTCGACGGTCATCCAGATGGGAAGCATCTTGCCGGTCTCGTGCATGCGGACGTAGTCGGCTCTGGCGATCGCGACGGTGCGGATTACCGCGACGGCGAAGATGCTTTGGTGAAGGGGTTAGTTTGCGCGCGGAGCCACTGCTGGGATATGGGGATGGCTTACAATAGACCCATGATGAGGCTGCCGGACAGTACTAGTTTCTCTGGTCGGGAAATCTTCACCCCCGCGGCCTGGGATAGCGGGATGAGGATGATGGCAGCGTTGGTCGCAGCGTCAATGGAGCTGATGGCTGAGAACGCGGCGTTCCGGTTGATGCAGTGGCCGGCTGAATGTTGCAAGCTCCAGTTGTATTGCAGCGGGAGGCAGTCTAATAACACCACCAGGGGAGCCATGAGGCTCCAGCACACACAGAGGATCAGGATGGCCTGGATGGTGAGCCGGGTGGCTTTGGATGAAGCCGCAAAGACCCTCAAGAGCACCATTAAGATGCTGCATTTGACCAGGCCGAGCCCCACGGGGTCCGCCATCTTAAGATAGTAGATGCACTGTTCAGCAGTCAGAGGATATGGTACGAATGCTGCCGACTTCGTTACATACGCACCTTCTGTGCGAACGAAACCCGCCAGTCCGGCGTGAGTGATGCTGGGTAGCCGCCATGCCCAATTGTCAGGACTGCATAGATGAACCGTCAATTGGAGTCTTAGTGGGGTGCGAGGGAGAGAATGCATACTCAGATATGTTGTCACTGCATAGGAGTAGAGAAGGATCTGTGTTGTCTCTGTCAGTTTGTTGTGTGCTGAAGGACGGCAACCACACATACCAAAGACCCGAGCGCCATATACTCCGACGCCTGAAGCATCTGCTTCCGTGTCCTAGAAACCCACAGCCGGAACCCCATCGCCAGCGTCGCCAGAAAGAGCGAAATGGACAAGACAATGGCGACATCCTTCGCATCGCGAGACAGCTGCGTGCGCCTCTCAACAATATCTCGGGCAGTCTCCATGATGATGTCTATCTAGCAACGGGTACAAGAGAAACGGCCCGCGTGGAGGGAAAGATGAAACATCAAGCGGCTGGAACAGACACCCACCTTAATATGCAGAAGGGCTGTCTGAGCCTGACAGGAGAGTCCGGGCGCGCCTATTATAATGTGATGGGGGGGGGGCACCCCTGGTCGATCGGCTTTGGCCCCCAAATTTCCATCCAAACTCAACGCTGGGGCGAGGGTGTTAGGCGCAGCGACTCTGCATCACAATTATGAAGTGGTCACACACCCACACCAAGGCGAGGGGCAGAGTCCAGGGAGCCTGATTGGTCCGGGAGAGGCCATTGGTGGATTGCCATGAGGTCCATGTGGTAACGGTGGGATGTAAGATGTCGGGCCACGAGAGCGGCTAAAGACTAACTTTCGGCCATGGGAGTCCGGGCATGCAGTGGTGATTGTCGTGGTGGTAGTGCTTATGCTGAATTACACTGGGCATTCAAGGGGTCTTATCTAAGCCACTCACTGTAACTAGATGGGGATGATTGAAAATAAGTAGCACTGGGGAATGGTGTGGTGTGGATGCCATAGCGAGCATCTCCGATCTTCCCGCCCCGGGTAAATTATACGTCGATGCGCTGCTGCAGGTTGTCTTAACGGGTACTAGCTTTAGATACTGTTTGTTCCTGTCGAGGATGAAATTGCAGTCAGCTCAGCCCCAAGAGAAAAGTGGTTGTCTTTTTGCGCCTTTAACGTGACTGTGCAGTCCACTGTCAGAGCAAGGGACCATTGATTACTCAGAGTTGGGGCGAACGAGATGTCGCATCGAGGCTGATCACAAGTTGGAGACTCTCCTGAAATCAATTAATTGATCCTTGCAAGCTTATAAGCGTTCCGATGACAACTCACAGTAAGCAAAGTCCAAAGAACCCGGGCAGTGCTCCGTACTTTCCTACTGAAACTACTTTCTATTCCTGCAATCCTCCGGAAACTACCGTATGCTCGAACCTATCGATGCATCTGGAACCGATAAGCCACACAGTTCTTTCTTTGTTACTTACGGAGTACTTAAGGGTGGGAGGTCTTTGGCGGTCGCGCAAATATAAGCCCAGAGATAGAATGGCTCCTTTGCGCGTCCCTTCTTTCCCAGCTATTTCTACCAGCACAGATTACGAGAAACAGTCTCCGAGGCTTTTCATCCTTTTACATGCCTTGTCGCCTGATTCCCTCTGTCTTAGCGTCCAGTCGTCGATGAGAGAACCAAGGCCCATTCATTATTATTACAGGCCGTGCTGGACTGCGGGTCTAGTCTAAGATGCAGACAGGCTCCAGTTCCCATGTCCGGTTTCAGGGTGGCATGCGTGAAGCCGATCATGGGAGAAGCTCGAGGAAGGCCCCCGCAAGAGATCGATCTGTTTACACAGTACGGAGTACAAACAGTATGGAGACGATCAGTGACGACAGACAGGTAATGTGATGTCATACTCCAGCCCGCAATCTGAGTTTGCGTTACTCGGAAAGTAACGCACAAAGAGGGGTGTATGTACGGAGTACTAGATGGATATCGGACAGTGTCAAGGATCTGAAACTGCAGGAGGTCGCACTGGGCGCCTCGAACGCCTGGTGACTCTCGACCACGAAAGCCCTCCGGCTGGATGTTTGCGCCAATTGCATGGGAAGAGGAAGGAGGGAAGAATGGAAGGAAGATGGTTGGGCGTCGAGGGCTATGACGGCAGGCGGTCTGCCCGCGCGACGGAAGGTAACGGCAATACGCAGCGTAACCGAAGCCCTACTCCCCCCCCACCTGCGGGCGCGGGAAACAACCAGGCAGAAGCGCGCAGCAGAGCAGAAGCCCCCGCTCCGGGCGTAATACGTAATACGTACGGCGAGCGGTGCACACGACTGATGAGGTTCTCCAGCTCTTCCAGCCCAAGTCCATTTCCTCTTTCTTCCTCTGCTGTCGAGTGAACTGCTACCCCAGAAACCCTTCCATCTATAACCGTCTCCTCGCACCACCGCGAGGATCCCCCATCTAGCACACAATGGCTGACACCAAGGCCGACACCAAGGCCCCCGAGGTTGGTAAGTGTTCATGCTCCTCCTGCTGCTGCTCCGTACCCCTCTTTGCTCTCCCAATTTGAAAAAAGCTCCGCCGTTTGTGGGTTCCCGCTTGTCTGCGGCGTCATGGCCTGCCTAGGTTTGCGGCGGGCTGGCAGCTCTGGAGCTCTGGAGCTCTGGAAAGCCATGGCAGCTTAGTCCTCATTTTCTTCCCGATGTGCTTGTCAACATTCTTTCCGTCCCGTGCTATTTGCGGCGTGAATTCTTCGCTTCCCGTCACGACTAACTCAAGCTCGGACCGGCTCTAGACTACACCCTCAACAACCCCGACACCTTGACCAAGTACAAGACTGCCGCTCAGATCTCCCACAAGGTTCTCGAGGCTGTCTCCGGTGTGTACATCCTTATCACGTGGGCGCGCGTCCAGTCCAGCATCCGGAATCTAATCCCAAACCCCAGCTCTCTGCCTGGAGGGCAGCAAGATCGTTGAGATCTGCCAGAAGGGTGACGCGCTCCTCGAGGAAGAGATCGCCAAGGTCTACAAGGGCAAGAAGATCCAGAAGGGTGCGTTCCCCCCTCGAGCATCGTAATCAGCTCCCGGACTTGTGTAAATTAACGTCTCGTTCCTGGGAAAGGTGTCGGCCACCCCACGACCGTCTCCCCTAGCTCCTATGTGACGCCCTACACTCCCCTGGTCTCCGAGACCGCGGAGGCCGAGGTTACCCTCAAGGCCGGTGAGATCGTCAAGATCCAGCTTGGTGCTCAGATCGATGGATTCGGAACCATTGTTTGCGACATGGTCGTTGTCGCCGACAGCAACTCTCCCTCGGATGTCGTGACCGGCCGTGAGGCTGACCTCATCCACGCCACTCACTACGCCAACGAGCTTCTCCTCAGACTCATGGTCCCCCCCGGCCTTCTGGCCAGCGGAACCGAGGAGGAGAAGAAGAAGGCCGCCGCCGAGCGGGCCCCTACCCAGACCCAGATCACCCAGCTGATCGAGAAGGTCGCCAAGGTCTACGGCTGCAATGTCGTCGAGAACACCACCAGCTGGCAGTTCGAGCGCAACGAGATCGAGTCCGAGAAGAAGATCATCCTCGCTCCCGGTGCCGGTGTTAAGGGTGAGGGTATTCCCGACGTTGGTGAGGTCTGGGGTGTCGAGCTTGGTCTGTCCCTCGGATCCGGAAAGGTCAAGACTCTCCCTCTCCGTGCTACCCTGCACCGCCGCACCACCACCACCTACATCCTCAAGCGCGAGAGCTCCAGAAAGACCCTGTCCGAGGCTGTCAAGAAGTTCGGTACCTTCCCCTTCAGTCTGCGCCAGCTCGACGATGAGCGCGCCGCCAAGGTTGGTGCCGTTGAGTGTGTCCGTGGTGGTGTCCTGAGACAGTACGAGCCTGCCGGTGATGCCGACAACGCTCCCGTCTCCCGCGTGCTGACCACCATTGGTATGTTTTACCCCCCTCTGTCAAAACCCGGCTGTCATTGTGGCCCATCGTGCAGGTTTTCCTAACGTATCTTCAGCCATCACCAAGAACGGTATCACCCGCCTGGCTGCCCCCACCACTCCCGATCTCTCCAAGTTCCAGACGGATAAGAAGATCGAGGATGAGGAGATCCTGAAGATCCTTGAGCGCCCGTTGTCCAAGTCCACCGGTTCCAAGAAGAACAAGAACAACAAGAAGAAGACCGCCGCCAAGAAGGCTGACGAGTAAACGCCTCACCTGGGGCCACTTCTGACGTATCCACGGAGGCTTTTTGGCTCAAACCAAAGCCTATGATTTCCATGCGAGGTCCGTTCTTCGTTGCACCGGAGCATTGGCGATGCCCGCCATTGTGATGATCCTTTTTTGGAGCCGCATCCGGGGCGCTCTCTTGGAGAAGACGAAGGATCGGGAAACTGTATGAAAGATGAGCACGTGGGAGACTTAGCTCTCCCACACTACCCTATTGAAAATTCATTGTCACATAACTAGTTGCAAAGACGAGATATGTATATGCCAAATAAAAACGAGCAAAAAAAGGGGGTGATCACCTTACCGTTTCCGATAACAACTAGATCTACCGGGCCGTGGGCCTCGGTATTTGACTCTTGCTCCTACTGGTGCCATTTCCTTCAGTTCAGTACTCTAATGGTGGTTATCCTCGGGTACTGAAGGGAGGGGTGGATGATGTCTTGATCCTCTGCGTCCGGTCAATAGGGGTAGGCGGCTGTCCCGGGGGTGGGACTGCCCAGGCTTCCTTAAACAATTCTGTCGCCCCTCCTTTCATAGCCCCCGCGTGTGGATTTCCCAGTAGGTCCATCTATTTCTATCACACTGGATGTCCGATCCTTGCTGTAAGGTTATTTTGTCTTGCTGTAAGGCAGATAGATTCCTTGCGCGATTGTCGCCACCCCGCACCATCTGAAAAGCACTGACTGAAAGAATCCCTCTAGCCGTAGTGCATGGACTCAAGTGTAGACCTCTGTTCCGAAATGGTCATCCTATAGCTTACTAGCAACTTCGTAGGGTTAACAACATCGGGGTGTGCCGGCATCGAGGCTACGGGGAGACAGACCTGGAGGGCGATACCTGTGGTGAGGGGAGAAGAGGGGGGCCAAACGACTGAGTGCACACAGGTTATCTGTTACCAAGGCATATGAGTCTGGGATTCAGCCCGGAAGAATCTCCTGGAGTTGTTTGGGACAGGGTTGGGCCTCTGAAGCGTGGAGGGCGAGGGAGTCTGAGTGGGCCAACTGAGCTCCGTCTGCCTGTTCCAATCCTTCCTCCTCCTCCATCCATCTCCCTTCCATATGACATCCCCCCTCTGCCTCCACCAGAAGTCCTCCTGCTGGCCCTCATTCACTCAAGACGGATGGAAATCTTAGCCCCAGAATCAGTGCCTCGTGTTCCTGTTTCCTGACGCCTTGGTGTGGCACTGGGCCCTTGCCCCAACTCCGACCCTCTTGCTCACGGGGCACCAGAACCATCATTCACTCACTCTTTTGTCACGTCCACCCCCCCAACCCCAACCACAACAACTCCCCCTCCCCCAGCTGGTGTTTCTCTTCTTTCCTCCTCTCTTCTTCCCTCCCTCTCCGAGTAACGCGTTACTGCGCGAATTACTCATTTCTTCTCACTCAACTCGACGAAGAGCTTAGACTCCTTGCTTTCGTCATCGTTCTGAATAAAGCCCTCTCGTCGTCTATCTGATATTGCAAGCTTCGCAGAGAACCCAGTCGCGGACCTGCCGTGCAAGCAAAACGGACTGTCTGAGCTGTAACACTTAGCAGGGTTCTTTGCTGCAAGCTCTACTCGCCTCGTCGAGCTCCATCCCCCCGTCTTCTCTTACGCTTGTTCACATCTTCTACTGCCTTCTTCTCTTCTCCAAGCACCAACCTACGCGATATTGTCCTGAATTATCATCTCTCCACGCTTACAGCTTCGAGAGAAGCACCAGGCTTATTGTCTCGGTCAAGGTGACCTACTTTTGTTCTCGATCTTTCAATCGGGACTGTCTCTGCTAAGGCTTGACACTCATACTTTGTGTTGCTATCTCACCACGTACGGGAGGTCGGCTACGGCTTACGACTTTGAGAGTCTCTAAGCATCTACTTTGTCCTTGGTAAGTTTCTCACTGGACTGAAGTAACCTGTCTGGTTGTTCCACGCGTCTGCCCTCCCTTACATGTTTCTGCTCGATGCCTCAAGTCTGTTCACGGAGAAGAAAAGTGCAGGCTAGAACGCTGGCTTCTTCTGAGTCCTGACTCCATGTGCATCTCCACTCTGTCAACGGCTTTGTGCATTTGTTTCTTCGTTGCATCTTCATACGTTGGGCATCAGTTGCCCTGTGAACGCTCTAGACTACAGCGGGCTGACCAAGTCACAGGACTTACGACTTCCGAGCAGCGTGACGTCTTGCAGCAATAGTGCTGCTACCACTGTTTCTCTCCTTTTCCTGTGTCATAAAACGGCACTGGAGCAAGATCTACGCAGCATCCTAACATTTGCTGTGTCCCCCTTTCGCCGCTCTTTCGGCGCGTATAGGGGCAACCGGTAAGCAGACACCCCGCCGAACACCAAAATGAGAAATCATCTGCGACATGCAGCATACGAGAATTCCAGCAAGCTAATCTACGGAGTTTCCAGGTGAAAGGTGCCAATTTGGTGGTTGTGGCAGCAGCCGCGGCGAACCCCCTAGGAGGGCCTGCCTGACTGACTCGAAAACTTCCGGCGGTCCAACTCCGCAACCTTTCTTCCTCCCATCAACCCGCAGACCGCGCGCGGGCTGGCTCGATTCCAACCAGCCACGCTGGGCACGCTCGGTGTTAGCTTGGGATCTTCTCACTGGTAAGTCCTCTCATCCTCAATGCATTGGAGCTATCCTTGGTTTCCGCGCGCTAACGTTGGGTTCCCAGGCGTTGCAACTCCTAGCCCTGGCTTGGCCTTACAACAATGGCTCCGAACCTCCGCTCCTCGTCCCATGCCTGGTCCAACAACTCACGCCCTTCCACTCCACTCGGTGCAGCTAGTACCGCCTCCTCCTTCACAGAATCCACAAGACCTCGCAAACAACGGCGAACTGGCAGGCACAGTCGCGTGGCCACCGACCCTCTACAAGACCCGCCCTCCCGGACTCAATCGCGGTTGGAACAATCGGGCAATGGCATTTCAGATACTCACAGTGAGTCGCATGTGGATGGAAACAGTGCAGACTGGATGGAGCCGCCTCTGCGAGTCCCAGTCCCGAGCTACGATGACACTCCGTGGTCCGCCGTGTCGCATAGCGGGAATCCTATCCTGTCCACGATGCGCCCACTGGGAGCAATGCCAACGTCCTCCGACTTGCGCAAAGTCGGCCTGGTGCCTGTGAAGCCCAGTGTTCAGAACATCCCCGCGAAGAGAAACTTGCAGGCTGCGTCGAATGGGGAGAAGACCAAGAATAAGCCTCGAACGCCCGTCACGCCCGCGGAGGAGCCAATCCCCGAACCTATCACTACCAAGGTCAAGCCCTTGGAGGACATGTCTCACTTCACTTCACTTCCTGTCCCCACGTCCACCGATGTTGATGTGGACCGGATAAAGGACGCGGTCGAGAAGGCCGTCCGCCTGGCCCTGGAGACCAATAACATTCCGGTGTCGCGCGGGCTCCTCCGCCTTTGGGAGACCTGCCACAAAGACCCCTTCGCCCTCTCCATCCTCGACGGCATCTGCCAGGAGAACCCTGGCCCACGGGAACGATCGGTCTTCCAGAGTGTGATGCGCTCGGCCTGGAAGGAGGTTCAGGCGGAAGCGGGCGACGACTTGACTCCGGCTCCGGTTGTGGCCCGCCCGCGGTCGGCCAGCAGCCTCTCCTCCCTCTCCTCCGCCAAATCCCTCGATGTCGAAACCTTTGCTCCTGGCATGACCCCGGGGGCGACCACTGCCCGCCATCGCGGCAAGGGGAAGCAAGCCAAGGGCGGTACCCGGATGAACGTCAGGGACCTCTTGAATCCCGAACCAACAACAGCAGCAGCAGGAGTGCCTCCGCCGCCCAGCGCGGCTACAGAGGAATCCCCGCAGAAGCGTGCTTTGGAAGACGAGCCGACCCCCGAAGAAACCGCACGAGTCAAGCGAACTCGCCTTCAGAAAACCCTGCCTACTATTGTTGCTTCGGAAAGCAGACTGCGGTCCTCGTTGGCCTCCCAGTCTGCTTCCAACGCGCCTTCCCCTGTTCCTACGGCAACTAGCCAATCCCAGCCGGCGTCGGTGGGCGCTCCTGTCCCGACCAGCAGAGAGCGATCCGAGAGCCCAGCAAGCAGCGATGCTGGGGATAACCGACGCCTGACACCTACTCTGAGGTAAATTTCCTCTCTATCCACGCCTGAATCCCGACTTGATCACTAACACTCCCGCAGTAGCGATAACGACCGTGTGGAGAACAACGACTTTTGCCACAACTGCAATAGAAGCGGTCAGCTCCTGTGCTGCGATGGTTGTCCCAACTCCTTCCACTTCTCCTGCCTGAATCCACCCCTAGACCCAGCGAGCCCTCCTGAGGGCGATTGGTTCTGTCCGAAGTGTTCGTTGTCGCGACCCATGAGCGCCATTATCGATGCGCTTGACAACGCGCCGCAGAAAGATTTTGCACTCCCCGCCCGATTCCGTGACTACTTCGCGGGTGTCCGTACGGGCGATGGTGGAAAGTACGAAGAGATCGTCACACTACCCAAAATCAACCGTGCCGGGCGAGGGAACCGGAGTGGCCGCTACGATGACCCATACCTCTCGCGGACCTCAGATTCGAAGGGGAATCTCATCATCTGCACTGCATGCGGGCATACTAGTAACGGCAACCGACCCATCATTCAGTGCGACTTTTGTCCCTGCGCGTTCCATATGGATTGCATGGACCCTCCTCTGGCCATGCCACCGACGCAGAAAACGGGCAGTGACCGCAGACACCACAACTGGATGTGTCCCAACCACGTCTGGCATGACCTCGCATACACGGTGCAAGACGAAGAGGGATACGATATGATCAAACGCATCCGCCGTCCCAAGGCGCCCCGAATGGTCGACATCGAAGTCCTTCTGGACGAAGAAGACGGCCAGGAAATGGAAGAACAGGAAGAAGAGGGCGTCGTGTATCGCGTCTCAGAGCACGGAGTCAAACTCGACTTCATCCGTCGCGTGAAACGGTAAGCACCTCCCAGCATTGATTCAATCTGACCTCTGACATGTCTGACACGAGGAGAAGTGAAAACGAAGAATACCAGTTAATGAAAAACGCCGCCGACACCTGGTACGACTATGCCACCTCGGAGTTCGACAAACTCATCTCCAAAGCGCAGACCTTCTACGCATCCGCAACCCCCCCTACTACAACCACTGCTGTCGAAGACTCCACCACCGATATCATAAACTCGCGCACCGCCGCTGAGCGTGAAGCCGCTGCAAACCTGATCGACTTCTCGCACGGCATCCAGCCCCCCTCCAGCGTCCAACCCGATCGAATCGGCCTCCTCGTTGACCAGCTCAAGGCCAGCGAACCCGCCAACATCCCCTCCGCCGAAACTGAGATCGCAGCCCTCCGCAAACTGCAAGATCTCATCGACCGCCGCATTCACTCCCTGACTGCGCAATCCCAACAATCCCAACAACGACGATCATCATCCTCTTCCTCCCGCTCCGCTCGCTCCGTCCCCGACCCCGCGGACCCCCCTATTGAACGTTGAACTGTAATCCATGAACATGAACCTGCACCTGAACCTGAACATGAACCCATCGCATCGCATCACATCGCATCGCATCTCATGATTCGCATCGCATCTGCCCGCCGTGACGGCCAGTACAACCATCTACCCATCTACCCACCTATCTACCTACCCATCTATCCTGTTGATATGATATCGAGGCGAGGCGCGGCGCTCCGGGTTTCGTTTCCTTTTTGCCTTACTTACTCCTTCCTTCCTTCCTGGGTGTTTATTTGTGATTGTCATGTTAGCTAGCATGAAAAGTCTCTCTCTGCCTATGTTCGTTAGGTAGGTAGGTACTACTTTTAAGTAACCAGCCAACCTACTACTTACTTAGGTGCTGAATCATGGGGGATGGTTGGTTACTTACTCGTTTAGATATCCAAACATTGCTTTTTTCTTTGCCAACTTTTTTTTTCTTTTGAATTAGATTGTATTGTATTGGGTTAGATTGCGTTCTTTGGGCTGAGGATTTCGTATCGTATGGACTGGACTGACTGGAGTTGTACTGGCTCGGCCAAAGACGGGCAGTGGAGTGGGCAAGCGCAAGCCCTTGTCTCACTTCCTCGGTCCACGACCGATCAACCGACCGACCGGCGTTTATTCGTAGATAGCTCGGCGCTTAGCATCCAATTCCATCCCCTGAACCCCCCTCCGCTCTTCTGTTCTTCTCCTGCAATGAGCAAATGGGCAGGCAGTATGGCACCATACGCAGTACGGGTGTACCCATAATCAATACGGAGCACAGTGTTTGCATATGCCCTGGTTTCTCTAACGAAACACATATTCTATTCCTAAGTCTCGTTCTGGGAATCATATGCTTATGGATGGTTGTGGATGTGGATTTGAGTAAGCATGACATGATGAATGAATGGATTGAATGGATTGACTGAATAAGAGTGGATGGGTGGGTGGGTGGGAGGATGAATGATGAATGATGAATAATGAATAATGAATAAGAAAGAGTACGGATACGTAGGTAGGTATGGATGGATGGATGGATGGGATGGGATTGCCTGGCTGGATGCTCTGATTTTCTGTCTGTGTGTCTGTCTTCCTTCTCCGTGGGGGTTTCTTCGAGTAGTACCTAGTTCGCATGAACTTGCGTTTGTTTTGTTCTACAGAATTCCCGGGCTGGAATGTAACTCATAACATAAGTAGAAATAACATCAAGTAAACTTTCATCTTCTCTCCATCCCGCAGCTAACTAACTACTACCTAATTACCTAACTACCTTACCTAGCCACCCACCCACCCACTTAATCACTCACAAACCGTCTAAATACGCCAAACCGGGACGAGATTCAATGGAAAGGCAATGTATATGATATGATACCAGTAACATACTAACACAACAGTAAAAAAAATAAGAAAGTATGTGAACAAGTACAATAGATATAACATGACGTGGCATGGCATCCACATGCGGGACGTAGGATGCGGGATGCGGGATGCGGGATGCGGGATGCAGGGGCTAATAGTTCACAGGTCGGGAGAGTACATCATACTACCACCAGGGCAATTTTTTCCGGGATGTGAGTGGTTCACAGGGATACGGAGGGAAAGGGATGTGTTTGGTGTGAGCTTAGAGGAACTTCTTGGGCATGTTGGCGCGACGACGCTTGTAGACGACGTAGGCGACAGCGAGGAAGACCTGGAAAGCGATGATGAGGCAGATGAAGAAGCCCATGCGGGGGGTGGAGGAGGTGATTACTAGAGGGTCTGGGTTAGTTTTGGACGGTGTGGTTGGTTGGCGGGGGAGATGGGGAGGGGAAGGGAAGATAGGATGGACATACCGCCCAAGAGGTTCTCGGTCAGACTGAGGTGTGACGAGCGCAGGGTCTCCTGCAGCTGGTTGAAGCGCTTGTGGTAGTCCTTGCCTTCTAGGTCGCGCTGGATCGCCTCGAGCATCTGCTCGATCTTCTGGAGGCGCGCGTCGAGGTTGCTGACCTGGTCCTTGGTCGCGAGCTTCTGGAGGAGCTCGACCTGGCGGTTGGTGTTCTTGGAGTCTTGGTTGCCGATGTCACGGACGAGGTTGTTCGTGGCGTCGTTGATGAGCTGGATCTGGCTGCTCAGGTCGGCGAATTGCTGCGTGGTTGCGCTGCTGTCCGCGGGGGCTTGCTGGTTCTGCTGTTGCTGCTGCTGTTGCTGCTGCTGTTGTTGCTGCTGCTGCGCGGGGATGACCTGTTCCTGGGCGGCGATGGGCTGCTGCTCGGTGTTCTGCTGCGCCGGGATGCTGCCGCTGCCGGACTCAGCGGACTGGAGAACGAACTTGAAGATCTCGAAGGAGTCGGGGTTCTCGGGGGTTGCGGCGGTCAGACCGAAGATGTTGCCGGCAGGGAGGGCAATCTGGTTAGGTTAGATGACAGTAGAAATAGGTGGGGTCGGTGGACGTACCTTGTCCGTCGCGAAACACTTCCTCTCATCGACGTGCACCTCAAACCCGGCGTTGGTGTGCCTCATGCGGATGGTGGACGGCCGCCCGAGGTTACGGTAGGCGTAGTCGCAGTGCCCAAAGGCCAAGCTGTCGACGCTTCCGCTTCCGTGGCCTTTGTAGTCGGTAGTACCATCGTTAAGGAACCCTCTAATGCTACCACCCTGGGAATGGTCAGGTCTGAGCTTTGGGGGGTGGTTGACTACTTACTCTGCCGCCGTGGCTGTCAATGACGAGGGCAAAGCCGTCGAACTGGCCGATGGTGTAGATGCTGGACGTGCCAATCTTATCTTTCCCATCTTTGGCATACCAGAGTTGGAGGTTACCTCCGCCTCTCTCGGGACCTGTGGCCCGGAATTGGAACTCTGCCGTCCACTCGGACTGGGTTACACTGCATTCGATCAGCATGCATCCATGGCGATAGAGCAGAAGACTTACGGAGTCTGCGACCAGGCAAATCCTCTGGTGTTTCCTGGGTAGGGGGGAGTCAGGATGATCTTGTTGGAGAGCTACCACACAGTCAGATGTCGGAAGAGCTTCAATGGTCAAGGAACATGGATCATACAATGTCGGGAGAGTGTGACTCTCCGCCAATCTCCCATCCTGGGATGGAGTCTGCATTGGGCGATAGTCTAAAGCAAGGTCAATCGCTGTATGAAAGGAAACATGTGCGGGTGCGGAGCTTACGTTTGCCCAAAGCCAAAGCTCGAGGCCTCAATAACCGACTGCGCCGTGGCAGCAGCGACGAAGGAGAGAAGAGAAGCGGTGATCTTCATGGTGAACAAGATGATGATGCCGATGATGTCTATTGAATCGGGGGTTTGTGTAATCAATCAATGCCGTGACTACTGGTAAACAAAGAAAGAAAAAAGGGTATCCAAGCTGCAGGCGACACCGGCAATGGTTCTGCAGAGAAGCAAATGCCGAAATGAAGTGGTTACTGCTGGTCGGAGGATCGCCGGTTCAACAACGCGGAGACAACGCGCGAGGTGGTCCACCCAACCACAATGGCGATCACGCAGAGGCGGATTTCCCGAGCGATGGAGGCTGTGGCCGGCGAAAAGTCGACCAGATGACGGATCTCGAGGTTGGAGAGAACGACCGCGTGACGGACTCCTACGTCCGAGGCAAATTCCATGGGGGTGAGGGGAGGGGATCTTAAGGGATAATCGTCAGCCTCTTGCGGTGTCGCGCCTCCATCGGGACACACTGGCCTTTCAGATGCCCGTCCCTGGCCGGTCACGTGTCGCCCCGGATCGTGCCGTCGGCTGCTGTCTGCTGCCGTCGCTACTAGTACCAATGCGCTGGCGGCTCCGGTGCCGCCGCTGGCCTCTCCTCTCCTCCTCTCCGCCCGCTCTCCGTCCCCCGTCAACCACCACCTTCATGCTCCAGCTCCAGCTCCGGCTCCACGCTCCTTGTTTTTCCTTCTTCTGTTGACGGCGCGTCATGCGCAACCCCTTCAATGGCTGACTTGTATCCTTCTCTCGCGCAATGCGCCATCGTGGCCACTGCGTTTAAGGTTCTCCTTTTCCCCGCATAGTACGTTTCCCGCACCGGTTGACACACCACTTGAAGGAGCTAATTCGTGGTCATTGATCCAGCAAATCCACCGACTTTGAGGTACATCGGAACTGGCTTGCGATTACCCACTCATTGCCGGTCCAGGAGTGGTACTACGAGGTACGTGGGCTCCGGCGCATACCCCTTAGATTCGATCGGTGCTGAGTGTGGACAATGGATAGAAATCCTCGGAGTGGACGCTCGACTATCCTCCCTTTTTCGCGGCGTTCGAATGGATGCTCTCCCAGGCCGCGCGCTATGCTGATCCGGCGATGCTGGTCGTCAAAAACCTCAACTATGATTCCTGGCAGACAATTTACTTCCAACGGACGACGGTCATTGTTACGGAGCTTGTCCTTCTCTTCGCATTGAGCAGGTAATGCGTTACACTTCCACCTACCTCTTGCGGGGGCCAGGACAGACTTTGCTGATACAAAAGGTCTAGGTTCGTCAAGTCCGTATCTCAGCAGAACAAGCATCTTGCGCACATCGCTAGCCTGTCCATCTTCTTGTCCCCCGGTCTGCTCATTATCGACCACATTCACTTCCAGTACAACGGGTTCCTCTACGGCATTCTGATCCTGTCGATCGTGTTGGCGCGGCGGCAGTCGACCCTTCTATACAGCGGAATCACGTTCGCCGTGCTGCTGTGCTTGAAGCACATCTATCTATACCTAGCGTTGGCCTACTTCGTTTACTTGGGAAGAGCCTACTGTTTGGACCCGAAATCAGTCTTCCGGCCCCGGTTCTTCAACATAATCAAGCTCGGGGTGTGTGTCGTCGGCGTGTTCGCCTTGGCTTTTGGACCATTTGCCTCCTGGGGGCAGCTGCTTCAACTAAAGGACCGCTTGTTCCCCTTCTCCAGGGGCCTGTGCCATGCGTACTGGGCACCCAACGTGTGGGCGATGTATTCGTTCGCTGACCGTGCTCTGATTCCATGTAAGCTTGCAGACCCTCTTCGATTTTCGACATACTGACCATTGAAGTTGCTGCACGATTGGGACTTTCCGTCAACCGCGACGCCCTGGCCAGTGTCACCCGGGGCCTTGTCGGAGACACCTCGTTCGCGATTCTCCCGGAAGTCACCAAAGAGCACACTTTCGGCCTGACCTTCCTGTTCCAGCTGGTACGCCCCCCTCAATTTCCATCAAACCGGTAAATCTAACACTCTACAGCTCCCATTGATCAAGCTCTGGCTGCGCCCCGACTGGGAAACATTCGTTGGCGCCATCACCCTCTGCGGATACGCGTCGTTCCTGTTCGGCTGGCACGTGCACGAAAAAGCCGTGCTCCTGATCATCATCCCGTTCAGTCTGATCGCACTCAAGGACCGTCGCTACTTCAGCGCCTTCCGGCCCCTCGCTGTCGCCGGGCACGTCTCTCTGTTCCCTCTTCTCTTCACCGCCGGCGAGTTCCCGATCAAGACGGTCTACACCATTCTGTGGCTGGTCCTGTTTCTCTACGTCTTCGACCAGGTGGCGCCCGTGTCGGAGCAGCGCCGCGTCTTCGTCGCCGACCGCTTCTCCCTCCTGTACTTGACCTTCGCCATCCCGCTGATCGTGTACTGCTCCGTCGTGCACCAGCTTATCTTCGGGCTGGAGCGATACGAGTTCCTGCCTCTGATGTTCATGAGCAGCTACTCTGCTCTCGGGGTCGTGGGCAGTTGGGTCGGATTCATGGTCGTTTTTTTCACTGCGTAGCTGCAGATCTGTATAGTCAAGCTAGTGCCTATCTACCCAACCAACACCAAAAAGTTTCCTTCACAATAGACGATCTATCCACCACCACCACCACCACCACCAACCGTCCCCTCATAAGAAAAACCCATCCACACCCCTCAACCAAGCCCCATCCTATCTACCTACCCTACCCTACCCTACCCCACCTAGCTCCTATCATCCAACACCCACAAGCCCCCAACTGCGAAACAAAATCATAGAAAAAAACTGACTGGTATGGTGTAATCAACGATCGCGCCACCACCTCACATACATTACATTACTACCGTACTCCGTAGTCTGTAGTGGTGGTGCCTTGTTTGCTCAGTTTGCACCCATCCACGTGCTCCGGAGCTCACAGTCCCCACTTGATCAGCCAGTTTTGCAAAGTTAATCAGCCACCGTTTCCTGATCGGGTTTAGTGTCGGGCGGGTTAGACATGGATCGTTCCTTGGGATGTCACACTGCAGATGGAACCTTGTTGGTAAGTAAGTTAAGGTGGGTTTGTGATACGGTGCTGGGATTAGGAGTTGGATGTGGTATATACAGGAGTGGACGGGATGGGAGTAGGGGGTGGGTTTGGGGAGGGAAATGGATGATGGATGGAAAATGGGATGGTTTGGGCGTGGGAGGGATTGTGGAAGATGTGAGGGAGGCAGGCAGGGAGGGAGGTGATAGGTCATATGTGGAGGGTTGATTGGGGGGGGTTGGTGGAGGGTGGGTTTGTTTTGGATTGGGGGTCTGGGTGATTATTGGGGATTGGGGTGCAGGTTGGTTGCTGTTTTTTTCTTGAGCGTCGTTTGGCGGGTGGGTTGCTTTTTATGGGTTGGGGGAGGAATCAATAGTAAGGCGCTATGAGGCCATGGGTGTGGGTGTGTGGTGTGGGTGTGTGGGAAATGTAAGTGTTGGGATGATTGGGGTTGCTTTGAAGATTCATATGGAATGTGTTTAATTATAGAGGAGTACGATGTATACGAGAGAGGTAGTAATCTTTAAATTGTCGTTGTATATTGTGTTGTTGAGCTCGATATCAGATATAAAAAGTCGAGTCTGCTGATATAATGGCTTTGATAGGTGTAGGAGGAAGGTTGTCGAAAGGATTCCTGGGAACGTGTAGATGGATGAAGCGCACTCGGTCAGAGATACGAGTGACCGGACAATATTGCTAATTAACATGGGAACATTCATATCGGTTGTTTCAGCATAGGATTCGAATGTGTCCTCCTCATATAGATCTCCATCATGAAGGTAAGCCGGAGAGCAATAGCTGGTGGTCAGATAAGCAATCGTCTGGCTGGTGCAGTGCAACGTGAGCTACATGATCGCCATTCAGCTATCGAGATAAAGAAAAATTTTAACATAGATTGCAGAGCGGTAGGTTTTATCAGGATTGTTTATCAAGGTCGCAGACGCAAAACATAGCTTTGTTGTCAAGGTTGACGTAAGATGACCGGTACCTGGGATGTAGATCACCAACACCCACAGTATATACTACAATGAGCAGTCAGCACGGAGCACGACAGAAACGCGTCGAGAGCTTCAATTCCACTCGATTAATAGAAATGCCCACTCTGTACACATAGGACAAAGGCGAAACTTGAAACGCGGGTGTCGCGTTTAAGCAGCATCAAGTCGAGGTATGTCCGAGTCTGCGGTAATGTCCATGCGAACAGGACTATATCAGAATACCGATAAAGTGGTGAAATGCAAAAAGAAGCTCTCCAATCGACTGCGATAATCACCCATCATCGGAATATGACTTTGACGGGAATTGATATTCGGTGCGGGGGTCGTGTGTCATGGTTATGGCATCCAACCGCGACCTCAGCGTGATGATCCCCGCAGCCGGATCAGGCTCCGGCCGTATACCGCGAGCGAAGCGATCGGAAAAGCGCCATCCAGACACAAAGCCATGTTGAGGCAAATCTCCAGATTCCGGCGAGTCGAACAAGTGCAAACACGTCCATGGTGGCGCGCGGGCCGGGCAGCCAGCAACAGAGGCCGCGGCGGAGGCAAAGCGTGTGGTGGGAGAGGGTCCGGGACGACGAGAGGCAGGCGAGGGGCGCCCGAAGGGGGATAGCGGCAGCATCCCTACCGAGCGTCCGCCCGACGTCTTGTCCGTCTTGTTCTCCTCCTCTCGGCCAATCACCGCCCGCCGTGCCTCGGCGGCCCTCCCACCACTTGCCGCAATGATCCTCATGGGGCCCGGTTCTGCCGTCGTTCTTTTGCGGCGACCGCTTCTCCTTTCTGCCTTCTCCTCCTCCTCCTCCTCTGCCTCTCTTCTCTTCCTCTGCATCCTCCTCATTCCGGGCCTCACTCTCGCCGTTCTGTCCCTCCCCCCCTCGCCGCGTCTTCCCCGCACGCCGCCCGTCTTCTTGGGATATTATACCCGCATCTAGATCTGCGCTCCACTTTTCAGCGTCTCGCGGCTCCACGCTCTCCTGTTCTCGTGTCCTGGTCGCCCCGGTTCCGCCGCCGGGTGTGTAGCGCGATTGAACACGCGTCGTTCGTGTAAGTCTTTGCTCTGCAAGCACCATGCGTCTCCTGCACCAACCGGCGCCCTCCTACGCCTGAAAATGCGCCATGGGAACACCCTCCAAGCCCTTCCAAGATCTCTACCCGCGCATGGCTTTCGCATCGGAACCCTCGCTCGAGTACAATGACTTGCCCGTGTGTTTCACATTTCATAGACGCGGCATTCTTCTTTGTCGGATGCGCTCTTTGTTTTCTGCACCTAGCCATTATGCGTATAAGAAACTAACCATTCGCCGCTTTTCCAGTTACACATGGTTTCCAGCATCGCGAACATTTTATGATCGAACGTGTCCTAACTCTTATCTCCTGAAGGATCATGGTACGTCGCAAGCATATCGATAGTGAAGGGCGCGAAAAAGAACACGGGAATGGAAAGAGCAGACCAGAAGCTGACTCCGCCACTTAGGTTTTATTCAAGCGGAAACCGGTCCAGTATCTTCCTCGACCGGTTATCGAAGATGACAGCTCCGAGGCACGTGTATCGCTCGAATCTTGAAGGATATCTACTTATACTGGCTTAGGTCTGGGTCATCCCAGAGACCAACGAGGTCTTCGTTAACTACGAGCCCTATCTCCAGCGAATGGACTTTTACAAGCAGCGGCGGTTTATTTGCGAGATAACAGGCCACTCGGGCCTGACATTCTTCGAGGCGCTTAGAAGTGAAGTAGGTTGCGGTCTTATCGTTTTTACTTCCAGAGTTAACACCCTCGTCAGATGGAGGAATCGCGCGAAGTGAACAGCTCGTTCCCCGAAGCATTGAAGGAGCCCATCCTGCGCCGGATTCAGTTTTCAACAGTATCGCGGGTCGATAATCTTGGTACGTGGAACGGTGATCAATCGCGTTTGTGTTGAAGCTAACAGTGACCTTAGTGGACGAGATTTTTGAGGTAGCTATACAGTCGCAAATTGAACAATGCCGATTTACTAATAAATCGCAGGAATACAAGCAAGACTTCTATCCCGGGGAGTCTGTTTTAATCTTACTAGATGACAATACTCGGCTCCACGGTATCATCAGAGACAAAGTGAACTTTCCGGACCAGCTTAACCCCGATGGAACGCTTCAAAGGCCAGCCTACGCCACCTATCTTGTCAGAGTTACGGACCGTCCGAACGAAGAGGCGTTGTTGGATCAGGAGCACCTTACGCGCGACCGGAAGACATTCACCAAGCAAATGCTGCGCGCGTTTATCAAAAACAACGTGACGAGAGAATCGTGGAACGGTGCACCCTGGCTTGTCAAGTCCTCCATCGCCGAGGAGTACAGGATCGCTACCGAGGTACCGAAACATCTGCAATATGGCGCCAAGGTGGCTGAAAAGAAAGCACTGAAGAAGGCCGACCAGGAGGGATTCTTTGGGTTCTTCGCATCGCAGCAATTGCCGGAATTAAAGCCGGCAGTCAAAGGCCCGAAATCCAAGCCTTCGCAACAGGACTTGGCTCGGAACAAAGAGGCCCAATTCCTCGAGTATCAACGCTCGCTTAACGGCAACCCAACTTTTGTCGTCTCCAACAAACCCACCAATGGCACCCCTCGTTCATCAAAGACACAGGAGACGGAGAAGAAGCCGCAACCATCCCCTGTGGTTGTCGTCAAGGCCGAGCCTCCAAAGGAGCCTACTCCCCCGCCAATCAAGTACCCCATCGAGGATTTGGATATTGCCCCGGATCACGAAAAGAAAAAGCAGCGCCCCGACCTGAAATCTTTGAGCGTCGATGAGACCGATGACCCGGAGGATGAGGATCTTCTGCACGATGACATCGAGGAGGAATCAGTCGGGCGCCTGCTGGAGACGTGGAATACCCTCAATGTGTACTGCGAAGTCTTCCAGCTCGATTCCTTCACCTTCGACGACTTTTTCCAGGCCATGCGATTCTCGTCCAAGGACGTGGACTGTCAACTCTTTGTGGAAGTTCATTGCGCGGTCCTGAAGAAGCTGGTCAATGCGGAAAAAGACGAGAACGGCGCCGTTCAGATATCCCTGCCGGAACTTCCCAACCAAGAAGAGGACTCTGAGGCGGAGGAGGAAGAGGAAGAGGAACCGACTCCCGAGCCTGAGCCCGTCGTAACGAGAATGACGACGCGGAGTAGTTTGGCGAAGGCCGAGGCGGAGAACCTCAAGGCGCAGGCAAACCTTGACCTTGAAAGTCCAGAGGAGGTCCAGCTCCATCGGGCTGCTGAGATGTTTGGGGAGTATGGTTGGATTGACCGCTTGCGCAAACGTGATTTTCGCAATGGTGGATGGGAGTTGGTCATGATTGGACTTTTGCATCAGCTGGCAGGTCGCCCCCGGATGGAGAAGGCCTGCAACGACATCCTCAAGCACCTGGCTCCCCTGGATGCAGAACCCACCCAGGACACCGCGCAAGCTCAATACTCGACTCTCGATATCAACCTGCGTATCCGGGCCCTCCAGATTATCTGCATGCTTAGCTTGGAGACCAAAGCCATTCGCATCTACCTGGAGGAATGCAGTAATCAGATGACGGAGTTCCGCAAAGAGAAAATCGAATACCAGAAGGCCCGGAAAGCAGGGTAAGTGAACACTTGAACATTTTTGTCTTGGCTTGACTGACATCATTCCCCCTCTAGCCTTGAAGAGCTCCGTCGGTTACACCAAGAGCGCAAAGCTCTTCAGCCCGAGCCCGAGAAATCGCCGAGCCCGGTACCTGAGCTTGAGGCATTGGAAGACTCCAAGATGACCGGAGTCGATGGAGATTCCGACCAAGCCATGGACTCCGATGAGGATGTCCCTGTGCGAACCCTCCGAGGAGGCGCGGATAGGGCTCTAGAGAGGAAACGCAAGCAGGACGAAGAGCGGGAGCGGAAAGAACAGCTCGCCAAGCAGCCCAAGGGATCCAAACAGTTCCAAAGAGTGCTTAAAAAGATCGAAGACCAAAAAGCCAATATCAAAAAGCTCGAGGACAAGATCATGGTCATCGACAATGACCTAAGGGAGGCTGACTGCCCGCGGACCAGATGTCTTGGGAAAGACCGCTTTTGCAACCGCTACTGGTGGTTCGAGCGGAATGCGATGCCCTACGGCGGAATGCCCAACAGCTCGACTGCAGAAGCCCAGTACGCCAACGGTCGATTGTGGGTTCAAGGACCGGATGAAATGGAGCGCGTGGGATTCATTGACGTTCCGGACGAGCTGGAGAAGGCATACCAGAAGGAATTCCAGACAACCCCGGCGGAGCGCAAGAAGGCCGAAGAAGGACCCACGGGACTCACTAATGCGAACGAGTGGGGTTACTATGATGACCCAGATGCCATCGAGAAACTGCTGGATTGGCTTGACTCGAGGGGCAACCGTGAATCGAAACTGCGCAAGGAGCTGCTGTTGCAGCGCGAAAACATCGCCAAGTACATGGAGGGTCGGAAAGAGTATCTGGAGCACACGTCGGAGAGAGCGGAATCGGAAGAGCCGCCCGCCAAACGCATGACAACGCGGAATAAGGCGTACCAGGACGATCACAAGCATCGCTGTATGCGGTGGCGAAACACCACCGCGCTGTCCGACAACGGTCATCTCCATGTGGATGCCTCGCGGCCTACGAAGCGGGCCAAGCGAGCCACCGACGACCCCAAGGACCTCAAGGCGACGAACCGCCAGGGCAAACCGCTCACCCGGCAGGGCACACGATACCACTTCTAGAGAGGCCCGGTTTTCTTTCTTCTTTTCTTCCTGGATTTACGGGTGTTTAGCGGGTCTGGAATGCGCGTTGAGGGTACACTTGGAGCATCCCGCAACCAAAAGGTGGTCTTTCTATAGATTTGCATGAGCGACGTGACCATGAGACTTTGGATTCCAGCATATATTTATATACTATACATCTACCCTGTTTGTGCGGTGTTTGGGTTGGGGTTTCGATAGACGGGATTGGGCTGTTGCTGGGGCTAACTGAGCAGTATATAGGATAGTGAGCAATAGCAGCCTACTAGATAAGCGGGCATGGCACCCGATTCTAAGCGCAGTGTATTTATTATACTCCGTGCTGTACCTCGTACTATCTATCTCTTCGTACCTAGAGATGAGACCTGCAGCCTGCAGTAGTGTGCATTGGATAGCAGTTTCGCCCTGCTTTGTCTTCCGCGTATAGCCACGCTGACTAACCGCCCGGCTGCGGTTGGCCGTGAAAATTACCGCCGCCACCACTCGGATGCCGAGCCGTAACGAGACCGTATTGGGGCCTCTGCAGGGCGGCAATGGCGGGTATCGGCACGTCAGGGCGTAACGTCATCGCCGGGGAATCTGAGGTTCCGCCCTTCAGGCCGACCGAGAGTGTCTCAGCATGGCGATGCTCCATCTTCCTCTTCTGGTCTTGTGCTGAGCCCTGGCCGTCCTGCTTGACATCATCTGGCCTCGTATCGCTGCCGCCTGCACTTGTCCCGTCTCTCTGCGTTGGCGATCGAACTTTTCCCCTCTGATAACTGCCTGAACCCCATGGCCTCGGCTCTCCGCTAGCCCGTGATCTTCAATCTCCTCACGATATAACTCTCCCCAGGCCCGGTCGCGTGCAGCCTGGTGCCCATGTCTGCTGCCGTCTCGGGCCACGCGCAGTCTGACCCCTCCGCTGGATCCGGATCAACTTACTCTCGCCCTACATCGACGCAGTTCGATCTACAATCACCTCAGTCGCAGATGGAAGAACTACAGTCAAGGCCGTCCCTCAGCCCAACAACAGGCGGCGCAAATGAAAGGTTCGCCATGGGCCCGACACAGGCGACCACCGCCAACGATGCGTCGACCCAGGGTCACTCTCAAGACGGCTGTGGAGCAGGGAAAGAGGTCAATAAGCGGAGCGTGGACTACCTAGTACGGAGTGGAGTTGCGGGGGTCTGGCGGGGTGTGCGGTGAGTTCGACCTGCATGATCAGTGAGGATCAGAAGGCAGGATAAGCACAGAAGAGACTGACTTGAGAGAAACAAAAAATCGCAGGCCAAAACCGTTGTCGCACCTCTCGACCGCGTCAAGATCCTGTTCCAGGCCTCAAATCCACAGTTCGCCAAATACAGCGGTAGCTGGTCCGGCCTCGTACTGGCAGTCCGAGATATCAACCAGTACGAGGGCCTTCGGGGCCTCTTCAAAGGCCATTCAGCCACCCTACTCCGTATCTTCCCCTACGCCGCCATCAAGTTTCTCGCCTACGAGCAGATCCGAGCCGCCGTCATCCCGTCGCGCGACAAAGAAACCGCCTTCCGCAGGCTTATTTCCGGCAGCATGGCCGGAATCACATCGGTGTTTTTCACGTATCCGCTCGAGTTGATCCGAGTGCGATTAGCGTTCGAGACGAAACGGACGTCCCGCTCCTCGCTGCGCGATATCTTCCGCCAGATTTATAACGAACGGGTTGCGCCGCCGTCCACACCCACCGGAGCGTCGGCCACGAAAGCCCCAGTGACGGCCACAGCGGAAGGTGTCTCTTCAGCCGTGACCAAGGCAGTTCCCAGCTCCGGATTCGCAAACTTCTACCGCGGCTTTGGACCAACACTCCTTGGAATGCTCCCCTACGCGGGAATCTCCTTCCTGACACACGACACCGTCGGCGACTGGCTGCGGTTACCGGCAGTCTCGGCGTACACGACCATCCCCGAATCCGAAGCCTCGAGCGAGAAGAAGGGCTCGCGACGGCCTCAACTAACCGCCGCGGCGGAGCTCTTCTCCGGCGCTGTTGCCGGGCTGCTATCGCAGACCTCGTCATACCCACTCGAAGTAATGCGACGGCGCATGCAAGTCGGCGGCGTCGTCGGCGACGGCCACCGACTCGGCCTCCTCGAGACGGCCCGTTCGATCTGGTTCGAGCGCGGGTTCCGCGGATTCTGGGTCGGGTTGACGATCGGATACATCAAGGTGATCCCGATGTCAGCGACGGCGTTTTTCGTCTACGAACGTCTCAAGTGGTCGCTGAGCATATAGCGTGACTGTTCCGTCATGTTCCGTCATGTTTTGTTCTGTCATTCTCTTCTATCTTTTGTTGTCTTTGGTTCCATCTTCTAGATCAGAGCTGGCGTCGCTGGGGTTCGGGTTCCGATACCTGCATTTTTGTTCATACCCATTCTTTGCATGAATGAGGGCCAGGGCTCTCGTGTATGGGTTCCGGAGTGTTGTATATACATAGAGCTAAACCGATGAGTGTGTGTGTAGAGTGTACATTGGCCGTTTGGAGTTGTTGATAGACTGTCTGACCTTCATCCATCCATGAGATATTCAGTACTCCGTAGTACTTACTCTCCCAAAGTAAGGAGAGAAAATGAGTGAGCGCGTCAACCATCCAAATAGCCTCCAAATTAAAAACCCACACCAACCAGCCGCTCCAACACTTTCTTCCTCTAGACATCTAGAAAATTCCAGAAAAGAACCGGACTTCCAACCCCATACTCCGTATCTCGTGATAGATAGTCGCCATGCTATCCCCGCCCGTCCACCTCCCCGATTGGCCACCGCCGCGGCGAACGCACAGACCACCCGCAAAAAAGTTCCCATTGCCGAAGGCCTCCAAACCAGAGACACTCACCTCCCTCACAACCATCCACTCACTCACTCATTCACTCAACATGAGCAAACGACACGTCCTCGACCTCGACCTCGCGGCCAGCGACGACGAGACCAACACCAACACCAACGATGCAGGCTACGACTCCGAAGCCGCGGAAGAGCAAAGAAGCAAGAACCGGGCCGTGAAGCGTCGGCGGACATCAACGACACAGGATCTGCACGGTCTAGACGACTGCTCGGACGACAACGACTCGGACGCGAACGACGAGAGCGAAGAGGAGACGACGAAGGGGAAGAGCCGCGCGAAGAAACTAAAACGGGCTGCGTCTGCGTCTGACAACGGAGATGAAGATGAAGACGAAGACGAAGTCTCCAACTCCGACAAAGAAGAACCCACCACCCTGACCGCCAAAACCGCCCTCAAAGCCAAAACCAAAAAAGTGCCCAATAAGAAGAAGAAGAAAACCGGCGTCGTCTACCTCTCCTCCCTACCTCCCTACCTCAAACCCATGTCGCTGAAATCCCTCATCGAGCAACGCTCCTTCAGCCCGGTACTCCGCGTGTTCCTCGCGCCGATGGTCAAATCGACCTCCGCGCCGCGCCGCGCCTCCAACAAGCGCAAGATGTACAGCGAGGGGTGGGTGGAATTCGCATCGAAGAAGACGGCCAAGATCTGCGCGGAGACGCTGAATGCGTCGATCGTGGGCGGGCGCAAGGGCGGCTGGTACCACGATGACGTGTGGAATATGAAGTATCTGCGGGGGTTTTCGTGGGATGATCTGATGGAGACGGTGAGGAATGAGCGGAGTCAGAGGGAGGCGAGGCAGCGGATTGAGGATTCCAGGGCTAGGAAGGAGGATAAGGTCTTCTTGGAGGGGTATGAGCGTGGGAAGGTTATTGAGGGGATTCAGGAGAAGAGGAGGCAGAAGAAGAATGCTGCTGCTGCGGCAGCGGGTGGGGTGGATGTGGATGTGGATGCGCCTGTTGTTGCTCCGGCGCCGGAGAAGGTGCGCATGGTGTTTAAGCAGAGTGAGGTGAAGCATGGGAGGGATCGGTTGAAGGGGGATGGCAAGTTGGCGGATGATACGCAGAGGGTTTTGGGAAAGATTTTTTGATTGGGGGATTGTACTTTGCGAATGAGATGGGCTCTCTTGGTCTGTTTGTTAATTGATATCCCGGTGTTGTTTGAGAATATTGAATATAAAGATACTAGAGGATGGGGTTATGCGAAGTGTATAGAGGGTTGGGTACTCTGTTCTATTGCTGTGGTCAAAGATGTCAAGATAGGGTTGTAGTCGGGCGACACTAACACTGCCATTGCTACCTCGACGCTTTCTGTGTCCGATGGACACCCTATGACTGACTCTTAGTACTGTTTAGCGCCTGCGAGAGTCCAACTGCATCGACTAGAAGATCGTGATCCACCGACCCCTGTAGTTCTAGTAGGTTGTATGAAGCGAAACAAACACTTATCAATTTTAATAATTTGGGATATGAGAGTAAAGTGCTATCCAAGACTACCCCCCCAAGTCCAAATAGCGCGAATAATTCAAACATACGTGAACACAAAAGCCAGCATGGGAATTCCAACCTCCAACACACGGGGAAGTTTATTCATCGAGTGCACACCCCGAACACTGACATCACGGCGAGTCTTGCTTCTCGCGAAGTTCCATCTCCGAAGCACTGGACGGCTGCGAGCTTCCAGGCCTCTCCCCCAGATCTCGCTGGAGACGGGCTTTCTCTTCGTCCGTGGCGTCGGTCAGATGGACAGCCACCTCTTCGCCAAAGTTCTTCGCAATCTCTTCCAGGGTCAACCGGGCGGTTTCGGGGAAAAAGAAGTAGATGACTAGATTTTGTGAGACCAAACCAAAACACATGGACAAGCTTTTGTTTTGAAGTACGCACCTGGGATGAAGAAGACAGACCAGCAGATGATGACCAGATAGTACTTCCATCCGACGTTGTCGAAGCCCATAGGTGCCGTTTGAAGTAAGATTAGGGTTGCTGCGTCTGTTAGTTTGGCTATGACAGGGGCCGTCTTTGGAAGGGATCCTTACCGGCAAATTGCCCGAAGAGCGAGAAGCCCATGCCAATCGGACGGATCTCGGTGGGAAAGATCTCAGAGACGTAGAGGTACATGGTCGTGTCGCAGAAGGTTCTGTACAGAATGAGTAACCGCCGGTGTGAGGTGAAGACAGAACGTACCCTTGGAACGCGAGATAAAGGTACATGAACAGAATCCCGAATGCGTTTCCAACCCGGTTGTCGGTTCCCGCGTACTTGGCGGTCATGGCTGCCAAACAGGAGGTGGTCACAATGATCCCGACAAATCCTGTCATGTACATTCCTCGACGCGAGTTCACCCTGTCGTGGAGCCAGGCGCCGAGTGGGTTGTAGATGACCCCTGGATACGTCAGTTCAGGGCATTGATAGAGGTCGTTGATCATCTTACCAGCGGTTGTTAGCCATACGGCGCTCAGCAGCAACGGCATGCCGCCTGTCATACCCAGGTTGGTATACAGAATCACGGCATAGTTGTTCTACCGAGGTAAGCGACGAAACAACATATGCAGATCAAATGGCGACGTACGATAATTAGAGGGCCACCAAACTCAGCGCCCCACTGGGTGAGAAACCCAATGGCCATGCGCTTTCGGTATGACTTCTTCTGGATGACAGCCTTCCACACGTTACCGTATGCCGACAGCCTCTCGCCCTCGAGACGGATCTGTTCCGCCGTCTGATAATACTCTTCCTTGGCGACGAGGTCATTAGGATCATCGGGCGATTTCCTCAGTCTCCGAAGGACCAGTTTAGCCTCCTCGTGCTTGCCCTTGCTGACCAGCCAGCGCGGAGAGCGAGGCAGCCACGGAGACCCCAGCAGCAGCACCAGCGGCGGCAAGCACTGGAGACAAAGGGGGAACCTCCAACCGAACGAGCCGAGTTTCTCTGCGAAATAGCACGCATAGCCGACCCATCCAGCCAGCATATACCCAAACACGAGAAAGATGGCGTGGTGACCCACGAGCCAACCGCGTCGACACGCACTCGACATCTCGGAGAGGTACATCGGGCAAACAGTCACCAGGATCCCGATCCCGAGCCCGCAGGCAAACCGTCCCGCTTGAAACATCCTAGACCGATAGACAGCACATCGCATCGTTAGAACGGACGTATCCCGACAGAAACAGAAACAGAAACAGAACAACCACAGCTACAATATGTACCCGGGTGGATCCGATAAACCGACGCACTGCACTTACTCGAGCGAGTTGGCACCTCCCTGAAGCGCGCCACCAAACATGGCCAGGAAAGCACCCAGTTGGATATTCCGCTTGCGTCCAAAGAAATCACACGACCACATGAGGAACAGCGCTCCCACGGCGCCCCCGGCGCTGGAAACGCCGTTCGCCGTCGAGATAGCCGGGGTGGTGGTGGACGCGTATCCGGGCTCGCCCTCCTGCGGAAGTTCGAAGTACGTGTACCATCCTGGCTGGCCGATGGTGCTGGAGATAATCGAGGAGCAGTAGCCGTATGTCTGTTCGATGATTGATGGATGGATAGAGAGCGGTTAGACGGAGACAAACGGGGATGGATGACGGGGTCAATGCATGGAATAGATATAGTAGTAGTAGTAAACTAACCAGCGATCCAACCGCAACGAAGATCGTCACCAGCCGGTTATAGGCGCTGATCTGAGATCCAAACGTCCCCATTTTGACTTGAACTTGAACTTGAACTCCTTCGATGGAGCGGAGCGTAGATCAACCCGGTGGAAGCACTATAGTAAAAAAGGAATATGGAAAGATGGCAAAGAAGTAGTCGATCTGTCAATTGACATTCATGCACCAAGCCAAACAGAATCGTGCAGCTGCGTTCTCTTAATACCTAGGCATCTGTGTCCAGAAAGTGGCGAGGAGGAGACAGACAGACAGGCAGACAGCAGGGAGTCCTGGTTTGTACCTATGTATGTATATGTATAGATGCGAGATTGCAGAATCTCTCTGTACGACGGTCAACGTCGGCACCCCTCCGCAGGATATATTATCATTTCGAGAAAGATCCGGGCAGCCACAGCATGAAAAGTGGGCTCTCCCCTCCAGACCGTTATCATATGCTGCATTAGTTAGTCGCTTGGAAAAGAGGGGGTTTCCTTTCCAGGAGGGTGGCCAGGACTGGTGCTGGTGAAACGGCCAGGCACATTACAGCCGGCGATATGACATATGACTGACTGACTGACAGCCGGCCGGCCGGTTGACCTTCCAGCGGAGCAGATCGTGGAAAAAGCCATGCGACAATCGTTGCCTTGGCCATCGACCATCTTCTGTATGGATGAGGGCTTGACTCGTGAGATCATCAAACGGTCCTGCCAAAAACGTATTGTCATGTATGTAGTTACGTGACCGTACGTAAGTAACACTGGTCTGCCGCGACTTTGGCCCAACCTTCCTTCCTCTTCTCACTCTCCATCTCATCTCCACTTGCTGCTCCAACTCGCGTGCCTCGTCACTGTCAGTCAGTCAGTCAGTCAGTCAGTCGATGTCATTCCCAAACTAATCTCTCCCGTGTCCTCATCACAAAGCGCACATCCCGCCGATCACCGTCTCAATAGGGATTGAATGGCATTCAACCTCTTTGTTCAGGTTAATGTTAATGTTAGTGTTAGTTAATCTTAAGCAGGAGGATCCTCGGGTCGCACAGCAGTCAACCGGTCCGGCTGTTTGATTTGTGGCCCGCGACAGCGATCGAGATTCGGACTCGACGGAATTTGAAATCGGTTGCCTTGTCCCGGTCCCATGGCAGGGATGATACAGACATAGGTACGTCCGGAAACCGTTCTCGGATGATGCGTGGGCAGCATGCATGTCTGACTCTGGCCACTAGATAGATGGCATGGGTCCCATCGCTATTGCGACGTAGGTACCTACCCGTGAGGAAGTACCTGATTTACTGCGAGTTAGATAGCTGTTTGTCTCACTGGGGACGTTGGCTTCTAGGTAAGTGCTGTATGTATGTACGTAAGTATGTACCTAGTTCCCTGTCAAGTGGGGTGGGTGGGAATGGATACAGTAGTAGCTGCCAGGCTGCATTCATCCGCCGTTAAATTTTCTGTCTGTAGGCGGGTAAGTACTTACTAGGTATGTGGTATATACATCCTTTCCATCTATCCGTCAAGTTTGCTTACATTTAATCAAATAGACAGACACTGAGAACATTCAGATTGCAATCTTGTCAATTATCCCACTACCAGGTATAACCTATCGTCAAAGTCATGGAAAACAGCCCGTCCCCCTTCGACATCCCTTTCGACGAGCTCCCCAACCCGAAGCAAGTATGGGTGGGAGAGCCGGGCAGCCGCGCGGAGGGACTGGGGAAGCTTGTCATCCTGACCCCCGAAGTGGTGGCAAAGGCCGCTGCAACGGAAATCAAGACCGGGCGGCGCGTGACAATGGGCTGGGAACTGACGAAGCTGGACTATCCCAATCTGAATCGACAGCCATGTCAGCACCAGATCGTTCCGCTGCTGGGCGGAGTGGCGTTTGATGATATCTACACGATGAATCCTCGTAAGCCTTTCTCCAGTTAACTTCGAAGTTCCATTGCTAATGTGTGTACAGAGCAGAGTAGTCAGTGGGACGGTCTCCGGCACTTCTCGCAAACCGTCCCCGGTGAAACCGAGCGTGTGTTCTACGGCGGCACGAAAACCGCGGAAATCACAGACCGGATGAGCGATCGGATAGGCTTGCAGCATTGGGCGCGGGAGGGAATCGCTGGTAAGCGGGCGGGCTCATCCCCGTCCCCGTCTCCGTCCCCGAGCGCCCTGTCATAACACACAAGTCAACGGAGCGCTGATTACTATGCGGTGTCGCATACGGTCTGACAGGTCGCGGGGTATTGATCGACTACGCCACATGGGCAGAGAAGAGAGGTGTAGAGTACAGCACCTTTTCGACACATCAGGTCCGGCTTTCAGATATACTAGAGATAGCCAAAGAATGCGATATTGTCTTCCAGAAGGGAGACATCCTTTTCGTCCGCATCGGGGTGACCCAGGAATGGGACACCGTGATGACCGATGCTCAGAAACAGCAGTATTCCGATAACCCGAGCCCGGAACACGCTGGAGTCGAGGCCTCTACTGAGGTGCTCCGGTGGCTGTGGAACACAGGGTTTGCTGCGATCGCTAGCGATGCGATCAGTTGGGAGGTGAGATATCCACATCCATCTGTTCCCCGGCCCGGACAAAACGGGTTGGTTTCACCGAGCTAAGTTGACACATGGCAGGTCTACCCACCGCAGTCGCCCGATATATTCCTGCATGAATATGTGCTCGCTGGTTGGGGGATGCCAATTGGTACGCTAAACAAACCCTTGGACTTGAGCAATCAAGCGCCCCCAAAGCTGCCGGTATGCTAATCCGTGACGCACAGGTGAGCTGTTCGATCTGGAGGCGCTAGCGAAAACCTGTCAAGATCTTCAAAGATGGTCGTTCTTTGTGGCTTCCATACCTCTCAACATGCCGGGGGGCGTGTCTTCGCCTCCGAATATCATGGCTATTTTTTAGACTCATCACCCGGACGGGTGAGACTGAGTCGTTCGCTCGGATGTACTTACCTATGTCCATGTCACGCGCATGTGACAGTTCGAGGGGGAAATGCTCCGAGGACATACCGTATATGTGTGCGGATACGAGACGCTATTGATGTATGGTTGTTGTTTTGATAGTTTGTCTTGGGTATAACTATTATATGAAGAGGATACAAAGCAAAGGGAGGGCGGGGAGGTTAAATGAGATAAATCTGAATGAAGGTGGTCAATAACTTTCCTGGGCTGATTCCAGTACGGTCCATCACTTCTTGATAACCGCTGCTTAGCATGGAATGGATACAAACATTAATGTAGTGAGACCAAGATTTTTTAAGCTTTTATTATTCTAAGAACGGACTCCATCTCGGAATTGCTCTTGATTGCTTGTTACTATGTAGATTCCAAAGCCCTCGTTGATAAGATATATGTCCATGAAAACGGTCCCCGACAATGATATTGCAAACCCAAAGCGCAAAAATTTCCAGATTCCCTATTCCTCTTCATGGACGCTAAGTATTGTATCTATGGGACCTTGGACGCACTTCGTCTGGCCGTTCATTAGTATCGAGCCATTCTTGGGTCCTCTTCAACAACGAGCCAATACAGCGCCATGACAAGAAAACGGAAACAAGTCCATGAATTTTTCCCATTGATATTTGCATTGTGATTCATGTCGACAATCAGATTATAACTGACCTACCTACCTTGAAAATCGTCAGATATAATAGAATCAGCGCATGGGCACCTCGTTGTTTGCTTTTTCCAATGATCAATCGACCTAAACTAGAACTTTCAAGACCGCCGAAAGCATCCTTGCCACGCCGATTGGATTCATTGTGTATATCATCTTTTTTTTTCAAAATCTGTAGTGCCACTCAGCGCAACCAGGATATGAAGAAGATATTGTAAGTGGGAGCGCGAAGGACGGAAACTGCAGCCACTGATTCCGTCTGATGTCGAATCACGTTCCTGCACCGCGACAGCATACTCTGGCTGGGTCCTCAAAGCCTGGATGATGGTCGAGTATCAGAGTTGCCGCATAGCAATGCCTTGAGCATATCAGCCGAATCCTAACCGATAGAATCGTAGGTCTAGATATCCCGGATTGAGATAACCGAGAACTTATATAAAGGGGAATGCAGCTCCCAGATCGACCAAATCTCCATGGATAAAGGTCCCCGCTAGGCTGAGGATCGGGTTATATTGACCGAGCGAGAGTCTTTCCAAGCAAGCCATGACTCAGCGACGTCGCTTCATGCAATCTGTTACCATGTTACTTTCCTCTGAGCGGCTTCTGGTCTATTCGACCGAATTTATTAGACTCGGATGAATTGTGGGCGATATGTATTTTAGATTATCATGGTCTGTAGTACCGTTTCAGTTGGGGTGTTTCTTCATCCATGACAAGCGTCTCTCATATTCGTGGCTGATATATCAAACCAAGTTAACCGTCCGAGCCTAGTTGTTGCGTGGTAGCCACCAGAGCCCTATTTCCAGGGACTCGGAATCACGGGATAGACCGATCAGATAGTATGGAGTAAACTGTGCGTTACCAGAAGCCATAAGGAACAAAAGACTGTAGCCATTCCTGGACAGTGACCCGACTGCGGCGCATGTCCGCGCTTTCTATCAGCTCCCGTTGTTCATTAATCGTTATTCGAGTAAGACTTCAGACAGCGGAAGAGAAACCCCAATGAGTTGTTTGAGATGCACTCGATTCAGTGGAAACGAAAAGATAAGGCAGATTTGGTTTGCTTCTGCCATTGATATAATGACCTCGGTGTCATGTCCTCTCTTTAAGAGATCTAGTGCCAGGACAGCCCACCAGGATCGGGCTCGCATGGTTCGCGTGGAAGAGAAACTTTTTTTTTCCCAACGAAGAAATTTGATCTGGTTTGATTTGGCGAAGCCTAGTCCTCGCGCCTTTTAAAGTCCGTCAAGTTCTGCTTGGTGACAAAAGGGTCGTTGTTTGTATTTGTTGGGAGACACCTGGAATCAGGGCTATCGCATATACTCTGTTTTGCAGAAGCTTTATATCACGAACAGAGATAATCGCCAAGTTGGATTTTCAGCCTAAGCCTAACCTTGGGCTTCGACTTAACCGGTCTCCCTAGAAGCTGGATTACCCATGTGGAAGAATCTCCGGCGACAGGTATGTGTCCGATGGTTAAGATTAATCAAGCATATTAGCGGGGGTATCTGTGTAACAGTGTAAGTAGGTATAACCAAAAGCGGTAGCTGGAGTGGAGATACAAGCTTGATAAGATAAATATAAATGCTATCTGGGATGTAATCCAGCATGATAAAGAAAGGTATATTAATCTCGGGACGAAGTAATCCAGGCCTTTTATCTTTAGTATGTTTGGGTTGAGGGAGGTGTAGGAGAGGAAGAAAGATCAGGGGGTTCAGGGTTGATCGTCGGGGTTATATAGACCAGAGGCCAGAGCAGACTGGTGATTCATCTGATAAGCCTGTATACAGTGACTGGGTCATTCATAGCCATACTGCCATCCAAGGTCACCAACTGTGAATGAAGAAGGGGGAGGAAAGAGGCGCAGGGTTGACGAATACAATCTTTATACCATCCATGTTTCTACAATCAGCCTGCAGGACGTCGCGGGGCTTCTTTTATCAAATATTTTGTTCGAACAGCTTTTCTCCCTGCCAGATCTCTAGATGATACATAGGACAGAATAGGCCCTGCGGGTTATAAGCCAGTTGGCCTATACCGACTTCCCACTTCCCGACCCTCGTAGTTTTGTAGTATGTCGTCATAATCACACATTCAAGATGGGTTAGTTGCAAACATTCTGATTATAAATCATAACAAGCATTAATGGTGTAGCGGTAACATACTTCCCTTCCATGTCTGTGACAGGAAGTGCTCTGGGTTCGACTCCCAGTTAATGCAGTGCAATTTCTTTTTTTCCATCCATTCTGGGATGCTGCCGCCAAGCGAAGAACGAATGAACAGTTGATATGGAAGTGAAAGCTGGACAATTTACAAGCATCGGCCCTTGGAAGGGAATTGGGTTGAGTTAGTTAAAATATATGGACAGGCTCGCATATCCGAGTCAATGCCTCCATTTTTCAGATCACCTCGAAGGCGGCCTATTCAACAACGAAGGTTGTAAGGTTTTCGGTGTTCTTGCCACCAAGTCGAGGCAATTTCTCTTCATTAAACTACCTTCAGCATGAATGGTATTCTTTTTAATGGCCAATCTGTCCATCACACTCACATTTTAAACTACACGGTGGGTTGGATCGGCGTAGCGATAGACAGACAGGACAGGACGGACCACTTCTCGCCACGCAGAATGCATGCATGTATAACAGCGACCGGTCACCGCACGGCCCATCACCAACAATACTGATATCGTTGACGAGGGCCAAGAGTTATCGGAGTCTCGACAACTTCAAAAGCAGTATCGATATCTTCCTCGCTGGAAAACTCACCATCATAATCGTGATGATCGCCAAAAAGTTCATTCTCGCTAGATCCATCATAAAGCGTTCCATCATCGTCTTTTTCATTCCAACCACCCGCCGCTCCACTAATCACATACAGCCTGTTTATCGTCCAGTGCACCCGCAGAAGCTCAAAGGACGGGAGTGGCAACGCCTCAGGGTCCGGAGTCGTCAATGCGATTATCTGGCCCGACTGAATGCGAGTCTCCGTGGTGCAGTCCCACAATTTCGCACAAAACCTCGATTCGGCGCGATCGGTGGGAATATGCGGCGGGTTCAACAGATCGACGGCGTCCATCTTCTGGGTATAGGCGCGGAAGGGGAGCCACCAGAACCGCAACTCGAGGGTCTTTTTATCATCTGATAACCGGATCGGTTGATTACCGAATCATGCGTTCTCCCAAAGACCACGGACATCCTTGGATAGGGTGATCCGATTGCAGCATCTCTCCGTTCCGTATTCGCCAGCGGTATTGTCATCCCATCGTTTGATTGTCGCCTCCGGCCAGAAAAAGTGAAGAGAGCGCCCAGAAGTCACCGACATCCAGCTCATGAATAGAATAGGGGAAAATCTGACATGTTTCGAGTGGCTCTGGTGTTTTGGTGATGACGCAGCGTTTGTCTCTCCTGAGAGCTTCATCTGACACTCTCGCCGAGCGTCTGATTAGACGCGACTCTTGAATGCTCATGGTGTTGGGTACGCTATCCGCAGCCCGGGATTTTCGGTAAAAGACCAATCTTTTCAGACTTCTGATAAAGCGACGTTCATTCAACCGGATCTTGACGATGGGATGTTTTCGTTCGGCCAGTTTGATCAAATGATATAGGTACTTGATGTCGCACAGCCAGAGAAATACCCACATCACACTTCCCGGCTCTTCTCGGTCTGTGGTCTTAAAGAGCCGTTCAATAAGCCCAGTTCGCCCTTTCGGACAGAAACTCTGGCCCGATGTCGCTCATGGTTGAAGTGTTCTCGGTTTATATGAGTGTGTGCTGTGAGTGGGAGAATTGAGGAAGCAGAAGGATCAAGACGAGATGTGAAAAGTGGGCTGGCTGCGCTGCTTAAATATGGAATTACGTGGGAGCCCGGTCCCGGGGTTGTATCAGTATGATGCGATAGAGACCGCATCAAACTTGATGTTAGTATGTGTGCTCTCATTATTGCAATACTTTGGCTGGATATAGCCCTTGTACCCATGGATGTAGGAGTGTACATCATGGAACTAGTTTCTTGACCACTGGGGGGTTGTCAGAACAACATTTTAGATATGTGAGTGTTGGTGGCGTCAAAGTTGCTCTCGGGAGTATAACAAATGCCTGAATTGTCATTCACACATTATGATGACTATCCACTCTCCACGCTGAGTGAGATATTCATAGCTTTTGAGAATCAGTGCCAGGCAGCGGTAGGAAGATACGGACGGAGGGCCCTGCCCTGTATCCCACCGTATCATGTATCCCAGAACTCCCTACCTTCAGCTAGCGTGCCGTTGAATCAGTCCAAGTCAGCTTCAGTTGTTTTCATTATACGTGACACCTAACCAGAGCTGCAGGACTGGTACAGTATTCTCACTACGATGAACAATTGCATAGCAACCACATCATAGTCCTGTCCAGACACAGCAGCGCCAATCTCCCAAGAGACCCCCCGAGACCAGAGAGCGTATCCTGCCTCAGGCAGTCCGTCGGAAGAAGAAAGTCCCTTTGATCGGCAGATCAAGCAAAGCAAAGAAGCAACGAGCGACTGAATGAAGACCTGTGCTACCTTGGTTGAAAACAATGGCATTGATGGAGTCATTCCCAACGCCCGTGTCACGTCCTTCGGACTTTCTGACACCACACCACACCACACCACAGAGCCACAGTGTCTCAAGCAGACCAATCAAACCACACAGAGCTTGGAATTGATGTGCAGTGGGTGATCGTCGTAGTGTACTCCGTATCAGCTCGATGAAAAGGAATATAATTCCGTGTGCTTTTGATGTGATGTGTCCGAGCTCTGGGTGGTTTTCTCTTCTCTCTGTCGGGATGATGTTGGTGGGAGTGGCTTGCTTGGAGGACATTCAAAAGGTACTGTATAGCCGTATGTTTCTCCGTGGGAGGGGCAACAGCTGTAGATCTTGATCTTAAACAGTACGTAGGTACTCCGCACCATAACCCCGATGCATTAGCACGATGCATTATTGTCCAAGGTCAGTTAGTACAAACGTAGGAGTGAGCAACCCAGTCAGGTAAGTCTACCGGAAAATGCAATTCCGGCCGTACATATGGGGAAGCTGACAATGACTCCACCACCTGCTAGCACACCGACAGCAGAAGCAAATCCTGTACAAGTGGTATGATATGAAGATCCATGGATGTCTGGCGAGCGTTTTCTTACCAAATCGGCCACGCGTGTTGTTGTTCTTTTTCTCTTCACTCTGCAACTCACGGCTGTCGAGTTTTCATGCTTCCCAATTGGATGTTTCTCGAGGATGTTTGTCATGGCCTTCACTTCCTGACCTCTTTACATCCATTCATCCGCACGGGCAACCAGACTCTCTGGGACGGACGGCAGCGGAACCCACTTGCCGCCCGCAGCATTCCCAGTCTCATCTTGTAATACAAATACCCGTACAGCACGGAACCGTACCGTAAGGAAGGAAGCATGCAAAGAAAGCATGCACGGTACCTTCCTCGACAGATCATAATATAATGCCTGCAGAGAGAGGGATCGATCGACACTCTTCACAAAGAATGTGGTCAGCCCAAGACTCAATAATTGACTGGCATCATGAAAGCCCAGTGACCCTAGCCAAAGCACGAACTGGTCGGGTGTTGATCATGCTCGGCAACACACATCTATGTATCTGATTCTGATGTCTGTCTTGCTTGCGCTACGGCGCCACGCAGCTGCACGAACAGGCAAGGCAACGGGCACTGACACCGATCGTGCAGCTTCATGCAGACCCGAGGGGCCCAGGCCCCAACATGTCAGAAGCGTTGGAAATATGTACTGTGCGAGTCAGGGATGCATGGATGGATGTACTCGGAACGGAGAATTCAGCGACTCTTTGTCTCCATCCATCGGACCCAACGCATCCCGGCGACTTGGCAAAGAATGCCAATCATAGATCCCTGACATCCCGGCTCTCTGGATCACAAATCGAATGCTAATTACCATAGCAGATTGTGCGCCGTCCTTTGTGCTTCCTCCACCCCTGTCACTCACAGTCGACCAACCCAGCACCCTGGCGCAGCATAGCTGACCTGGGCAGGAACAGTCTTTCAAACCGGTCTTGCACTATTTACGTCAGGGATGACAAAGTATCCCCCCTACCAAGGCTGTAAACATCCCCAAAAGGGCCGCTCGGAGAATGATACTTTCCGCGACATGTCGACCCCGGTCGATGTGTCATGGGGCTGGATCCCAATGCTGGCCGCTTGATTGTTTTAAAGCCGACGCACGCCCAGGCTGTTGGGGGCAAGTTTGCTCTTTTTATCGCGTCCAGGCAATCTAGCCGTCAGTATGGCTTTCGCGGAATTGCTTGGACGGGATGATACCGGCATGACGGGGAGACCGATTGACAGGTCGGTCCAGAGGTGGAATGTGGCTACCCAGATCCTGTGTATCGCGGCGATGACGATTTTCTTTGGACTGCGCTTGTATACGCGGATATCTATACTTGGAGGGTATAGTAAAGAAGACTGTTAGTGTTGATGGGCGGGATGGGCGGGTGTTTGATGCTAACAACTTGCAGGGACATGCTTGGGTGCTTGGGTAAGAAGATATCCATCTCCGTGACTGGACCGGATACTGAAGTTTTGTGACTTGGTCAAGATCTTAGGCGTTTCCTACTCGGCTATTGCACTGATCAGTAAGTGTCCGTGGTTCATCAAAGCCGCTTTGCTTAACCTGTCCAGTGGGTCATTTTGGAGGGGGGTTGCATGCTTACGATGTGCCTGAATCACATCGGATACCATTTGAAAAGGTGTGTCATACGCTCTTTCCAGCGTCTCGGACGATTGCACTGACTATCGCAGACGGTGTACGTAACCATGGTCATGTATGGGCCAACCGCCTACCTGACCAAGCTGTCGCTTCTCTGGATCATTGCACGGGTGTTTGGCCCCTTCCGCAAAGCGGTCACATTTATCCACATCTTCCTGGGTGTCATGCTGGCATACTATATCCCAGCCGTCATTGTCAAGATCCGAATGTGCAATCCGATTGCCAAGTTCTGGGCCCCCGACACGCCCGGCTCCTGTCTGGACCAGACGTCGATTATCCTGGCCGATGCAGTTGTCAGCGTTGTCAGCGACATGATCATCCTGATTCTCCCATTGCCGTTGACACTGCGCTTGCAGCTGCCCATGAAGAAGAAAGTGCGGGTCATGATAATCCTAGGAGCGGGAGGACTGGCATGCGCATCCAGTGTTGTCCGTTTGATACTCATTCTGAAGACTGGGCAGTCGAGCGACAGTACGTTAGCTTTTATGCGCATCAACATGTTCGGGTAGGCGTTACTCTTACAGCATGCCCGTCCAGTTCCTGACACACGTGGTAGGAATGCCGAAATAGCAATCGGAGTCATCTGCGCTTGCCTACCTGCCCTTTCGGCGTTGGTAACCCGCACATACCGCGAGTACTCGAGCAACCGCTATTCGAGCAACAAAGGCACCCCTGGCTCCCAGTACCAGTTGACCAATGCGAAGAACAGTCGCCCCAGATGCGGAGATCACAGCGCGAACCAGTTGACCTTGATGGATACCAGCTCGGACCATGACATTCTCATCCCGAATGACGAGGAAGCGCCGAGGTTTGAGACGACGGTACGGGTCGACTCTGTGGGAGCTCAAAACCCGGTGGAGACGCTGGGCATTATGAAGACGGTGGACGTGTCGACAACCGTGACGATGCGGGGAGCAGGGGGTCCGGAGGGGATCGACAAAAAGGAGTCATTATAATGTCATTCACAATGATTCTCCGGATTTGATGTTGACCTGCTGTTTAGCTCGCTATATTAGTACAATTCAGATGTTCAGATACCAGACGGGGCGGTCAACTTGTTTGACTGACCATCGCCAGGAAACTGGTTAACGGCATTGTGCGTCTTGTGGAATCTGCATGGCTCAACCAGGTCTGAATGCGCGAGAACCATAGTACTACTATGGATAGTAGGATTGTTTGAGACTTGACAGCCCCACAAAGCGTGCCGCAAAGCTTGTGTGCTGGAGACTGGAAACAAAACATCCAGGAACAGGCCATGACGTCACCGCCGGATAGGGAATGTAGGGCAGCCGGCCAGGGCTGGCCCGTCACGAGACGGGCGTGGGAAACAAGGAATCATTTCCCTTTGGGCTTCTTTTCTTTCCCCTGATGCTAAGCTCTGCCGATTGTCTCGGCGGCCCCACCGGCCTCACTCTGTCGACTCGATTACCCGACTGGGAGATGACAACCCGGATGCATCATATTCTCTCCCTTGCCACTATGGACCGGAGCCTTTGACCGGCCACAATTATCCAACGGCGCCTCTTCCCCCCACCCCCCGACAAGCCTCATACTCTCGACTCAGTAGTGCCACTTGCTGAACCAGACATGAAAGAAACCGAGACGGGAGATGGCCGCATAAAGGTGTCCCTCTGGCAGAGATTCCGAAACCAATTCCATCCGCGGCCTGCCGAAGATGACGAGCCGCAGGACTGGTGGATTGCCTCAACCGCCATCCCGTTGGTGGCGGCCACCACCGCACCCCTCGCAAATGTCATGTCCATCGTCGCCCTGGTGATGCCATGGAAAAGCGAGCTTCTCGGCCGCGAAGACTCCTCCTCCGGGGCCGCGGCACAGGTATTTATCACAGATCCCCGATGGTAAGCATAGCATCGACTGCAAGATCTCGGAAAGAAGGTTCCACGCTAAATCTACTAGGAGCATAGCCCTGAATGCGACCTCACTTGCCTGCGGGCTTGCAGGCAACTTCTTCCTCCTGTTCAACTTCACGCGCACGATGCGATACATCATAGCTTTGCCCGCATCGATCATACTCTGGTGTCTGTCGACATTCATCCTGGTTGGGATCACTGCCGCCACGCATGTCTACGCGGGCCCGGTCCCGCCAAACCAGACCTACTCCCAGGGCTTTTGGAGCGCGGTTATCGCGGCGGCGCTCTACTTCTTCCTGATGGTTATCCTCATGATCAACATGCTGGGATACGTCCTCGGGCACTATCCGCAGTATTTTGCGCTCACAGACGGACAAAGAACCCTGATCCTGCAGACAACGGCCTTTGTGGTATGGCTACTGGTCGGCGCCGCGATCTTCCACACAGTCATTGACATATCATTCGCGGACGCGCTCTACTTCTCCGACGTCACGATCCTCACCCTCGGCTATGGCGACATCACCGCTCCCACTCCTGTCGGGAGAGGTCTCGTCTTTCCCTACGCTGTCATCGGGATGATCATCCTCGGTCTAGTGGTCGGAAGTATCAACAACATCGCGCGAGACCTCCAATACGACAAGGTCGTTCGAAAGCACGTGGAACGAAAACGCCAAGCCACCATCCAGCGCTCCATCTCCATCCAGCCCGGCGAAGACGTCCCACAGCTCGAATACCGACCCAAGCGGACCCGCAAACCGGGGATCGGAAGCACGATCGGCGCGTTCTCCTTCGTCGGACGCCCCAAGCTCCTCGTCATGAAAGAAGAGAAGGACCGATTCGACGCCATGCGCGCCATCCAGTCCGAAACCCTCTTCTTCCGTCGCTGGTACAACCTGGTGATCAGCGTGATCCTCTTCGGAGTCGTCTGGTCCTGCGGCGCCGTGGTGTTCTGGAAACTTGAAGACATGACTTATTTCCAGTCACTGTACTTCGGATTCTGCTCCCTCCTCACCATCGGATATGGGGACTACACGCCGACCAGCAACGCGGCTCGGCCATTCTTCATCGTCTGGTCGCTCATTTCCGTCCCGACCATGACGGTCCTGATCTCGGAGATGAGCGACACCGTGGTCGCCGGCTTCAAACAGGCCACGAACGTCCTCGCGGACTGGACCGTCCTCCCGCACGCGGGGAAATACATGCACTTCCTCCGCAAATTCCCGCCCATTGACTCCGCGCTGCAGCGGCGCGAAGAACACCGCCGCATCGCACAGGGCTTCTCCGTCGGCCTGGACGAGGCAGAGTCCGGCGAAACACACCCTGATCGTCGGGACCAGCCACACCACCACCACCACACAAACAACAACAACAACAACAACAACAACAACAACAATAACAACAGTAACTCAACGCACCCACCAGCCCGCTCCCTCGAAGAACTCGCCAGCGAACCCGATACCGCATCCGGCACCGGCTCGACGGCCGCGTCGTCGGGCTTCCGCCTCGCGCGCCAACTCGCGTACGCCATCCAGCGCACCACCCGCGACGCCGTATCCGGGGAACGCAAACGCTACAGCTACGAAGAGTGGGTCGAGTTTACGCGGCTAATCCGCTTCACGGACCCCAGTCCGGACGGCGTCGTGCTGCACGAGGACGAGTACGGGGTCCTGAATTGGGATTGGATCGGGGAGACGAGTCCGATGTTGGCGACGCAGACGGAGCCCGAGTGGGTGCTGCATCGGCTGTGTGAGAGTCTGATTCGGTATATCGATATCCAGGCGCGGAATCGGATGGTCGGCAAGGAGGGAGAGGGAGAGGGGGTGGTCGAGGAGGAGGATGAGCCGACGTTGAAAAAGGAGAGGGAGATTAAGTTTCGGGATGAGTGATAGTTTGTATATAGCCTTTTTGTTTTTAAGATTTGTTATTTGATATCCACTGTTGGTTATTGGTGTTGGGTTTTGGGTGCACAAAGAGGAATGGAGAGGGAGAGGAAGAGGGAGAGTAGATTCCTTGATCCCGGTCCGTCTGTGTAACAGGCAGGGACGGGGATGCTGCCTGGTAAGTACATATGTACATACATGTACATGTCTCTGACCGCAAGTTCTTCGCCACCGTGCACTCACTTAGATACCTAAGGTACATATGGATGGGTGGGTAAACAAAGAAAGCTTGATAAACCGGTCGGTTGATCCCAGTCAGTCCGAGACTAAATACGCAGCCCCCATCCTGGTTAATTACAGTACAGACAGCAATCTTGAGGTCTCTGTTTATGGAACTAGGTATGTACCTGTATGTACATACCCTGGTACCTTATTGACACGGACCCATGCATAGTACATCCTCCCTAAGGTATGGAGTAGATAGACAGATACAAGGATTAAGCTACCTGAGTGGTGAGTGGTGAGTGGTGAGTGGCAGGGGCAAATATCTCCGCATCCGCTCACCACCAAGTACGGTAAGTCACAGTCACTACCAATCAGCCAACCCCTCATTCCATTCCATCCATACCAATTACCAACGTTGTCTCTTACTAAGTGAAGTAGTGCAAAGCATATGATATGATATCAGAAGCGGGGTAACCACTAAACACGAACACCATCCATTCTCACTCCTTGTCAATAATAGTTCTCTCTCTCTCTCTCTCTCTCTCTCTCTCTATCATAAGTGTAACAGTCTCTTTCATTCTCAACCGGAAACTGTATCTACCTACTTCTTCACCAAATTGCAATTGCATACACAGGCGGTGTGTATAGCGCCCAAATCATCAGATCCTATATATATTAGTTTTTGTACTACGCAAAAGTCCAATTCAGATATCCTGATACGAGTCCGATTCGGAATCCAAAATGCCAACTCTAACACCCGGCTCGCGACTCGCAGGAAAAGTCGCAATCGTGACTGGTTGGTCTGCCCTGTCTTCTTCTTAAGTTCTAACTTCATAGATCATACCTACTTTAGTTATTATACTATAGACTTTCCCCCTCAACCCCTCAACACCCCTGCACCCATCCCTGCACATCCTCCTAACCGCCCCTCTTCCCTCTTTCCTCTCCCTACTTCCCAACCCCATAACAACAATTTAATAAACATGAACCAGGCGCATCCTCCGGCTTCGGCTCCGCCATCGCGCAACGATTCGCCGCAGAAGGCGCAAAGGTAATCATCGCGGACATCAGCGCGACAGGCGGGCAGGCCCTGGCGGCCACAAATCCCACGAGTCTGGTCTTCGAACAGATCGACGTTACGAGCGCCGCGCAGTGGAGCAGGGTGGTGCAGAGCGCCGTCACGAGGTTTGGGCGCGTGGATGTGCTCGTGAATAATGCGGGGGTGACGTATCGGAATAAGGTACGTATCGTCTTTCATCCCTCTTAGGGTTTTCTTGGGGGGGGGGGGGGGGGGAAGGCGAGAACGGGTGGTTGAAGGAGTTGGCATTGTCACTTGGGGGATGGATCTATGAATGAATGGATGGATGAAAGGCTAATGAACGATGGTGGACAGCCGACGTTGGAAGTCACAGAGGCGGAATGGGAGCGGGTGTTCAACGTCAATGTGAAGGGGATATTCCTCGGGAGTCAGGCGTTCATGGCACGCCTGATCGAGCAGGGCGGGGGCGGGTCGATGATCAATATCTCGTCGACGGGGGCGTCGAGGCCCAGACCCGGGTTGGTGTGGTATAATGCGTCCAAGGGGGCTGTTACGAATGTGGGTTTTTTCATTCCCCCCCATGCTGTGGCAGGCTTTTTGTCTTCGTCTTCGTCTTTATCCAGTGATGACACAAGAGGAGATGAGATGGGATGAGACGAGACGAGACGATACGAGCCGGGATGAGATGCGTACTGATATATGCTAACATGTGGGCCCAGGCAACAAAAGGCCTCGCAGCCGAATACGGCCCGCACAACATCCGTGTAAACACCGTCGCACCACTCCTGTGCGCGACGCCTCTATTTTCGCAATTCACAGGCATGGAGGATACGCCCGAGAACCGGGCCAAGTTCGTGGGGAACGTGCCGCTGGGCAGGCTGACGGAGGTGGATGATGTCGCGAACATGTGTCTGTTTCTGGCGAGCGAGGAAGGGAGGTTTATCAATGGGACGGAGATGGTGATTGATGGGGGGAAGTGTATTTAATGGGTATTGAGGGCTGCGGTCTGGGGTCTGGTGGTGATGTTAGTGTGATATTGACATATGCTCTTGAGAGTGGATTTTTGTAGGATATATCTTACCAGCTACATCCACGCCGAAGGGTCAAACAACGAAAAGTCCTCCTCAAGCAAGCCCATCATGTGCTGGTTCCCGGAGAACCAGTTCCCCAGCTGCGTGGTCTGCGGTATAGCCGCGCCGGGACCGGTATCCTGGCCGTCCATTGCCCTTATCTCTCCAGGCACAGACCCCGGAGGAAGGGGTGTAGTCCACTGGCCATCGCCGTCATCAGTCGCCATAGGCGCCAACCCAAGGGCACTCAAATAGACATCGAATTCCTGGCCGACGGACGCGAGGTTTCCATCCTCCTTGGCCTGGACCTGTGCCTTCGCCTCCATGTATAGCCGCGCGACGTTGCTGAGGATCTGACACAGCTGGTAGAGTTTTGCGATCGATTCAGAGAGGAAGCAGTTCGGCTGGAGCGAGGCCACGAAGTCTTCTAGTCGGGCTAGGTCGTCCCAGGATGATAGCGCGATGGCCTGGCAGAATATGACAATGAAGGGGACGAAGGGCGCGTAGAGGATTGTCCTGGGGAGTAGAGTTATAGCAGGCTCGGGGATTGGGGTATAAGTGGCTTACCAGTGGAAGTACGCGATCTTGATATGTTCGTTCATCTCTTTCACGTCTGCCATGCACTTCTCGTGCACCTCGAGGGCTTCTCGGGCGGTATCGATGCATTCGGGGATGAATGTCCCCTGCGCCCCTTGGGGCGGGATGGCTCTGTATATCAGGGCTAGGACGGACAAGCGAGCGACTTTGTCGGACCGGAAGAAAACATCATCTATTATTGAAATTTCTTGGGGGAAGGCGATTTTCTGGCTGATGTTAGCTAGACGACTTGAAACGAACGCTTGTGGGCGTACGTACCTCGAATGGCTGCATGACCGTCCGCTGCATCTCAGAGGCTAATTGACGAGCATGTGAGGCTCTCTGGTTTTCCGGTTGCGCGAGCGCAGTAGGGCTGTACAGCAGTTCATACACCTTGCCTTGAATCCGAGCAAGTTGGATCCACAACGGGTATATCGTCCTGTACGGCTCAGCAACAGCCGTCAGGTCCATGATTTCTGGCGACGAAATATCGTAGTCTTGGATAGTTGAGGCGCGACCAAGTCGGAGTGACACCGCCCTGTCAAAGCAGTAGACTGTCCAGAACAGAGCATTGCCTCGGGCGTCTTTCTCGTCCTTTAAGGCCACAAACCGATGATACCCCAGCGTTTGGCACAGGCGAACCGCACTTGATGTTAAAGTCAAAGCAAACGAGGGCTTCGACATCTCGATAGCATAGACGGCCTAGACAACGTGAGTCGGGTAATTTAAAGTCACGGGAGCATCTTACCCCCAACGCAAGCGCTTCAATATTCTCAATCTTCGCAGGCATCAACAGGCTCAGATTAGCCAGGGCGGTTTCGAGATTGACCTGACAGAGCTTCAGGTACCTCCCATACTCTTCCCTTGACTTTTTCTCCGGCAGGCTGACGGTCAGATCGGACATCATGTAGTAAAGAGCCCCGTTCACGACAATGAACGTGGCGTCCGAGTAATCCTCTGTGGCGAAGTACACCTCGCGACATGTTTCAACAAGCCGGTCCGTCGTGAGGAAAGGACAAAATGCCTGCAAGCAATGGGGTTGTTCTGGTATCAGTTAGCATATAGAACCCATTTAAGTCCATCCAGTGCCCACCTTTGCATCTGCGCAGGAGTGACAAAACAACCTGCACCGGGGGCATGGTCAGATCCCGCAGTCCAGAGCCGGGGATAGACCTCTGATTCGGAAAGCGGACTTCGCGAGACGGGGACTGCGCCTTGTGGTCTTGCATATTGACCATGTGCTTCAGCGTAGCGAGCGCCATGCTCATCTTGGGTGTCGACATCGGGAGCGCGCTGCGCGACACGGCCGTCTCGAGGAATTCACTCGCGTAAGCAGAATGGGCCGCCATGGACGAGTTCCCCTCAAACTCGGGGGTAGCCTCATGCTGATCCAGGGTCGTGGCCGCATTGGAGGTATGATTCGTAGCAGAAGGGCTCAGCTGTCCGGAAACAGGCGTGGACTGATAGCAAGCCTCGGACGGACGCTTACTACTATTTTTCAGCTCATAAAGAACACGCTCAATATTCCCCAGCCGTTCCTCGATCAGATCGATTTTCTTCTCACTAGACCGCGATCAGCACAGCCCCGACCAGACCCCGAGTTCCCCATCCAGCAAGCAAGCAAGCATACTATTGACTTGAGATCAGGACGCGCTTCCGCGGCTCCGGGAGCTTCTGGCCAGCGCCGGTCGAGCGGCATACGATCTTGGAGCTCCGACAGTTGGAGCAGGGAGACCGCTTGTCGCAGCGGATCTGGCCATCATAAATGCCTCATCAGTTACTACTGTACTTACTATCCATGTCTGCAGGAGCTGCAGCCAGACCACCGTTGTTACCGTACCTTTCGCAGACGGCATTGATCGCACTAATGTCCGGGTCGTCAGCAATGGGCATAGTCTATGGCTGCTGTGCAACCGAACTCACCGCATGCCGGCCCAGGGACTCCTTGGTGCTGTCGCTCTCGGGGCCCTCGGCCTCCATGTTGTATTCCAGGCGATAAGCGCTCTGATTGAGAGTTTATCGGACGGGGATGGGATTGGGATTCCGGGCGCAGAGGTTGGGAGGAATGATGGTGTGGCGGTGGTGAGACACTCAGCGGCCGGGTCCCGCGGAAGCCGAGCACTGCCTGCGTTTATTGGTTGTTCGGACGGAGGCCGCCTGAGGGTCTCTTTATGATTGAACACTGCCATTTCAATGGCAGTCTGCCTGGTCTGTCTATATCTTCACGGTCGCCGGGACATGAGTCATGCAGCTCGCTTGCATATGCCATATGCCATATGCACCCTGGATTCTCTGTAGGGGTTGAAACACAGCCAATGCTGTCTGCTCTGTGGAAAACAAGATCATCCCACTTCATGTCACATTTACTCCATCTAAAACACTCTATTCATCTATACATGCTTTTCGTCGTCTCATCATAACTAGGCCATACATGGCTTGTCGAGGGTTTCCCATCAAGATCTAGGCAACAGAATAGACTCAGGGCTAGACCTGAGCCGCAAGGCGATCGTAGCCCGTGTGGATCATAAAATGCCGTGAGCCGTCAGGTTGATGCTCAAAAGTCCGGAGTCGAGTTTTCTGCTGCCTAACAGATTCAACATGGCTTGGCGGGAGATATCCCACCAGAATCATCACCGGTCGATTCACTTCTTGATGCCAATGACAGCCAGGTTCCTCGGGCTCTGCTTGTAGTCGAACACCGGCTCCACCCAGCACTCCTTCACCGAATCGTGCTCCCGCAGGAATTGCCACCGGTCCACGACAATGATGGCCTCGACCAGGGCGGCGCTGAAGGACATCAGGCTCCAGACCACGCTCAGCCGCTTTTTCGCGTACCAGTAGTCCTGCACATAGCGCTCCAGCTCCTCCTCAGAGACGTCCGCCATCCCTGCCCTCACCTTCTCGCCCGTCTTCGGGTCCCGGCTCAGCTTCGTCACGGCGGCCTGGGCATACGCGGGGAACGACACGAACGCAGACTTGCGCAGCGAGCCCACAATCAGAGGGTTTCCTGCATCCCCGTCGCCCAAGTCGTCGTAGAGATTGTCTGGGTTCTTGGGCTTGGCGACGACCCCGCGATCCACAAGGAGGCGCTGCAGGAGACTGCGATAGAAGTGGCGGGTGAAAAAGTCTTCGCTGTCCTTCCGGCTCCAATTGTAGGGCGCCTGCAGGGACTGGGAGCGGGCGGTGATGTTCAGCTTCATGCCGGTCCCGCTCTCGTGCTCGTATTCTTCGAACCGTTTCGACATCGGGAAGCCATGCGGGTCGTACGCGATCGCGTCTTTGGTCAGACGGGGGTGCATCGACCGGAGAATGGGGAGCTTGTAGGTCGCAGGGCCCAGCCTCTCGGTGACCAGGTTGTAGCAGCATCCGATCATAGCGATGGCCTTCACTGACGGGTTCAGAACCAACGATCGCACTCCGTGGTGGAGAAGGTTGCCGCAGGAGTGCAGGGAGATGACCATGACGTTGGCCTTCGTGGAGTCCCCATTGGCAGTCGCGACAGCATCGTCTCCAGCTTGCGTCTCGGCTGCGGGCGCCTCGACGACATCCTGGATGATGGGCTCCAAGTAGCCGTCCTTGATTTCATGTTCGATATAGTCCATCCTGCCTCTCATTTTCTCCGGGTCTTCCTCCTTCGTTTCAGCCTTGGGGGCATTGCGATAAGGAGCGTGGCCAATTTCGTCGGGTGTGAGACTGACGTCACGGAAGACATTGATCATGGCCACGTCCGCTGATTCTCCGGTGGTCTTGTCCTTGTCATCCGAGGTCGTTTCGGCGGTTTCAGCCGGAGGGGATTCCGGGTCGAGACAGGTCTTGCAGTTGGCCAGCTTCTTGTTGTACATGTTGATTTTCTTCTTCTGCAGTTTGGCGTGGATATCCATCCCCTTGGCGCCGCTGATGAACTGGTGTGTCCGCTCGATGGCAACGATGTGTCTGTTGTAGGGAGGGCAAGCGAGGGTCCGTCCGAGATAGCTCTGGCCCGATCCGAAGTCGACGATGTGCGTGATCGCATCGCCGCGCTGTTCATCCACGGCGGTACACAGGGCATCGACGTATTTCGAGAAGTGTGCGACCTCGTGGTACTTCTTGACATTCATTCCGACGGCGATCTTCTTCGGGATAGACGGCGTTCCGGGCTGGCCGGGGGTGAAGTCCCGTCCCAGGCTCAATCGGCGGATCTGGTGGATGTATTCGAGGAGGTCTAGCGGGGGCAGCGCGGCGCCTCTCCATTGTGTGCTACCCTGTTCCCCGTCGCGCGCCGCAGCTAGCAGAGGTCGAATGTCGTCCCGCAGGAGAAGGTCCAAGATATCCTGGACGTCATGCTGATCGAAGAAGGCGCGCCAGTGTTCGGGTAGGAGGGAGGTATAGAGGTCCGGGTCGCGGGTCAGGAAATCGAGGATATGCACCCCGCCGCAGAGGTGCCTAAAGAGGGCGGACGAGTTGGCGAAGGAGAGGAGGGCCTCGACGTAGGCGTCGGGGTCGGTCCACTCGTCAGAGAGTGGGAGGGGATGCGACGGAATCATGCGGCGTGGCTAAGGATTGGGCTGGATGGGAGATATGCGGGACATCCGGGGACTTGCAAGAGAAGGGAAGGCGAATCCAATAATGCGGGGGAAACAAAACGAGGCCTGAGATTTTTCGGGGCGATACAGAGGGGCATCCGGATGGGGCCTAGCGCGGTACGGTGTATTGTACTAGAACGTCGTGCTCCGTACTACTACTTAGTTACCCGTCGGCTCCACTGATAACGCCCGAGATGGAGGATGCGGTGGATGCAACGCGACTCATCACCCCGTCGTTCATCCTCCTTCTCCGATCCTCTTCCTAGGGTCGCGGTGTCTCACCATCCTCTCTCTATCCATTGGTCCCATCATCACTGCCATCCCATCCTGACACGTTCCCACCGCCCCCCATCCTCTCTGGAACCCGCCCCTGGATCAGGCGCTATTGGAACTATAAGGGATAGTGGTCCAGGACAGCCGCTGATCTCATGCTTAACCATACAGAGTCCCTCCATGTGTCTCCTGCTCCTGCGACCTTCAGGCGGGCACTAACTAGTCTTCTTAGTCCCTCTGTCTCTGCCCAGTGCTACGTGTGACTTCGACCCCCAATTGGGAGCCCAGCAGGTTATTCGCATCCGTTTGAGGCAAACACCCGGCCAGACTGCGCTGGCAGTCCATGCTCGTCCCTCGTTCCCTCGCTCGTTCCCCCTTCACGCCAATATATTGCCTGATGCCCGGTAACGTGGTCAGTGCCTGCTGCCCTCGCCCATCAGATCACCCCGTCCGTTGTCTGTCCCCCCCGTGAGGAGATGGTACCACGTATTATATAAGGGCCCAGGTCAACCCCCTCCGCCAGTCAGCGTCCTGCCAGTCTGCCCCCAGCCTGCATCCTGCGTATTCATCCACACTCTAGCCAGCCGTCCGGTATGCACCGCTGCAGCCAAGCACCCAACTGAGAATCTGCCAACGCGTCACACCGTCTACGTATCATCCCCCCCCCCTCAACCCGTTCGAGACCTGCCAAACGGCAATACCTCCCCTTACTGCCAAGAAAAGGGAATCCAACGAATCCTTCTGGCCGGGTATTAAAGCAGCCGATGTCACGCCTGGCCCTCTGGATACCGCGCCCAGTCGACCGGTAAGCCCTGCGCCGAACCACGGTAAGTCGGGATGATCTTCCGGAACAAGTCGATGAGCAGCGCAGCTAGCGCTCCGCAGCAGATGCGAAAGAGATATCCGGTACTGATCCGCCTCGTCAAGCAGATGTTGACCCCATCGTCGAGGCGGGAAGCCGTGCCCTTCGGCTTCGTCGCCGACGTGCTCTTCCAGATCATCATCAATGGCGAGATGCGCACCGTCCTGACGCTCTGCTGTCTGAACCGCGCCACCTACGCCACGGTCAAGCTGCTCGAACCGCACATCTGCGGCTGGTTCATGCGCTACCATGGCGTCGGCGCCTTCGACCCCATCCTGACCCTGAACCCCTGGACGGGCGAGCAGAGCGCCCTGACGGTGCACTCCCTGGTGAGGTTCTTCCAGCGCCACAACATCGCCCGGGACCTGTCGCGACATATTGTCCCGTCGGTGTGGGGTCCCTTCTGCGACGACGGAAACCCGGAGATGGACTTTGACGCGGAGTTACGACTGGCCCAGCGACTGGAACGCGGGCTACTCGTTCTATTTCACATGGCGGATATTGCCCGCGACACCGAGCGACTCAAGCCGCGCCGGAAACCCATGACTCCGGTCGTCAGCGGGCGGCTGTTTGTTCTGGGCAAGATGTTGGACGAGTACGACGACCTGCCGCAACATCGAAAGCAGCTGATGTCGTTTGAAGACTACACCAATCACGTGTACACGGTGTTGAAATGGGGGTACGTGGAGGCGGACATTGGCAGGCGACGGCTGGAGTTCCGAGGATGGCTGGACGAGCAGACGGAGATCGACTTCCACGCCTCACTGCGGATGCTGCGGGAGCTGATGGAGCGGATGCTCCTGCGACACGGGCCCAAGGACTGGCACCGGGACGCCAAGAACGAATACAGCGTCATCTCATGGTTTCTGCTGAAGCAGCCGCCGCGGTCGCTGGCCAAACTGTTCCTGAGTCCTCAGAACGAGTGCTGCGACCTGGATGTGAAAGCTACTGATTGCGGTGTTAGGAAATGCCGTTTCTCAGACCCGCTGGACAACTACTGGAAGGCGTGGAAGAACGTCCCCGACCTGGGCTGCCAGGACTGCGACTGCAAGCGGCGCGTCAGGAGCTGGAGCGTGAAGCCTGCACTGATTGATGCCCGAGGGCGAGAGTTTAATCGAGCGGCGGAGCGATACCTGCGCGAGATGTGGAGTCAGCGACACGTCGGGCTTCATCGTGCGTTTACCATGGGGGTGTTTACCACGGTTATTGGATGAGCTGGAATCATTCTGTGGACGGTAATTTCACTGGTTGAAGTTAGCAAGAATGTCATCATAATGCGTTACACTGCTACATACATCTACTATCTACTTTACCATATTGTCCATACTAACAGTAGTGTTATCGACTAGTGCACCGTAGCCAAGCCATCTGATAAGCCCATCCATCCGGAGTCGCGCCTGCCGCCTTCCCGACCGCCCAGCCACTCCATCTCCATCTCCATCTCCATCCGTAACATCTCCCAACAACACCAATACCACCACCACCCATCCACAACTCCCACCCCATCAACCACGTCCCTCCTACACCTCCATCTACATGACCTACGCATACACCCCTAATTCTACACCCACACCCTCACCATGGACAACTCCGACTCCGACCCCTTCCTGCAAGTCCAAGCGTAAGTTCAAGCCCATGCTCCCCTGAACCACCACCACACCACACCACCACCATACCATCACCACCACCATACCATCACCACCACCATACCATCACCACCACCATACCATCACCACCAGGCACACCCACCCACCCACCCCTGAAACGCACACCCCCAGCTAACCAACCCCATCAATCAACCAGCGACGTCCTCTCCACCCTGCAAACCACCCGCCCCCTCTTCTCCTCATACCTCCGGATCCGCTCGCTGGCCAAAACGCCCAACAACCCCGAACTGCAACAAGCGCGCTCGGAGCTCGAAACGACGCTAACCGACCTAACCGCCGACCTCGACGACCTCGTGGAAAGCGTGCGCGCCATCGAACAAGATCCGTACCGATTTGGTCTCGAGCTCGAGGAGGTGCAGCGTCGACGCAGTCTCGTCAACGATGTCGGGGCGGAGGTCGAGAAGATGCGGTTGGAGCTGTTGAGGGCGGTGAACAATTCTACCACGAATACTAATACTAATGGTCATGGTAATGGGGGTTTGCCGAATCCGGCGGATTTCGACGATGATCATGATGGGTTGTTGTCGCCGGATGCTGGAGGGGATTATTATGCGGCGATGGAGCAGCAGAGACAGATGGAGTTGATGCACGAGCAGGACGAGCAGCTGGATGGGGTGTTTCGCACGGTGGGGAATCTACGACAGCAGGCAGATGATATGGGGAGGGAGTTGGAGGAGCAGGCCGTTATTATTGATGAGGTGGATACACTTGCGGAGCGGGTTGGGGGGAAGTTGCAGAGTGGGATGTCCAAGTTGAAGTATATTATTCGGAAGAATGAGGGTAAGTTTTCTTTCTTACTTTTTGTTCGAAGGGGTTACGCTATCTTTCACTCATTGGGCTTCGGTGGTATCGAAACTGAAACTGAAACTGACTGATTATCATTACTAGATACAATGTCGTCGTTTTGCATCGCCGTCCTGATATTCGTTTTGGTGCTCCTCCTCATCCTGCTCATTGTTCTTTAAGACATGGAAACATATGGATACAATTGCGTTATTCAAGACTTGGTGGTTGCGGGCTTAGACCTTGGTGCGCTTGAGAGGGGGGCCTCCTCCTCGTCGCCGTCGAATTCGAGCTCGCTGTCGTCGAAGTCGAGTCCCTCGGCGGATTGGTCCGTGACTGGACAGTCAAGTCAGTATGGCATTATTGAAATGTGACGGTCGCGGTACTCACCATAGTACTTGAGAGCGTTGGGCCAGAGGTCCTCGGCGATGGCGATGGCGAGCTCCTCACCGGGAGGGAAGATCTCGATGTCATCAAAGTCATCCTCGACGTCGTCATCATCCGAGTCGTCGTCCTCGTCCTCCTCAACCAACTCGCCCTTCAGGAGCTTCTGGAACTTCTCCTCATCCTCCTTGGTCGCGACCTTGGACTGCTCGGCGGTGACATCGCTGCCACGGTATCCGAAGAACGAGAAGAAGCTCATGCTGTCCTCGGGGCCTCCACACTCGTGGTCCTCATCATCGTCGTGGTCGTGGTCATGCTCAGCGGCAGCCTCCAGCTCCTCCTTCTTCTCGACGAGCTTGGTGAACTCGGGCAGCTTCTGGCGCTCTCCACCCTTCTTCTCCGCCTCAGCCAGGTCGCAAGCCAGGTCGAGCAGACCGTTGGTGGGATCCTGACCCTCCTTCCAGTTGATGCGAACGGGCTCCGAGACCAGACCGTCCCAGGTGCGCTTGTGGCCCTGGGTGGTGGTGAGAACCTGCTTGCGCCAGTAGAACTCCTTGACGAGCTTCTCGTTGGTGAAGTAGGGGTTCTCGTCGCCGGTGCGGAACTCAAAAGTGACGCGGAAGCTGCGGGGCTCGCCCTGGCCCTGGGCGTCGATCTCGAACCGCTCCACGGTCAGGTTCGTCAGCGTGGAGGCCAGAATGGTCGCGTCCGGCAGCGTAATGTACTCCTCGATCTCGGCGGGCGCGTTCAGGAACACGCGGGTCCAGAAGATATCGCGCACATCGGGCTCGTTGATCACCTCGCTGCGCTTCTCGAAGAGGGGCTGCAGGAGACGGGTGGACTGGCGCACTGCGATAGATTAGACATTTTTCCCCCAAAAACTCATTGTACACCCGACTATCCATCTCATTCGTAGACCCTCCAACAAAATAAGAAAAGACAGAGGGAGGGGAAAAACAAGGAACATACACTGCTCGACCTCGGCGCGAATAAACTGCTGCTCAACCAACGCGATCTTCTTCGCCGTCTCCTTGCTCACCTCCGGCCGCTGAATGCGCTCCAACAACGAAGTGGGGGGTGCGGCCATGGTATGTATAGTAACTATCAATCAACGCAACTAATTGTCAGTTTCAGTTTCAGTTTCAGTTTCAGTTGCACGATCAGATAGATAGATAGATAGATAGACGAATGTGCTGTGCTGTGCGCCCGAGACTTGCGACTTTGTTCAGGCTGTGCATGTGTCGGTGTCGGCGTGGTCTAAACTGTGACTTACATATGAAAAGGATGGATTTGGGAAAATAGGAAGAGATGCGAGGTGATGTGATGATTGAGATGGGGATGATATTGGGAGGAGGATGGAAATTTTTTTTTTTTTTTTCGGTTTCAGAAAAGGTTAAGTCGTACTCCGTAGGTTGAGTTACTAAGGTAAGAGAAGAGAAGAGAAGAGCTAACCACCAAGAGTCTAAGAGTCTTGGAGCCGAAGGATTAGAAAGCTAGGTAAAGGCCGGGCGCTGGGCGCGGGATGTCGCAATTACGGAGGGGGCGCGTGTGCGCGGACGGGTTGGGTTGCGTTGGCTGGCTATGTAATGTAGGACTGGTAGGGACTGGTAGGGACGGTAGGGACGGTAGGGACGGTAGGGACGGTAGGGACGGTAGTCTAGTGGAGGTTGCTCGGGGTTGCTTGCCTTCTGGGTTGGTGCTTGGCTACTGGTGCTGGTGGTGGGTGTGCCGAGCTTCGAGTCTGTGCTGACGCTGACCGCCTTTTTTTTCGTCTGGACTGGACGGGCGTTGTGTTGAGGCCTGAGGTATTCACACAAAATATTTAGTCACGTGTTTGGCTTGACAGAGTCAGTTAGTGTCAGTATTCGGACTTGTACCAATATGTTCTAGTAAGTAACTAGTTAGAGTTTGAGAGAGTGACTAAGCGGGTACTATATTTAGAGCGTTAGATAGGTAGATAAGTGGGCTGGCGTGTCGAGCTCGAGCCTCAGGCTTTCTTTTATGGTGGAGAGCCCGCGGGGAGGGGGAGGGGGACGGGGAGGGCAGTGTTTTCCCTTGGATACTCACGTACGTTTAAGAAACCTGTACGGAGCACAGAGAAATAGGTTGAAGACACTGACAAAGGGGGGGGAAGTATTCCCCGTATCCTATTCCTTGGTATTAATTAACACCCCTCCTGTCTATATCAATTCGATCATTCCCAACCCCAACTAAACACCAATGTAATGACAAATGTACCGAGTGTAGTGTGTAGGTAGTACAGCATCCCCCAACAGAATACTAATAATGAATCCGACCAAGAACAAGAGTAATAGGACGGGATAATAATGGGCTCCAGCGGCAAACCTACCGTCTTATTTGCCACTATCTACATCCCTCCCTAGCTAGCCCCATACCCCATACCTACCTACCTCCCTACCCCAACCCCATAGTACCAAAAAAAAGGCCACAGTCCCGGCTCACTCCGGTATAGTATACTCCATCCCGACTCCCAACGAATCTTCTACCATCTTCAGCCGAGGTTCTCCATACTCCATACCTAGGTAATTAGTACTCCGTAGCCTGTCAGATAGGTAAACCGCCACCGTACAAACCGGAGTAAGCCAAGCAAGCAACAAGAATGAATGGATTGGATGGGCCAGGCTAGACCATTCCGGCCGTTCGTTGCTTTTTCCGGACCTGCGATCTGCTGTTGCTGGTGCTATTGCTGTTATTGTTGCTGCTGCTGCTGCTGCTACAGCTTATCAGTGGCGAATGCTAGGATATCAGCCGGATTAGGCTTTGTCGGGGCGGGCTTTATACCTTACCGTACCTTACTTCACCTTACCTTCTTACCTTATCGGATCGAGGCCGGATGCGGAGATACTATCTAGGTAGGCAAGGTATGTACATTATTGTACGGAGCGGAGTACGGAGCAGCTGGACCGTTGTTGACCAGATCAGCTGGTTGGGTGTGGGTGTGGGGATGCTACGTAGTAGCTTCTTGTACTTGTACCTAAGGTAGTTGTTTGTTGGGGGGTTCTGCAGGTGAGTACTCCGTAGCTAGAATAGAGTAGAGTAGACTAGATGGGTAGTGAGTGAGTGGTTGATTGGTCCGTTCGTTCTTATCATGGTTTTGGTTGTTTTTTCAGTTCTTGGGGGTAGGTACTTGGTCCTTGGTTCGGGGAAGTAAGGTTGGTAGGTTGGTAGGTAGATGGGTAGAAGGGTAGGTAGATGGATGAACATTGGTTCCTCGGAATTGAGATCTGGCTAGCCTAGTCTATCCTATCCTATCCTGTGCTATGCTATGCTATGCCATCCTATCATATTATTTCCTGTCCGAGGCAATTACATCAGATCAGATCACAGCACATCAGATTAATCAATTTATTAATTAATCCGCAATCGACAATCCACCACAACCTCAACCACAACCACAATCAATCAGTCAATCAACAAACTGCCGTCGGTGCTCAAGACGCAAGAGACACCCGAGGGGAATAGAATAATCAAATCAATCCGAACCGGAAAGATAAGAAGAAAAAAAAGAGGTGAAACCTAGGTATTCAATAACAACAATAGCATAATCAAAAAAGAAAATGAAATGGAAAATGAGAGAGAAAAAAGAGTAGAAACTTTTGGCGGATTGGCCTCCAATCCGACATGTCCATCATCATGCCTGCATATTTCGTGAACCCATTAATATAAAGAAAATGAAAAACTTTTTCCGCGCGGTTGCAAATGAGATGAGATGAGATGCGATGCGAGATGCAATGGGGCCCCATCATCGTGACACACACACACGCACACACACACACACACTTCACTCCTTCGTCTTGCCCATTATGGTATAATTTTTTTCTTCCCCCAAAGATAAGACCCAGGCCTGTTTCGCCAGTAATGCATGAAAAAAAAGCCACAGAAAAAAAAAGAAAAAAAAAAAAAAAAAAGAGACAAGGAGTTTATAAAAATAAACCAGGACAGACAGAATGCGCGTGGTCCGAGCGAGCGAGGGAGGGTACTGCGTGACCGACCCCGACCCTGATGTTGACCGACATCGGCCGGTCACGCCAGCGCTCAGGCAATGTAACCTCCCTATCGAGCCAATCGCGCCATCGCTCAGGTGATGAGATGATGAGAGGGTGGAAAAGGAGCGGCGCAGCGGCGCTCCGTCGCTCACCGACAAACGAGCAGACAAGGCAATGTGACCTGACCCAGCAGTAGCAGCAGCAGCAGCCCATCACAGCATCCAGTCCAATCCGTTGGCTTCCTCTTCGACGGGAAAGACCTCACGCGCGTACTCCTCCATGTCTCGCCAGCCGGACCACAGATGTCGCGCCTCGTCCGTGACACGGAGCGAGATCACGCCTCCGGGACCCTGCATCATTCCGGCGCCCGCGCCCTTGCCATTGGCGGGGCCCAGACCCTTGGGCGAGCCGGCCGCCGGCCGCGAGAATTCGGGCTGCGGGAAGTAAGGCGCGTCGTTACCGAACACCATCTCCAACGCCTCCAGCTGTTCTCGGTATCCGGGCGGGATGTTGACTTTGACTTCGATCCTGGGGACGCGCACGTAGTGGCACGGACGGCCGAGCGCGCGCGAAAATGCCGCACACACCTGGTTCGGGGAGAGGGTCTCGAACGTGAGCGCGATCCTGCAGGAGGGAGGGGGAGTTTAGTACATGTCATGTCACACCCGACAGAAAAAAAAAAAAAAAAAAACGTACCGATGACCGTTCCACTTCTTAGGCCCGTCCTTGAAAATCTGTAGCAGCGCTGGTCCTACGTCGTGCTCGGCGTCCAACCAGGGCAGGGGAATGTCCGGGTCAAACGGAGCATGCCACTCGAAACTCCCGTCCGGCATGTACTCCATCTGGAAGAGCGGGTATGGTAGACTCGTGAAGTTGTTGTTGTAGATTCCCGCGTAGACGAAGGTCGACGGCAGGCCGAGCTGGCGCACGTAGTTCTCGACGGTAAATTTGGGGGCCCATAGGGGCACGGGGGGCCAGGGGCCATGTACGGAGTGGTCGGGCATGCTGCTGTAGACGTAGTGCTGGATGGTTCCGGCTCGTTTGGCGGCGTCGGCCAGGGCGCGTCCGATCGCGACCTCGTCCCCGGATTGTGAGGTTGTGTTGATGAAGGCCAGGTTGGCGCCTTCGAAGAGGGAGTCCATCAGAGCGGTGTTGCCCAGCAGAGGGCCCTGGAACAGGGTGACATTGGGGATATTTTGCAGCTCCTCCGCGATGAGGCCCTTGAGGGAGTGGATCTGGGCGCGCACATTGTGTCCGACGGCGGCAGCGACGCGGATCAGAGACGCTGCCTGGCGGCCCGTGGCGTTGACCACGGCAATGGTCTTTCTTTGTTGTGTCATGAGTTGTAGCGGGGGGTATTTGGGGGGGGGGGGGGGGGGAAGAGGGGAAGGGGAATTGCGGGCACGAGAGAAAATCTCCGCGGGTGGGAGAGAGGGAGAGGAAAAAGATGCGGGGTAGGGAAGGAGAGAGAAGGAGGACGAGCAGCGGTCGAGCACTGGATAGGTCGGGCAGACCAATGGAGCCGACAGCGGTCCGATCAGACCTGGAGTTGGGTCAGGTGGTCGCGAGGTCCAACCGTTCGGTTCCCGGGAGTGGTATGTTGCAGATAGTGTAGTAGTGGTGGTGGTGGTAGTAGTAGTCGGTGGGGTAGAGGCAATCAGTTTGGCGGAGGTTCTGTTATATAATTCTGATCCGGGGGAAGACGTGATTCGATAATGCCGCAATCGAGGAAATCGATGGTGCGAGTGGATCGATAAGAGAGACCGAAAGAGCTGTTGGGCACGCGAGGAGGGAAAGCCAAAGGTAAAAAGCGAAGTAAAAGTAAGTAAGTAGGTAGGTAGAGAGAGAGATGGTGGTCCTGTTGGAGATGCGGGCGATGGTGAGCGATTCGCGATTCGGTGCTCCAACTTCCAGACCGACACAGCCGGGCAGCGTCGCCAAGGGGGGCAGTTTTGGGTGATTTTTTGTTAGTTAAGATGGCTGGTCGTGAGGATAATATGAATAATAAGAATCGCCGGCTACTCCAACGAGGCCGACAAGTGGACACCCCAGGTCCGGTCTGGCGCCAGGCGAGAGAAAAATGACCTCACGCAGGGGACGGATTTCCGTGCCAAACGGGCCAGTTGGGCCCAGTGCAGAAGGACCGGCCGACAGAAAAAAAAAATAGAAAATTAAAAATTAAACCAAAATTAGAAAAGCAAGGAAGATAATCAAAATAATAATATTAGAAAAGAAAAAAAAAAAAAAAAAAGGACGTGGATTGGGCCCAGTGCTTGGTTCCGAGATTCGCACCCACACAGACCCTAATCAGCAATCAGCCCTGTTGGGGTCAGGGTTGTTCTGTAACCGCTCTCTATCAGATGGAGGACGAGGACCAGAAGGTAGGTATATAATATATAGTATCTAGAGGGAAGGAGAACCCTGATGCTACACAACAGGATATCAAGCTGTCGGATCTGCTCTCAAATCTGAACTGCAATTGGAATTGTCTTCGGAATTTCAACAACAACAATAATCGAGTCTAGGAGCTCGCCTACGACGATGGGCCTGGGCAAGGAGTCACTATAAGTAACTGCGGTCTGTGTGCTGCGGGCAACGGGGACCTGAGGAGCCAACGACGACGGCGGACTGGTCTGGATTGGGATCGTCTGGGGTGCCTCTTGAGAAAAAAAACTAGCGGGCGGAACAAGAGTATCCATGCGTGAATTATTTCTTGACTCCTTCTACAGATGGGAGAAAAAAAAAAAGGGAGGGAAAAAAATCCTGGTCACCTGGGTCCCGTGATGGGGGGGGGGGGGGGTCTGTTCCGATGTGGTTCCCGATGTGGTTTATATCGAGTAATGGGAAACAGTCATCGGCGGTGATTGAAGAATGCCAGGCCAGATCAGATTGTCAAGTCTGGACGACGCGGCGATTTCCAAGGTACTCTCACGGCCGTGCCTGGACGGGTGTGTTTTTCTTCTGTGGGATTCCCTGCCTTTTCCATAGTGCGTGTCGTGTCGCCCACCCTCGCCAAACCCGGGGATGACAGCCCAGCTCGGCAGATGAGGCAACTGGCGCAGAATTCCCTGGGCTCAAGCGGGACCTTGGATTTGGGGGAGGGGAGGAGGGAGGGAGGGATCCCCGATCCCCTGTTTGGTGGTGGCCATGGACCAGCTTTTCGGCTTTTCTTTACGTAACTGGGGATGCAGTCGAGGTGGAGGCCTGGCATTTGTCCACCACGACACAGGAATGACGCTGGATGGATGATGGTATCAGGAGGGCCTCTTCAGGCAAACCTGAAGGGCTCAGTACCTATTGCAGGACTTGAATTGCCCCGTGGGCGAGTCTCATCTTGCGCTTGAGAGATGAAGCCATCCGACATTCCCGTTTGGGATGGACGGTCCATCAAGAGGCCGTCCGATCCCGGCAGTGCCCGGCCAATGAGGGGGCGGGCGGGGATGAGCAGCCGCCCACTGATCGACTGGCGGGCACAGACAAATTCAACATATCTTCTCCCTTCGCACTTCCCTCTCTCTCGGTCACCTCACAGACTCACTCACGTTGTGTTGCCTGTGTTGCCTGTGTTGCTCACCCTCCCTCACCCTCACCCTCACCCTCAGCTATCCACACTCCACCCAAGCACTACTAGTGCCTCCAGCACCACCACCAACCCCCCTCGACCAGCCCACGTTGCTCTCGCGACCCATCGGCCAAATCCTTCTTGTCGGCCAATCCGTGCGCCGTAGATTCTCACGCGGCTGCCAAGCGGGCCCAGTCAACGGCTGCTGCCCGTCTATCTCTGGGGCCCCTCGGCGTCGGATGGGCTATCCTCGACTTTCCGGCCGCTCTAAACCGGAGAAGGTTCTTTTTTCAGGTACATGCCTTCACGGAATCACGTCATCTTCTCCCCCCCCTTCGACGGAGGTTCTGCTGGGTAGTCGCGGTTAGCAGATACCTTATCGACCTTGGAGGGCCCGAGGGGAGGGGAGGTGACGGATAGGCTGGCTGAACGGAGCGCCGTCGCGTGGTGAGATCAGCTAGCTAGCGAGCTAGATAGATAGATAGATAGATAGATAGCTTCTGGCATTCTCATTGTGGTGGTTAGTTGGTCCGCCTCATCGTCATCGTCGGCATTCATTCAGGCTCAGCATCGCCATGATCCATGACCCATCGGTCAAGCCATCGCGGTTGGACCAGGTCAGGTGTGCCTGTTCATGGCTGCTCCTGGCGCCCTCCTGTGTCCGGATAGGGAAGGTCCTGGGAGTGTACTAGCCCATCCCCCTACTAGTCATCTCGCCGGCACAGCGAGCATGGCGCAATATCGCTGACCTGCCTAGTGCGAGATAGTCGTAGTGTAGCACTCAAAGCGGGGTTGGCTGTTCGTCCTCCGTCTCCCCCCCCCCCCCCCCCCTCCCCTCCTTCCATCCGACGTGCATGACCGGCCTGCATGGCCGAGGATCGTGCAGCCCCGGTGAGACATTTCCGCGGAGTTGGACGGAGTATTCTTCCTGCTGCTCTGCTCTGCTCTGTTCTGCTCTGCCCTGCTACTTCTGCTGTTGCTGCCCCTACTACCGAGGTAGGCTCTGCTCAAGTATTTCAAGCAAGCCTCTTCGCACAGAATTGAATGACAAAACACAGACATGCAAATATAAATGTGCCGGTAGTACTGTCCCAGTCTGCACTACACGGGGTAGCTATCTTTATAGAAGCTAATATCGTTCATTCTTGCTTCTTGCAACACTTTTCCCTTCCCCGCAATATACACCAGCACCAGTACACACACACACACACACACACACAGAAAACAATCAATCTCATTCAAATATAACAATCATAATACCAATTACCCCAATACAAAAACCACTAAATAAACACCATACAAAAAAGCAACCCAAACCCCAACCCCAACCCTAACACCTCCCACATTTTCTTTTCCATCCAAACACCCAACAACCCCCCCCCAAAAGCACCAGGACTAGTACCAGATAACCACCTAATCACTATCCAAAACCACCACCTCAGCATCCACCTCGCCCAAACTCTCCACCCTCAACACATCCCCGACATTCACCCCGGACACAAACGCCCCATCCCCCTCCTCCAACACCATCTCCTCTCGCCCATCAATCCTAACACTGGCCCTCCCATTCTTCGTCATCGGCACATGCACATACACATTGCGCTTGCGCGTCTTCCCCACAATGCCCTCCCCGCCGCCTACCGCCCACCCGAACGTCTTCTCCGGCGCGATGATCCCCGCCCCCATCACAAAGTCCGCGTGGATCGGGATCGTCTCGGGGATTTTGGGCACCGCGGCGTCTTCTTCGGCGGGGGTGGCGTCCGGGCCCGCGGCAAGGGGGGACAGGATGGGGAGGAAGTTCGCGCGTTTCGCTTCTTCCGAGAACGTGCGCGTGTGGTATTGTGGCTTCAGGCTGGTTTTCCACGGTAGGGCCCAGATTTGTAGGAAGTGGACGGGTTTGGGCGATTCGTTGATTTCGGAGTGCGCGATTCCTGGGACTTACGTTAGTATATATATACTCTATACATATAGATTTCCCCCATCAAATCATGGTAAATGAGGGTGAGGATGGATGAATACATACCCGTCCCCCCCGTCGTAAACTGCACATCCCCCCTCTTCATTCTGAAAAAGTCCTTTCCCTGTGCGCCCTCCCCGCCCTTCTTGATCATGCTATCGCGGTGTGTGAGTTCGCCATTCAGAATGTAGCTGAAGATCTCGGCGTCGCGGTGCGGGTGCGTCGGGAAGCCGTTCTTCGCCGACACTCGGTCCTCGTTCAGCACGCGCAGGCTCCCGAAGTTGGTGAATCGGTGGTCGTAGTAGTTTGCAAAGCTGAATGTGTGGAAGCTCTTGAGCCAGCCGCCGTGTTCGGCGTAGCCGCGCTCGCTGGAGCGGCGGGCTACGATGGTGGCGTGGGTGAGGGGTTTGGACATGTTTGTTCTAATTTCTGCTGGAGTGGTTGTGGTGGTGGTTTCGGTGGTGAGTGTGGGGATAATTGCCTTGATGAAGAGAAGTAGAAGCGGGAGGAGAAAGAAGAAAAGTGTCGTGTAAGACGGAAGTCGCGCTCGTAGTGATGTCTGCATTTCAAGGAGTTCACCTCGTTTGTCTAGATCCCGGATCGCCCTTTATAGTCTTGCGGTTCTCCGGGTCGGGCTTGGCGCGGCGGGGATCCGTAAGCATGGGGTAAGACCTGACTAAGTCGCATTTCGCAATGGGGGGTCGGTCCGACTCGGCGGATGGATGGGGCTTGTGGGTTGCAAATCGTTGGCTGAGCATGTTCTAAGGGATCCCGTGATTCTGATTGGATTGGAATGTTTAGGAATGTGTGGTGGAATCGTTGAGGCGCATCTCGGCGGTGCGGATTGCTGAGCGAAGGGTTTGTCAATGATCGGTCAGATCGAATCTGATTATCGGGGTCGCTGTGATTGGTTGACACGTTGTGGCTTTAATTCCGTTAATCCGGAGTGATGACGTCATACATCACGGCATGCTGGCTGAGCTCTGGGGCTTGGTCAGTCGATATTAATTATAGAGCTATTGTTGTGCAACGACAAAACGGTTGATGCGATCGCATACCGACTTTGCTGGGCAGATCCTTGGGTGTTTTTCAAGTCCAAGAGTGGTGGGTGCTGCACTGCTCGTGTTGCCGTCGCCGTCCGGATACTGTGGTCTGGACTGCCTCGCCGACACTTCCTCAGCCCTCAAGGTCCTCAGGGTCCTGTGGCGCTAAGGCTACAGCCCTACTAGTCACGATGCAGCTTCAAGGTACGCAGCGAGTGCCGGGAACAGCTTGTTCTCCCATAGCGAACACCTTCTCATGCACCTTGCAACAATTACCGTCCTGAATTTGCCAAAGAGACAGAGTGACGTTCCCAGTCGGTTCATCGGGTAAATTGACACGTACATCGGAGATCCGGGAAAGGTGAGGTAGTAACTTCATCTCCAATTCGCTCTCTTCTGGCACGCTGAGAGCATCGAAGCTATCCTCCGACCGAAGGGTTGCGTCAACTTTTCGCTCTTCAACTGCTATAACCTCCTCGGCGATTCTGGATGTGAGGGAGCTCGACCATACACCTTCACGGTGGGGAGCCATTCGAAGTAGCCTGATTGCTTGTCTTCGAATGCGAGGGACTCTGCATTTGAGTGCGGTGTAGTATAGGGGAGGGATGAAGCCCATGTCCATGGTAAAAGCTGTTCCAAGCGAGCCACTAGCAAGCTTGGGGTACGCAGCTTTGACCGCTTGCCAGGCGCAGATGATGTCGTTGATGATGAGGATGAACCTTTCTGTCTGGAGATCGAACGCGACTTGGTCATTCCACGGGACGCAGGTCACAACCATGATCAGGGCCATGGTGTGGTATATCTTGAGCATTTTCAACGCCAAGAGAGCTTGGGAGAATCCACGAGGCAGGAGTGTGTCGAGGGATGAATTGTAGACCACAAGCCATAGATCCAACTCCTCTTCGAGACAACCCTGAAGTTCGAGTAGCTGGTCGTAGCTATGCAGCATAGCCGTGCCTATCTCGATCTGACGACACATCTCAACCAGAGATTGCGTTCGCGCAAGAAGAACGTCCAAATACCGTCTTGCTTGCGCAACGGACTGAAACCTGTTGGGCAAGTCATCAGGTTCAATATCCCCTGGGTTCAGGTATCGTATCCTTTGTCCGAATAGAGCAGACTGTATAGCCAGTCGGCCAAAGACTTGCATAATATCATCTGCAGCGGTTTGTGGCATGGCCTTGATAAGATCTCCATTCCGTGAGGTATCCCGTTGGGCTTTTATCTCTCTCAACAGCATTACTCCATGCTGTAGGTGAGTGTGGCTTGTTTTATATTGACCCCGGAGCATTTCCAGTGTCACAAACAGCATGCAAGTGATAAGGGCAACCATTTTACTCTGTAGTTGCCCAGTCTCGCGGCCAAATTCGGTCTTCAGACAGCCAATCGCTCGGTTGTAGTGCCGAAGAGTAAATCGCTCGTTTTCACTGGGACGGTCGCTTTTCAAAGGATACTCGTCATGGTGCTGCGCCCCGTATCGGTGGGCGGATGATAAGGCCAAGACGGCATGGCGCACAGCCGACTCCTGAAAAAGAGCCTGGATGACCAGTTTATTCCAGAACTCAGAAGGAAACATCCCGCCAATTTTGAAGATGGCGTGTTGGATGAACCACTCGACGTAGGACCCTTCATCTGCTGTGACATAGTCCATTGGCACTGGTGTGCTGTAAGTCACAAGCGCGGTCTGCTGAGCTTCTGCTCTGGGTATACGACTACCAAACGCGTTTCCTCCCCCGCCCCAGATGCCGTAGCCATCGCAGACCCGGCCAGTGGAAACGCATCGGGTACAGGCTGGTCGACCCTCGTCACATTTGACTCGACGGACCCTTTGCAGGAGATAAGCGGGTCTTTCAACGCAGAGGGACTGGCGAACTTACTTGCAAGTCCGGCAGCCTGTCTTGCCTTTGGGTTTGCTTGCGCGGCGCTTCTTCAAAGGAGCTTCCATTTTAGTGGGCAGTTCGGGAAGATGGAGATTGCATCCTCAGCTTCCTCCCACGACAATCTGAGGAGCAGCAACCAGGAAGAGGATGATCCCCTGAAAGAGATGCTCAGGCAATGAAGTGCTGACGGAGGCGCGGCTTTGCTTCCTGGCCGAAAGTACTTCGCCCTTCCGGTGATTGGTGCGCTCGTAGATCCTTTCTGCTGATTGGTGCGCTCGTAAGATCTGTACGCCCATTGGTTGGGATGGACCCACCCATCCATTCTGGGACTAGCGCATTTCCGTGTAGTGACTGGCTTCTTGCTTGACTTCAACAACATCTAAACTCATCGCATCGATCCACAGTTTCACCCGGAATATTCCAGACGAGAGAAACTATGGGCGAGTTCTTGTGGGTCTGAAGACATGATTGATTTCTAATGCAGTCGGGCAGTTCCCGACCGGTCTGCTGGTCTGCTCAGCTAGTATATAAAGTCACCATGGCAGGGTCAAAAAGCTGCATCACACATTGAAATCAAGCACGATCAGATATCTTCTATCTTAAGTTTCAAACCACCGTCTGCTCATCATGTCTATCTCTTCCTTCCGCACACTTGGCCGCAACGGTCCCCAGGTTAACTCCGTTGGCTTCGGTGCCATGAGCCTTGGAGGTGCATACGGCGCGCCAGCTTCTGAGGAAGAAAGCCTCTCCCTGCTGGACCATGCTTACAGTATTGGCCAACGCTTCTGGGATACCGCCGACGTATACGGTGAAAGTGAGGCTCTCATCGGCAAGTGGTTGCAAAAGACTGGCAAGCGTCACGATATCTTCCTGGCCACCAAAGGCGCCCTCCACTACAGTCCCGAGATGGTCGAAACGGTCCGCTCAGATCCAGAGTATCTCAAATCGGCCTGCGAGAAGAGCCTGAAACGACTGGGTGTGGAGACAATTGATCTGTATTACTCGCATCGTGTCGATGGAGTGACTCCGATTGAACGGACGATCGACGCCATGGTCGAATTGAAGAAGTAAGATTCCTTCGGAGGACGATGCACTTCCCATGGTGTGCTTTATACTGATCGCGATTTCCAGCCAAGGCAAGATCCGCTATATCGGTCTCTCTGAAGTGTCCGCCGCCACCCTGCGCCGTGCTCACGCCGTCCACCCGATCACCGCGATGCAAATCGAATATAGTCCCTTTAGCCTTGACATCGAATCACCAAAGACCGATATTCTCCGGACATGTCGGGAGCTTGGAATCGCTGTTGTTGCCTACAGCCCCATCGGGCGTGGCGTTCTGACCGGAAAGTTCAGGTCCTTGTCTGATCTCCCTGAACAGGATGTCCGGCGGGTCTTCCCAAAGTTCTCCGAAGAGAACTTCCCCAAGATTGTGGAGTTGGTGCTGAAGCTAGAAGAGGTTGCGGAAGCACACAATAGCACGCCTTCTCAGATAGCGATCGCGTGGCTGCTGGCTCAGGGACCGGATATCATCCCTATCCCGGGCACGAAGTCGGTGAAATATTTGGTTGAGAATGCCGGGGCTGCGGATATTATTCTCACTGAAGGGGAGTTGAAGAAACTGCGGGAGAAGATTGACCAGACAGAGCTGGATGGAAATCGGTATCCGGATATGTAAGTTTTCATTCCTTGTCTTGAAAAGACACGCAAGCTGACCATGGCACTCTAGGCTGAGTAGAGCGATTATTGCTGACACTCCGCTTCCTTGAAACCGAAGTCTGACTTTTGTAATAGTCGAGGTGACTTTAACTATGCTTCTGCATCAATTCAGCAAAGAGGCCGACCTAACTGGCTAGGGGATTGTGAGGCAACCTTTTTATCCAGTGAGGAGAATATCACAGTGTGCAAGGAAGTTTCATCATTCGACACATGTTGCTAGATTCATAATTGCCATACTATTCTTCTCTGCGGAGCGACGAACCCACCGATTGGAATCCTCTATCTATGCCACACAACCTACACAGACAACAAACTCATTAATTACTATCCCAGAGGGGTCAAGCCTGTCGCGCTTATGCATGCACCCCATGTTCCATTCATCGCGTAAGATTGGACGGGTCTCGGATCAGTAGGCGTTCAAGAATACCTGTCTTATATCCAAACTAACCCTTTTAGCGTCATCTTAGCTGGAAAACTATATCCGTCAGTGACATGGATGGATGTCACTTGACCAGAAGTCCCCAAGATTGGATAGAAGTCACCGTGTGAATCCCAACAATTGATGGATTTATGCGTCGACTATTGGGCAGTTGCAACTTCGAAACAGTCATCTGACAGTCTATCATCAACTACAAGCCACGTCACACCATATTAAAGTCGCACCTTCACATATCTGACCCCGAATACCAACATTACCGTGGTGGCTCAGTCGACCTCCGACCACGGGTTTGGACGAGTGAAAGGAATCAAGACGCAATCCAGTGGCATGGTTGCGAAGAGTGACACATGGCGAGTCGGATGTATGTTTGTCTTCCCGTATCCTTTGTCCTATCAGTCATATCCGCCAATGACTCGCGTCGTGGCTGGAAATTTAATATAAACCTGTCCCTTAGCTGGACAGTGCTCGGGTGAATCGACGGCCTCAAGCTAGGCCCGTTAGATAACCCCCACTGGATAAAAGGAGATGGCAGGTTTCCACTGGGCCATCTTATCTTTCGAAGACCTTCTTCGAGTCATTTCTTAACCTCTGTACTGTTTTTATTTTTCATTTTTTAAACCTCGCGGAAACAGTATGAGCGACTGGGAAACCCTCATTTCTGATAAACGGAAAGATCGTGCATCGAACATTCCTCTCAAATGGGTCCTTCGCGATGACATCCTGAGTCAGATCAATGAACATGCGGATCTCAGTGCCTTTGATATCTTGAAAAAGAATGACCTTTTGACCGAGAAAGAGACGACTATCACGGAGTCATACGATGCCCAAACTCTTTACCCCGAGATCACAGATGGAAGATTAACTTCGCTAGAAGTCTGCAAGGCGTTTTGCAAGAGAGCTTCTATTGCCCAGCAATTGGTATTGATCATTATATCCTCCTGATAAGGGTATCGAGCTGACATGACTGTGCCAGGTAAACTGCACAACCGAGATATTTTTTGAAGAGGCATATGAAAGAGCGAAATTTCTCGATGATTATTTAGCCACACACAAGAGGCCGTATGGTCCTTTCCACGGTCTCCCTATCAGCGTGAAGGTAAGAGCACCTTGGTCGTCAAGATGCTTGAATGGCGCGATAAACATCTAGAGATTGTTCATACTAATGCTGTGGTCGCGACACGTTGTAACAACAGGACAGCTTTGATGTCAAAGGTCAAGCATCAACAATTGGCTTCGTGTCTTTCCTCAAAAACCCAAAAGCCACAGAGAATTCCACTCTCATCGATATGCTCCTTGATAATGGCGCTGTCTTATATCTCAAGACCAACATCCCACAAACAATGATGGTATGAATCCGTTTCTCTTAGTCTCCGTATCCTACTAACCCCCCTTGAAGACAATGGACAGCATCAACAACATCTTCGGACGAACTTTGAACCCACACAAACTCAGCCTGACCGCCGGTGGAAGCAGCGGGGGCGAAGGCGCTCTCGTAGCTTTCCGTGGCTCCATCCTAGGAGTAGGCACCGACATCGGCGGTTCGATCCGCGCTCCATCTCTCTGCAACGGCACATATGGATTCAAACCCACCGCCGATCGCATACCCTACAGCGGGATACAATCCGGAGACCGACCCGGCAGCCCCGGCCTCATCTCAGCGGCTGGGCCGATCGCGAACAGTGCATCCGATTTGAAATTCTTCTGCCAGACCATTCTCTCCTTAGATCCATGGCGTCGTGACTCTACTGCCCTTGGCATTGGATGGCGACACGTTCCACCAAAAGAGAAACTCACCATCGGTGTATTCATGGGCGATAAGGATTTCCCCCCAACGCCTCCCGTCATACGGGCACTCGAATCCGCAAAGTTTGCGCTGGAGAAGGCCGGACACGATGTACATCTCGTATCGGAATTTCCCTCCTTGACCGAAGCAGTGAAACTTGCAGCACGGTACTTTCTACTCGATACCAAGAACACCCTTTTGAAGCACGTTATCGACGGCGGCGAAGAGCCTATCAAGGCACTGGAGTACGCGTCTCCTGCTTCTATAGCGGGAATGAGAGAGTACACACTCGATGACGTCTGGGACGCGAACACTGCACTGATTGACTATCGCGAGAAGATGTCTACAGTATGGAGACAGCATAAGTTGGATGTCCTGGTTTGCCCCGGACACCAGTCTACTGCCGTTCCGCATGATACATATGGAACGCCAGTGTATACCGTTGTGTGGAATCTTTTGAATGTAAGAGCTAGCATTGGTCCGTTTTCATTGAGCCATTTTCTAACAGAATACCCAGTTCCCTGCGAGTATCATCCCCTATCTCAAAGCAGATAAGTCCTTGGATTCGGGAATAAGTGATGGCTGTAAGATTCCCGCAAATGGTCTGTCTGAGTTTGTTATGAATATCGTAACTGATGATATTATCAATGCAGATGATCCTAATATAGTTGATGGTGCCCCGACTGCTATTCAGGTGGTGGGGTGGAGGTTCCAGGACGAGGAGGTGCTCATGGCGACGGAGGTCATTGACGAAGCACTCAGACGTTTCACTGATCTGTAACGTACCTCAAAACCCCATGGCTATCTTGGTAAAAAAAAAAGATGCCGGAAAATCTTTCATTGGAGATTTTTCACCACTCGTTCGAAAACCCAGACACCTCAGGATTATCGGCAAGTTTGAAAGGCACGTACGTAGTCATCAATACGGCTTGACCTGTCTGCGTTCAGGTCGCCTTCTTCCGTTTCCTCCATATCCCGAAGAAAACTGTCGATGGATTGGCCCGCACCGTTGATATGAGTAATTCTCGCTATAGCGTGATGGATCTTCAGGGGATTAGCAGAAGGCGAGTCTATACTCCGCTCTGGATTAGTGGACAATATAAGAGTGACAGCAGGAGCATACGGCCGAATGAACTGGACTGAGTCTGGATAGTTGATAATATATGTATGATGTTCAATATGCTTCACAGAAATATTAAACTTACCAGGGAGGTACTTAAGGTCTCTGCTCAGGTGAGCGCTTTATTGGTTCATTTAGATATCCAGGTTTCATTGCTGTCTTCTGGTTTCAGGTTTGGGGGTATGGGAATAAGAATTGCCGGTGGTAGTGATTTGAACGCGGAAAGAATCCCGGGTGTTAGGTGCTATTGTTAACTGCCGCGGGTGACATGACCCTTGTGAATATGGCATTCTCAGTTTGGTTCTGCAATCAGAGGCGATGAAACGCTCGTGAAGGGTACTGCAAAAGTGACAGGATTTTCCAGTGGATAGGGAGGTTCAAGGTGGCTTTTTTTGGTTGGTAGGTGCTACGGTGAAGTTGGAAATCTCAGCTACTCAATTCAATTCAATTCGATTACAGCTCTATTAGCCTAAGCTAACTAACTATTTAGGCAATTCTCCGGCAAAGCAAAAGCTCGAAGCCGTGCGCCTAAAGGCATCAAAACCCTCAATTCCGCATTCCTTGATTTCTCAAGACTTCCCTCAATAGCGATTGGAGTTCGATTATTCAACATCCTTTTTTGCATAAATTTGAAATTCTGTGCCAGTAATAGGGTTGACAAATTGGTGCTAGTAGCGAGCTCCAGGGACAGTTCATAACGAACCTTCTCATTTCCTCAAGGATGTCGGCACTGAAAGATGGAATATCTCTGGTCTCGCTGTAGAGCTTGAGGTTCTCTAGTCGAAGATAACCCTCGACTGATGCAGCAGCCAGAACAGAGCGCACTCTGTGGCCTTTGGGTAGGTTTGCCGCTGAGGCGATGTGCTGAGGCGAAAGCCAGTGGGTGAGGTGATCTGAATCGGTTGTTCTTTGGGACTTCGTAGAATTCTCTACTAAAATTGTTTTGATCCGCTCCGCCAACACGGATTCCAACCCTTTCACTTGGCACATATCAGCGAGCCGGGCAAATTCGATAGCAGTAGAGATTTCGGTCCTGGGATCTGACGTTGGGGGTTGAATTCGGTCAAGATACATCCACTCAATGAGAGATTCGAAGCTTCGCTCTGACACAACACCCTCGATCGGTTCTAGTGTGGCTGATTGTTCCTTCGCTTCCTGGAAGTTCCCTTCAAACATCCTTTCAAAATATGGCGAGTTTCTGCAGAGAAGTCGCTTTGAAAGCCTGTGCTTGGTCCCATTGCACCCGATTTTAATGATGACGCGACGCGTGGACCGTTGTAGAGGGAAAGCCGACTATAGCGAGATTAACTTTGAAAACAGAACCATTTGCTTTCAGTGTCGACTCACGATCTGGTAAAGCGCTCGGGTGAAGTATCCAAGGACGTATCCAAGGGTCGCTTCTGAGGTCCCTGCATGGTGTCTTCTTGTCCTTGAGAAGGAGATCTTCCCAGATGATGGGGGAGGGCTGATGAATGTGAATGGCGTCACTTTTCTTCGTTCTCACGTGGGGGAGATAGGCGGGTATATTCACACTGAAATAGGTAATGATAGCAGGAATGGAAGATACTCGCTGTCTGAGTATGGGTTAATGATGGGGAGATTCAGGAGAGGAAGGAGGAGAGAAAGAGGGGGGAAGGTTGCAGGGAAAAGAAAATTCAATTGCAGTGAATGAAATCAAAAATCGTTTGTTTTGTATATGTTGATAATGAACCAGCTTCTATAAAGAGCCAGCGCAGCTGAGACAGCCATGTTTTTAATTGCATATAAACCACATCATAGATGCAGCTATCCAAGATAGCTTACAAGGTCTTAGGTTTCTTTTCATCACCAGCCACTGCACGTATATAAGCTAACAGCCATACACTGTTGGCGATACTCAAAAAGTCGAGTGGCTGAGCTCCTTTTTCCACCAGTCATTACCGTTCTCCCTATACCATTCCACAGTCCGAGCGAGACCCTCCCTGAAAAAGACACGCTGATCCCACTCAAGGCTCCTGAGCTTGTCACCTTTGACAACATAGTCATTGTCATTAAAAGGGCGATCCGGCATGGAAACCACCCAGCTGTCAAAGTCGCCCGGGGTGTCATACCCGTATACCTTCAAGATCTCGCTCGCCACCTGTCGGACAGATACCTCATCAGATGAGGTAACATTGTACACAGAGCCAGCGATGCCATTATGCAGAATGGCGTCAAACGCATCCACGACATCAGATACATAGATGAAGTTCCGGGTGCGACTTCCATCACCCTGCATGGTGAGCTTCTTTCCATCTTTCACTAGGAGTGCGAAGAGTGGAATCAGTTCTACAGCCGAATTGATTAGCTAACAACGTCATATGGAGCAGGAGTAAAAGCTCACTCTCCGGAAACTGACAAGGCCCGTAAATATTATTACATCGCAAAATCATAGCTGGGATCTTGAAGCTTTTCTGATATGCCAGCACAAACATCTCCGCGGCCGCCTTACTAGCGGCGTATGGGTTCGTCGGGTTCATGCGAGTTTCTTCATCCACACTGACTCCGCGCGTCTCTCCGTAGACTTCGTCAGTCGAGGCATGAACATACCTGACAATCTTCCCATACGACCGCATGGCCTCGAGAAGATGATAGGTTCCAAGCACGTTCGAGTCTATGAACTCCAACGGAGCGGAGAAGGACTTCTGGACGCTTGATTCCGCCGCAAAATGGATGACGCTGTCGATGGTATACTCGTTCATTATCTCGACCAGATGCTCTTGATTGTTAAGGATGCCTTTGATGAAATGGAAACTAGGGTGTCCTTGGATACTCTTGATGTTATTCAGAGAGGAGACGCTGCTGAGTCTGTCAAGACAGACGACATTGTATCTGTCGCCGTACTGGCGGATCAGGTGGCGGCACATCCAACTTCCACTATAGGAAGATCGGGGTGTGAGATGTTTATCCAAGGCAGGGTGAATGGGCTACCTACATGAAGCCGGCTCCTCCTGTCACGAGAATGTTCTTTACTCCTGGATGATGAAGATTCTTGTTAGTCCCTACCAGATCGGTAGTGGAATTGATAGTCATCGTGGCGCTTGATATCAAAAGAGACAGAGACACAGGGGCACAAGTGCTGATATCCTTAGTTCAGCGTTGAAAACCATTCGAATTCACGGTCAACGGGGGTTTCTTGCTGATATTTAACCTGATAGGGACCATAAGATTGGGCGTTTGGAAAGTTTCAATGGACTCTTTTCAACTACGCAATTGGGGTCATTTCAACGTACCATGGCTAGTTTGTTGAAATCGTTGTATAACCAGGTTTGGATGATGCTAACATTCGCTTTTCCCAGTCCATGTTGCTACTTGCCTGTGTTGCACACCTCATGCAGGCTGACAAGCTCATGTGGTATCTGGAAACGGAAATGTTCCGGTCAGTGGATGCGAGGTTTCTAGTCCCTGAAAATGCTACCACTCTTGGTAGTGACTCCGGGGGTCACTCAGCCATGGAATGAAGCGTTACTGTTCAGCAGCATGTCTTCGCATACACGCAGCAAGACATCATCACGTAAGGGGCATCCCGGGGGTCACTACATGTCCTACCACATTCCTTTATTCAAGTGCAATGGACTCATTATAATAGTGATATGACTGCAGTGTAACGGTTTCTCTCGAGTGAAGGAGCTCCCCGGCATAGCGGCCCATTAGTGTGCGTTGGAAGGGCATGGATGCTACCACTACTACGATGAACTATGACTCTTGAATCCAGCCAACTAACTGACGAATCTCTAGCATCAGGTGAGAACATGAGATCATCATGCATGCAAGTTTTAGTGCTTGGAGCCAGTCTCATTGCATAAATTGGTGGCTCTGCAGGATTTGTTGGTGACCAGCAAGATAGGATCCTATGGTTCCTTGGTTGAGCGTTGTACAGACCGGCACTGATATCTCCTAGCTCCACGGTTCTCTACAAGCTTTTCCATCCCCGGATTTCCAGACTGGTTGAATTAAACATGAAGGTAGAGCAATGTGATGTCAATTTCGAGAAGCAATGTCCCATCAGCCAAGGTTACATGCAGCCGGAGATACTATATGACCCTGAAATTCATCTTCCGCTGCACCTGAGTTCTGAAGGACTTATAAGTCGCGAGACCAGCAATACAACAACGTTTGAAGTAAGTCTTGCAGTCATCTATGTTGCATCAACCGAGTACTTTGCCTATTACCGCTATTTCACTAGCACGATCCAGGTCAACACCATATCAGAATGTCCGCAGAGAAGAGTCTCCAGTTCCTCATATTCGGTACGTGCTCCTTATGAAAATTCAAACTTCCTCGGTCTAAGTATACTGATAACTTTAGGAAATGGCTGGATCTCAGGACAAGTACAAGAGATGCTAAAGTCAGCCGGTCATCGATACATCGTTTCTGCTGCGCGCATCGAGAACCGAGAAGCTGTGCTCAGGTAGGACTCGCACACATATACCATCTTCCATAACATACAATGGAGATATTAAAGACATCCATCTAGTGAAATCACACGAGTCAATCCCACACACGTCATCAACACAGCCGGAGCAAGGGGTGACCCCAACGTGGATTGGTGCGAGACTCACAAACAAGAAACGATCCGATCCAACATCATCGGCGCGGCAAATCTAGTCGACTGCTGTTTTCTTAAAAATGTGCACATTACTCACTTTGGTTCTGGCTGCATCTACGACTACGATGAGTGGCATCCCTGGGGGGGACCGGGATATACGGAAGAGGATGAGCCGAACTTCACGAAGAGCTTCTATTCCTATACGAAGGTCGTCTCTGAGAAGGTAATTTCTCATCATACCCATGCAGCGTGTGAAAAAGATGCTGGCTGACTGGGAGTGGAAATGGGCAGATCATCAAAGAATACCCGAACGTGCTCATCCTTCGTCTCCGCAATCCAATTGCCGCAGACCTGCATCCGAAAAACATGATCGTGAAGCTATCACAGTATCAACGGATTGTCAACGTCCCAAATGTAAGCCCCCCAACCTATCATATACGATGACCCATTATGAGCTTATATCTCCCAGTCTGGCAGTATTCTCCCCAGCCTTCTCCCCGGCGCCCTTCTTCTCGCGGAGAATAAGGAGACCGGCGTCTATAATTTTGTGAGTGACAATAGGCAATCCGGAATAAAACGTGGTTCGCTGATAGCTTGAAGGTGAATCCGGGAGCATTCACCCACAACGAGATCATGGAGTTACTCAAGAAACACATCTGGCCATCTCTGTCTTGGTCTAACTTTTCTGAGCAAGAGCAGAGAAAGGCCCTTCAGGCGCCACGATGCAATCTCGAGTTTGATGTTACTAAGCTGAAGCAGAAACTAAAGCAGTATGGGTATGAACTTCCTAGCACGATTGAGGCAATGGAGGATGCGTTTGAGAGGATCGGACAACTCCAGTCGAGGAAGTGAAATTTGGATGGTTGGAAGTGCGTTATGGGTTGACTCGAGTGCTTTTTTTTTCAGAATCGTGTATGGAGTCATACCTCGACAATGGATCATCAGCTAGGTGGTGATGGTAGCTGTAGTAGTAGGAGTAAAATTCATTAACCTGACTATCAACTAGGCATCCCTGTGTTTATGGCAACATGGCAAGTGTTTCCGGGTAGTGCCCTTCCACCCACCTCAAACCCCCACGCTTTCCTTGCTCCTGATATATGACTGCTGCTTGAGAAGTCGAGTCATTATCGATGATATCTCTTTCAAGAATATATATATTGTCTTCTCTTAAAACACGCATCCAAAACAGTCGAGACGAGACAACCACCTAGAATGGCCGTGCAATCAACTGGTGGATGCTGAAGAGAATAACAAAGCCTTCCAAAAGAAGCTCAAGGCCCGTGGTGATTTTGACGTGGCATTTTGGACATAGAAGCTGGTGTGCAAGTTGCAAGTCTCAAGAAAACCGGATTTGTCATAAATATTGTCATAAATAGCACGCGAGATGCACATTCGAATTTGAATTAGACAGACCGGGAATTCTGGACGTCTTGTGAAAGAGAAGGTTGAAGCCTCGTGAGGAAGATGCTCCAGAAAAGGAAGGCATCCAGGCAGGCAGGCAGGCAGGCCACGTGATGGACAGTCACGCTTTGCACAACTGAAGTGTTGCAGTGTTGCAGCTCTTCTTTCCTTCTTTCTCTTTCGCTCTCTCCCATAGACTGCGGTCTGTTGGCTTGCTATCGACCCCCAACGACCCCACCACTGGGGACAACATGAATGATTATTGATTTTTTTTATTCTTCTAATGATTGCGACTCTATATCTTCGGGGTATCGTCTATATACAGCTTTTGTTCATGAGTGGTTTTCGTGAAGATCCCAGACTCGCTAGGCATCTCAGTGGTTTTCCTTCCAAGGTCGGAAACACGACCTGCCAACGCGCTTTCCCAGGGCGAAAATTCCAAGCGCTGATGACACAAGAATGGAAAGGGAGGAAGTAGGTGATGATCCAGCCTCGCATGCCTCCTAGTCTCTCTCTCAAGTTCACTCCCCTAATGATGACCGCAAGCGTTGGCTAGTCTAGTTTCTCCATCGCTAGCGTCTTCCACGCAACTCAGGCTGCCTCTGAATGACTTCCGACCCCGGATGAACCAGTCACACAGGATGATGAAGACAACCACTCCATATACGGCCGACACATAGTTCATATCTGCGAACCGAGTCAGCGATGACGTTCCTTCAAAAGAAGGATTTCTCAGGGTGTACTTACTGCCGGTGTTCACTGGCATGGTCGAAGGGAGCGAGTACATGACGATGCAGAACAGAGTCCATGCCAAGGTGACATAATTCGCAGCAAGTCCCCATTTACCCAGCCAAAAGGGACCATGCTTGACGTTGTCGCGGCCCCGGTAGAGGAGACAGATGACGGGAACAGAGTATGAGACATACAGCAGGGAGATACACGCGGTGACCATGCTGTTGAACGCGGTGGAGGATCCGAGGTAAAGCAATCCCAGAACGGCGACGATGAAGGAGCTGGCGCCGTGGGCGGCGAGCGGCACGTCCAACTGCGGGTTGACCTTCGACAGCCACTGGTGACCAGGCATACCACGGTCCCGGGCAAACGCCCAGGCGAGACGTGACTGCCAAGTGTGGCACGCAATGAGGCAGCCCATTCCAGTCACCAAGAGGAGAGTCTCCAGAACGATGGCACCAGCCCTGTTCTCCAGGGCCTGGTAGTAGAGCTCCAGAATGGGAACTCCGGTGGCAGAGTTCATGAGCGCATCCAGGTCCTTGATGCTGAAAAACATGGCAACACAGTAGAACCAGGAGGTGACAAAGCCAATGGCAACGGTGGCCATGATCGCAATGGGGATATTCTTCTCAGGTTCCGGAACCTCTTCAGCCAGATGAGTCGCAGAATCCAAGCAAGCAAAGATCCAATTCGGGTTGATCAGACCAACAATGAATGCAATACCGTCGGATTTCCAACCAGTGGAGTTGACGAAGTGGGTGAAGACGAATGACCCACTGGCATGCGGGTTGGCGCAGGCCGGGACGGCGATCAGAATAACCAGGAAAGAGAGCAACGAAATATAGAGCGTGGCCTTTGCGACAGCAGGCAAAAATTTACCCCAGCAGTTGAAAAGGTAACAGAAGAAGTTGATGATCTCGTACGCTACAACGGTATGCCAGGCTTTGGGAACACTACTTTTTGTTAGCATTTACACACATGGTGGATACTTCTATCCAAGAGGCAGATGGGACTTGGGAAGCATACAATGATGGATGGCCAAGCTGCCACATTCCCACGCCGGCAGATCCGAGACTGAGCGACACACTAGCACTGGCGAAAATAGCACCAGCGTATCCGAACCAGCCAGTCAAATAAGACGAAAAGCGAGCATACTTCTTGGGTGCAAGTTCGTTAGCCCAGAAATACTGTCCGCCAGCGTTGGGCATGGAGCTAGCCAGTTCCGAGAGCGAGGAGGCAACGCAGCACGAAATAAAGGTGATCCAAAGCAGGCCGTAGATGATCAGGACGGTACCACCTGAGCTGATACCCGTGATGAGGGAAGCTGAAATTCCGAACCAGGAGTTTGACATGCAGAAGGCGATTCCAACCAGCGAGAGCAAAGAGAAATTGCGCTTCAAGTCCTGTGTATAGCCCATCTCAGACAACTTGAGGGCGTCTGCATCCTCGGATCCAGACATGTTTTCCCTGGAAGACGCGGGATTCACGCTCGCCTTCTTCTCTATGTCGAGTTCACCCATTGTTCCAGACAGGAGTTAACGTCAACGGTTTGGCGGAAAGGCTATGTCGCAGGGGGCAATTGAAGGTCACCGGTTCGAACTGCCGTGTTGGTAGATAATCGCGTGGGAGATCCTAAAGAAGTCTGATCGATTCAATCAAGACAACTGCTGCATAAGGGCTTATTCCTCTCGAGACACTCGGGAACGGGTTTGGGGTGCTGCTGCTGGATAGACAGGCTGTCGATCGAATGTCGCAGATGGGTGTCGCTTGTTCGAGTCGCGAGGGACGGTCAACTGTCGCGGGAGGGCTGAGAAACTGTACCCGGCGATACGGCGATACAAGGATACGAAGCTCCCAAAGCAATCAGTACTACAGAATTCAATCTGTGTTTCGTTGTGCTTTCAGGCTATCAACAAAAGAGGGTTGCTGTGGACAGGCAACCAACGCAAGAACAAATAAGGACGAGACCTTCACCACAGGGAAGGGACGTTGCAGAAAGAGAAAGCGGGGGGGAGGAAGAAAAAGGTATAAGAGGTTTGAAGAAGATATGAGGCACTATCTGCGTCTGGGATACGCTGAGTATTTAAGATTCAAACCTCTCTTCTCTTCCCTTTTTTCCCTCGTCGCTCTCCTCCGTCTTCGAACCAAGCCTCGCAGATGTCTCCACTGAACGGTGGAAGGGTTCCCCGTATCCGGATTGCCTACCTGCTATGACGCTGGGCTCTCCGTCTTCTACGAACTAACCGCAACAGCCCTAGCCAGGCATACGCAGCCGAGCCTCACGCCTCCCATTCGCTGTCGACGGTCTCATACCGTCATCTGAGGGTCTAGTCGGCTGGTAAATTAAGGTCGAGCCCTCAACACCCAACACAGGCAGTCCCTAATGGGAGGCTTCTGTGACGCCGGTTCTGCCGTTGGTGAAAAGATGATGGGGCTCTGGCACCGGCGGCCACCGAGCCCTTTCATTGGCTGATCTTTGCTGCAGGGAGTGGCGCCCCCACTTGGTGGATTTGGGTTCCGGCGACAGATTTTTAACTCCCTTCAAGCCAGTCGCTCTGGCGGTTCCGCTTCCGAAGGACAGTCCTACCTTTCCTTTACGTTCCCTGAAAACCCGGTGAAATTGTCATACCGCCCGCTGCAACGTGTATTCTGAGCCTAGCACGTAAACCGGTTCGGAGCCATTAATGGCCCGTTAGAATCTGGCAGGACCGGCCCGTGCTGATAGAATTTTCAACGCCGATCTTGCAGCAGCAACATCGCGTGTCTGACCTGCCACAGTGTTGTCAAATGCCTACCAGACCACATATCTTCAATCTCTTTAATGCACCCAGAAATCCGGGGTTTATTAGAGAGTACTCCATTTCACGCGTATCCTGACGCAAAAATCCGGAACCCTCCTCTCTCCTCGTTGGATCCGAGCTTTCTCCAACTGTACAGCCCCTTGGTCGGGTTCACCTGATTGGTTTGGTTCAAGCCCGCAGCCGAAGCCAAGCAGTGGATCTCATTTGGATCAGGGCTTCTCATTCGCAAGGAGAAAGCCCAAGACCACGAGAGGAGAAACATTTTACTAAGAGAATCCACCGGTCTGAATCGAGGCTTTTTTTCTCCTCTTCGGTCGAATAAAAATGGAAGGTTGGCCGTTGACTAAAATCGGGCGCACTGATGCAGTTAGACCAGGAATACGACCGCTAAACAGCAATTCTGTACGCCTGCGCTTCATACTGTGCAATTGTTTAGAGATTCTATCATCCCTGCTCGAGAAAGGATTTTTTGGCCACTTGCAGGGAGCACCGAGTTCGCAGGATCATGCGAGAAATCGAAGATCAAGCCACGGAATCCTCCCGCAACTAACCAAACTCTAGTGTCTGCAGGCTGCTGCTCAACCCCGTGTCGTCAATTTACCTCCTTAGGGCGAACAATCCTTGTCCGTCCCGGCAAATTAGTCCATTAAGTTTCCGTTGCCCGTTTGACCTTTAGCCGACGATCCTTGCTGTGCATCCCCCGTGGCCAACGAAACACATCTTGGGCTAACGTTGCGAGACGACACGACTGCTTAGCTGCGTTTCAGTTCACCTAAGCCGAAGAAATGTGGCGGTTCTATACGAGTTCCTCTGACATTCTGACACGGTATTCACAGAAGAATAGCAGTACAAGATGCGCCCCCAGGGCACCGTTGCTTCAACTCGGCCGATTTCCAAAAGTCCGTGGCCGATTTGGCCAACAGTGCATGGCGTTTCTTAGTATCCGCCACAAAGCTGGGGCCGTAGGAATCCCTTCCCGCCTGGGGGATAGCGCGTCGATAAGGATGATTTGGGCTTTGTTCTTTACCAAATGTAGTAAGTTTGCACGCCTCTATCGATCCCGCTGCGTGTGCCTTTGATGGGGCTCGCAACTGCAAGGAAAGAATGGCTTTTTGGGGGGAAGGTTTGCCGGATTCCAAGTGCTCAAAGCGGAGATTGATAACATTGTCTGATATTATTATTGTATTCGTGGCGTGGCCCACTTAGAGGGAGACGTCTGCGCTGTGCACCCCGTACGCTGTATGGTAATATTTGGGATGGAATTTGACACTTTCTTTACCGTGTTTATTGCTATATTGGATGGGGGTATTATTATTTGAATAATAATATCTGCCAGTTGAGTAGTGCATTGTTATTGAAGAACGCGGCATTCGTCCGGCATTTGTGGGTTGGGGTTTATGCATAAATTGCCATGTCAACTATCAGGGCTCTTTTCATGTGCCTATCAGAATGAGCGATCATGTACATCATTCAACGTTTTATTTCCTCTAAGTAGGTTCTATATAGTACCTATGTATGCACGCTAGACACCTAGGCTGTCAGACTGTCAGACCCTGTCATCATCCAAATGCAACCAACCCTCTTTCTATCAAGATAAGCATCTCAGAGATACGATTCAATACCTCCGGGCTTGGAATCTATTCAGACTCAACTATCCACCCTTATCTAGATTCAAATATATCCGTCTCTGCATGGATAGATAGACAGGTTACATCCAAGTCCGTCTGTCTATCCGGCTTTGTTTGTTTCGGTGGAGGATGGAGGGACCCTTGGTGGGTGCAGGTAAGCTGTTACTATATATGGTTGCTTGAGGTTGTGCTTGAAGCTGTGGATGTGGAAATAGATGGTCTGCTGGGTGTGTTTTGTGGATGTTTTGGATTCGGGCTTGGATGATCGATCATGTGCTACTGGGGATTGTGTATCTCGAGGCGATTTTCTCGAGTCGATGTCAGATTACGACTAGGAAAGGGATGGTGAAGCACGGGTTGATACTTGCGAGACCAGTTGGCTTGAATGCTGCTGATGGGAGTTGGTGGGTGTGTGTCGCTGTCCCGTGACAGTAGTATACTAGTTGTATATATATCGTTTCGAGCTCCGGCCGTTCTGTCATTGTCTGCTTCAACGTCACTCCGATCGGGTTCTGGATCGCCTCTCGATTTATTCCATCTACCCCATCATCATTCTTCATTAAGATAATAGGCCTGGGAGTTTCATTTTCTCGCCTTAACAAGATTTACAATAGGACTGGTGAATGTCTCCTCCATATTTGCCACGATCGGCTGGTGCCGAACCAAACTAAAGACCAGACCAGGGACAGACGGAGCAACTAACGTGTCAGACACCACTTCCCCCCTCCAGTTGGATATGCGATCGAAGCAATCGCCGATTCCACGCGACGATGACTCCAGAAATAACACGAGACAGCCATGATACTCCGTATTGCATCATAATCTGCACCTGTGCGACGTGACGCCCCTCCTGGATCCGGATCTGCAACCGCGCCCTGCGACCGAACACCAACACAAACCCCCGCTAGGCACCAACCCCCCTAGTGGCTCACTAGCCAGGAACACCCGATACCCTGCCCCGGGCCCTGGGCCCTGGGCCCTGACCCCTGACTTGCTCTCGCAGGTCGCTGACTTGAGGAACTACATAATGTGATTGAACGCCTGTTTCAAGCTTGCATACACACTCGCGTTGGGTCTGGAATATTCATCTTCCACAACAAAAACCGCTATAAGCTCTTGGCGAGCTGGAATTCTTGCAGTCATGGGATTGGATGGGATGGGATACAGGGAAGGGTCGCAAGCACTTGCTCGAATAAAACACTTGCTTCATCCCTAGTCGCGTTTGTCTGGTCACACCAGGGACTCGAGAGGTTGCTTGCTCCTGCAATCGATCATTCTATAATGCACTCGAATGGTCTTCGATCGCAATGATGGTGGCGGAGGGCTGGATGCACATTGCCGCATGGGGTTTATCCTGCAGCTCCGCACCCGATCGGGAGTCTAATGCAGGCATGATTCGAGACTGCGGACACTACATTTACAGCACCATTCTCCAGGCTGCGGGAACACTGTTGCAGGCCCTGTTGTTATCCCTAATTATACGGAGAACTCGTACCTTGCTCAGAGTTCGGATGCTTCGACTGACGTATTTCAAAAAATGACATCGATGGCTGGTAGAATATCAGTGAAGGGGGCCAGGAGCAGCACACCCTGGCAAAAATGGGCCCCACTGTCTGATTCTAGTTGGGGTCTGCACTATGCTTACTGCTACCTGTTTATTCTGTAGATTCGCAGATTGTCCCACTTATAATGCACCTCTTGATCTCAGGATTTCTCCGAAGACTGTCTGACTTCTTGCCACACCCCCTTTCAATCGTCGGGTTTTCGACCTTGTTCCAGGCATTTACACGCGGCATTGACGTCTTTTCGCTCCTTTGGAATTTGAGGACAGAAAGGCAAGGGTATATCTCAAAGTCCCTACGCTCCTTTCCTCCTTGGACTGCTAGAATTCATCTGTTCAATTTAAATCTCCTTCCTGATGCCCAAGGATATAATGATCACTCGGTCCTCATCGCACTGTACCGTCTGATTTAAAGGAAGAGTGATGTGCTTTCCGGGAGCCGAACAGACGCCCTAGATTCCTGGCATCAGCCCCATTCCAGAGCTCCGTGAGACAAAGGTATTGATCGACAACAACTACCTTTGAGCCTTTGAGAAGAGAATGTGAGTTGCTACTGTTACTTCCTTTTTTCTTCTCGCCCATCGATGATAATCATGTTTCGCGGACTTTTCCTGTATCGGATTTCCGATGAAGTAATGTTTGAGGAAACCCGGTGGCGAGTGCATAGGGAGAGCCATCGGACCTGGTATGCAAGGGATCACCCTTGCCTTCAATTCAGCCACTTACAGGAGCCACGATCTGAGAGATCGTTCCTTTGAACAACCCAGTGCCCTGTTGCAACCTTACTCGTTCCAGGCTCGGTTGGAACAATCCAACCTGCTTTGTCATTGTTATTGTTGTGATTCGTGTTTTTATACTATGCCTTGCCCGCGTCGCGCCGCCCTTCATACTACTGAGCAGTACTAACACAGGCACAGACATCTTCTATACCACACTCATTTTTTTTATCCTTGGTCATACTTCCATTTTATGGCCTTGGAATATTGCTTCTGCTCCTGGTGACGCGTGAAGTTGACGAATTCGCTCCTTAAAACATTGGCATCGGTCATTGTACTCAATCGCTCATTACAAAACTTTTATTACGGATTATGCCACGAATGATGCGACAGAATGTCGCGCTCGTGGCCTGTTTGGCCGTCTTATCGGGGGTAGCAGATGCCTTTTGGCGCCTTCCTTGTCGTGGAAGAAGTGGTGTGGCCCGGATGGATCCTTTGATCGCTCCAGGGAAACCATCAGACCATGTCCACGCGGTTCATGGATCAGGAGGTTTGTTTGTTGAGTCTGTGTCGGTTAACCTTGGCTAAAATTTTGTAGGATTTGCCATGTCGGCAACCGAGGCGAGTCTGAAGAAAGGGAGCTGCACTTCGTGTGCAGTGACCCAAGACAAGTCAGCGTACTGGGCCCCGGCGTTGTATTTCATGCATGAAAATGGCGATGCGGAGCTGGTCAACGAAGTTGGTGGCATGCTTGCGTGAGTAGAAAGCCTGTCTCCCACGACGCCAGTTGTCGCTAAACGGCCGCCCAGATACTACTTCCTGAACGGAGAGAATATCACTGCCTTCCCAGAAGATTTCCGCATGATTGCCGGCGACCCATTTTTACGCAACTTCCCTTGGCCTGTCCCCGACCCTCCAAAGTCAGAATGGTCTGGAGACCAAGTGTCGCAGCCCGCCCTTCAGCAGAAAGCCCTTGGCTTCAACTGCCTGAACTACGAGATAGACCCGGAACCGTCGCTAGGTCGCCACTTCATGCCGAACAAGACGTTCATGGACGAGCACTGCACCGACGGGATTCGGTTTGAACTTATGTTCCCTTCATGCTGGAACGGAAGGGACGTTGACTCGAGCGATCATCGGTCGCATGTAACCTACCCATCGCTGGTTATGGATGGAGATTGCCCAGAGGGATTCGACAACCGACTGGTTTCGCTTTTCTTTGAAACCATCTGGGACACCTACGCGTTCAAGGATAAACAGGGCGAGTTTGTTCTTGCAAATGGCGATCCAACCGGCTACGGTTACCATGGAGATTTCATCTACGGCTGGGAATCTGGGTACCTCCAGAGTGCAGTGGACCAGTGTACCAACCTGTCTGGCCGGGTAGAAGACTGTCCGATCTTCGACCTCCAGAGCGAAGACGACCAGGGTAAATGTACCTTCCCTGTTCCCGATGAGCTGAAAAACGAGAACGTGTTCAACCACAAGGGCGGTCTCCCAAACAACATCGCCATTCAGTACGGTCCTGCTTATGCAAGTCCGGTCAAATATACCACCCCCGGACATCCTGCTGCCACTCAACCTCCCCCCAAACCCCCGAAACCGGCTTTTACCCTCGGCGCGTCTTTCAATCTCGGTCACCTGGCAGGTCTGGCTGGAAACCTGGCGGGGAGTGCTGGAAATCTGGCGGGCAGTGCTGGGAATCTGGCGGGCAGTGCTGCAGGAAATGCTGGCAACTTGGCGGGGAATCTGGCTGGTGGCCTTCATCTTTTGGAGACGACTGCTGCTCCCCCTCCTGCTCCCCCTTCGACCTCGACTTCGACCTCGACTTCGAAATCAACAGCTAAATCGACAACTTCGTCAACATCTTTGACATCTACGAAACCAGTTGTTTTGTCGACGCCGACACCCTCGAACCCGGCTCCGACCCCACAAACGTCGGCATCCTTGACTTCGACCTCTGCCTCGCAACCAAGTGCCACGTCAACATCTTCGCCTGTATCTTCAAACCCGACTGTTCTGTCCCCTCCAACGTCGGCATCCTCGGAATCACCGGCCTCAGAAACACAGATTCCTTCTGCCACCAGGTTCTCAACTTCGTTCTTTGCTGTCACAAGTTCGACCTCCTCTCCCAGCATCCCGATCTCGACGCCATCGTCCGCTCCTTTGATTTCTCACCCCACGACGCCCCCCAGTCCTGTCTATCCGCCTGTCACGACGTATCCGCTATCAAGGCCTTCGCCAAAGTCGGATTACCTCCCGGTGTCAGGCTCTCTATCCTCAGCAACGAGGACCCCGACTCCTACCACCTCATTGGTCCCGGACGTCATCACCGAAGAGGTTGTATATCTCGATCAAGAGATCCTCGTCTACGTGGATGACAAGGGAACCCCTCTCGAAACCGTGACCGGGAGTGTGGAAACCATCTCGACCTCAACGTCCACCCTGACCACGATGGCGTCTGCCGTCGTGACGACCCCAACCATCGCCCCCATGAAGCGCGACAGACACTCCCACTTTCATGGCCGCCGACGTCATCGCTCCGGACACACGCACTGATCACGATCACGATCATAACCGACGACCGAGACGCAATGAACCTGAACATCCCCCACCCATAGCATAGCCATTCGAAGATGGATTCCCGCTCACGCGGTCTCCTTCCGCCCCCCCCCCCGACAGCGGCGAACACTACTTCAGTTCTTCTGAGCATATTGTTCGATTCATTTCCCAACACGTGTATCATTGTTTCCTTTGTTGTATATAATCATTGTCTACTCCTGGCTGGAACAGGTGATATACATGACACTGTTTTTGGGTTCGTTCGTCAGAATAGGGATCGGGTTTGTTAGATAGGTTAAGGTTTAATGCATTGATTGCATCTGGACACATGCTGTTCGATTTCACCGAGGTTGGTGTGTAGAATTGAGAATACCCAAGGTAAAAATATGGATTGCCGCGAAGATCTTTCAGCAGGGTATCTAGCATTGATCCCACGTTTTTGTCGTCTAATCTGAACATCGGTTCTCGCAGTACAGTATCTCTATAGTCGTGGTTTCAGCACCATCCAAGTTCATATTTGAGAGTCTTTCTGTCATATATGATAAACATCATATTAAAAGAAACCTTTACAGTTCCACGTGCAAGATTGAACCTACGGTCTTACGCAAATCCAGGACTAGAGGTTGCGAGTAGTGTAAATGCTTGGTTTTGGGCTATGATTCAGGCAGCGACACCCACCTTTGTTGTTCTGGGGCTTTTGGTGTTTGGCAAACACCCCCTGTTTTCCAAGAGCTACCTAGCGCCACCGTGCTCCTGCTGTATTTGGTATAGAGTTCTAATATGTAAACATCTCTTTGATAATCTAGTGCCCTGGCAAATGAAATGCATATTGGTATTGACAACAGTCTGTTGACTGAAGGTCTGATAATGAGGGCCATCTTATCAAGAGAGAGGGTAGGTAGCTAGATAGTGGCTTTTGGAATCTGTCTTTGATTTTCGAATTGGCAGCAATGGTTACTTCGGGGGAAGGAAAAATGGAGAAGCTTGAATAGCATTATTGACGTGTCTGCGTCAGAAAAGAGGAAAAGAAAAAAAAAATATATATATACCACACCACACAGATGAATGTGCTTTGATGATACAATAAGCTTAACTATGATACCTAGTTCGCTAGCTATATATGCTCCTCCTAGTCCCTCTCAAGTCTAAGACCTCATCTAACCAATCCAATCCAATCCAATCCAACTCAATCACTGACAAACCCCAGTCGCCGCATTCACGTCTTGCTATAATACAAACCCGTCAGTGTTTGTCTCTCTCTCCCAGCTCTCAACACACATTACCACCAACCCAGCCCCAAGATAGATAGAAAGAGAGAAAGAAAGAATGTGGAGCAACTTACCAGACAAAACCCACTCTGGCAGTTCCCCATACTCCCATCCTTGTTGCAAGTCGCCCCGGCGGCAAGCTAGTTCGTTCGCCCGTCAGTATAAATAACCACGAATCCGGGAGAAAGGGAGGAAGGGTAAGAGGTGGGGGAAGGGGGGAGACATACGGTGGCAGGGGTCGTATCCCGAGGAGCGTTGGCGTTCAGGACGGGAGTGGCGATGGCCACGTTCAGGAGGGCGAGGACGGCGAGGATGGAGAATTTCATTTTGGGGGGGTGGATGGGATTGAGGATTCGGTGCGGTGGTGGTGGTTGGGGTTGGGGTTGGTTTTCTTGTTTCTGGTTTGCGTTTGGGAAAGAGGGAGGGAGGGAGGGAGGGTATTTATACCCCATCACCCACTACTATTTAATCTCAGTCTCGCTTGATAGGCAACAATACCAGGGTCTATATGGATAGCGTATACCAGCAGCAGGCTCAATCAAGCGATTTGCATTGATTTGGTCAAAGTGTCAAGGTCGATTTCTACTCTTCGCATACATGCATGGTCCCTGCATGCACTGCAGTGGCAGCGCCGGCACGGGTAGCCCGGAATGAAACCACCCACTAGCAACCCCGATGATCTGCCAGAACCCGTGCCAGTGTCGAGCAAACCACTAGTTTGTGACTCTTATTTGGGGGGGGGGGATCTGCTACTTGACTAGCTTTATTCGGTAAGAGAGCAGAAGTTCTGGAGGTCTGGATGAAGATCGACGGACGATTGGGTCTGTTGGGGTTTCAAACCGCACTGGGACCGGGGACCTAGAGGTTGTGATTGACTTGGCCCTATGGCTTTGGTTTGCGGATAGTATATTTGGATGGGGATTTTGTGGGGGTTGGGGTTTAGTTCTTCGAGGGGGTTGTTTATTGTTGTTGATGTAGATATGTTTCTCTATTTATCAGTATGATGGCAACTGTATAGTCGGATGATGTCTCTTCCAGCATGGTGTTTTTCTCTCTCCATCTGGCAATGATATCCATTGGCGTGCATAATCTATCATGTTTTCTCCCATCGCTGCAGGCAGAAGGGTCAATAGACTGACGCCCCTCGTTAAACATTACCCGGACGATCATTCAGGGATAAATAGACAGAGGACGGAGCACGGAGGAAGTGTTGTGGTTGTTTGGTTGTTTGTTCGTGCTGAAAGCCCGATTGTCGAGACTAAAACTATTCTATCGTCGGGCTATTCGATTCTTCGCCTGTCTAGTGACTTTGTGAATCCCGAGCCAATACTCCTGACTATACCGTGAGATAAGAGTAGATTCAAGCAGTATTGAGTCGGGCTTGAATACGGTACTTCAATGCGATTTCAATTCCATCCAATCACCTCTCAATCGAAGATATAAGGCGGGCTCTACCTCCACCACCAACCTGGGTGTAATTCGCCTTCCTAAATTATCTTCCCTTCTTATCAAAATTGCACATATCATATTATGCCCAGTGGAATCGCTCAACAAGAAACGCTCAACTGCTCTAACCCAACTTGTCACCTGAGGAGAAAGAACCCCCCTTCCTAACTATTCTCTCTCTTCTTTCTTCCAGAATTACACGCCCTCGGTTGATTGGAATCTCTGGACAAGGGGGAGGGAATCGAATCAGGATGCGGTTTCCTGCTTGCTCCTTCTGCGACCGGTTATTGACAGTAAGCGGGACACAGACACAGACATTGAAGCTTCCATGCAGCCATTCTCCCACAGCAGCAACAGCATGGTGTCTGGGGAAGGGAAGATTCCCCAGCTTCGCCCAAAGAAGGATAAACGTAAACAGTCCGGCTCCGCCCGGGCCTTACCGCCTCCGCCCGAAAACCCACGTCATCACGCTAGCACCTATTTGGCTTTCGTGTGCCTGAGGTGGATCTCCCACGCCAGTACGGATACGGATAGTTAGATAGCCCGGGGGTAGTTGTTGGATTTTGACGAATATGAAATGCACTGCACTTGATGTCTCACATGTCAACGCGTCACTATATACTTTTGATCTTGGACTGTTAAGTCCAGGCAGGGTTTCGGGATGGCATCGGCGTTGGGGATACAACACCCAGCACAAGCAAGGCACAGGCTGAACGGCAGATGAACTCCGTATTCCGGATCTGGGGTTGAGGGTTTAAAATGGGTGGTGATGAGCCTCAGGTGTTGATCCCGCATTGAATGAATTTCAAACCCCACAGTGATAGTTACAGACACCGGATCATGGACTGTCTTTCTTTTCCACCCTCCATCCTCGTTCACATGCTCCCCCTCCCATCCATCTCACAGGGAACAGCTCGCACAACGGTTACACTCACCAACAGCTTCGGGGGGACAAGCAACAGCCAATGGAGTCTTTCTCAGTCTGCAAGAGCATGTTGGACATGAGGCATGAGCCTGTACAACACTGCCATCCATCAAACTCAATCCTCGAAAACATATCCTTTTGCCTTCATCGTTCCCAAAGCTCTCCCACCTCATTCGTGTACCCATTCATCCGGGGATGCGTTAGTCCCACGCCGCGCACCCAGATCCCATTTCCCTTCGGATATGCTCTTTCTCCACACACAATTCCAGGTTCAGGATGAGGGTGGAGGATCGGGGGAAGCGGAGTGGGAAGGGGAGTGTGGAGGTGGAGGTTCCGGTGATGGTTGTTGTGGGGTATTTAGTTCCCTGTCAATAGGATGGAGATTCATGACTGACAGTCTAGTGGATGCTGGGATCGCGAGTCTAGAGGGTTCGTTTCTTTAGCGTGTGCTGTGATCATGCTTAGGGATCTCTAAAGTTGGCTCTCGACTAGATAGTCGATTGTTGTCTGGAAACGGAGGGAACAAACATGATGTGTCTACAGCACCAGTAGCAGAGCAGAGAAAGAAAGATAACAGAGGAGAGTGACATGGGGGGTTGTGGGGAAACTCCAACGCCCATTCGCCGAAAGAAGTCAATCCATCAACTGGCAGCCTTGTGCTCGGTGGCACTGAGCCCAACCATGGATCCCCACGGCCTCGGATTCGTCGGATAAGGGCCAGAGTCCCGCGATCCTGCAGGCCAACCAACCGCCCTCGGGGATGCTTATCAAGCACCGAGATAACGCCCAGGGCCCAATCTTATATGCTATGCTTCCCTCGCCCGGCTCCAGTCCTGCAGTTGCACAGCAGATAGTATACACTGCAGCTCGGAGGGAGCCGAACTGCCACTGCCACTGCTAATAACCCCTCGCAATCATGGTTCACTCACTGACCTCCCCTCCACTGGACCTATCGCATCATTTCTCCGCCGTCACCCAGCGGCGAGAGGGCAGCCAAACCAAGTCGCTATACAAGTACTTCTTCATTCCAGGCATTGCGAACCTGGCCGGCGGTGCGGATCTCCCAGTCCTACCTCTCTCACTGACATGGCCTCACTCCACCGTCACACCTGTCCCCCCTCGCTAACCACTCACGAACATCAGGGCTCCCGAACGCGTCATTCTTCCCCTACGACACCCTCTCCGCCACCGTCGCCCACCCACAGCGATTCGCCGCCCCATCCGACCCCCAGCAAACCAAGAAACCCAGCGACGACACCCAATCCACCGAACGCCGAACCATCCCCAAAGAAAGCCAAACCACCAACCTCCTCAAGAAGATCGACCTCACCACCGCCCTGCAATATGGCACGTCAGACGGTCTCCCCGTCCTCGCCGACTTCGTCCGCCAATTCACCCGCGACCATCTGCACCCCAACGTCCCCTACACCGGGGGGCCCGGCACCCTGCTGACATGCGGCTCGACCGATGGCTTCAACAAAGCCATCGAGGCCTTCACAAACACATGGGATCCGCGTCGCGACTGGATCAGCCAGCGCGAGGGCATCCTGTGCGAGGAGTTCGTCTACATGAACGCAATCCAGACCGCCAAGCCGCAGGGCCTGAACGTCGTCCCCGTCGCCATGGATCCCCAGGGCATGCTCGCGTACGGCAAAGGCGGCTTGGCCGATGTTCTCGAGCATTGGGATTTCCGGAAAGGTCGTCTCCCGCATCTGATGTATACCATCACGTAAGTTTTCACCTCGCCCCATTGGTCCGTAAAGGCAGCACATCCTTACCGTACCTTGACTCACCTCATCCTAACTTTACTTTTTTTTTTCCCGCAGCATCGGCCAGAACCCGACGGGCGGGACCTTATCGGTCGAGCGCCGGAAGGAGATCTACGCGCTATGTCGCCAGTACGACATCATTATCATCGAGGATGATCCGTACTGGAACCTGCAGTTTCCATCTGCGGCGGCCATGGAGGCGAAGTTCCGGGGGCGGACGGTCGTGGATACGGCTCCGAGGAATTATAACGCCCATGGGAAATCCTCCGGGTACCCGTTCCTGGATAGTCTGGTGCCGTCGTATCTGTCCGTTGATACGGACGGGCGTGTTGTGCGGCTGGATACGTTCTCGAAGACGATCGCGCCCGGGTGTCGTCTGGGGTGGATCACGGCGCAGCCGGCCATCATTGAGCGGTTGGTCCGGATCACCGAGACCTCGACGCAGCAACCCTCGGGCTTCGTGCAGGCGATGGTAGCAGAGCTGATCGTGGGCCAACAGGTCGAAGACCCGAGTCCCCTTTCCAAGAACAAAAAAGGCGAACAGGAACAGGCCTGGCAGATGGACGGCTGGGTGCGGTGGCTGGAGGGTCTGCGCGCCGGATACGAGCAGCGCATGCAGCGCATGTGCACGATCCTCGAAGAAGGGAAATACTTCATCTCAGACGCTTGCTCAACCACCACCTCTGCCGACGAACACGCCTGGGCAGTCCTCGACAAAACCCAAATGTACGAATTCTCCTGGCCGACGGGGGGCATGTTCGTGTGGGTGAAAGTGTGCATCGACACGCATCCCCTGCTTGCGAAGTTCGGGCAGGAGCGGCTCATCCAGGCGCTGTGGGTGCAGTTGATGCAGAAGCCGTACTTGTGTATTATGGGGCCCGGGGCGATGTTCTCGCCCACGGCGGAGACGGTGGACCGCGCGAGGCTGTATTATCGGTTGTGCTTTGCGGCGATGCCCACCGAGGAGGTGGCGGGGATCACGAGGAGGTTGGTGGATGGGTTCCGGGCGTTTTGGCAGAGGAGGGATCTGGATGGGCTGGAGGATGATGTGGAGATGGCGATGAGGGGACTGCAAATAGAGGGGCGGGGGGAGGGGAATTTGTTGGGGATGGGGTGTTGATTTCAGTAATTACTATACTATGCGTGTTCGATTTGGATTCTGAGTTGGATGGCGTTGGGGTGAGTATGTATTGCGATTTACTTGGTATATTGATATTGAGAATAGTACGAATTTCGATACCTGTTTTTGAGAAAGCTTAATCTTGAACAAATCAATTTAATTGGAATTTCTTTTTGTTGACCAAACAGAAGAAAGATGAAGCAAGAAAGACACTCCCCTCGGAGTTGACTGAACAAAACAAAAAGAAAAACAAAAAAACGACCCCACTGGGACTCGAACCCAGAATCTTCAGTACCGAAAACTGACGCCCTACCATTGAGCTATAGAGCCAATTGTACATTACGTAGCCCAACACAGTGCCCTGTAGCCTAGCCAGATTAATCCCGAGGACCAACCACATCGCCATCGCGACGACACACAATGCGACAACACAACTTCATCACCCCGCGATCCGCCGCCGCGCGACACAAATTATCACCACCACAACTCCCTCCCCCCCCTCCTCCTCACCCACCAGACCCTCGCCTCCAACCACACCACCAAAATGTCCACGCTCGAAACCCTACCAAACACGGACCTGGCCGAAGAAATCGAAGCCATCAACGCGATCTACGACCCGGACACGCTGATCCTCACATCCGCATCCACATCCACCACCACCTCAATCCCCTCAACGCTCGACCTCGGCTCCGGCTGCAGCTCCAGCTCCAGCTCCACCCCCCCCTCACAATCACAATCACGATCAAACTCAAACCCAGGCTCGTCATCAACAATCCTCAAACTCCACCTCCCCAACCACCCCCACCTCTCCTTCCTCCTCTCCTTCGCACCCACCTACCCCGACGACCCCCCGCACATCCTCGGCACCGCATCCACGGCCTCCCGCGGCGAAGGCAAGATCGCCATCGACGTACTCCAGGATATCCTCGATCGAACATATCAGCCCGGCGCGGTGTGTTTGTTCGAGGTTATCAACGAGGCGGTGGAAGTTTTCGGGGAGTTGCGGATCGGGACGAATCCGAATAATAATAATAATGGTGGACATACACGGGCCAACAACAACAACAATAGCAGCAGCAGCAACGATATCAATGGAAAGAAGGAGGGGGAGGAGGAGGAGGAGGAGGATACACAAAGGCTCAACGACCCCACCACATCACCAATCCTATCTCATCCGCCAGATTGGGTGATCTCGGATATAATCACCGAAAAGAAATCCGTGTTTGTCGCGCGCGCGGCGAAAGTCACCTCCCTGGCCCAGGCGAAGGCGTATCTGGATCATCTGCTCGCGACGGAGAAGAAGGTTGCGGCTGCGACGCATAATATTTCGGCGTGGAGGATACGGGAGGTTAAATCGTCTCATTTATCATCGTCGTCGTCATCATCATCACAGTCACATGTACATGGACATTTGGGGATGGGGCCAGGGGCAGGGACAGGGGCAGGGTCGGGTAAAGCAGGCACCGGCGACACCACAGAACTCATCGTGCAAGACTGCGACGACGACGGCGAAACAGCCGCGGGAGGCCGTCTCCTGCATCTGATGCAGCTGATGGATGTGTGGGATGTGGTGGTGGTTGTGACGCGGTGGTATGGTGGCGTCTTGTTGGGGCCGGATCGGTTTAGGATTATTAATGCGGCGGGGAGGGATGCGTTGGTTAAGGGGGGGTTTGTGAGGGAGGGGGGTGGGGGTGGGGGTGGGGGGAAGAAGAAGGGGAGGAGGTAATGTTGGCTCAGGCTGGGGGTGGTGTGGGATTGAGGGATGGGAGATTGTGAGTGGGCTTGTATAAATATCGAGAAGAAGGGATGACTCGGTCTGGGAGACCTTTATAGAGATGGAACGAGGGAAAGACCTCGACATATAGACATGATGCGAGTGCGAAACTCGCCTCCGGGATCAGCAGTACATTAGCTCCTCAAGGGGAGGGAGCTGATGCATATATTAGAATACTACGAAAACTAAAGCAGTACTATAGTATAGATTCCGAGTTAATTGGATACCGGATATCGTAGAAATTACACCCAAACGCGTTGTAAATCATGAAGCCTGCATACTGCGTCCGATCACTCCCGAGTAGAGTGGTTAACGGCCAGGGTAGGGTAGGTTAATGGAAAAATTTATACCTGCTGTCAGGTTAACGGTTAGATACAAGATTGTCTTATACCTAACCGCGGAACAGCCAAAAATAGGACGGTTAACCGTCTTAACTATTCTTGGCGCCAAGATCTACCCGCTATATCTCTTTAGGCCTTAGCTCGGGTAAGATATACTCAGGTTAATCCCCGTCTATCCTGACTGTTTATATCTTTGCTAATAGTAATTCATGCAAGACAAATCTTCTTGATCCCCCAAAGATGGTCAGAAGGAAGAAAACAGCATGCTTTATTTGATACTATTCTGATATATATAGAATTGCCTGCAGTCCCTGCAATAGAGGAGAATCAGACTTCATTATATCAGGTTACTAGCCATTTTCATAGTTTCCTAGATCTAACATCAAGATTGCCGCTATCCAGAGGCTTGAACTGCTAGATTACCGACAGCAGCAAAGTAAGGCGAGCGAGCGAAAAAAAAAAAAAAAAAAAGAAACGACAGAAAGCTTCTATGTGCCCTGCACCCTTCAACGTCCAATCACAAAGTTAGGGAAGTTCTTTTCCAACAGTTGGAAAAGATCACCGAGGTGCCTGGCGCCCTGTCGGAGCTCCCTACCCGTTACCCAGTCCCAGCTTCCCACGAAATACTGGAAGTGACGCGCCCGGGACGTCATGACGTTCAACCTCTTGGAGGTACGCAGCACACTTGCCGCGCCCATGTTCCTCGTGACCAGGATGATGGTCGCGGCGGCCTCGGAGCCCTGAGAGGCTTCGACTGTCTGGATCCTGGGGACGATGGGGGCGTTCGGCCACCGGCTTGCCAGGAGGTTCGATGCCGTCGCCACCTGGGCACGATACGCAGACATGATCAGAACGTCCTTGACCCCGCTGGCGATCAGCTGCATTGCCAGGGCCAGCCCCAGACTGGCCTCGCCGGCATTCATGAGGGAGCCGTCCGTGTCCTGAGATGTCGGGCTCCGGATGTGGAGGAATCCGACCATGTCCTTGAGGGCCCAGGCGCGGCCTTTGTGGCTGATCGTGATGGTGGCATTGCCGGCGAACCTCTTGGCGAAGGGCGAGGTGCAGTGCGCGCTCTTTACCTCCTGGCCATCGTTGTAGATGAGAGATGTCGGCTGGTAGAGGGCTTGGTGCGCCCGGAACTGCTGGTTGAGCACCGTCCTCTTGTAGGGCTTCCTGGTGAGTCGCTCAAACGCCGATTCCGCCCAGGCCGATTGCCCGTCTTTCGTGAACGCGACAGGCCACATCTGCCTGCAGTCCCCCAGGAACAGCATTCGCGACGCCCCCGGAAGCTTGGCCAGGACGTGGAAGATCTCCGTATCCCGGTAGGCATTGGCCTCGTCGAACACGAGATACTCCGGGTTGAACCTGCGGCGGAGCATTTCGGAGACGTTGACGGGGGTGGTGACCACAATATCCACGTGTCTCATCATCTCCTCGACGAGGGCACTTCTCTGGGCCGAAAAGCGGCGCATATCGGTGTAGCCACTAGCTGTCCCCGATTTCCGGATGGCTTCCACTCCTTCCGAGAAAGCGGCGAAGGAGGGCTTGTCGTGGTTGGCGAGGAGCAGCATCCGGCCCATATCGTCGTGCAACGACTCTTTGCCCGCGAAAAGCCTTGCCTCGGTTTCGCCCCAGGATCGGAGATGTAGGAACCGTGGCTGGAGGCCAAAGGACCGGAAGAAAGGGGCCAGCTGGTTGATCACGGCTTCTCCCGCTGCGTGGGTAGGTCCTAAGATGGCCACTTTGGCATATCCTGCTTTCCCAGCGGGGAGGATGCTGCTCACAAACGCTGCTATAGCTGCAGCTGTCCTCGTCTTGCCTGTTCCGGGTGAACCAACCACGAGCGATAGCCGGTGCTCCACGATCTGTATCACCGCTTGCTTCTGTAGGTCGTCCAGACCCCACGAGGCCGGGATGAGCTTGCCGGGCTTGTCTGGCAGTGGCACCGGGTGATATGTGGTGATCATTGGACTGTGCGGCAGGAACAAGGAGCCGAGGCGATGGCTGGCTGAGAGGCCCGCGTCTTGGAGTTCAAAGGCACGGCAGATGTTGTCGAACTCACTGGCCTGGACGGAGACCTCCTCGATAGCCGGGTTCAAAAGAGGGAGAATCTTGACGTGCTCTTCGTTGATGCGGGGGACCTTCCAGGGCTCGACTTTGTTGCGGAGGAGGGCGTGGATCGGGGCCGACAGAAGTTGCTTCCACTTCATCGAAGACTCCGTGACCACTGCTGTCCACTCTGAGGCTCCCTTCATCCCCGGAACTGGATAGCTCTGCGCCTTGGCCGGGAGGAACCATTTCGCGCCCCGGAGGAGGATGGTGCATCCCCGATACAAGCGGAACGGCCGCTCCTCGGCGGGCCATATCCCCAGCACCACTCGATCCGCCACGACAGCACCCTTGACCGTGCAGCCCTGGACCGCCAGCTTCTGGAGCTCCTCCCTGGCCTCCACGAGAACGGCTCGCTTGTTCATGGCGACATAATCCCTCTCCGCGTCCGCCACATCGGTGTATCTACCAGCTAGCGCCTCCATGACGGGAGCTTCATGCACGGCCCAGAACTCAGCCTTGGGAAGCACCTCAAACCGGACCGTCACCCCAGACGCAAACGAAACGCCGGCGAGCGGAAACATCTGAGGATCAGAGTTCTCATATATCTTGCCCTTGGACAACTCGACGACCTTGACCCCCTCGATGACGTTACCGGGCAGGATCCGGATTTCGTACACGAAGACCCCCCGATCAAAGTGCAGGATCTTCCGCTCCACCTGCCCGAGGTCAAAACTCACATTGAGGAACGCCTTGGTCCTGCCACCGTCTTGGGACCAGCCTTGACGGATCTTGAGCGTCTTTCTGAACACAAAGAGGTGGATTGCTGGCTCTGTCCCGACCGAGACTGGATCCTGCGACATGTTTCCGGCCCACATACCCGCCACGGGCATCTTGATGCTCATGCCGGGTCTGTCGAAGAACCCCATTTTCGCTGTGTATACTTGTCAAAGACGGAGCGGCGCAGGGTGCGGTCGGTCGGTGAACGTCGATACAGGCAAGATGGTCGTGCTTTCGTGGGAGGTGAGGAGAGAGGGGAGGTCGAGGATCGAGAAAACGGGCAGCTGGAGGCGACAGGCTTAGAGACAGAGAGACAGAGAGACAGAGAAGAGAGTAAGGAGGGTTGGGGGAGTCGATGATCAGCAAAACGGGTACCAACAGCAGTTGGGTACCTTGGAAGAGCAAGAAAACAGCTAATGCTGAACAGCTCTTCAAAGTGGAGAGAGAGAGAGAGAGAGACAGAGCAGGTGAAGAAGGCAAAGAGGGTTCGCCAGACGGCAAAACGGGCATCCAAATGCTGTTGAATGCCCCGTAGAACCAGAGTATCTCGTGTCAACGGCAAGCGTAAACGTCTTTTCCGAGGAGATGAACAAGGCAAGTAGCGAGGAAGGAGATAGCTGAGGAGAGGAAAGAAAGAGAGAGAAAGGATGGGGGGGGGGGGACACGTGTGTTATGCTCGACTCTGAGCCACACGGAATGAAGGCATTCACACGCTGGCATTCACCTGGTCATAGCCGACGCTGGCAAGACCTCGACGAACGGGGTCATTTGTATTAGTTGGCCAGGGAAATCATTCTGTGAATCTCTACCTTATTATGTCGATACTCTCTGTACAGGATATTGTTCATCCGAAAGATACCGGTCTTGGGATCATGCTGGATACAGGTCAATTCCCTGTGTTTGATTCCCAAAGGACACTGGGTGAATTGCTCAATCACGCCAATTTCGACACGCAGAGTCAGCGAGAAAGTCTCAGACCAGGCTACAAGGGCCAAAATAGAGGGTCCCCAGGGAAAGGTGATGAGGGTTGAGGAGCTTGCAGGGTAGTTGGCGTAATCAACCAGATATACTACGATTTATAGTCATGCTTTTTTGAGTCATTCAAGTAATCCCTACGAACCTTTCATGTGTTTTGGCAGATTACATGGAGTTCCTGTTTATTCGAACATAGTCAGCACAAATAGCAAGCTCAAGTAGACTGATAGAACTTGATTTGCATGCTTTACTCTGATAGAAGGCACGAGAATACAAACATGATATAGGAGTTAACTATTAGATCTGTCCCATGAGAGTACTACGTATATGACAGCAGAAATCTGTTTTATCTGTTGACCACACAGCCTGCCAGCAGACTATCCATTCCATAGTAAGTATGTCCTTACCACCGTAATACCGGCCAGGAAAAAGGAACCGAATTATCCGTGGCCGTATAGACTGTCTCGTGCATCTCGTAGTTCCCGCACATGTTATCAAACGCTGCGCTATCGAGGAAACTCCTAAGAGCCTCACTGGCTTGCAATGCGGTCTCTTGGAAAGAGATAATCATTCAAGTTCTCATTTTTTGTAGGGACCTTCTCGGCTGTCTCCTGTCGTAGGAGCTCTTGAACCTTGGGTTCTCGTCGATTCGACATCGTGTCTGATTGCCTTTTCGGGAAGCATAGTTTGTAGAGTGTTAGATCGAATTTCTGTGTTTACAGGAGAGGAATATCGTCCTCCCCCCCCACCCCCTTCCCTGACAATAAAGGGGGGGCGTATATGTTCCCACTTTATAGAGACCTCCGTGACAATTGCCATCGAGAAGATCGTCTGCTTGGCGGGGTTCCATGCTCAGATTCGGGAAATTCTCATGCCCTCCTTTCATGGAAGGAAGAACCGTGCAGCCCCAGTATAGATGGAATGGCTGGTTGGATTGCCAGCGGCATTTTTATCTCAGCGAGGGAGAACTGACTGCCTTCACTATGCAAAGCTAGACCTAATGACCAGACACAAGCCAGATCTTGACTAGCAAAAACTGATTGTGGTCGCTGTTCTCCCATGTCCTGCCCTTGGGAAAAGCGACAATGTTGTGTATCCAGGCGGTAAGGATGGTTCGTACGCTATGGTATGGTTGCTGCAGGAAGGCAGCGCTTGTCACTCGATCAAGATGCCGATGAGGTTATTCGCAAATAACGATCACTGGTAAACTGATGAGATATTGGTTTCCTATCTAGAAGGTGAGAACGCATGAGACGAGGGTATCTAGGCAACCACACATTAGGGCAGGCTCGACCGACCCCCCTCGCACCTCACCGCCCCTGGCAACCATTCCCCGATGTCCTTCGGAGGATGCACAGCCCATATACGAAAGCAGAAACAATGTTCCGTCGATTGAAGTCCATGGAGCATCTGCCATTCAACCTAGGGCAAGCCAAAGACCGTGTCCAAGAAAAAGAACACCTTTGCTTTCTCACCATCACCGTCCTTGGTCCAACCTTGCCGAATCTTGATAGCCTCTTTTGGCTGAGAGAAACAAATATCCTGAGACGCAATTGTCACACACATGGGTTGTCTGCTAGATGGAAGTCGAGTCCTGATTAACGTTGTTGAGGAATCTTCCGATGGGTGTATGGCCTTTTGCCTGGCCTTCTCTCGCGGCATGCTCCCAACTCTGCTGAAATGGCTTGACGCGACTGTGTGTCGATATAAAATGTCGCACATGGCTAACTTAAAGCTTTTTTTTTGTCCAAATATGGCCGCTTTGGAAGTAGAGCACCCGATCTTCTCTGGTAGCATGCTGCTGGACGCAGACGTAAAGGTGTTCGTTCGCAATGGCCCCGTTAGAAATCATGAGGTTCGCTTGTCGGCGCCGAACTGACTTGGGCTAGGTCTGGGTATCCGTTGAATGTATGGTGTGGGATAAAAATATAAAAGCTTATTCCGAGTGAGCCCGCCCTTTGTATAAAAGATCAAGCCTCCTAGTGTATATTATAGAGAGAGGATTAGATCTTTTCTTCCAGGTAAAAAGAAAAAGACAGAATGAGATAGTCTGGTAATGCAAGGATCGTGAAATGAGATAGCTATAGAGGGGAGAGAGAGAGAGAGAGAGAAAGCGAGAGGAAGATAAAAATTAACAACCCTTTTATATCCCACGAAGGCAGGCTTTATTCTTGACGATATTCACCACAATAGTTGAAACCAGGGAAAGATAAGACTACATTCAATGCTAGATCCAAATAAATAGGACTGTGACTCTACCCGACCATCCATCCCCCAAGGCAGGAAAAGATTCACACCCCAGATTACCCCTACCCCTCCATGCCGCACCATACAACTAACTAACTGCCTTTGAAATGGTGGCTGGGAATAGGATGCAGAACGCGGTGAATATTTCTTCTTTCCGTAGCAATCGGGACGGCGTAGCTAGCTGATCCAAAGACGGGCTATCTCGAGCACAGGCAGGGCTGGGACAGGAGCACGGCGGATGGGTACGATTGCAGGCTTGCGCGGCTCTTGGTGTTCATGTTCATTCTGGACAGTCGAGCTCATCGTGTCTCTCCAGACGATCGATGATGGTGGACATCGAGGCGGAATGACATGCCACGCGTTGGTGATTTTCAAGCGCTATTGGCCTAATGGCTTCGACGGTCTGGATTGATGCTCGGGTTGAAGACTTGATTGAGCTCATGGTGTCTGTTCAGAGTGTCCGAGTACACCATCATCGGGGGTCAGTCCCAGGAGACATGAAGTGGACGCGACCGAGGGTGACTGGTCGAAGCCAGATCAAGTGGTGACAGACCAAAAAGACCACTCGGCTAAAAAGGTGTCCAGACACCTGAGTAGGCGTGATACTGAATGATAGTAGGTTTGACACGGCTCCAGCGACCCCATACGAAGTCTCAAGAATAGTATTAACCAAACCAATGATATTATAATCTAACTTACTTGATCAAAGTCAAAACAAAGATAAACTAACCCAACATAAATCGTCCCAATGATATTATATGATATGAAATAATAGAAGAATATTATACCCGAACCAGCGTTTTCAAACCCAGCCAGCCAGTCAACCAAGCCAACCCCTGGCCTGTTGTGCTTTGCTTTGCTTCCTTTGATCTTTAAATCTTCAACCCAACCCAACCGATAATCTACAACATCCCCCTCTCACTCAACGCTCCCCTCAGCGTCTTATGCAGGGCAAACACATTCTCCTCCGCCATCATGGTATGATGACTACCGGGAACATCATGATAGCGAACGCTGTCGCTATGCTCGTTCCAGCGCATCAGGTGCTGTTTCAGCCAGACGTCCTTGTCGCGGCCGACCGAGACGAGCGGGATAGCGTAGAAGACGTCCATGTGTGCCACCGTGCCGGAGGGGTCGTATGTGTGGGCGAGCTCCTGCAGTTTGGACGAGAGCATGGCCCAGTCGCGGATCTTGGCCTCGCTCATGCCGAGTTCGGCGACGCGGGCTTGGTCGGAGACTTTCATGATGGAGGGGAGGACTTCGCTTTGGGGGAGCTGTTTTGAGGTGTGAGTATTTGGTGGGAAAAAAAGGGGGGGATGGGGAGGGGGCAGGAAGGAAATACCTTATGCATATCCGGCGACATAAGATGGGCATCTTCCTCGGTAATAAAGCCGAGGAAGTAGACCAGATGCAGGAGAGACTCGACGTAGTCCATCTCGCGGATGTGTTTCTTGATGTGGGGGGGCAGGTTGAGACTGCCGAGGAAGCCGACGCGGTCCCCAGACGCCTCGACCTTCTTGGCGGTTTCGAAGGCGATCATGGCGCCGTACGAGTAGCCGATGAAGATGTAGGGCCCCTCGGGCTGCAGGGCACGGATGTGTTTGAGGTATGTGCTGTTCGATATCGATTAGTCTGGCGGTTCGATGGCAGGGAAGAGTGAGGGAGGACATACTCAGTCATCTCATCAACGGAAGTAAACATCTTCTCCCCGGGATTGAACCCCGGCGAGCGCAGGGCATATACCTTGCGATCGGCGAAATATTTACTGAAGTTCAGGAAGACCAGGACCTCACCCATCCCGGGATGGAAGAAGAAGATGGGGGGCGCCTTGGAGGGGCCATTCTGGAGCTCGACGATGGGGTTGTAGGGCTTGGGGCCCTGGTTCTGCTGCAGATCCTCGAGCATGACGGAGAGGGCCTCGATGGTGGGGTTCTGCAGGATGGTGATCATGGGGATTTCCTCGGACAGGCCGAGCCGGGACTCGACGATGCGCTTGTAGCGGATCAGACGCACGCTGTTGACGCCCATGTCGTAGAGGCTGTCGTCGACGCCGACCTCGGCCAGGTCGAGACCGAATTCGTCGGCGAAGATCTCGGCCAGGGTGACCTGCAGGTCGTTCTGGGGGGGACGCTTGGAGCGCGCGCGGTAGGAGGCGGCGCGGGAGACGGCGTCGTCGCGGTGGGATGTGAAGCGGCCCTCCTCGTATTGCTGCTTGAGCTTGGTGCGCGGGAGCTTGCCGAGGGAGTTCTTGGGGAGGAGCTCGACGGGGAGGGGGATGATGTCGACGGGCTGCTTGGAGCAGTAGAGGGCGGTGATGCGGGAGATGGAGCTGAGGGTTTCGACGAAGGTGCGGTCGTCTTCGACGCCCTTCTGGCTGGGGAGGTAGAGCACGATCACGTCTTCGCTGTCGGCGTTCTCGAGCCACGAGGATACCACCACGGTGTACGAGGGGACGAGGCCGTCCAGGCCCGAGGCATCGATGGCGTTCTCCAGCTCGTGCGAGTAGAAGTTGATGCCGTTGATGATGATGCTGTCCTTGGACCGGCCGGACAGCACCAGGTTGTCGCTCTGGTCGATGTATCCGGTGTCGCCGGTGCGGAACCAGCCGTCCTCGGTGAAGGAGGCTTTGGTGTTGCGGTCGTCGTTGTAGTAGCCCTTGAAGACCATGGGGCCGTACAGCTCCAGGTTTCCGGTCTCGCCGCTGCGCAGGATCTCGTTTTGGTCGTTGGATATGCGCATCTGCAGGGTCGGCGTGGTCTGGCCCACCGAGCAGAACTGCATCTTGGCCTTCTGCTCCAGCTCGGGGAAGCTGTAGTGGTAGTGGATGCCCGCGCAGGTCTGCGTCCGTGAGTGTTTGTTCCAGGTAGGCGCTGCAGCAGACTTACCTCGGTCATGCCGAACGATGGGTGCAGCACGTTCTTGGCCGCGCCCATCTCAACCAGCTTGCGGTTGAACAGGATGCTGGTCGACGCGAGGTTGGCCTCGCCACCGGAGAGCACCACGTGCAGGTGGCTCAGGTCGATGTCGAGAGGACGACCTTCCTGCTCCTGGCGCGCCTCGATAGCCTTGCCGACCAGAGCCACGAGGAAGTTGGGCGCAAACGCGTTGGTGACGGCGTACTCGGCCATCTTCTCCAGGTACATGATAGGGTTCTCCAGGACCGTCACGGCCGGGAGATGGATCTGCTGGGCGCCGCGAGAGAGCGCGTGCATGTGCATCTCCATCAGACAGGCGACGTGGTCGAAGCCTGCAAGGTCAGGTCAGCCTTCCTCTCTTGCTTTAAGATTCAAGACGGTCAGCTCTTACCAATCCAGTTGAGGAAGATGTTGTCCGGGCTGCTCGACAGAGCCTTCCACTTGGCCTCAACGGAGGCAAGGATCTGCTCGTGGTGCAGCATGACGGCCTTCGCATTGCCCGTGCTCCCGGAGGTCAGCAGCAGCAGAGCGATGTCATTCAGATGCGACGGCTCCTGGTACTCAGCCTCGGAGTATTCCCTCTCGTTCTCGAAATCTTCGACGTAGAACTTCTGAGAGTCGTCGAGGAGCATCAAGTCCCCGGCATGCTTGTAGCCAGTCAGGACGTTCGGCCGCTCCAGCAGCTTCTGGAGATGGCTTAGATGGCGCTCCCTGGCCACGGGGTCTACAGCCAGGGGGGTCGACACGGCGGGAATGGAGCCCGCGGCAATGACCGACCAGAACCAGATGATATTCTCCTTGTGGGTGTCGAAGTGAACCAGGAGAATGCGCTCGGGCTCGGCGATTTTCTTCTCCAGCAGGAGTTGTGCATTGCGCTGAGGCAGTCAGCCACGGGCGAACACCGACCCATGCGACTCAAGTTCGACATACCTTAACAATGTTGTAGAACTCCGGGTATAAGATCGTCTCCGACTTGTGACTGCCTACACTATAGAAAACAAAACCCTTGGAGGGCGACGTCTCCGCCGCTTGCTCCAGGTAACTCAAGATGCCAGGGGCCATGGAGGGCGATTGCTGAGAAGGAAGCTGGACTTGGATTTCAATATTTGGGCAATGGAGAAGAAACCAAATCCCCCCCCCCCCCGATCTTCGTCGGACCGGCCAGTTTCTTATAACATGCCGGTTACTGTAGGTCTGTCTCACCTGCAAGCTCGACACACTGCAAGGGCATGACCTTGGCGTGTCTCGACAAGGTCGATGAGTCGTGACGACATATGGATACCTTTTCCTTTCCCACCGACCAGATAGCCAGAGACATTGAGGTGGATCGGTCGCAGATACTGTCGACCGGTCTCGCTCATGCCCCCCTGAGGCGTCGAGCAATTATGTCAAGCAGGAGCCTTGGCGGAGGACCGATAGTCGGATTGCCTGCTTGGCAGCGGAGGGCATTGGTGCACCAGAGGGAGTGACTGACGGGGATTCTTGGACGTCGATTGCAACGTTGTATTCGGGAAGTGACAAGGTTTTGATAAGCTTGCCCATCGCATTGTTCGAGTCGATTGTCAGCGCCGGAAACGGAAGCCAACAACGGTCCACAATGGCATGACGGCCACCACTTCGGCACACCCGGGCGGTTACTGTTTCCGCGGGCATTTAGGGGGCCTAGAACAAGACGGGAACCCGCCGGGGGGGTTCTGACGGGGACTCGGTGTCATTATGATTGCTGCCTAGAGGCTTAGGCTGGCTGATCTCCCTTCCGCGGACCCGTGGATTGCCCAGCCACCCGCAATGGGACAACCCTCGACAGGGCCGTTCCGTGGATGGGGACGATCGACGGCAGGGGGATCTGCAACCCCAGCACGTAGGGGCAAGACATGGCCGCAGCTGAGGCCCGCCTTGCATGCTACCTCCGAATTACTTCAAGGTAACCTCAGCACTAGAGCAACAGCCTACAGACACGGTTTCGTGGGTACAATATCCCCGGAGTGTTCCGTGAGATTAGGTCGATGTGTAGTTCTATAATCCTAATGTCTGTCCTGGATGTCACATAGGCCACGCCCGTTGAGATGTCGAGGGCGCGTGGGTCCCGGATGAATTGAATCATCAGCGATTGAAATCCCCTTGCAGGAGGTCCATGAGATACCCAATGCCCGCAGATCGATATGTGTCCGGCTCCACATACGCCAGCTCTGTCCGATTCACATCGAAGACCATATTCTGCGGGCGCTCCACCGTGTACGGCGGCCAGTACACATTTGTCACTATGTATGTCTCATTAGCAAATCTCCAGCCCCCGCGTGGGGAGATGTCTTGTCTCACCGTTGTTATAATTCGGATCCAGGTGGTTCACGAAACTCACCCACATCCGGGACATCATGGTCGCCAACTGGGGAAAGGTCGTGGTGTCATTGCCGATCTGTGTGCCCAAGTCGTCCAGATTGTGGAGGGAGAATGCCAGCTCGTCGAAGTGAGCGGCGCCATTGATCGGCCCCTCGGTCATCACATTCCAATGGAACGAGTAGGTGCTCACATTCCACCGCGCTAGCCACTGGCTGGTTATGCGGCGCGTCGAGTGCATGAGCAGGTCGCCACTGAACGCCGCCGCACGTTTCCACTGATAGCCGTATTCCGGCGGGGGCCGGCCGTGGAGCGTGGCTGGGATGCCGACGGCGGGGTCATCGGGGTAGAGCGATGCCAGGTGGAGGGCCGTGGACTGGTTGGTGCCGTTATTGCGAAGCATCTCCAGGAACTGCGACGTCGTGTTGATGCCTCGGGGCGCGTACTTGGTGCCCTCGTCGAAGTTGGTTCCGATCAGGAGCGGCCGCCTGGCAAACCGACCGGTCTGCAGGCCGGTGATGCCGGAGGCCGTGAGAAACTCGCCGTCGATGACCGGGTGGTAGCTGGCGTTGGTCGTAACGGAGCTGTTGAAGATGGCACTCAGGGCTGCGGTGGGCACGTGCCGCAGACAATCCAAGGTGTCCGGGGCCCTGGAGCAATTCGCTGCATTGACCACGGCCTCGTAGTACGGCTGCGCGACCGACGCGTTCATGTATGAGGCCAGCGACGGGATGGAGCCACTTTCCGCGATCGCGCCGCGGAAGATATTGTCGTCGCGGCCATTGTATGCGACCAGGTGCAGGCCGACGCTGTTGGCGCCGGAACTCTGGCCCCAGATGGTGACGCTGCTCGGGTCGCCGCCAAAGCCGCCGATGTTCTCGTTCACCCAGTGCATCGCCAGCCGTTGGTCCCGGAGGCCCAGGTTGGCACAACCGTCAGCGGCAATCTCCTCGCCGTAGATGAAGCCCCACCCAGAGAGACGGTAGTTGATGGTGACCCCGATGATGGGAGATCCCATTTCTACGGATTGCTCGAGGATGTAGGAGATGTTGTAGCGCGGGTCGCGGCTTCCCCCTTGAGCGTATTCGCCGCCATGCATCCACAGAAGGACAGGAAGATTAGCACTGGCGTTGATTCCGTGGGGTCGCACTACACTGAGCCCCAGGCAGTCTTCGGACACGATGTCGCCCCAGGTCCAGTCGTCGCTGCCGTAGCCGATGCATTCCGCGCAGTAGCCCGTTGCGGGCCGGGTGCCGTTCCAGGTGGTGTTGAGGGACTGCGGCGGGCGAAATCGGAGACTGCCTGTCGGGGGCTGTGCGTATGGCATGCCGAGGAACATGTCCTGGTTGTAGGTGGGGTTGTAGATGCCGGTGTAAGTGCCATTGCGTACACGGGCCGCCGGGGCGGTGGTGGCGTTCAGACTGAGGGCTGCAGTTGGGAGCCATATCGATGCGCCCGCGATGAGCGGCAGCAGCGTTGAGGTGATCATGTTGAAGGCTCACGGTTGGCGTTGGGACTCAACGCCGGGCTGCGAGAAGGCCGGCATATAAGCAAACGGCAGAGAGCGGGGCGATTCGGCGTTTAACAGGAAAGCGCGTTTCTTGGAGCGGCTATCGTATTCGAAGTTCCAGATATACGAGTCGGTGGGATTGGAAACCGAAGGCAATCCGCGTGTACAAATGTGATTTAGGCGCAAGACAAGGCGATTGATAGAGGATTGACGACATCACAATGCATGTGAGTCACGGAAGCGGCGGGGGGTTATCTCGCTTCCCCGGATCATCAAAGCCTGGTCATCTCGGAGGATCCACAACCTGAGCACTGGATGCCGCGCGCAAAGGCCAGAATTGGCTAACGATGACAGGGGAAGATAGGATGTGGATGTCAGACTTTCATCCGAGGCGCGATCGGATCAGATCTGCTGACCCAATGACGCAGATGTATCGGCCGATGCTCGGTTTGTACGACTCAAACGTAATGTCCAGACTGGATTCTAACTCAGGAGACCAGGCCAAGAGTCGAGTAGAGACTTTGAATGCTTTGCCTCCATAAGATCACCCGGGAGCATGAGCTGACGCTCCACTCCCTGATCGGTTTTGGGGGGGAACAGAGTTCGACATGAGAGCTGACCGGGGGCGGACGATCCAGGTGGTAGTAATGGCAGTGACAGGCGGCTAGCCAATTCAAAGTCCCTCTCATCTGGCTTCTATCGAAACGGGCGGTTGTTTTGTCGTACAATCGCCATTCTTGTTCGTCTTCGGGTCTCAGTCAATGTAACATCGGAAAACAATGCCGACTGAGGACGATCGCCGAGAGCCGATGCTGAATGATGGCCACTCGAAGAGAGGGAGAGGCAAGTGGGGGGAGGATTGAAGCTTAATCCAGCCAAAAATGGTCCTCCGGACTCGAGTACATCATGGACTCTTCAGGGTCCGAAAATAGGTTCCATGATGAAATTAAGTGGGTCGATGATGTCTCCGAACCACAGCCGTGGTCTGACGGGTCGAACACATTCGAAAACCGGCAAGGAGATTCTTCACACCGATGTAAAGGGCAACTGGCTATTCGTGGTAGTAGCAGAAAGGTCCCGCCAGCGGGTTCATCATTGTCGCAGATTTGCGAGGCGGAAGATGATCCAATCTTGCTTTGCTTGATCCTCTTGTGCAATTGCTGCCTATACACGGTGAGAAAATGCCTGTGCGTTCGTCTCACGAGGCCTATGGTGGCCTTCCAGGATAACCGCTTGGGCAAAAAGAAGAACTCCCCGCCCTGGCCATTTTAGGAGGCCACCATAAACCTCCTGACAGAAGACAACCTTGATCTTTAACTGCCGGTAGGTGAGTTTAAAGTCATCGAAGGACTTTTAGCAGGCGGGCTTAAAGTCATCCTGTGACTGGTGCCTCTGCATTCTCCTCCAGTATGGTATCCTAGACATCCAACTTTCTAATATGGTTGCTTTGGCTGTTGTTGTTTTCTTATTGGCATTTTGCTCGTCGTTTTCCGGTGTTGTACGCGGAGACAGCCACGATATAGGGATTCGTCACGAGATTTCTGGATTCTTCGGCGAGACAAGACATTACTGGGAGCGAGAGGTAGGGATCTGGCTCAGGCAAGTAACCAAGATGCTCTCATTCTTCCGTCGAGATGGTGGGAGTGCCCCGGAGGGTGTCAGGTTCTGAAGAGAGATTTTGAGACATTTTGGTGTTGTTGTGGGACGCGTGAAATCACTTCAGGTCTGGGGGTTTCGAGAGACTCGGGTACGAGGCTGCAGGGATTCAACAGGTGTGATCGACATCTGTTGAAGCGGAGCCCCCGGGATTGGAATCCGATGACGATGGGAGCCTACAGCGGGAAGGAAACGAGGCTGTAGGGACGGTTGGATTCGTGGTGGCTAACTGTGAGGAAGCGAGGAAGAGGACTGCGGAGGCAGTGACTGCAGGCGGTTACACCGTAGCCCATCCGATACCCAGGACTGGGGGGAGCCTCTCCATGGGAAGGACTGCAAAAATGGGGTGCTGTGATACATTCCTTTCGTGCGTAAAGTTGCTGAATCGGTTGTTTCGGAGCAGCAATCCATGACGGCAGCACGAAAAACCCTAGTACATTCCCTCTCTACTGGTTTCTGGGGCTGAAGCTGACATGTATAGATCCGAAAATCTGCGCTGTGCCTTCCGCTGCTTAAACGGATGTTTGTATTTGGTTTAGTGGCTGGATGGGAGCTCTCGAGCTGATCTGAAAGTATTTATTGATATTATGAAGGGCAGGGCAATTAGATCCCAATAAAATGAGATGAATGGCAGAGTTTCAGCATTGCTTGACAATATACTACTAACAATGTCGTCTATTCCTGTAGCGACATATTGATCGACAACCTTGGTTTGTCTGGGTTATTCCCCCAATTCCCATTCATACCTAGGGTGACCATGCTTGTATCTTGACAGGTGACATGGGGGCTTCCTGACCACGATATGGATGCCACATCTTCCAGTTGCGGAAAGTGGTTTGTTAGTCGCCATCTAGTTAGTAATGCAATCGAGCCTCCAACCCAACCAAACTTATTTATCTTTCTTTTCATCCAATCCCGATCAGGAATTAGTCCGTCGACCCCCAAACCCGCGGACATATACCTCATGGGAGACGGAGATGGAGACGGAAACAGATTCAACAGAAAAGAAGCGATGACGACTCAACTGCCGAAGGAGCAAGTACCGAGTCTCCAGCAACGAGTGGAAACCCCTGGTGGGTGACATATGACATGTCGGTTGTGGAACGAAGATCGACGATCCGCGCGGTTACATTTGCCAAATGGCCAACGGAATGGATTGAACCCTCTCTGAGGATGCGGTTCCACGGTTGGTACTGAGATGCCATGGAGTGCTGGGCCATGCAGCTTCTGGATGCAGTAAACCAGACGGGAGATGAGCTGTTCTTGCTGTGAATTAGATTTTTATGCTGACCAACGGGCTTCCTTGCACACTTTCATTCTTCGTTCGCATAAGGATTTCTCGGATTCAGCGGCTGCACGCTGCCGGAAACCAACTTCTCCCCATTATCCCATCATCGACTCGGATGGAGCGACGATACACCAGTCGTGCCAACGCCATGAGTAAGTCAGTCGCTGTGGGAAATCACCTAACCCTAACCATTCATGATTTGCATCATTGACTCAGGTGCAGATGCGAGACGCGAGTCAAGTCGAATTCCATGTCAGGCTGTGAGATGGCATCTGACTGGCTGGAGCGACGATATATAGAACCCGACCGTCGAAGCCCTGACTCGACCCAACAGTTCCAATGTAACTCTCCCATCCCCAGTCCCCCCATGCTTTCCCTCGCGACCACCGTCACCGGCCTGCTGTGCCTAGGCACTCTCATAGCCGCGCAGAGCCCGACAGGAAACCAAACCAACACCAACACCAACACCAACACCATCACCGGCCTCCCCGCATCCCTCTACGTCGACAACGCCCCGGACCATCTCCGCCCGTACGTGATCCGCCAATATGCAACGGCGCAATCGACCGTGCTCCGGGGCGAGGTGTTTCGCTTCTACATCACGGGCCCATCCTCGAACAATGCCTTCACGCTCGTCACGGTCAACGCGCCGCAGAACGCGGTCCTGAACGTCCTCCCGCACATCCACGAGCGCCACTTCGAGAACTTCTACAACTACAAGGGCCGGTTCCAGCTGTGGGCGCAGGGAGAGGACAACACGACGCAGGAGACGCGGGTTCTCACGCAGGGAGACTTCGGGGCGGTGGTTCGCAACTCGACGCATACGTTCCAGATGATGGATCCGGATAGCCAGATGGGGGGAGCGATTGTGCCGGGGGGGTTTGAGTGAAGTTTTCCGTCCCATATGAATATCTTATCCTATCCTATCCTTTCTCCTTCAGACGCCTCCACACACACTCTCACCCACCAAATCCACCCTCATACTAACAACCAAACGCAGGGCCGTCTTCTTCGCCATCGGCAAAAACCGCTCCTCCACGACCCACACACCGTACGACCCGCATTTCGCCAGCGAGACCTACCCCCTCGGCAGCTCCAACAGCACCATGTCGGGTGAACAGAGCTTCGACGTATACAACCAACCCCAGTTCACCCCGCGGCGAGACGCCCTAAACGGCACCGCCCCAGCGAACACAACCTGGCACGACGGGCCCAACGCCCTCGCCCCCTTCGGCCAACCCTACTTCATCGCGAACGGCTTCGGGCCGAAATTCATCAACAACGAGACCGGCTACCAGATCATCCAGCCGCTCGTGACGGCTGAGCAAAGCGGGGATCTGAACTTCACCACCTCGACAATCAGTCTCAGCACGACGCCGGAGAACGTCACCATCCCGACGTGGCAGATCCGCGAGACGGTGGCACTCCAGGTGCTGGAGGGGATGCTCTGGGTGCAGATTGCGGAGTATGATGTGGCGGTGATGACGGTGGGGGATGTAGCGTTGGTTCCCGGCGGAGTGCAGTTCAGGTATTGGACGGAGACGTGGTTCGCGAAGATGATGGTGCTGTGTCAGGGGAGTAACGGGGTGGATTCGCAGTTGATTGCACGGGGAGGGAGTTATGATGCGGTGGTGTTTCCGAATGAGTGGGTTTAGGGGTGCTTTATCTGGAATACTGCCCAGGTATAGGAGTTCCTTAGATTCATCTCAAATTGTTCGGCTTTATAATATCAAATCATATTACTACCAATAGTTGGGTCGAGCCCTTTGACGCCCAGCTCTCTTACGTGTCTCCTACTTGATTTTTGAATATCGTCATATCAGATATTTCCAGCTAATGACTTTTTTCAATGATAAAATAATCCCAGTATACTAGGGGGCCAAGCCTCCGACCCCCATCCCATCCATCCCTTCTTTACCAACTCCCATCAAGCTCCTTATCAAAAAAATAAACCATTTATTCATATATTCACTACCATACAAAACCGCACACCCAACCACTCCCCCCCCCAAAAAAAAAAAAAAACAAAACAAAACAACACAAATTACTCCACCCTCAACCTCCGAAAAACCACCCCGGCGGCCTCCGCACACAAGCCCCCCAAACTCGCCCCCCCGACCAACTTCAGCACCGGCATATCGACCTCCAACTCCTTGAGAAACCAACTCCTAATCTCCACGGCAATCAACGAATCGACCCCCAGATTAATCAACGGCTGGGCCTTCTTCCCCGCGACGGAGCCCTTCTCAGCCTGCAACATGCGCTCCATCTTCCGACAGAAGGCATCCTGAATGACCTCATCGAGTCTCTCCACCGTCTCCGCCTCGGCGATGCTCTGGGCCAGGGGGATAACATCCCCGCCCGCTGCGGTGTCCTGGGTGGTGGATTCCGCGATGGTGTGGTGGGAGAACCTCAGGTTCTCGTGCCAGAAGGGTTTCTTGGCGTCGGCGAGGAGACTATGTCTGCTGAGTCCGGTGATGAGTTCCGGCGGGTGCAGGGAGGAGGGTCGGCCGATGACGATGGCCTGGGCGAACATGTCGAGGAATTCGGGCTCCGAGATCGGCATGTAGTTGTATTGGCGGAGGGTGGATTCGTAGATCCCCGTGGCGGAGACGTAGCCGACGCCGAGCACCATGCCGATGTGGAAGACGGAGGCGGCGAGCCCGCGGGCGCGCCGCTGCGAGGCGATCGTGGACATGAAGAGGTTGGCGGATACGTAGTTGCTTTGGCCCCGGTTGCCGACGATGCTGGCTAGGGACGAGAACATGATGAAGAAGTCGAGAGGGGTGTCGTGGAAGATGGAGGCTAGGGTGGCCGTGGCGGTGACTTTGGGGCCGAAGACGGTCGAGAAGTCGGTCGTGGTCAGCTGGGCGAACGATCGGTCCGAGAGGAGCATCGCTGCGTTGGCGACGCCCGCGATCGCGGGCATGGTTGCTTTGATGGCGGCGTGCGCGGAGTGCAGGGAGGCGGGCGAGGTGACGTCCGCTTGGAAGAGCGTGACGGTCGCGCCGCTGCAGCGCAGGGAGGTCAGCCAGGCCGGGCTGATGGTGGACGGAGATCGCGTTGTTAGGGCTAGGTGTCGTGCGCCGTTGGCGATCATCCATTGGCATAGCGATTGGCCGAGGCCACCGGTGCAGCCGATTAGGAGGTAGGTCTGGTCGGGGCGGAAGAGAAGGAGAGGGTTGAGGGGGCGGGCGATGGCGGGGAGGGGGAGGAGGCTGCTGGAGCTGGGGAAGGTGATGGTCGTGTGGTAGGGGATGGAGGAGAGGGGGGTGTCATGGAGGGTCGAGAGGGGGTTGGGGTTGGGGTTGGGGGAGTTGGGAGAGAGTGGGAGAGGGCCCAGGTTAGGGCTTGCTGTAGCAGGGTGGTGAAGGTGCTGACGGTGGTGCTGGCGGTGATGGTGGCACTGGTGGTGAAGCAGTCCGTCGGGACGACAACCCTGCACTGTGCGGGCAGGTGCCAGACAGTCGAGGGCGCAAAGTCAAGCAGCAGCTTTGCGTCAGACGGGACCAGCGCGCGGATGGCCTTGTCGGATGCGAAGGGGTGGACGGTGACATCGGCGACGGCGATGGCTGCTTCAGCGGCACGCTGGCGGACGACTCGCCCCAAGTGCTCGTCGGCCCGGTGCAGGACAATAGTATCAGACGAAGTCAGGCCCTGCAGCCAGTGCTCAGCAAGAAGGGCGAGAGCGGTGGTCTGCACGAGCGACACCCCGTCAGCGCTCACAGGGAAGACAAGCTCCTTGCGTGTCTCCACGACAGAGGCATTGCTGCCGGAAAACGCCATGACCGTTTCCTCTGGCTTCTCAACCAGACTGCCGTACGAAACAAACAGCGCGACATCGCCCAGCTGCACCGCCGAGACGAGCGAGTGGACCACCTGCACCTTGACCAGGGCCTCATCCGCCACAACAGCCGTGGCCTTCTCGGCCAGGACATATCGCCCGCCCTGCTGCAGCACCTCGACCACAGCGCCCGGCGCAGCCGTCGTATTGACCACCATCTTCCGCGCGTTGAGCTGGTCATTCAGGCGCGTATCCGGGAGGATCCTGGGCACGAACACCTGGCCGTCCTTGAGCATGAGCTCCGGCTCGCTGGTCCAGAGGATATCCTTCCTGTTCTGGGCGGCGAACACCAGCCGCACCAGCGCCTCGGCCAGGACCGTGGCGGTGGAGCCATCGACGGCCGACTCGAGATCGATATGCTGGAACTGCACATGCGGATGCTCGGCCGCCAGACCGCGACACAGCCCAACCGCCATGTTGCCGTAGGGATCGCCCGCGCGACAGTGGCTCGACACCCAGAGCAGATGTCTGCAGTTGGGCAGCGCGCGCTGGAGAGCCTGCAACTTGGCCTGGTTGAAATCCTTCAGAACGCTCTGGTCGAGGTCCTCCAGCACCACCAACGTCGTGACATCCACACTCGAAGAGTCGTCCACAAACAGCTCCCCCAGCCCTTGCACCAGCCTCACCTCTCCACTCCCGACAGGGGCCAACTGCCCCTTGACCTGGCTGGCCAAGCCGCCCTTCACCCCCCGACAACCGTCACCCCCGACTCCGGCAGCCTCCACCCGTCACGGTCACTCACGCCCAACGGCTCCCTCAACACGCGCACATCCTGATCAACCGCCTGACTCACCATGACCGAAGTCATATACTTCGTCTCATCCTCAAAATCATTGACCCCATGATCAACGCCGGACCAGCCAGTCTTCCTCAACAACGCATCCCACTCGGCCCTGGTAATCGTCGGGCCATTGACCCTCCCATCCTCCCCTCCCAACCACCACCCCGGCAACCCGGCCATCATCAACTTGACCCTCACAATCTCACTCGTCACCTCCAACAGCACCAACCACCCCCCCGGCCTGACCAGCCTCCTCACATTCCTCATCGTCCCCTCCAGCCTCTTCGTCGCATGCAACACATTCGACGCCACGACGACATCGAAACCACCCACCTCCCCCCCCACCCCTGTCCCTCCAGCTCCTCCTCCACATTCAACGCCCTGAACTCCACCCCACGCCCCCCAAACGCCTCACTTGCGGCCTCGAAGAACCCCGTGGAGATATCACTAAACACATACCTTTCAAACTTCCCCCCCAGCGCCTCGAGAATCCCCTTCGTCGCGCCGCCCGTCCCCGCGCCGATCTCCAGGATCCTGGCCCTCGGATACCGATGACTGATCTGCGCCGCCACCCGGCTCATATAGCCATTGGCGCGCTGAAAGCCCAGGCCGAACTTATAGAACCGGTCCAGCACATCGTCCTTGACCATGTGTTCGAGCATCCAGGCGCGGTTTTGCACGACGGCGGGCAGGTTTTCGCCGACGGCGCGGATGAGTTGCAGGTCGACGGATTCGGGGTATTGGGCGGCGAGGGACAGGAGGTCGGGTTTCGTGTCCGAGGCCCACGAGGGGGAGATGGTGGGGTGCGTGCCCGATGAGATCCAGGGGAAGAGCGTGTCGAGCCAGGTGAAGATGGCTTGGAAGTTCCAGGGCATGTTGGGGATCGTGGACGGGGGAGTGACCGAGACGAGGTGTCGGAGGTAGAAGTAAGAGAGCCGTTCGCAGAGGGTGACGAGGGCGAGGTCGGAGGGGGAGTCGGTGGTGTCGGTGGGAAGGGAAAGGGGAAGGGGGGCGATTCCGCTGGAGATGTCGAGCGACCAGGTGTTTTGCGTGTAGAGTTCCTTGTAGTCTGCGGGGCTGGGGGGAGTCAGGCATGAGCAGCTGAGGGATTGGAGTTGGATGAGAGGCGTGCTGGTGTTCGGGTCGGTCAGGTCGAGGTCGGCGGTGATGGCTAGGCCGGAGGAGGAGGTGATGGATGCGTCGACGAGGAGGGATGTCGAGGTGGCGATGGCGGAGGGCACAATGCGGAGGGATTGCAGACGGGTGGGCACAAAGGGTGCCCGGAGGCTGCCGTCGCCGGGCCAGCAGAAGGCCGCGAAGATGGTCTGGAAGGCCGCGTCCAGGATGGCTGGGTGGATGGTGTAGGGGGAGGGGAGCTGTGCGGCGGTGGCCATGGCGGTGCCGGAACGGCGCTGCACGGTGGACAGACCCCGGAAGGGCCCGGTGTAGTGGAGGCCGATTTCGGTGAGCGCTTCGTAGAAACGGTCGACGTCGACGTCGTTGAAGGCGCCTGTCGGGGCGAGGCGCGGGGGCAGGGGGGAGTTGCTGGGGGGGCCGCGGTGGATGAGCGCGGAGCCGCGCGCGTTGCATCGCCACGAGGCCTTGTCGGGGCCGGTGTGCGCGTAGCAGGCCCAGTTGGCGGTCGTGAGGTTGGGGTTGGGGTTAGGGCTGGTGGTGGGGGTGAGGGTGAACTGCACCTCGACGCCCGGGGTGTCGTCGGACAGCGGGATGGCGTTGAGGATCTCGATGTCCGTTAGCTCGAGCAGTTGCACCTCCTCCTGGTCGTGCACGAGGGCCTGGCAGGCCTCCATGGCCATGACCAGGTACGCGGCGGCCGGGTAGATCACCTGGCCCTCGACGCGGTGGCCGTCCAGCCAGGGCAGCTCGGCAGGGCGGAGGGTCTGCAGCCAGCGCATGTCCTGGTCGATGTCGTCGGTGGAGCGAACCCCCAGCAGAGGGTGGCGGGGCTGCGGGCGCTGGCGATAGTTGCGCGATCTGGTCGACTCCCGCCAGAACGACTGGCGGTGGTCCCACGCGTACAGCGGCAGATTGGGCACCCAGGTGGCCGGGCCAGCGCCGAAGGCCGTGGAGTAGCCGGTGAAGTCGACGGCCGCGGACCCGAGATGCGTCCAGAGGAAGCCCAGGGCGTGGCTCAGCGCCACCACGTCGTGGGTGCCCCGGTTCAGGGTGCCGCTGTAGGGCATCGACCCCCGGTGACCTGCTTCAGGGTCTGGGTGAAGGGCCCCTTCAGCGCGGGATGCGCGCCGATCTCCAGCGCCACGTCACAGGGCAGCTCGCCCGTCACGGCCACCTCCACGGCCGTCGAGAACATCACCGGGCTGACCATGTTGTCGTTCCAGTACTCGCCCGTCAGGGACTCGACGCGGTAGTCGCCCTCCATGCGGCAGCCGTGCACGCTGGAGACCCAGACGCAGTCGGCCCGGGCTTCGGTGGGGGCGATGGCGCACGCGGCCAGGGAGTCGAGGTAGGGTTCCGAGCAGGGGGTCATATGGGCGGAATGGTATGCCGTGTCGACGAGGAGGAGCCGGGCAAAGGTACCGCGTTCGTCGAGCAGGGCTTTGGCCTCGGCGATGGCGTCCTGATCGCCGGAGAGAGTAACGCTGGCCGGGGCGTTGGAGGCCGCGACCTCGAGCCGGTCCGCGAAGTGCTCCTCGCAGAAGTCGCAGGCCTCGTCGTACGACATGCCGGCGGCCATCATGGCGCCTCGCTGGTTGTCGGCCCCGCGGGCCAGTTTGGCGTGCACCCCGCGGTAGTATGCGATCCGGATGGCTTCGACGGCCGTGATCATGCCGGCCGCGTAGGCGGCCCCGATCTCGCCGGACGAGTGGCCGATCACGACGCTGGGCAGGGCGCCGACGAGACGCAGCAGCTCGACGAGGACGATCTGCACGGCGGTGCAGAGGGGTTGCGCGACGCTGGCTTCGCCGAGACGCGAGGTCTCTTTGTCGGCGAGCAGCTCGTCCGTGAGCGACCAGCTAGGCGGGTCAGGGAGGGTGTTGAGGGCTTCTTGCAGGGTGTGGATGGTGTGCTGGGCCAGGGGAGAGGTGCGCAGCAGCTCGCGGCCCATCGTCGGCCACTGCGCGCCTTGCCCGGTGAACACCCCCAGAATGCGCGGCTGGGCGATCTGCTTGTCGACTCGCGTGCCGACGTGGTCGTCAAGAGCCTTGCTAAGGCTCTTGCGGAGGGTGAGCCGGTCGTGGCCGGAGAAGGTGGCACGCACGGGGTGTTGCGCGCGGCGGGTCTGCATGGTGAAGAGGATGTCCTGGACGGGGGTGTCCTGCTCGATTAGAAGGAGGTCGTGGAAGGCCGCGATCTGGGCCTGGAGAGAGACGTCCGAGTTGGCAGACAGCACGAGAGGGGTTTTGAGAGTTGCATCATCCTGTCTGGGCTGTTGCTGGTGGTTCTCGTAGGCCTCGAGGATGGCGTGGGCGTTGGTTCCACCGAAGCCTGTTGTCGTGCGTATAGCGTTAACAGACAGGAAGAAAAGGCAGAAAAGAGAACAGAACAGAAGAAATGAAGAACGGTAGGAGGGTGGAAAAAAGAGAACACGCACCAAACGAATTCACACTCGCCCTCCTCACCTGCTCCCCCTCCATCTCGGGCCATGGCAACTCCGCCGTCGGGACCTGCAGGCGATGGTAAAACGGGCTGATATCGGGGTTGAGCTTCTCAAAGAGCATATTGGGGGGGATGCGGCCACGACGAACAGCCTCCGACGCCTTGACCAGACCCGCCAGCCCGGCACAGCCCTCCAGATGACCAACCGCAGTCTTGACCGACCCGACATACAGTTTACGCTCATCCCCCGTCTTGCCCGCGAAAAAGGCATCGTAGATCGCCTTTGCCTCGATGGGATCGCCAGCAGGAGTACCCGTGCCATGGGCCTCGAAGTACTGGCAGCGATCCGTGTCGATGTCCAGGCCAGCGCGGGCGTAAGTCTGGCGGATGAGCGCGGTCTGGGACTCGGATCCGGGGAGGGTGATTCCGTTTGTTCCTGCGAGGGACAGGTGTCAGTGAATGGCATGGATGCAATGGAGCGCAGCAAGAAAAAAAAAAAAAAAAAAAAGACTCAAACAAACGAGGGCAAAGGCATGACATACTCCCATCCGAATTGACGCCGGTCTCCCGAATAACACAATGGACATAATCGCCATCCTTCCTCGCCTGCGACAGCGTCTTCAAGATAACCGCCGAAAAGCCCTCGCCACGGGCATACCCATCCGCGTTCTCATCCCACATGCGACTCCTCCCCGTCGGCGACAGCATGTGCAATTTGGACTCGGAGATCATCATCTCCGGGCCCAGAATGAGATTCGCACCCGCCGCACAGGCAACCCCACTGACACCACTCCTCAGCACCTGCACGGCCTCATGCACGGCCACCAGACTGGACGAACACGCCGTGTCGATGGTCATGGACGGGCCCTTCCAATCGAAGAAATACGACACGCGGTTGGACAGAATACTCCTGGCCGTGCCGGTGGCCATGTACTTGGGCATGTCCTCGGGGTCGCGGAGGAGCAGCTCGTGGTAGTCGCCGGTCATGGAGCCGACGTAGACGGCAGTGTCGGAGCCGAGCAGACGGTCCATGGGGGTGCCGGCGGATTCGAGCGCCTCGTAGACGGTCTCGAGGAGGATGCGCTGCTGGGGGTCCATGGCCTCGGCCTCGAGGGGGTTGGTCTTGAAGAACGACGCGTCGAACTGCGTGATGTCTTCTGTGAGCGTGTAGGCGTGGGACACGTTCAGGCAGCCCGGGCGCTCGCCGTCGGGGTGGTGGAAGGCGGGCGTGGAGAAGCGGGTCGAGGGGATCGTGGTTTGGATGTCCCGCTGCGAGATGAGGAGGTCCCATAGTTTCGAGGGCGTGGAGGCACCGCCTGGGAAACGGCAGCCGATGCCGACGATGGCGATGGGTTCGGGGGTGGGAGTGGAGGGGGCCATGGTGGGTGATTGTTTGGTTGGGCGGGTGGGAGGGAGGAGGAGGGACAAGAAAACAAGGGGAGGGCGTGGGTATATAGCTGATGAATGGAGGGATAGGGTAGATCTTGACTAGGACCGAATCTATACAGATCGTGATTAAGACCGAATGAAGATTGATCGCGACTTTAAGACCGAATATCCAGCCTTGGCCGACGACCGAAAGTCGCCGTCGCCGATCCAGATTGGCCCCTCCGGAGCAGCCAGGCAGCCAGCCCTAAGTCAACCCCCGAACAACCTCAACCAAACCCCCTTCAATACCACATCACCACCACATCAACACCGCCTCTTCCTCTTCCATCCATCCATCCATCATCCATCATCCATCATCCATCCATCCCCCTACCACCCACAACCCAAACATCCACAGCCACAGCCACAGCCACACCCATCACCATCACCATCACCACAACCCAAGAAAAAGAAAAGAAAAAAAAGAAAAAAAAAAAAAAAAAAAAAAAAAAATGTACCAATTCTTCCCCACCGAATTCTTCAACTTCGAATACCTGCGGATCCTCGCAACCGCACCCTTCCACGGGTCCGAAATCGGGGAATGCCTGTCCGCGCGCTCCCAACTACCCTCGACCTGCGACCCGGAATCATGGTACCGGGTGTGGACGGCGCAAGCGGAGCAAGCGGTGGCAAACGGAGAAGAAGCCCTGGCGGCGGGGGACAAGCCGGGGGCGGCGTGGGCGTTTCTGCGGGCGAGCAACTACTTCCGGACGAGCGAGTTTTTCCTGCACTGCGATGTGACAGATGGTCGGATGTTGGGGGCGATGGAGAGGAGCGTGGGGGTTTTTGAGCGCGGGGCGGAATTGTTGCAGGGGACAAGGGTGGTGGGGGTGGAGGTGCCGTATGAGGAGGGGGTGGGGGGGAAGGTCGGGGGAAGGTTGCCGGGCAGGTTGTTTCTTCCAACTGTTGGAAGGCAGGGGAAGATTCCGCTGGTGGTGCAGATGGGGGGGTTTGATTCGACGCAGGAGGAGTTATATTTCGTTGGGCCTGCCGGGGCGGTGGGGAGGGGGTATGCGGTGCTGACGTTTGAAGGACCGGGCCAGGGGATCGTGCTCCGGCGAGATGGGCTGAAGCTGCGACCGGACTGGGAGGCCGTGACGTCCAGAGTGCTGGACGTGGTGGAGAGCCAGCTGGCAAGTGAATACGCGCTGGACATGGATCGGATCGCGGTGGTGGGGAGCTCGCTGGGCGGATATCTGTCGCTGCGCGCCGCGGCCGACCCGCGGGTGGCAGCATGCATCTCGTTCGACGGGTGCTACGACCTCTTCGACGTGACGCGCAGTCGCATGCCCGGGTGGTTCATCAACGGGTGGCTGAACGGCACGCTGAGCGACGGGTTCTTCAACTTCGTGGTGAACCGGCTGGCGGCGTGGAATTTCCAGCTGCGCTGGGAGTTCGGCCACAGCATGTGGGTGTATGGCGTCGACACCCCGGCGGAGGTGATGCGCATGATGAGGCGCTTTCATCTGCGCGGGTATCTGGAGAAGATCAAATGCAGCGTTCTGGTGACGGGGGCGGCGGACACGTTCTACTTTACGCCCGAGTTGAATGCGGAGCGCATCTTTGAGGGGTTGGGCCATCTGCCGGAGGAGAAGAAGAGGTTGTGGATTGGGAGAGGTGTCGAGGGGGGTGGCTTGCAGGCCAAGGTTGCTGCGTTTGGCATCATGCATGTTAAGATGTTTGCTTGGTTGGATGAGCAGTTTGGCATTCAGCGGTGAGGTGGTGGTGGTGGTGGTGCTCGGTGGAGGGGAGGGGAGGAAGTCGCCGATGATGTATACAGTATTTAGTTATCAAGATGTCGATAATATATAACCACGTCCATGTTCAACCCTCAAACTGAACAGAATAACAGAATACCTTCCCCAAAACACCCAGTAATCAATCCAGATCCATCACCATGACCCCCATCGGCACCCTCTACTCCTACATGCCCAACGCGCGGGTCCTCAAGGTATATCCCCCCCCTCCCAACCACAACCCCTTCCAAACACAACCATGTATGAACTATCCGCCCAGATCCAAGCCGCCGCCACCCTGAACAACCTCACCCTGACCATCCCGCCCTTCCCCTTTGGCACAGAAAACAAAACGCCCGCCTTCCTGGCCAAGTTCCCCACCGGCAAAGTCCCCGCCTTCGAGGGCGTCGAAGGCACCACGCTGGTCGAATCCGACGCCATCGCATGGTACATCGCCGGGTCGGGCCCGTGCGGGCCCGCGCTGCAGGGCCGAAATGTCGCCGACCAGGCGCGCATCCGCCAGTGGATCAGCTTCTCCGAGAACGAGGTGTACGGGGCCATGCTGTCGGTGGTGCTGTGGCGGGCGGGGTTTCGGAGGTACGATGATAGCGTGGAGGCTGGGGCGGTGGCGGCGATGGAGTATGCGTTGGGGGTGGTGGAGAGGCATTTACAGCAGAAGCAGGAGCAGGGTGGGTTTCTGGTGGGCGGGGAGCTGACGTTGGCGGATTTGACCCTCGCGTCGGCCCTATATTGGGCGTTTATGCATTATTTGGATCGTGGCGAGAGGGAGAGGTTTCCGGGTGTGGTGGCGTGGTATTTGAGGGTGATTGGGGGGGACAAGGTCAGGGAGGTGTTTGGGGAGGCGGTGTTGGTGGAGAAGAAGATGGTGGCTCCGGTTTAGGTTGGTTTGTGTAAGAGGATTATTACGGGAGATCTTTGAAGCAAGATGGGGGGGGTCTATGGAGGAAATTGGATTTCTTGTGTTTACCCATAGTGGACTCGTTCCTGAACAGGGACTTGCTGCTGAATCCATGCATGCCCACTAGGAATGCCCGTCCGTGTCTGAATCTGGCAAGACTTAATGGGCGTAGGTCTAGATTGCGGGAAATCACTTCGCAATTTAATGTTTCACCTCTACTCAAAAGAAAATAGACACACGGGTCCAGCCAACAAGCTGGGTTGGAAAACCAACTGGGTATAGAAACCACTTTTATGGAATCCTGAAGACAGAACCGGCATAGTACGTACGTAAGATATATTAACCGTTTAGCCAATAGTTATAGTCTTCACCTGTAGGCAAGGCACCCCCTGAGGCCAACGGAGAACGCTTCAGGGCGTCCGGGCAAAGTCTCCTCACCCCCAACGACCAAACACCCTGCGAGGAAACTCGCTCTGAGAGATATACGTAGCTATGATGATCTATCGTCAGCATCCCCCCCCCAAGACGCGGCATAAGATCGACATAAAGCAGCAGGACACTCCTAGCCACTTACCCAGACGACGATCCTCGGCGAGATACGAAGCCGATGCACGCTAATCATAAGCCAAGATAATGCACCCATAAGGAGCGCACCCATAAGGCCAGACACGCACCCCCCAGCTAAACCTCGCCAAAATGTCCGAACTCGATGCTCCAACCCCCCAGAATGACGGTAGCCCCAGCTACCCCCCGCCCGCGGCGGACAGCCAGAATGGCCCCGTTGCCAACGAAAAGGGCCTCCGATTCTGGCTGATCTTCCTCGCCATCGGCATCGCCACCTTCGTGGCAGCCCTGGACACCTCGATCATCTCGACCGCCCTGCCGACCATCACGGCTGACCTGAGCTCTGGAGACCTGTACGTGTGGGTGATCAACACGTATCTACTCTCTTCGACGGTGTCGTCGGCCATCGTGGGCCAGATGTCCAACATCTTCGGACGCCGCGCCATGACGACCCTGGCGCTGCTCATCTTCGCGGCGGGGAGCGCGGTGTCCGGCGCGGCCCAGAGCACGGGGATGCTGCTGGCGGGCCGCACGATCCAGGGCCTAGGCGGCGGCGCCATCACCACCCTGTCCGAGGTGCTGGTATGCGACATGGTGTCGCTGCGCGAGCGAGGCGTCTATGCGGGCATCCTAGGGGCGGCGTGGGCGATGGCGGCGGTGGTGGGCCCGCTGATGGGCGGCGGGTTCACGCAGAATGTCTCCTGGCGGTGGATCTTCTACATCAACCTGCCCATCACGGGTGCGGCGCTGGCCCTCATCGTCACGCTGCTGCGGGTGCGCAATCCCCGACAGGACACCAGTCTCTGGCACCGCCTGCGCACCATCGACTGGGGCGGCATGACGCTGCTCACGTTGGGCGTCACCTCCATCCTGCTCGCCCTCACCTGGGCGGGCACCATGCACCCATGGTCCTCGTGGCGGACCATCGTCCCCATTGTCCTCGGCTTCCTGGGACTGCTCGCCTTCATCGCGTATGAAGCCTCCCCACTGGTCCCCGAACCCACCATGCCTCCCCGACTCTTCACCAACCGCACGACAGCCACCCTCTTCCTCATGAGCTTCATCTACAGCATGCTCCTCTTCTGGATCTGCTACTTCCTCCCCGTCTACTTCCAAGCCGTGCTGGGCGCCACCCCCTCCCGCTCCGCCGTAATGCTCTTCCCCATCGCGACGACCACCGCGCCGGCCGGCATCGTGGCAGGAGCGATGATGACCAAAACCGGCAAATACCGCCTCTGGCACTTCGGCGGGTTCGCCCTCATGACCGTCGCCTGCGGACTCTTCACGCTCTTCGACCAGTCGACCCCCACTGGCGCGTGGACGGGCTACCAGATCCTCTTCGGCATCGGCACGGGGGTGGTCTTCACCACCGGCCTGCCGCCCATCCTGGCCACCCTCGCGGAGGGCGATGTCGCCACCGGCACGGCGACCTGGATCTTCATGCGCAATTTCGGCGCTATCTGGGGCACGGCGATCCCCGCCGCGGTGTTCAACACCCGGGCGGATCGCATTGCGGGGACGATTGCGGATGAGGAGGTCAGGGCGCTGTTTGTTGATGGCGGGGCGTATCAGCGGGCCACGAAGGTGTTTGTCGATGGGTTCAAGGGCGACAAGGCGTTGTATGCGGTTATTGAGACGCTGTATGTGCGGAGTTTGAGGGAGGTGTGGCAGGTTTCGATTGCGTTTAGTGCGGTGGGGTTTTTGTTGTGTTTTTTGGTGAAGGAGTATAGGTTGAGGGATGATTTGAATACGGAGTATGGGATGCAGATGGGGGAGACTGTTGGGCTGCGAGAGGAGGGGTCGATGGAGGGCGAGGGCGAGAATATCGAGATGGGCGAGAAGACGGCTTAGTTCGATTGTTGATGTTGTTGTTGATGATGAGACCAGGGAAGGACCAGGACCAGATCAGACCCTGGTAATCATCATCATCAGCGACTCTGAATAAACACAAGAACAGGCAGACTGCCACAGAATGTCTGTCCTGTTTCGCAATCCTCCCATCCAACAACTCGCCGACCCAAACTCGCCGAGCTGCACGTAGACCAAAAACCACGTACATATACACCCCAAACCTCATCAAAACCTACAATCCAGCAGCAGCAAAATGTCCGCAACCATCGACTTCACCACCTTCCACAACATCGTCGCCGGCCGGCCGCGCACCGCCCCGACCTCCTACTCGGGCACCTCGCCCATCACGCGGGCCAAACTGTGGGACGCGCCTGTCGCGACGCAGCAGGACGTGGACGATGCGGTCGTTGCAGCCCAAGCGGCGTTTCCAGGGTGGGCCGCGACGCCGTATGCAGAGCGGACGCGCCTGCTGGGGGAATTCGCGGATTTGTATCTGCGGCATGCGGAGAGTTTTGTGGAGTTGTTGATGGAGGAGACGGGGAGGAGTGTATGTTCCCTCAAACAAACACCATAGAGAGAGAGAGAGAGGAGGGAAGGGAAGAAAAGGAAAAGAATAGGGGGGAGGGACGGTGACAAGCTAACAGTTTGTTTCCTCCAGCGTCAAACAGCCGCCATCGAGGTCTACTGGGCAGCCAACTGGCTGAGATATCCGGGTGTGTACTAGCCATCACCACAGGAGGTCTACGTGAAGGAATGAATGTAGCTGATCTCCACAGCCCAGTTCGAGATCCCGCAAAAGAAATACGAAGATGACGAGCAGGTGATTATTACCAAATATGAGCCGTTGGGCGTGGTGGCGGCGATTTGTCCGTGGAATTGTGTGTCCATCCATCCACCCATCCCACTATTCGAAAAGCCTGGCTAACTAAAGTAACCTTTGTGAATACAGTCCCCCTCATGCTCGGTAATCCCCCCTATCCATTTCCAATTCTATCTCGCTAATCCCCCGTGATAAAATTCGCAGCAATCGGCAAAATCGCCCCCGCCATCGCAACAGGGAACTGCGTTATCGTGAAGCCTTCGTCCGTCCCGCCCCCAAATCCAACCAAAGAACGATGAAAGTGGAAGCTGATAGCAAAAAGCCCATTCACCCCCTACACAGCCCTGAAACTGATCGAACTCGCACAACAAGTCTTCCCCCCCTCGACCATGCAAGTGCTAGGCGGCGACGCCACCCTCGGCCCAGCGCTGGTGCGCCACCCCTCCATCCAGAAGATCTCCTTCACGGGGTCCACGGCGACAGGCAAGGAGGTGATGCGGGGGTGCGTGGAGACCATGAAGAGGGTTACGTTGGAGATGTATGTTTTCTTCCCCATGTCCCCCGATTATAAAAGAAAGACGGGCAAAGAGATTCGGAGGCAGAGATGGAGATGCTAACCCATTATGATTCTGATGCATACCCGAACAGGGCAGGTTCCAACCCCTCCCTCATTCTCCCAGACATCGACATCGCCACCACGGCGGCGCAAATCGCCGGCGGACTGTGGTTCAACGCGGGCCAGGTCTGCATCAACGCGCGACGACTGTACATCCACGCGTCGATATACGAGGAGTTTGTGGCTGCGTTGGCGGACACGACGAGCGCGATGAGCAGGGATCTGGAGGGGAGTGTGGGGCCGGTGCAGAATGCAATGCAGTTTGAGAAGATTGGACAGGCTTTGAGGGAGTGTAGGGAACGGGGGTATAAGTTTGCGGCGGGGGGGGACACTCATGATGGAAATGGGGGTGGGGATGAGGATAATGATGGGCTGTGGATCAGGCCGGTCGTCCTGGATAATCCGCCTGATGGGGCGGGGATTCTGGTGGAGGAGGTTTTTGGTGCGTTTCTCTTTTCTTTCCTTGTTTATTTCTTTCCTGTGCCCGCTTCTGTGTGCTTGGACGACTTGGGCTATGCTGATAAGGATGATATGGTACAGGCCCCATCATCCCCTGCAAACCATTCCACACCGTCGACGAGGCCATCACCCTAGCGAACGGCACCGCCAGCGGACTGAGCGCGATCGTCTGGACGAAGGATGCAATTCTGGCAGAGAAGATCGCAAGCCGGCTCGAAGTCGGGAACGTGTTTATCAACGGCGCCCCGAAGCCGAATCCGGCGGTGCCGTTCGGGGGCCACAAGCAGAGTGGCATGGGGGTCGAGTATGGGCTGGAGGGACTGTTGAGTTTCTGTCAGATTAAGGCCGTTCATATGTACAAGTGAATAGATTCAAGAAGCCCGGGTGTCGTGTGTTAGTCTAGACGAATCAAATCAGATGGAATGACTGGAGTAATCATCAGCATGGTCTGGTCTGGTCTGGTCTGGCGCCATCATCGGTGGAGCTTTGGAGCAGATCGGCGACTTTCCAGCCTGAATCGCCGGACTACAAATAGCAGATAGCGGCCCTCTTTCTCGAATGCAGACGGTCTGCTCTGCCCATACATCCAAGATGGAGCAAGTCAGCCCCTACCTCACGGCGACCAACCTCGTTGGGACGCTGTTGGTGGTGGGAGTCGTGATTCCGAAACTCTTCCAGGCAAGTCCACCACCACCACCAAGAACGAACGAACCCAACTGACTGTTACCGTTACAGATCGTCCAGCGACTGTTCTCGCCCATCCAGCGCCTCCCCGGTTCCCTCCTCCACAAATTCACATCGCTGCCGCTGAAAATCGCCATCGCGCGCGGCGAGAGGTAAGCCCACCACCCATCCAACCCTAACCATGCATCATAACCGCTGACATAAAAAACAGCCACTACTTCACCGTCAACCTGCACAGACAATACGGCCCGATCGTCGCCCTCTCACCCACAATGATCTCCGTCTCCGACTCGCACGAAGTCAAACGCATCATCCACACCGAAGACTGGCCCAAGTCCGAAGCCGTGTACGGCAACTTCCGGCAGGACCCAAAGCGACCAACGCTGATCGCCTTCTCCGACAAGAAGGCCTACAGCCACCGCAAGCGCCTGGTGTCCTCGATGTTCGGCATCCGGTACATCCGCAGCATGCAACCGCTCATGCTCGACTGCATCTCCGTCGCGGTGACCGAGCTCGAAAGACGCTGCCGGTCCGCCCCGAGCGGCACCGTCGAAGTCGACATGCAGCACATGATCCAAGCCCTAGCAGCAGACATCATCGGGGTGACGACCTTCGGGCAGACCTTTGACGTGGTGAAAAACGGATCTCACCCGCTCCCGGACCGACTGAAGATGGCACTCAAACTGTCCGGCATCCTGCAATTCATGCCCTGGCTATCGCGCATCCCGTTCATCCCACAACGAGACACCTACGTCGACAGCTTCACGGCGGAGATCGTCGCGAACCGCCGCGCCGCCATGTCCAGCCAACCCCCCCGCGAGGACCTGCTCCAGAAACTCGTCGAGGCCGCCTCCGACGGCGACGACGACACCTCCCCCTTCCGCTCCTCCGACGTGCAGGACGAAGTCGTCATCCTCCTCATCGCAGGCAGCGAGACCACCTCCAACGCCGAGCTCTTCACCCTCATCATGCTCCTCAAGAACCCCTCCAAGCTCGCCACCCTCTACAAAGAAATCGACCACTGGTACCCGCGCCACGACCCCCGCCCCACAGACTGCGAGTACAGCTTCGCCGGCATGACCTACCTGCAGGCCTGCATCGACGAGACCATGCGTCTCGTCCCCGGCCAGGCAACGGGTAGTCCGCGCGAGTCGTTCAACGACGAGACGATCCTCGGCTACGCCATCCCCAAGCGCACCACCGTCTTTCCCACCACGCAGCAGGTGCATCTCGACGAGAGGCTGTGGGCCAATGCCGCCGAGTTCATCCCCGAGCGCTGGCTCGACGTGTACACCCAGGGAAAGCAGAACGACATGCCCTATTGGCCGTTCTCGGCGGGGAGTCGCGTGTGCATTGGCAAGCATTTCGCGTGGCAGGAGATGCATCTCTCGTTGGTGTCGCTGCTCCGGAGGTTTCGGTTTGAGTATGTGAGGGGGCAGGATGAGGCCACGGTGTTTCGAATCGCGCAGCAGATGAGGGGGAAGGAGTATCGGATGAAGATTAGTTTGAGGTGATGCGGGGGAAGATGGACGGGTGGAATGGGTTAGTTTTTGTTGGCAATGGAAATACATTTTATGCTTATCCGCAATTGATTCTCTAAGGGTAGGCCCACTGGAGTAGAGAGATGTCCAGCTACCAAGGGTGAAAGTGGTGGGTAGTGATACAGCTGATCATCTTTGGCTGGATTCTACACGCTTTGGAGGGCAAGCAAAACGCCGAGAGCAATCGCTCACCGCCCTTTTCGTCTGGCAATATATGTCCCACTCCGTCCCACATCACGTGCCGAGACAGAACTACGTGTAAAGTCCACCAAGCTGATCATGGCAGGAGACCACATTCATGGCAGGAGACCACATTCATGGCAGGAGACCACATTCATGGCAGGAAGATACTGAGTATCCCATGAAAGATTTCCCACACTCCACTCAATTTCCCCGTGTAATGGGGGACGAATACTAGCACGTGACACAGACCCTTATCCTGCCACCCCATCCCAATCCGGCAGGCGGAACGGAAGCCCCGAATGAATGTCGCCGGAAGGCCGAAGTCGCCGGACGGCCACAGAGCACCAGGCTAGCCCTACATTCATGCAGGTGCAATCATCAAGTATATATCGTGGACGGGCAGTCATGAATCCATCCTCCAAAACCACTCACCTCCTACCCACTCCATCTTCCATCACATAGGAACAGTATCATGGCTCCCACCGAACTCGTCAACGACGTCCCCATGCAGGGCGACGGCTTCTACAGCTCCAACTCGGGGCTGCAGCGCGCCGCCATGCTGGAAGCCCTCCCGCTGCTCGCCGCCGCGGCAGCGAAAACCAAGGTCTCGTCGCGCGCATTCACTGCCATTGAATATGGCTCTGCGCACGGGAGTAACTCGTATGTTCCTTTCTCTTCTTTTCTCATCACATCCCCTTCCCCATTTACAATACTCCTCCCCAAACTCACGCACCCCCAAGCCATCAATCAACCACTAACCTCCAACCCCAGCTACCACCCCTTCAGCACCATCCTGGAATCTCTCCCCACGCCCCCAGAAGAAGCACACATAATCTTCAACGACCGACCCGTGAACGACTTCGTGACGCTCTCCAAGAACCTCAACAACATGACCTTCCCCCTCCCCGCCACAAGCACGCTCCTCACCTCCATGGCACCCAAATCCTTCTACTCCGCCGTGGCCCCCAGCGGAAGCATCGACATCGGGTTCTCCCTCGCGGCCCTCCACCACCTGGACCAAGTCACGCCCGTCCCAGACGGCGTGATGCCACCGCACGAGGAACGACAAGCCGAGTTCCGCGCGCAAGCACACACCGACCTGCGCGTCTTCCTGGGCCACCGCGCCCGCGAAATCGTCCCGGGCGGCTCCCTCGTCCTCTCGTTCGTCGGCGACGCCTCCTGCGGCGAGGAGAACTACACCGGACCCGTCGATGCATGCCGCACCGCGCTGATCGATATGCTCGGCGCGGGCCTCCTGCCCCCGAATATCGTGAGCGCGTTCGAGGTGCCCACGTACAACCGCACGCTGGGGGATGTGCGGAAGTCGCTGGCCGAGGTGAGTGGCCAGTGGGCCGTGGAGGAGGTGTTTGAGCGTAGGGTGTTGCATCCTGCTGTGAAGGAGTTGAGGGAGAGGAAGGAACGCGGCGAGGAGGGCGCCTCCGAGTGGTATGCTGATACCGTAGCGGATTGGTTGATGGCCGTCGTGTCGGGGTATTTTGTCAAGGCGGTGGTTTATCTCGGGCTCCGGGATAAGGTGGACGAGTTGTTGGAGGAGTGGGTGAGGAGGACGAGGAAGGTGTTTTTGGAGAAGCATCGTGATGAGGAGGTTTATTGTTGGTTTGTTTACGGGAGGTTGACTAGGCTTTGAGTTTGTGTTTGTTGGTTGGATATGGTGTGTTGTGGTGTAGTAGGTTAGGTCTCTAGAGAGATACTGTCTAGATGCGCTGGTGTATATCTCTGGATCTGGATGGGGGGGAGTTCCAAGTCGGATGAGGTGAGGGATATGTCATACATACATTGCAGCAAAGTCGCCGATAGCATATCCATACATATATGACTCTAGACAGCACTTGATCTCTTTCTCAATCCATACACTTCCCCTAGCCAAAATGGTCCACATCGCACTCGCGGGCGGCTACGGCGGCCTCGGCCAAGAGATCCTCGACGCGCTCATCCAAACCGGAAAGCACAACATCACCATTCTGTCTCGTCGGGTATACCACCACCACCACCACCGATATACACATCAATGGCACATCCATGCCACCCCTCGGTCCACACCACTGACTATTATCCCAGGACCGCCCCGCCGAAGAAACCCGCCCAGAAATCCACTGGACGAAGATCGACTACGCCGACAAACCGCAGCTCGTCCAAGCCCTCCACGGCGTGCACACCGTGCTCTCGTTCATCGTCGTCGCGCAGGACCGCGGCAACGCCTCCCAGCGGACCCTGATCGACGCGTGCGTGGACGCGGGCGTGAAGCGCTTTGCGCCGAGTGAGTGGGCTGGGTATGTCTCTCCCTCCCTATCCAGATCGTAATAGAACTAACGATTCATTCCTCTACTTCCAGCGCCAACACAGACGGTCTCCCCTGGTATGCGGGCAAAACCGCCATACACCGATACCTCCAGGAGCTGAACCGGGAGAAGGAAGTTGGTCACATCACACTACGCCCCCATGCAGCTGACATCATGTATACTAAGAGACAGCAGGTCCTGGAATACTGCTGCTTCCGCCCCGGAATGCTGATGAACTACCTCGCCTACCCACTCCCAACCACCCAGCACGTCGAGATCTGGGGCATCCACGTGGACATGCAGAACAAGCGAGCAATATTGCTAGCCGACGCAAGAAACCCGGGGTATTTGGGCCTGACGACGGTCGAAGATGTCGCGAATGTGGTGGTCCGCGCGGTGGAGTATCCCGGGAAATGGCCGGAGGTGGGCGGGATGAGGGGACAGGAGATCTCGATGGGGGAGTTGATTGCGTTGGGGGAGGAGATAAGAGGTATGATATCTTCGTCTCCCTTCTTTATATCCGCTTTGTCCTGTCTTTGTGGAAGCATTGGGGACGGGCTGAATGGGGGACGGGATGGCTGACTCGAACAGGGGCCACGTTTTCCGTCGAAACCATCAAGGCAGGCCAGGCCCGACTGGGCCGGTTGACGGCCTCGTGGCATCCGGTTATGCAGCACTCGACCATCCCCGAGGAGGTGCGGGCCGCGTCCGCGAAGATCTTCACGGCCAAGACGGTCGCGTCCATTTACCAGGGGACGTGGAGGGTGTCGGATGAGTGGAATCGGTTGTTGCCTGATTATCGGTTTACGGGGGTGGAGGAGTTCTTGCGGAAGTGGTGGACGGAGTGATGTGTCTGTGTTCTCTTCTTCTTCTTACTTACTATTCCTCTTTGTTTTCCTTTTCTACATCATATTCCTATTCATTTTCCACTATGTCTTCTCTGGGTGTTGTAAACGCTTGTTGTTGATGTCTGGGCTTGGTGGATTAGGGTTCGGTCGGTCGGCGATTTAGCCGATGGCTCGGGGATATCGAGGATCTGCCAACATTGCACTTCGAACATGCAGTCAGCTGAATGCGCCGTAAAATATACCTGTCCATTGTGCCATGTGCGCCGAAAAGTCGAGCCATCACCACTAGAGCAGTCACCACCGCCGATACACCGACTCGCCGAGCGTCCGAGTGCGATGGCCCACGCTACGGTTCAGTGAATGGCTTGTCAACAAACTGAATCGAACAGTATAATTCAGTCGAGTCCCCTCGTAATTCTCTCCGCACATCACACATCCCAGTATTCTTCCCTCCCCATCCATCCAGAAACATCCCTCCCTCACCATGAAGCGCGACATCAGAGACTATGCCTTCCCCCAACGCTCCACCGAGGGCAACTACGCCGACAACCTGGAGACCGACGTGCTGATCGTCGGGGCCGGCTTCAGTGGCATCTACATTCTGCACGAGCTGCGCAAGCTGGGCCTCAAGACGGTCATCTACGAGGCCAGTAACGAGATCGGCGGCACCTGGCGGTGGAACTGCTACCCGGGGGCGCGGGTCGACTCCAAAGTGCCCCTGTACCAGCTCTCCATCCCGGAGACCTACAAGGACTGGACTTGGACAACCAACTACCCCGACTTCAACGAACTGCGCGCCTACTTTGCGCACGTCGACAAGGTGCTCTCCATCAGCAAGCACGTCGCCTTCGGCAGCACGGTGATCGACGCACACTTCAACCAAACCACGTCCCGCTGGACCATCAAAACCAAGGACGGCCGCACCGCCACCGCCAAATACTTCATCGTCGCCGCCGGCGTGTCCGCGAAGCCCTACATCCCCGACTACACGGGCATCGACTCCTTCCGGGGCGAAATCCACCACACCTCCTTCTGGCCGCAAGAGGACGTCGACATCCGCGGCAAACGCTGCGCCATCATCGGCACCGGCGCGTCAGGCATCCAAGTCACCCAAGCCTGGGGGCCCGTGGCCTCATCGCTCAAGGTCTTCCAACGCACCCCCAACTACGCGATCCCGATGCGCAAGGTCGACCTCACGGCGGAAGAGCAAAACAACCAAAAGCCCCTGTACCCGCAGCTCTTCGAGATGCGCGAGAAGACCTTCACCGGCTTCCTGTGCGAGTTCACCGAGCGTCTCACCTGCGAAGACAGCCCCGAGGAGCGCGAGGCGTTCTACGAGAGCCGGTGGGAGGCGGGCGGGTTCGACTTCTCGACGGCGAACTACAAGGACGCGCTGCTGTTCCCGGACTCCAACCGCCTGCTGTACAACTTCTGGGCCAAGAAGGTGCGGGCGCGCGTCGACGATCCCAAGGTCAAGGATCTGGTCGCGCCGCTGGAGCCGCGCTACTTCTTCGGCGCAAAGCGCTCCTCCCTCGAGATCAACTACTACGAGCAGTTCAACCGCCCGTCCGTCAGCCTGGTCGACATCCACGCCAACCCCATCGCCGAAATCACCGAAACCGGCATCCGTCTCCAGGACGGCACCCTCCACGAAGTCGACGTCATCTGTCTCGCCACGGGCTTCGACACCACCACCGGCAGCATGACCAACATGGGTCTGCGCAGCGTCACCGGCTCAACCCTGGCCGATGACTGGAAGGCCGGCGCCCACACGTACCTCGGCCTGACCGTCTCGGGCTACCCCAACATGTTCCACCTGTTCGGCACCCACGGCCCCACCTTGTTCAGCAACGCGCCCACCACCATCGAGATCCAGGGCCGCTGGATCCGCGACGCCATCAAGCACATGGAGCGCCAGGGCATCGCGAGCATTAACCCGACCGAGGCCGCGTGTCGCACCTGGAAGAAGCAGATCACCGCCTTCTCGAAGGCCAGTCTCTTCCCCACCACCTCGTCCACCTACATGGGCGGTGGTATCCCCGGGAAGGCGTACGAGTTGGTCTCATATCCCGGGGGTCAGCCCCTGTATGCCAGGCAGATTCATGATGCCTTGCCCGCGTTCGCTGGGTTTGAGGTCCGGAAGAACGATGGAGAGACGGCCACGAATAAGGAGCCGCATACCATTGATGCCACGACGGACTTTTTGTTGAGATTGTTTGGGATGCCCCCGTTGGAGGAGTAGATGTTTACTTGCTTTCTCTTGGCTGTTTTGGGACGTTTAGTTTATATTTTCGCTTTTAACAAGGAAACATGAATTTTTGGAGAATACAATTTTTTTCAAGTGACAGGTGATATGTGTTTAGGATGTAGCGTAATTTTTCCATTGTGCGGGAATGATATTATCCATGAGCAGAATCAATCTGTTGGATTAAAGGTGACTTTGCATCTTCAATTTGGTAAGTGAACAACTGATCCCTTTTTTGAAGACAGGGTATCATATATTACTATCTGTCGTGGTCAGAATAGTAGGTCCCCTCCTGATAAAACACGAGATAATAATCATTTTAAATAACCATTTTATAAGAATTGCGGAGCAGAGATTCTACTCACACCATTCAATGCAATCATACAGTCATAGTCATACCCGCTGAGTCGATCCTGTTGATTGATAAAAGAGCTAACTATAACAGGATGAAAATCAGCTACGGTTGCCTATCCTGCTGCCTAGACAAGAACGTATTTTTGCTATATAGTTGTTTGTTTCATATACATCCCTCCCAGTATCATCTTAACAAATATACCTCTAGCACCAATGCATCGAACACTTACATACTATATATATATTCAGCTACCAACTGCTCACTACCCACTATCTCCCAAACAGCCCAATCCTAGGCAGGTATACAGTAAGTACAACCAAGTATATATGTAACTAGCTATCTAGATACAACACCTCGAACATATAACCAGTGAATCCATCCTCCGTAAGTAGTAACATGACAAAATCCTTCCCACCCCACTCCACCCACTAGCGCTAACCAGCCCCCCAGTGACCCCACACCAGCTAAGCAACTAAAGTCTGAACCAATCCATCCCCCCCCAAACGATTCCCCCCCCACCCGAATCCAATAATAACGATCCAAGACCCAAAGTCGCCGAACGGCGACTACTGAACGGCGACTACTGAACGGCGACTACTCAACTCCCGACCCCATCTCCCACAAGTCTGTCCATCTAGTCTCCCTGAGTCTGACAGACGACCCCCCCCCCGGGGAAATACCCCGTCTGACAGATTAGCATAATTACACAATCTGCTAGATACAACCCACGGCCTAATTCTAATTCTACTTCTTATTTTAATTCCTGTTTATCAGTATTACCGGGCAGGGAACTAGTGCTAGCCAGCCTCACTAGTCTCTGCAGCACCGAACGGGCCAGTAGTAGTCTGTCTAGATACAGACTCGGAGTGAGGACTCGGTACTCCGTCGATCTCTCCCACTGGCGGGGCTATAACATTAACAGAAGAAGTAAGACTCAGATAGATACTAGATACTAGGTACGAAAACTTAATTGTGTCGTGTTGTGTCGTGTCGGAAGCCGACATTGTCCCGACCTCGGATTTCCCGACCAGCGACACGGACTCAAGGCTCAGACCGGGTCCGATGGTGGATTGACTAGGTAAGAAGTACATTATTGGAGTTGGTTATTATTATTATTATTATTATTATTATTATTATTATTATTGCCCTCGTTTGCTGTGTATCCACTACTGGGTTAGCCCCGCGGACCCAGAAATCAGAATATTGCATGATCCTTTATCTGTTTATCCATCCGTCCGTCCGTTCTCTCCTTGAAATATTAATCCGCCGACCAAGTTCAACATAGATATAGTAGATACAGATATTTATATATTATGTATCCAAGTAAGGACCATCATCCTCCCGATCGAGATTATAGCTATTTCCCAAGCCCCTCGGAACAACCATTGTAGTTACCGAGGCACTTCAGTTACTTACCTAGCTACTAGTTAGGGCTAAACGGGTCCCTATCGACTCTAAGCCTCCCTCCCTCGTATTCGCCCGTTCCCGCATCAACCTTCCCCCTATGTACTCCGTACCTAGACTACTAGATACCTACGGCAGGTAAGTAAGTATGTTGAGATCCGTAACATCAACATCAACATCAACACCAATCAACTGTACCTGTAATAGCGAATATAATTGCGGCTGAGTCCCAGGATCCACATGCCATGCGATGCGGCAGTGCGGTGCGGCTGCGGTACGGTTTGGTTTCACATCAGTGATCACAGAAGTGGATGCATCCATACCTCCTTCCCCCCCCCCCCCCTCCCCCACCCCACCCGGTACCACACTAGATAGAGATTGGTATGCAATCTTTGGGTGGGTGGAGCACAAGTCATATACGGAGGATTCAATGGGATCTAGATCCCATTGTGTAGTCGGGACGGAGGCGGAGTCGGGGGCAGAGTCGGGTGTGAACAACGGCAACTTGAACCCACTGCCTACGGAGTACCTTGAGACCTAAGTAGATATGAAGTACTGCAGTGGACTGAAGGGGTTAGTTAATTAGTTCGCCAGTTAGCTAGTTAGCCAGTTAGCCAGTTGACTAGTCAATGAGTATTAAGCCCGAACAAGACAAGCCAGAGTGAGAAAGAAACGCTCGGCCGAGGAAACCACCACCAAAAATAAATAATAATAAATGGAAATGGAAATGGAAATGGAAATGTTAGATCGACGATCCCCGCCAGAACTCAAGCCCTGGCCCCAGCTGGCCAAGCCTAGCCCACCCCCCACCCTCAGAATTAAATAAAACCAAGTGACCAGGTTCAGAAGCGGGCCCCGAAGGACAGTAGAATAGGATCGAACCCTGTCGGTACCTCGTGGTATATACTGCTAGGGGGTTAGTTGGGAGTGGGACTGGGCTTGGAGCATGGTTATGACGATATGACGTTATAATCATGATGAAGCTGACAGGGATTGGGGGGGGGGGGGGGGGGGGGCGATGACGGATAAGAAATAAAGGGTGAAGGATGGGTATGATCGGGCTAAGTCGAAATTCACATTTCTTGACTGAATTCTGGTGAGTGATTTCTAGAATCGTAGAGGAGTGTTTTACTGGCCGCTTGCTGCAGCATGAATGGTGAGGAGGGAGTTAGGTAGCTACGTACTACGTAATCTGTACTGTCAGGCTAATCAACAGCTCAACGGGAAGGGATCAGGGATATGAAAAAAAAAAAAAAAGACATGGTAAATACTTTACGGACTGGGTACTATATCCCCACTTCGGATATAGTTTCCCATGTAGATAGATTAATAGATAGATAGACAGACAAACAGATAGACACACAGGAATAAACCCGCAAATACATCCCACCTATCCCCAGATCTCCAGATCTCACCTATACGTCATAATCTCAAGGGAATGAGGAGTGGGTGTGGGAGTGGACGTGGACGTGGACGTGGTCTTGCTCGCGTGGTACCGTCTAGCGCGATTTCATTCCCCGTGCCTCATGGAAGAGAAACTTCCAGAACCAGTCGTTTTCTGCATATTCTGTGTCCAGATAGCCCGGAAAGCTAGACACATCCCCGCGGATCGATAATCTGACATAAGACGGGCCCGTAAGATCGGTAAAATTGGAAAACGTGGCATTCTTCGGCGATTTACAGATACATGGGTAGTGAGGTACTAGATATGGGCTTACATGGGATTTTGTGTCTCTGGCTTTCTCCTCGGAGGTATACCATGTAAGTTAATTTCACTCTAGATTCCTGCTAGGGTGTCTATGTACTCGATTTCTCTTTTGAGATCCATGGGGGGTGGAAGGGGTCTGAGTGCCGCAAGCAAGGACGGTGAATGAGCGGGATTTTCTATGTATTTAGTGTCTATCTGGTCGGCGCGGTATCTCAATCATTAAGAGAATGTGTGATTGGCTAGTATTCATTGATAAGGTCGTTATATACAAAATAAAAAAAAATAATAATAAGAAATGAAGCAGGGGCTAGAATCCCTCCTCGCTCCACTGCTGGATAGCCCTGGCGCGGATGCGCAGGCTAAGCTCCAGATCCTGGATCTCCACCAACGCCCTCCGAACAACATTATCGACTCCCGAGACAAACGGCGGAGGGGAGCCGTTCCCGCTCGCTATCGACGACGTCGATGCCAGCTCTGGCGGGGTGGGGTAGCTGTGATGCCGGGCCATGTGGGAGTGATACGGGCCGTGGTGGTAGCCTCGCGCGTCTGTCTGAGATAGGCCGTGGTCGGACAGGGAGTGCGCGTGCGGATGGAAGAACAGCGGGGGTGAATGGTGGGATCCCCCGGCCGATGAAGCACCAGGGCCGCGGGTGGAGGGGGGCGTAACCTCGGGACACAGAAGCATTCGCTGGATCGAGTATTTGATCTTGGCGAGCACGGTGGTGATCATCTGCACGTTGAGCATGGCTTGGAGGGATCGCGCCGACGACGAGGAGAAGGAAAAGTTGCCGAGCGACACGTCCAGTAGCGGATTGGACCCCGTGTCGGACGGAAAGTCTTCGGGCCCGTTGGAGCCGGGGTCCAGGCCGAAATACTGCAGGCGATCCTGTAGGATGGAAATGAGGACGTCGAAATTGTGCAGGAGTCGGAGGTAGGTCGTGAGGACTAGGAAGGCGAGGATGCTGTGTTGGGGGTCCGACGCCCGGAGGCCTGGCTCTTCACCACCACTGCAGCCCCCGAATAGATTGTCCTGGCTGGCGCAGTCGGAGAAGAGCTTGTCGGTGTCTGCACGGGGGGTCCTCGGGGCTCGCGCATCCCTGGGGTGAAGTGGGAGTTGATCCGGTGTAGCACGTCCAGGGTTTGTTCGGATGCCTTCAGGTTGCGCTGCAGATGGGTCTTGAATTGCTTGTCAGGGATCGAGAGGCCGGGTCCCAGCCTGCCTTCGGAAACCAGCTGAGACTGGGCTTTCCGGGTCATCATCGCCAACTCACGGTTATTCTGGTTCACGCTGGCCTGCAGCTGGATCACATCAAACACGTAGTCGTCTGCGGTGTATTCCGCGCCCGTAGCGAGCAATGGGTCGGTGGGATGTCTGGGGAGTTTCGGACGGGTTGTGTCTGTGCCTGCAGCTTCGACTCGGGTGGGATCCACTCCCAAACGGGTGGTGACGTCGAAGTCCAGGTCGACAGAGGCTGCGAGAAGATCGGCGTAGGGGCCAGCGTCCCCTGAGAGCATCGACGGGTCTTCGCTCCAGTATGAATCTGCCCTCCCAAGGCTCCGTCAGCCGTGTGGCCCGCGCGGGACCGTTAGGGGCGATCTTACCAACATCCAGCTGCATTGACTCGGTCTGAAACGCATCCAGGAACTCACTAGATGGTTCTCCTAGCGGGTCCTGTCCACCGTCCATGGCTGTGGGGGGGAATTGTGAGGGTGTGGAATCCATCCCGGCCACCGGGGCCGTTCGATTCGGGCTTCCGGGTGCTGTGTATGGGCTCTGAGGCTGGGAAATGCTGTCTCTGCTCCAGCGAGACTCGCTCGTGGACTGCTTTCGAGAGTGGGATGCGTCGCCGTCACCCTCACGCGCCTCAATCCGTTGCACGGTGGCTGGTTGGGGTCGACTCTTCTGTCGGGGCCGTCCAAATCGCTGGGGAGGGTCGTAGACACACTCGGCCTCCGCTTTGATGCAGCGGGAGCATGCTTTACTGTTCGTGATTCCCAGCGGGCGATGGCATCTCAGCTTGGAGGCATGGCATCGGTTGCAAGCCTGGCGGGTGAGGGGCGGTTTGCTTTGAGGTTGAGGTTGAGATTGAGATGGAACCTGGGAGGGGGCTGGGGGCTGGGGTGGTGTTTGGGAGGCCGGGGCGACGGTCTGTGACATGATGGCTGCTCCAGTGAATATGATGAGAGTAGATGGAGATGGTTTTGAGCAACTAACTGCAGGCACTTAACAGGCTTTTATTTACCCTAAGCCGGGCTGTACTCTGTCTATTCTTCGATACGCAGCCTCGTGGCCGCAGGATCAGGATCGATCCTCATCCTCGTCCCCACAGGCGATACTCCTGGGATACACGATCTGGACTGCAGGAGGCATCTGAAACCGCAGGAATGGATCGACCGTCCGATGGCCGTTGGTCTCGTAACGAAGCATGGATCAGCTGATGGTGCACATGGCAGGCTCATGGCAGGGCGATCTGCCGTCCCCATCAGCCATGAGCTCGACACGCTTCGACACGCTTTCCGTATATCCGTTGTTCCAGACGCCAATACCAGTTGACCCCGGTGATTTTCGTAGCGCGGTGGGGCGTAGCCACCATCCCCAATCCTCCGCCCTTCAGATGCTGCCTGCAGAAGGACACCTCCTGACAGGATCGATCAATTCGATAACTAATAGATAATTGCTGGGTACCGTTTAGGGCTTCCTACAGCGGCTCCTGCCTCACCGCTCAGGCTGCCTCCGCACCTTCCTCATCGGGGAATCGCGCTCACGGGCCAAGTCGGGAAATATACCGAAAACACGAGAATGACCATACAATTACTGCGTGCCACTCTGGATTGGATACTGACATCATTATCCAACATGGAATGGAGAAATCCAGCACGATAAGAAACCGGAGGGCCCAAACCGGCTACTGCTCCCTCTGGCCTGAAATCAGGGGTAACTATCTGAAGAAAAACAAATCTCTCGAAGGCATCCTTCCGACGGAATCTAGAATCTGACATGGCCCCCGTGCTAAAGAAATCTCCGGGTGAACAGGATCGACTGGCGTCCTCTTCACACATGGCATGATGTGATACCGGCTAGTCCCTGGGCAGTTGCGTGGCAGTGGCGGTTGTACGGGCGGCACCCGAGTCATGCAGCCGGTCAGTGAGGCTATTTTCGCAGAAGAGCCCCGATCAACGGCACGTTCCCATCCGATTTGAGCCTCAGCCTGAACCATCCATGCGATCGTGGCCTCCATACCTGCCAAGCCTACCGTGTGGATGGATGGGTGTCCACCGCAGACAAGACTTCCCGTGTCAATCCCAAGTTCGCACATTCCAATCAGGCATGGCGTCAAACCGCAGGGAAGACCAACATCCTCCGACACCACCGTGACGATAACATCATTATCGTCAGGATAATCCCCACATAGCACGCTTAGCACCTTGGAAGTTGGAAGCCTGGCGGGCCCGGCCGCCTGGGCAGCACGCTTGCTTCGACGGTTCAATTCAAGGCTTAGAGTGGTGGCCCATGCCGCAGCCGCTAGAGGATGGTGGGGAGGCTAGCGCCCTTTTGGCATTCACAGCCAGCAGAGCAGTGGGACATGGAAAATCAAGGAACAGCATTTGCGCTGCGGAAGTCCCCTATGTGAGGGGCGTGGCAACCCCCTGCAGATCTCCATGGGACCGAGCGCCAGGCCAGGAATACGAAAGCGAGGCGCATCCTTCGGGTGGCATGTTGACGTGGAAGGATTCGCGAAAACGCGCAGGATACGGAGGACGGACTACCAATGCGTTAATATCTACCTTGGGGGCCAAGCCGGCATCTGTCCGAGGGTGTCTTTAGACTTGCAGACAACCGGCAGGGATGGTCGGGAGTCGGGGGTTAGGACAGGGCCATATAGATTTAGGGCTCGGGGGGGGAGGCTCGGGGCCGAGACATGGCCGCGTCTAGCGGCTAGAGGGGGCTATTGGAGGGATACACTAGATAGATATCTAATATAGATAGATATACAGCCTCACCGCTCACGCCTCTCTGCCTGCCCACTCGCCCCGTTCGGGAAGGACCTGACGGATGCTTGCCGCCTCGACAGTTGACTCGTCTGAAACGCTAGCCCGCACCTGGAAATCTCCACGACCGCCTACACACGTACAACAGGTTGATTTGCTACACTGTGCTACTCTTTTAGGCTGTCGGAAGCCGGGAGCTGCCGAACTAGCCCAGCTGGAGCTAGCGCCCGCGGCTCCGCATGGGTATAGATATTAGATATGGCCGTCATGTGGGGTCATGCGAACATCACAATACCACCTGTAGAACAGGTTTCCTGTAGGACGATATCAACATGCCCCTATTCGTAGATACTCTCGCTGAAACTTGTTGCCCGTAGAGATGGATTGCCAGCACTGCCGCGCAGCGCAAAAGGGGCGCAATACTGATCATGCTTAGCCCTACGTCTTGGCCATCATCCGAGTATCCTACAGTATAGCCTCCTATATCAGCCCCTGAGGCGAAGCACGAGATTGGGGAGCTGGCAATCAAATTTCTGGAAGGGAGTCATGGCGTCAACGACAATCTGAATCTTACCATCTACCGTTGTCGTTAAACTGGGATATTCCCGAAGTCTGGAAGGAAACTGGCGGAAGTAGTGATAGCAGTTGAGGTGTGCCTCGCCACCCTTGTTCAAGGACCAGTGAATATCCCTTAGGGACTGCTTTTGCCACAGTGTAGACTTGCCTTTTGTCTATAATCTTCTTCTGTAGCTCCCAGTGCCGTATCTCGATCCCTCTCATCTCCTTCCAAATATCATTTTCCACAACCCGCCTCCCCGTCCTATACATCAGATGGAGAGAGGGAGGGGGAGGCAGAGACAGGGCCGAATGCCTATCATGACCTAACACCACCCCAGTTCTTACACACCAAGCTGCCTCACCCTTTCGACGCCATCCACAGCAAAAGAGCTCCCACCCATCTCTATGAGACCCCCCTCTCGAAAGGTCCTTCAAAACACCCTAGCCCTCCCTTCACACCACACACTTATACCAACCCTCCAAAACCACTACAGACGAACACGCAAAGCCCCACATCCACCCTATATGACCCCTCCATAACCCCTCTAGAAGATCTCCCTTCTAGAAGATCTGCTAGTCTTCCAACAGCCCTACCTCCGGAGAATGGCTGCTTGCTTTAGGGCCTGCATGAGACCCTGGTATCTCGTATTAACCACCAAGATCCGAGACCCTGCATCTGTATCGGACCATTCTTCTGTCCGTCTAGCCGTTGAGACGATCTCCTGCGAAGGGCCGTTAGTGGGATCTGTGGATCTGGATTTGCCTGTCTTCCGAGATGCAGTTCAGCTGCAGGTGCGACGGTTGGTTTGTCTCCGGGTTAATTCACCGTGGCCTTGGGAGTTGGTGCTAGCCTTTTGCGGCGGGATGGGTGGGATATGATGCTGGTGGATTTGTTGGTGGCTGTTTGCCTGGTGGATGTGCATGTGCATGTGCATGCACATGTGCGTGTACATCTGTTGCGCTGCATGTGATGATATCATTTTGCAGCTGGCGAGATACTTGGCTTGGACTCGGGACGAAGAATCTGGGTACCGGTATTCAGGGCTATTGAGCCTTATGTGTGAGAGTGCTGCAGGTCGAGAGGCCCTGTGTGGTATTCCATAAATTATCTAGTATGAGGCCGATATCGGCTAGTTGTTTGCTGGGTGTATGAAGCTTTGCGCGTGACATCGAAGGTTTGTGGAATGCAAACAGCCAACATACTATCTGGCCCATCTTTTTCAACTCCCTGTGAGCTTGCTAGAGACCATGAAGGGTTGAAGTTTTGTCAGGACCGTGCATGACAGGGCTAACACCCGCCTCAACCTACAGCCCTTCCTTTCGGCGTACCTGAGGTATTCCAGGGTTATAGATCCATGCGAAGCCTTGAGTGAGGTAGGTTTCTCACATTATTCATGAGCCGTTAGCTCTCCGTAGTCCTTATATGAGGTCATATATCAACTGATTGATGATCACATTGTACTCGACCCCAGCCCTCTTCTCAAAGCCTTTTTCTGGGGCCTATCTCAGCCAGACTACTTAACTCTCCCCTTGAAATTATAGCAGCTCTCCTGCCATTCCCAGAAAATATTCACTTTAACATGGTATTCTATTCTTCTGGGACAGCGACTGTTCGTCTATCGAGCGATTGAAAGCCGGCCCCCCCAGTAGTTTATTCACCTACACTGACACAGACGTTCAATTCTACTTACTGACTTCTACATCAACAACGAATCTCTCCACGCGTACGGTAGCCAACCCAACCCATGGCAATGTCACTGGGAAATGATCCTAAGCCATCGGCGCATTTAATCCTCGGGTTTTGTTTCGCAAAATCAAACCAAGAACTCGTTCTTGGTAGAGGTGTGGACAGATATTGCCTTCCAGCTCGGAGGGGGTCACATTCGAACGTCAGTCTTTTGTCCTCGTGTGTATTGGAGATAATGGTCAGCTGCTCTTGATTTTGCCGAAATGAGTGTAGATGATTGAGGTCTTCGGTGTTAAGGGTATTGTGGGATGAAAGGTAATCTGACGGGTTTGGGCTTGGGACTGATGCTGGTGGAATACGTCGCCATGGAGGTAAATACTGAGAGGTGAGATGGGTCTTTCCCTTCTGTTCCTTGGGGGTGGGCAAGGAATTGGTCGGGATGAGAGGCTATTATTATTCTGAGATCCTACGGCTACAGGAAGTAGGAAAGCAAATCTTTGGATCCGTCGAGGCACTTTTCCTACGGTGAATGAATGAGTTGTGAAAAACTGCCCTCCTCGGTGAATGCACCCTGCTGAATTAATTATCCGCCATCCCAAGGACTACCGGATCAACACGACGACACGAGAACACAACCATCGCACCACGCTCGGCAGCCCAAACCAACGAGCAAAAGTTAAAATCATCCTTCGACCGGTGTTGAGTGGTCAGCCATCGGCGTGGATATTATGGATTACAAAAGCGCCGACGCTGATTGTGGGCTGATCGAGGCGCCATACAAAGTCACCGAAGCCGTCCCCGAGAGCCCACAAATACAAAATCGGACCCAACAGACAGTCCGGCACCGGATAGAGTCTCGATGAGAAGTATAGCACTGGTGGCTCTGCTGCCAATGTACTGATTCTTCCTTTTTTTTTTGCCCTTTTTCTGTTTCCTTGTACACAAACACAATGGCGATCCTGTCCTCCATCGTGACTCTTCCGGCCACGATAGGCTTGGATCAAGTCAAAGATGCGTGGATTCCGCTCGTCATCGCAACCTTTACGATTGGCTTGACTGTGTTGCTGAGCCAGCGACTCAAGGTCAGAGGGTTGGTGAGCATATATCCCCCCATTCTCTCAAGCCCATTCATTGCATAGCCCACCACCTAACACCCAACTCTCCAGCCCGGACCCCCCCATAGTCTCCTCTCGGGCAGCATCCCCGTCTTCAGCACCGTCGCCAAACATGCCCCCAAAGACCTTCACCCCCAGGCGCAGATGACAATGATCCAACGGCTGTTCAAGCTCGGCGATCTCTTCTGCGTCGACACCTGGCCCTTCATGGACCAAGTCTACCTCGTTGCCAACCCCTACATGGCGCACCAGGTATCGCAGGAGAAGCCCTTCCCCAAACACCCCATGGTCACGCGGTTCATGGAGTCGTTCACCGGCCTGAACAGCGTGCTGTTGGCCAACGACGCGAAATGGAAGGAGTTGCGCTCCCTCTTCTCCCCGGGCTTCTCCAACGCCCACCTGATGACCATGGTGCCGGTCATGGTGGACAAGACCGAGATCTTCTGCGACATCCTGGCGCAGCACGCGAAGACCGGTGCCGCGGTGCCCATGGAGCCTCTGGCAGCCAAGCTGACCATCGATATCATTGGGCTTGTGGTCCTGGGCGTGGACTTTGGCTCGCAGACTGGCGAGGACGAGCTGGTCAATGCGTTCCGGCATCTCCTGGATCTCATCCCCGATGGTCAGCGGTTGGAGATCAATCCGATCCGCCGCTACAACCGCAGGTATTACTCCGGTGTCATGGATAACTATATCCGCCGGGTTCTGCGCGCGCGGAGTGCCAAGGGCGCCAATAACAAGTTCAAGACCCTGATGGATATCGCTATCGGACGGTACGAGGATCTGGTCAAGAATGACCCCAAGGGGTCGTTGTTTAACTGTGGATTCGAGCAGCTGGCTATTGACAAGTAAGTCGCGCTCCCTTCCAGATATCACCGCAACCCCTGCTGATGCCCAAGCCCTAGTCTGAAAACCTTCGTCTTCGCCGGCCACGACACCAGCAGCACCACCATCAGCGTATGTTCTTCCTCTTAACCTCCCCCGTTGAACCGCACTAACACCATGGCCACGAAACAGTACGTCTACCACCTCCTCCACAAACACCCCAAAGCCCTCGCCAAAGTGCTCGAAGAACACGACGAGATCCTCGGCAAAGACCTGACCAAAGTGCCCGCCATGATCCGCGCCAACCCGGCCCTGATCAACAAACTGGCCTACACAACCGCCGTGATCCGCGAAGCTCTCCGTCTGTATCCAGCGTCGGGTAGTCTTCGGATGGCTCCTGAAAAGTACCCTCTCCCTCCCTCTCCCCCCGAGAAAAAAAAAAAAAAAAAACCAACTCTAACGTAAAAAAAAAACAGCATAACCTTCCACCCCACACGCACCAACCCCGTGACCATCCCCAAGGGCAACCTAATCTGGGTAGGCATCCACACGATCCACCACGACGCCGAATACTTCCCCTGCCCGGACGAATTCCACCCGGAGCGTTTCCTCAACGCCGGCGTGGTGACCCTGCCGGACGGGCGCACGGAAGCCACCCCGGCCGGATGGAACGGCCACGTACCCCCGCAAGACGCCTACCGGCCGTTCGAGAAGGGCCCTCGCCAGTGCATCGGCAGCGAGATGGCGATGATTGAGATCCGGGTCGTGCTGGCGATGACCATGCGGCTGTTTACGTTTGAGACGGCGTTCGAGGAGTGGAGGGACGCCCATCCCGAGGAGACGGATAAGAGGCATACGAGCGCGTTTGGGGACGAGGCGTATCAGGTTTATTCGTCGACTGCGAAGCCGAAGAGTGGGATGCCTATGAGGGTGGGGGTTAGGAAGTAGGGGTTGGTTTTTCCTTTTTATTTACCGCTCTCTCTGTGAGAATTGGAGAGGGTTAGGGGGGAGAGCAGAGGAGGGGAGTGGGGGGGAGTGGGGGGGACTGTGGTAATTTTTTATCTTTAGCTGTTTGTTACCATTATATGTGTGGCAATGTTATGATTGATTCTGATTGTGTCTCCAAATGAGATCGATCAATTCGGGGTTCTTATCCAACTCTACGTAGGATGAGAAATAGATGCTTGCATGTGAGCATTATTTCTCGTGTTGGAGGGGGGTTCTGTTCATGTATGTCTCTTCCGCTGGCTGATATCCAATTTCTTTCCAAAGCCGTTTTGGAACATCGCAATCCCTGGAATTGCTCTTTATACCATCTTCCCCAACTGGATTGCTGTCTGATGGGAGATACAGGAGCCTCTCTCTAACCCGCTATACTGTTATACAGACAATCTCGCTACGCCCCCTTACCAGACTACAAAAGTCCAACGCTGATGGCGATAGCCGATATGACCTGTTCTCATGACTATTCGTAGCAAATCTTCAACATAACATAAAGGTCTTTGCACCCCCTCCCCCTCCTCCTTCTCCTCCTCGTCGTCGTCCCGGGGGGGGGGGTCAAAAACCACCAAAAAATAACCTCACAGGTAATCTAAACATCCAACCTCAACGGCGCCAACCCAAACTCCAACGTCTCAAAGTCCAAAATGACATACAAGCTCTTCAGGAAGCCCAATCCCAGCGAAAGTAGCGTGGCATCGCCACTCTCGGTACGACTATGCGTCCACACATTCAAATTCAGATAACACTCCCCGGTGGCATAGATCTCCTGCACGAAGGCCTCGGGCCGGACCGTATAATTCACGCGATGATCCAGCTCATACACCAGGGAGGGGAGGGTCTCGGCGGCGTCGCAGTCCACCAGATACCAGTCCTGGGCGTGCGCGCCGGTGGGGCTGGAGGTCATTTGGGCGGCGAGGGCGGCGACGGACTCCGGGGAGGCTTTGCGGGCGTCCACCAGGCGGATGAAGTCGTTGTAGGCGTTGGCGGAGACGGGGACGCCCAGGCCCTCGGAGTTGTCGTCCAGCACGGCGAGGGGCGTGATCAGCCCGTCGGATTCGGGGATGGCGTGCGGGTTGCGTTGTTGCCATTCTTCTGGGCCGGCGTTGCGGATTAGGGCTGAGGGGGGGAAGCGGATCGCGTAGTTGGGGGACCAGGTTTCGGTCTCGGTTTCGGGCTCGGTTTGTGATTCTGGGTCCGCGGAGGGCGGCGGCGAGACGATCCATCCGCCCGTCCACCGCGTGGACCAGAAGTTGTAGATCTGAGGCGATATCGGCGCGTACATTTCGCCGCCCAGCCAGGGGGGCGTGATGGTCTTGTACCAGGTTAGGTTGGTGGTGTGGTAGAGCGAGGGGTCGGAGCCGCCGAAGACAAATTTCGAGTCTCCGCCTAGACACGGCTCCGTGGACGAGAGGTCCTTGCATGCGTTCCACCCGATCTGCGGGTTGGTTTTGCCGGATTGCCACGCCTGGTGGAAGACCGGGTGGAAGGTCTCGTTCAGCTCGGGCAGGACGGGCGCCATCCCGAAGATGCCCCCGAACGGCTGCACGGGGACCCATTCGCCCGTGAAGGGGAAGTGCGAGGCTTGGAAGGTGGTGGTCGGCTCGGTGCAGAGGTCGTTGATGCACACGGTGTCGGAGATGTAGTCGACGGTGAAGAGCGGGCAGAAGAGGTTGGTGGGCCATTGCAGCTGGGGGAGGGCGGAAGGGCTGAAGGTCGACGAGAGCCTCTCGTCGTAGTAGGATTGGCCCGGGGCGACGCAGAGGGCTGGGTCCACGGTGTCGACGCATCGGCTGCTGCGCGCGAAGAGCGACATCCAGGCCCAGTCGCTCAGGACGGTCAGGTTCTGCGGGGGCGTGCCCACGGTGATGTTGAAGAGGTAGCCATAGGTGTTCCAGAAGGCGGGGACGGAGGTGGTGGGCAGCAGAGGGGCGGGTTTGGCGACGGGGAAGAGGGAGATTAGGGCATCGAGGGTGGTGATCTCGGAGAGGTAGATGGCCAGGAAGATGGAGGCCAGGAATGACAGGCCGAATGCGAGGTACATGTTGGAAGTTGGGCCGGGGTGGTCACCTCTCCGCACACCGTCTGGATCTGATGCTATTCGTCCATGGGGGCTCCCGCGTATGACTTAAATATGGATTGAATGGTTTCAGTCAATGGGTCATCGGCGGGTTTGCAGCTGAGAATGGAGGATGTCCGTGCTTTTGTTCCCACGGCTCTGCGGCCTCAAAAGCCGCCGAAGGAATCCACCCGTCGACCGTCAGATAAAGTCCCCGCCGGCTCATTGCTTCTATGTCGGTAGTTGGTAGTTGTCCCTGAGGAAATCGCATCAATATTTGATCCAGCCTCCCGGACTATATAGAGAGTCGTGGGCGATGTTGATGGCAAATGGTGGAATAGTCAAGATCAATCCCTCTTAGACTCGACAAACGGAAATACCAAGTCGGCTGTCTGTGCATAATACAACGATAACAGTTGTACGGATGAAACCCTCCCAGTATTGCTGGTACTTATCATTGTGAGCAAAGGACAGAACCCGAAATTCCACGTTGGCTGCCCACGAGTGATCCGAAACTCTGAGCCATACCTGCAAACAGTCAAGCTGGTGGTATCCAACCAGCAGCCCTGCAGCCATCCTGTTGACTATGTGACTGGCTTCGCCACCGCGGAGGTGTTATCCTCTCTGCCTGTATGTAGCCTAGCTAGCATCGCCTCTTTCCCAACCATCACGATCCTCTCATTCATCCATCGCTCATAGGCTCCATAGAGTCCTCACAGTATACTGAGAGAATAGTCAAGAGTAAACTAAGCGTATATAGCTAGAAGTTGTTTCCTATATATTATTCTCATTTAACATACCTCAATAGCAAGTTTCTTCCAGCGAATATAAGATGATTCCAGTCCATATCGTCCCACTAATAAGAAAATACAATCACATTAATACTATTCTTTCTTACCCCCCCACTCTTTCCCCCCCTTGATCCCTCCCTTCCCCGAAATCAACTCACTTCACCATCTCCGTAAACCCTTCTCCAAATCAACTCACTTCACCATCTTCGTAAACACCACGCCCCTAGCCCTCTGCCCCAGCATCAACGCCTCAAACGTCGCCCCCACCACGACATCCAACCCCCCCTCGACCGCCCTCCTCACCCACTCCTTCACCGGGACCTCTTCAAAGACACACCCTTCCTCTCTCTCCAACTGCGCCTTCAGCTCCGACGGCGTCAACTTCCTCTCACTACAATGATGCACGAACCTCACTCCCATCCCATCCTCCTCCCCCATTTCATCCTCCCTCCCAGCGCCCTCCCCACCACACCCCCCGCCACATCCCCCACATCCACGAAATCAAAGAGCCAATTAACCTCCCCCCTGTCGGGAAAACACCTCAACCGCCTCGTCCAACCTACCACGTTCCCCATGATATCCAGCTCCGGCACGCCCTCGCCCGTGATACTCGCGGGGCGATGCACCCACACCGGCAGGCTGTATCTCTCCGCCACGCGCTCCAGGAACACCTCGCTGGCCCATTTGCTCGCGATATAGCCCGCCTTGCCGTCTGGGGGGGGCGGATGGGCGCGCACGGAGACGGGACGCCACGAGGGCTGGTTGGTGAGCGCGACGACGCCGCCGGTGGAGATGAAGTGGATGGGGATGCGGCGGGGGAGGGCCAGCGAGGTGAGGAATTGCGTGGAGAGGTGGTTGGGGGCGCGGAGGGTGGGGTAGGGCGCGATGAAGGAGACGGTCGCCGCGTTGTGGAGGATTAGGTCGGCGGTCTGGCGCAGGGTGGCTATGGTGGAGGGGGGGAGGGAGAGGGTGGGATGGGTGAGGTCGCCTGGGTGGATGGTGATTTTGGGAAGGGCGGAGGGGGGGAGGAGGGTGGTCAGGTGCGGGGAGGAGGGGTTGCGGACGGCTAGGCAGTGGATGTGCTGGATCTTGGGGGAGGTGAGGAGGGCGTGCAGGATGGAGCGGCCGAGGAAGCCGGTTGAGCCGGTGAGGAGGACGGTGAGGGTTTCCTTCTTTGGCTTTGAGGGGGGGGTGGGGAGGGGGAGGGAGGTGAAGGAGGGCGGGATTCGGGTTTCCGCATCCCAGTCGATGGAGGGCGGCGATGCTGATTCCGTGGGCGTCTGGGTCTGGGCCAGCAGCCCCGCCATGGCGGAGAGGAGCGGGGCGGAGAACAGTTCCGTCAGCGGGATGGATGTCCCTCCCGCCGACAGGATCTTCTGCAGTCGCACCAGCAGCAGTGAGTTTCCGCCCACCTCGAAGAAGTTGGCGTCGGCCGACAGCGTCACCTCGCCCAGGACCTGGCGCCACGCGTGCGCCATGGCCTGTTCCTGCTCGCTGAGCGGCGCGGTGCTCGTGTCGATCTGGATCGCCGTCCCCAGCAGGCTCGCCAGGGCGGCGCGGTCCAGCTTGCCCGAGGTCGTCTGCGGGAGCTTGCGGACGGAGATGAACGACGAGGGACGCATGTATCGTGGCAGGGGGAGCGATTTGGCGAGCTCCTTGATGAAGGACGCGTCCGCCACGGGCATGACCAGGTAGGCTGCCAAGGTGGCGTCCGCGTTGTCGCCCTTCACGCACACCCCCGCCGCCAGGACCTTCCCGCCCGAAGCCGCCACGATGGCCGTCTCGATCTCGTCCAGCTCGACCCGGTTGCCCCGGATTTTCACTTGCGTCGACCCCTCCATCCGTCCGAGGAACACCATCGCCCCGTCATGCTGCAGATACCCGCGATCGCCCGTGCGGTACAGCTTGTCCCACCCGCGGCGGACATCCGCTTCACTCGCGTATGCGTTCTTGACGAACTTACTCGCCGTCAGCCGAGCATTGTTCAGATATCCCTGCGCGACACCGCCGCCGCCGATGCAGATCTCGCCCGGGACGCCCGCGGGGACAGGCCGGCGCTGGTCGTCGAGGATGTGCACGGAGTAGTTGCTCAGCGGGCGACCACAAGGAATCACCTCCGGCACGTCGGGGTCGGCGCCCCGTCCGGTCACCAGATGCAGGCTGGACGAGACGGTGATCTCCGTCGGACCGTATCGGTTCCACACGCGCAGAGACGGGATGTTCAGTCCCTCGAACAGCGGACACAGGCCCGGCAGGAACTTCTCCCCCCCGCAGAAGGCGTTTCTCCACGTCTTGCATCCGCTCAGGTCGCCGTATATCAGCAGGTTGTGGTACTCTGACGAGGTCATCTGCGTGTATGTGATCCCTTCGACGGTCATCAGGGCGGCGAGTTGCTCGGGGTCGCGCCGCACCTCCGGAGATACCACGACGAGGGTGCCCTGTCCGGCGAGAGCCGCGTAGATGCAGTCGATGGACGCGTCGAAGCCCAGCCCGCTTTGAAGCAGCACTGTCTCGCTGGACAGTCCGATGTCACGCTGCATGGACTGGATCTGGCATGTCAGGTTGCGGTGGCGGACTACCACTCCCTTCGGCTTCCCGGTCGACCCGCTGGTGTAGAGGATGTACGCGGTGCCGCTGGGAGACGCCTGGATGGGGAATTCGGCCGCTGGGACAAGCTGGGATGTGTTGACGAGGGTCCGGTTGCCAGCCACTGCGGCCGCCAGTTTGCAGGTCGCATCGTGGTGCACGACGGCACGCGCATCGCAGTCCTGCACGATCGTCCGCAGGCGCTCCTCCGGATGCTCCGTGTCGACGGGCACGTAGATGCAGCCGGCATAGTGGATGCCCAGGATGGCGACAATCGAGTCCAGACTCGGCTTGCACACGACCACCACCGGGCCAGACGGGCCCAGCCCGTGCAGGTGTGCAGCCAACTGCAGAGCACGGCCTCTCAGCTCTCCATACGTCAACGACTGCCCATCAGCCCGGACGGCAACCTTCTCCGGCTGATCCAGACAGTCCTTCTCGAACAGATGCACCACCGTCATCTGGTCGTCCAGATCCGAAGACACCCTCTCGCCACAGCCCACCGCCAACGCGCGCGCAACGCTCCCCTCCTCAAACACCCCGATATTCGTGACGGGGATATTCGGGTTCGAAGCCACCGACTGCAGCACCACGACCAACGAAGACAGAATAAACTCCAGACTCGCCTCGGAATAGAGATACTCCTGCCCCTTGACAGCCAGCAGACAGTTCCCATCGACGAACTCCTCCACCTCGACGACCAGATCCAGACCCGTCCGCGCATCGTCCATGCGGAGGTTCTCGGCCCTGCTCTCGCCCAGCATCGCCGACTCCGTCGACCCCATCTTATAGTTCAACAGGATCTGGAACAGCGGGCTCTCGTACGGCGACTTCTTCACCGCCAGCTCGTCCAGCAGCGTCTGATACGGGACGGCGGAGTGGCCCAGCGCCGTGCGCACCTGCTTCGTCGTCGTGGCGAGCAGATTCCGGAACGACTGGCCCGGGCGCGCCGTCTTGAAGACCAGCGGGATCATGTTGACGAACATCCCGACCATCTGCAGGGAGTCCTTGTCGGATCGCCCGGCGTCGGACATCCCGATGCAGATCTCCTGCTGGCCGGATAGTCGGAAGATCAGCTCCCGCAGCGCCGTCAGGTACAGGAAGAACGAGGTCGTTCCGCCGACCTTGTGCGCGACTTCCTTGATCTTCATCGTCAGGGGGATGTCTAGCTTGCGCTGCACGGTATGCACCTGGTACCTGTCCAGGGGCTTTCGGGTCGGGACGCGCGCGAACGGAAACAGCGGGATGGGGGGCGGGGGGTTGGCCAGCTTGGTTTTCCAGAACTCGAGACTCTGTCGAAACCCCTCGGTATGGATCGACTGTCTCTGCGCAACAGCATAGGCGCGGTAGTTGGGCGCCGGAGGCAGTGTCCCCCCCGCGTAGACCGACTGCAAATCCCTGATGAAGATCTGGGCGCTAAACCCATCCAGCACCAGATGATGAAATCCCAGAATGAGAAAGTGAACGGCAGGCGTCAACGACAGAATCGCCACCTTCATCGTCCGGCCTTTCCGCAGATCGTAGACGTGCTCCTTAATCTCGACGTACGTCTCATCCACCACCTCCGCAACATCAATCTCCCGCACGCTGATCTCGATCCGCGACTCGGCCAGAACTCCCTGATGTAGCTGCGGCGCCTCCTGGCCGTCGAGGAAGAACGCCGTCCGCAACGACTCATGACGATTCGCCACCGTCCGGAACGCATCGGCCAGGTCGTCCGCCCGGAGCAGCCCGTTCACGACATACGACAGCGTCACGTTGAATGTTGTGGCGTCGGCGAGGAACTCGTGCAAGAACCAGATCCGCTCCTGGGCGTAGGATGCGCGTTCCACGGCTTCGAATGCCCGGGAGACGTCCTCGCAGGACCGCACGGGTCGCAGGCTGGGGCTGGGACATAGACTGTTCGGTGTGGAGGCGGATGTCACGCTGGATTGGCTGGGGAGGGCCGTGATGTCGATGTCGATGTCCGTGTCGGTGATCGAGATTCCGGATAGGGGCGTCGTGCTCCGGGTTTGGGCGGTCTTGAGATGGGGGATGGGTTGGATGTGGATTTCCGTCGGTGTTTTTGGGCTGGGCTTGTTGTTGGGGTTGTTGCTTAGGAGGTTCCAGAGGGAGGGCGAGGAGGATGCAGACATTGTGGTTGGTTGGTTGGTTGTGAGGACGGTAGATGTATAAGGCTGCAACTGTGACTGTGACTGCAATCGCAAAGGAAGATGTTTACAAGAATGAGAGTTGCATCGAGATGCGAAGTCAGGATACGCGAACAGTCAAGTCACTGGACCAGGGGAATGGCAGATATGCCTGCTCTATGAATATAGAGTCTGGGTCTGGTGGCAACGGCAACGGCAACGGCAACTCTTCCTTCGCCTTCGCCGACTTACGCTGACTCGCTGACTGACTGACTGACTGACTGACTCGGCCATCTAACGGACATTATGGGGACAGGATGAGGATGGGACAGCATTCGGTGGGTTCCGGCCACCGTCTATCTATTCTCCCCCTGTGCGTTTAACCGGCTGGGTCCGGAGATAGATTGCTGTTTCTTTCTTGGTTTCAGGCAGATGCAACTAGTCACTCTTGGTGCGTGGCAGCCTCGCGCGGTGTGGGCGATGGTAGATCCGCTGCTTCCATGTGCTTATGTTCGGTGTTCTGGGTTTTCGATAGGGGCAAAGTCGCCGAATCCGATCCTCCGAGGGGGGTGGGGAGAGGCGGGATACGAGGCGAACTTGTTTGGCTTCTTTGTTCTGTTACTTGTTTGCTGCTTTAGTGGTGTTAAGGGTGGGATTGGATTCTTTGGTTTCGGCTGGGTGGCAAAGTTGGATATGGGATTTGGGATACGGGATATGGGGATGGGAGGGAGCTGGTGGTTATATACGGCTGGCTGAGTGGGTGGGGGGTTTATTGTGTTTGGTTGGGTTTCTGACGGATCTTACCTGGTATGATATTTGGTGGAATGGGACTTTTGGAGTAACGGTGTCTGCCTACCAGGTAGGATGGTAGAGACCTCATAATCTTTCTATGGTTGTGTCTGTCAGGAGGCCTGTGGTGACCTCTCAGAAAGCCCTGGGCGGGGACGTCTTCTTTTGCCTTGGTGATTAGGTTTTTGTCGGTATTCTTATGAGGACTGGTGCTGGCAGTGGCAGTGGCTAGACTCTAGACTCAGGGGTTTTCTGGTTTTGATCATTTTGTCTGTTCAGATGGGTATTCGGGTATTCAATTACCATCCACACTGTTAAGAAATCAGCAGAAGCAGATGATGAGTCAACATTCACAATAAGAGGAGATATATGAAACTAGACCACCGACCCTCCCCCCCCATTCACCCCTTCTAACCCTACTCCCCAAGCACATACCCCCCGTCCCCTCATCCGACCTCTCCACCTTCACCTCACCCCACTCCACCCCATCAAGCACATTCACTCTCACGGGCACAATCTCCAAATTCCTGCGAATCATCTCCTGCTTCTCGGCCGGCAACTTCACCACCAATGCCTTCGGCGGCCCATGCAAATGCATGTACACCTGCACCCCGCACCGGGCGCAGAACCGATGGCCGGTGAATTTCCTCCCGAAGAGGTATTCGGTTGCGTTTTCGGTGCCAGTGATGAGTACTTGGGGGGTGGTGGGGTAGATGCATGTGTTGGCGTTCTGTGATGTTCTGTTAGCTGGCATTTGGAGGGAGGTGGACTGGAGGGGCTGGTGGGGATGGGGATGGGGATGGGGGTTAGGGCAAGAGCTGACCCGTTGGCAGATGCTGCAGTTGTCTTCCTTGACTGGGGTGTGTGGGAAGGGGGGCGTTGTCACGGTTAGGGTGATGGCGCCGCAGTGGCAGCTGCCGGAGTAGGTTTTGGCTTGCGGGTTGGAGGGGGGTTCAATTGGGGATGGCGATGGCATTGGGATTTCTTTACCGGGGACGGGGAGACTGAAGAGGTTAATTGTTGTTTTGAGTTGGAAGTAGGCATGGCTTACTCGGCCACAGTGAGTTCGAAAGGGTTCACATCGAGTAATGCTCTCGCCTAGATGTCATCGTCAATACACTGCATCTTGACCAAAGATATGATAACTAGCACTCACATTAACCCCCACCCCCGTCTCTCCTGAGGGTGTCTGGTGATTCTTCACCAGAACCGCCGTTCCGCACACGGGACAAAACTGATCGAGTTGGTCAAATCTCATGCAACTATCCAACTCTCCCCATCAAATACATACACAATGCTCACCCCCCCGACTCCCATACCCGACCAGCTCATCCTCCCCCCTAGTGATCTTCACCTGATCGTCCGCGGGGAATATCCATCGGCTGCCGATCTTCGCGCAGACGCCACATTGGCAGGCGAAGGTCGTCCCAAGTGGGCTTGGGAGACGGACTTCGAAGCGCACTTTGCCGCAGTGGCAGTTCCCTTGGTATGAGGTCATAATATGGCCGGTTATTGATTTTTTGCAGGGTTTCAGGGTGGTTTCAAGGATGGATTGATGCGGGGGACCGACGGATGGGTTTGGGTTAGGGGCTTTTATCCTACGTAGATAAGGAGGAATCCTTGTCGGGTCAGCACTAGGCCGGTCTGGGTCTGATTTCGATCTGGATTCAGGGTAGGATGTATTCTGTCCATCAAATCGGGGTCATGGTCCACCATCATCGTAACTTCTTAGATATAGCAGTGGTTTAGCTTCATATACTGAAACCACTCGTTGGCATTCCGTAGCCTGGCATTGCAGTGCCAATCAGATGGCACTCGAGTGCTTATAAAACCTGCCCTAGTAGCATATTATTTATTGTTATACAAAACCTGCAATTCAATCGATGGCAGTGGCTAGAGGTAACAGAGGCAGGGGTGGTGTGGCGCCCCTCAAAGTTCGGCGCGATGTTCTCTTTTGTAGCAGCCTCGACATCACCCAGCGAGTTGACAATCAGGGATCCGGTAGTCGAAATGAAAGGTCGTCCGCCAATTTTAACTATCCTAGATAAAACAAGCCTATCTGAGAAAGAGACCAAAACTGTTCCGAAATCACAACCAGCTAAGCCTAAGCCATCACACTGTGTAACACACTCTTATCCCTCCCTCCAACATGACCTGAAAATACATACTCCATCTCCAACCTTATGTTCATCCTCGTCGTCATCATCATCATCCTCCTCCTCCTTATTCTTACCTCAAAAAGCTATACCCCCCTCTTACTCCATCAGCACCTCCACCTCCAATCAACCACCCAACCAACCAGTCCTCCCCATCCCAAATTCCATCCATCCATCCATCCAACACAAACCAGAAACAGGACTCAGGGGTAATATCCCACCCACCCAATCACACCCCCCAACCGTCGCGATCTCCCGCCCGCGATCCCTGTTTCAGATTGAGGCCCTGAACCTGGGCGTCCCACCCTCCCCGCATTCTATCTTAACTGCCAGTGTCAGTGTCAGCTTACAGCTTCTTTCTAACTGCCAAGTGCCGACCCGAGGGTTCCGGACTACCCGGTAGTGCTGCAGCCTACAGCCTACTATAACCTAACTTGGAGGTCTGGGTCGGGTTCGTATTTAATTAGGATGTGAGATGAGAGGTGAGATGAGAAGTGGGGGTTGTTTGTTTGACTTTGGGGTTGGAGATGGTGATGGTGGGGGTGGGAATGTTGGATACTGGATAGTGGTGGTGGTGGTGGTAGCAGTGATTTTGTGGGTTTGGTAGGATGAAGATTCTCGGAGGACTCGGAAGGATATCCAACTGGGCCCTTCTACGGAGTACCTTTCTAGGCATTGTCCTCGAAAGGTGACATCCCTCGATGGATGATGTTGTACCCTAGCATTTCTCTTCCCCTCCAACTACATACATACAACCTCACCCACCAACATCATACCATACCTCCCCCCACCCCAGTCCTAAATATATATATATACTATACTACCGTCCGGCATGGACCAGTCCAGTCCAGTCCAGACCACCACATCACATCGCCCGTATCCGACGATGTAACGCATGTACGCGTCCACATGGCCATGCCCTTCATCCCTCATCCCTCATCCCTCATCCAGGCCGCTACAACGTATGTATGTAGGTAGTAGTAGTAGTTAGTCTGTACTTAGCAGATGCGGCACTCTCCGACCAACGAATTCAAATGAAACCAAATCAAATCAAACCAAATCAAATCGAATCGAATCGAATCACCAAAGTCAAAATATATACCCCACCCCATCGCACAAAACCTGGCGGTGGCACCCTGCGGAGATGCATCCGATCGCTCTGAACCATGGCGCGGGAGGTTGGAATTTGGATGTTCAACCCTCAACACTCAACTCCACTTAAGTTCTTGATGGATGTTATTTTGGATCCCGATCCCTTTCTCCCTGCCACCCACATGCCTACTTAGTACTTACTTACATACATACATACATACATACAGTCTGACTCCACTATACGCAAGCTGCAACTGCAGGCTGCGGGTTTTGGCTTGGACGGGCATGCTGAAGATTCAGAAAAGTAAGACAGCGGCGGGCCCAGAACACGGTGTCGGTGGTGGTGGTGTTGTTGTTGTTTTGGTGTGGTTCGCCACCGAAGCGCCAAGTCGGGCTGCGGGATCGTCATGGCTGGGTGAAGTGAGGTGAGGTGTGGTGAGGTGCAAGGTGCACGGTGCCTGCATTGAGTGGATTCTTGGTTTTTTTTTTTTTTTGGTTTGGTTTGGTTAGTTTTCTGGTCAAGTTTCTGGTGTTTGTTTTTCTACTCGATCTATGTTGGAGTGCTCCTGTTGGGTTCTTGTTGTGTGTGTGTGTGTTACTCCGTAGTAAGATCGATCTTACTCCAGCTCAAGAATGATGACAGCATTCTCGGGCCTGACGGTCTCAAGAATGAGATGCGCCATTCGGTTCGTCCGTGGTGTCCAATCGCCCAAATCCAGCGGACTCACCAAGGCTGAGTAGGAGTGCCGCCCCACGTCGGGTCAGCATCCGCGGTGTGCCCTATACTCGATATACTCGATAGGCTCGGCGGTCGCTGCAAGGGCGGGGTCCGCTTCGGTCGCAGCGACTCTGGAGGTCATTATCATTCGCTGAGGAGTCGCCCGAGTCGAGCAGCCAGGAGAGAGCAGGACGTTGAGGCGAGTGATTGGCAGTCCCCGGCGCCAACCGGCGCATGATGGATGGATGGTGCGACAGAAGCCCTGAAACAGATCCCGACTGGGCTTGGAGGGCGCTGCCAATCCGGACTGCAGACGCTCTGCCCGCGGGTTTCATCCCAGACAGACAGACAGACAGCTTCACAGAGTCCGTCATACTCGCCCCACTCTATTGATTCCATTCACCCTCCCCCGCCAACAATGACTATGACTATGACTATATAACTCCCTCCTCCCTCTGCCGGTGCTGGTCGCCGCTTCTCTTCTCTTCTCTTCCCCTCCATCCTCAGCCACTATCTACCCGCTGAGCGTCAGTCCTTCTCTCCGCTGTTCGACAGTTCAGGCCAGTCCTGCTTTCTTTTGACACTCCTTTCCATCGTCCGCCTGTGGCAGACCTCGTCCCTCCCCTCCGGGAACCATCCAAGTGCAGTGTGTCGCGAAGACAAAGACAACCCATCCACAAAGTCCCTGGTCGGACAGACTGCTTCTTTGTGCCCTACTCGCCAAGGTACCGTTCCTGTCACTCACTTCACCCCTTCATTGTCTCTGCATTGTTCCATCCGAATCTCCATTGTCTCGGAAAGCTTGTTTTCTTGCACTCAGGCGCTGCAATCTCCGCCTGGCATTCCGATGAGAGACCATGTGCAACCATGCCACTTCCTATATAACACCCTCCCTCCCTCGCTCCCTCGCTGCCTGCCTCCGTCCTCGTTCCAGAACTAACCCTCTTATCAGACCGTCTGGACTACACACCACACCACTCACTCTGCGCCCATTCATTCCGAGTTTCTGAGTCGTCTGGCACGATCAGAAGTCCAATCATTCATTCAATCATTCATTCTCTTCCCTGTCGAACAACACAACACTCCTTCCGCTAGCCAAAATGCTCTCCAAGTCCATCCTCGCGGCCGCCATGCTGGGCGTCTCCGCGGTTGACGCCCACATGATCATGACCAAGCCGGTGCCCTACAGCGTGTCGACCCTCAACAACTCCCCTCTAGCCGCCGACGGCAGCGACTTCCCCTGCAAGCTGCGCTCCAACACCTACGATGTCACCGAGATGAACACCGCCAAGATCGGCGAGAGCATGCCCCTGACCTTCGAGGGCAGCGCCACCCACGGTGGCGGCTCCTGCCAGATCAGCCTGACCACCGACAGCGAGCCCACCAAGGACTCCGAGTGGATGGTCGTGAAGTCCTTCGAGGGCGGCTGTCCGGCCAACGTCGAGGGAAATCTGTCTGGCGGCGCCACCACCGCGGACCCCTACACCTTCAACTACACCATCCCCACCGGCATCTCCCCCGGCAGATACACCCTCGCCTGGACCTGGTTCAACCGCGTCGGCAACCGCGAGATGTACATGAACTGCGCCCCTCTCACCGTCGAGAGCGCTTCCTCGTCCAAGCGCGACGCTGGGAGTGAGACTGAGACCGTCGAGGTCGAGGTCGAGAAGCGCTCCTCCAGCTTCCCGCCGATGTTCGTCGCCAACATCAACGGCTGCACGACCACCGAGGGCGTCGACATCCGTTTCCCCCAGCCCGGCAGCGATGTCGAGTTCGATGGCGAGCCCAGCAACCTTGCCGCGGCTGGCGCTGCCGCCTGCACTGGTACCCCGACCTTTGCGGCCGCAGGGGACAGCAGCAGTGGTTCCTACTCTGGTTCTGGTTCCAGTTCCGGCTCATCAGCTGCTTCCGCTGCCGTCACCACCGCTGCATCCACGTACATCAAGCCCAAGCCCGTCCAGACCGGAGGCAGCGCGACATCCATCCAGATTGCCCCGGCTGCAGCGAACACCGGCTCCAGCTCCAGCTCAGGAAGCAGCTCCTCCGGCTCTGGTTCCGGTTCTGGCTCCAGCGCCGCCATCCCCAGCACCAGCAGCACCACCTCCGGCTCCCTCACCGGCGCCTGCAGCGAAGAAGGCGAATGGAACTGCATCGGGGGAACCTCCTTCCAACGATGCGCCAGCGGCCAATGGTCCGCCGTGCAGGCCATGGCCGCCGGCACGCAATGCACCGCCGGCCAAAGCGCAACCCTCAGCATGTCCGCCACCAAGAGATCAACCTCCCGTATGCTGAAGGAGAAGCGACGTCGTCATCCCCACAGTGGCGGTCGCAACCACGCTTGATTGCTCTGCTGCTGTCTGCATTTGCATTTGTATTCTCACTCCTTTCCAACCCAATCACATATGCATGCCTGTTACGATCTGATCTGAACGATCTACCACCTTGCCTTGTTGCTCTGTCTGTCTTTTACAGCACTCACTCATTCATTCGCAAACAAAAATTTGTTGTTGGTGCGTGGCTAGTCCATGCCCGTTTACTTTCACTTCTTTTCTTTCTTTTGCCTGCGTCATGTGGCGTGGGTGATTGATTGATTGATTGATTGATTGATTGACTTCTTTCATCTGATGCGATTTTTTTTTTCTGATTTTGTACATTTGCTTGCTTGCGGCCTGCTTGCTTGACACTTGCTTGCGAAATAGATTGCATGGGTTATATGAACAATGATTCTTTTTTCATCTTGTTTTTTTTCTTTATTTGAATCAGCTTGGGTGTGGGTGAATAGTTATCCATGTGTAGGGTAGAGTAGGATAGGGTAGAGTAGAGTAGGGTATTGTTTTAGATTCTGGAGAGCAGGGGGGGTGGGAGGCATGTTTGATTCTGTGGGCGCCACATAGAATGTATGAATGAATGTATGTATGAATGTTTGTATTAATGTACGTATGAATGTAGGCGCGAATGTCGGCGCGAATGTCGGCGCCGACAGCCACTTAGACGCTGCTCTGGAGCACGGGGCATGGAAGATAGAGTCAAGGGAGGTGGCGGTTGATTAGTCTTTATTAAGTTATCAAAAAGAGAGAATAAAGATGTTTCCGCCGCAAGGTTATGGGATGGCGGGAAATGGAGTGTCTTGCCATGGGTTGATCCGATTTCTTCTTGAGATGGTTGATGTTTCATGGAACAGAGAGTTGCGACCGACAGACAAAGACGAATAGCCAGGCAGGGCGGCAAGGCAGAAAGAGTTTCTTCCTTAGGCTGAACTTCTTAGGCAGGGAGTACACCGCCTCAGGCAGAATACATACACCGCTCAGGCAGCATTCATCCCGCGGGCGCCCACCTCAGGCAGAAATCAACGCCCCCAAACAGGAAGCAGGGCTAGGGCTTAGCCGCACCCACGACGGGCGAACCGACCAAGCGAAAATTTGCGCTCATCTTGAGATGCTCGATCTTCAACCTCGAACGACGACATCGACCACCCTAATCGACAAAAATGGCGTCTCGTCCTACCGTCACCATCGCCGGCGCTGATGGCAAGCCCACGGGGGCTACCTACCCCCTGCCGGCTGTTTTCGCCTCGCCCATCCGTCTTGATGTTGTCCAGTACGTTCGACCCGGTTGCAGAATGGAAGGGGATGGATGGATGATGGATGGGCATCGCAGAATTTGCAGTTGCAGGACCAGGAGAGGCTGACGGCTTGAAACAGGCAGGTGCACACCGGTATGGCCAAGAACAAGAGACAGCCCTACGCTGTGAGCGAGAAGGCTGGTGAACAGACCTCCGCTGAGTCCTGGGGTACCGGTATGTTGAGGATCTGGAAATCTGAGGCGAAAAAAAAAACACCAATTGATTTGATGGAATATAGGTCGCGCTGTCGCTCGTATCCCCCGTGTCTCCGGTGGTGGTACTCACCGTGCTGGTCAGGCTGCTTTCGGTAACCAGTGCCGTTCCGGTCGTATGTTCGCTCCTACCAAGGTCTGGCGCAAGTGGCACCAGAAGGTCAACGTTGGCCAGAGGTGAGATAATCTATTTTTCCCCACCCACTGGATGTCAAGGGAACAGACATTCTAATGAATCGATACAAACAGACGTTTCGCTACCGCCTCTGCCCTCGCTGCCTCCTCCGTCCCCGCCCTCCTGTTCGCCCGCGGTCACCGCGTCGCCAACGTCCCCGAGGTCCCCCTGGTCGTTGACTCCAAGACCTTCGAGAACGCCGCTCTCACCAAGACCAAGGCCGCCGTCGCCCTCCTCCAGGCCGTCGGTGCCGGCTCCGACCTCGTCAAGGTCCAGAAGTCCAAGAAGATGCGCGCCGGTAAGGGTAAGCTGAGGAACCGTCGTTTCCGCCAGCGCCGCGGACCCCTGGTTGTGTACAACCCCGAGGTCGACGGCAAGGAGCTCGTCCGTGCCTTCCGCAACATCCCCGGTGTTGAGACCTCCCCCGTCTTCTCCCTCAACCTCCTCCAGCTCGCCCCCGGTGGCCACCTCGGTCGCTTCATCGTCTGGACCTCCTCCGCCTTCCAGGCCCTCGACCAGGTCTACGGCACCACCACCTCCCCCGCCGCCCTCAAGAAGGACTTCCTCCTCCCCTCCAACGTCGTCGCCAACGCCGACCTGGCCCGTCTCATCAACTCCTCTGAGATCCAGTCCGTGCTCCGCGCCCCCAAGGGCGAGGCCCGCACCAAGCGCGTCAACGTCCAGAAGAAGAACCCTCTCCGCAACAAGCAGGTCATGCTCCGTCTCAACCCCTACGCTGCTGCTTTCTCCAAGGAGAAGCTCGGCCAGAAGACCGTTGAGGCTGAGAAGCCTGTCCGCGCTTGCAAGGAGTTCCTCAACACCCTCCGTGAGGACTAGATGTTGGGCTTGGGCTTGGACTTGGGTCAACGGGTATGATATGAGTTTGTTTAATTCGGTTTAAAAGTAGCCAATGAGGTTCATCCAAAATTTGTCTTCTCTCTCTCTCTGTAGTCGGTAAATAGTTGTGTGTCTGCCAATTTTTTACCATCTACAGCTGGCTACTGTATGGAATACAAACTCTTATCATATATCCATTGCCTGTTCCAGCAACTTAAGTTGTCCAGCCCCGGTTGACATTACCCCATATTTGTCGAAATTTTCATTCCTTGGCGTCCTGAATGCCAGCAGCAGCAGCAGTAACAACTAACATAACTATCAACCCAACGCACCGACCATTGTAGATAAGTCGGTAAGTAGTACCAAGTAGATAGTAGGCCATAGGCATCCTCAACGGTCAGTCAGCCACTGCCACTCCATGAGCAAAACTCCACCTCCCTTCCCTCAAACCTTTCATCTTAAATATATCAATCAAGTCAGCATCTATACACATACTCCCTACAGAGCCACCAAGCACCAACCCCTCACGAACAAACAAACCCCCACCCGATAGCAAGCATCTAAACATGACAAGACAGAGAATGATAATCCCAACCAACCCCGCCCCAACCTAAGTAGTATATCACCACCCCACATCAATCACAGGCAACCTACCCCCCCTTAACCCATACCACAAAACATACCTACTTACCTACCTACCTACCTACCTACCCACCTAGTTAGTACCTACCTAGTCCTTACCTACACCCCCAACCAAAAAGAAAAGAAAAAAAAAATATCGGCATCGTTTTCCACGTTCTACTGATAAGCACGAAACAAAAGTCTCTTTTCCATATCTGTATCCGTATCTGGTCAATAACCCAGTCCAATCCAATCCAATCCAATCCAATCCAATCCCAATCCCCTCCCCAAACCCCTACCCAAACCCCTACCCCTACCCCTACCCCTATATCACCCCCAATATACAACCGGGATCATCCCCAACCGACCCGAACGGCGACTAGTTAGTAGATCCATCCATCCTGAATCCGGAATCCCGACTCCCGATTTGTACAATATTTGTGCATAACTACCTATCTTACCCCGTGGATAGATCGATAGATTAAGACTTTTTCTTTTTCTTTTTTTTTTGCTTGCTTGCTTGTATGTTTGTTTGTTTGTTTGCTTGTTAGTTAGTTAGTTAGTTAGGTGTCTCGGTAGGCTGGGCTGGGTTGGGTTAGGTTGGTGGTTAGGTTGGGTGAGCGCCGAACTCATCCGAGGGGATGTAGTCGGTCAGGGTTGGTTGCCTAATTCTTGGATTGGGGTGGATTGAATGGACAGACAGGTGGGCTGGGAGTGGCAGGTGACAGACAGGGTCTGAATAGCTAACTAGTAGATATCTAGCTAGCTAAGTAAGTATAGTATTTAGGACTTAGGTACGGAGTATCTAGTGTGGCTATCTACTTGGTAGGATTCGTTCGGGGATTAGGTAGCTGCTATCTCTCTGGATAGTGCCCCGCCTAGGGGAGGTGGGTAGGTAGGTAGGTAGGTAGGTAGGTAAGTAGGGAAATAAGATGTTTTAGCTGGTTGGGAGGGAAGGTGGTGCCTAGCTGGCTGGCTGGATGGATGGATGGATGGATGGATGGATTGGGGATAGGTACGGAGTACTCCGGACGGAGTAGATACCTTAGCTGTCTAGGGGGTCTAAGTACTAATTTAACTAGGAAATACAATATAGCACAGATAGGTGGTGGTGAATGGAAGGAATAGAATATGTTGTTTGAATGGAGAATAAGTAGTAGGATGAGATTATTATGGTTGTGGGAGATAGATAGTAAGAAAGAAGGTGTTGGGATAGAGTGCCGAAATAGGAATTGAAGTTTTACTTTATGTATTATTGCTTGGATAGGATAGGATAGGATAGGATATGGAGGGGTGGCGAATGAGTAAGGCATCGACTGGCAATTTTCAGGAATGACTCAGGAGTACGGAGTACTTTAGTTAACTAGTTAGTTATCTATGCAGGAATCTTCTTAGTTAAGCCTCTCACACATATTATCTAATGTGCCGAGGCTGTTGGAACGTGGTGGTGGGGGGATGTTTGTGATAGACAAGGGTCTGGGTGTGTTTGCTTTATATATTTGGGGGGGGTTACTGGGGAATATCCGCACGAGATACTCCGTATAGTATTCACTACTATCTCTGCCCTTGACTCTCAAGTCCATCTAGCTGATGAAAATATACATTTACGGAGTAAAATTGTAGTGGAATACATAAAGATTCTGGCTATTTTCTATAATTAATGTCTCATAATCATATCATCCAATATATAACATCCCATTTGTACGGATAGTAAGTAGATACCTAATCCCGAGGCAGTAGCCAGACAATACAACAAACATCACACCACACCACCTCCCTTCTAGACCCAAGCCTGAATCGTATCAATACCATCAACTCATTATTAACAGTAGTGTCCATCCACGATCCAATCTCCACATAATATCTTCCTTCCCCATAGCCAGCTAGTCCGCCAGCTAGTCCGCCAGTAGACATACATGCTGTCCGGAATCCAGATGCAAGATGAGATGGCAATGTCCGCTCCAAAGAACGATCGTCCAACCAGATCTACACATTTTGGATCCTCATTTCTCATTTCATTTATCCTTCCACACTTGGATTTCTCGACTCTAGATATTGTGTACAGCAATTTCCCTGCCTACAGTGCTCCATGCCATTAGATAAGCATGCCTGCCTAACTAGTTAACTATGCAAAGCTACCTACTATGTAAGTACACTAAGTAGTAGCAGTGCTCCGTAGTAATAGTAGCAGTGGTAGTATAGGAGTAGGCATCCCCTCCCCAGCAAATCAAATCCCCCCCCTGCATTTGCGCAGACAGGTTAGTCTCGTGCTTTTGTTCCCCCCCCCCCCCTTTCCCATTTGGCAGCTACAGTAGCTTACCTACCTACTTAGCTACCTACTTAGCTACTTTATAGGCGAACCGGTCGGACCAACCGTTTATGCTAGAATTATCTTAGTCATCGCAAATATCCCACCGGGCCGGTCGGCCGAGTGCGGGTTATGCCGGTTTTTTTTTTTTTTTTACATATTTAGGTTGGGAGAGGTTTCTTTTTGTGTGTTTGGGTTACATACAGTATCTACAAGGTGCGGGATTTGAATCTGTTTATTTTATCTTTTTATTTTTGTTTCTTCAGCATCTACTCCGTATTCTTGGTGCCAACCTCCTTCTGAAATCGGTGTTCCTCCGCTCTTGTCCGAGACGAGGGAGGGGCTTACTTTATGTTGGGTTGCGTTCTGCTTTTTGGGGTTTGGGGGGGGGGGGGGGTCTTTGTTAGATATGATGTAAGAGTGAGTAGGAAGGATGGAAGGATGAGACCTTTCTCTATATGGGTATTTAATCGAGTTGATAGAATACTCTACTAGACAGGTAATATGGGGGTCTGTTGAGTGGGTGGTAAGTAGTAGTGGAAGCTGGTAAAAAGTCGTACGGGATAGGGGATTAAATACTGCCCAGCGGAATTGATTCCATGTCTTGGCGGCAATCTGGCTTCTGGATGCGGTAATTGGTGGTTTTGGGCCATACATACCTACGGTACATACATACAGAATACCGTTCTTGATGATGGTAGAATTCTGTCGTGGGTATCAAGGTAGGTACTCCATATTAGAATTGCATAGCAAGTTAGACACATAGTCTAGTATAGTATCAATAGTCAGCAAAAAAAAAAAAAAAGAAGTCACAGATCAATGGAATATCCCATCCACCTACATCTATCTATGTAGTATGTACAATCCTGATACATGTATCGTCGGCATTTGAACGGCGGCAATGGAACGAGACTATCGCCTAAGCTAGGTAGATATCCAGTGTGGAACTGTGTGGACTTCTGGACTTCCCAGTGTCGGTCGGATATTCCGTGTTGGGGGGGGCCGCGCCAAGCCCTGTTACGTAGGATGAGATCAGCACTGCGCAATGCGAACGTGGCCTGTCCACAGTCGACGGAGTATACGGAGTAGGATTCAGACGGAGATGAGTGTATGGAGTGTATGTATGTATGTATATCGAACAGTGTTATTTGAAGCAGTAGTGAAGACGGTTCTGTTCCTATATGACAGGAACACTGCATCCGTAACGCTACAAGTCGTGTGTTCCTGTTAGCCAGATCATAACTAACCCAGAGGAATAGTTACGGCACTCAATCTGAGAGGTGCAGAGTGTCCGTCCGGGTAAGAATATAATCCGGCCTTACCTAAGGGGAAACGCTTTCCTCGGTTCATCCACTGCCCCTCCATTACTACTACGAGCAATAAATAGAATAAATAGTGTTTGACGGTCGGAGAATAGAAATCCTCTGTATCTATCTACCTATCTACCTATCCATAGTGTAACTAGTTGTACACATCCCTGGTACACTGTACAGAGCATATACCAATCGGTCCATGCGCTGATAACCGAGATGACCCTTCTTTACCTTCCCCCCCCCTACACAGGCCCGTAGTTCGTCGTGCTGACCCCCCAGGGCTTCTTATTATTGGCAAGGTACCTGACCCGACACCCAGATGAGACGGTCAGCATCGCACCTTATCGACCGATCAGGGTTAACTTCCGAGGAAAGCGCTGGCTCATGATTCAGGTTGCCAGTCGCACTATCTATCGTCGACTAGATAGATATTTGCGGTAGAGGGCTGGCCCTCCCTCCCCACCTCATCCCACTTGGTTGCGGCGGCTACAACAAGCTTTGGACTAGCTGGAGGTTTGGCCTGTGATGATCGTGATGTGGCTGGACAGAGTAAGAGAACAGGGTGTACGGCGGAGGACACTACTGTATGCAGAAGTGTGTACAGACTACTACTTAGATACCTACTTACAGACATGGTCCAGTACTAATACTAAGTAGAGTATAGAGTATAGAGTATAGCCTCGGAATCCGGACCCGTGAAGGCCTTCCGCCGGAATATGAATTCGATGTAACCATAGCATCCAGGATCCTTCCTCTCCCTCTGCTGTAGTACTTACTCTGGAAGTAGTAATGCGGCGATATTTATCTATTCGATCGCCCGGTCCCAGGCCGAGGAATATCTAGGATAGGATCACTCGTCTCACCCCTCCGGCGCTAAACCCAACCTCGCGGTCCCAAGCGTCCGGATATGGCCTCCGGCCTCGACCCTCGTCTGATCTTACTGAAGGCAGACCGTCCTCCGGCCTTGAAAGTATCCGGAGTGGCAAAGCGACTGGGCGACACCACCAAAAAAACAGACCGTAGTGGATTCGTGCCGGACGTGCCGGGGGGGGTTCTAGTGCAGGGCGTTGGGGTTTAGCCAGGCCTTAGTAGCACTTTGTAGTTTGTACACAGTCCATCGACTCCATCGTGGGCTCCCGACGGTACCCATCTCCAACGCGTCCGGAGCATCTGCCTTATGGCTATATCTCCGTCTCTTATCCCGCTGAAAGTGGCCCCGACGGAGAGGGGAGGGGCATTTGATTGATCCATCCGACTCCGCACAGCCCTGTGCTGTGTGCCTCGGATGTTAATATTTAGCAAACAACAACAACAACAACAACAACAAGAACAAGAGACGGAGGATGGCAAGCCCGGTCAGTGGCATGCCTGCAGTAAAGTTACTAAATACCTAGTTTTATAATTTATATTGCTCCTGAAGTGAAAAAAAAAGTAAGTAGCATCGGACCGCTGGAACGTCCGGCCGGCCCGACAATCTCGGTATTTGTTCGGGAAAACTTGCGATCTGATTCCCATCGCACCAATTAGCGCCGCAACGGGGTTTTCTGGCTCTCGGCATATGAAAGAATGGGATTGGCATCGGATGGTCATGATTGGGACGAGAGACAATCCCAGGGCCATCGGCATCAGCAGCAGCAGCAGCAGCAGCAGCAACGCGAATTAGATTGGGGCCGCAATTTTCTTTTCCCCTGTGCCAGTGAATGGAATGCCAGGGTGGGATCGGTGGATGAGATCGTATGATAGTACTTTAGACTCTGCTTAGCTCGGTAGGGGAGCGATCCACTTGAGGGGGGTTTCGATTTTGGAGTTGTTGGACTTGGACTGTTATTACTAGTATTTATTTTTGGATGTGTTCCCTTATGGTCTGGTCTGTTGAGTTGAAATTGGGGGGATGGATGACTCCATCTTCAGGGCAAACCCAGCCCTCAACCCTCAACCCTCAACCCTCAACCCATCCAGTCGATCCGATTCCCCGGTGAGAAGAGTAGACAGTAGATACATCCAACCAACCAACCACCAGCAACAACCATCACTGCATACAACACAACCCGTTAGTGAGTAAGTAGTACACCCCCCCAAAACTCAAAACCCCCAAGCTAAACGCACCTACCCTAGCCGCTCCGGCGACCAGTCAAAAAGAAACCTGCTCCGGCTGCGAGACCCTCATCCTGTCCGTTTTCCGGCTGCCCCCCAGCCCACTTGGCCGCCAGCCCCCGCGAATGACCGGCCAACGATCCTCAGCCCATCGACGAACTTGCAAAGGCTGTTTGCATTCCATTTCTCATCTCTTTCCCGGCTTGGAGTCGGGCTCCACCTGGGCTACGGAGGTTTCCGTACTGGCCACTAGTCGCCCGGCGACGATAAGCTGGCTGGGTCCCCCCGTCCGGCGCCTGGAGCCTCTGCCCTCTGAGGATACCTAGATTTGTCCGAGTTTGGGCAGTCCGGCCGAAACTGGTCGTCGGCATATGGGTGGTCCTCAGACGGACGGGACTGGACTGGGCCCCGTCCCTGTTGCGTCTGCGCCTTTTGGGGGGGGGGGGAGAGGATGGAAATTGGGAAATAAATTGGTAAATTGGCCCTTGATTAACCGCGATCCAACGCGGTTACTGGATGCTGGGGGGAAAAGCATAGGACTGTGGACACATAGCAGATGTATAGCATAGTGCTCCGTACCTCAGTAGTACATAGTATGTAGGAGTAATCCTCCCTCTTCCTCCCCCCCATGTCGACCGTTGAAGGGGAGGCAGACACACTGACCACGCAGGAAATGAAAGGACCTGGACAGACGCATTGTCCCGACCAGCCAAAACAAGGTTAATTGCAACTGCCGTCCCGAACAGATTGAAGCTGTCCCGTGGTCGATGGTCGCATGAGCTCGCCTCTGCGCAACCATGACTAACGGGCTGGAGCAGGCAATGGATCGTTCCGAACACCCAACGAGGATCCCCCTGCGGGGCGTCGGTTTGAAACCTAATCATATTAAATTTAAACAAAGCCGACCCGGCTAAAAGTCAAAAGGAGAGAGGGAGAGAGAGCCGGTCACTGAGAGGCCACCGTGAGCGATATCTGATGGATGCCGACCCGGCCTGCTCGGTACGCGCTGCCTGCCTGTCTGTCTGCCTTCAAGTAACAAAAAAAAAAAAAAAAAAAAGAGAACTATAATCTCCATGGCCTGATTCTTGATCGAGACGATCGCCTATCCGGGACCACGGCGATGCTAGCCTGCGGCTAGGCCCATCGTGCTCCGATGTTTATCCTTTGAACTTTTACGGATACGTAGAAGCCTGGCTTGATATCACGGCGGGTGCAGATGACCGATGAGCATAAGCATGAGGAAGTGTGGCCCGGGTGGAGCTGTAGCAGATGAACCGAGGACGGAGCAGGAATGACTGCCGAAGAAGAAGCAGCAGCAGCAGGAACAGCTACTCGTCCAGATCGTCGGCTGCTAACTGAGCAGGGAGCAAGCAGGTGATGAATGATACTTTGGGTCTGAGGGCTTGGAGAACCGTTACGGCCGCGAAAGTGGATTGACGCGCTGAGCTAGACGGGCCTGACCCAGAAACAACCCTCAATTGATCATCCTGGATCCGTCATAAGGTGCTCCCTTCCAGAATATAGTCTACAGTCTACACCGCAAGCATACCCAGAATAAAAAGAAGACACTTTCCGTGGAGAACGATCCCCAGTGACGCCGCCGCCGCCGCCACAGCCCTCCTCTCCTCTCCTCTCCTCTCCTCTCCACAAACCCTCCCACTTCACCTCCTCCTCCACCTCCTCCTTCTCTTTTAGTTTCGACAGCTCCTTTCCTCCCGTCTTTTCCTCGGGATCGAGTATCCCCCCGTCTCCTTGTTTCAGAAATTCCCGGACCATCTCCATCTCCCCTCTCCCCTCCGTTTACTCCCACATCCCACCGACAGGGGTTTGCGCGACATCGCACCGAATCAATATCCCAACCTCGGTGCCCCGCGCGATCAAGTTTTGGCGCAAACAGGCTACCTGGCCAGGGCCCATTTTTATTCGTTAGTGGCAGTAGCCGGCGGCCAATATCAGGCCAGCTTGACCACTGACAGTCGGCCTTGCGGCGGCTCTTCCAGCTGGATTAATATCGCCCGTCGAGGGGACATGCAATAATCAAATTGACCTGCCTCCCATTAATTCCGCCGAGCCACGGAGAACGGAGAACGGAGACCAGAGACCACCTGTTCTTCGACCGTTGACCGTTGACCGTTGACCGTTGACACTGGGCACTGACTGCAGTCTGCACTGGGGCATCTCATCTCTCCCTCCCGCCCCCATCTTCCCTCGGTCCTCATCACCCTACCCTGTAACGGTCTGCACGGAGCCTGTCTGCTCTTCGTTTCGGCCTGTGGTCCGAGACACGGTCCAACGAGCGTAGCCTGCAGGGAACTCGACTGTCGCGGACTAGCCACGCATTGTTCGATGCGTCCTGCGACGATCCCCTCCGATCCTGCAGCAACCCTGGAATGGCGAGCCGGTGTCGACATTTGTGTATCCCACCACGGTCGTTGCGCCATGCCCATGCTTGTCCTCTGCTAGACAACCCCCCGTGCCTGTGCCTTTCATCGCCCCTGCCTGAGTTAAGTATATGGGAGCATCCCTGAGCCCGCGTGCGCGGATTCGCTACGCCTGTCGCAAGACGTCTGTCGTTATCGTCTGTTCGGACTGTAAACGTGCTGTCGTCGCCCCTCATCGCACCGCGATCGACTGACCGTGACATCCGACTTTGATCAATCAATCAATCAACCAAGCAGCCCGTTTATTTCTTTCGCCTGTGGTTGTCTGAAGCCAGAGAGCCAGACAGTCAGACCAGCAAACAGCAAATAGCTGAGAGAAGGAGAGAAAGCAGGTGGGTGGCGTCTTCGCCCCAATCCAGCCCAGCCCGAATGGCCGTCGCTAATCGATGAACCCTCTCTCTCTCTCTCTCCCAGCTCCTCTCTGCCCTCATCTCGTGGACAGGAATCCATTCCCCGGCCGCAGAATCCGTCCCGAGACCCGGCTTCGAAGACTCCGCTTGGAGGAGAATCCGGAGAATCCGGAGAATCGAGAGAATCGAGTCTCGCCATCGCCACCATGTCGGCCTTCCCCGCGGGCTCGTTCGGGCAGATGTCCCCAGCCCTCGAGGGCCATCCAGCAGGCCGGCCAGTGTCCGCCTCGCATCCCTTCCAGCTGCCGCCACCGCGAGCCTCCATGCCGCTGTCGTTTGGCGCCGCTCCCTTTCGAGCCCCAGAGACTCGGGATGCTGGAGAGACGACGGCCATGGGACGTGGCAGTGTATCCAGCGAGCAGCAGCAGCAGCAGCAACAGCAGCAACAGCAACAGTTGCCATCTGTCAGCCAGCTGTTAACGCCCACAGCCCATGCCAGCCGGCCCTCATCCCCCTACCACCCGCCGCGATTCGGCATATATACCCCCCCAAACGGACCCACGGGCTCCCCCACCCCCTTCCGGACCGGGGGGGACTCTCACTCTCTCCCGCGCCCTGCCCGCCACGACAGCCCGCGAGCATACACCGCAGAAGCCCTACCTCATCCTCCTCATCCTCCTCCTCCTCACTCGCGTAGCCTCCCTCCACTTGCCCACCTTTCCACCCCAGGTCCAGGTGCAGGTCTACCACGAGACCCCCCGCTGCAACATCCCCTACACGGCGGATCACCCATCCAGACCCACCCCGCGCCGCCGCCCTCCTACTCCCCCTACCACAGCTTCTCCCCCGACAAGGAATACGCGCGCGACTTCTCCCCCTCCGAAACGACCACCGACTCGGCCACCCCCCCGGGAACAACAACTCCTCCTCCTCCTCCTCCAAGACCAAGAACGTGCGTCCCCACGTCGTCGACGAGCGGTACGTCGACGGCGAGGGCCTCTGTTACATCTACGCCGACGGCTCGCACTGTCCCAAGATCATCGACGGCGTCGCCGTCAACGCAAACTGGGGCATCACCAAGGCGGGCAAGCCGAGGAAACGCCTCGCCCAGGCGTGTCTGACCTGTCGCGAGAAGAAGATCAAGTGTCAGCCGAATCTGCCCAAGTGTGATCAGTGCCAGAAGTCGGGGAGAGAGTGTCGGTTTGAGAGCGCGTAAGTCGTCTGATCACGTCCAATTCAAGCCCTTCCCTGTGAATGAATGAATGAATGAAAACGGCTAACGGATGCGTGTGGGTGTGTTGGTGAATGAATAGTCCTCGTGGCCACCGCGCGGCTTTGAAATCCTCCTCCCAGCTGGTCAGCAGATATGACCCCCGAGATAGCTTCCCCTTGGGCAATTACACCTATGGGGGCTCGATGTACTCGACTGTTCGCGCCTCCGAGAGCTCGACTTCCCTGCCTGGCACGAACTCGCAGTCTCCCATCTCGGAGGTCTCGATGATCATGCCTTCTGGCTTGGACAACAGCAACAACAACAGCAACAGCAACACCCAAGACATCTCCTCGACCACAGCCACCACGATGGCCGAACACGACCAACAATATCGCGTCCGAGCCCACTCCAGCGGAACCTACACCACTCACCACACCCACACCCACACCCACACGGAAGATCCTCACACCACCTTCAACACCACAAGCACCACCCGACGCACCTCCCTCTCCCTCCTCACCTCCCCCTCCCTCACTCCCTCTCCAACCTCCTCCCTCCCCCTCCCCACCTGGACAACCGACCCCTTCACCACCGACCCCGACCTCACAACCCACTACATCGAAACCTACTTCACCTACATCAACGACCGCCTGTACTACATGTTCCCACGCAAGCGCTTCCTCCTCTGGCTGCGCTCCTGCCGCTCCAAATCCCCCGACGACAACATGCTCCTCTACGCCATGATGACCCTGGGCTGCATCTTCTCCGACCGCCCCGACCGCGCCGCCGCCCTGAAGCGCTATTCCCGTATCGCCCGCTACGCCGTCGAGCATGGCAGGCATCCCGGCAAGTTTTCGTTGCAGCTGGCCCAGAGTAGGATCATTCTCGGCGTGTGGTATTATGCCGTGGGTGCGTTGATGGAGGCCTGGGACGCGGTGGGGGCTGCGGTGAGGACGGTTTGTGGGCTTCGGTTTAATGTTGAAGGGGGGGGTGGTGGTGGTGGTGGGAGTGGAAATGGGGAGGGAGGGGAGGGGGATAGGGTTAGGGATAGGGACGGGTGTGAGTTTGGTTTGCATCCCCAGGCGTTGATTGAGTGTCGGAGGAGGACGTTTTGGGTGGCGTTTTTGATGGATGTGAGTTTCTCCCCTCTCCTGATTTCCTGGTTTCGTGTTTCGTGTGAAACATGGGGAGGGAGCTATGCTGATGATGATCTTGTGTGTGTCTGATAGCGAATGTGCTGCTTCTACAACCCCGCCTCGACCTTCATCTCCTCGCAAACCGCCTACCTCCGTCTGCCCTGTCGCGAGGAAGTCTACGAAGCCCAGGAATACACCACCGTGCCCTACTTCCAATCCTTCCTCAACCAGCCCTCTTCTTCCTCCTCCTCCTCCTCCTCCTCAACAACAACAACAGCAACAGCAACAACAGCAACAACAACAGCTCACGAAACCCCCACCTCTCCCTCCACAAACCTCAGCGCCATGGCGCTCCTCATCGAAATCACTTCCTTATGGGGCGACGTCTCCGAACACGTCTTCCGCCTCTCCCTCACCCCCCCGGAAACCTACCCGGCCCTCTTCGACGAATTCCACGCCACCGTCGCCCACCGCACCGCCGACTGGCTCTCGCGACTCCCCGACCACCTATCCTTCTCCGCGGTGAACATGGAGCGCAGCATCCGGACCAAAAAGGCCGATGCCTTCCTGTCCATCCACCTGATGTACCACGCCACCCTGATGAAGCTGCATCGTCACGCGCGCGTCTCCGTGCTGAACGAGACTGTCATCAGGCGGATGGTGCGCGCGACCCGCACCCACGCGGTCGAGATCCTGAGGATCGCCGGGGCGCTGGTGAGATATGCGGCTGAGTACGAGCCCGCGCGCGTGGTTATGGATCCGGCGGCCGCGAGGGCGACGGTCTTGAATCCGTTCCTGGGCTACGTGGTCCTGTCGGCGGTGGATGTGTTGAGTGCCGCGGGGTTGATGGTGGATCTGCCCGAGTGTGTGAATTTGGTCCGTGCCGGGTGGGAGGTGCTCGGGGAGTTGACCAGGTTTTGGGGTGGCTGTTTGCCCCTGAAGGCGTTGGTGGAGAGGAGGCTGGAGGGCATGGTGGATGCCGTGAGGGGTGTGGGTGCGGGCGTGGATGGGAGGGAGGTGTTTTTGGTGAAAGGGGGCTCGTTGGATGGTGTTGTTAGGGCTGGACTGCTCGGTGTGAGTCAGATTCAGAATCAGGATGCCGGCGTGGGAGCCGGTGAGGATTTGTTGTATGGCGCGTTGGGGTGCGACGGGTTGTTTGGCGCGCTGGGCGCAGAGGGCGTCTTTTCGGGCGAGAAGGTGCTTTGGGTTGTTGGGTAGATGTGAGTGGGATGTTTGCATGGATTGCATTGGATTGGATTATCTCTCTCTCCCTCTCTCTCTCTCTCTCTCTCTCTCTGTGTGTGTGTGTATAAAAGCTGTTGGGGGTGCTTTGGCTGTATATACCCGGAGGATTGTTTTTGAAGAAATGGCATCGCGTATCTGGATGTTATTGCGGTTTATGCTGTGTCTGGATCTGTTTTTATCTGTGGTATGGACAGTGGATAGGTTTCTCGGTATACATCATGGTAGACAGCAGTTCCCAAGGGAGATTGGTTCGACCTGCCATTCTGAGGAGGCAGTAAACCTGCATTGTCTATTGTCCCTTCCCTATAAGCCGTCCTCCGCCGAGCTGTCAGTAGCATAAGCGTAACTAGCATAGAGCCACAATCAGCTTCTCAGTTCGGGATATCTGGCAGTGACGAGGGGGTCTAAACAAGAGATACCCCGGTTATCTCGCTGACCCGTGTCTGCTACTCAAGAAGAGGATAAGAGGTAGGAGGAGGAGGAAGAGCAGAAGGAAAAGGACGCGGAGCGGAGGCCCAGGCACCAAGGCATCCAGGCATCAGCGGAGAGCCACGGAAATTCCACCCGCCAGGATTTTTCCGACGTCATTCTCCGATCGCATCCACCCATTCTCACCACCACCACCACCACCGCGCATCGCATACGCCTATACATACCTTACACATACACATCCACGCATATATATACCACCCGAAATGACACCGCCCAACTAGCCACCATCCACCCAACAATCCACCCGCGCGACCAACCCGTAACCGCCACCATGCCACCCACCTCCGACCCTCCCCCTCCCTACGCCTACTCGGACTCTTCCTCCTCCTCCTCCTCACCAGACTTCTACACCCTCCTCAACCTTCCCCGCCACCCCCCGCCCACCCCCCCCGGATCCGCTCCGCCTACCGCACCCTCTCCCTCAGCTTCCACCCGGACAAACAGCCCGCGCATCTCTCCGACGCCGCGCGCCACCACTTCGCCCGCATCCAGGAGGCCTACGAGACCCTGATCGATGACAAGAAGCGCGTCGTGTATGATCTGCTGGGGGAGGAGGGGGTGCGGGAGGAGGCCCGGGCGGGGGCTTGTTTGGCGCGGGCGCGGGCGCGGGTGCGCATGGCGATGGCGGGAGGGAGGTCGGCGTGAAGGCTATGTCCGGGCAGGAGTTTCGCAGGTGGTTCTTGCGGAGGATGAAGAGGAGGGAGAGGAAGGCTTTGGAGGAGTTGGTGGGCGAGAAGGTATGCTCTTTTCTCGTCTTTCTTTCTTTCTTTCTTTTTGTGGGTGGTTTTTTATTGGGGGAGGCGGTTTTAGAGGAAGGTCGAGTGAGTTGAGATGAGATGAGATGCTAATGGTTCGCGCAGACTTCCGTCACTTTCGGTATTGATGCCTCGAATATGTTGCATCTCGATCAGGATGAGGTTTTGCATCTGATGGTGCCGAATCCAAAACCCTCCAGGTTTGCTGTCGGCGTGCAGTTCAATGTGCCCGTGCCGACGGTGGGGAATATAATGGGGTATGCCCATGAGGATGAGAAGGAGGAGGAGGATGATGATGATGAGGGGAAGGAGGGGGAGAAATCCCCCGAGGATGCGGAGGTCGATCTGGATGTGGATAAGACGGAGATGTTCATCGATGCGGGCATCGTCGGCAAGATCAACCATCTGTCGCGGGAGGCGATCTTTAGATATCCGGATGGGACAGAGGAGGAGCAGAAGGTATGTTTCTCCGCTTAATTGTTGACTTTTGACTTTGGAAGGCAAGCTAAGCAGGCTCCTTGTTAGCTCGCCCTGCCGTATCTCCTCGGCTCCAAGAAAATCACCCTCGGCGTCGGCCTCACGCGCAGAATCGGCGACCTCTCCGGCCAAGGCATCCTCGCCGGCCCTGCCTCCCTCCTGCGATACTCGGCCGTGGCCGTCAACGCCTCCGTGCTGCCCTTCCCGTCCATCCAAACCAGCTGGGCCAAGCCCGTCGTGCTCATCCCCGGCACCACCCCCTTCCAGCTCACCCTGGGCGCTGGCTTCGACCGATCCCCACTCCAGACGCCCCCCACCCTCGACGTCCAGCTCAGCCGCCACATCGGCGGCTCGAAATTCCTCCTGTGCAACTGGTCCAGCGGCACCATCCCCTGGCCGCGCGCCGTGCAGCGCTTCTTCGCCCCGCTCGTCGACCTCCACATCGACCCGCACTCCGTCCTCTTCAAGCCCGAAACCCACAGCTACCTCCAGGTCGGGGTCATCTCCCAGTCCAAGCAGAAGCACATCCCCGCCATCGACGACGAAGACTACGCCGACGAGGACGAGGACGAGGACGAGGACGAGGACGAGGACTTCGAAACCCTCCGCTCCAAACGCCGCAACCAGACCTCCGCCGCCGAAGCCTGGAAGCTCCTCGCCATCGCCAACCCCCTCACCACCAACCTCGCCTTCGGCTACTCGCGCAACATCTTCTCCGGCTCCACCGTCACCGACCCCATCCGCGCCGAATGGAGCTCCGAAGGCCACTCCCCGCGTCCCGCCGACTCCGTCCCACGGTCCATCCGCCTCGGCATCGAAACCACCATCGACCCCACCCTCGCCCTCGGCTGGCAAGTCGAAGCCACGCGCCAAGTCGGGGAATTCACCCGGATGGGCTTGGGGGTCGGCCTGCAGGGCGCCAACGGCCTCATCATGACCGTCTCCTGGAGTCGACTGGGCCAGAAACTCCGCTTCCCCATCACGATCTGTCCCTTCGACGCCGCGGACATGGACGTCGCCCTCGCCGCCGTCATCACCCCCTGGCTCGCCTACTGCGCCCTCGAATTCGCGTTCCTGCGTCCCCGCGCACGCAAACACCAACGACGTCTCCTCGCCCGTCGCCAGAAACAGCTGAAAAAGCTCCTCCCGAGAAAGAGGGCCGAGAGCCGGCAGGCGATCGAGCTGATGACCGAGCAGGTCCAGAGACGCCAGGCTAAGGAGCATGTCTCGCATGGCCTGGTCGTTGTCAAGGCCGAGTATGGGTATTATCCTGCTGAGGCGGGCAAGGAGGCCGAGACTACGGATGTTACGGTTCCGGTGGCGGCGTTGGTGGATCATGGGCAGTTGGTTGTTGCGAAGGAGGTCGTCAAGGTGGGTTTCTTTCTTTCTTTCTTTCTTTTTTCCCTCATATGCGTGGTAAATTCGACCCGAACGAGCTAACAAATAACCAGTCCCATATCCTGGGCTTCCATGACCCCGCCCCGCTGAGGCATAAGATCCTCAAGGTTTGGTACTTGTACCAGGGGAAGAAGCATTACGTGGAGGCGAAGGACGGGGAGGGCGTTGCTTGTCCCATGAGGGTGCATTTGGTGTAGATGGTCTGCGCTGCGCTGCGTTGTGTAGATGTGTTTTGTATACTGTATACTGTATACTGCATACTGTATACTTATTTTGTATTCTAATCTCCTTTCTTGTGGCATGTGTCGTGTTGTGCGATTTTGTATTGTATTATTGGGAGCATAGCCGGTTGCATGTGTTTGATGATGTATGATAGATTTTGTAGGGGGGTAATCACTGGATGTATGGTTTTTTGTTGTTGAGATACTGTATGGGGAGTATCACTGGATGTATTCTGTTTTGTTATTTAGCTATAGAATAGTAGTAGTAGTAGGAGCAGCAGGAGTGGCGACGTCACACCGCCCACGTGACTGCATGCTAAAAGCCCATCCGGCCTCTTCAACCTCCATCCATCCACCACCCCACGTCCACAATGGCTTCCATCGCCGAGGGTCTCTTCAAGTCTCTTCCCAAGCCGAAGCACACCGGCGAGGAGGAGCTGCCGCTCCACGCCCAGCCCCGCGGTCCGCGCATCGTGGGGCCGGGCCAGCTGGACGAGACGCAGGTTGTTCTCCGGGTATGTCAACCATCACCACACCTCACTCCCCCATCATCATCATCATCATCATCATCATCATCACCCCTGTTCAACTACCTCACCTACCCCCCTCACTAACAAACACCTCCCAGAGAACCGGCCCTCCCCCCTACCAAAACCGCAGCGGATGGCGTCCCCGCGCACCCGAAGACTTCGGCGACGGCGGCGCGTTCCCCGAGATCCTCGTCGCACAATACCCGCTCGACATGGGCCGAAAGGGCACGTCATCGACCTCGAACGCGCTCGCCGTGCAAGTCGACGCCGAGGGCAAAGTGAAGTACGACGCGATCGCGCGCCGCGGACACAGCGACAGCCACATCGTGCACGCGTCGTTCAAGGACCTGATCCCGCTGCGCCAGCGCGTCGACATGGGCGAGATCTCGCTCGACCGACCCTCCGAAGAAGAAGTCCAGCTGCAGATGGAGAAGACCAAGAACGCCCTGGCCAGTCTGGTTGACGGGGCCGTGGCCGCCCAGAAGCCCAAGAACGTGCGCACGGGCAAGCGCGCCGAGCCGACGTTCGTGCGCTACACCCCGGCGAATCAGATGGGGGATACCGAGAGGAAGAATGATCGTATTATGAAGATCGTGGAGAGGCAGCAGGATCCGATGGAGCCGCCCAAGTTTAAACATAAGAAGATTCCCCGTGGCCCGCCCTCGCCTCCCCCGCCGGTTATGCATTCCCCGCCGCGGAAGTTGACGGCTGAGGATCAGGAGGCCTGGAGGATTCCTCCGCCCGTCTCGAATTGGAAGAATCCCAAGGGTTATACGGTTCCCCTTGATAAGCGGTTGGCGGCCGATGGGCGAGGCATGCAGGATGTGACGATTAACGATAAGTTTGCGCAGTTTGCCGAGGCCTTGTTCACTGCGGATAGGCATGCCAGGGAGGAGGTCAGGTTGCGCGCCCAGATGCAGCAGAAGTTGGCGGAGAAGGAGAAGGCCCTGAAGGAGGATCATTTGCGGGCGTTGGCGCAGAAGGCCCGCGAGGAACGCAGAGGTGGTGGGAGACGGGACTCGCGGGGCGGATCGCGCTCGCCGTCGCGCAGTGTCAGTCGCAGTGTAACGCCGGAGAGTGTCAGCGAGGGCGAGGAGGCGGCGCGGGAGCGCGAGCAGATGCGTCGCGAGCGCCGCCAGGAGAACGAACGCCAGCTTCGCCAGTCGCGCATGGGCACCGAGCGTCGCATCCAGATGATGGCCCGCGAGCAGAACCGCGATATCTCCGAGAAGGTCGCCCTGGGCCTGGCCAAGCCTACCCAGGCGTCTGAGTCCATGTACGATTCTCGTCTCTTCAACCAGACGAGTGGCATGGATACCGGGTTCAATGAGGATAATCCCTACGACAAGCCGCTGTTTGCTGCGCAGGACGCTATCAACAGCATCTATCGTCCGCGGGCGCAGGCCGATGATGAGGACGAGGAGGCGGGCGATGGCGAGATGAACAGGATCCAGAAGTCGAACCGCTTTGAGGTCCTGGGTAAGGCGAAAGAAGGGTTCCGGGGAGCGGACCTGGCTGAGGTGAGCACATCCATCTGCCTTTACCTTTGTCTACATCTATCCCTTCCACTTCTACATTGTCTACATTCATCACATCCATCAATCTATTCACCCTCTCTATCTCCATCTCCATCTCCATCCATCTACACATTCACTGACGAAAAACCAGTCCCGCGACGGCCCCGTGCAATTCGAAAAAGACTCCGACCCCTTCGGCATCGACACAATGATCGCGGACGTGACGGCCGGGTCGGGGGCCGGCCAGAAGCGCTACGGCATCCAGGAGGTCGATCAGTCGGGGCGCGAGCGTGGGTCGAAGCGCGCCCGAGTGGACGACGATTGATTCATTCATCCCTCCATCCTTTGCTGAGCTGTATGTATTGATTTGGTATTCCCGGTATGTATGTGCATTATGGTGTTGTGGGTGTTTTTTATTCAATGAAAAGGTGAATTTGAATTTGAATTTATCTGTGTTGTTGTTGTTGTTGTCTTGGGGGAGATTATTGTTTTGAGGGGGGGAGTGTAGATGGGTGATGAGAGGGAGGATGATGGATCACCTTTTCTTTTCTTTTCTTTTCTTTTCTCTGCTGTAGATACTCGGATACTCACTATCGAAGTCATGATTGAGTATCGCCTAACCTACCCACCCTCAAACCTGCTCATTACTGTCTGTCTACCCACCTACCCACCCACCTTCCACATCAGTATCAGTACCAGACACCTCCTGGCTTCATAAACAAGAACCATCAATCTATACATAGTATACATAGTATACACAGTATACATAGTTATTTAGTTCTCCCCCCCCCCCCCGCGCCATCGCATAGTCCGAGCCCGGCATATCCATATCCATATCCATATCTATATCCATATTCAGGTTCATATCCATAAAGCCGTCCTCCTCCCTCCCCGGCGACCAATCGGGACAACTGGACCAAGACCAAGTGTCGACGACATTCCCCATTCCCCATTCCCATTAACATCGGATCCAGGACCGAGTCGGGGTCTCCTCCTGCCTTGTGCCTTGTCTAGCCCGATGGAATCTTCGTCGAGGATCCCGTGCGGTTCCTTCCATCGTCAGCACGGACGGTGTAGCTAACTACGCTGGATTCCTCCCCGGTCTCATTCCTACCATCCTTCTCTAGAACCCTAGGATTGGATTGAATGGAGGAGGAGGAGAGGTTGTCTAGCCTAGCTGGGAAGGGTAAAAGTGGATTTGTTGATGTTGTGTAGATGTGGACGGGACGGGACTGGTTGGTGGGTTGGTTGGTTGGTTGGTTGGGGTTTCCACGGATGTACGTATGTATGTATGTATGGATGTATGCCACAGGGCATGGAATAGAATGGAATAGAGAAAGAAGAGCCCAGTCCAATCCAACTGTGTGGATCATGATTCACTGCACTGGGGACTGGGAGAATGATAATAATGGAGATCATGTCAGACTCGGACTCATGGATGATGGATGATGATGAGGATGATGGGGTGGGCCTGGAGGGTGGGGCGGATACTACATTTAATTTGATTCGATTTGTGCATTATTGCGATGCTGTGATTGGCTTGATGCAGTGGATGGGGTGCTGTAATGGATTTAGCAGTGATATCGTATGAATGGAGTAAGAACAAAGATAGAATACAGAAAGCAGATACACCCTCCCTCCCCAGTTGGCAGTCCCTGCTATGCTATGCTATAGTCTAAAAAAAAAACATTGTGTTTTCCCCCTCCCCCTCTGTGCCAGGAAGGGAAAGTTCCGAAGTCGAGGAAAGTGTGATCTGGTTGAATATCCTAAGAAGATAGGACTTGCAGCAAATTCTTCAGTTGTACACTGCATAGTATACTATGGAGTACCATGCAGAAGGATCATGTCGCACTTGCAGATGAGATGAGCGGGATGTGAAACAGACCAGATCCCGGGTAGTTAGTTTAGGATAGACATGTTGTGTGTGGCGAGGGGTGGTTGCTGCGTGACTAGATAATAAATATATTGCTGAGACTGCTGCGCCGTAGTGGGAATGGGATTGGTTGGGGGGTGTACTCCGTATGGATACAAAGTATCTATCTATCTGTCTGCTGTCTGCTGCGTGTCTGTGGGTATTCTAGTAGAATTCAACCAATCCCGATAACTAACTAGTAGAGAGGATGCTTACCCTAGCTGCTTAGGGAGATAGGTAGGGAGTAGGTACCTAAGACATCCACCCTTAGGCATAGACACTGTTAATATTAGAGCATAGTATAGTTAGTTATATCCCAACAGAATAAAAATCATGGCATCGCAATGTTAGTCAACTTACTTACAAACGTGGTTAAATCGGGTACATTTAACTGGTTGGGCATTAGAATCCCACCATCCCACCAGATACCTGACTACTAGCTGTCTGCGACTGCTAGTTAAGTAATCAGCTTACTCCCATGGAATAAATCAGGATACATGGCCTGATGCGCTGCAGCACACACACTGCAGCACACTGCACGCAGCTGCACGCAGTCATCCACCCACCCAGAGATAAGTCCACCAGGCAAGCCAAGGATGACCCTCCAACTCTCTCGGGTCGATCATCCGGATCAGCCGACTGATTGGCCGACCCCCATCCCCATCCCAAACCGACGACGTACAGCCGTGGTTGCGTGGATCCCAATCGTGCGATAACGTGCGTGCGCCAATTGATTGATCGGTGGATTGATTTTGGGCCGTGCGAGGGTTGGGAAGTCTGGGGGGGACGGAGACGGAGATCATCCGGGTTTACAACTTTTGGGAGAGCGCTTTAAGCGCAGAAGAGGAGGAGATGAGGAGAAGGTTGGCTTGATCTGGTTGAAGTGGAGGGGAGGGGTATGGCCCTCTTCACCGCCTTTGGCAGTGTCCTGTAGTCTACGTACGTACTTTGGATGAAAGGAAGAATCTTCCTGATAAAGAGATCCTCGGGCGCATCGCCGTTTGTTTGATTCATCGTGACCCGCGGGTCCCCCGTGGATCCCCAGCAAAAGATGGCTGCAGAGTGCAGCGTATCTACGGACTGTGTGATGTATGCGACCGTGGTGCCTGACTAGATTCCCAGTTCATCGCACAACATCCTTGTCCCCCTGGCCAGTGCGGGGGGAGACTGCCAGCGTCCAGACAGACAGAACAGAACGCACAGGGCAACTCGGTAGGGGCGCCTAGCGCGGGGTGGCGATCGAGAGGAGGGGATTTGCTGGCGCTGCTGATAAGCTGCTGGGTCGGTGGAGCTGGAGATAATTGGGGTTAGTCAAGAGGAGAGGATAGGATAAGAAAAGGGAAATAATCGCGACAGACAGCAGACAGCAGACACAGCACTAGTTAGTTATCTATCTATCTGGGATCCTCAAGTGTAAGACTTTCCTCTTTCTTGTCAGCCAGGCCAATCACACTGCTTTCCTTCATCGACTGTCTTTCCTTTTTTTCCCCCCTCTTCTTTTTTTTTTTTTTTTTTTTCTTGAGGCAACGGTCCCTAGGTTTTTTTTTTCTTTTTCTTTTCTTTTTTTTTTATCTTTATCTTTTTTTTTTCTCTCTCCTGCGAGTGGTTGGTTCCTTGGGACTGAGTCACTGACAGGGGAGCACCAAAGGCTGAGTCAAAGGCCGGAAGAGGAGACGCAAATTGACCCAATTTGGGGAGGCCGGCCAGTCAGTCACCTGCTTGCTTGCTCTACACCATCACTTCCTTCTCTCCTCCTCTTCTCTCCTCCTTCTCCTCCACTTTCAATCCATTCCAATTCCCACTCCTTCCTGACCCTCTCCCTCCCTTTTAACTCCATCATCATCCACCCTCTTCCTCCCCGCCTGATCGATCCGATCTGCAACCAATGCTTGTCTCGCCTCTATCCCTCCGCCGCCCGCTGCCTTCATCGTCATCCCTTCTTGCCTCCCCCCATTGATACCATCCCCTGATCCAATGGCGTAACCCGTGCCCGAACCATGAATGCGCCTCTTAAGCGCAAAAGGAAAAGAAAGGAAAAAGAAAAGAAAAAACCCCCCCAGGAACAAGGAATTGCGTCACTCCTGCCCATTGGCACGGCCCGGCACTGCACTGCACTGCACTGACTACTAGCTGCTGCCGCTGTGAATGCCGCGGTCATTCGCGTGCCTGGCGTGTTGCCTGTCTGCCTGTTTGCCTGTCTGCCTCACCTGATCCCAACATCCTCAACTCTCCCTCAGTAATCGGCCTCTGTTCGGCCTGCTAAATACCCTCCGCCATCGTCATCGCCGTCGTCACCTGAATTGCGAGGCTCCCATCTCTCTCAGTCACTGCACCCTCCTCAACTCCTCTCGCCGTACTACGTCCAGGACCCGCAATCATTCAATACAAAGTCCCGGCCTTCTAAAAGTCCTTCATCACCTGCAAGATGGAGCAGTCTCTGTCTCTCATCTCTGCCCAGGTCCAGTTCATGGTAAGCCTATACTCCAACGGCCCGCCTCGCCATGGATGCCCTTCGTGTCCGGCTGGTCTCGTTAACCACCGTCGTCGAAATACAGGAAGACCGACTGGCCCTGGTGCACATCCCTCTGGACCTCTACCCCTTCTTCCTCAACCCCATCCTGCAGCTACTCTTCCACGAGGTGTCTCCCATCGCGGACTCCCTCGCGGACGATGGCTACGCAGAGACGCGCTCCCCTCACCCTCCCGCCTTCCTGAACTTCTCCATCACCCCCGTGGAATGCTCCATCATGTGCCCCCGCCAGCTCGCCAAAGAGTACTTCGCCCCCCTGGTCGACAAGTTCCTCCAGAGTAACACCGCCAGCCAGACCCGCCTGTCCATCAGCCATGACGACTTCATCGCCATGCAGGTGTACGGGGAGGGGCTGGAGGCCGGCCAACGCGTGCTCGAGCTGACCAGCCCTCTCGCCATGGCCGGAATGTACGTACCTCCCTCCAATCCTCGAGCTTCCATCACTAACAGCCCCAGCTCCATCTTCTTCATCTCCACCTACTTCTCCGACTACATCATTGTGCCCCTCCGCAGCAAGACCCAGGTGATCGAGGCCCTGGAGAAGCGCGGCTTCCAGTTCGAAATGACCACCGAGGCCTTCATCAACAACAACCAAGCCCAGTACACCTGCTTCAGCCCGGTCTCATCTCGCTCCGCCAGCAGCCTGGGCTCACCCCCGGCCACGCCGCCGCCCTCTTCCCTCGACGAGCTGCAAACCCGCACCTTCTCCTCGCTGCGCAAGAACCACATCGTCCCCTCCGTCGACCGCTCCCTCCGTCTCGTCCAATGCGCCGCCCACCACCGCTACAGCAGCGACACCAGCTCCATCGCCATCCTGCGGGACGCCCTCACCACCACCCTCGTCGTCGACAAGCCGCGCTTCCTCTCCCTCACGCTCACCGCCGCCGACCCCGCGGCGTCCCTGCTGCTCGAGAAACGGCTTCTCCCGCGCTTCTCCAACGGCCCCGACGACGAAGAAGGCCTCCTCCTCGGCTCCAAGGAAGAGATCCTCGTCCCCATCATGCTCGACCTCCGCAAACTCCCCCTCGAAGCCACCGGAATCGTCTGCGGTGTCGCCGGCCGTCTCGCCGACGCCACCCACCACCGTGACGACGCCGACGACGATGACGAAACCACCGACGTCTCCACCACCTTCTCCCAGTCTTTCAACGGCAACGGCTCCTCCCTCGAAAGCACCATCAAAAACCTCCTCTCCTCCAGCTACGGCTCCGGTGGGCCCGTGCGCCCCTTCGGCTCCACCCCGGGGTATAACACCCACCGTCTGGAGCCGGATATTGATCCCTCGCTTGACGCTGTCGAGATCAGCTTCCTGAGCACCGCCCGCGCCGGTACAATCATCGTCGGCGAGCACGAGCTCAACCGTGCCGTCGATGCTTTGGAGGCGGAAAGCCATGAGCCGGAAAAAGCGTTTGAGGCGTTGGAAATTTAGCCACTCTGCCTATCAGCATTGATTTCTCCATTTGGTGGTTGGTTGATTTGATACTACCTTCTTGATTGTCTTCTTAATGACTCACGCTTACGGTTCCCGTTACGGTTACGGATGCCTAAAACTCATTTGCTCTTCTTGCATTGGGATTCTATCTTGTCTTTTTTTCTTTTTCACACTTTTTGTTGTTGATGATGGTCCCCTGACTGACTCACAGCCCATACAAGCCTTGGCGTTTGGGATTGCATATCAAAAGTTTCTTTCTTTTTTTTTTTTCTTTTTCTTTACTTTTTTTACGTGAAAGTTACATACTCATGTGGATTGCATCACACGGATTTTATTGCATTTACTTTGATGGTTATGCATCTGGTTGTGGTGGTGGTTGTCTCTCCTCTCTGCATCTTTTTTTTTTTTATTTCTTGATCGTTTTTGATTGTGACGTACCGTACATACCCATACCCATACCCATACCCATACTCAATTTGCCATTACCGTTGTCATTGTTGATGGATGGATGATAGCTAGCTAGCAAATAGCAGAAGCAAATAGCAGAATCAAGCAAAAGTAAGTCTTGAATTCTACCTGTATCCCAATTCCCCTAATTTCCCTCTGTAGTACTCTTGTATCATGTTACACACTAATACGAGACACTTGATATTTCACTCGCGGAAGCGGGCACCTAAGGTAGTTAAGGAAGGTACTTTTACCTAGGTAAGCTAGCTAGCTACCTTGGGATTCACTCATCCAATTTCCGCATTGGACCCGCGCTCTCGTATTCTATATTATTGTTTTCGTATGGAGATGTCTAGGCTGGCTGGCAGCTGGCAGCTGGCTTACAGGCTGGCGGGCTTGTTGTGGGATTTGCCACTGGAATTTTTTTTTTTTTTTTTATGATTTACTACTGTTTTGTAGGTGGTTGGATTGGGGTACATACTACCGTACCTAGGCTAGATAGGTATATAGGTAGACAGCCTGAGGGAAAGTTTGATCGATAAAGTAGATAGGTAGTGTAAGTAAGACACCAACCTAGGGAAAAGGCTAACATTACATTAGTTACTACCCGCAGTTACCTGCGGACCTCTAGAATCCCATATACTACTACTTACTTATATACTATACTCAAGTACACCCGGGAGGAGGTGGACTGGACTTCACAACTGAAGGCCTTGTAAGTATGCATATCCCGCGAATATCATCTCTTACAGTACTATACTAGGCAAGGTTGGTTGCCTCAGCTTGAGGCAAATGATCCGATACGGAGATGCGATGCGATGCGATGCGATGCGATGCAAGGCGATAATAACCGAGAAGCAGATACATAGATAGGTACTTCTGTCACTGTCTACTTATAGTAACTAGTGTTTAGGGTTTAGGGGCTAGTGTCTTGTCTATTAATATTGCGTTATTATTATACTCTCTCCGTAGTCCGTACGCCACCACAGATTGGCTGGACCGATCAGACTGATCATATACCTATTCTATTCTATTCTTATGTGTATGAGTGGGTGAGTGGGTGAGTGAGTGAGTGAGTGAGCAAATCCCGAACTCATCATATCTCGTCATCCATCTTCTTAATGATGATAATAATGATAATAATAATAATAATGATAATTAACCTGCATACCGAGTACCGAGTTTCTGGTCTAGGCACGGGGTACAAGGGCGATATCATCGACTCTATAATTCTGTTCTGTTCTATTTTATCACCAGAACAAGGTTCTGGTCTGGTAGGTGGAAGCGAGCTATACCTACCTGGTAGGTGCAGTGGGTAGTAGTACTAACTGAACTGAAGGTTTGTGGTATGATATGATTGTATGAGATGAGATGAGATGAGATGGAAACCGAAGGAAATTCTTTCATGTTCATCTCTTATCTATTTATTTATCTATCTATTCTGTATATTTGCCCGTCTGGCGGCTGATTAAACGCATCGAGATAGGGTCGGTCGGTTGTAACAATGATAGATAATAGGTGGGTAGGTGGGTAGGTAGGTACCTAGACAGGTAGAGATATGAGACAAATAAGACTGAATGACACGCCTGAAATAACAAAGAAGAAAGAAAAAGATCATGTGGTATTTAATTGATCCTACTACTACCTAGGATCATAGTAGCTACACACACACACACACACCCGTTAACCAGCCAGACAGACCCAGCCAGGATGACCATCATCAAAGCCCATATTAATTAATCAATCGACTCTAGACAAAAAACCTTAATGTCTAGACCCAGTCAAAGGGCGGGTCTGATAGGTTGGTACAGAGTATACAGGCAGTAGTTAGCTAGGTAGTACGGAGGGTAGGTAGGTGCTAAGGTAGGTACTAGGTAGGTACTAGGTAGGTAGCAGAGCCGCGATAATTACCACTATGTCTTGATCTAATCCTCCATTGCCCAGGCCCAGGTCCCACGTGGTACCGGTACCTACCGTATGTACGTACAGGTGCTGAGTATCGAGTATCGAGTATCCAGTATCGAGTAGCTTGGACAAGTAGGTAGGTAGGTAGGTAGGTAGGTAGGTAGGTAGGTAGGTAGGTAGGTAGGTAGGTAGGTAGGTAGGTAGGTAGGTAGGTAGGTAGGTAGGTAGGTAGGTAGGTAGGTAGGTGGGTAGATACTGTAGGCAGGCGAGAGCAAATGCCGGTATGTATGTATGTACGCACGTACTCCGTCGTACATGTGTGCGCGTGTCTGAAACTAACCAAATCAGAAGACAGAAGCCAAAGCCAAAGCCAAAGGCAACAGCAACAGCCAAAATCCGTCTGAGCGCTCAACCGGAACACCCGATCCCGATACTATGCTGAGGGCTGATGATCTGAGCACCACAGCTGACGGTGACGTAATTTCGGCTTTTGATCTGCTCAGCTTGCTCAGCTCGCGCTGCGCAGGAGGGTAGTAGGTAGGTAGGTATCTAGCTGACAATATCAGCCGACGATATCCGCAGCAGAAGACAGAAGTCTATTGTCGCGGCGGTGCAACCACACCACCTGACGGGTGGAACGGATGGACGGTGGATGATGGTGGATGATGATGGATGTCTCGGATAGATGCAGAGCGTGCGTGCGTGCGTGCAGCAGGCAACAAGGCTAAGGCTGAGAACATCCGTTCGCATTTGACGGCAACGCACATGCGTTTGTGGCGGCCAGTCGGGCGGGAATACAGGGTTGCTAGGGCCTATCTAGTGATCGTGATGGATGTGGTCTGGTCAGGTCAGGTCAGGTTGGACGGTGGAGGTCTGAGTGGTGGTGGTGGTGGTGGTGGTGTGGTGGCTGAGGCTGACTGCCTCCCTCTCTCTCCCTCCCACTTTAGTTCAGCACGCACAGACTAACAGACTATCCCTGTCAGCAAGGCTCCAGCTAGCCATAGACTTTGACGGTTCCTGATAGTCGAGGATAGAGTTAGCACATGGAGACGCCACCAGAACTAGCAGTAAGCAGTAGATAAGCAGCGGAAGGAAAGAAATAGCGCGGCAAGGATAGCCGGATGCCAGCCATCTTACACAAACAGATTGGCAAAAAAAAAAAAAAAAAACAAAGCAAAAAGAGAAGAGAAGAAAGAAGAAAGAAAACATACCATCTGAACAACCCCCGGCCCAGCATCCCCCTCTCTCATTCCACGCCACCGCACTGACGGCCTTGACGCCCTCCCCGGCCGGAACCCCCGCGACGGCCTCCCCGCTCAGCACATCCCACGCGAACATCCCGGCCTGCCCGGTCGACGGGTCTGCTTCGCTGCCACTCAGCACCACCGCGTCGTTCTTCGCAAATACCGATCGAATCCGCAGCTCGCTATTGCGGTATTTTCTCCCATCATCCATACCACCCCCATTATCATCTCCCCCAAACCCCTTCAGCAGTTTCCCATCCGCGCGATCCAACATCCGAATCCTCCCATCCAGCGTAGAAACCAACACAGCATTCCCATCCGCGGAACACCGCACACTCGTAACCGGATACCCGAGTACATCGACCGTCGCACTGCCCATGCGGAGATCATACACGCGGACGTGGCCGTCGTAGCTGCCGCTCGCAATCGAGTACGTGGGCATGTGCACGTGCAGCGAGGAGACGGTGTCGCGCGCGTCGGTGAGTGTTTGGATCGGTTTGGTCGAGTGCGATTTCGTGTCCCAGATGTTGATGGTGGTGTCGGCGCTGCCTGTCCCGTCCAACCCAGGGTTAGTTATGAATACATCGTGCGGGGTGTGGTAGTGGGGCAGTATTATCCGGGAGGATGGATGAATGAATGGGTAGTTGGATAGATAGACAGATGAATAAGAGACGGAGGAACGAAGGAAGAGTACGCACCAGAAACAACAACCGAATCCCCCTCCCCAGCGAACCCTACAGCCTCCACGCGCGCATTATGCCCACTCCACCGTCTAACCGTGCCTCCCTGCTCCACATCCCAGAGGAAAACCTGTCTGTCGCCGCCGACGCTTGCGAAGCGGGCGTTGTCGGCTGCGACGGCGACATCCAGCACCGAGTAGCCGTGAGCTTCGTATTTCTGGATCGGGGCGGTGGTTTCGCCGGCGCCTTGCTGCTTGATGTTCCTGTTGTTGCTGCTGCTGTCCGGGATGGCGCGCGAGATGTGGATGGAGCGGTCGGAGGAGCCGGTTAAGATGTATGTTCCTGGGGAGCTGGAGAAGGTGACTGCGTTGACGGGGGCTGGATAGATAGGTGGGTATGTCAGTGTACAATCGCAAGGGTGAGAGATGTTAGGAAAGGATGGGATAGGCTGACCATTGTGGGTTTTGAGAGTGTGGACGAGCCGAGTGGGGAGTCTGCTGGGAGACATTGGCAAAGTGCCGCCTTGTCTGGCAGATGGATGATGTTTGTTCTTCTAGTCTTGCGATGACGGATGAATGCCGACTTGTTGAAGAAGCCGGACGGCCTAAGGCACTCACCGCCGGAGCTAAATCCAACGGCTAACTAACGCTAACTCCGCATTTCAGGCAACGTTAATTTCTATACTTCCATACTCTCCTTACGCCTACTTCTACTCTTACTTATACTCCACTCCAGTGCTCAATTAAATCTGTATTGACATGCTACGGAGTACAAGGGTTATTATCGAAGATGTAGTCAAACCATCGCTAGTTACCAGCAGGCTCAAGCAACCGGGCCTCGGCCCGGCCCTGAGTGCAAAACCGAAAATCAAAATGAATAGAGAAAAGTTAAAGGGGGTAGTCAGAGTAAGGATATTAGTCGAGACGAATGCACACGCCAGCTTTTCCAGTCGGTCCAGACAGCCATGCGCCAGCATCTTAACGACGGCCGTGGCTGCGGGTCGAGGAGCCCTGGAGCGAGTCGATCTCTTGCTCGAGGGATTTGATGCTGCAGCGCTGTCAGCACGAGTAAAATAAACAAGGATAAACGAAGGAGACGAGATCGGGAAGGGATAAAGCAGGAGAGGGTGCAACGGGGCAGGAGTAGGCAAACGTACGCTGCATGGGTCGCTTCCAAATCCTTGTTGAGGCGGTCCCGCTCCGCAATGAGCTTCTGCTCCCACTGGCGGAAGCGCTGCTCCTCCACCTTGACCTGCTCGGTGAAGCGCTTGCGCAGGGTCTCCTCCTCCTCCTTGAACTTGGGGTTGTCCAGCTTCCGGGGCCGCGCCTCGCCGAATTTCCGGGTCTCCATCTGCTGTGCCCGGTACACCTCGTAGTGCTGCTCCTCCGTGGTGTGGATCAGGTCCAGCATGTGGGTGCGGATCAGAATTGACCGCAGCTTCTTGAAGTCGCAGTGGTCCTCGTTCTCAACCTCCGCCACACCCCAGGCGTACTGGCGGCCCTTGACGACCCGGTTGTCAGTGGTCTTGACGTCCTTCTCGGATCCGATCACGGCGAAGGGCATGGCAGCCATCAGGCTGCGTGCGTGGGTAGCGGCGTGCTCGTCGTCCTCCTCAATGGGAGGGGTGTAGATCTTGATGCCCTGGGCCTCGATGACGGCGCGAATCTAGCCAGCGTTAGCCTGTACCTTGGGATGCGCACTCGGCAGGCTCACTCTCTGCTTGTAACGGGCCAGGTCGGTGGGGCTGAGGGTGTCGGCCTTGGCGACCACGGGGATGAGGTTGACGCGGGAGCTCAGGCGCTTCATGACCTCGATGTCGAGGGGCTTCAGGGTGTGTCCGGTGGGGCGGATGAAGTACAGGCAGGCGTGCACGCGCATATCGATCTTGTCCGACCGGCGGGGCTGCTGCTCTTGCAGCATGTACGACTCATGTTGGTCGTCGAGGAATTCGATGATGGGTTGCCAGGAGTCCCGGTTGTTGACGTAGTCTCCGAAGCCGGGGGTATCAATGACGGTCAGGCGAACTGTGGATGGCCGAGGTTAGCGGCGTTCCGGACGCAGACGCAGACAGGCCTCTCGCACCTTTGAAGAACTTCTCCTCCAGCTCGGCCTTGGTGATCTCGATCTCGACGGTGCGGTCCACCTGCTTCTGGTGGCGGCGCTTGTGGTCGGCGTAGTTCTTGATGGTGGTGGAGAAGAGGGTGTTGATGAAGGTGGTCTTTCCCAAGCCGGATTCACCAGCAACCTGTCTGGATGAGTATGCTTTCTTGTGTCTGTATCGGATCCAGGGAACGCACCATGATGGTGAAGGCCGCACCCCGCTTGGCGACAATCTTGTGCCTGGTGCTAGTCAGTATCGGTCGTGGTGCTGGTCCGGCACGGACACATACCGCTGGTTGGGGAGCTATGGAGAAATCCGTCAGCACCAAATCTTCGCCGGCCGTTGGCTATCAGGATATTAGGATATCAGGATCACTTACGTTGGCAATGCCAATGGGGGAGGCAGTTTCGGTGGAGGCCATGATGATTAAGGGGTGAGCTGCTCAAAGAAGCACGTCGGTAGAGTAAATAAAGAGAGGGAAAGAGAGCAGAACAACCGTGGCCTGCGGAGAAGAGCCAACGGAGGAGGAAAAGCAACGAGAGAAAGACGAGGCAGGAAGGGGGGGGGGGGTGCCGTCGAGGAAGGGACAAGGCAGTGAGGAGGTGGAGGAGGAGGAAGTGGAGGAGGAGGTGCCTTCTTCTGGCCTGGTTGGTTTGGCTGGTTGGCGGGCGGGTTGGCGGTTGGCGGTTCAGGCGTTGTTGGCGGCTGCCCCTGAATCGACCGTTGCTGCCCCAGGCACCGCTGCCCCTTTCGGCCTGGCGTCAGGCATGGGCCCCGGATGGCGCTAGCACTATTGGAGACTACTGCCTCGGCCGCGGAACAGCCGTTGATCCGGCTCTTATCGCCCGCTTTGGGCAACCCGATTTTTTTGAAGATCGCCGAATATCAGCTCCGTCGACTCTGTTTTAAGCCCCTGCTGCTGAAGGTCTCCCCCGATCGGGCTGTCGACCATGAAGACCGACTTCAAGGTGAGCTCCGCGCTATGTGGCTTTCTGAGGGGTTCCTCCAACCCCCCTCCTGGGCCAGCCCATCCAGTCAAGGTACTGACGATCTAGTTCTCCAACCTACTGGGTACGGTCTATCGCAAAGGGAATCTGCTGTTCACCCCCGATGGCACCTGCTTGCTGTCCCCGGTGGGCAACCAGGTCTCCGTCTTCGACCTAGTCCAGTACGTTGCCCGTTCGACCTGTTGCAATTGACCCGACTAATCCATCCCAGCAACACCTCCTACACTCTACCCTTTAGCCACCGCACCAACATCGACCGCCTCGCCCTGTCACCCCGCGGAAACCTCCTCCTGACCATTGACGAGAATGGCCGTGCCATCCTGACCAACTTCCTCCGCCGTCTCGTTATCCACCAGTTCTCCTTCAAGGGCCGTGTCTCCGCCCTCCAGTTCTCCCCGTCCGGCCGCCATTTCGCCGTCGGAGTCGGTCGCCGTCTGCAGTTCTGGCACACCCCGTCCACCCCGGGGTCTGACAACAATGGTGAGGTTGAGTTCGCCCCATTCGTTCTACACCGCGATCTGGCCGGCCACTTCGACATCATCCAGAGTATCGAGTGGTCGAGCGACTCGCGCTTCCTGCTCACTGCGTCCCGCGACTTGACCGCCCGCGTCTGGAGTCTGGACCCGGAGGAGGGCTTCGAGCCGACTACCCTGGCGGGTCATCGCCAGGGCGTGAAGGCAGCATACTTCTCCGCCGATCAGGAATCGGTAAGTCAGCACCCGCACGACGACACAGGCACGGGCACGTCTAACATCGTATAGATCTACACGGTCAGTTCGGACGGTGCCCTGTTCCGGTGGGAATACGCGACCAAGAAGGACCCGGACACGATGGAGGACATTGCGGATGCCCGGTGGCGCATCGTCAAGAAGGACTTCTTCATGCAGAACGACGCCAAGGTCAACTGCGCCGCCTTCCACGCGCCCTCGAACCTGCTGGTCGTCGGGTTTTCGAATGGGTTGTTCGGGCTTTATGACCTGCCCGAGTTCAACATGATTCACCAGCTGAGGTATGTGTTCTGTGCGTGGTGATGGTGCAGAGCTGACAGTATGCAGTATTTCCCAGAGCAATATCGACTGCATCACGATAAACAAGTCCGGCGAGTGGCTGGCCTTCGGTTCCTCCAAGCACGGACAGCTGCTGGTGTGGGAATGGCAGTCGGAGTCGTACATATTGAAACAGCAGGGCCATCTGGACTCCATGAACGCATTGGCCTACTCCCCCGACGGCCAGAGGATCGTCACCGCGGCCGACGACGGAAAGATCAAGGTCTGGGACGTCAAATCTGGGTTCTGCCTGGTGACCTTCACGGAGCACACCAGTGGTGTCACGGCATGCCAGTTCTCCAAGAAGGGAAACGTCCTGTTCACGGCATCTATGGATGGCTCGATAAGAGCGTGGGATCTCATCCGTTACCGAAACTTCCGCACGTTCACTGCCCCGTCTCGCCTGTCCTTCTCGTCCCTCGCTGTCGACCCGAGTGGCGAGGTTGTCTGCGCCGGTTCTCCCGACTCGTTCGATATCCATGTCTGGTCCGTCCAGACCGGACAATTGCTAGACCAGCTGGCCGGCCACGAAGGCCCGATTGTCTCACTGGCGTTCGCGGCGGACGGCAACCACCTGGTCAGTGGCAGTTGGGACCGCACTCTGCGTGTGTGGAGCATCTTCGGACGGACACAGACCAGTGAGCCCCTGCAGCTGCAGGCGGACGTGCTCAGTGTGGCGTTCCGGCCGGATGGAAAGCAGGTTGCCGCCTCGACTCTGGACGGCCAACTCAGCTTCTGGTCGGTGGAAAATGCGGTGCAAGTTGGTGGAGTGGACGGCCGCCGTGATGTGTCCGGCGGGCGCAAGATCACCGACCGGCAAACCGCCGCGAACGCTGCGGGCACCAAGTCTTTCCACTGCATCAGATACAGCTCCGACGGCACCTGCATCCTGGCCGCGGGCAACAGCAAGTACATCTGCATGTACGACGTGGCGACGGGCTCGATGGTGAAGAAGTACACGGTGTCCGTGAACACCTCGCTGGACGGCACCCAGGAGATCCTCAACAGCCGCAACATGACGGAAGCCGGCCCTGCCGGCCTCATCGACGAAACGGGCGAGGCCTCGGATCACGAGGAGCGCGTCGACCGCAACCTGCCGGGAGCCAAGCGCGGCGATCCGGGGGTTCGCACGACGCGGCCAGAGGTGCGCGTTGCCTCGGTGGACTTCTCGCCGACCGGACGGGCCTTCTGCGCGGCCTCCACGGAGGGACTCCTCATCTACAGCCTGGATTCGGACCTTGTTTTCGACCCCTATGACCTCGACATCTCCATCACGCCGAGCAGCATCGTGGAGACCCTCGAGGGCGCCAAGCGGGCCGCGGCCACGGGCCAGGTGAACGACGAGGAGACGTTCCTGAAGGCGTTCATCATGGCGTTCCGACTCAACGAGCAGGCGCTGATCCGGGCCGTCCACGAGGCCATTCCCCCAGCGGATGTGCCCCATGTGGTGCGGGCTGTCCCTACGGTTTATCTCCCCCGTCTGCTTCGCTTCGTGGCGCATGCTGCGGAGGAGACGCCGCACTTGGAGTTCAACCTGCTGTGGATCGAGTCGCTGTTCAGCAGCCACGGGCGGTACTTCAAGGACAACGCGGGCACGTTTGCGCCGGAGCTGCGTGCCGTGCAGCGCGCCGTGGACGAGATCAACAACAGCCTGAAGCGGCTCGCGGAGAAGAACCTGCACAACCTCAACTTCCTGCTCTCGCAGCCCGTGCTGAGTGTGAAGAAGCAGTCGGATCTGGGGTTCAAGACCCTGGACGCGGTGGTGGCCCCTGTGGACGACCAGATGTCGGATGCGGAGGGGGAGGGCGAGGGCGAGGGTGAGGGTGAGGGCGAGTGGGAGGGCCTTGAGTAGTTTGTTTGTACCGTTTTCTGTGCATTTGCGCTGGCGTTGTCTGGTATACCTGGGGAGAAAAGTTGGGAGTCTGCTGTGTTATAGGTTCTGTAGTACATATACACCGGATAATCACGAACATTACAGCTGGATGGGCTGGATCGGCACAAGCACTCAGAGTAGTAAGAGTACAAGTACAGTAGAATGCAGTTTTGCTGTTGATTCCCGGGGGACTTGTGCCTTCCTCTTCGGGCAACCCCCCGCGTCTTCTTGTCTTTTCTTCTCTCTTCTCTTCTTCTTTCCAATTCCTCCCAACTACACTCTCCCCTCCCATACGCCCTCGACAATATGGATCTCCCAGAGCTCTTTGTCTCCTTATCCAACATCCCCGCCTGGTATGCACTCCTCATCGTCATTGCCGCCCTCTTCCTCGTCAATTCCACTCCATCAGACTGTCTTGACATCCCCGCCGTCAAGTACGGCCGCTTGCTCCCCAACTTCGTCAACCGGCGGCTCTTCTACGTGGTCGGACACGTGCAGATCCAGAAGGGCTATGACAAGGTTTGCGTCTCTGCGCGAGACATACAGTCACTGACTATCGACAGTATAAGAACCTACCCTTCCGCATCCTCAAGCCCGACGGCGACTTGATCGTCTTGCCGGCCAGGTACCTTGATGAAGTGCGACAGATGTCGCCGAAGAAGCTGGGTCTGGTAGATAATGAGTTCAAAGTGAGTTGGGCGTGCCTTTGTGGTGATGGGTTCTGACGTGCCAGAATGTGTTGGGCGAGTGTACCGTTGATAGTGGTCTGGCTGCGCAGGCTATGGCTCAGATGAATCCGGTGCTGGGTATGTTCACATAGTCATGTGTTCCTCGAATCATCTTCCCCCTCGAATTGAAAGACACCACTGACGATCCAGACTATATCATCCCACGGGTGGTCGCTGAGCTACAGCACGCGATCACCGTCGAGCTCCCATCGTGCAAAGGTACGTCCCTACCCCCTATAGAGTGACCACAGCCAACAATCTAGACTGGACCCCCATCAACCTCTACACCACTGTCCTGCGCCTAGTCAGCCGCTCTGTCTCCTGCATCACCGTCGGCGACGTAATCTGCCGAGACGAGCAATGGCTCGACGTCGTCGCCAGCTACACCACCAACATGGACCTCGCCATGACCACCCTCCGTCCCTTCCCGAGCTTCCTCCGTCCCATAGTCGCCAGATTCCTCCCGAGTGTGCAGCGTCTCAAGCACCAATTTCACTGGGTCCAGCACGAGCTCCTGATCCCGGTGATCCAGAGCCGTCGGTATGCCGAGTTCAACGACCCGTACTTCCGGAAACACGAGGACTTGATCCAGTGGACGATGGATCTGGCGGGTAACGCGCTCGACCGGGACCCGGCCCTCATCGCGAGGGACCTGATGACGGTCACCAGTCTGACGATGGTCCGCTCGAGTGCTGTGCTGCTCACGCAGGCTTTGTACGATCTGATCGCTCGCCCGGAGTATCTGGAGCCGCTGCGCAAGGAGATCCGGGAGACGTTCCGAGACGGATGGAAGAATGTCAAGCAGGGCAGTCTGCGGGGGCAGCATCTGCTGGATAGCTTTCTGCGGGAGTCGTGCCGGTGGAATCCGTCGCAGGAGAGTGAGTCGTCAAGCCCTCTACTCAGATAGTGACCAGTGCTGACTACTGACTCTTGACGACAGTCAACGTCCACCGCATCGTCAAACGACCGCTGATGTTCTCGGACGGCCTCGCCATCCCAAAGGGGGCGCATATCTGCTTCGCGACGGGTCCTATCTCGCGAGATCCAGCCATCGTGCCAGGGGTGGACGAGTTTAACGGCTTCCGCTGGTACAAATCCCCGAGCGCCAACCCGGACTTGGGCCTGCATTTTGGGTTTGACCGGGGAGCATATCCGGGACGGGTTGTCGCGGTGAATACAGCAAAGCTGATCATGAGCCGTCTGCTGCAGGGGTATGAGTTTGAATTCGAGGGTCGGGGGAGGCCAGCGAATGTACGAACTGGGGAGCAGATTCTGCCAGATACGACTGTGCGGGTGGTGATGAGGGAGAGAAATGGGACAAATAAATGATGAATAGGCTTAGGGGATTGAAGGATTAGGAGACAGACTGGCACGATTATCAGAATGCACGCTGTAATCTGATCCTAGCCGAACCCTCTATCCATAGGTAACCACAGCTTGCTTGGTATACACCCATATCGATTCACCACCAGTATGCAACCTAACCAGCCTAGAACCCTTTCACGTACAAAACAATCCTAGCTATTACTCTGATATCTAGTCAGATACTGGGGGCCAAACCCCCCAGATCCCCTCTCCCGGCAGAATATATCAGGAATGCGTTTAAAAAGCACTACCCACTATATAGAGCATTTCCCAAGTACTCTGATATACTCTTATAACGAAGGTTTATGCCCCCCAGACCCCCTGCTTCCAACACCAACACATTAGCCAACCTGCAACCTCCCCCCCCCCCCCCAACGTATAAAAAACCACGACATCATCATTCACCTCCCTGGGCGTCTTATTCACGAACCGCCGCGATGCTGAAACACCTGTCTCCCGTAACTCGACTGCCGGATCGTGTCGAGCGGCAGGTCCAGCGGAATGCGCACGTCCTCGCGGATCTCCTCGGCCGTGGCGCGTCGCACTACCTCCGGCGTGATCAGGTTGAGCATCCCAAGGTCGTTGGCGTTGGGGCCGAAGAGGAGAGGCCCCATGCGTTGCCGGGGGGGCGTTGGGAGTGAGGGGGAGGGGGGTGAATGGGGTTGGGATTGGGGTCATTCAGTTTTTTTGGGGTTGGAAAGGGGCGGGGGGGGGGGGGGGGGGTATTTGGTGTATATGGTGAAAAGGGGGGATGGGGGAGGAGAGGAGAGATGTTGGAGGTTATATATACTATATAGGAAATACTATACTTCATCCGGATAATTATTCTATTATCCATCCTCGGATCGGGGTACGTCCGACATCACGGATTTTCAGATGAATCGAAATCTTGCTCTGCTCGTCAACTGATCATGATTCTTGGTTCTAGACTAGACTAGTAGACTATGCCTGTCATTGCGCCAATCACCATTCCAACATCGTTGAGATACAGCCGCGCTATACATCAGGAATTCACCTCTATATTCGCTCGACCCTCAGTACCACCACCCAGCCTTGTCCAACTCTGCTCAACCCCGTCACAGACATCATCTAACTAGCTCCAGTCATCCCAGCGAGTCGCTCCAACTGAAGTGCTCTGCTGCTGCGCTAATCAGCTGCTAGGCTGGCCCTCGGCCGCTCCTCTACCCCGTCCACGAGGCTTGAATCCATTCCCCCGATTCCCGCCGCGTCCCCGGCCACGTCCATTGAAGGCCTGCGGCGGAGGCACCTGCGAGTAGTTCTTGGGCCGGAAGTTGGGGTTGTTGTTGATCACCCCGGCGTTCGGGTCGGTGTTGTCCACAGAAACATATCCGCCGCGAGTGCGACCCGCTGCGCCGCGCCCACGGCCTCCTCCGTTCATTCCTCCGCGTCCGCGACCACGACCGGCGCCATCCAACTGCGAGTGCGGCCGGAAGGGCAGCGTCGTCTGCGCACCCGCTCCGTTGGCACCCCGTCCCCGTCCGCGCCCGTTGCCCATGCCTGCCACCGCTCCACGGTAGGAATGTCCCAAAGGCGCTGGTGCCGGGGCGTCTTTCAGCTGTCCCTGTCCACCAGGCCCCAGCGGGGCTCCGTACCCTGCAACCGTCAGCGGCGTGGCCTGCGACTGGTTCTGCTCATTGGCCGCGCGAGTGTTGGCAATCAGCTGCCGGTATGACAAGTTGAGCACCGATGAAGCCAGGACCGTCTGGCCGCGGAACGGGGAACAGCGGTCGCCCAGCGTCGTGCCGCTCATGAACGAGACGTCAAAGACCACGTCCAGGAGAATCGCGCGCGGCGTGCGCGTCAGACCGACCACCGTCCCGCGAGTCGCAATCGGCACCTTGCCCGAGTCTTGCGCGTACACCACGCGGTCGCCAAGCTTGAAGGTCTGGTTTCCAAGTCGCTGCTCCACATCCGACGGCCGCAGGAGCGCTCCCCGGGGGACACCGCGGATCTTCTTGGCGTGCATCGCCGGCTGGCTCTGGATGAGCTGGTCGGCATCCTGCTCGATCATCTTCACAACGTCTGAGTCGAGCTGCTCCGCCTCGAGAGGGACCCGCTCGAAGTTCTTGGCTTCCATGGACTTGAGCCAGTCCCGAATCTCCTTCATCTTCAGCAGGGCAGTTTCCTCGGGGTAGAAGTCGGTGGGCGTGTACCGGTCATTCTGAGGATTGCGCTGGATGCCCGCAATGAACTCGGGGAATTTGATCATGTACTGCTGTAGCAGCTCCACGGCCTTGGGGCTGAACTCCCAACCGGAATCGCCACGGCGCGAATAGCCGAGGACCTTCTGCTTCCGCGCCTCAAACTTCAGATTGAGACCCAGGTTGACACGCTGCCCCTCGATATCCACAGAGAACGAAGACGTGATCTTGGCCAGCACCAGAGCATTCAGGCGCAGGCTGCGAGCGATCGCGAACGACGGCATATACGGGCAGAGACGCTCAGCGTCCCGCGCACGCTCTCGTCCAAACTCGGGCTCCCGGCCCTTCACAGCGGCAATCAACCCGTTCACCCTGCCGTCCTCGTGCCCGCTAATATGCACGGGTCTTCCGTAGTTGTAGTCTCCCAGGAAGAACGCCCGGGAGCCTTCGGGGAACTCCTCCTCGATGGGCAGAGCCTCCCGCTCGATGAACCGTTCATCGGGGTTGATCACGTCGTCGACAAGAAGCTGAAGCGCGTAGTCGGTTTCCTGTCCCGGAATGTCGGCGAATTCCTTGATCGTGGCACCCTCGTCGGTCTTGATCAAGCCCTTGAGCAGCTGAACGTGCACCACGGACTCGACCGAGCCGATGATGGTACCGAGACGCTTACTGTATGTTGCCTCGATTTTGTCCGCTTTCTTCTTCCACTGCTCAATCTGCGCAGGGGTATGAGGAATAGAAACCGCATGCTGCTCGCCCTCGGGCAGGATGTAATCGAAAAGTTCATCCGACACCCGGATGACAAGTGCTTCCTGCAAGAAGGGGTAGCCCACATGGACGCGCTGTCCGAGCTTTGTCTTGGCCAGCTCGATGCTCGACCTGCTTCCAGGATCGAGCACCGTCACGACCATGCTCTCGTTGCGGCTTTCCTGCTGGAAAACGGTCACGCCGTGGAAGCCCAGCTGGCCGACATGGGGCAGAGTCTTCAGACTGGGGAATCCAGCCAGCGCCGCCGCGCCCATTTGCACGCCGTCGACCAGCCCAATGAACGGCTCCAGACCGTCCATGGTCGGCAAATCGAAGATGTTCTCGATACAGTGGCAGTTGGCAATGTCCGGGAACACACCGGGCAGAGAGGACGGGTAGATGTACTGCACGTCCGGAGAGTAGGTAAATTTGAGGCTGGCTCCATAGCCATTCCGTGACTTTTCATCCGGGGTCAAGAGGTGTTCTCTCGTGGCGAGGGCGGACAACAGACGGCCTTCGTCAATGAAAGGAATCTTCACCACGGCTTCCCATTCCATCTTCTTTCCATTCATGTCCAACTCGAAGTCACGCGGATAGAAATCAATGATCGGCGAATCCGGTGAAGTCATCAAGTCGCGGTACGCCTCAGGCACGATCTTCTTGCTTCGATCGGGCAAGACTCCCATCAGCTGGTCGTACGGCCGGAAGGGCCGGCCCAGGCGGAAGTTCGTGTCGGCATTCAGCCCCTTCTTCACATCTGCACAAGTCAGCACAAGTCACCTCGGGCTACACGGATACTAACCAGAAATCATCGGGGCGTAGTGGTACCCGAAGTACCACGGCCAGGATGCAATGCCCTTGTAATAGTAGTAAAGAACCCATTGGAGGCCCTGGACGTAGTTCTCCGTCAACTTCCTCATGTCCTCCTCGTTCTCCAGTCCCCACTCGAATTTGGTCACGTAGTAGTTGTTCTTCCACTCCTGGAACTTCTCCTCGTATTTCTTCTCCGCTGCCTGCTGAGCCTCCTCGGCCGACAGCTCCTGAACCTTGGCGTTCTCGTACTTCCGAATAACCCGCTGGACGGCCATAGAGGCCTCCTCGTCTTCTTCCTCACTATCCTCACTGTCATTCTTAGGGAGCTGGATCCGGATGAACCGATCGGCATGCTCGTCAGGAACGGTTGTCCATGGCAGCCGAAGGTCATCGGCCAGCTGCTCCAGGAACTTGCGATCCCGAGCGGGCAGAGAAGGGGGAAAGTCAAGAGGCTTTGTCTCGGCGGCCTTTCCAGGCCGGTTGAGAACATACTTCTTGACCTCCTTGAACAGGTTCTTCTGTCCCGGGGTGACGGTAAGACCCTTGGGCTTCTCCTGAGGCTCGGCGCCGCCGGTCCTCTTGGCCTGGATCCACCGCGCGTCGGAGTACTCGGCTTCGAAGAAGCGGAACTCGACGTCGCTCAGGGCGTCCAAGAGCATGCCCAGCCGCTCCATGTGGATCACACCCTCCTCATTGATGTATCCGCCCATCTTGGGCAGCACCTGTTTATAGATCTTGAACATGAAAGCCAACGCGCCTTCGTTGATATGCAGATTCGGCAAGTTGGGCAAAAAGTCGTTTCCAACAAAGAAAGCCATCAGAATAAAATCGTCAATCACCCGTTCCATGTCAAAGGGGAACTTCAATGCACCCTCCTGTTCCAACTCCTGAAACTCCAACTCCAGGTACTCTCGGACCATACTCAAATGCAAAAGGAAAAAGTTCTGATGCTCGAGCTCCTTGGGCTTCTTGGAGACCTGACGGCCAAAAGTGACCTCCTCACGGAGGAGGCAGAAGTGGGGGTCGTGGCTCAGCAGACCCAACATGATCAGGTCAGCGTCGAGGCCGTACAAGCAGTGGCGGACATTGGGATCGTAGCCGGGCTGTGCTTTCGCATGCCGGATGTACTCCATGATCTTGTGCTCACCCTCACCCGGGACCTCGTGGCCCGACAGGACGATCTCGACTCCCTGCCAGTCCTTGTCCTCGGAAATTTTCTTGCTCACGAAGTACTTCAATTGTTCCGTCAACTTGGCCATGAACTCGGTACCAGGGGTAATGCAGTTACTGTCGAAGGCATCCTCCTTGGGCATCTCGATACCCTGCGCAATCGCCTTCTCCTTGGCGGTTTCGGCGTCGAGGGCGGTCCGGAAACGTCGCGAGCGCTGCTGGTTCATCTTGGCTCGCGGGGCCACACCGTCGACCGCCATGAAGAACAGCTTCTTGGGCTTGATCTTGCCGTACAAATGCTCGATATAATTAAAAATGGCAATGAACATCTTGTCTTCAGTCATTCGGAAGGTGGGGGAGTCGCTGTCCTTGTGTGTGCAATTGTGGATAATGCCGTTCATGTCCAGATATAGGTTGTCGAACTCGGGTATGCGGTTCTCCGCGATCAACAGTGAGATCGCGGGATACCGCTCGCTCAGCCAGCGGAAGAACTTGGGGACACCCATGGTGAGTGGGAAGCAGTGGAGATGCGCGAGTTATATTGGGAGACGTATGTGATTAAAGGGCTGTCCTTATCGTGTCGTCGTAGTCGGTCGTTTGGATTCAATGAAGCACCCAAGCTCGGCAATGCGGTCGTAGACAAAAGAAACGACTGGGTATCGACTGGGATGCTCAGAGAACGTAGGACAGTAGAATACAACAAGGAAAGGAAGTATGAAAGGAAAGGGAGGGGGGCGACCAGAGCGCCGTTGCGAATTGCGGGGTGGAGGGGAAGGGGGGTGTAGGAGGGGTGGGATGGAAGTGAAGTAAGAGGTGAGTCTGTGACTGTGAGTCTTTCACACGAAGCCGCCAGCAGCTCAGCTTTGGCCCGCCGGTTGACCTCATCAGGTCATGCCAAGCCCGGCCCGCCTAACGGGGTTAGCGCCGGCGGGCGCCCATTAACGCGAGGCCGGCAAAGTCGCGTGTTTCTCCAGCCAGCGAGAGCTTCATCCGTCCGCTGCTCAAGCTCTGCCACTGTCTGCCCGCTGCTCTCTGCCCGCTGCCACCTCATCCCCCCCCTATCCCGTCTTAATCCTTCTTTCAGCGATTTGCTTTAGTCTCTTCATTGCTGATTCTTATCATTCACCTCACACCTCGACCACCATGGAGCCTTACGACGACGGTGAGCCTGGTCCAGCCAGTACTTTTGCGCGAACTTGACTGACCGTCCCCTAGGACTCATTGAGGAGCAGGAGGAGCAGGAGGAGGAGCGCACCGAGGAGAAGATCATCAATGAAGGTACGGATTACCAGACTCTTCCCCGCGAGACCCCCGGCTAAGAAATGCGGCGTTCAGAGTACAAGACATGGAAGAAGAATGCGCCCTTTCTCTATGACATGATCCTCAGTACGGCGCTAGAATGGCCGACGCTCACAACACAATGGCTGCCTGACAAGCAAGAGTATGCGCCCCGGCCCCGTTGTTCCTATAGCCCCTAACCGTCGCAGTGTCCCCGATAAGCCCTACTCTACCCATCGCCTACTTATTGGCACCCACACCTCGAGCGATGCGCAAAACTACCTGCAGATCGCTCACGTACAACTCCCCAACCCGACCTCCCCCAACTCAGAAGACTACGATGACGAGCGCGGGGAGATTGGCGGCTACGGCGGCAGCTCGAAGAAGGCGCCGATGGAGATCAAGTTCAACATCGTGCAGAAGATCGACCATAAGGGCGAAGTCAACAAGGCGCGATACCAACCACAGAACCCCAACATCATTGCTACCATGTGCACGGATGGCCGGGTCATGATCTGGGACCGCTCAAAGCACCCGAGCTTGCCCACGGGCACCGTCAACCCCCAGATGGAGCTCCTCGGCCACACGCGAGAAGGATTTGGTCTCAGCTGGAGCCCCCACGCCGCCGGCCACCTCGTTACTGGTAGCGAGGACAAAACAGTCCGTCTCTGGTAAGAATGCGCCTCCACCCTCGATTGCAATACGTGGCTGACCTTGCAGGGACTTGACGACGTACACCAAGGGCAACAAGGCGCTCAAGCCCGTCCGCACGTACACGCACCACACGTCCATCGTGAACGATGTCCAATACCACCCTCTCCACTCGTCCCTCATCGGAACCGTGTCCGACGATATCACCCTCCAGATTCTCGACATCCGCGAGGCCGAAACCACGCGTGCGGCTGCGTCGGCGGAGGGCCAGCACCGCGATGCGATCAACTCGGTCGCCTTCAACCCCGCCGCGGAGACCGTCCTGGCCACGGGATCGGCCGACAAGTCGATCGGTCTGTGGGATCTGCGTAACCTGAAGACGAAGCTGCACGCGCTCGAGTGCCACACCGACTCGGTCACCTCGATCTCCTGGCACCCGTTCGAGGAGGCCGTCCTGGCCAGTGCCAGCTACGACCGCAAGATCATGTTCTGGGACCTGAGCCGGACTGGCGAGGAGCAGACACCCGAGGATGCCCAGGATGGACCGCCGGAACTGTACGTGACCCCATCCCCATTATTGACTGCCCGTTCCCTGCTAACGCTCGCAGTCTCTTCATGCATGGCGGCCACACGAACCGCATTTCGGACTTCAGCTGGAACCTGAACGACCCGTGGGCGCTCTGCTCGGCGGCGGAAGACAACCTGCTGCAGGTGTGGAAGGTGGCGGATGCGATTGTCGGCAAGGATCTGGAGGACGTGCCGACCGAGGAGTTGGAGCCATGAGTGGAGGGGTTTGCGAGTGCCTTACTGATTGATACCTATTGCGAGTGACATCCTTTTGTACCCATTTACCCGCACTGCAAAAAGGCGAATCGAGGAGAATACAGGAATACATTCACTGGGACATTTCTGCGAGGGCAATCTACTCCATAGTAGTACCTAGGCCCGCATGAAGGACACTACCAGGACACTATTGCGGGTAATCACTGCCTGCTCGGCCCGGAGCAACTCGGCCTCCGCAGTCGGCTTCGTAGGGAAACTCCGAGCGCAGCAGAATGGAGCAGGCAGTAAATACGAGATGCGAGGACAATCTGCTGGGTAGTATGCAGGATTGCAAAAGGCATCTATCTATCTAGAAGGGGCTGGACGGAGTAATGGCGGCGGTTCCCGATTAAGTATGGAGCTTTCTGCCCCTCGTGGAGCCGCAGCACCGTGCATGAAGATCTGACTGGCTTGAAAGGCTGTCTCCTGGGAGTACTCCGTATTCCCTAACGATTCAGATGCAAATCGACCACTCCGAACATACCACACCATGGTATCTATTCCATTGAATATGAATGAATCCGCCCACTGAGTCATACCATCGGCGGAGTGTGTCAGTTTGTGACCGGAGGGAATGAAAATGGCGGGCCCCCGACCACCGGCGCCCCTCCGAATGTCATCGCGCCGGGGCCGTGTGAGTGGCCAGGGAGGCGGGCGGTGAGACCCCCGGCGAGGGGATTAGCAGATTAGCATGGGGGGCTTACCTTTCAGCAGCGAGTAAGTCGCCATCCCACCGCATCTGAGCTTTTTCTTTTCCGACTAACCCCATCGGCTTCTTTTTTCTGTCCGCCGGCCTGCCATGTCTTGACCCTTTGTGTCCCCATCCTCCAAAATATCCATCTCATCTCATCAACTTGCTCCTTGCTTCTTGCTTCCTAGACGTGATCACTCTGCGACTCCGCTGAAACTCCTTCCTACCACTCACTTACTTCCCACCTCCATCCTCATCCCCCCACCACCCACGATTCAGTCATGGGTTCCGGAACTTCTCCTCCCCCCGGCCCCAAGCCCATGTCTGCCATCCCCTCTCACATGCTGAATGGCAGCTCGCCGCTCCATGTGTCCACCGGCTCCCGGGACGCTCGCGAGAGGGAGAGTCTCAACTCGTCCATCCTCTCCTCCTTCACTCCGCGCATCCCTGCCGAGTTCGATTTGCCCCAGTCGGCCGCTCACCCCGCTGGAGAGTCCGCCGCTCTCATGGACGATACCCCCCGCGGCTCAGGCGCTTCCAAGTAAGCAGCTGATCCTCTCTGATGCAACCCGCCGGCTAATTGCGCAATGGCAGACCGACCCTGAACGATCCCCCCCGCGATCCCAGAGACGAGGCCGGTGCATTGACCCCGCCTGCGAATGTCAGCCGACCTGCGAGCCCATACACCCTCTACCCCCCAATTGACTTCGATGGACTGAGCTGGCCTTGTAAGTGAGCCTCGCGACGCTGGGCGATCGTGCATCTGACGTTTTCTTCCCTAGGCCCCGGCACCAGGGCGCGCTTGGAGTCCACCCCCGAGGAGACCGAGGAGCGCATCAAGAAGCTCGCGGGCGCCGTACGGACCATCCTGGAGTGCGTCGGAGAGGACCCGGAGAGAGAGGGCCTGCGCGAGACCCCCGAGCGGTATGCCAAGGCCATGCTTTACTTCACCAAGGGATATGAGGAGAATGTTCGGGATCTCGTCAACGGAGCCGTCTTCCACGAGGACCACGATGAGCTGGTGATTGTCAAGGATATCGAGGTGTTCTCGCTGTGCGAGCACCACATGGTCCCCTTCACGGGAAAGGTAGGAAGAAGAAGAAGCCTGGGCTCAGGTCATGACAATGCTGACCACATCGCAGATGCACATCGGTTACATCCCCGACCGCCGCGTGCTCGGTCTCTCCAAGCTGGCCCGTCTGGCGGAGATGTTCTCCCGCCGTCTGCAGGTGCAGGAGCGGTTGACCAAGCAGGTGGCGCTGGCGATCTCGGAGGTGCTCAAGCCGCGCGGAGTCGGCGTCGTCATGGAGTCGTCCCATCTGTGCATGGTGATGCGTGGCGTGCAGAAGACCAGCAGCACGACGACGACCAGCTGCATGCTCGGGTGCATGCGGTCGAGCGCCAAAACCCGGGAGGAGTTCCTGACCCTCCTGCACCGCAGATAATGTCCTTCGCTTAACGACACGTTTGTTACCCCCTCGTTTTAACAGTGGATGGTATTCATGATTCAGGAGTTTTGGCGGTCACCTTTCAACAGGTTCTTGGGTTCGGCGATTGTTTCCTTATGCCCGCGGATGGAGTATTTTTGTCGCAGTTTGTTTTGATTTGCCCAATACTACTGTATAGATCTTCAAATTCTGCAGGCCGTTGGCGTGCAGTCTTACCACTTCTACCTTCGTTCGATTTTTTTTTTCTTGGGTCTGCTGGTCGAGAAGAAGACGGCCAGAAGACGGCCCCTGGCAGACGCTTGACGTCGCGGGACTGGCCTAGTCGAGGTCGATTCAACATTTGTTTTAATATCTTCTCAACTGGATATAGGGATGGATGCACGGATTTGGATGATGTTATGTGTGGATACGGGTAGCTAAAAGCTATTGTATATTCGAGAGATCAATCTCAACAATTGACTACTGACTGATAATCCTGTCTCCTGCACAATTATCAACCGAAGGAGAGACAGCCTGGCATGCTCAAAATGCTCAAACATAGACAACAGGCTCCTCTTCCCGATCAGATCCTGCTTTGCCTCTCCTTTTCCGCCAGACTGCAATTGGGCCTTCATATCATCCAGAACCAGCATTATACGCACTTCTTTCGATACTCTTGATACCCAAACAAACCGAACTTCACAGGCAAACACGCCAATATTACCAGGCCGTCCCCTTGGCAGTGATCAGCTCAGCTTAATCCCATGCATTCACTTCTTCCTCTTCAAACATATTGTAGTCCCCCCTACTCCACCAACACAATGCCAGGCCTTGTGCCAGTGAATACAGCTTGCCCCTGGCCAGCAACTGCCCCCAACACCATAACATTTATCTTTTCTCCCCCTGAGATCGCGCTCTTCTTTCACATCTCCTCACCATCATCTTTCAAGACGCGTCACGATTTCGCCGAGTCAGCCGTTTTTAATCCACATCCGCGGCGAAACCTGCACCCTAGCGACACTGGCATCTCTTGATGCTGCACTGAGATAGGTAGGATACTTTTCTTGATCTGTTTATCTTCTTCTGTCAGGGGATCTGACTGGCTAACTGAGAGATTGCATGAGGTTGTAAAGGACTGTGAGTCTGCTCGCGTCTCAACATCATCTACAGCCGGTGCTGGTGCTGTGATAGCATACATACAAAGAAAGGAGATTGTCTCCGTATTCCGGCAACGAAACAATCTACCCAAGAGTACTAGTTCAGATCATCATCCCCACGGCGGGTCCGCGTTGTGTTGCGTCGTGTCGTGTCGTGTAGCGTCCCCTCTCCTCTGCTCGGCGTCACGATCTCCACCGTCACCGTCACCATGGCCAGCCAGCGCCACACAACCAGAGAGATGGAGGCGGCTGAATCGCTACTCCAACTGTCCGGCTCAGGATCCAGCGGTCCGGACCAGTCTCCTGCGTCAGCAACAGCATCCGCATCTATGCGAGCCGGCAGCACCAGTCTTGTCTCGTCCGGCAGCGACAATGGCCACAATGGCAAACGCACCTTTCAACCTCCCAAGATGGGCATCTTCCACCCTCGCAAGCTGCTGGCGACCCCCAGTCCTGAAGCCACTTCCAGCCCGGGCGCGAGTGCAAGCAAGCCCAAGTCCGTTGGCAGTATGGGTAACGAGCAGCCCCATGAATGGGAGTTCATGCCGTATCCAGCCGAGAAAAGTACCCTTACTCTGCCTCGTCCTAGGGACTTGGACTTGTCTTTGACTACCCGTGAGGAAGGTGAAGATCGCGAGCGTGTTGGCTCTGATACTCATTTCCGCTCTCACTCCCACTCTGATGACGATATGTCTGAGGGTTACGGAGATGGACATAATCTCACTCTGCCTCGTCCGGATCCTACGGACGCACAGCAACAGCAGGGGTATACCGACCACCCATCTACACATGACCAACGCTCTAACGATGATACGGACATCGATGAGACCATGTTGGATACCTTCGACGAAGAAAATAATCTATCCCTCCCCCGTCCTGAGGTCTTCCCCGGCCCCAATGACAACATCACCCACCAACCTGCTGCCCCTGTCCACAACAACAACAATAACACCAGCAGCAGCCCCAACGACCAAGACATGCCCATGCCAGATGTCCACGAAGCACACAGAATCACCCTCCCTCACCTTCGGGACATCTACCCAGGATACATCGGTGCTGGCTCTGGTGCTAGGGCTGGCGTTTCTCAGGCAAGAATCCATGAGGACCCTGCCATCGTCACAAACCATCCCCACAGTGATCCCTTCATGGATAGCAGTCCCCCTCGTCCCAGACACAATCTTTTCCAGCCGTTGGCTGGGGCTGCTGAGACCTACTTTCCTGTGGATCGTCCGGCTGATCTTGCGGCTTTTCAGGACCATCTTGGGCAGCGCATGCGTATGGATGTGCGGGAGCTGCCTCGGGCGATGAATGAGTCGATGCCTCCTTATGTGCCGGCCATCGTTGAGAGGGAGGTGCAGGGTGTTGCAGAGAATACTGGACCTCAGTACGTGCCTGTCTATGCAGAGCAAGAGGGACACAACATCGAACCCAACCCTGGACCTCAACACATGCCCGCCCATGTTGAGCCGAATGTCGAAGACAACGGACAGCAGGCCAACGAGCAGGACCAAGACCAGCCCGAGAATCTAGACGCAGTCATGGACCTGAGCCCCGATGATGCCCTGCAGGCGTATCTCATCCGCCAACAGCTCATCGCCGGCATTCATCCAGACGATATCATCCCCATGCGCCGTCCAGGCCACGGCCCCGAGAACCGCCCTGCTGCCCCAGCAGTAGTACGTATCACTAACGAGGGCGTCTCCGTGCCAGAGATCCCCCCTGCGCAGTTCCGGGGTCCCCTCCAGCCGCTTCCGGGACAACTGCGGGCAGGCCCTGGGGGGCACGAAGGCATTCACGATGTCGAGGCTCACAATGGCATTGTCAATCTGCAAGCAAGAATGCTTGACATGATGGAGGGTCGTCAGGGTGCTAGATACGGGGCTCTCCCTCCCAACCCAGCTCAGGTAGTAGCCAGAGTCAGACCCGACGATGCAGCTCAAGCCATAGCCATGGCGGGCCCTGCTCCCCGACAGGCCTTCGACCTCATCGGGGCGATGACCACCTACCCACACCTGGCCTTAGCCCTAACTTCCTACCTCTCCGCCGACGACCTCGTCAATCTCACCACCCAGTCTCGCCCCTTCTTCAATTTCCTAAACATCAACATTGGCATCGTCGTCCGGAACCTGTCCCTCCAGATCGTCGAAACCGCAAGCATCTTCCCCCCACTCTGCTACCCCCGCCTCAACACCGAACCAGGCCACTTCTCGCACCCCCTCCCCCCACCGATCAACGAATACCGGTACATTCTGCACCATCTCGTCCCCTCCATCCCGTACCTCCGCATGATCACCCACCGCCACACGACCACCACCCAGATCATGGCCCTCCTCCGGCAGGCCGGCTACTTCATCCCCAACCTGTGCGAGACGCCGCTCAAAAAGCTGTGGTTCCTCATGGACATCCCCGACAACGCGCGTCGCGAGTGGACCATCGCCAACCCCCACCTCTGGCGCGACGGCGAGATCTTCTTTGCCACGTTCTTCATCGTCCAGCTCGATATGTATCTCCGCGAACAGAGACAGCAGCGCACCAACAGTTTCCGCCAGCTGATCATGGCCCAGCCGACGTTGACTTTTCTTAGGGAGTTTTTGGTCGGAAGGGTCTGTGCGACTAATTTGGATACCTTGGCCGAGTTTGTCAGGTGGAGGTATGTCCCTGCGCCGGAGGAGAGGAATGAACAGGTCTTTGGCGTCCCGATTGCGGAGACGGGTTTGTTGCAGTTTGAGGGGTATGGGCGGCCGAGGGTCACTTTTAACAATTACAATATCAATGTTCCCAATGTCGAAGCCAACGCCAATGCAAATGCAAATGCAAATGCAAACGGTGCTGGTAATGGTCCTGCTCCTGCTGCTGCAGTACGACCCCGGGCTCGCCTCCTCCGCCCCGACGAGCTCATCCTCAGAGAAATCGGCCGGAGGGGCCTCGACATGCACATCATGTTCTCGGAGATCTTCCTCCTGCGAAACCCCAGACTGTTCTATGTCAATCGCGAGCCGATTAACTGGGATGAGATGATCATGCGTGGTCGTGAGGATATGGGCCCGTATTGGATGGATCTGGTGAGGTTGGATTGAGTGTTTTGTTCACTTTCATCGTCATCTTTTTTTTTTTTTTTTTCGATGTGCTTTTTGCGGGCTCTGTAGCTTCTGTCGCTGGGGTTGATTTGCTTGATTTGATTTGATTTGATTTAATCTCCTTTGGTTTGAATTTAGGTTGAGTTGCTGGCGTTGTGGCTTTTTTTGCTTTCATTTGATTTGATTTGCTTTGCGTGGCGTTGATCTAATTTGCTTGCGTTTCTTTGCTTTGCCTTGCCTTGCTTTGCTTTGTGGTGAGCTGAGGTGAGCTGAAGGAGTTGGACAGTGGACTCGATTGATGGTGCCATTACTCTTACTCTTCCTCTTACTGGGTGAAAGTCTACTGGGACTTTACCACGCGTCTCTACTCCATACCTACCGATGAAGTCTTCTGAGGTCATTGACATGGACTAAATGACTCTCTCTCCACCTTTACGACTGATGAACTGAAGACTGATGGGCAATGAGCTATGACCTACAAGCTAAGCTAAGCTAAGCTATCATGAACGAATGATGACTCGATGATCATTGACCATTGACTATCAATTCCAAAAGGAATCCAACGACCGCAAATCGAATCGTCTCTTGCATTTGCATTTACATTTACATTTACATTTGCATTTCGCTTCGATCTTCGAACCAGTTCTTCTTGCTGTCGCTGTCGTTGTTCTTGTTCCTATTCTTGTTGTGGATTACACCTCACACTCACACTCACACTCACACTCACCTTCACACTTACCTTCACACTCACACTCATCCTCGGCTCTATCTCTTTGCTTTCTTTTCACTGAAAAAAAAAAAAAAAAAAAAAAAAAAAAAAAAAAAAAAACCAACCCCTTGAAAAAAAAAGATGAGGGAGGGGCGGAGATCTGCTACTTACTTACTTACCTTATCTACCTATCCACTCCAAGTTACCCTACCCTATCCTATCCCACCCATCTGTCATATGTTGCTTGCATTTTAGTGCTTTGCTTCTTTGCACTTTACTTCCTCGCTCACGGAGGAATTTTATTTCCTTCTTGGTTGGTTGATCCGTTGATCCGTTGATATGTTAATCCGTTGGTTGGTTTCTATCAAGATTAAGAATGATGGGGCTGTGATATGAGGCTGTGACATGAGAATGAGGAAGAAGAAGATGATGATGATGTTGATGATGTCGATGAGGTGATGTGAGATGAGGATATGTGCCCATCCACATGTTACACTGCACTGCACTGTACTGTACTGCACTGCACGTACTCCGCGGGTGAGATTTGATTTGAGATTCTATTTGATATTTGATTCGATTTGATTCGATTCGTTATGTTACTAAAGCAAGGTTTCTGGTGGATGGACTGTGGTGCATGGACTGTGGTGGCTGTGGTAGCTGTGCTGGTTGTGCTGGCTGTGATGGATTGACTACCGTGAATAAAGATCAAGATTCTCAATCGGGGAGGAGGATGATGTTTGTCAGTGTATCCAGATGCCTGTTATCTGCTGAGATGGTGGAGGTGGCGGTGGTGGTGATAGTGGGTCGTTTCGTTAATCTAATAATCCCTTGCTATGCTATTTTGTGTTCTTTTGTAGATTTGTATTTGTTGTAGTAGTTGTAGATTCTTCTTTTCTACATGGATATATATGGCAGTATATGAGTGTGGTACGTAGAGAATGAATACTAGTTAAGAGGAGAAAACGAGTGTTGTCCGGTTGAGTGCATGGTGGTCGGATCCGTGGTTTGGCCACGTTGGGGCATCTCGGGTCGAGTTTGTCTGTCTCCTGTGGCTGGGCCGTGGCGGCACTGTTGCGGGCAATGCAATGCTGTCGAGGTGTGTTTGGTTGGTGTCTTGGGTCTATCACCTTGGTCATGGCCATGGTCGGGACAGTTGCGGTTCTGGGGATATGGCGCTGGTAAGAACAGACTTGGAGCCGGTCTTCATCGGGGATAGATTTGCAGTGTTCCTTTCTTTGAATGCGGAAGAAGGAATCCCCCGCTGGGTAGATGACGTCCGTCGCTCAGGCATTTTGAGGGAATAATTGCTGCTGCGTACCTGGGTATGCCGGTAGTTAGTTAATGGAAACAAAGCCACTAAAAAGGTGTCGAAACACCAATATGATGGCTGTCATAATTATATACTTGCGAATAGGCCGAAAGTATATAAGGACGTTGCTGGAAACTTCGCAGTATTGGAGTTCGCTGGCACGCTGATGGAAGATGTCGGCAATCATTCACTCATCTTTTGGTAGTATAGAGACACAAGCTTTTTTCTCAGGACTTGGATATAAAAATTATGACGAGGCTGCCGGGCGGTTTGGATTGATAAAGGTCTAAGTACTAGTGAGCTGGGATGAGGAAAGACCGCAGAGGGATGAAGTCTTACTATGGTATATAACTACTATAAGTCGGAGGAGGCTTGATTCGAAAGGAAACGTCTTCGATCCCCTGATACGCGATCTACACTGGAAGCCTTCGAAATTACACATTTCGGAGTAGAGAGTGTGTGACCTCATCATGGTATTGATTAGATAGATAGAGCCTTATACTACAAGTGGGTTCCTGACCACGGAACTGTATGTACATCCAGGACCAGCCAGGCTGGCCACAGCAAGTCGGCTCAAAAGTCGGGGCTGAGAGCTCTAGTACAGGGAAGCACAGTGCCAGTTCTCGGCCTTGTTAGCATCACCGCTGCCGTTGTACTTGGCAAGCTTGGGGTGGGCGCAGATGGGTCTCTGCTTGTCGACACCATCGGCAACGACGTCGTTCTTGTACTTGGTGGGGATCAGGTAGTCGGGGGCAGTGCCGTTCTCAACCCAGGCCATGACGGCGCGGACAAGATCGTGCTTCTCGTCGTTGAAGCCGGGAACACCGAAGACGGTGCCGGAGAGGGACGCAGCCTGGCTGTCTCCGTTCATGTAGTAAGGAGCGCTCTGGTCGGTGGGGGTACCGGTGCAGTGCTCCATACCGGGGATGAGGAAGAAGCGGTAGAAGTCGTCAACGGGGACGTCCTGGGGACGGAGGGCTTCCTGGACGTGGTTGTAGAAGTAGAAAGAGGCGCCGGTGGCGATGGAAGGGTCGGAGTAACCGTGGTAGTGCAGGAGCTTACCGCCCTTCTCGTAGAAAGGAGCGATGTTGAAGTCGTCGGCGGTGGCGTTTCCGGGGTTCAGTCTGTCGGACAGCTCCAGGAGGGAGGGGTTCCAGTCCTCCCAGGTCCAGTCGCCGCCGATCTGGAGCATGTACTGGATGTAGGTGACGAAGTCGCTGTCAAGGGTAGGGGCGCCAACCTCCGTGCCGAGGGTGTATCCGGGGAAGCCCAGGGTGTCGTTGGCCTCAACCCAGGGGTTGAACATCTTGTTGACGGTCTCCATCTGGGCGGCGGTCACGCAGGTGTCGTTGGAGGAGGTGGCATTGCACATCACGGGAGTCGGGTCGAAGACACATCCGAGGGGGTTCTGGAGGATGTTGTCGACCAGACCATCCTGAGGATCACACTGCTTCAGGATCTCATCCTGAACGGCAGTCATCCGGTCATCGGTGACGTGGTAGTCGGCCGTCTCGGGAAGGTTCCAGATGGCAGTAAGGACGTTCCACAGCTGCTGGTGAGTCGTCCACCAGGCGGGAGCGCCGGCAATGACACCGTCAAAGTCCTCCGGGTACATCTCAACCTCCTTGAGACCCTGCTTACCGCCGGCGGAGCAACCGCGGTAGTAGCTGTAGGAGATGTTCTGGTCGTAGTAGCCCTTGGTGACCTCCTTTCCGTTCACGACGGCGTTGTGGAGGGCACGGTAACCCCAGTTGGCAAGGGCAGCCTCGTTGTGGTATCCGAAGCTTCCATTGTTGCCCTCATGACCCGTATCAGTCGACACACTGGCAAAACCGTACCACATGGTGTTGATGATGGAAGACCAGCCGACGGAGCCGGAGAATTCACCGTTACCAACAGCCATGAACCGTCCGTTCCACTCGTCGGGAAGGGCAAAGCCCACGCTGTGCTGGGTGTTGTTGGGCAGGGAGATGTTTGCCTGGGCAACGCAACCTGCCAGGGGAAGCTCATAGGCGCTGATGCCCATGGGATCGGAGGTCAGGCCGTAGTTGTATTCAATGGGAGGGGTGAAGTTGTAGCCCTTCTCGTAGTGGTCGGCGTAGAAGACCGTGGAGTTCTTGGGGAGAAACTTGGCGATAGTATCGACGTTGCAGTTGCTCTTGGCCGCAACCACGCCGGCGGCGGCGAGGGCAATGGGAGCTGACTTCATTGTAAAGGAAAGAATGACAAGGAAGATCAAAGGATGTAAGAATGAGAGACTGGTAGACCTATGTCGGATATGATATCTCGAGTCAAGAAGAGGGCGAGAGCTGCTTTTATATGGTCGTAGAGGATGCCACGGTACGGTCATCTAACGGTTCATCGAGCTCCTCTCGGGAACAATTGCCGCAACGGGGAAAGGACATGAGAAATTCGTATGTCCAGAAGCATATGGATCTTCGGATCTAGGTATGTGCCTGGAACCAATGGGGACAGGGCCGGCACGCCGGAAGGCCATCTCGTTGGCAGTTCGCCTCCATACTAACGTGCTCCTCCGTTTCGATGTTCTACATAGGCACGCAATAGCATCGGTTCCCTACTTGCTGTTTCAGACGTTGTTCTGCCGATGGTTGCCAGAAGGGGGAAAGTCTCCGCTGCAAAAGCAACCCCACTTAACGGCAGGCCTTCGAGAACCTTATCGTGGACAAAGCTTGTCCCTCTTGTAAGCTTAAAGCATGCTTAATCTGTAGTCCCACCATTTGACTTCTGCACAGAAAAATAAAAGCTGACGACGTGTTTCCACCTGGGGCCTTGGTCTCTAACATATTCAAAACGGTACCCCGAGGTTCGGATGGCTCTGAGCCCTAGGTACCAAGGTCGAGTATTGGTCGAGGACTGGATGTTAGCCTGGCCAGTGTCGATCACTTCTGCATTTCGGAACCACCCCCGTGCGTGCTTCCGTCTTCGGAAGTACTAAGGAACTGCGTGAAAACACTCCATCGCTGCGGAGATTGCTCCTAGTACTGTGTGTAGTGCGGCATGATCTGGATAGATTCACAGCGAATTGCTGTTGCCTGATACTCCATGCCAGTGAGTGCATTGCGGCCTCCGACGGAACTTATACCGTCCAAACTGTTGGGGCTTTGGGGCTATGCGAGAGGAGTGTCATAAGACGAGTTTAATTGGCGACTGACTGATGGACCTCCTTGGAGCAAGAAAGGTCAGGCCCTCCGAATGACATGCTTTTAGACATATTGGTTGGCGGCTCCAGTAGCACATAATTTCTAGTCTTTCCACAGACGTCGGCGACATGTTATATTGGTATATGGCACAGTTCCTTGACCGTCTGGGTGTAGAGATCTGCTACTGGCCGATCTGGTATCGATACTGAGCTCCAGGCACGGCCGGGTTGGCGCGCAAGGCGTAGAAAATGAAATGCGCAATTTCAGCAAGAGCATCAGTCACCGTGATCGAGTATGAGGTTAGCCCATTCAACCCAGCAACATTTCGAAGGGCCCAGAAATCCAGGATACCAACTCATGCTCCGATGCCCGATGTCCGATGTCCGTATATTTGTTTCCAGAACCGTTTCACTTTACCAAGGCAACCGATGGGATATGTGCCTTCAGCCTTCTAGGCTATAGTGGAGACTTCCATCGATCCCGGATCCCAGGGTCTAGCGCGGAGTCTCCAAGAGATTACGTTTGCAATGACTTGGTCCTTCGCTCTCTAGCCAGGCCGTAGGCTCCATGCCTATCGGTGTAGTTTCTGTGATGAGAACAGTCAACTTCTTGAGCCTAATCATCGCAAGACGGAATCATGGTTGTAGGAAGGTAGGTCTTGTAAGCCAGGTAATGGCCATGGTGGTGCGTACGGAATGGTTTTCCGTGGGGGTTTCCGCAGCGGAAATGAAAAGGTGCGCAAGTGGTCTAACGCGTCCCACCGACTCTTAGCCAAAACCGGAGTAGCGCCGACCCGGTTAGTCCGGCTCCGGAGCACGTGATCCCGGGGGGCTTCCCCCAAGTTGCTCGACGCTTATGGCCACCCTTGACCTGTCACCAAATCAACAAGAGCCCGTATGCCAACTGTCCTCCACCTTCTGGTATATCTCGTCTCTCGGCCGCCACTGGAGGCCTCCGAAACATCAGAGGCATGTCTAGAGCTCGTCTGCGTATCATCCGAGCCTGCCGGGGTGGCCCTGGCCACGTACATCCACGATGTGTCTCGCTGGGTTGGACCTGAAGTCCCCCCATCACCACCCCCCCACCGCCTACATACACGTCATGAGCGGCCACGTCGCGATCCCTACGATATCGTCCATAAATATCGGCTTCTCGAGTGGTATCTGATGGCAAATATACCCCAGGGCGGATCTGCGATAGTTCTTCACCCCGACCAACGATGCGGTTCCAAGGCCATGTTGTTCGTCGGGGAAAGTCGGATTCCCGAGATGGCTCGATGACCCCATCCCGACCATGGCTGATAGGTACGTACACCGCAGCTTCTAACTCCAACCCTCCAAAAGTGGTGAGGGCGTGGCAAGGCTGGTGATAATAGGAAGATCCTGCACTTGTTTCCCCCCTCACGCCCCAGCTTGCTTTAAAGTCACCATGGCGTCTCAAGTTCCCTGGGTGGCAAGTTCCCATCAGTGTGGACAGTTCTGAGTAATAGAGGAGGACGACATCGTCCTCCGCGATACTTGGTTTCTCCCTTCCATTCTTAGGAAGGCTCATTTACCGTATTCTCGGTTACTCAAAGACGTCACGAATGCCAATCAGCATGGCGCCGCTGCGGCTATCCCGACCCTAGTGCTGTTCAATCCACGATGGGGTGTATGCAGGCCTCGACATGCTTAAACCGCGAACACACGCGATATCCTCGGAGCGCTCACCATGGCTCAACAGTTGCTACACTTCCGGGCTGTTGGCGATCTACTAACATGATTGATTCGCTCTGGATGTTGCGAAACTTCAGTTACGTGCCAAAACTGCCACGGCTCACCCGAGGCAGGTTTCTTTTGATTTGTTCGTTGCAGTTTTTTCAAATTCGGTTGGTTTATTTGCTCCCCGTAGATAGGTATGCTGTGTTTCTGGCACGGAAGGGTTTATTTCTCCTCTGCCGGCGAGCAACCAAAGCCGATATATACAGGCAAGGGGTCCTGAAGAAGGCGGGGAAAGTCATGGAGAAAACGCAGGCGACCAAACAGGGAGGGGAACAAGCGAACCGGCCCCGGGTCAAAACGCACCACCAATCTGCAGAGGGGCGAGCCGGGGAAAGAACACGGAACGAGGAAATGAAGCATCCGGACGAAGAAGGAAGAAGAAGAACCTGATTAAAGCCCCCCTTTGCCCAGGCAGACAATAGCCACGGTTGGGGTCCATGGCCGTGAATGCCTTTGGGGGGGGGGGAAGTGGTACGCGGCAGGCAACATCCAGATTATTTGGGGGATTCGACTGGGGCGTTTCCCCGTACCCCGGCCAGAGCGCTCAAAGGGTCGTTCGTCTTTCGGACAGCCACCACCACAAGCTGTCTCCCGGGTTGAACCAGGCCTCAAGGCCTCAAGCCAACGGCATCGTAGTAGTCAGAGAGGCCTCTTCGCAGACCTGGGGGCTCAGCGGACCGCCGGTGTTGGTGAACCCCAAGTCCCCGTCCCCGTCAGTCACGGTCACGGTCACGGTCACAGTCACCCGCAGGGCTCTCTTCACTAAAAGCTCCCGCCATCAAAGTAGACTCCCGCCCATCACAACACCTCGACCGGTGTTGGTGGTTCGTATTGTTATTGTGTTAGTGGTTTACCCACCAAACCCGCCAGAAGGAGCGAGTAACACGCAGGACAAAGGCTGAAGAGGTGCGTCTGCCCCCCTTCCGGAGTCTGCAATTTTTTTAATCTCTCTCTCCTCAGTTTTGAGGTCTTCTTACTAATTGACGGACTGCATATCTCCCCAGGTTGATACTTACTATCCCTCTCTCCCCCCCCCCCCCCCCCAACCCGGAAAAACCAGTCTTCCGCACCACCCAATCCCCGACAGAAAGACTTCTGTGAACGCCGGCCGAACACACGCCCGCCAGCCAGCCTAGACGAAGGCCAGGCTCCACCGCATTACCCTACGCTTACTACATCTACATGCGAATCTCCTCCTCCGTCAGTGGGCCGGTCGATTTGATCCCTGCTGCCTTCCTCTCCCTTTATACTTGACCCCGATGCAGCTGAAGGCGAATACATGGCTGGGTCCCGCAGGAGTCCGGTGTTGAGAGACCCGTGGAGAGCCGGCAGCGACACTAGAGACCAGAGAGACCGGGAAAGACACCGGCCTCGAGGCTCCTACCGTGGTGATAGAGGACGGGACAAATTTCGCGACCGCGAGGGTCGTCGCGGTTCCAAAGAGGGCAGGCCGGATCATCCTCCACGGTCGCCGCCACCGCGTCCTTTCCCACCCCCCGACCACGAGCCTCGTCAGCACCGTGATTTTTCACCGAATCCCGTCTCCGCTCGCGGTTCCCCTGGTCTTCCACACTCGGAGCCCTACCCTGGTCGGAAGACTGACCGGCATCGCTCACCCTTGCCCGCCGACCATCATCCAGACCTCAACCCGCGCCATTCGTTTGACAGAAACTACCGCAGAGACGACTCGCCGTCCGCACCTCCCTCCAAACGCAAAAGAACACGGAGTCCCTCTCCCGCAGGCTTCGACCATCATCCCAACCGCCCGGGCCATCGTTATCCCCCCTCGAATTTCAGTGACGACCTAGATCGCGGTTTCCCATCCAACAGGCGAGGGCGATATCTCGGTCGCGGTAGGCCGGGTCGAAGACCGGCCCCTCGACGCGGAATCGAGCGGCGTGGGCCCGGTGGTCGACGTCGAACTCCTCCTCCGCCATCAAGGCGCTCGCGGTCCCCCATCCGTGGAGGAAAATCTTACACGTATCCGCGTCGCCGCTTCCACAGCCCCCTCCCCGAGGACGATCACGAGGACGGTCCCCGCTACCGGTCACTATCTCGCCATTCCGCGCAGTCGGACGATTCGAGATTGTCTGCAGACTCTCGTCCTGACTCTCGCCGCGACTCTCTGGGTGATATGGCAATCCACTCCACAAGGGGCCCCCGGTCCATAGCGGGTGACTCATACAGGTCCTCTTCTCCGCCCCGGGAACCCTCAGGGCGTGATGCCGACAATGTTAGTGGTTCGGTAAACGGAGAGGGCGCGCGCGATTCATTCCAGCGTCCGCGCACATCTCGACCGTATGCTGATACCCAACATTCGGGATCACTGCAAAACGCCACACCAACTAATTCTTATCACGGCTCTCCGCAGCCGGGCTCTCCATACTCAAGCGGTCGCGGTGGACGGGGTCCTCACGGGTAAGTCAATCTGGTACTTCTGCTCTCAATGTGACGCTAATTCCACGATTCGCCCAGTCCTTCCTCTCCGTATCGACCAAACAATTATACCACAGGCGGCCCACAAAGTCGAGGCCCGTCACCTTATTCCGGACCTTCCTACCGTGGCGGCCATTCAGGGTACCGTGGCAACTATCAAGGCCCCAGCGGCGACCGCCGCTACCCCAATGCTGGACCCCAAAGTCACAAAAATGGGCCTTTACCGCATGGACGGAGTAGTTTCAACAAAGCACACTGGAAGGTCCCGAGCTCGCGAGGTCGAGAAGGCCCTTCTAGCCCTGTCGAATCGCATGGGAGACCGTCACAAAGCCCGCCCCCGCCTCCGGTGGATGAGGCACGTCCGCATGCTGACGAAAGTGATGATCGGCTTGAACTTCCAGGTAACGACCCCCGAGCTGATTCTGACGGGTCGAAGGCCGTCACAGAGGGAGGTGCTCAAGCCAATACACTCCCTACCGCACAACCCGACACTTCTGCCACCCCCAGCAAAGGAGGCAAGATCAGCTTCGCCTTTAAGGCCAAGGCTGCCCCAGCTCCAGCGACTAAACCAGTTCCAGACTTGGCTCAGCGAATGCTAGCACGAGAGCCACCTCCGCGTGCTGCTGAGCCTCCTCCCCGTAATAGATTGTCTAGTGGTCCTCCATCAAAGTTCAAGCCCGACCCACGCTTTGATCGTCGTGACCGCGATCGGGATAGGGACCGAGACCGGGACCGCCATCGCGATAGAGACCGAGGGAGAGACCGCAGAGACTTCCGTGATCCGCGTGGCTTCCGTGAACCGCGAGATCCACGCGACTACAAAAGGGAGGATCGTCGATTTGATCCTCGCAGTGACAGACGAAGGGGCGACAGAAGACCAGACTTCCGCCCTGAGCGCCGCCGCGAGCGTTCTCCTGAACCGCGCTCTCCTGAACCGCGCTCTCCTGAGCCATCGAAGAAGCAATCGAAGATCTTGACTCGTCCCAAGCCACGCCCTGTACTCTCTGAAGAGTTTGCAAAATCCGACTCTGTCTACTACCGCAAGCCTGGTAATGAGTCGGTCATTGGTGCTGGTACCTATGGCAAGGTGTTCAAGGCCATCCATGTCTACACGCAACGAAAAGTGGCGCTCAAGAAAATACGAATGGAAGGCGAGAAGGACGGATTTCCGGTTACGGCTGTACGCGAGATCAAGCTGCTGCAACATCTTCGTAACAACAACGTCGTCAGTTTGCTGGAGGTCATGGTCGAGAGGAACGAGTGTTTTATGGTGTTTGAATATCTGTCACATGATCTTACCGGCCTGATCAACCACCCTACATTCACGCTGACAGCAGCCCATAAAAAGGACCTAGCCAAGCAGATGTTTGAGGGCTTGAATTACTTGCACCACCGGGGCGTCATGCATCGCGACATCAAAGCTGCCAATATCCTCATCAGCAACCGTGGGCAATTGAAATATGCCGACTTCGGATTAGCCCGGTTTTTCTCCAAGAGTCGCCAACTGGATTACACGAACCGGGTCATCACGATATGGTATCGCCCACCTGAACTCCTCCTCGGTGAAACCAGATATGGCCCTGCCGTTGATGTCTGGAGTGCGGCCTGTGTATATGTCGAGATATTTACGAAGAAAGCCGTCTTCCCTGGCGAAGGGGGAGAGATCAGTCAATTGGAGAAGCTCTACAACTCCCTTGGCACACCCACCCGCCAAGAGTGGCCCGATATCGTGGAGATGCCCTGGTTCGAGCTGATGCGGCCAACCGAGCGGAGGAAGAGGATCTTTGAAGATGTGTACCGGGATGTCCTGTCACCAGCTGCCTTGGACTTGGTCTCTCAGATCTTCCGCTACGACCCTGCGAAACGGCCCAGCACGGAGGAGATTTTGACGCACCCATACTTTGTCTCGGAGCAGCCAACCCCTCAGCAAGCCATTGAGTAAGTTCCGGTCCGTTGTTTCTATGTGATCTAGCTAACCCTTCCAAGGCTGGAGAATATCGAAGGCGATTGGCATGAGTTTGAGTCGAAGGCCCTCCGCCGCGAGAAGGACAAAGAGCGGCGCGCGGAGTACCAGCGAGACAAGGAAAAGCGCAAGGGAGGACCCTCGGCACCTCCAAGCGAGAGGGATCCCAAGCGCGTTAAGCAGGATGGGTCCGACGGCCTACCATATGCGCAACACATCGAATAGAGCTTTGTCTACTCCGGAAATTCAAAGCCTGAGCAGTGTTGCCTCAATTCACCAACTCCGGCCCGTCCATTACATTGAAATGACAGCCTGGGAACTCGCACCATGACGCGCCACGCCGTGCTGGTTTTTGCAAGCGATCGCCCGCCCTACGACTTCCTTCATGTGTCCACCTCCCTACCACGTTCCTTCCCCGTTTAATACACCTACCTACGATGCCGCGCGCAACATGACTGGAACGGACGACATTTGACATCATCTTTCTTAGGGGTTCATTCCGGATGGTATTTATGGTTCTGCATCATTATTCAAAGCCGGTAATTTGTCTTCCAAGCGCATTTGTTTCGTGCTAGTGTATAGATTCGCTTAACATAACAATGCTTTGCCACCATGTATTATCTTCTCGTAATCCCGGCAGGAAGGAACAGGCGTAAGGAACCATGGGCGATGTCACCGGGTCGCGCGTAGTAGTCTAGGGCGACGTACTCCCGTCCAGATGGGTAGGCTTGTCAAGGAACGAGGGAATCTACGAGGCGGCCACGTCAGCGACTGAGCAGACAGAAAGCAATTGACGACGCGAGCGAGTTGGGGGCAATCAGACTTTGCCTTTTGAACCTCACACTCAACCAGCAACAGACCGTTTGACCGGCAGTGTAGGAGCGGTTGAGCACCTCGGATTACCAGAGAATGTAAATTCAAAGCTTCATCATGCAGCGTAGGATAACAGATCGGGGACCAGCGGACCGCCCGACAAGGAAAGAAGGGGCGTACCAACCTAATTGGCTTCTACGAGGCCTGGGAAGTTCGGCTCCCAGGGGCGGCTGCTACGTCTCTCTAAATAGATCCTAAATAGATCCACACATTCCATCACGGTAAACATCACACCGATGAATTAGAAAGGAACTGTCCCGTCAATCAGGTCATCAACGCATCATGGAGCCGGAGAGGCCCTCGTGATGATGGTTTTAGATGCGGGTGTTATTCTCGACACACTCATCGGAATCGCCAGTGCAGTGAGAATTCGACAGAATCAAAAGTGTGCAGCCAGCGATGATTTGAGTTGGTGGTCTTGGGTTATTATAGAAGAAAGAAAGGAAGAGGAAGAGGCGAGAAAAATCGGCGAAGAAAAGGGACGCGCCTCGGACAAACGACGGAGCGGGCGGGCGGGCGGACGCCGGCGGGCCCCGCGCTGATTGGGTGGCGGCGGCTGGCTGTGGTCGTCTTCGCAGCGTCCAGTTCTTCACCACTTCCGCCAGGCTCAATTCCGCATTTCTTCCCTTCCCTTCCCTTCCTTCCCCCCCCAACCCCACGTACAACTCCCTAACTCCCATCTCTCCTCGTCACGTTCACGATCACGATCACGATTCCTCCTCACACATCCCTATCCCTCCTCCCCCCCCCCCCCCCCGGATCTTTTCTCTCGCCTTCATCCCCGCATTATTTCCCCTAACCCTCGGCCGCGTCGCACGCATCCTCCTCGTTAATCCCACCTAATTTTCCCCTCTTGCCTGTTGCACGCCAATTCCCTCCTCCCGCTGTCCGTCTTCTCGCCCGCGATATCGAATTCGTTTTTCCTCTCCCCGAGTTGCCGACCGCCGGATCCTGTGTCCCCCGCTGATGACCGCTCGCCCTCGGAGCTGTCTCAGTAGCTATCTCCATGGATAACGCAAACCTCTGGACTCGCCGATCCAAGTATGTCTCCGTCCCACACATTGGGGTTGGCCCAATGCGGACCGACTGAACTAACCTTTTTCTCGCGGCATTGCCAGTAACTCCAAGCTATCTCTGTCCATGGCAGGGACGGAGGGCGCTAGAGTTGAACTTCCCCGCGCCACCAAGCGTTTCGGCCCAGATAGCTCCCACGGCGGTCGATCCAATCCTTTCAACGCCCTCTCCCCCCTCTCCGGCGGCGTGTCCTCCCCGTCCACAAACGCCTCCTCCGCATTCGGCTTGGGCTCCGGCGCCTTTGCGTCGTTCGGGGCTCCCAAAACTCCCGGAGGATCCTCCGACGTCAAGACTCCTGGTGAGAAGCGTGACAACCCGGTCGACCAGGCATCCCTCGCGGCGTTGGAGGCCGGCAAAGGTAAGGGCGCGGCCTTTGCGCTCAGGGAGCACCCGCTCAAGTCTACCTGGATCATCTGGTACCGACCGCCCACGCCCAAATACTCCGATTACGAAAAGTCTACCATCCCGCTTGCGTCCATATCCTCGGTGGAGGGTTTCTGGTCGATCTACTCGCACCTCAAGAGACCCTCCCTTCTCCCCACTGTCTCCGACTACCACATCTTCAAGAAGGGCATCCGTCCCGTATGGGAAGACGATGCCAACAAGAAGGGCGGGAAGTGGGTGGTGCGGTTGAAGAAGGGAGTGGCGGACCGGTATTGGGAGGATCTTCTGCTGGCTATGGTCGGTGATCAGTTTGCGGAGGCTGGCGATGAGGTCTGCGGTGCTGTGCTCAGTGTCCGGAGCGGGGAGGATGTTCTCAACGTGTGGACGCGGATCGATGGCGGGCGGAACATCAAGATTAGGTATGTCTAGTTTGAAGTCGGTGCGCCCGGAAACTGCGGTATGCTAATGCATCATCCAGGGAGACAATTAAACGTCTGCTTAACTTCCCGGTCGACACCAACCTCATCTGGAAGAGCCACGACGACAGCATTGCCCAACGCTCAGCCATCGACCAGGCTCGTCAGGATAAAGCCGGCAACCCCAGCCACCATCACCACCACCATCATCACCACAACCACAACAACAACCAACAACACCACCAGCTGGGCGGCGATCGACGAAGAGCCACGGCGAATGACGACTCTACGGGGGACAAAGGAAAGGGACCGGCGTCTTGACATGCTTAGCCCGGTTTTTATTAGGGTCCTGTATAGTAAAGGAAACGAAAATCTCATTTGGGACGATACGATTTGGGATCGGGGCATCATTTGGGGCGAATTACTTTTGCGTCTGATTTCGATTTGGGTGTTCATGTCCATTTCTTTTTCTTTCTCTTCTTCCGTCCTCCTATTTTTCATTCGCGAGATGCGACGATGCGATGCGATGCGATGCGATGCGATGCTATACGCAAGGTGGGACGCAAATCACTGGTGCTCGGATGGGATGAAGCGTAACTACTGCTATTACTGCTATACTTAGTACTACTGGACTGACTGACCGAAATACCACGGCTTGACCGGAAGGATTCTGTCTGAGGAAATATTGTCGATCTGCTATACTACCTACCTACTTATTTCTTACTAGATACTAGTAACCTTACACTACATGTTCGTAGATACCCTAGTCTGTACAGTTGGTCGGTTACACGTATGTAGGTTTGTTTGTAGTAGATAGGCAGGCTAGGTACAGGATTTGCTGCCCGTCGCGCTCGATCTAGTTTAGTTACCTGGAGTCGATCATGCATCTAATTTAATTCTCCGAGGCCGTGCTGGCTACTTACCTAGCTAGCTAGCACGACCTCCTCCCGCCTTTTCCAGCCACGTTCATATCATTGGCACATACACCGTACATCATCCCGTCACTCCATCTGGCATCATGGCGTGATCCGTGACGCGCGATGCATGATGACATCCTGTCTTTTTTATATCTATCTATCTGGTCTGGTGACTTTTCATCCCCACATCTTATTTTTGTTATTATGGTTTCGTCATCGTATTATTATTGGTACTGTCTAACAATATTCTTGGGAGGGGAGTTTGAGGCTTGTGTTTATTTGTAATGGCTAGTTGACATAAGTGTAGAAGCGGTGTATGTAAATTCCTCTCTTTTTTTTATATTTTATTTGATTTCATCTTATCTGGTCTGTTTCTATCTTTTTGCTTGGCCAGGAAGAGAGTGTTCAATCTTGAAAATGTCGCAAGAGTCGACTGTGGGGGGTAGAGTGTAAAGGAGTTAGTTATACACAGGTGGGTTGAACCTTGAAATCTTACCTACAAGTGGCCCTAATCATAAGGTAGGTTTTCATGGCGGGACAGGGTAAGGTACAGATTTTACTGCTTGGGTGAATACACAATTGGTGTTTCAATGTGTAGAGGTGAGATGACGGGTTTTATTCTCTTTTTATACTCCATATATGGGGTATATTCTATAGTAGTGACATGGTTGTCGGTGGTTTTTCACATACACGGTCAGTTATTGGCCTTGGGGAGAAATTAGGGGTTAACTTAGCCCTGAGGTGTCTATTGATAGCATTCTGTTGTTATTAACTTTGATAATTGGTAGTTTCAAAGGTTTTTGTCAGCTTTTGTAGTATCTTTGTGGGTGTTCTTTATTTTTACCCTGGGGGTGTTGGTGTGTTAACATGCACTAAGACACCCGTAACACTACTATATATAAGTACTATCTGGAGGAACAAAAGCTTGTGTTCTTTTTCTCAACAATAATGATGTTAAAATAGTAACCAGATACTATGGTCTGTTTAAGAAGCATGTACCAGATACTGTCTGGCTTTGTGAGTCCCTTATTTTGATCAGCTCTCAAGATATTTAAATAAAGAAGGATAAGACTGATGCACAAGGATGGAGTCTATACCCTTGTTCAATAGTTTCACGCTAGGTATGAGACGTGACTTAACTGGAATAAGAATAAAGCCAGTCTAAGACCCATGGATGCAGCAGACAAAAACAAAACCTACCTGTCCAACTGTGAAACAGTCAAAGAACCCGTGTGCTGTATCAACCCCCCCACCAATCGGTATAGATGCGATGCAGCGACAAAGGCACGAGCGAACCCCCCGGCCCACTAGCGCCCGCACTAGCACCGCCTAGCCGGCCATTTTGTCGCTCCGCATCGGTGGAGGGCAGAACCCCCCCCACCGCCTTGCGGACCATCATGATGCTTTTCTCTCCATTCCCATCCATGCCCATGCCCACTTCAACCTCCCCCATTCTGCGATATGAGATCTTCCCTGACCGCTCCGGTCATGCAATGACCATCGCTCTCCATTCATGCCGCTTTTTGACAAGCTGTCCGAATATCTGCCCCTCTGGACCCTTCCCCATCCCGCAGGCGACCACCCCCCGCTCGACGACTCCGCCCGATCTCCTCCGCCATCAGATGCCATCTTCCAGCCCATACAACGGACTCAGACGTCCGGCGCTTCCCCCGCCGATTCGCCTGTAGAATCCGGTTCTCGACTCCCACAATCTGTTGAAAGCGTTCCAGAGTCCACTGTATGAGTCTTTGTTTTTTGTCTCAATTCTTGTGCCACTCCGATCTTGGATAAGCCTTTTTTTTTTTTTTTTTTTTTTTTTTTTTTTTAGCCCCCCCTCCCGCTTTGTCTGTTCATTCGAGTGTTCGAGGAGAGATATTAATGTATATGGGTAGCCCGCTTCTAGCAATGCCGAAGGACTTCGATATTATCGTGAACCTCGACCAGTACGTCCCAAATACCGCCAGCCTTTTCCTCGATCCGAATCAGGGATGCGTCGTCTGTAAATATGGCCTCTCGATGCGGTGATATACTGACGGACACTGATCCCGCGACTGACAGGCCCGGCGAGAAGTCTTCGCATACTACGCAGCTCCGGCCTTCCGAACTACAAGATGAACTTCGCCTATTCCCTCCCAGCAAACGGTGAGTGGGAAATGCGCCCGGATATGTGCGTGGGGGAGCATGCTGATGGGAGATGCAGACACAGTCCTCCGGGAACCTCAATAGTGCCGGGCACAACGAACAGCAAGAAGAAGCTAAAGGTACGATGGCACTGGAACACTGTACATTTTCGCCCGTTTCGTCTGACATCTATGGCTCCGCAGAATCTCTCGGCTTTCGCACCCGTGGATCGGATCACGCAGAAGGCCCGCGACAGTGGACCGGTCCGTGCACAGGGGAAACCCGGTCGAATCAGCAATAATACTACGCAGGCAGGAGCCGCTGCAGGATACATAGGGCCCGAACAGTCCAAGAAACGCCGTCGCCAGGATTACTCAGACACCAGCTTTAAGAAACCCATCAACCTCTCCGACGATGTTGAGCGCCCCGCACGGGCACCCCATCCTGGTGCCGAGCACTCGTCACGTATGTCTCCCACTTTGAGTCACAGCCCAAGGAAGAAAAGGAAGCAGCGGGATAACCGACCCACAAAAGTGAAAGAGTTCCGAGATATCGAGGACATTGTCTCGCCCAGAGTACACCGCAGTCCGAAACGTGGTGCCAAGGCCTGCCAGAAAAGCCCCTCGGAGGACGAGCACGAAGAGCGCTTCACCGAAAATGCAGCCAAGGCAAGACGGAAGGCCTCATCCCTGCTGGGCAATGACGCTCCCGAACCAGACAAACTGGGGAAACCGACCAAACATCAGGTTTTCGAAAGTGTTGAGATTGTCAATACCCAGTTGTCGGCTGTCGGTAAATGCGGCGCGAAAAAGAATCGGACGATTGAGAACCCCATTCAGATGGAGACACGAAGGCGTACGCCTGACTCCAGGGAAAGCTCGGATGAGCTGCAAGGGGCAGTCACAGTGCAGATACCGTCGTTCTCGGGTGGAGACCTCAGAAGACGCGTCAGAAGTGATTCGGAGGTGGAGGAACACCCAGCCACCGGAAAGCGTCAGCCCGACATTCGACCGACCGTCTTCGAATCGCCTGAAAGTGGGCCTCAGCGGAAGCAAAAGAAGAAGAGTGTCAAATCTTCAAAGGTTGTTTTGACCCGGTTCTTCAATGTGGTTTTCGTCCGATTGGGCTCGATTGAACAAGAGGCATCAGCCGATGAGCCCGTTGAGCTGGATGTGAACCTTACACATCGCAGCATCTCATTAACTGATGAGGATGCTACCAAATCCTTTATATTACCTTTCACCAAAATCTTAAGCATCATGAAGGGCAACTCCCCAAGCCACAAGGTCAGACTACAGTTATCAAAGATGTCTGGAATCGACCAGCGAGTTGATGTCGAGTTCGTATCGGCGCGAGTGAAAGAGGAGTTTTGTTCTTTCCTGACCGGACAGAACTTTCGAATAGACAGCAGAGACGGGTATGCATTCCTGACATATCCTTTGTCGATATTCCCTTCTGGATGATACAGCGAGGCTAATATGAGAACAGGGAGTGGCTGGACAAAGCGTTCAACAAAGCCCGGAGAGAACTCAAACAATCTTCAAATGGCATGAAACGGCCTGCGGAAAGCGCCCCCGATCCCATTTCCGCCAAGCAGCCCGATTCTGCGAAAAGGGTGAAGCTCACCGACGCCCTGCGGGACGCAGCGAAACCTTCTGGCGCATCTCGGGAATGTGCAAACCCCTCCATTACCGCAGCTAAACCCAACGAAACATCTCAGCCTAAAAAGAGTCCAAGTCCCTCACCTCAACAACTAACCGAGAACACGGTGTCAGCTGCAGCAAAGAAGTCGAAGCTGTCGTCCGATCGAGCGACAAGAGCAATGGTGCGCCGACCTACTACGGCTACGGTCGTATGGTAAGTGTCATTAACCTGTTTCCGAGGACCCACGCTGATGTTTCGTAGCGACGATAGCGACGATGACCTTGCGCAGCAGCAGCCTTTGCCCGATGGACAGGCTGAAAGGTGGCATATGTAAGCAACCTCTCCGTCCCTCCCTTGTGAGATACGGTGCTAATAGCCCACAGACCACTCGTGTATCCGCCATCCGGAAAGAAAAAGGCCGAGGTGACCATGTCTGATCTCATACGACTGGGAGACAACGAATTCTTGAATGACAACCTCATCGGGTTCTACATCCGGTTTCTCCAAGAGCATCTGGATCGGACTAACAAAGAAACGGCACAAAGAGTTTATTTCTACAACTCCTTCTTCTACCACAATCTTACAAACAGGCCCAGAGGCACACGGGCTATTAACTATGAAGGCGTGCAAAAATGGACGAGAACCGTCGACATCTTCAGCCACGATTATGTGGTGGTGCCGATCAACGAAAATGCGCATTGGTATGTTGCCATCATCTGCAACCTACCGAGCCTTCAGGGGATTGCAAACAAAGAACCGGCCCCCGGAGGATCGGCGGAAGTAGAGACAGAGACATCGGTTCCCCCAGACAGTCAGGTCCAGGAGGTACCGGAAACACCGGAGCCTGAAGTGGCACCCAACCAAGACAAGACGGAGGAACAGACTCCAGGCACAGATTCCTCAACGGAGAAATTGGCGAAACAGTCACTCGCTTTCATGAGCCTAGAACAAGGCGCCGAGAAAGGCAAAGGCAAAGAAGATCCTTCTGCAAGCGAAGAGTGGCCAGAGCAAGAAGACATGCCAGTTAAACCGCCAAAAACCCTATCTAACATCGCAGACACGGGGGCTTCTGGGCTCGCTGCAAATCCTCGCAAGACCAAGACGAAGCGATCGGGTCCCAGATACGATGCTTGCCAGCCGATCATCATCACTTTCGACTCCCTAGACCTGACTCGCTCTCCCACCATACGATGTTTGCGCGAATATCTCTTTGAGGAGGCGAAGTCCAAGCGGGGCGTCGAGATCGACAAAACCCTGATCAAGGGCATGACGGCCCGGGGAATCCCCCTCCAGCCTAACTTCTCCGACTGCGGTTTGTATCTCCTGGCGTATCTGGAAAAGTTCGTCCAAGACCCGGACCTGTTCATCAGGAAGCTCCTCCACAAGGAGATGGACTCGGAGAACGACTGGCCGGTGCTGAAGTCCGGTCTTCTCCGGTCTCGACTGCGGAAGTTCCTCGATGCGCTGTATGACGAGCAGGAGCTGCTGAAGCGACAGGAGTTCGACCCGAAGACCACCATGGTCGATAGGAAGCCTATCTGTTATCTCTTGAAGACTTCTGTGTCTGCGGCGGAGGCTAAGCGCGAGAAGAAAAAGTCACCGCTGCGAAAAGAGAAGTCCCCGTCTGGGGAGGCGAAGTCGGGAAGCGATGCGAGGGGTTCTTCGGCGACTGGATCGGATGCGAATGGCCGGGTCAACGCGAAGGAGGGAAAGTCCGACAAGCCTCGGAAGCCGTCGCCGGTCAAGCCGTCGCCGGTCAAGCCCTCACCGGCCCCAGCCAAGCAATCACCAACCGTGGACGTGAAACGGGCCCCTACTCCCTCTGAACCCCGCGATACCAACACAGCGAAGCAATCCCTCGAGCCCGAAGTCGTCCTCGTACCAGACAGCCAACCCGAGACCACCCCATCCACCACCGAAAGGCAAGCCCCCGGACCCCGTCCTCGTCCACGCAGTCCGGAACGCAAACCATCGTCCCAGACTATCAACGACGAAGAAGTAGAGGACAGCAGCCCCGAAGACATCGTGACCGCCGTTGCGGTGCCAGTGGAAACGCAAGTCCGGGGAACGCCTCCCCCGTCCGCCCCCGTCCGCCCCCGTGCGAAACAGTGTTGAAATCAGCCCTTCCGTACCGAAGGCCTAGAATGGATGGATGGACGGTTTACGAACTCTACCTCTAGATCTCGTTTGATTTGATTTGATTTTTTTTCCTGTGGCTGCTTTACGTCATTCCCTGGGTTTTGTACCTGTATGCGGCGTTCAGGGGATGGACAGTGTTATTTATTCCTGGCAGCATTAGATACCAAGCATTGCGTGCGATTGTGATTAGCGCGGTTGGTTGAGGTTGATGTCGGACCGAGACGAGGTTCGAGGGATGGATAGATGTATGTATATAGCTATGATGAGAGAATCTAAGGTCTATTCTCAACATCGCCTCAGCCTAACTCACATTCTAACTGTAATCTTCTATATCTAAGCAACACACACACACACACAGACAGAAAGAGAGAGAGAGAAAGAGAGAGAATCACCAATCCTTCTCATCCGCCTCCACCCACCAAGCCATCCTATCCCGTTTAAACGCCTCGAAATCCCACTCCGCGTCCTCTAGCCGCTCCTCCCCGCCTACCCAGACATACGTGACAGCCCGGACCTCCTCTCCCTCTCCCTCTCCCTCTCCTTTTTCTTTTCCCCCATCCCCATCCCCATCCCCCACCAACCCCCTCCTCCCCCTCCCCAACACCCTAACCCCAACCTCAACCTTCTCATACTCCCCCCCTCAAACATATCCAACCGATGCACATCCCCATCCGTCAACCCGGCCACCACCATCCCCAGCACGGATGATTCCCCCTTTCCGGTGGCCACGATGCCCGGGTAATCGGCCTCGCGCACCCGGTGTCGTCGGTAATTGGGGAGGAGGGCCGGGCGGATGGTGAGAGAATCCACTTGCCATTTTGCGGGCGGTTGGGGGCCGTGGATTACGCGGTGGAGGACGGGAGGGGCCATTAGGGTTCCTGGGTTTGTTAGTAGTGGGGGGGGGGGGGGTTGTTTTGGGACTTGGGAGGGAGGGGGTTGTTGTTTGTACCGTAGAAGAAGAGGACGTGGTCGCCCATTTTCAAGTGGATTTTTAAATGGGTTTGAGGGGGTTGTGTTTGGGGGTTTGGGATTGGGGAGGGAGGGAGAATAGAGAATAGAGAATAGAGAAAGATAAGGAGGGTGGGATGGATGGATGGATGGATGGGATGGGGAGATGAGGAGATATGCGGGGTTTGGAGATAGATATGGAGTAGTCCGCGATTGCGATGTTGTGGTTCGTGGTTCGTGGGTTGTGGGTCGTGTTTGGAGGCTGAGCGGCGGGATGAGGTGGTTTTGTGTTTGTGGTATTGAGGACGTGGATAGGGGATGTATGTGAATTGGTTGGTTGTCGAGAAGATGGAGAGTCATCATCTTGTCTCGTCTTGTTTTCTATAGGAAAGTCCAGCCACGCCTTATCGATAACTGCCGGCCAATCAGACAGCGCGCCAAAAGGCCCATGTGGCTTCAAGCTTCATCCGCGTCCAATTCTTGGGATACGAACAATACGTACCTCATCAGTGCTGATCCAGCAGCACTCATCCCCTCCCCTTTCTCTTCCTTTGACACCTCCCCCCCCAAGAGAGAAAGAAGAAGAAGAAGAAGAAGAACAAGAAGGAAGAGGCAAAGATGCACTCCGCCCTGAACCGCGCGCAAGGCGTCTTCGGCTTCTTCACCACCGTCGCCCTCTTCGTCGCCGGTCTGGCCGCTCTCTCCGTGCTGCTTCATCCGACTGATGCCGTGACTACGGATGTGAAGGTTCGCGATGTGAAGGTGTATGTTCTTCTCCCTTCTCCCTCTCTCCCACAACACCACCACCACCACCACCACCAAACCCAAACCCAAACCCCCAAACCAGAATCCAAACAAAAAACAAGTCCACCACTAACCCATCACAAACACAGAACAAAAGGCCGTCCCCACTTCTACTCCTCCCGACGAGAAGAATACGCGCAGATCCGCTTCGACTTGGACGCTGGTACGTCCTTCTCCCCATCCCATCCCATCCCATCCCATCCCCCAACCACACCACCAACAAAACTAACAAAACAAACCACAATCACAACCAAAAAAAAAGACCTAACCCCCCTCCTAAACTGGAATACCAAACAACTCTTCATCTACATCTACGCCAGCTACCCCTCCGACCCCTCCTCGTCGAACCCAACCCACTCGCACTCCATCATCTGGGATACCATCATCCCGGCCCCCTCATCACCATACACTATCGACGCCCTCCGCGAACGGTTTTTCCCATCGTCCACCAAGAAGCGCTCCACCAAGAAAACATCCACCAGTAAGGCGCCCAAGACGGGAAAGGCGGCCAAGGAGGCCACCGCACCCCATGGCGTGCTCAGGCTCAGAGACCAGAAGCCGAAGTACTCGATCGGGGATGTCTCGGGGAAGATGGCCGGCAGGGAGAATGTCACGTTGTCGGTCGGGTGGAATGTTCAGCCTTGGGTCGGCGCGTTGTGGTGGGCTCCGGCGTCGGGGGGCGTGCCGAGCACGAATGGCCAGGTCGGGGTTAGTGAGGCGGTGGTGTTGCCGGCGTTGAAGGGGAAGAATACCGGTTCGAATGCTGCTGGTGCTGGTGCTGGGACTGCGGCTGGGGGGAAGGTGGTGGGTTGATTTGATTTGATTTGATTTGATTTGATTGGGGTTGGTTGGGTTGGGTTGGGTGTATGTTATGTTATGTTATAGCTTTTTTTTCTGTTCTTGAGTGATACTGATGAATTGAATTGGTTGTTTTGGGTTGATATTGGTGTTGTGATTGGGGTTGCGACACTACGTAGAATGGATGTATGGATTGGATGATTCAAGTCAGGACAGCAGAACAACACTCGATTATGAATACCCCCTCTCCAGCTCATCCAGTCGTAATAACCCACCACAAGCCCAAACCTAACAATAACTCAAGGATACAAAACACACCCCATCACCGTCCCCGTCTCAACCGCACCCACCACTCGCTCAATCATTTCATTCGGTTTGTTTTCATGCCACGCCGTCTTCCCCACTCCTTGCGAATATACCACATCAAGCAATACTCCCATAGTCTGACCTCTGATGTCTCCCTCCATGCTGGATCCGATCGGAGTACACGCCCCGCGCGTAACGCGGCTCGCCCGAGCGGCGGTTGCGGAAGAATACGTATTCGAGGTAGAAGGCGTGGACGTGGCCGGGGAGGTAGCTGTATGATCGTGGGTTAGCTTGCACACTGAGATGGATGGATGGAGAAGGGGAGTAATGGGGGAGTTGTGTGTGTGGTGTGTGATGCGGTGAGGAAGGGATGCGGTGAGACGCAGTGAGATGAGGATAGACTCACCCGAGAAGAGTCAGACAGATGTTGATGACGAGGTCGGCGCTGCAGCCGGAGAGGAAGAAGACGCCGAGGGGGGGGACTATAGTTGGGTTGGTTGATCGTTAGATGGTTTCTGTATGGGATGGGGATATCGTGGATAGAGTGTAGCGGCCAGCTGGCCATCTGGCCAACTAGCTATCTGTGTATGTGTAAGTGAAGATGTACTCACTAAACAAAGTCACCAGAATCAAGCAAATCATTGACAACGTCCCGGGCATTTTGACTTTTCACGTCACTCTTGGAGTCAAGTGGTAAATCTAGGCAGTGCGGTAAGCGTAGAGATAAGGACGGTCGTTATAGGTAGGCAGGTAATAAGTAATATTTATTATGAGGACTGCTCTTGAGCGGCGGCAGCTTTCACACGCTTGCTGGAATCGAAATAGGTGCCGAGGAAACTTAGGGAGAGGATGACGAAAAGCAGGAGGAATATGTTGGTGGGGATGTTGGGGTCGTCTTTGCCGCTGGAGCTGGCGCGCTTCATTTTCGGTTGCTGGGGATTTTGGTGTACGTCACTGGTGCTTGCTTTCTGGCGCTGGCACTGGCGCGGGAAGTAGGACACAGACACAAGTTTATTGTTGTGGAAGGTGCAATGCTCAAGGTACCTCGTAGTTGCTAGCCTGAAGAAGGTAGGTACTAGTACTTACTAGGGAGGTATGCTGTGCCGCGCCATGATCTGACAACAACAAAATATGCAGCAAGGGTCGTTTCCCTTTCTGGAAGAGACTTCCGGCTGACGTCATCCCGGGCTGGAGCTAGCCTTGGGCTGTTTTGGGTAAGCGCTAAGCCACGGAATCTGGGGTAAGTGGGGGTGTGGCTGGTAGCTACTTTACGCTGGTGCTAGTGCGAATGCGAAACAGATATGACATGATATGGCATCTTCTTGTTCTTTCTTTTTCTTTTTCTTTTTCTTTTTCTTGTTCTTGTTCTTGTTCTTTCTCTTGATCTTTCTTTGCTTTTTATGTACGGCTGGCCTTGGTTCGGCCTGATTCATTCATACAGCGTCAATCGACGCGCGCGTCGTCACCTGTTCGTTTTTGTTGCCGAGTTTCGAAATCTGCAGGAATGCGTCCACGCCGTACCCTTCCAGGCTGTGCAGCTCCAAGCTGCCCGCCCAGTACTCGGCGTATACGCGGCTCATGGGGAGTCCGATCCCCAGCCGCAGATTGGGCGGCCGGGAGGTCAGCGAGTCGAGTGAACTCTCGCGGAAGGTCTCCTTATCCGCGTGTTTCCGCTCCGTCGGCACGCTCAACTCCTGTATCGTGGCCGCCATCGCCGGAACCTGCCCCAGGTTCTGGAGATGAGATTTGCTGTGTGGGCCCTTGTTGAAGGACCACAGGTACGGTAGGACCTCGCGGGGGATCCCTCCCCCCTGGTCCGACACCCGCATGATCACATGCTGCGGCGCTTCGCAGATGAGCACCTCGATCGGTGGCGGCTGCTCCGACGTGCCATTGTATCGTTCGCTCACAGCCTGGATCGAGTTGCGCAACAGCTCGCCGATGATGTATTCCAAATGGCTCAGCATGTAGGGGAAGGTAGCTTCCAGATGGCCTTGTACCGAGATCTCCGGGATCTTATCCGACCCCGAGGTCTGCCGCATCATATCCTGTGCCAGCTTGCCGCACCGTTCGGCAACTTCCTTGGCGTTGCATTTGAGGAAGACCTCCCCAATGAAGTCTGCGTTCGGGTCCGTGCGATCTTGCGAGTCGGGGAAATGCCATGGTGAGTTGAAGGTTTCCGTCAGAGCCAGGTGCTGCTCGGCGATCACGCGACGGGAGATTCTCTGTTAAGTCCAGGGGTCAGACACGGAACATCTCATTATCCCCAGATAGTGAGTGCCATACCGCTCGAAGGAGAGTGTTCATGAAATCATCCAGCACGTCCGGCGGGACCAATTCACGGCATTCCAAAACGCCCGTTGCGAGTTTGGGGATCACCACCAGATGTTCCTGAAGGGTCTTGCGCAGGATGTCGCAGAAGTGGTCATTGTCGTCTAGCGTTTTTATCTCGGGGATGGTTCGAAACCGCTCGAATGCTTTGTAGTAGAGCTCGTATACCATGGAAAGGTGGGGGTTGGCGACGACCACGTACGGCAGCCGTTGGATGTCTCGCAGGCGATGGGCGAGTCTAGTTGCAGAGAGAGAGAGAGAGATGTCAGTAAAAGTCTGCATGTCATGATCGCCCGGGATACCGACCTCGTCGGGAGCTCCGTCCGGACGTAATTTGCGGAACTGATCAGTCGCGATTCCGTCAGGGTGCGCCCGAAGAACGTCAGCTGTCGTAGACTGATGGGACGAATGTCGCGCTCAACCCATCTGCGATCCGTTAGCATTGGCGCCGGGCGGAGTGGTGGTGCGGTGATGGCCATACTCGTCCAACGCCGATACCGGCCTCCACGGCGGCGGACTGTGGGTTTGCTGGGTGGAAAAAAGCCGGCACGAGGAGACACAGCTGCGACGCAGGAGATGCCAGCGTCGAGCTGGATGACTCCAGGCCATGGCACTGTGTGGTAATTGGTCTGCGGTGGACTGACTCAAATCTCAATGGACCCAAGGGCGGGTGTGTGGCATGGAGGGAGGGGAGCGGGTTACGCCGATGGAGATGGAGAGCAGCCGCGCATCAGAAGAGGCGGAGGTGATCAGGGCTGGCGGAGATCTGCCATGCACAGTACATGGCTCACCCGGGAGGATTCAATTCGGCCCACACGCGTGTCGACTCGACCGTGGCATGACATTATCATTTTCTGATGGCGAAGGCGAAGCCGGGCGCACTTCCAAGGCAGCCCGGGCGGTGAGCGCTGCTGGGCTTGGCCGGACATGTGATGTGCTCGGTTCGGCAGCAATTGGTAGGGGAATAAGTAAAGAAAGAAAGAAAAAGCTACGAAAGAGAACTACAACGGAAGACCAGGACCTTATGATCATTAAGTATCGATATCAAAATTAGAATAAATTTAATCCTTCACCAGACAAAGAGATAAGCCGGGTAAAAATTAAAAGCTGCGTTGACGTTGCCGACTTGCAGCATCCCATGCCTCGGAGTCGGGCCTAGTAGATACTTTAGCCTGGCTGGTGGAGCGCAGGAAAGTGTGATATGACGCTGGGGTGATGGTCGCATGGGGAGCTTTCCGACGGGTGATGATGGAGCTGGAGTTGATAGTGCCAGATGGAACAGGAAGACCATGAATTAGGGATGAGATTAGATGGAGAACAGGTAGATAGATATATATGGGGTATATGTATAAGTGGATGGTCAAAGTAGGTGATCACTGCATGAAGGGCTCATGTAGAAGAGGAGGTAGGTCATCGGCGACCGACGGGTCGGGGGAGGGGGGTGAAAGCAAGGAAGGTGGGAGGAATCAAGCAATCAATCAAGCAACCGGCGTAAGGGCCACACAATAACTAGTCGCCATCAACCCATCACTTGGGGGGCTAGAGGCAGGGAAGAGTTTCCAGCTGCAGCCTAGAAGGAGGAGGAGGTGAAGTGGTGATGAAGTAGTGGTGAAGCGGTGGTAAGGTGGTAAAGTGGTAAAGTGGTAGTGAAAGAGGTGGTTTTCGGGGCCTTCTTAATAATAAAGGCTGCTGTGTCCCGCATGGCCGTTGCTATTGGGTTCTGGTTATGGCAACTCCGCCACTAGCTTCATTCAACTCCTGCGGACTGGCACTGATCCATCATCCCGGATCGCTACAGCCTGAGCCCAGAGCCTCTATTGCAATTCTCTCTCTCGCCTGTTGAGGTCTAATCCTCTCAACCCTCTCTCAATTCCCACCCCTCCCCTTCTCACGCCCCTCGGAGGGTTGAACTCGGCGCTCCCCCCCCCCCGTCCGCCAAAAAAAAGAGTCTGACGTTCGTTTCCCGTGCGGGTACGCACTTTTTTCCCTACATGGACAACGTAAGTTCCGTCCTAAGTCGCCGCCGCTCTCGAACCCATCGCATGAATGCTCGGATCAACCTCTCCTTCCAATCTCCAAAAAAAAGCCCCGACGCTGACCCTATCCCTCGGGCTCCCCAGGTCCCAGACAGTGAGATGCTCGTCGATGAATACGAGCAGTTTCACAATGACAGAACTGACGAGGTGGTTGTCTCCCGGTCCGGATCGGAGGAACCGGAGCCAGAGCCTCTCGCCGATGACCGTAAGGCCCTCTTTATACCTGCCCTGCATTTCCCCTGCCGTTGTTCTGGTCGTGAGCTGCGATGGCCGTCGTTCGGGGTCGGAAGTCCCCGCCGCGGGGTGGTGTCCGTCCCAGGCCGCAGCGACAAGCGCTCCCAAGCTGGGATCCATGTCTAATATAAGTCTCCGCTACAGATGCAGCAATGATGGCTCGGATCCTCCCGAAAGACCCCGATTTGGAAACCGAACATGAGACGTATCACACATGGCATATCCAGGATTGGCGGAAGCTGAAAAAGAAGGAGCACGGCCCGGTCTTCCAGTGCGGAGGGTCTCCATGGTGGGTGCACAGCTCGATCGCGTAGTACGTCCGACGTGTCGGCTCTGACCTCTGTCGATAGGCGCGTTCTTTTCTTCCCATATGGAAACCATGTTGAGCATGCCTCCTTCTATCTGGAACACGCCTGGGATGGCGAGCCTCCCGAGAACTGGTACGCCTGCGTCCAGTTCGCTCTGGTCTTGTCGAACGTGAAGGACCCGTCAATCTACATCTCTCATGGTATGCATACCTAGTCGGGAACTTGGGGCCATATTTGCTGATCGGGATGCAGTCGCGACTCATCGGTTCAACTCGGATGAGGGAGACTGGGGCTTCACTAGATTCTGCGAGCTGCGCAGGCTTTTCAACATACAATGGGAGGGTCGCGGTGTGCCTCTCGTCCAGAACGAAGAGGCTATCGTCACGGCCTATGTCCGTGTCGTCAAGGACCCCACGGGTGTCTTGTGGCACAGCTTCCAGAAGTATGTATCTACTCTGCCCCGATCTGTCTCATGCTAACGGCTTCTAGCTATGACTCGAAGAAGGAAACCGGCATGGTCGGATTGAAAAACCAGGGCGCGACCTGCTACCTTAACTCGCTTCTGCAGTCCCTTTATTTCACCAACTCCTTCCGGAAGGTAGGTGGCCGCCCCTACCCGCTTCAATATACAGATACTAATAGGCTTCAAGGCCGTCTACGAAATTCCAACTGAGGCCGAGGCCTCCAGAGATAACAGCGCCTGGACTCTCCAGAGGTTGTTCTATAATCTTCAGACGAGCGAGAACTCCGTGTCGACGACGGAGCTCACCGCGTCCTTCGGCTGGGAGTCGCGGCAAATCTTCGAGCAACAAGATGTCCAGGAACTCTCGAGGAAGCTCATGGAGAGAATGGAGGAGAGGATGAAAGGCACGCCGGCGGAGAAAGCCCTGCCGGAGCTGTTTGTCGGCAAGACCAAAACCTACATTTCATGCATCAATGTCGACTATGAATCGTCGCGAGTGGAGGACTTCTGGGATATCCAGCTCAATGTTCGTGGCAACAAGACTCTCGACGACAGTTTCAAAGATTACATCCAGGTGGAGACCCTCGAAGGCGAGAACAAGTACGATGCCGGTCAGCCCTACGGACTCCAGGACGCCAAGAAGGGTGTTATCTTCGAGAGCTTCCCCCCGGTTCTGCATCTTCACTTGAAGCGATTCGAGTACGATATCCACCGCGATGCTATGATGAAGATCAACGACCGACACGCCTTCCCCATGGAGTTTGACGCCACTCCGTACCTTTCCCCCGATGCCGACAAGTCCGAACCCTGTATCTACGAACTGCATGGTGTGCTGGTGCATAGTGGAGACCTGAATGCTGGCCATTACTACGCCTTTCTGAAGCCCACCAAGGACGGGCACTGGTACCGCTTTGACGACGATCGGGTGACCCGGGCTACGGACAAGGAAGTGCTCGAGGAGAACTACGGCGGTGAATACGAGCTGGCCAACGGTGCCACCGGTGTTCGGCAACCTTACACACGGGGTTTGTCGACGAAGCGCTCGATGAACGCTTACATGTTGGTCTACGTTCGGAAGACGCGATTGGATGACGTGCTCTTGCCGATCACAAAGGAAGACGTTCCATCTCACATTGGTAGGTTACACTCAGCTTCGGGCTATTCTTTGTACTAATATTGTCCCAGAGAAGCGGCTTTTGGAAGACCGTGTCGATTTCGCTCGCAGGAAGAAGGAGAAGGAAGAGGCTCACTTGTACATCAACGTTGGCGTCCTCAGCGAGGAATCTTTCAAGTCGCACCACGGCTTTGATCTGACAAGCGCTGAACTACCTGTCGACGACGCTGCGGTGCCGAAGCAGCACAAAATTCTCCGGGCCATGAAGGTCGGGGAGTTTGCGCAGCAGCTTGCGGAAGAGAAGGGGCTCAACCCCGAACAGGTCCGGTTCTGGGTGATGGTGAACCGGCAGAACAAGACGACGCGTCCGGATCAAGTCATCAAGGACCGTGACATGACGGTGGAAGAGGCCTACAACCGGTATGGCACCAAAGGAAACCCGTTCAAGGTATGGATGGAGGTTGGCCAGCCTTCCGCGGACGGGACAGTCTCCTGGCCCGACAACAACTCCTTGTTGGTCTTCCTCAAGCACTTCGACGCTCCTTCGCAGACTCTTACCGGAGTCGGTCCCGTTTACGTGCGCAAGACGCAGAAGGTGGCCGATCTCGCCCCCGTGATCCTGGAGAAGATGGGATGGCCTGCCGGAACCGAGTTCATGCTGTACGAAGAAATCAAGCATAACATGATCGATATCATGAAGCCCAAGCAGACCTTCCAGCAGTCCGAGATCCAAGATGGTGACATTATTGCCTTCCAAAAACAGATCAAGGAGTCGGAGCTTCCCGCTACAGCTTTGTACACGGACGCGCGCCAGTATTACGATTACCTTCTCAACCGGATAAACGTCACCTTTGCTCCTCTCAAGGCGGAGGAGGGAGACGATTTTGTCCTGACACTGAGCCGAAAGATGACGTACGACCAGTTTTCCAAAAAGCTCGGGGAGCATATCAACGTGGAGCCAACGCACCTGCGTTTCGCCCCGGTCCTCGCAAGCAACGGCAAGCCCAAGGCGTTCATCAAGCGCAACCCCAACCAAGCCAACCAGACTCTGTACCATATTCTGAGCGGGCAGGTGACTACATACGGCTACAGCATGCATCGCCAGGATGCCCTGTACTACGAGGTTCTGGAAACGAGCTTGAGCGACTTTGAGTCCAAGACCACCCTCAAGGTCACGTGGCTTCCTGACGGCATCGCCAAGGAGGTAGGTTGAACAAGCATTATGACTTTTGAGTGTCGGAGCTGATTGGCGTTTAGCAAACCGTGGAGGTGTTGGTTCCCCGTGATGGAACCATCGCGGATGTCATTGCGGGACTACAGAAAAAGGCCAACCTGGACGACGACACGATCCGTGAGACTCGTGTCTATGAAGCTCACAACGGCAAGATCTATAAGGAGTTCCAGGAAGATTCCAAGATTTCCGGCATCAACGATTTCGTCTTGCTATTTGCCGAGCGGGTTCCTGAAGAAGAGACCAACATGCAGGAAGGCGAACGGACGTTAAACGCCTTCAACTTCGACCGGGACGCCAGCCGGCCGTACGGCGTGCCTTTCAAGATAGTTATGAAGCCGGTACGTTTGAACTCACGTCTCTCCAGAATCCATTTATGCTGACGGCAGTCAGGGCGAGATCTTCAAGCAAACGAAGGAACGACTCTCCAAGCGCACTGGCATCAAGGGCAAACAATTCGAAAAGATCAAGTTTGCCGTGGTTTCCCGGACCATGTACACCAACCCGCGTTACCTTGAAGATGGTGAGTCAATCGCGAGATTATCGATCCCAGTACTGTGACTGACCCTGCATAGATGACATCCTTTCCGATGTCATCGGCGATTCGGACGACCTCCTTGGCCTCGACCATGTAAATAAGAACCGGAGCTTTTGGAACCGAGGCGGAGGCGAATCGATCTCCATCAAATAGATGTGAATCTGCGTGCTGGAGTTGTGCATTGCATTTTGCCGGACGAGACGAGCCGAGCCACCTTGACATTTGGCAGGGAATACATACGACCATGGACATGCGGAGGTCCTGCTTCCGATGAAAGGGACAACATACATTATACATCGACTCGACCGAATGGTATTTTTATTCGTTGCGTTGTGTTAGCTTAGAAGGAAGGAGGGCAGGCCTAATGGTCTCGTTATGATGTGTTTTACCAACTGCGTTTCATGTATGACCTACCTACCCACTATGACTTGGCATTATCCAGGTTTTACGAATGAATTGTATTGAGGGAGATGCGGATAGCATAGGTGGTTGATTCTGTAAGAAAAAAAAATCGATCTAAATATAGGGAGACCCTTACTGTAGATGTAGAACTCTCCATAACTGCCAACTCAGGACGGAGTACTCCGTACTACGGAGTACAGTTGAGTAACTAAGTAGTGAGGGTTGTGTTGACACGGATGCAAACACAACAAACCAAGCGGGCCAAACTCACAGCTGGCCAGAACTTCCGCTCCATCAATCGCGTGTCTATCTTGAACCCGTCACCCCTGAGCCTCGTCCAACCTGAGCTCCCGCTCTTGCTCTTGTCCTTGCTCGCAATGCGCTTCGCAGCTCTGGTTATAGGCCTGTTGGCCACCTTCGTGTCTTCCGTGACCGCCACGGCTCTGACCTACCGACTCGAAGCCAACGAGAAGGCGTGCTTCTACAGCTATGTTGACTCCACCAACGTCAAGGTTGCCTTCTACTTCGCCGTGAGTCTTTCCCGGATGTTCCTTCCCATTATTTGTGAGATGAATGGCAATAACCGATGGGTTGCTTTGGTGATTGCAGGTCCAATCCGGCGGTTCTTTCGATGTCGATTACTCCGTCGTCGGTCCCGGTGACAAGGTCGTCCTAGACGGTAGCAAGGAGAGACAGGGCGATTTCGTTTTCACGGCTCAGAGTATCGGAGAGTACCGCTTCTGCTTTGACAATGACATGTCGACCTTTGCCGAGAAGATTGTCGACTTCGAGATTGCGGTACGTTTGTTCGACTACGGATAGCAGAGCATATGATGTGACGGGATGTGATGGGATGGGATGGAATGGGCTTTTGCTCTCGGGTCCCCATAATATTCTTGTTGCCACCGGAACCAACCTCCCTAACGCGTGTTGTGTGCTACTATAGGTCGAGAACGAGGAACGCGCCCAGCTGCCTTCCCGCCAGGGCGCCAGCCCCGAGCAGGCCTCCGCCCTCGAGGAGTCCATCTTCAAACTGTCCGCTCAGCTGTCCACCATCACCCGCAACCAGAAATACTTCCGCACCCGCGAGAACCGTAACTTCAGCACTGTCCGTAGCACGGAACGTCGCATCTTCAACTTCAGCGTCATCGAGGGCCTGATGATGGTTTCCATGGCCGCGCTGCAGGTCTTCGTTGTCCGGTTCTTCTTCCAGGGCGCTCGGAAAGGTAAGTTGGCCTGTCTCCTGTCTGCCCCCGGGTTGCGGTGGAGTCTTTTCTTTCTCTACGCTCATCTTTGGGGTTGGTGGCGATGGCGATAGTTTTGGTGCTAATCGGTTCGTGTAGGTTACGTGTGAATGAGCGAGCGAGCATCAAAATTTCTTCTTCCTGTCCTTTCGTGGCGTCTATATTGTATCTACCCGCTGTTGTAGGGATCTAGAGTTTTTATCTCCTGATAATGGAGCTGGTCAATTGGAACTACTTGGTACCGTGTGATGTATTTCTGAGTTAGGGGGTGGTTGGTGGTGGTTCGCTCCGCTCGGGCGTGACGTTAGTTGTTCGCAACCGCAACCGCAACCTGGCAGGGCAAGCCTGCGTTGTCGTGTCCTCCTCCGCGAGGGGAGGGGATAGTCCAGTCCAATCCCAACTACTAAGGTGCGTATGCCAATCTGGACGTTGCCAAGCTGGATTGCGAACATATGACATGCATGGTAAGTGAGGGGACAGACAGCAGGGAAGGCCGAAAGTCTCCTAGCATGGTTTGCGGACAACCTGTCTCAGCTCAAGCTCATCGTCGTGGTGTTTCTCGCACACCGTCCGTCCGTCCGTCCGGAGACATATGTCGCGGGGGCAACCTGTCCTCTCTAAGCAAGCGGACATCATTGTCCGCTTCATCAAAAGAGAGAGGGGGTTGGTTGTTGTCAGTGGCGACGTATGAGGCGGCGCCGGTGCGGTCATAATATTGATTGATTGATTGATTGATTGATTGATTGACGGGGATCATTCAATTTCTTTCTTTCTTGCGTCCATCGTCATGATCTGACTACCGTGCAGGATTCTAGACTTCCTGACTTCCTGACCAGCCCTTGCTATGTTGTGCGGATATCATCATGGGTTCCACGATCCCTGGTATTATGACGTTAAGGGAGCGACCCGTCATCGGCGCACGCCTCAACACCTGACAACTCAGGCTCGCCCCAAGGATGATCAGATATCGACCTTCGATGTAGTTCCATAGCTTGATTTTTACTTACCCGGCCACGGCAACCGCGCGGACACCGCGCCGAGACGATGTGATATCATGCGAAACATACTAGTACTGCTGTCTTTTCGCCAGCCGCCTCGGGGGGACTTTTTCTTTTTTTGTTTTTTTTTTTTTTCCCCTTTCTTTTCGCACCGCTACAACGGGCCAGTGATGCTTGCTTGCGCTGTCGCTGTCGCTTGGACAGTGGAGAACGTCGCCTTCCTGATCATCAAGCTCAAATTTGCTCCGGCGCCTGGAGACTACAACCGCTCCGTCAGGTCAGACGGTCAGAAAAGCTATCTGCTATCTTCTCCTACTGCCTCCATGGAACATTCTTCCGCAATGGGGCCTGGGGCGGCGGGAATGTCTCCATTTTGTGGCATTCCGCAACCCGACCATGGGTGCTCTAGCCTGGGCACTCATCCTCATTATGCTAACTTCTAACAGTATGTGCCTGTTCTCTATTCGATTGGTTGCGTACTGGGATGTTTTCTGCCCCAGAAAGAAAGCACGGCTCAATGGATGGCCATGGCCTAATAGCACACTCCCTGCGAGCCTTATATGTGCGTCAGTCACGCTCATGCCTTCCTGGTCTGGACGGGGAAAGTCCATTCCGATTCCCGCTAGATGCAGTCTTCCCGTACTTCTGCACACGGATGCGAATGTTTCAGCCCCGTACTCCGTATTGGTCCACCCGATACAGCCTTTCTGATGACTTGGGAGTGTGGTCGTCATTGGGCTAGGCTACGAGCTCTTCGCCCGAGACAGAGAGGAGGTTGGGTGGCCCTGTCCATTATTATGATTACTTGAGGATTCCCGTGTCTGAAATATGGAGCGCATGGGACCCGATCGGTACTGGACCGAGAAGCTTCAGAAGCTCAGAAGCTCAGAAGTTGCCCTGTAATAGGCTGTAGCATGCATTGCCGAGGTGGAGTTCGCACGATGGATCTGGCTTTATGATAGCTGTGTGCTTGCAGTGATTGATAGTTAGTTATTGCGCACGTGGATTAGTCACCAGGCTAGGTATCTACTCTGTCATAGTACATGGTAGATATGGACTTGTCGGAATCCACTGGGGTGCTGGGGTGCTGGGGTGCTATCGAGTATCTATCTACTGGGTATCTCCCTGACTGCTGGGACTCAATGATGTACTTTGAATGAAGTGGTGGAGACTGGAGTACTGGAAGTCTGGGTCACCGGATGGATACCTCAGGACCTAGCGTCCAACTAGGGTCCTTTGGAATGGGAGGGAGGTAAGCAGCCGAGGGCCTATGACCAGGACAGGATATAGCTTCCCGGAGAGAAAAGGGGGCAGGGGAGGATGAGAATTGATATAAGTGTTAGGCTAGTCAGAACGGGTGGGTTGCGGCGGCGACGATGACTCGGTGGCTGCGGCCCCCCTGACGTCAGCTGCCGGCCTCAGGCACTGTGCCTTCCCGTTCGGGCCATGGTTCCGATGGGGCCCACCGCCCGGCGCGGACCAATGATCGGGGGCGCTGGCGGGGATGAATTCATCGTCGTTCGGCCAGCATCATCATCCATCCATCCTCGCCTCCCCGTTCGAGTAACCGGGGAGGCTCCTGCACCCGCCAGCATGGATCCTTCCCACCGTTCGGGGCTTCTTGGGTTCTGTGGTCCTCCGTGTCTCCCCACCTCCTCTTGTCCAAGATCGGCGAGATCCTTAACGGGTTGGGATTCGTCTCCAGCGGTCGACGAGGGCCGATGGGTCTGGTCTGCTGCTGCTGTTGCTGTTGTTGCTGTTGTGTCGCACTGCTGCAAAGGATGTCTGTCTGCCTCTTGGCTCCTGCACACACAGACGATCCCCTCGACGCTAACTCGGCTCTTGCATAGTCCCAACTTAGCGTCCCCTTCGGTTTTAGGTTCATCCATGACACATCGCGTTCCAGGTCATACACTGTCACTGTCTTAGTAGCTCCCTCAACCCTCCTCCCCCCCCAAAAAAATAGCTGTCGCATTCCAACCCGCTGTCAACGGACGAAGCTTCATGCCCTTGTTCGCCAGGTCGCCTGGCCGACCGCATCCAGACCCTCGCTACCAGAGTGTCGATCTGCAGGGACGGTGCGCTCCAGTAAATTCGTCTGCCGATCTCAGACGCCATAAGATTTGCTGTGCGCCAGTCGCATTCCATCAGTGACCTCATCCTGCTCCGGTGGATGGTGGACCGTGGGCCATCCGGGGGGGCACGCCGCTCCGTGAGCCAGTGGAGTACGGTTATTTCCGATCATCCTCTGATGTAGGCGGACTAGGACTACTCACCGTCGCCGCCGCTGCACCGATGGTGAAGGATAACGCTGGCGCCGAGCAGGGGGGCAGAGGGAAATGATTATTGACCTTCCGCATGGCCCTAGGATGCCGATGGAGCCCTGCGACGGGCCATGATGTCATGCCCGCCCTATGAGGGCCCCCAGACACACAACGCCGTGGACTCTCTGCTCCGTGGGCCATGGGCAGATCGAGTCTGTTACCCAGCTGGACAGGTCGCGCTGTCACTCACTACTCACTACTGCATTGCTGGCCTTATCCGTACTGTGATCTCATATCGGTTTCGCCAGACCATTTATCTCGCGGGTGACCCCAACATTATAGCACTCCGTTTTAAAACTGATTATCGACCAAGCTTCTGTGTACCAAATCTATCTCTTGACCTAGATCACCGTACTAGTCCTACTTGGGGTATCGCACCTTGTCTCCCGTGTTTTCATCTACTTTGACCATTCCACCTGTCCCGTCCAGCTCTCCACCCTGCCTCTAGCTACTATCCGACTTTTGCTTGTCTGCTGCTGATCTTCTGAGAAAAGGTGAGTGCCGGATGCCTACTGTCTCATGGTCGATAGAAACAATCCCCTCGTGCCTGAGCTCGCGTGTAGTGTCTGGAGCTGGTTTGACAGGGCCACGGATGGAGACATGGCTCCTTGAAACCAAGGCCAGTACCACGACCACGGCGGCGACGACCACGCCTTCCTACGAGAACGACATTATCATGCAGTCCCGTACATGGCTAGCGGATCACTGGTACCTGGTTGAACTAAGCTGACGCTTTCCTCTAGAACACGAGTGTGCAATATGACTTCTGTTATGCATGAAGAGAAGCTTCGTTCCATGCCCCCTAGCACTGGAGAAGGTTGTCGACCTCCTGGGGAGCCCTCTGTCCAGTTTAACCGGTCTCTCGAGCCTCCCTCGTCCGTGGAGGACTACAGCCGGGTCATGCTGGAATACACCCAACGTCGGATGGCAGGTTTTGTCGACCTGGACGACGACAAGGGAGGTCATGCTACTCACAGCAGTCGCAGCAGCCAGACCAGCGGCAACAGCGGCACCTCAACCAGCGGCTTTATGGCCCGCCAGGCTTCCGGTCCGACCAGTGCCGTTGGAGCCCATGATATCTCGGAAGCTGGCAGACGCCAGTCCAGCACGAACTCGTCTCAGTCGTCCTTTTGAGGAAGCACATCTCGGGTGAGTGAGCAGCCGGAGAAGGTCCTGTCACTCATCCGGGCATAGGGGATGGCGTATACGAGTTACGTTTTACGGAGAGGAGTTGGTGATATGAATTTGTCAACGGGGTCACGCCTCAATGTCTCCCGGCGTTGCGATTGCATGCGAGCGCGCTCTGATTTCCAAGCGATGGCGAAGCGATACACATAGAAAGGGCGACTTCCCCAGCCGAGGCTTCGTGAAACCCTAGTGATTTTTGGTTTTCTTTTTTTTTCTTTCTTCTTCCTTTGTTTGATACCTCGAATATTGAACTCTCGATTATCAGTCGACATCATAGGTCTCTGTCCAGTCATGACCGCGCTGACAAGACGTTTTTGATCTCGCCTTATCATCGCCGAGGATATCGGACTTGCTTGGTTTGGTGGTTCATGGCTGGGCGAGATGGCGTGGCGTGGCGAGACGTTCTGATGCGTCGCGTCGTGTCTCGAAAGCTCTGCCCATGCCTGGTTTGTTAGTTCCCGACCCTCGTCACTCCTTTTCCTATGTATGTCTGATGCGGCTGGTCCATGTTAGTGCTGTGCTGCTGTGCTATGCTGTGCTATGCCGTGCTCTGCTATTGGACAGCCCATCTCAATCTAGACGTCGGCCCTAGTGGCCGTTGAAGTTGAAGTTGAAGACTTACTGTAGCTGACGCTTCTCTTTTTCTTTTCTGCTGTTGTATTATTATTCTTATCGGGCCGGTCCTTTGTATATAATCGATGAACATGATGTGATGCGATGCGATGCGATGCTCATGCTTTGACGAGATGCATATTCATTTGAGCGGACTTGAAAGGTTGGCTTCGACGGTCATATCGACGGGTAATCTTTACAGCTGGCCGGTGTAGAGTGTAGACTGGACCATGGCCTCACTCACCCCTTGCATGGCCTCCTACCTACCATGTCTTACCGGAGCAAGGACTGGTAGTTCTCACTCTAGTGCATGCGGAGTCGGACTCTTGAGAGCGCATCGCGCATCTTCCTGTCTGTTTGAGTGTTCGAGACCTGCACTGCCCTGCATTGCATATTTGTAGGTTAGGCTAGGTTAGGTAATCTAGCTCTGCTACATCCATCCCGTTCGTGGACGTGGATGTGAACGTGGTCTTGAATATATATTGTACATACTATCCATCCTCATATCAACATACTACTAACCACATATATCTACATTCCGGCACTCCCCCCCCCGTCCATTCCACCGCAAAGTATGATTCTCGCACTCGTCTCAGGATTGGGTGGAAGATATATTCGCGTGGAGTCTGGCGAAAATAACATTGCATAGCATAACAGGGTGGAATCTGAATATGTTTTGTTCCTGGGGGTGAGTGAGACGCGATTCGTGTAGAAGGGGGGATGGGATGTAAACAGGGATGGATGGAAGGGAACCAGGACTGGATTTTGGGTAGGGAGGTGGCTAGCCCTGTTTTTTCTTTCGTTCTCTCTTCCTTTTCTTTTCTTTTCTTTTCTTTTGTTGGTTTGTTCGTCTCAGGATCTACTTTCCTTTAGCTTCATCCTCAATCAATCTTCTGTTCAAGTCCAAACCTCAAACTCAACCTCAACCTCAACCTCAATCACAATCCTAACCGCAACTGCAACCGTCTATCCAACAAGAATACCAACAACAACAATAATAACGAAAAAAAACAACCAAAATGCTCCCCCACATCCTCTTCCTCACCCTCTCCCTCACACCTTCCATCCTCGCCATCCCTCTCTCCTCATCCACCACAAACACCAACACCAACCTCAACTCCAACACAAACCTAAACATAAACAAAAGAACCCCCTTCTCCCCCCGTCAAGAAACCACCCCAGAAGGCCAAACAACAGACGCCACCCTCCTCAACTCCCTCAACTTCGCCCCTCCCCCGCTTCCCAACCCGGACAGCCTCAGCGGTGGTAAGGGCGGTAACAACGCAACATGTCCGTCCGTCCGGCCGTCGAAACAGTGCTGCGAGTCGCTCGATGGCGTCGCGGACGATGTTACGGGCGAGTTGGGCAGTCTGGTACCGTGGCTTTCGGGCGTGGCGGTTTCGAGTGTGCTTGCTTTGGATTGTAAGTTTTCTTTTCTTTTCTTTTTTTTTTTTTTTGTTTTTGAGGATTGATTTTGGGGGGAGGGGATATTTACGGGGTGGTTAGGGATGCTTGAGGATGGGGAGATATGTGATATGATAGGATATCGGATACCAAGATGTGATGCTAATATGTGATTGTGATTGTGAACACAACAGGTACCGGAATGGATGACTCCGCGTCCACGGATGATTGTCTTCAGCAGGTGATGTGTTGTGAGGGGGCTCCTGGGGTATGTATATTTTTTCCTTTTTTTTCCCCCCCTTCTTTTCTTTTTGTTCATTCTCATTCGCAATCCCATCATCAATCTATTCATTCGGATATCCCATCCCACCCACAGCTCCAACCCAATACCAACACCATTACCAACAAGGGGGGAAAAAGAAGAAGAAGAAGAATGCAACTAACGTGAAAACAGAAATCAACCACCGTTGAAACCTTCAAAGGCAAGTGTCAGCCCTACGATGAAGCGCTCAAGGTCAAGGCGGATGAGGAGAAGGAGAAGAGTAAGAGTGCGGCTGCTGCAAGTGCGAGTGCAAGTGCGAGTGCGGGTGCGAGTGCCGTGCATGGCAGAGTGTCTGTGGCGGCTGCTACGCCTTCTTCCTCTTCTTCCGGTCGGGTTGGGAGGTTGTAAGTATTGCGATCATGGTAAGAAGGATGAAAGGATGAGGGGGGTTTGTTGGTGGATGTAGGAAGGAAGGACTGGTTGGTTCAGTTTGGGTTGGTTGGTTGATTTGGTTTGATGGTTTGATGTTTAATGGTGTTTGGTTTTGATGTGGTGTATAGTTACTTTTTGATATCTAATTGTGCTTGTGCTCGCTCATTGTAATCGTTCATTATTCAGTGCCAGATCAGGTCAGGTCAATATAAGTACAGTCTAATTCGCATCCATCAGTCACCGCCATCCACGGTCATTCCCGTACCCCCATCCTCTTCCCCCCTGAGGCGGTCCAGGCGGTCCAGGCGGTCCCCCGGAGTGAGGCGGAGGAAAATGGAACGACCCCGGCGGCATCTGCTGCGGGTACTGGCCCTGTCCGTACGGCGGCGGAAAGTGTGACGGGGCGGCGCATGGTGCCCTGATGGCGGCCCAAAGCCCGGCATCGGCGGAGGCGGCGGAGGCCACGTGCCCTGGTAGTTTGGCGGCGGAGGGGGAGGAGCTGGGGGCATTCCCGGGGGAAAGCCGGGTGGGACACCGCTACTCCCCGGGGGAAATGGGAGCGGTGGTGGTGGCGGAGGGTGATATCCTACTGGAGGCGGCGGGGGAGGGGCTGTATTTCCGTATGGAGGATTTTGTTGGTGGTGATGCTGGGTGGGGGGTAGTGGATGATGGTACTCTGCGGGAGGAGGGGGAGGAGGGACGGCTCGATGCGCCGGTGGACGGGGTGAATAGGATGCCGATCGTTCGCGAGGCTTGGATGAGGATCTCTTCCACGATGCGCTGCGTGATCGGGAATCATACCGGCCCGATCTCCGCGGCGATCGACTTCGTGATCGCGAGCCCTCGCTGTCGCTGTACCGTCTGCGCTTGAAGGAGCCGCGGCTGCGACTGCGACTGCGACTGCGACTGCGACTGCGACTATGCGAGTTCCGCTTGTTGTTTCTCTTTCGCATCTGCTGGCAGAACGACCGCGACCAGCCGTAGTACGTTTCGCCCTCGACCACCTCGCCATCCGCGTCCCGGATCACTATCTGGCCCAAGTCATCGATGTCAACGACCTCGTCATCCTCATGCTCCGGCTCTCCCTGCGGTCCATATATCCGATCCACATCTTTGAGAAACTTCTTCAGCGCCACGACCAGACTCTCATCCGCCGGTCCCGCCAGGAACTGCAACGGTTTGATCGAATCGGTCCGCAGCGGCACGGTCGAATCCGGAATGATATGCGGGACGAGATTCCCCGCGGGCAGGTCGAAAAACGGCGTCGAAGAGTCCCCGTGCGTAGCCGGCATGTTGTACGGAACATCCTTGCCGGAGGGACGTTGGGTCGCTCCCGAGCCCAAAAGCTGAACATTACTCTCCTCCACGCTCAGCGACGTCTTGACCGGCCCAGACACCGACGAGGTCTTCACCACCTCCCGCAGCTTGTTCACATAGTCGCTCCCATAATATCCATTCTCGTCCCAGATATCGAGCAGCTCGTCCAGCCGACGATGGTGTTTCGGGTGCTTCTCACGATCGTAGGACGCAGCGTAGCCCAGCAACTCGACGACGTGCGGCTGCAACGAGCCGCTCAGCGTAGGGAACGCGGCGCTCGTATTCATGTGGTATTTCGTATGGTGAAAGACATCGTTCAGCAGGTAGAGAATATGGAGACGTTTCCGCTTCCCCGACGGTCGCTGCTGATTCCCTCCCCCCCCATTATTGTCGGAGAATGACCCCGACAACGTCACTAGGTACTTCGCCCACCCGCCGACCCGGTTAGACGACGAGACGACGTACTCAAGGAGCCATGATTTGCAGGTCTACGCGGCGCGGAAAGAGACAAGTTTTAGTATTTCAGGGGTGCGAGAGGCAGGACGCGACGGTTCAAACCTGGACGTTGGCCGGGGAGCATTGCGACAGCACCCGGTCGAGGGAGGTGTGGAACGCCGTGATCTCGTCGCGCGGAACAGACGTCGGGTCCGGGCGCAGCAGGCCTGCTGAGAACGAGGCCTTTGCAATGGCCAGTTGATGGGACGCCATTGCGCGGGGTGATGGTACTGCTCCGTTCCTTGCTGGCGGTGCAGTCGGACGGGAGGAGATGAGGCAAGCAAGATGAGGCGGAGCTGGAGATCGGAGATTGGGGGCCCAGCCGCCGGCATCGCACGTGATCTGGCCCGCCCTATATGGATGGCATAGTACTAGGCTGTGGTTTCTTTCCGATTTTCTCTAATGCTTGTTTGGGAAATTGGGTGATCATTGATGGTAAGCCGGATTGGGTTCAGTCTGCAGCTTGGATTCCAGCATTGCTGACAGCCACCCGGAAAGGAAGTCTATCTAGTTGCGTCTGCAAAACTCAGCCATGTCGTACTATGAGATTCGCGGATGGCTGGTACCTGGTGCTGTAGCTAGTAACAATATCTCTGCTGTGGTTTGCTCGGCAGATGCACGCATGCAGCCTCAGCACCCCGCCCGCGCGATAGAGCAGATTCCAGGTACCAACCAGCCAGATCGCCCAGAATCTGACAGTCAATGTAGACAACCAGGAAATTGAGTGAGTGCCTTTGATGGTGTACTACGCTTCTTAACATCCATAGGCCTATAGGAAATCGTACAGAGCTAGCACATCATCGTAAAAGTAATGTCTCTTTCCACACAACTACATCTACATTATATACATCAAATAACTCGTAATTCAGAAAGCCACCTTCCAACCTCAAATTGTAGACTCGCATGTCCGTTCGCCGCGAAATTGTCAAATCAATACATGCCAGTCCACTAATCTATTTGCAATGGTAAAAAAAAGAATTGGTACGGTTCCGCCGCATGATTAACACGGCGAATAAGAATGAAACATCATAACATGTACAGAGTCTGGTATAGGTATTAAGGCAGTTATCAGTACCTCGTATCTTCTGGTAAAGGGACAACTTAGATCCGGCCGTGGTTTCTGTAGCCGCGAGCGTGGTTGTGCACGCTGTAGGTGGCGGAGGAGCTGGGGGTGACCTGGCTCGAGCAGGAGTCCTTCGTCGTGGTCTCCGCGTGGGAGGTGGCAGTCACGGAGGTGCTGCTCTTGGCCTTGCTGGACGCCGACGCCGACGCCGACGCGGAGTGAGAGTGAGAGTGGCTGGAAGAGTGGGCAGTGGCGCTCGCAGAGGCGCTGCTGGGGTGGGACTTGGTCGAGCTGGAGCTGGTCTTCGACTCGGTCGAGGTGGACTTGGTGTCGGTTGACTTGGTATCGGTAGTCTTGGTATCAGTGGTCTTGTCCGTGGAGGTGGATTTGCTCTCGGTGGTAGAGGTCTTCTCGGATGTGGTCGTTTTGGTTGTGATACTACCGAAGCCGAAGCAGGTTGACGACATCGACTTGGTGAGGGACTTTAAAAGGTCAGATTGCTGGAGCGGATGATCGTTTGAAAATGCCAACTTACTGCAATGGTCACGTCGGCGATCGGGTTCGCCTGGTCGCTCTCCTTCGCCACATCGGCATCGAGGGTGAGCCCAGCGGAGGGCTGCACTCCGATAGCGTAGTGGTAGTCCTTGTTCTCCTTCTCGCAGACGCTGCTGGTGGCTACATGATATCAGCAGATGATACACGCAAAAGTCTAGGTTCACTTACAAGCTTCGATGGAGAAGTCGGCTCCGACGTAAGGCTTGAGGTAGATCCCTGCCTCATATCCCCACTCTATTTCGAGTCAGCAGCGCTACCGAGGCTCAGGAGAGTTAGACTTACTGAGAATCGAGAGGGACAGCTCGAGGGATGCCTTCAGGTAAACCTCAACAGTGGCATCAATCTCGGCATCGAGCGTGACACCGGTGGTGGTTACAGTCGGGCTCCAGCCGGAGGCTGTGGCCTTCTCGGCCACGATATCAAGCTCAGCCGTGGCATCGTTGGAAATGTCGAAAGAAAGGCCGTAACCGATGGTAGCGTCGCCGTTAACGGGACCAGCGCTGGCACCCACCGCGAACACAAGGGAAGGGCCGATGTCAAGAAGATCCTTGATGCTGACCCCGTCAAGGGGAATCGAGACAAGCTCGGCCTCTTTCGAATAGGACTTGGTCAAGTTTCCGCTCAGATCCAGTGTCGGGGTGATGTCCATAGAGACGTCCTTGGGAGTGATCTTGAAGTTGGCAGTCCCAAGTTTCTTGTCACTCGAGAAAAGGTCGGACCAAGAGATGTCCACCTTGTAGGTGAACACGAAGTCGAACGACCCCTTGGTCTCGCAGTCTTTGCATTCGACGCTCAGGTCGAGACTATCTTCCGAAAGCACCTTCACTGACGTGCTGGGCAAAGAGTGATCGAAGCTAATAGTTTTGCTCTCAGTGCCTCGCTTAGTGATGGAAATTTCCATGTCGCTTGGGGCTGGGCCAAGTGTGAGCTCGAAAGCGCCCAAGACACTATCCCAGGTGGATGCGTTGCCGGTTAGTCTTGCCGCAGTAGTATCGTCACGGAAGCTGGCGGCCGAAATGATGAAAGGAAGACGATCGGTGTTCCATCCACACTGGCCAGCACCGGCCACGACGACAAAAGTGCGGTTATTGGCGCCATTAACCCAAGACCATGAGCTCTTCGCATAAGAGTATGCGTCGGAGTCCGAGAATCCAAGGGTCATGCTCGAGTTGGTACATGTAACGTTCGTGAGTAAATCAGTGAAATACTCCATCGCAAGAAGGCTCTCGTTGTCGCCAGACTTGTCGACAGTAAGGTTGCCCAGGGTATATCCACTGCCGCTGCTGGCTGTTTCATATGGGTTAGCTTTCCATTTCGCCCAGACTAGTTGCTGTTACTCACCACCCCAGTAGAACGAGTGGCTGCTCTGAAGATCGATGGAGGAGTAATCTGAAGTTGTACTCTCGGCAGCGGACCCTGCAATCTTCACCTGAGTCGTCGTGCTTGATGCATACGGGTTGATGGCTTCTAGGTCCAGAGAAAGACCCTGCTGGACAAAAAGGGAGGCCAAAAGGCCGGTGGCCACTCCACGTTGGAGAAGATTAACCATGTTGGCTGGTAGCTTAGTCGTATAAGATAAAGAAGGTATTTAGTTGGGCCGAAGTAATGAGTGACTGCCCTTGCAACAGGACGAAAAGAGTGACTGTCCGTGTGGACACAAAAGAACGACGGAAAGAAAAGTCAAGGTCCCTGTGGTCTGCTCATCTCAGTCGATGCCTCCAGCCTTTTTAAACTGGATGGATTGCTGGCCCCCAAACCAACAAGTTCCGCGTGTTTTTAAAACTCCAGCCAGTCAACTTCATCTAGATTCTCGCACTGCCACCCGTAGCGAGTCAATCCCTAAGGAAAATCTCGAGGTTGCATCGTTCAGGGGCGGAGTAGACCGAAGTCCAACGCACGGAAGCCTCTCGTGTTCTAAAGTGAGATTGGGGGCGGTTGCGCAGGATGATCGTCCTGCTAAGTCGCATAGCTATGGTCCCCCAAGCGCGCTTCAACGGAAGACTTTCCCGATCGGCAGTGTTCTTGAATTGTTCCTTCGTATCGGCATCAAACAGATCCATCAGGGCGTTGTGCTTAGCCATCGTCAGAGCGTTTGTAGACGCAAAAGTCCAGGACATCCGCGACACAAAAGGAGACGAGACAGCTGCTCCAATCCTAGTCAGGGCACTGTTTCAGAAAGCTGTCAGCGAGGAACCATGGGCAGAAGATGGAGAACCAACGCGTTCCGGCATTCTAATGGGGCATCAGGGGACCAGGCTTTACAACGGGGCGCCCTTGTCGCTTTCGCCCCCACGACCAGTGCCCACTTCTTTCGGCTGTCTCTGTCCATCTTGCCCAAACAGTCAACCAGGTAGACTGGCATTTATTCTTTACTGCCCCAAATGTCAGGTAGAGCTCGGCCAGAGCAGCGCAATCGTTGGAGAGAGACCTGATATGATTCAAAACATGCATCCAGGTTCGGTTGTTCCGAGTCAGGACGTTGATAGCCTGCGGCTGAGTGTCAAGCCAAGCCAGCCTTGTGCCCAGTGCTTACTCCAAGCAATCTCGGCAGGACCGCGGTTCCACAGCTGGAGGCCACCGTCGCTGTGTACGACGACTGATAGCCCGGCATTGTTGTTGTAGTACATTAAGTCTATCCCAGCATTGTTAACGCCCAACTTTCTTTTTCTCGTCGAGCCGTTTCCTCGGGGCCAAAGACAGGTCATATTATGAAAACATGATACTCGAATACAGTTAGCCATGAAATCCAGCAGAAAGGCATAGGTGGTGCACCATTGATTAAATCCCGGGGCAGCTCGGGGTGGAAATGGTCCCTCGGGGGGCAGGAGGGCCAAAATCAACCAGTGTTTGACGATCGGGGGGCCAAAACCGGGGTAGGCGAAAGGGAGCACTTCAGCCTCATCGTCTAAACTCATGGAGGATAGCTTGGAATATCGTGACAATAAAGTACCCACTTGGCGTTCGTATACGCAGCTATTAGAATTCGAGAGGAGGGAGGGAGAGGGATGGGAGGAGGAGGAGCACAGCCCGGGGAACTTTGCGGCGTAAGGCGTACTTCTATCTAGTCGTGCTCCGCCACTCCGCAATCAATCGAAGGGTCCTGGCTGTCCCCACTTGCATTCGGCCCAAATGAGCCGTCGGCATCAGTTCTTCATGGACTGCATATTCTTACTTCGGTGTACTAATAATCTACCGCCGTGTATCTGAGTATGCAGATTGGGAGTGGAGCTTTATACTCCGTACCTTGACCCAGGATTGTTGATAGCGCTTACCAACTACCGAGTCTGACTTCCCCGAGTTTCAGCCCATTTTCCTGCCGACATATATCTCGAAGAGCTGCTCGATGGTAAGATTGGATTGCAGTCGTCGAAGGATATTTATCCTTATTCCTATTTTTATTTTCTCAAAGAACCCCCAGAGTCTGCTCCTCATCGATGGACATCTCCGTCACTTCATAACATAACCATACTTACTAGCTTAAACTCGGGGCCATGCAAATATATATCCTCTAGCTTTGTGAAACAGTGGGATGCCTGGAGGTTGTGGAGGGATCCTGTCCAGGCCATCTGATGACCAGAATAAGCACTGCAGCATTTCTGGTGTAACGACTACCCTGCAAGTATGTTGTGCAGAGTAAAAGGGTCCTGTGAGACAATGTACAGGAGCTCTCCTTGATTCGAAGCTTAAGCTTATAACCACTCAGGATGGCCCTAGGCGATGGGGTTTGCTACTGTGTTATGTTTGTCCCTGAACATTGGCCCTGATGCTGTGTATCTGCAATTCCTGCAATTCTTCCTTATCGGTCTTCGCTGAGCGGCATAAGAGACGCAGAAGAGAATACCTCTGCACTCCCACTTGCCCTTTCTTTGTTTTGCCTTTGTTTTGGCGACGAGTCAAGGGGGCCTTTGGTGCCTTAGGTAAAAATGGGCGCACATCAGGGGTGCCTGACTAAGGACTGAGTCAGTCAGAGGGTGGGCGGTCACGACGACAGTGACGTCAGCGGGGTTTGGCGGCCTTCGAAGCTGGACTGGACTGGACTGGAGGGGTGGAGGGTGGACGGGTGGCATGATCTCTACAGTAGTCTCACGGCTACAGGCAGCGGGTGTCGACTCCTCCCCTTTTAATCTCCCGCTGCAATGGCCATTCAATTGATTGCTCTGGCTTTTGCCGTGGTGGTTGATCCGACGATCCATTACATGTACCTTCTTGCAACGCGTTGTCTACCCCTCCCTGTGCGCCACCCATCCGGGCTCTACTCGCCATGATCAACCCGATGGGCACGACGAACAAACACACCGCCAGCCCGGAAGCTCGACTCCCGCCATCAGCCAAGAGGGTGACGAGACCTTAAGTGCTACGGGCCGGGACCGTGTCACCGCGGAGGGACTCGAACCGCGCCTTCAGCCCTCAACCGCCAACCCTCAACCGCAACCCAGCGAGTGAGCAGCAACTACCGCGATCTCCGCCCGCGTGCCTGGCCGGGCCATCGTTGGGCCCCGCCGACTGTTCGGCCGCCGGGAATCACGATCAGCTGCCCCTCGATGGCGTGAGTAACGGTGAGTCAGGCCTCGACACTCCCGGCCTGGATCCGGGTCACGAATGCCCGATTTGTCGGCGAGTCTAGTGAGTGACCTGTGGAAATGGGGGAAATAGGCGAAAGGGAATGGAATGTGTATCCCATCTACTGATCACTATCGCTGTACATCATGTAGATACCTAGTAGTACCTAGTTTCTGGCCTCGAACTGCCTGCCTGGCCGGCCTGCAAGCCGATCTGTTTCGGACGCCGCATTCCTTCCTGGACCGTTTTCCCGCGCGCTTTTCTTTATCCCTTAAGGTTTTCTTTTCCCAGGTGTCATCATCACCGGCATTAGCACCATAGCAGCATGGGCCGGTGGGCCTCTCTGGACCCCCGCAGCCATTAACCCCCCCCCCACAGGGTAACACGGTCCGTTCGGCTCAGGTGTAGGCTGATCCTCCTCCTGGCCTCAATTCGATGGAGTATACCTCCCTGGTTGGACCGTATAAGTATCTCCGTATTGCCGCGCGGTATCTGCAATTTGATGTCGAGTCTCAAAAATAAATCAATCTGAATCCAAAGTTCCATCGCAAAAGAAAGCCATTCCCCCCTTTCATTGTCCCTGACTGAAAAGGCGCTGCGCTCTCCTCCAGCACTCTCCTGCTTCTCCTGCAGGCTCTTACCCACCCAACCGGTCGGATACCACCACCATCACCAAAAGCAGTTGCTGCAAGAATCTCCCCCACCTCCCCACCATCACCATGTCTGCCGCCCTTCAACTCGTTCGCCCAACCATCCGCCACTTTTCGGTGCGCCGTCCTCAACCCGACTCTCGCACCTCGCGCTTCATCGCCAGCTCCTGTCTCTTTTCTGCCGTGGTGCTCCCATTCGTGCCCCCGGCTCTTGAGAGCTCTCGCGAGAAGCACAATGGCTACCCCAACCACAACAAGTAAGTTCGTTCTCTCCCAATAATTTCCAACCAACCCAACAAGCCCCCCCCGCCAGTCGAACCCCCCGCTAACAATGCAAGCTACAGACCGCACCCCCGCTTTGCTTCCATGCCCGCTAAGCCGCCTAAATCCGACCGGATACCTAAATCCGACCAAACATTACGAGTACTATCGGAGCAGGGTCATTCCCCAACCAACGACCCTTCCCGTTAACGAATTGCTTTTTTGATCAAGTTTCGAGTTACTTTTTTTCTTTATTGTTTACTTCATGCGGGCGTATCGGTGCCGGGCAATACATACATACTACTACTCACGCGACATTCCGGGGATTCGCAGAGGATGAGGATAGGGTGCATATCATTCCGAGTGGGCGGGAGTACTTTGGCGTTGCGAGATTAGCTTTTTTTTTTTTCTTTTCCTTTGCTTTTTCTTTGGCTGAGGGTTTCATCACATGCATATCACACTTACTAGCCCCCTTGGACTGTGAAGAGTCTCATGATTGATTGATTGATTGGGGTTGGCGATCTGGACTGGTGCCGGGTCACACCACACCACAGCAATCAAGCCCTGGGGATTGGTCGGGGCTTGAAGAAGCGGGAACTACTACCTACATCTATCGACAGTTGGTTGGTTTGGGCTGTTTCATCGCTTTAGGAGAACAGCATCAATTAATGCTATCATCATTAAGAGAATTGTCCCTGCATAGGTCCAGCCCGAGTGGGCCTAGACCATCTTACCATTAACCAAATCGGTAACCTAAGCAGTAGCTAGATAGGTAGTAGTACATGTAGTAGGTACTTCTCGCAACCCCGGGTTTTTTATAAATAGGTACGTACTCCTGCAGGGCCAACCCCGCAGACCACACAGATTTCAAGCATTAAGGCGATAAATAAAAGACCCGCAGCTCAGAAAATATGGTACACGAATATGCCACAATCTAGCCCTTTTTTGTCACCGCCTAAACCTCATCCTACCTATGCAGTGTACACTGACGCACATACATTTCATCTTCAAAGGCGATTGCCCGGGGGAGGTCGGAAGGGCTGCGTGGACTCGTACTTGCTCTTTTCCAACACGCGCTCGGCTTCGGTCTCGGGTTCGTGACGGGTGGGCGCGGGATCGTGGCTGGCCTCAGCGCTCGGCGAGGCCACATCGTCTGTCGCGCTGTGGAGACGCGCGATGTTCGCGCGCTTCAGGCTCGGGTCTTCGGATGGGGTCGGAGTTGAGGGCGTGTTGAGACGGCGGTGTTCGGCTTCCATCGCAGCCAGCTGCGCCTTGCGCTTCACCTCCGCTTCGAACCTGCTGGCCCGGTCGGCATTGATGGACTTCTTAGCGAAGTAGTAGGCTCCGCCGCCGGCTGGGTCGTTGTTAACTGTGTGATGCTGAGTGAGTTGGGTTGCGTTGTATCCTCTTACCGACGCAGAGAGTACCCCAGCCTATCCTGTTGACCCGGTCGGACTCCTGTTAGCATTGTGTTCCCGGGGTGTATGGGGTGGTCGTAAGTATTGCTCACCAGGTTGATCGAATCTATGGCATTTGAAAGTGAGGTTAGCATGGTATAGAGCTGAAGTATTTGAGAGGGGTCGTACCGTGTTCATTGTGAATATTGCTCGGCCTCAAGATCAATGTCAACAGAGGTCTAGGAATTATCGCCGGCCGGCCGGCCGAGTGCGAGAGCTAAGATGCTAGACGGACTACGTCAGCCGCCCGCTCTGCTCTAGTGTGACACCCGGCCAATCACGGCCCAGCCCTGCTCGCCGGCGCCACTCGCTTGGTCGCCTCAGGCCGCCGACCTTCTTCCCGAGCCTCATCGCATGCTCTCATCTTCACTCCATCCTCCCTTCTTTGCTATCCCTCCCCATCCCTGTCGACTGCAGGTTTCTCGTCAACCGTTGAACTCGTCCCTACAGCTGAAAAGTCTTGCTTACTGCTTACTGCTCGCGGGAATCGCATCCCACCCGCTCACCGAGGCGCCGGTAGCCTGTCGGAGCGTCCGCATATATTCTTTCAACATCTCGCACTTCCTTCAACGCAATAGACGATAGACTTCACCCGGGGGACATATCGGAGGACTATAAACCATGCCTATCAAACGCAAGGCTACAGACAGTATGGATCTCCATGCTTGGGGCTAGTCAGATGGCAGGCTGACCTTAACCAGGCGGTCGGTCCAGTAGAGCGTCGAAACGGGCAACTCCTGTGCCGGATGTCCAGGAGGTCGGTAGTAGCGATGAATACTCAGACTACGAGGAAGACGCGAAGGCGGACAATCTGAAAGGTAGCGTAGAATGGATTTCTGAATGGCAAGGGTTCCCTCCATCAGGTTGCTGACTTCTTTGCTCTTGAAAGATGTCGTGGAGAAATTCTCCCTCAAGAAAAGCACCACCGTACCAAAGCAAGACCCCAACTTCGGATACAAGGATTTCTCCTCGCTGTCGCTGAAACCGGACCATGCGAACCGCCCGCTTTGGATCGATCCCCTCAAAGGCACCATCACCCTCGAGAGTTTCTCCCCGCTCGCGCCCCAGGCGCAGGACTTCCTGACTACCATCGCCGAACCGCTGTCGCGCCCGACTCATCTTCATGAATACCGGTTGACCGGAAACAGCTTGTACGCTGCTGTGTCGGTGGGTCTGCAGCCGCAGGATATCATCAACTTCTTGGATCGGTTGTCGAAAACGCCGCTTCCCGAGGCTATCAAGACTTTCATCATCGAGTTCACGAAATCATACGGGAAGATCAAGGTCGTGCTGAAACATAACCGCTTCTTTGTGGAAAGTACCGATCCCGCGATGTTGCAGATGCTGCTTCAGGATGAGGTTATAGGGTCGCAGAGACTGATGGGTACGGAAGGGATCACCCAGCAGGCAGCCCCGAAAATGGGCGGCCTGGTCATTCCAGGTACGAAAGATGCTGCGGGTGTGAGACAGACGGCGGAGCAGAAGATGGCGGAAGATGCCGCAGGGGAGGCCCGCAAGGAGGATGATATTCTGTTAGCTATCCGTGACGATGACGACGATGAGGAACAGGCTCAAGTGCACAGCTTTGAGATTCCGAATGAAGCCGTCGAGCCGGTTAAGGCGCGCTGTCAGGCGATGGGTTGTCCAGCGTTGGAGGAGTATGATTTCCGAAACGATGAAATTAACCCCACACTAGACATTGATCTGAAGCCGAATGCTCGGATTCGAAGCTACCAGGAAAAGAGCTTGAGTAAGATGTTTGGTAACGGACGTGCAAAGAGTGGAATCATTGTCTTGCCCTGCGGTGCTGGAAAAACTTTGGTGGGCATCACAGCAGGGTGCACGATCAAGAAGGGGACGATCATCCTCTGCACCAGCTCGATGTCCGTGGTGCAATGGAGAAATGAGTTCTTGCGTTGGTCTAACATCGATCCGGGTGACATTGCCGTTTTCACATCAGACAACAAGGAGAAGTTCCGTCGATCGACCGGTATCATTGTGTCCACATATTCCATGGTCTCCCAGACACGCGCTCGGTCCCATGACGCGCAGAAAATGATGGATTGGATCCAATCGCGCGAATGGGGTCTGATGATTCTCGACGAGGTGCACGTCGTGCCGGCGTCCATGTTCCGAAAGGTCACTTCAGCCATCGCCTGTCAGAGCAAACTCGGTCTGACCGCTACCTTGCTGCGAGAAGACGACAAGATCAAGGATTTGAACTTCCTGATTGGCCCCAAGTTGTATGAGGCTAACTGGATGGAACTTGCCGAGCAAGGGCACATCGCGAAGGTGCAATGTGCCGAGGTGTGGTGTCCGATGACGACCGAGTTCTACTCCGAATACATGCGAGAAAAGTCCCGAAAGGCCGCTCTCCTATACATCATGAACCCTCGCAAATTCCAGGCTTGTCAGTTCCTGATCGACTACCACGAGAAGCGTGGCGACAAGGTCATCGTGTTTTCCGACAACGTCTACGCTCTCGAGCGGTACGCCCTGAAGCTGAACAAAGCGTACATCTACGGAGGCACTCCCCAGAACGAGCGCATGCGTATTCTGGAGAACTTCCAACACAACGAGCAAGTCAACACCATCTTCCTCTCGAAAATCGGTGACACATCTCTCGACCTTCCCGAAGCAACCTGTCTGATCCAGATCTCGTCCCACTACGGATCTCGCCGCCAGGAAGCCCAACGACTGGGCCGGATTCTGCGAGCCAAGCGTCGTAACGACGAGGGCTTCAACGCCTTCTTCTACTCCCTCGTGTCGAAGGACACCGACGAGATGTTCTACTCCTCCAAGCGGCAGGCCTTCCTAGTCGACCAAGGCTACGCCTTTAAAGTCATCACCCACCTCCAAGGCATCGAGAACCTCGACGGTCTCGCCTACGCCACTCCCAGCGAACGCCGCGAGCTCCTCCAGGAAGTCATGCTGCAGAACGAGACATCGGCGGAGGTGGAAAACGTCGTAGACGACCTCTTCTCCGACCGCTCCGGCGGCAACAGGGCCCGCAAGGGCGCCGTCAAGCGCAGCGCAGCCACCCTCAGCGGTCTGGCCGGTGGCGAGGACATGGCGTACATCGAATACAACCGCAGTCGCAACAAAACGCTCAAGGACAAGGCGGGCCATCACCCACTGTTCAAGAAGATGGAGCGCGAGCGTCTGAAGAGGAAGAAGGAGCTGGAGGATTTTATGCGCTAATCTGTCTGTCTATCTACTTACTTATCTTCTAGACTGAACACAGACTGTCAAGCACTCACTCAGGCTTGGGTTTTCGGCTATGAATTGTTTGATACCTGGGACATGCGGAGGTACTATAGAATGCTGATAACCAGGTAGTAACTAACAACATACGGCATGCGTCCATAATTGTAAAAGAACTAATGTATTTATCTATCTTTCTATGATGATTCAATCTACTTGACCTCCTGGCATATCTTAAAAAAGCCCATATGCACACTAAATGCTCTGCTCTACAGAATGCTTAGCTTACACTCCAGCCATCCAGCCAGCCAGCCTGCCAGCCTTTCTCTTTCCGCTCTAGTGCTCACCACCACCCTTCGCTGCAAATGCTTACATTTCTTATCTCTGCGGGGCATGTCCATCCATCCATCCATCCATCCATCCACCCTTACCAGGCCACTGCTACTTACCAACCTACCAAACTTCCCAAAGCCAAGCTTCCCTGAGTCGAGTCGAGTCAAGTCTACCGTCTACCACCCATCCACAACCACAACCACAACCATGACCCCCAACCGCAACCACAACCCTCCCCCACTTCCTACATAATAATCATCTCCGGCACCCACGTCACCGGCAAAGACACCATCGCCACCTCCCTCTCCCAAGCCCTACACTGCCCCTACCTCAAAGGCGAATACTCCTTCAACTCCGCCTCCTCCATCGCCCGCTCCCGCGAAAAACACGGCTATGATCGCTTCACCGTCTTCGGGCAGACCTGGCTACGCAAGATGAATCGCGGAGGTCTTTGGGATGCGTATGCCAATACCAATACCAATACCATCACAAGCAATTTCAGCAGCCGCAGCAGGGGTGGCAGTAGCAGCGCCAGCAGCGCCGGCAGCGCCAGCAATTCCTCTAGCGCCAGCGATAGCGATAGCGATAGTGGCCCTGTCCCCATCCCCACTCCCAGCATCCCCAGCAGTGTCAGTTCCAGCGCCAGCGCCAACCCCCGCCCCAAAAACAGCTCCATAAAAGCAATAATAACCGCCGGCGCGATGCGCAAGCCCAGCCGCGACGCCATCCGGGCCATCATGCTCGCGCAGCCGGAGGCCGTGGGGGTGATTTTCGTGGTGTTGCAGATCGGAAGGGAGACGTTGGTGGGGAGGACGGTTGGGGCGGAGAATCCCGAGCTGGAGATGCGGATTATTGAGGAGAAGGTGGAGGATATCAGGGTGCCGTTGGCGGAGGAGCAGGATACGTTGGTGGTGGATGCGTTGCAGGATGTGGATTCGTTGGGGGACGAGATTAGGGGGTTGGTGGGGAGGTTTTGTGGGTATGATTAGAGGAGGGAGTGGTGATGTGGATGGATTAGGGGGGAAGGGTTGTGATAGTATAGACGTTTGTATTTGGTATAGTTGTCTGCCTAGTATATTCCCCTCTGGTTTACATCTCCAGTTATATGATAGTAATCCGGTGACTATTTTTCATACTATTATTTGGATTGACATTGATCCCTATCCTACTTATTGTATTTACAGGTGCTCACAATATCTATCTCAGGCAGAAATTACTGACATTATCCCAAGATCCATCAATCAACTGTTTATTGCATCAGGGTGCCAGTCGCGAGTCCGTAGTATGCCGTATGCTGTAGTAGCTTGCATTCACGGACAAATACTGTTCACTGTGCCTTGCTAATATTAGTAAGATGACGGGATGCTGTGCGCGGGCTGGGATTCAGAGACAAGATATCCCAACTGGAAGCTGGTGTTAGTAAGTTATTGCAAGCTTGGACAGGTGCTTGCTTACTGAAGTGTCTGAGCTTGGTCTGAAGTGCCTGCCGCCTGCACGCTGGCCTGAGAGGCTTGAGTGGCTTGTGCTGCGTGGGTCCATTGATTGCCATTTACTCAGGTGCTTGAGTGGAGTATAAGCGGAGGATGAATCGCAGCACCGACTTCAGCTCTCCTTCAAGCCTGGGCTTCATCTTCATCCTCATCCTCATCATCCTCCTCCTCTTCATCGCCCTCTTCATCGTCTTCATCCTCCCATCCTCCATCTTCTTCGCCATCATGGAAATCTGTAACCACAACTTCCATGTCATTCTCCGCCTCCTCCTCGAACTCGTCTCCAAGCAGACTAACCAACTGCAACAGTCCTGCCGGCGAGATCTCATCCGGGGGCGGGTTCCGCTGACCGGGATCCCACAGCCCTCCACCAGTCGCCCTCTGATCCTGAGATACGTGGACGTCGGAGCTCGAGCCAGACTTGAGTGACAGCGTCGGAGCCAGGCTGACGATGCGAATGACTTTAGTCGGGAAGATGCGCGCGGGCCGTTCGTGGTGTGGGAGTACATTTTCGGGCTGCGCCTGACGCCAACCGAGGGTCTGCGTTCTCTCATGTTAGCATTGTGGTTCGGATTCGGTCTAACTTTGGTGCTAGGGTGTGCAACATACGGTGTACGAAGTCATAATCGTATCGTCATACAACGCCATAAAGCTGACCGGCACAGCGAGTTGCGGCATGGAGCTAGTGAGCAGCGAGAAAGAAGCACGGGCTGGATTATCGACATCTTGGATCTTGTTGTCTTCATCGAGTGCAACGACATAAATTCGGTCATGGATCTCGAACATCAGACGGTGGTTGCGCACCGACAACCAGCCGCCCAGGTCAAAGCTCGACCCATCCGACTCGCATTCGATGAGGGAGCTATTCGCTGCGAGATTAGCGTCGCCTTCAAGGGCTTTGCGCCAGTCGGAGCACACAAAGACACGTCCGGCGCGGGAGAAGCCGGCGAAGAGATCACCGTGTATCATGCCCGCTCCCCACTCGTCCTCGCCGTGGCGGACGTGCTCAAGGTCGCTCGGTTCCGGGAGGGGCCCTCTGGCGAGCTCAATTGGCACCATACTGTCTTTTCGACGGTCCCCTAGCCGATAATTTGGACCAGCTCGCACAGCTCCTGCTAGTGCCTGGCTTGCGGAAGGGGAGGCGGCGACTGGTGGATTGATGTGATACTTGTCCGTGCAATTCGACGGATGCAACACACCCAAAAATGCACCAGATGTCTTGTCGTAGACATGATATCCGTGAGCTCCCATAGAGTAGATCACTGCATCCTTACTTTGGTCCAGATGACCGACAGCGCCTTGCTCGATCTTCAGGTGTGTGGTCAAAGTGGGAGGCCGCTGTGTCATATCATAAACAAAACCCTGCCCCTGGCTTGACACAACGCAAAGCGTCCAGTGAGACAACTGAAAGCCTCTCGTCTGGCAATCGTGATTCAAAACCGCTATGCGCCGGAACTCCCCACGCGCAGCACCTTCCTGGTCCGTTTGCCAGACCTCGACCGCATCCCCCTCACGATCGAACACGGCCATTCCATCCTGATACTCCAGATGCGCATATGGGCGGACCGCATCCCCGTCACCATTATCCAGGGTGGAGGGGAGTTTCCATAGGAGCTTGCCCGTGTCCATATCAGTGACATTAAACCCACCAGCGTGGGAAGTGGATAGAAACAATCGGCGTTTGAAATCGGCGCGGAACCGCCAGATGGGGTCGTTGCCAACTTGCAACACGCACTCCCGGGTAATTGGACGCGACTCGGCCCAGTTGCGGGCGAGCAGCGTCTGGCGTTTACACAGATCCTTCCATGATGAAGTCCCGTCGAAGAATTTGGTGAAGCAAGTGCTATCGGACAGGAATGAGAAGTCGCGGGAGCCTCCGGGCGGTTGGGTGGTTTTGGATTCGGACGTGTAGATGGCGTCTTGATGTGTGACGTCGATGAATCTATGCCAGGCCTTGGAGACCACGGTCAGGTTTGCGAGGGCGGAGATGGGGGTGAACTCCAGGACGCGCAGGACAATCTCTGGGGGGAGAGCAGAGAGAGGATCTGCAGCGTACGAGGTAGTCGTCATCTTGAAGAAGAACGATCTGTTGTTGAGGAGAAGGAGTTGAAGAAGTTGGAAGAGTCGTGGGGGGTTGCCAGCATGATGATTCTGCCTGGCTGTCGGCCCTCACCGCCCTTGATTCGCCGAGGCATCCCCACTGCATGTCCATTTCCACTCCGGGCTGCCCCTCTCTCTCTCTCTCTCTCTTTTCCTCTCTCTGTCTGTCTCTCGTCTTGTGTGCTTCCTTGTTCGGGTGGTTTAATGTCCGCTATCCCAGCCAACGATGTGATTCTTCAAAGGCATGATCCAGACCCATTGTTACTTCCGGCTATCCAGATCCGGATTGGCCAACCTTTAATCTATTGTTGATTAAACTTCGTCAGCTCGAGTTCTGGCATCGGTAGCTTCCGCCTTCCAAACACCAACCTCCGGCCGCATCTATAAGCATCCGGGTCGAGATCCTTGGCCCGATTATTAATTCATAACATCTGAAGGCATGGGATAGCCTTCCCGAGACCACACCAGACCCTACGAGACAGTCAGCCAGGCACCCGAAGGAATCATTCGATCGCTAATTGGCCCCGCGCGTAGCCACCCGGAGTCAGTATGACGTCGATTCTGTGTTTCCCGGTGACCGCGAGACCCGAAGCACCGACTATAATGGCACCCGGTGCTTCCCCGCAAACTACCCATGGGCGATACATTGGCTGCAACGTTGTACAATAATGACCAATTCGTTGGAATTATTTCCGACGGACCTACTAATATATGAAGTCCCCGGCTGCAGTTGCTCGGTGGACGGAGTCCTGCCGCATGACCACGCCCTTGACAAGACGTAGCAGTTTGTTGACCTGCCAAAGTCCATTTCCTCTCGAGAGACCGTGGTTCTCATTGGCTTCTGCCCAGTCTGATCGTTCTGTCACTTTAGCTAGGCCCACTACACTCCATCCAGAGTATCGACAGATAACAACGATGGCCACGGCAAAGAAGGTCCGTCTTTCAGTCGCGGATTCGGGTGTCTTCTCGCACGGGATCAGAGAGGACACCGCTCGGACGGCGAGTGACCTTCTCCAGGAGGACATGGAAAAGCACCATGTGTTCTTCAATGACTCGGGATTTCATAGTAGGCTATCGGTGTTCAGTGTGCTATCCCAGCTTAACCAACTGCCACAGATCACATTCCCCACCTTATCCTAAGTATGTATGCTCTCGGAGCTTCGCCGGACGAGATAAAAGCCGCCTATGCGAGTAACAAAAGCTACCAGCGCCCAGCACTTCCGGTAGACAACGCGGTGGTTCGATCTCTACACGATAAGGAACACTTCGGGAAGTGTCTTGGAAGAGAGAAACACTATAGTAATTTCCTCGCATTCTTCCAGCAGGAGATTGATGAGAAAGGCGTGGAAAAGGTTCTTAATGAGCATCTCTTCTCCGGGGATGAGATCGCAGAGGATATGCTGGAGAGGATGTTTGGGGGTATGTGATGTTTGATTCTGGGGGACTTTGGGCTTTCCGGAGGGCGTGCTGATTGTCTCTAGGCCTTATTCACCCATTCATACACTCCGGCTTTGGAATTGAGTTCAATCAACCCGCCATCGTTGCTGAAGGTCTCGCGCAGACGGCTGTCCATGAGAATTGGATAGGTCCGTTGTTCTTCCGGCCGGTTGAGAAGGCAGCGGGGGGTATAGGTAACCCAGGGAAGAAGTCAATGCTGCAGATTCTGGAGGAGATCCGTGCGGATAAAAAATTGACGGGCTCGTCGCGTTGGGACGATAGCACTAGGATGAAGAACGGAGTGCTTAAGAGAGCGCCCGATGAGATGATGAAATACGCAGCGGAATTTACCGTATCTGCTGATCAGGTGCAGGAGAAAATTGCCGAGATCATCAATACAGTGGGTAAGTTGTTCCCGAGTGGATTGATTGGCGGTGTTTGGTATTAACCCCGAGGCTTAGCATACTATACCAGTGCTGCTCAACGCCCGGACAAGCAGATCAAGTTCGATTTCTTCTTCATCCATGGTGTCAACTCGTCTATCTTTCTCTCGAAGATCGCCTCGCTCCCGTTTGTAGAGGAGCATGTCAAGTTGCGACTCCTGGAATGGACAGGCCGGGTAGATCTGATGCTCTACGTGGCCTACGGTGCGCCGAATCTCCATCTCGATGAGATCACCAGTTATACGGCGTCGAGGAGCTGGGAGTCGATCTTCGCATACAGCACCGCTCAATCGGGAGACGATGGACACCTGCCCAAGCTGGTGCGCGCGTTGAAGAATGGCGAGAGGGTGTGCCGGCCGTTCGAGGCTCAGGCCCAAGAGCGTGGGCTAAAGATCACGGGTGATATGTGGCTTAAAATTGCAAATATGGGTAGGTCGACCCTGTCAGGGACATGTATGGAGTACTGTAATCAATTGAGTTTCGTACTAACTGCACCTCCCAGTGATGGATTCGACGCGGGATCAGCATGCCTTGTGGGTCAGAGGCGCGGGCTTTGACGAAGCTTGGAATGAGTTTGGCGGACGATCTCGGCTTTGAACATTGACAATTTGTTTTCGATGAACGATGGACGATGTATAGTGACTTGGAGGAGGTCCAAATTGTATAGTCTGCCTGTACTGTATGTGTATGTAATCCCAGTTTGGTGGGGATCACGTGGTGATTGGGAAGGGCGAGTGGGGCGATCCCCAACATCGCCGCGGGAGCTCTCATAATCATCTCTCCTCTTGAATGAACTACTTCCCCTTCCGATCTACTCCATCCCCTCGTTCGTTGCTTTTTCCGCCTTCCCCTGCGTGAGACACATCTTTCCATCGGTCCCAAGGCTCTCCTAGTGTACCCAATCCCTTCTCGACCATGCCCGGGGACGAAGACTCAAACAAAAACCGAGATTCCGCCGCTACCTCCGACTCTCGCCGATGGCCTGACGACGAGAACCCGTTTGTCGCGTTTCGTCGATATGCCGACGAACAGGTTTCGTCCGTGCTACAGTCCGTGATGGGCATTCCCTCGATGTCCTCGAGGCCTTCCTCCGGTAGATGGGCCGTTTTCGAGGAGGATGACACCTTTCGCCAGAAAAACCACAGTGAAACCAAGGGTCAGGACAATGCGCCGGGATCAGGACCGGGCGCAACTGACGGCTCGGGCGATGCGCCTTCTCCTCACTCTCACAGTCCCAACAATATGCGCCAGTCGCACCAATGGCCCGAATGGCAGGACCCTCGCCCCGGAAGAACCCTTTTCGATAGCGATGTAGATTTCTTCGATATCTTCTTCAACAGATTCTGGCCTGATGAATACCACCACCCCTCTCGCTTCTTCCAGCCTTACCACAACCACCACCAACACCCCATGCTCTCGGGTCCGGCCACACACTTCCCTTGGCCGATGGGCTACATCCTGTTTAACCCCTACTCGCCTCTGATTCTAGAACGCCAGGCGCAGTTCCAGTACCACAATGACTCCGGAGTGTTTTCGTCTCTCATGTCGTCTTTCAGTCGCTCGTCGGAATGCGATCCCGCAGAACCCCAATGGCGAGAGGCATTCGAGGATCTCATTCGTCTCGAGAATGGCAAGCCCATGCTCGATCGTGACCCCGCGGTCAGCGCCAGCGGTAAGCGCGAACACTGGGGGACCTGGCTGTCGGGCTTGGTGAACCGGGGTAGTCTGGGTGATACGTGGAAATCGATTCTCTCTGAACCGGATACCCACCCCTTCCCTAAAATCGCATCCGAGGACCACAAGCACAAGGGCGATGACGCAAAGCCCTTGAGAGAGGACTTCATTTCCAGGAATGCGACCGAACCCCCTCGGAATGAGACCGACTCCGGAAGTATGACAGAACAAGAACTTTACGACCGTTTCCTGGACGACATCTCGGCCCGTGAACGCGAGTTCTCCAGAACCGTGCTGGATAGTCCTCTCCTACGCCTCATTCTACAAGATACACACCGACCCCGAGACACCGACACCGACATCGAAAATTGGTTCGAGCGTGCATCTGGCAAACATATAACCCCTGCCTCTGACACATCTCCCAAAAGCGAACCCCAGACAGGCTCTTCAGAAAGTAGTACCGAACCAGCCCCGGAAAAACACTACGTGGTTTCAACCTTCATCAAAACAGAACGCAGCCGGCTTCCCGATGGCTCTATCCAGACAAAGACTACACGCACCAAGCGGTTTGCAGATGGGCGTGAGGAGAGCAATGAATCTCAGGATATTGTAATGCCTCAGCATGCGTCGCATGCGCAAGTCGCATCTACTGGTCAGGGTACTAGCCAGGAAGGTCCTGAATCTGATCAGAAGGACGGCTGGTTTTGGAAAAGCTAGTTAGCTATCCATCTATACGTAGAACCGGGCTTCTACTTCCTTTCTCTCTACTTCTTGTCATTCCCTTCTTCTTTTCTTTCCTCTCTTCTTCTGTCGCCATTCCATTTCTCTTTTTCTCTCTCTTTTCTTTATATACTTCCTTCCACCCCTTGGACTTGGATTCGGATTTCCTACCGTCATATTTCAAAATTTAGCGTAGGTTTCTTTATTTGGCGTTATTATGAAGAAAACCACCTTTAACACAACCTCAATTCTCTTGACTAACTATCTATATTGATCCCTTCTATCATCCAAAGTTGATGACTTGATTGTGGTGCCAATCGCGCATTCATATCAGTTCTCATAAAAAGCTCAGTTTGATGAGCTTCACACATGTCTTTCTTATTACGTTTCGCAGAGTACTGGTAACAAAGTTCCATGTCTGTATTTCTCAATCACCGTGAAGCGTTACGTAACGTATATATCTTTGTATGCGATTGCATCAGGATTTATCGTAGACAGTCACCTTTCTAAGGCTAGCTAGGTAGGTACGTATCAGTTCGTCTGTCTCAGACTGTGGATTAGTTTAGTCAGCCTTGACGCTTTTCTTCTGCGCCTTCCCGACGGTCCATCCCTTGGACTCCCAGAACTCAACGCTCTCCTCCATCTTCTTATAGGCCCATGAGAAAGAAGGATCTAGATAGCTCAAAGTTAGCCTTGCCTTGCTATTTGACCACCGGGTCGTTTGTAATCGGAGCTATGGAAGCCCATTTCAAACCCCACACTGAGAGAAGGTGGTAAGAGAGAGAAGAGAGCACGTACACAGGAATTGTCTCAGATCATGGCGGTTATCATCAGGACTGTACTGTTCAGCATGATAACTGGGGGTAAGCACAGTCATCTTGTGTCTGTTAATTGAGTAATTATAGAAGAAATGGCGTGTCTTTTCGTAAATCTCTCGCGGACTGTACTCGTTACCCCACATGTGGAGGAGCCGCTCGTACATGGACCAGGGGCCCAGCTTGGATACCTTGCGGAGGTACCCAAAGACAGAGAGTTCGGCGTATGTGACGCCCATGTCGGCTTCGTCGGATTGCACATATGTGGCTGTGATGGGCTCAAGTTCGGCGGTGGGGGTGGCGCTGAGGAATTCGTGCAGGATGGGGAGTTCGAAGGCGTCGCGGGACCAGGCGATGAATTTCTTGAGATCGACTTTACTGATGGAGCCGATGGGGTTGAGCTGGGGTTGGGGGGTTAGTTTGCAGTGGTGATTGAAGAGGGTTGGGGGGGGTGAGACGTACATCTGCACTACTGGCGTCATATTTGGTCAAGTAACCGCGAAGACTGGATGTGTCAGTTATTTTGAACGTTTAATGGGTCATTTCAAGCCTATAAGGTAGATTGTACACACCATTCTGGAGTCCGTTAGTATCTTGGTTACTCAGGTAGGGGGGGGGGGGGTCGGTACATACCATCAACATTAGAAGAGCCCAAGACAAGCAGTCCACCGCCCCCGGGACGCTGACGAACAGTTGGAAGCAACGAAGCAAACAAGTAAGAAAGAACCATCCTCAGACGCGCTTGGATGTTCTGCAGGGCTTGGTTCTCGGCTCGGGTTCCGCCGTGGAGCGCAAACTTGGGCTGGAAGCTTGTCACGACAGTGAATAGGTTCGTTAGGGCCGTGACAACAGTGTCAAAATTGAAATCAGTGTGGTAGGAGCCAATGTCTGCCGCAAGCTTCTTAGCTCGGTCTCTCGTCTCCTTGCTGGAATTCTGTGTGCCCATGTAGCTCGTATGGAAGATGCGACTGGGATAAGTTGATTAGTTTATGGTCGTAATGATCTGCCTTGCCGAGAGAATATAGCGAACTCACTTGCAGACCTCCTGGCTCGTAGTTGGAACCCAGGTAGACTCCGCCGGCTCTGCGCAGAGTCTGCGCACATCCTTGATGACCTGTTGGTTTCCTTCTCCGACTGCCTTGATGACTTCCCTGCACATGGAGTGTACGATGGTAGCAGTGGCGCAGCTGTCGATGCCGCCACTCAAAGGGACAAAGTATCCAGCAGCACCGCTCCGCCGCAGGTAGTCCCAAAGCCAGCAGGCCGGACCAAGAGCGATCTCTTCCTCTGGGGTGTGATAGCGTGGTTTAAAGGCTTCCGTAGGAGCAAGACCAGGTTCAGCTTCTTTGTCCAGACGAGACAGTCTAGTGTCTAGGTCGAGACGGACGTATGGAGTCTGTTTGCTGGCCTGCATGCTGCGACTTTTACTAGAGCGGTATGATCGAACCTCTTCAATATCAACAGTAGCCGTAATGACCTCCACATCATTCAAGGAGAATTGGGAGCCCTGAGCAACGACATTGCCGTTGATGACGATCAATGCGCAACCATCATAGTATAGTCGGTCACCGTCGCAGCCTTGTTGATTCGCGTAAAGATAGATGCCTCCACTCTAGAAGGGAAATTAGATTTAGAGGCTGGTTGCTAGTTGGAAGGGTTCCCACCAATTTCGTAGCCTGAGTGATGAGGTTGATACGGGTATCAAGCTTCCTCAGTTCGTGATGGCTTCCAGAGGAGTTGGAGATGATTTCGACACCTAATTTCAAGACAAGTCAGATATCACGGTATGGCAAAGATAAGTGGTTAGCATACCTGCAAGGCCGTACGGGATGTGAGGTCTATGAACATTAGCCGCGTCTCAAACTAAAACGTGACGAGTAGAATGAGTACCCATTGGGAGTGAAGAGCTCCTCGCAGGTTTCCAGACCCAGACATGTATCCTTAGTGCTGATAACGGCATCGCCAAACGGCACTTTGTACTGCCCGGTAATCTTGCCGACAATCTGCTCCAGGTAGTAGTCCTCGACTTCCTGAGGGCGTTGCCAGGGAGTGAAGTATCTCATTTCCCTGTAGTTTCCATCTAGCAACGAACGAATGGGGGTTAGCTAAGAGATGGACCTTGACGGAATGGAGAACGTGTTATGCACCATTAGCGAGCCACATCTTAGGACGGATCAGGATGATCTTGCGGTTGTAGAAGATAATGCTAGCAAATTAATGAGATAAGTACGAACAAACCCAATTCGCTGTATCAGAGTATGATCATGGCTAACCGGCAGTTGTAAATAACGTTCCTGTGTCTAACAGGAGCCCCCACATCACAGACGATGTCTTGACAGTCAGGATGGTCAATGATGCGCGCGAACATCTCCCATGAGTGCAGAAAGGTATCGCCCTCGAGGAAAGCGTCCAGACAGCCATATCCTGAGCCATTGTCAGCAATGCGGCTCATCAATCCGCTAACCTGTGATGATCACCTGTTATTTCCAGTTCAGGCCCGACTCGAAGCGAGGCACCGGCAGCCTTAGCTTTGCGGATACTCTCGATGATCCGCTCACAGTTGCCCTCAAAGTCGAGAGCCCACTGGTTGAGGGAGCTAGGAGGGACATTGTTAGCCTCGATCTGATAAGCGTGGGGACTTTTCGAGTCACACACCATGTTGCGAGCGTGACAAGGTGCCCCATGATGAGTCCTTCTTGGCAGTGCACAGTAGTACCAATTGAAATCCGGGGGAAAGCAAGGGTGCATCCAAAACGGATCTCCGTACAACCTGCCCGAACGGAGGGTTTCTGTGGCAGCAGCGGGGCTTGTGGATTGTTGATGCTGGGGAGTTGGAGATAACCGGCAAAAGCAGCCATGACGCCGGTCACGTGTGTGGGGAGCTCCCCTCCTGCCCCTCAGCGGTACTCGTATTACCATCTCCGGCCTCATTATTGATTACGCAACCGCCGCAGAGACGGTAACCGGGATACCACCAGACCGGTTCCGGACACCCGTAGCGCAGTTCCTCGGCTTTTGACGGGCGCTGATTAATCCATCGTTATCGGGACGATGAGGAGGCACAAAAAGGCGCCGATGCTTCTCTGGAGTGCTCTGTACATGCCGCTTCTCAGATATCCAAACTTTGTCCTTCTCCAGACCTGCAGACGTCATATTCTCAATCTCACACCCCCGTTAACCCTTACCTCCAGTCCACGATGAGTGGCGATTCCCAGATTCCTAACCCCGCGCATATACAAGCCGACTCGATGCTGGCACGACACTTTGGGCGAGAAACGGTGAACTATTTCTCCAGTGCGTACACCCAACCCTCCTATCTCTGCCACTCCTAGACTAACAATCTCTTCAGGTTCACCGTTAAACCGTCTATCCTTTCTCCGATCAGACCACACCTTCCTCTCCGCCGCTCTCAAGCACCCCTCCACCCGCTTCGTCCTGATGAAGGACCTCGCGCCACTGACCAGAAACCCCACCGAGCCATATTTCGCCAAGTATGAGGAAGTGCGCACGCTCGTGCCTGACACAATATACGACAAATCCGAGGAGGATTTCCTCAAGGAGTACGACTCGCGGAAGACGATCGCCGCACCGATCTTCCTCGGCCTCGACGAGTCCCATAAGCAGGACGGTCTAGCCTGGAAGATATACACTGGGATACCGTACTTTGCCCTAGACGTGACACCGAGTGGCTCGGACGAGCAACAAACCCACGCCAAAGCCCTAATCAGCGAGGTGGAGGCCAAGGGGCTGATCTTCTTACAGGGAAGGACGATTCTGTCCTTCCCGGCCAACGAAGGTAAATAAGAACCCCCTCTCAAACCGATCTATTCAACCAACAAACCACTCACACAACCCCTCCCCCAGCCGCAATATACGCTCAAGCCCGCGCCCTAATTGACTGGAACACCCGGAACCGCTTCTGCGGCACATGCGGTCACCCAACGATCTCCGTGAACTCAGGCACCAAACGCGCCTGCCCACCCTCGGACGCAGCACTCCTGGCCGCCGGCAAGCCCGCGGAACGACCAGCCTGCAACACAAGGACCACAATCTCGAACCTCTCCTTCCCGCGCACCGATCCCACAATCATCGTGGCTGTCGTCTCCACAGACGCCAAGCGGATCCTCCTCGGCCGTTCCAAGCGCTTCCCCCCCAGCTTCTACTCCACGCTAGCCGGGTTCATCGAGCCCGCGGAATCCGTCGAAGACGCCGTCCGCAGAGAAGTCTGGGAGGAGGCGGGCGTCACGCTGTCGCGCGTCGTCATCCACTCGTCCCAACCCTGGCCCTACCCGGCTAACTTGATGATAGGGGCTATCGCCCAGGTCAGTGACCCGGCGCATGAGACGATCAACCTAGAACATGATCCCGAGTTGGAGGATGCGAAGTGGTTTGATATTGCTGAGGTGGAGGATGCGTTGAGGATTGGCGTCGCGCCGTTGGGCGAGAAGCCCGGTCCGGAATATAAGGAGGGGGGCCTGAGGCTGCCGCCGCCGACGGCCATTGCCAATCAGCTTATTAGAGCGGCTATCAGTCTTGATTTTTTGGATGCGGAGAAGGCTGCGAAGATGTAGATGGATAGATAGATGGATGGTATTGGTGTGCTAGAGGTTATCTTGTTTCTTGGTACTTACTTACCCCGACCGACCCTTTTGCATGGCTTGGATTGCATCCACACATGGCATCTTATAGATGTGTACAGCGTTTGAACAACGTGCTATGAAGAAAAGATGATGTCCAATACGATCATGATATATACTCAGGCTGTCCATCCATATACCTATTCTAAAATAGATGCATGCATGCATACAAAGAATCCAGCGCTATGAATATGCCCCAATCAAAACAGTCATAAGTCATCCCAACCACCCCCTCCCCCCCATTCAAAAATTCGCATATACAGTCCCATCACGCAGCTCATGTATGCTGTCCTTGCTACTCGGTGAGCCCACCTCAGCATACCGCCTCCCATCTCTCAGTTCGTGAATAGTTATTCGACGATGCGATTTCCTGCGCCGTGAGCCCCGGTTGGATAACGATGAATCAGGACGGCCCTCACCTGCTGTCGATATGACGCTTCCCGAATCGCTGAATCCGGCGCTGCTGTAGGGCGTGGCCTCGCGGCTTTCCTGTTCGATCGAGGCCTGGAGTTGGTAATCAGCTACCATTGCCATGCCGTCTTCCTGGTACCATTGGCGCATGTCGGTGGCGTAGGTCTGCTCTTCTGCACCGTATTCTACTGGGGGTCCGTCGACCTGGGCTGCGGTTTTGGTGGCGCTGAATACGGCCCAGGCGCTTGTATCGACGCTAGCTAGCGTCATGGAGTGGTTGAAGCTCTTGACTTGGAAGTTTCGTAGCAGGATGGCGTCGCCTTCCTCTAAAGAGGGGAGGGCTGATTTGTAAGGTCGGAAGATTTGCGTGTAGAGAATGGTACCGGCCAGTGATGGGTCGGTCACTCCGAAGGTTAGGATGTAATCCTTTTTGCCAGACGGGGCCCGAACGGGCGGGCGAATCTCCGCGACCACCGAGATTGTGTCTGTCAGGGCGTTGTAGTGGTCGATGAGTGTGGCAAGGGGTGCGAAATAGGAGTATTCACTGCGCAGTCCGGGGTAATTGCGATTCATATCCAGGAGACGAGCTCGCTTTTCCCCGACCAGCAAGATTTCGTCTTCACTGTGGATTGGTAGGACTAGCTCTTCATCTCCAGAGCCTTCGTACCGTTCTTCCCGCTCGATAGAGGGAATCTGGCCCTTGGGCTTGGAGTCAAGGACTCTGCCCGTATCTGTTGTTGTAGATGTGTCCGGCACTACTTCGACGGTAGACGATGTTTCAGCTTTAAGCTGGATAATCGAACTCTCCTGGGTTGGTTTGGGAGTGGGTGGTGCTTCAACCTCTGGAGGGATTTGGGGAATTTGATTGTCTGTCCCAGCTGCCTGAGAAGGGTCTGGAGTAAACAGCTGGTCTTGTGGGTAAACTGGTAGTTTGGAAGCAACGCCGCCAAAGATGGGCATGCTTTGCGAAACCCCATCTAGTGATAGGCTGGGATCAATGTACTGCGAATCTGACATCTGATCATCTTGAATATGGCTCTGAGATGGTTCCGCGCCATGTTGTTGACTGATACTTGTCGGGGCTTCGGTTGGAAAGCTTCCGGTATTGAAAAGTACGGGATCAATTGGAGGTTCAGCAAGATGTAGAAGATGTTCGGTATCGATATCAGGTTGTTGAGCAAAATGGATACTTTGTGCGATGTTTTCGTCCTCTTCGTGGCCCGATGGATGCGTTGTCACTTCTGCTGGCCGTAGTTCCTCGAAGTCGGCTTGGAAACCCGGGTGTTGGTCGACATCAATACCATGCCTCCTGTCTGGTACTGTTCCAAAGATCTTGCGGTTGGTATCGGCGAAGGGATAGACTTCGTTGTTTTCCAAATGGTCGTCATCCATTGCTCCAGCCTCCAAATGCTCCACCTTGACTCTTTCATCGCCAGGCTGCTCGTCTTCCGCCAGTTCCCCATGCACGCTCTCATCGCTTATCTCTTCGGCTTTCAGTTGATCGTATCCAGCGTTTTTGTCGTCAGGTTGCTCGGCCTGCATGTGTTCATCACTCCCAGGTCCATGCCCTGGCCGGTTCACACTATCTATCTCATCAACACTCCGCTCACCGTCCACCAGTTTGTGCGCTTCCTCATCTTCGGATTGTACAACGTCCTCTTGTTCGGATTTAAAAGGCCTTCCATCAACCGAGTCGAGGTCAACCGGCTTGGCTTCTCGTTCTTGCGCCTCTTGATCATCTTGGTCTGACCAGTCTTCAGCGTCGGAGTTACTAAAATCTCGCTCAACTCTCTGGTCTGCATATTCGGCTCCACCCTCCTCATCTTCCTCATCCTCGTCGTCACTTGATCCTGAACTGCCATAGTCAGAGGCTACATCCGACGATGAGGCATATGACTCTGGCCTTCGAGAAAATGCGGCTACCTGTTCCTGCTGCGTGATGGAAGGCGCTTGGGCGGTCGGGGCAGGCTCTTCATCACTGTCACTATCCAGTACAATGATTTCTGGTTCGGTATTCCTGATGATGGGCTGTGGTGGCGGATAGGGGGCATCGTCCTCCGACGCATATTCAGATTCAACGCGTTCACCATACCGATAGTCGTCATCATATATGCTTTCCGATTCTTCTGACCCCAGAGACTCCTCTCCATCGGATACTTCATCCTCGTCTTCCATATCCTCATCTTCTTCAGCGTAATAGCCATAACCTCTTTTCACATCATCATGAGTTCTCACTGGTGATTGCGCTTCGCTCTCAGAGGAAATCTCAATACTTTCTCTTGTCTCAACTGCGGGTTGTTCCGTATCTTCTTCCGCAATATCTTCGTAGTCCTCAACCATGTCCCCAGAGCGATCTTCAATCACAGAGCTTTGATCGACACTTTCGGAATCATAATCTTCGCTATCCAAATATGTTTCCCGCGACGCATACAAACTGGCACCTGATCCATTATCGTTCTGGCGCTCATTGGGAATTCTCCGCTCTCCAAAGTCATCGCGTGCTTCTCTTGCGTCAAGCTCTTCCTTATCATATTCAGCTTCGGAAATTTCTCCTTCCTGCAATGCAATGTCCTCGGGCTCCTGCTCAACCTCCATATGTTCGGTCACGTCTGAGGCGGCTGTTTGGACAACCGGGGTAGGTGATAATATCCCAATATGCTCAGTCATTCCCACGGCCTCTGCGTATTTGGTCTCCGTTGCAATACTTTCGAATACAGAGGCGGGCTGTACGGTATCATGGCCAGAACCAGCCGCAGGTATGTGTGGTGCCGGATCGGGTGCGGAACTTATGGTTATGTGCTCATCCGATGGCGCATGGGAGACTGCCTCCTTTTCTATACTCATCACCTCTTGGCTGAGAAACGTGGTTGGCCGCGCAGACGAGCCTTGGACGGTGGCTGATATAGATCCAAAATAGCCATGGGGGCTGTTCGATGTACTCACAAGAGGCGAAGGAATGGGAAGACCGGGAGAAGGGATGGGGCGAAGGCGCGGAGTGTCTATCGGAAGGTGACCGGCAAAATTGGGCACATTATGCCTGAACCGACTCAAGGGTTCTGTTCGTTGGGAAAGCTCGGGCAAGAGGAATTGCGCATCCGATTTTGGTTCGTCCACTTGATTCTCTGCGTTGGGCTCAATTGCAACTGGAACCGATTCTGCTGTGACATCGTTCGCCTGTACACCATCTGGCAACTTCTCCGGTATCGTTACCGTGTCGCGAGATTCAGATGGTTGCGGTGACTCCCTAGCCTCTTCCACGTCATCCTCCCCGCCACTCTCTGATTTATACCATGCATCATCGTCGAACATCGCCGTCCAGTCTCCAGGGATATCATTGTCGCCTGGGCTCGCAGGCTCGTCGATGACCCGCCATTGGGTACCGGGCATACTGAATCTCGGCCGTTTCCTTCCCTTCCCGGGGACAAAGCCGTCCTCCTCCTCAAGTGGTTCGTAGACTGTGCGAGTTATGTGACCAAGGGATTTGCGCGATCGGTCAACGAATGCCGGCGATTGCCACGCATGTGAATTCGAATTCGCATGTAGCTCGTCTAGGTTGGCGCGGCCGTTGGCAGTAGGCGTAGACGGTGTCTTGATCGCATCGTCGGTAGCAGGTGACGGCGACGAAGAACGGTCTATACTGACGGTTGAAAGGTGCTGAGAAGAACGCCAGACCTAGTCCTGGTAAGCATCTAGATGCATTCAATACCTTGATTGACGAAGTACCTCAAGGAGCACATTGTTGTCGAAGTGTACATCCCACGCGACAAACCTCCCGGGCGTTTGGTTCTCCGCATCATGATCCAAAAACCTCGCTCCAGCTAGGCGGAGATAAACACTGTCGCCAATTCCAATCTGTGACTTCGCGACCTCTTGTGCGACGTGCCCATGGAAAACCACCTTGACCTGTCCGTTTGTTCGTCGGAGGCGGAAGTCCGGTTCAGCTACGAGGAGGCTAATGGACCGGGTAGACGACGAGTAAGGCCATAGTAAGGTGACAACCGCGTGGATAGAGCTTTCCGACAAGTTCTCGAGGGTTGGGGAAAGCTGCGCGATGGGGACCGGGGTCGACCGCAGAGGTTCGGAGGCCGGAGGCTGTTTTTCGTGGATGTCCATCGCTGCGGGCGGTTAATGGTCATGGGAGTTCCACATTGTTTTCATCACCAGGAGTGCATATCACAGAGGCCGCTCATGCACGGAGAAAGACGTAGTCGCTGTAAGGTTGGCGTTGGGGGTGGTTGAGAATGAGAAATGTGTTGGTTGAAGCCCAGAGTTCCGACGCGCGGGAGATTCCAACTTCCAGATTGCGGAGAGGCAGCTCTTTCCCGCCCGTACCGGAGCCGTAATATTACCTCCCATCCCACCCCGGAGACCCTCGTCGCACGGGTAACCTACGTCAGACACCGTAAGCGCGTGCTTATTGTCGTTCTGTGGAAAGGTGTCAGGGCCGACAAGCATTTGGTTGCAGCAAGCTAAAGATATGGCCTGATTCTACTAGACCAGAGACAGAATGCAGCTCTCTGGCTTGTGTTGCAAAGCACGGCATCCACGGCGGGGTTGATGCAATCGCCATTAGTTATTGGGAATATCTTATCGGCTCGTCTCCGACACCCATCCATTCTATTCTCTCTTCTCTCCGATCGATGGGCTCCACAAAGACATGACTTCACTGACTCTATCTCCCTACCCCATAATCTCTTCATAGCTTCCCTCAAACATGGTGCTCTCAAAGCAAATCCGCCGGGTAGCAGTCATTGGGGCCGGCCCGTCAGGCCTGGCTGCGGTAAAGTATAGGCCCCATCATAGTATCGCGGGGGCTCCAGTTGCTAACCAGAACACTAGATACCTCCTTGCCGAAAAGCATTTTGAGCGGGTTGATGTCTTCGAAAAGAGAAGCTCTGCTGGCGGAGTCTGGAACTACTGTCCGGGGACCTTGAAGGAGAACTTGATAACTGCTGTCCCCCAACTGGACCCGAACAGACCGCTCGAAGAGCCATTATGGTACCCGACAGCAGGGCAGGAGAAACCTCTGGAGCCCGTTTTCGTGTCTCCTCTCTATAAGCACCTGGACACCAATATTCCCAAGGAGCTGATGGGATACGGTGATCAGTCATTCGAGCCTGACTCTCAGGTGTTCCCGAAGCATTTCACAGTGAAGAAATATCTAGATGAATATGCGGAAGAAATTAGAGACATTATTCGTTTTGAGACGCAAGTCGTGGATTTGAGGAAGGCTGGTGGTGTTGCTGACCCTTGGTCTTTGACAACGAAAAGTCTGCGTGAGGGTACAGAGAAGACGCATTCATACGACGCTGTAGTCGTCGCCAGTGGACACTACGATGTCCCATATACGCCGGATATTCTAGGGATCAGCGACTGGAATACCAGATACCCGGGCATCATCTCACATTCCAGACTATTTGACTCTGCGGAGTTCTTCCGCCAGAAGAAGGTCATCGTTGTGGGGACTTCAGCATCTGGACTGGATATCGGTAACCAGATCAGTGAAGTGTGCAAGGGCGCTTTATTGATTTCGCAACGCTCCGAATCACCCTTAGCACCAACTGTTCCATCCCCAAACAAAATCTACCGTCCAGAGATTGTGGAGTTTCTGCCACCAGGGTCCCACGAGCGGGCCGTCCGTTTTGCAGATGGCCACATCGAACAGGATATCGATGCGATTGTATTCTGTACGGGATATCTCTACTCCTTTCCTTTTCTACCATCGCTCGAACGCCCCGTGATCTCCAATGGACGCCGCGCCCAGAACACGTACCAACACCTTTTCTATATCTACGACCCCACGCTTGTCTTCCCAGCCCTCCCACAGCGAATTATTCCTCTCCCCCTATCGGAGAACCAGGCCGCCGTGTTTGCCCGTGTCTGGTCTGGGAGACTGAGCCTTCCGGCCCAAGACGAGATGAGAGCTTGGGAAGACTCGACCATAGCCGAAAAGGGGAACGAGACACCGTTTCATTTTCTCTCTTTCCCGCTGGATGCTGATTACTTGAACTTCTTCCATGACTGGGCAGCTAGGGCTGAACCCCGACAGGGTCTTGCCAACGATGGAAATGGAAAACAGTGCAATTACTGGGGCGAGAAACAGAAATGGATACGAAGAATGCTGCCGGAGATCAAACGGACCTTTTTGGAAAAAGCCCAGGAGCGGGACTCTATCAAGACTCTTGAGCAACTCGGTTATGACTTTGAGAAGTGGAAAAGGGAACAAGACGACGGTGTTTCAGCACCTAAATTATAGACGCTACTTGTAATGAATTATATATATAGAGGACTTCATACAGGAGTTAGAACACGGTTTAAATTCCAGAAGCCTACCTGGCCATTCTGAATGCAAGCCAGTGGAAACTATAAGACAACCTTAACCTGGTGTAGATGTCAAAGAAAACGCCAGTACAGTCTAGTCGGCCTCGCTTAACTATCTATACTAACCTATCCAAAACGCGACAAAGGAACGAATATAATAGAAGGGCAACTATATACCAGTCACCAGCATGGTCTCCTCATCCCACCATTTCTTAAACATCGTCAATCTCTCCGTGCGTTTCCTCGCCATCTTCCTGCCAGTGTTCGTCTAATGCCCCGTATTAGCCAAGAACTCCCAAGCCCTTATATCGACATTCTTACCTTCATCATCCCCTCGAGCTTCTCCAGCTTCTCATCGATATGCTCCCTCACATTCTGCATACCCGCCAACGGCAGCTTGGCCCCTCCAAACGTAAACGTCCGGCCAATCCCAATCGCCCCGATGGCATCAATGCGATCCGCATCCTGGACAATCCCGAGTTCAGGATGCTGCTGCAACGCCCGCTGGACCTTTGCTGGGTCCTTGATCTCCGACGAATAGGAAACGTGGTCGACTACCGTTTCAACGATGGCCGCTAGATCGGCGGAGGCCCCAGCTTGCTCAAGAACCAGTGCAATCTTGGAAGTCTGTTGCCCATTGACCGCTGGGGGTAGGTACTTCCGGTCATTCACGTCATGGAGGAGGCTATTTGTTTCTTCTGGTGAGTGGACGGTTGAGCAGCAGAGGGAGGGGGGAGTGGCGGTTAGTTCACTTACGCGGCGAGAAGCACCACGGTAGGGTCGTATTTATTCTGGTTATCGTGATCTTCATACTCCAGGGCGAGGATATGCATGGATAGAGTCAGGACCCGAAGGATGTGGTCGAAGTCATGAGAAGCATCGTAGTTCATCATGTGCAATTGCACTTCTTCGGCGATGACTCTGAATAGGCGGTCCTCTGCTGGGAGGAGGTGGCCGTATGGCGCTGAGCGCGCCGATCTGAGTAGCTTGTCTACCGAATCCATGATGTTTGATTATGGTTTCTGGGGGTGGGGGGGAGGAGAAATGAAGTCGGGGTTTGGGGGGGGGTCTTCTCTGGGGTCTGGTCTTAAACCGGGCTGATGGGGCTGTACGCGAAAGATGTTTGACGGGAGAAAAAAACAACAACAAAGGACGAATGGTGGCGGACGGTTGCTCCCCTGGAATGGAATGTTCCTCGGCTGTCCAATCCCCACGCCTCACGTCTCACGGTCTTTCTTATGTACACTGGTTGGTGGGAGAACATTGGGGCCCTCACCTCCCTAAAATCTGGCCAAGAAATGTCCTGTCAGGCGGGAGGGGGACCTGACTTGCTTGGCTTCTTAGGACCAGGCGAGTGATGAGACAGCACCTGTATCTGGGTCTGGATTGGAATATTGCCAAGTGCCTGGATGGACGTGACGTGTCTGAAGAATACTGATTGATTTGGGTCCATCTACGTGACTTTGGTAAAGATGCCGAGCCATTGAGCCGGGGACCCGAGTCCAAGCGATAGGTATAGATCTCCTTCGTCGGGAAGCCTGCAGTTTGGTGCATACGCGTCCTTTTGTGGTTAGAACGCCTGTGCGAACCATGGCATCGAAGAGGGTCAGGACAGCCAATGGATAGATACTCTGTGGATTGGGTTGCAGTCCTGAAGAAAAGACAAGACGAGACAAGAAGAGTCCGCCGATAAGCAGCCAGCCATCACGTGCCGGTCGATCACCCGCGTTGGAACCGGCGACTTCATCACCACCAGCCGTCCAACGCCGCCAACTCTCCCCTCTCCCTTCTCCTCCAACGTTCCCCGCCTCGACCCTGCGGCACTGCGGCTTCTCCTCCCGCTGTCTCGTCGGTACCCCCGCGATCTCATTGGCGCTCCCCGTCCACTGCTTTGTTGTTCCTTTACTCCGCCATGGATTGCCGTACCTCGGCCATGCTCCCTTCTCGCGTATAATGGTGCGCAAGCGCAAGGCCACTACCCCGATATATACAGACTACACAACCAACATCCCGTCAAAACGTCCGGAAAACAAACACACCGTCCAGTCAAGTGAGGACGAGCGCGAAACTGGAAGCGACGGTGGTTCTTTGGAAGAAGACGAGTTCTATATCAACTGCATACTAGATGAAACCGAATCGCAATACCTGATCGACTGGGAAGGAGATTACACGCCCACTTGGGTAAGTCGGCCCAGCCACACAGCTAGCCCCGCTTATGGCCTGATCGGAGCCCTCGCGACACTAAACTGTAGGCTAACGGCGAGTGCGGAACCAGGAACCTAAGGAACACGCCAACGATTCGGCAGTTCAAGCTTGGGAGGAAAGGAAACAGCAAGGTCGCTCCCAGAAGGAAACTCCGCTGAACACTCCGCCACCAGAATCACTCCTCCTCAGCCCTCGAGAGCACAGCACGGAACGCCTGGACCCTGCACCTGTTTCTCCCGGAATCGAATCCCAGCATACTTGTTCGAGTTCTCCACTATTTGTCCCGGCTGCAAGTATACCAGAGACGTATCTGTCGCCAGGCGACCCTGCCAGCGCTAATTCTACCTCGTTCAGCCTGCTCAACCCGTACGAATCCGCGAACGATATTGAATCCGACCTCGAAGAAACATCATTAGAAGCACAACCGGTCATTGCTGGCGTGTTCGAACTCTCCTCAGCTTCCTCCATCCCCGCCCAGCTCAGACTTCCCGACGAGATCGAAGAGACACCGATCAGGTCTGTATATGCCAGAATAACACCTGATAAGGAGAAGAACAACATTTCGGAAGCGGACGGCTTGGTGATTTCCGGGAGAATCGACGAGCTTCCTCTTCCCAAGTCTCCGGGACTTTCGGGACTTCGTAACCCGCAGGAAAGCTTGCCAAACAACGAGGTTCAAGCTGATAGTGAGATACCGGAAACCCCGTCTGCTCTTCTTGGTGAACCCAAAAGCCCGAGGTCGCGCATTATTCCCGCCACTGGCTCACATCACTCTTTCACGTCATCTATTTGCCGCTCAATCCCGGACACCACGGCTGTATCTCAACTGCACTCCTCGATAGTCTGTTCAACCCCAGGTCTGCTGTCCGTTCTCATTCGTTTCTCAACTTTGCTGACTACGGACAGGGCATCCTATTACTAGACGTGCGAGCACCGTGGCGGAAACGGTCATAGCGATTACACCTCACACTCCAGCAAACGCAGAATTCCAGGGTTCAGCCTCTGGTTCTATGACGATTGGTCCTGATCCAGGTGTGGACATCTACGCAATGGATGATCAAGATAAGAAGGGTGGAACGACCCTGTCCGACGTCATGGACAAGTATAGCCAGTTCGAGGGGTCCACGCCAAAGGAAAAGCTTATGAATGCGTATGCTCAGCTACGTACAAGCAAGTCCAATCCCACGCCCGATGCAAGTGCCACGCCGTCCTCTGCTGGAGACATAGAGCCTTCTGCTCCTGTGCCGGTCCCTGAGACAGCCCCTCCCCTCAGCGTCCGAGTCGACAAAGAGCCTACACATCATGCCCACCCGGAGCCAGCACCTACCATGCCAGTTGCCCCCGTGGAGCCCGTAGGAATGGAACCCCCTCAACACATTGACATGCAGCACACCGGTATTCAGACGATTCAACCCAGCGCATTGACGGTGATGCATACCGAGGAGCCAATTCCTGGAGCAGTGCACCTTGGCCCGTCTGAATTCGCTATTCCGCTCCCGATGGATTCCAGAGTCAAAGATGACTACGAAAAAGTCCTGACTAGTGAGAGCCAGAGCATTCGCAATTTCCTCAACATAACAAGCGCCCCGTCCAAGATTCCAGAGGATCAGGTACGATGTAAAACTCCATTACCAATCTTTCGGTGAACTAACTGATGGCCAGCATGAACACCTTGTGTCCACAATGAATGGGGTACTAGAGCGCCTTAACAATGTCACGACTCATCCGGACCTGAACACGCTTGATCATGCCAAAGCGTCGGACTCTGATGTAGAAAAGGAAGCCGCCTGGGCCGAGTACTCTAGCGCAAAGTTTCAGCTCATAAGTTACCTCTTGGAAATTGCCAGAATGCGTGATATGCACTTGATCATCATGGTGCACGGCGAGAAAACTCAGCGGGTTGTCGAACGTTATCTCTTGGGAAAGAGCCTGACGTATACGCGCCCACGCCAGGAAATGGGATCTGGAACGAATGCAGAGGTGTCATTGATAAAGGGCCCATTAAGCTTTGGTGTTCAGTCCACAGCCAATGACGGCGTTATGGAAACCTACAAAGCCCCTTCTGCCATCATTGCGTTCGATTCGTTATTCAACGTCAAGAACCCTACGGTGGAACATATGCGAACCACTTTTGCTCGTAACGGCAATTTGCTTCCCGTGATCCGTCTGATGGTGTCAAACTCGAGTGAGCATATTGGGCTTTGTTTCCCCGGCCTTCCAGAACTCGAACGGCTCCGATTGATTATTCAATATACCATACGTCTCCGGAGTTCAGTCGGTGACCTCCAGGATGATGCCCTTGGGGTACATGAAGACGCAGAAGAGCTGTTGTCGTGTCTGGAGTCCGATAATGCTAATGCCCATTGGTCTCTACCACACATAGAGTCTTTGGACATTGTAAGCCCGGAGGAGCTTGAGGCTACTCAGCATGAACTGCAGAGCCGACCTAGTGTCGATGTCTCATCGTTGATGACTTCGCAGACCCAGAAGCGAGCGTTTGTGAGTGATGTTGCCTATGATTTATTTCCCCTTTGCCACTAATACACGGGTCTAGGAGGAAGATATCACTGAACAATCTTCGAAACGGCCAAGGGTCGAGGAGTCACAAGATTCAAGTCAGTTCACCGAGTCAACCAATTTCCCCAGTCAAACTTTAAATGGTGGACTCCGATCACTCGAGAGAAACGTTGTCCAGATGAAGACCGCGCACGCAGCGGAAGTCGATAGGCTCCAAAAGGCTCTAGCGGAAGCCCAAGCCCGTCTTCAGGAGAGGGACAGCGTTCTTGAAAAGCTACAGCACCGCTACGAGACTCGCACCAAAGATTCTCATCAGCTCCAACGAGAGCGGGAGCGCCTCGCGGAAGCCAAGGCTACATCTGATCAAAAGCTGGAAAAGCAGAAAGAGGACATCGCCAAGCTGAAAGACGAGCGCACCCAGCTACGACACGAACTAGAACAGGCCCGCGAATCCCTCAAAGCAGGCGGGGGCAGTTCCGCGGAACTAGAGTCAGCAAGGGAAGAAATTCGCCGTTTGAACGAAGAAAACGCCTCGTTCAAGCGAAAAGCCGAGTATGAGGCCCGGCAGGCCGAGTACACTCGCGAACAGTACCAGACTGCCTCGACCGTCGCCGCACAGTCAGGCAACGAAGCCCGGCAACTGCGCGAAGAAAACGAGAACCTCACCCGGAAAGTCGCCGGCGACGCCAGCCGTCTGCGCGAGCTCAACATGAAAAACGACGAGGCTCGCCACCTGTCGCGTGTGGTGGAGTTAGAATCGCTCCTGCGCTCGCGCGAGGATCTCCTCCGCAGGAAAGAAGAGGAGGTTCGAGAACTTCGCAAAAACCGGCCCTCCACGCGCTCGACGAGCACGCAGCCACGAAGCCCCAAATGGACAGCAGGTAATAGCCGGCCCACGAGCCCCGGTATCAACAACAACAGCAATAATAATGGCTCGTCTCTTGCAGGGCGTGGAAGTACACTAAGGTACAGCGAGGTCCGCTAAGGTACTACTTGTTACTACAGCGAAAATGCCTCTTTAGTTCACCTCACCTACATACTCGATGCAACGTCACTTCCTTCTTCCATCTCATCTCGCCAACCACTCGCCCGATCAGCTGCGCAACAATCAACCCCCCTTCCTCCATTCCTTTCCACCCTTGCATATTCATGCATACATACCTACATACCCTTCACTCTCCCCCTCCTACTCTTCCTCTTTCGAAACCTGATCTCATCTGGCTCTACCTATGCAATATGCAATATGCATACGCAACCTAACCTCCCACCCACATACCTGGAATCGATGCTCATCGACATTGCATGTACGCATTGCACCATCCATCCCGCGAATCGAATTTCCCTCTCCCCCCTACTGCTGCTGCTACTTCCGTATCTACCTGGAGGCTGGCTTGCGTTCCGTCCGGTTACATCGCATTAGATCCCAGCCAACACACTCTATGCTGTGCTGTCTTGTGCTGCGCTGCGCATCTCCAGTCCGCCTGGTTTTTCTTTCTTGTCTTTTTCTGTCTGCTTATCGCGTCCGGAGTCCAGGTTCAATCAACGTCCGGTAGCTGGCCATCCCACCCACCTACCTACCTACTTGCACTATCACCAACCCAACCCCCCTTGTCATACATACATACATACATAACCTTGCATCGCCTGGGCGTTTACCTTTTTCGGCGACCACCCACTCACCCACACCCTTCTTGCTTTCCCTCTGGACTTATTCGTGGATCTCTCTCCCACATCCGTCCATCCAATCGATCCTATCTATCTAGCTAGCTAGCGTCCATCAAATTTCACCACGTACACACGCAGTACTAGGGCATGAATCTAATGCTTGCATCCATACATACATCCAAGCAAGCAAGCGTGCATGCAAAGCAAAGAATCTCTAATGTGTACCGAATGTGTACCGCACCAGTTAATAAGCCACCTAATCAATCATTTCTATTTCATTCATCAATCCTTTCTTATAACGTAACATCGTATATTGCCATTCTATTATAAGTCATGAGAGAGAGAGAGAGAGAGAGAGATCAAAACTAGGCCAGTAGATAGTTCCAGTAGGCGACATGTAATACATCAATCACATTCCGTCATCATTAAACCAAATCGAATCAATGAACCCAATCCATTCATGTATAGCGCGTGCTTGAGTGCAAGTCATTCAATCGTCTTTTAATGAATGAGGTTAACAGCAGGATTAGGAACTATTCATGTCAGGGGACATAGGAAAAATAAAATAAAGAAGCTCATTTAAAAAAAAAAAGATGAAAAGGAAATTGGTAAGAAAGAGAAAGTGCGTAGTGGATGAATGAATGAATCAATCAATCAATCAGTCAGTCAATCAGTAAAAGGTCGTGCAATCTAATTAATTTGTCATCGCGTTCGCAATGAAAGTCGACAACTCCTTCGCCTTCGACCCCAGGGTCATAGTGAAATGGTTCGCGCCCTCCATGGCAGTGATCCCGCCGACGTTGTCGGGCCCAACCAGCGTGTCCCATTTGTTTGGACCCAGGTCGGCGCGGTTCTTGAGCAACCAGACCATCTCCCTCGGGTCGGGGCTGCCATCGGGGGCCGGCTCGGGCCAGGGATCGCCCGGCTTGCCGCAGACGCCGTCCTTAGCCCAGATGAGGAACGTCTTGGGCATTTTCTTGGCCCATTGCGGGTCGTTGAAGGGGAGAGGGACGGCCTTGTAGGCGTCGAGGGAATCGATGAAGGCGAGGAAGTGCGGTAGCAGCCAGGCCGGGGGTGCGGATTTGCCTTCGCCGAAGAACCCGATGTTGTCGAAGAACTTGTAGAGACGGGGTGGGAGCTTCTCGAGGCCGATGGGGAAGGGGGAGTCCAGAAGGAGTAAGCGGTCCACTTGCTCGCCTTCTTCCAGGATCAGGTATCGAGCGGCGTCGTAGGCGCAGATTCCGCCGGCGGACCATCCGCCGAAGTTGTACGGGCCCTTGGGTTGTCTGCGCCGGACTTCACCCAGGTATGGGAAGGTCATCTCGTCGAGGCCGAATTTGAGCTTCTCGGGCGTTTTCATGTACGGACAGTTTAGCCCGTAGACGCACACGTCTGGGGAGACTCCCGGGATGCCCGCGTAGGAGGTTGCGGAGCCGGAGCCGTCGGGGAACAGGAACAGAGTCTTGGTGGCGGTTTTCGGGTTTCCTTGTAGCAGGATGGAGGTGGCTCGGGGATGTTGGCTTGCCCGGGCACTGAGGGTGGATTTGGAGTTGGGGACGGGTTCCGACAGGGTGGGTGGCGCTGATACAGGGGCGGCTGCTGGAGCAGGAGGAACGGGAGCAGCCTTCGGCTTCAGGTCCAACGCTTCCTCAACGTCGTTGAGAGTCTGGTTCTCGATAAAAAATTCACCAGGAAGATCCATATCCAATGTTTCCCGGATTCTTCCAAGGACGGTGAGAGAAAGCAGTGAATCCATTCCCATCTCGGCAAGATTCTCGTCCGCCTTGAGCTCTTCCTCGGAGACGCCGATTTCATCTGCCAGGATGGCTCGGATCTCTTTCATCGTACCGTGCTGCTCAGCCTGGATGACCTTCTCGTTTGGTGGCGAGCTGACACAAGGGGAGCCAGCGCTGGACTCGTCGGTTGAGGAACCACCGTTGAAGGAAGAGCTAGACTCTGGATCACTGGTGGATCCATCGCTGGCCTCTGCAGGGCTCATCTGGGCAATGAATTGTTTGAAGTCCTTAACGGTTGGCTGGTCAATGAATACCGAAGACTCCAAGTCAATATCTAGCTCCTCCCGGTATCTGCCAGTCACCGTCAGTGAGAGCAGAGAGTCCACCCCATAGTCTGCGAAAACCATATCATCCGTGATCTCAGATTCAGAAAGTCCGACCTCCGATGCGAGTATGCTGAGGGCACGTCCGATGATGCTTGGTGCGCGGGGCTTGGCCGCTGGCCTCGCAGGCGCTGGAGCACTAGCACGAGTCTTGTTGACAGCAACCGGGGCAGATCTCTGGGCACTGGGGGATGGCCTGCTTGGCGCCTTCGAAGCCCCAACCGGGGGGAGAACGGTGTCAAGAATCTTGCGCGACAAGCATTGGAACTGCCATACACGTCAGTGTCTTGAAAGGGATATCAAATTCGCAAGGAATGGAACTTACCTTGACAGCTCCATACACCGCAATGATTTCGTCTCCTTCGAAAACATAAACATCACCAGCCCAAATGGAGTTCTGCCAGGGCTGCATCCTAACATAGGTTCTGTAGGCGACATCTGGTTCAAACTTTTTCAGACAACGCATCGAATCCCATCCATGATTGACGAAGACGTGATTTTTGGAATCTGTAGCATCACTAGCGTTCATGATGAAACCCGACAGATGACCGAAGCTATCAATCCAGAACGGGTTCCGGTGGAATTTGCCCTGAGGTGTCCCGAACTTGACGCGCGCAGTGGCTTCGTGGTTTTCACTATCGAGGATCACTTCGCGCATGTTCTTGAAGTTTTCATCATAGTCGACCAGTGCACCGAACAGTTTGTACACCATGCCTCTCCCCATTCGGTGGGCATCTCCATTTTCCGCAACCTCATGCAGCCGGTCAATGCCTCTCTTGATGAGGTATGCCATCCGTTTCCATTGCGTCTGCTCAGCAGCTATGTCGAAGAACTTGACGAAGCAGGTGGCATGCTCGACGGTCTTCTTCCCTTCTGGGGTAACAGAGTAGATTTGGAGAGACGTACTCTTATCCGCCCAGTTCGCTGTAGCTGATATCCGGAAAAGCTGTTGTCCAGATTTTGCGATAAGAGGCTTCGGAACAGTGACGTCGCACACATCAAGACCTAATCCTTCGTATTCGGGCTTGTACTTCTTGATCAAGTACTCTGCAAGTGTTTGTGAAATATCGGCGTAGAGCGACTGTTTTCTAGATCAGCAAAAGACTGTGATAAAGGTGGTTAATTAGAAACACTCACCGAAGGACAGAGCGCAGCTCCGTTCACCTTGTGCCCCTGAATGACGCGGTTCAGATCTGGATCCGCGATATCATTCTCTACCACCACCGTAGCCGTTTCTCCATCATCCCGAGTCTCGATGACCTTCTGAGCAGCGGTTGTCAAGAACTCGTATTGTGGGGCCGCCGCAATCGCGGCTACTGGGGCTCCCTTGGTCAAGCAGAAGTTGTTGGTGTAGGGAATCCAGTAGTTCTTGAGATCCCACTTGTAGGACGGGAGCCGCAGGACTTGATGGCAAGAGGCGAAGTCTTGGTGGTATTGCTTCCAGTTAAGGTCAATACCAGCCAGGTGAAGACTCGACAAACTGTTTGAAAGAACCTTCCAGGTGTCTTCTTCACGACGGAGGGAGGCAACTGTAGTAACTTGTGGTCCGAGAGTCGCCTTGATCATTCCCGAACAGATGGTATGCGAGCCAATCTCAACCCATAGGGTTTTATCGTTCGTCAGCTTGGCGTGTCTGGTGGCCTCCAGTCCACCGAGGAAGTTGACCGATTTTCTGCAATGGTCTCTCAGGTACTTGGCTCCGAGGCAATCCCAATTAGCATCCGTGATTACTTCACCGAGCAGAGCTGAGACAAATGGGGTTGTGGGTTTATGGAAGGTAACACCCCGGGCGATTTCTTCAAAGGTGTCCAGGATGGGCTCAACCTGAGAGGAATGGAAAGCGTATGGAACTCGCAGCTTGGTCGATTTCAGGCCCTCAGTGGAGCACTTTTGAGCCAGCTCATCAATGTCAGAGACAAGGCCACTGACAACAGTTTCAGCAGGTGCATTCACGCAAGAGACTTCATGGACATCGTCTCTGAGGAACTGCTTGACCTCAGCCAAGGATGCCTTGATGGCCAACATCGAATGTGTTCCGATTTTGCATTCCTTTGTGAGAAGTTGGGCACGTCGTCCGCATAGGTAGATGGTGTCGGTAGTGGACAGAACACCGGCCGTATTGAGTGCAGCGTAATCACCAAGACTGTGTCCGATGATGAATGCCGGCTTCACACCCAGAGCAATCCAGTAATTTACCAGAGCCATTTGGACACAGGTGGTTCCCACCTGTACCACGACGGGGCTGAGGTCCTCAACAGGCACACTTCCATCAACAAGCGGAATAATCGAAGGGATTCCTTGACTGCGTGCAATGCAATCGAAGTGTTCGATCACAGTCCTAAATTGGAAGCAACTGCGGTAGAGTTCCTTGCCCATGCCAGAATACTGCGCACCTTGGCCGGTAAAGACAAAACCAATCCCTGGGGCTGTTGTCGGTACCGAAGTGAAGGTCTCACGGTGCGAAGCACCATGCAGCGAGTCGCGCAATGCCTGCAGGCTTCCACCAACCGCAGTAACCCGGAAAGGATGATGGATTCGGCGTGCGGTAGTCGTATAAGCCAAGCTAGGAAGGAAATCGGTCTCCTTTACTCCAAAATGCTTGCCCTGTGAGTCGATGTATTTCACAAGGGAGTCGATGTTGTTTCTCAAGGCAGTTTGGGATCTAGCAGACAAAGTCACCAGGTGGAACGAGCGAGGGTCCTGCCCCTTTTGCTGCGGAATGGGAGCATCTTCCACAAGAAGAGCAGTGTTTCCACCAGCAGCCGAAAAGTTGTTCACGAAGGTACGGCGCTTTCCAGAAGCGGGCCGGTTCCAAGGAGTGGGCTGAAAAGCGATATGAACATTGCGCTTGGACAAGTCCGTCGGGAAATTGTGGTTGATCTTGGTCTTTATGCCACAGTGAGGAGGAATCATGTTTTCCCGCATCATCATGAGGACCTTGACAAGAGCAGTGACACCAGATGCAGATTCTCCGTGCCCAATATTGGCCTTGGCGGAGCCAAGATGAAGAGACTGCCCGGGACCGCGGCGATAATCAGGGGCAAAGACTTCAAGGACAGATTGCATTTCGACAGCGTCACCGGCCTGCGTTCCTGTACCATGCATTTCAACGTAGCTCACGTCCTTTGGATCAACATTCGCTTCGTTGAGTAGCTTGTTGAAGATGAATGATTGCGCACCAACATGAGGACGAGTAATTGACACAGCCTCAGCAGAGTGGTTTGTGTACGCTCCGTTGATGACACCAATAATCGGATCGTTGTCAGCTTCGGCGTCCTCAAGGCGTTTCAGGACAATACTGCCGATACCGTCTGCTCTGCAGTAGCCATCCGCGCCATCGTCAAAAGTGTTGCAATTTCCAGTTCTAGACAGGAAATGGCCCCGGTCCAGACCGGCATGATTGTCAGGGTTGGTCAAGACGTTCACACCGCCAGTGATAGCCGCATCACAGTCGTTCCTCCAGATAGCATTGCAAGCCAAATGGATAGCTGCCAGACTAGACGAACAGGCCGTATCAACGTTCACACTGGGTCCGCTGAACTTGAAATAGTAGTTTATCCGGCCCGGCGTAAAGGCCCGGTTGCCTCCAGGGATAAAGTAGGTATCAATGTCTTGGCCGCTGTTGATTTCACGATAGTCGTCACTAGTCATTCCATAGAAGACGCCCACGCGGTCCCTCTGTGTTGACGGGGAGCTATCCGGGATGAAACCAGCCATCTCGAGGGCTTCATAGGCTGTGAGCAAAGCAAGCCGTTGGGCGGGATCTGCCTGGAGCGCTTCTCGGGGCGACATGTTGAAAAATCGAGGGTCAAACAGCCCAGGCTCATTTATCCAGCAACCATAGGGCACTCTGCTTGTGTTCCTCTTGGTGCCAGTGACGTCGACGTGGGCATCGACATCCCAACGATCAGCCGGAACTTTGCGATGCACATCAAGACCTTTGTACAGGAGTTCCCAAAAGCTCTCCGTACTATCTGCGTCAGGAAACCTTCCGGACATTCCGATGATGGCAATCTTGGAACATTCGGTTTTGCCTGTGCGATTCGGGGTGTCTGGGTTCGGAATGATATCTCCGACCCCGGTCTCCAGGCCGATGTTCATACCGGCCTTCTTGAGTGCAGTGAACAAACTCTGGGTGGCACCGCTCGAGATCGGGAACAGTTTGCATTCCTTGTCCGTTGCTGACTTGCATACTGCTGAGCAAGATTCTGTCACTTTGTCCCAGCACAGCCGTTGCAACAGAATTTCCTCGAGCGCAACTTTGAAGAGGTCTTTGATGCACTTGGCCTCAATGGGCTTGCCGGTATTGCTGGAAATAACAGGCGTAGCAGGCGAGTAGTTCGGCAAAACGTCTGGGGGGCAAGCTTGCAATATGCGCTCGATATCCTTCTCATCGTACAGGTGCGGCGCATGGTAGGGGCCATGGATCGGTGCTCTGACCGGCTTGTAGTTCTTCGAAAGGCTAGCTTCAATGAAATCGTCGAGCACCACGGGGGGCGCACTGATAGTCACCCCGTTTGAACTGACCGCGCTGATATACGGCTTCGACGACGGAGGAGTAGCCTGCAAGCGTTAAATTTGGGATACTCGGATCTAATCGTTGCCAACCTACCTTCTTGCTACTGTATTCGTCAATGAGGCTAGCTGCCGCTTCCTCGCTAATTCCGGAAATCAACGCTGACCAGCATGTTGACTTAGATTCTTCGGTTTCGACAAGCTCTCGAACCCGTAGAACACAGATTCCGAGCCGAAGGGCCACAACAACCGCTTCTATTGCGGCCGGAAGAAGCTCTCCAACATTTTTGGAGCAGCTCACGGCCGTACAACTGAGAAGGCCAGTGCACAGACCAACGAGGTGGCTGTTTGAGGGGGTAGGGTAGGTATATCCAAGATCCCCGTAAAAGCTAGAGCTGATCAGCCTTACTTCCTATACAGGAAACCAAGAGCCTTACTGTATGAAGGAACCCAGCTGGTAGATACACGTAAAGGCACTTTCCAAGACGGGGCTGGGCCCTGATTCACGGTGTCTAGAGAGCAGGTCGACAATGCTCGTGAAGCGAGGGAAGAGCTTTCGTTGAGATGGCGGGAGCCTCGAAATTTCTTGACGTAGCGCGTGGAAGCATTGCTGGAAAAAAGACTGGACGATGGTGTTGTTCTTCGCTTGTAACAAGCGTCGTAGGCCAGCCTCGATGTCGCTTGTTTGGTCTCCAAACAGATACACACGGCATTGATCCTCCATCTTTGCGGGGGAATCTGCTGATCAATCGATCAAGGTTGTCAGGCTAGATTCCATCTGGGTCTTCCCATAAGATGAGAAGGAAGCTTTATAGATGTATAGAAATCCTTTGTGAAGTAGGGTGGGGGCAAGGTGTCTCAACTACGGCATGCTCCGATCTGGTAAAGATGCATTCCATGCGCATCTAGGGGGCGATTAGTTGGAGCCCTCCAAGCCGACTCGATTGGGGTTGCATTGTCCGAAAAGCCAGCGAATCCCTAGGCCTGAGACGGCTGACAGGCCCCAGCCTACTCTTCTGAACACCCGATGTCTCTCACTTTACGTTTGAGAATCTGTGACAATACACAGCTGGGGAGCAGTCCCTGACTGGATACCACCGTTACGGTGGATCCGGATCACACCGTCTGGGCATCCGATAGAACCTCTCACTTCGGAATTCTAGACTTCAAGATTTGTCCCTTGACGGACAAATCTGGGTGGCTACCTCAGCCTTCAGTCCAGCCGGCACTGCAGCGCGATCATCAAGGGGGTATCGATGTCTCAACCCCTGCTTCCGACGCTGGTCGAAGCGACTAGGCAGCCGTGTTCTGGAGGGTATCTGGTAGCATGCGCCGAGGAACGGCATCTTGACGGTCAGAGATACTGTCCGGCGCTGGGGGGGGGGGAGAGACTGGGAGTGGTACCAGCCTCTCAGGTTTGTTCCTACACAGGAAAGTCGTTGCCACCCCATTTGGCGACGATCAGCGCGTCGCAGGCCCGCACGTGATTGGACGTGATAATTCCGGATATTGCTCCTCCCCTCACGTCTTTCCTTCCCGAGCATGAGACACAACATTCCACGGGACAGGCCGAAAGATTTCTGGCCTTGATGGCGATATCGGGTGGAGAGTGTTGCGGTGCATGCCGATACACCGGGTAGTCAGCATCCGTGGCTGTTCGTTTGGAAGCGATCATTCGGACCCTGGGTACCTTGCGTTCGTCAACAGGATATACACCGAGTAAGGCTAACAGGTTATGCACTGCGCCTCGTTGCTTACTCATTTGTCGATTTTCGATAGAAACAATCTTCAAAGAAACAAGGTTACCGCTGGAATTCACACGGGGGATTATTCCAGATGCCATCGACCAGCTAAGGTTTGACCGTCGGATGACTTTTCCTGCCACACCTACCAGGTGCTCGTGCACGATCATCCCATTTACCTTGCTAGGCAGGAGTATCAAACCTAATCCGCCATCTGATGACAGTAATGTGGTCTTTTTTCTCTTGAGGTCTCGTCCAGAGCATTCTACGTGTGATTTGCATCTCCCACGACAGGCAACAGGAATCAACAGCAGCTCCATGCCGCATTTCTAGGACTCAAGCAATGCAAACGTCAGTTATGGGCTTCGGGGATGTCTGAATAATCTAAAAGGGATATCCAGTGACGAACCTTCGAAAACCTCGCAACAATCTTGAAAGTTCTTCAAAACAACATGCCTGCTAGGCGCCAACCAAAAGCACAGGAATGCCAATACGGTCGGCCAATATGAGGGAGGCAATTAAAGTAGACAACATCTGTCCAAAGGGTCGCCTAGCTATGGCCTCCACTGGCCTGACGTATAAGTTGCAACCTGTTATTGCAGTTGGTTGTAACGGCTTGGGGATTGAAAAGTCTGTCCATTGTGTTTCGTTTCTTTTCTTGTCCATGTCCAACCTGTTCGCTCTAGATCCGGCCTTGAACTCGAGCTGTTGTGTCCGCTATGGAGATATTCTGGAAAATTCCGCGCTTCGATGACAGATCTGCTTTTCGGCTAATTTAGGGATCCTGTCCCACGAATCACAATAACCTGTCTATGCCTTGTAGCGATCATCACAGCACCAAGTTTAGCGACGGACCGATGTACGAGGGGCGTATATAACTTTCAGTATCTTTGAACGCGAGAAATCTTTTTACCGAAAGACAAACGTTTCGCGATTATTTCGCTGCAAGCAGACTTGGAGTCTGATCGATCATATGGTCAGTATCGTCGGAACTTATTGTGGTCAACTCGGAGTCGATTGTCCATTGGCTCAGGCACGGGCTTCGACCTCTTGCCAACCCTGACCTGAACAGCATTTCCCGGGTAAAGGATCGCGCGCTCTCACGCGTGTTACTTCAATACGGGGACACGAGGCCTCGTGAACCGACATGGAATGTTCATCAAAACTTCCATGGCGAATTGGCCGGTGCAGTGCTGATAAGGTCCCTGCTGATCCTCTTATCACTCCGATGAATCTATATTCTTCCGCATATTCCCCGCGCTTCTAGAATTGATTTGTAAGACTTCGTCTTCTTTAGGCTGGATTTTCTGGCTTGTGAGACTGCTTGAATTTAGTTTGTTTCACTAAAGAGGCCTTGAGGGGAATACCAGGGAACACCCAATAGATTGTGGGGAAAGAGAAACAGAAATAGAGATGCTTACTCGAACTCGCAGTGGAAAATTGAATCCAGCCCACAGGAGGATCTCGGTCAGCCCATCGATCGCTTTCTGTTCTAGAAATTTCAGCAAATGTTGTTGGCTTGACTAATCTGCCCGATGTACTCCATAAGTTGACTGTGTGGCATGCACGGCAGATGATGGTGACGATGATGACGATGATTACGATGATGACGATGGTGATGATGGTGATGATGGTGATGATGCAGGAGCCAGCTCGCTCTACCAGGTAGAATCAGGCTGTGTGGTCATCAGTGTTCCTCCTTTCACGTTGGCGAGTTTGATCTTTGGGATTAGTCATGGTCGTGTCCAGCGAGTCTGGGTTTCTACTGGAGAAAAGCCGCCCAGTCAATTTGTTTGCGTAGTAGTTATCAACGAAAAGAACATAACATGGATCACCAAGGCTCTAGCATTTAATCTCTTCGAAGGTAATTTATACAGGTGAGATATAATTAATCGGCATATAAAGCTAGGCTGCATCTACAGTCTTGTAATCAGCCAACTTTCTTGTGAACCCCGTTTGAAGTGAATTTATCGGGTTGGCTTTCAAGATCGCGGGTAAGATATATATTTTGTCACAGCGCGGAAGATGTTCACCCCCGTCCAGATGCCCATTCATCCATGGCAATTGCCTTGCCTATCCTCTACAATATTACGTTAGGCTCGATTACCAAGTACCGGGCTCTCAGTCCTACGAAAGCGTATGATGGTCCATGATGAACAGTTCTGGAGGCCGTACCCCGAGGCTTGTATAGCCCCAGGTGCCATGGATTCTGGTATGCTGGCTGTTATCAAACCACACACAAGATTCGGGGAGAAACGACCTAGGAAGTAATTGCAGCCAATGGGATAGAGCCCCAGACATCCGAGTCCAGTAAGGGGCGGCCGGGTGGATGTGTGGAATGTGGTAGTCATGGCCGAATGATCCACGCGGCCACGCCTCCACGCGTATACTCGATGTTCTGTGATGGTGTGTCGACAGATTACTGTTGCATAGCAGCACAATATCTCGCGATGAAGAGATGAATTCCCCGGTCATAGAGTGTGAGACGATCGAAGTCTCTGGAAAATGTGGATTTTTTTTTTGAGAGAGAGAGACAGAGAGAGACAGAGAGAGGAGGAAATTCCACGCGAAGGGCGATGACTAAAACAGAACAGCTGTTAGGTCATCAGCCTTATACTAATGGATTGACCAATGAGGGAAGATTTGATCAGATTCGCAGCTCCGTTTTTCTGTTTGATTTCTCCCAGGGAGAGGAGCTACCCCGGTTAGTAGTCTGCTTTTCCACATAGGTGAGCTAACACCACTTTTGATTGGAAACCCAGAGAGAGACCCTCCATGGATGATACAACGGGTAGTCGAGGTAAAACCATGGGTCAAAAGTCCGGGGAAGCTAGGAGCTCCTGATGCTGATAGAATGATAGAAAGAAAGAAGGAAAGAGACAAGTCACCCGATTTCCTCACGCAGGATTAAACCGGATTTGCGGATGAAAATGAAGAGGGGAGAGGAAGTCAAGAAGAACCAGCAGCCCATCCAGGCAGGGACCGACCAGCCCGCCAGACGCAGAAGAGGGACTGTGCGCATTAAGCTTATCGATAGCCTGGGGCTAGTCCCGAACCGGCGCCCACGTAAACACCAAAACATCGATCGGGCCTCACCGTTCAGCTCCGTCCGTCGGTCGCTCTCACTCTCTCACTAACCCTCTCTCACTACTCACCCTCACTCTCGCTCCCCCCCCCCCCCCCCTCCCCTTCTTGGCCTCCCCATTCACTGATGATCTTCTCCTGGGCTGGCCATCTCCTAAGCTGAAGCCCTAGCTTCTCTGCGACTCAGCGGCCCACGCCCCCCCTTGTCTTCCTCCTCTTGTTTTGGTTTCTCACTCCTACCATGTTTGGGTTGGCAGCTCCGTTACACGCTTCTTAATGCTTCCATTACTGTCTCTCGTTCAGCGACGCTGCGCCTCTAGCTGTATTCCGCCCCCTCCACCTTCCTACCCCCCGTCGAGCGACCTCCAGATCCGAGTCCCAGTTTCTGACACGTCGATTGCACCTGCTGTTAGTCTCCGATAATCAGTGGTAGTTGGGTGATCGATCTCTCCGCTCGTGCTTCTCGGTCGCCTCAGCCGCAATGCCGCCCGCCGCACCCCAGCTCCCGACCCGGTTTCCCTGCTGGTGTCGTGCAGTATATTCCTGGGGAGGAGAAACAAAACGGGATTTGGGATTTGTCGAAGGCGATCTCATCGAATGTCTGAATGCCGGCGATGGGCAATGGTGGATGGGCCGACTCCGGAGGGATAGGCGCATGATGGGCCTGTTTCCCTCCAACTTCGTCGAGGTGCTCAGCCAGGATTTCGTACCAGTCACACGGTCCACAAGTCCTCTGGTCCCACAAGCCTCGTCGCCCATCACGAATCCTACGTCGGCCCCGAAGAAACAGAAGACGGTTTTCCGCAAGCCGTTCCAGGCCCATAGGGAAGCTCTTGCGCCCACGGGTGAGCTGTCCCGGAGCTCGACTGCCTCTTCTCCGCTGGCAAGCTCGATCCCGCAAACGCCGCCTCGCGATGGCAGCCTCAACCGAAGAGTCAAACCGCTGCGTACGCCGACCACAGCAGTCAAGCACCAACCCTCCCTGACTAGGCCTTTATCCCGATCAAGGCCTCCATCGCGAGCCCCCTCCCCGCGCCCGCTAGCTGAGTCCGATCCGCAACTCTCGTCCCCGGTTCCTGGGACATACATGGCCCACTCCAGACCTCCATCGCGTGCGGTATCGCCCTATCCTCTGCATGACCAGGATTTCCAACTACCGTCTATCGTTCCTGGGCAGAGCCTCATGCACCCCGGATCTTCCCCCCGTGCAGTATCACCTCGTCCTCCGCAGGAAATTGACTTTCAGTTACCATCTATCCCTCCAATGCAGAGCGCTGTGCGCCATAGACCTCTGTCTCGGGCAGCATCCCCTCGTCCACCGGATGAGTCGGATTTCCTACCGCCCCAGGTCCCGAGACACAGCATTTCGATTCCTCGAGCTTCTTCGCGCGAGATCTCTCCCCTTCAGCTCCAAGAGCGAGAGGACTCTCCGCCTCCGCCTCCCCCGCCTCCGCACCGCGTTGCTGTCAACCGCCAGTCATCCATCGAGCAACGGGTCCCGGCGCGTCTTGATATGAACGATCGTTTTGTTACTATGTCAAGGACGCCATCGCCAGCAGCTCACTCTGAGGGGCGCGGGCATACGCCTTCACCGTTGAGAGATGCAATGGAGGATGTGATGACTTCATTGGAAGATATGGGTCTACCTCGAGACACGCAGTCACCTTCTCCACAACCGACGTTTAACAACCCGTGGTCACCGGATGCGTACGAAAGTTTCCGTGACACTCAACCTCGGCAAGCTGCCCGTCGACCATTGACTTCCCTGGGCTTTGATGGAGAAAAGGAATATCAACATCAGCATCACGGCAGTCTACCGCATAGGAACAGTGTTTATGCGCATGATCCATATATGGATGGTCCCCCACAACTGAACAATTATGTTCAAAGGATGGAGAGTCGGCTTCGTCAGATGCAGGAGCAGAGCCAGAGGGAAAACGACGACACGCAACTGTCAGATGAGGAAGATCCCCCGCCGCCACCCCCCAGGAATGTACCATACCATGGACGGCATAACTCGATTCCAGCTCAGTATCCCTATGTGAGAGGACGTAGGTCCGGGCACGACCTCCGAGGGGATCAACTCAACCGGAGCTCCACTAATAAGTCTAGCACGACCAACTCTTCGAGCGGCGTGCAAAGTACAAGCACGAACCAGACCGCAAGCACCGAGCGAACTAGCCAAAGCGTCATGAGTGGGCCATCGGCAGGTGGATTCAGTGCAACAAGCGCAGGAAGCTATGCCAGGCGAGGCAATGCGCCATCCGAGCGACCGAATACGGCAGTTGATACTTTCCGCTCAAGAGGATTCAGCGATGTCTCTCGGGTTGGCAGACCCGAAACGCCGTTAACCGGTGTATCCTACCATTCGAGTCATAACAGCTCTCGGCAGGGGGCCACATCCGCCATACCTTGGTCCTCAAATACCGGCGGCAGCGGCGGCGGCGAAGAGCCTACCAGTGTGTTTGGTGGTCTCTCCACACCGAAAGCCAAAAAGCAAGGGTTCTTCAAGAAGATCTTTGAATCCGCGAAAACCGGTGCCGCCAATGCCAGGAGCAGTATTGCGGTCGGGCAAAATGGCGGACCTTTTTCGCCTGTAAAGAACCGGGGGATTTCACCCATCCGTGCCTTGCAATCAAGTCGAGACTCCGCTCGTGAGACTGGACTCGGCGGCAGCGCCATGGACTGGGTGCAAGTACGGCGTGACGTGAATCGTGCAAGCTCGCCCAGCCGGAACGAGAGAATCGAGAGAGCTGAAAGGTGTCAGATGATGGATCATCCAGTTATCTATGCCGTGGAAGAACTGTATGAGATGGCGGAAGGTGATGAAAGCATCGATGGCCTGCCGATCAGTGAGCCGACCAACTTTGGTACAGTGAATCTGAACCTCGTCGACAAAAGCGCTCGCTTCGTCAATAGCCTTCCTCCGATGACCAATCCGGCAAGCCTGGCACATGGGTATGTTTGCCGCCCGTATAAAAGTGATGTCCAGAGGTTGCGCGCCATTTTCACCTGGGTCAGCGAGAAGATTGCCTGGGACGAACCGGTCGAGGATATCAGTATTGACCCGAAACGAGTGCTTCAAACAAAAAGAGGAAGCCCCGAGGAAGTCGCCTTCTTGGTCAAAGAAATGTGTGCGGCGGTCGGCCTCCACGCTGAAGCGATCAATGGGTTCCTCAAGACCCCCGGGGAATTGTTCGACCTGGACGGTCTCTCGCGGCCCAACCATTGGTGGAACTCGGTGCTCGTGGATGGTGAATGGCGCATCATGGACTGTTCCCTATCCAGTCCCACCAACCCGCGAAGGAACCAATTTGTCACTGGTAGCTCTCCCGTTGCTGAAGGCTGGTATTTCCTCGCACGACCTCTCGAGATTTGCTACACACACGTTCCCGTTGCACCAGAGGAGCAGCACATCTGCCCACCCATCTCTCCAGATGTCCTTCTCGCCCTTCCGGCAGTCTGCCCGCCCTACTTTAAGCTTAACATGGAGTTCCCAGATTACGACACCAGTGTATCCCGGATTGACGGCCTGGAAGTCATGCAAATACGTCTTCTGGTGCCTGCGGATGTGGAATGCGCCGCCGAGGTGGAAGCAACGGCGCTTGCCTGCGACGCTGATGGTGACTTCTTTGAAAGCGGCGAGATCGTGCGCAAGCGTGCCCTGATTCAGCCCGACTGGGTCAATGGGCAGAAACGCATCACGGTCAAGGCTGTCCTGCCCGGCAACGAAGGACAGGGCGTGGTCAAGGTGTACGCGGGCAAGAAGGGCCTCATGCATTCCAGCCGAGATATACCCCATCCCCTCGCTCTCGCACTTCCCATCATCCACAGCAACGACAACCCACCGTATGATTTCGTACTGCGCCATCCAACCCCCCACGCTCAGCGTCACGATCTGTACATCATGCAGCCCCAGTGCGCGAAGCTGGCTGTCAACAACACCTTCGTCTTTGCCGTCCGCCAGCATCCATCGTCGCTCTCCTTCTCGTCCAGCACTAACGAAGCCAGCGTCAGCGGACGCGTCTCCCCGTCCGTCTTTTCCCGACCCGCAAGTGCCCTGAGTATGGTCTCCAGCTCCGCCGCAGGTTCCTCGGTCTCCACCGTCTCGAATGAGTTCTCAGCCTCAACCTCCGCCATCTCCTCGGGCCGTTCAGTATCAGGACGCGAGAAGCCCGCCAAGCTGGCCATCCAGTCACCCTCCGGCAAGATCCTCCGCTTGACCCGGAAACCCGACCACATGCTCAGCCCCAACACCGGCACACACTCCGTCACCGACGCGCCAGCGGACGGCAGTGTCTGGGAGACGGTGATCAAGATCGGAGAGCGCGGCGTCTGGCGTGGCCTCGTCCTGGCGGACCGAGTTGCCCGCTGGTGCGTCTTCTGCGAGTGGGAATGCTACTGACACCCAGCATCTCTCTACCACTTCTATTACCACCCGCCCGCCCACCCCATCATTGTTTTATCTATCTATCATCCACTTTGATCTATTAGCGCGGATCTATCGCATTCCTCCTTGCCTAGTCTTGATTGCATTGCGTTACATCATCATCATAATCATCATCTAAAGCCGGGGTTGGGGTCTTGCATCTATTACTCTATCTATCTATCATCTATCATCTATCACCCTATCTATCATCTTTGTACTGCTCGCTTCAATCACTGTACATTGCTACTTCTGTCATACTTGGAGCGGCTGCAGGATGAAATGGGGGTTGATCGCATCTTATCTTTTCTTTTCTTTCCTTCCTACCTTCTTATTTTTTATCACTCCTGACATATTATGGCGTTTGGGGCACTGATTGACTGACGGACATGAGATTGGCGCTGGTGTTTTTACCATTTTTATTATCATTCATTTTTCATTTCATTTCATTTCTTCCTTTCTTCTTCAGTTTGGACTTCGACCTTGAGATTCTGGGCATCTGGTATATGTGTTGTGTAAGTGTTTGTTTGTGTATCAATTTGAATATGGTGGGTGCGGTGGGACGTGCTGTGATAGTATTTGATGCGTGTGATGTGATGTGATGCGATGCGATGCGATTGATGTGGGCTACTATTTACTTACTAGATTAGCATACTAGACTCGGGTGGTGGGGAGAGGTGATGGTATGATATGTTAGTATGATATTATATGATATGATATGATATGATATCTGAATGAGATCGAGTTTGACATTTTATTCTCTTTTTTCATACCCAAATAATGCTGAGTATACTAGTAGTAGTATTATATCACCCATCAACTAGGTCAATGCAATATCGTGCAATGTCTCCACTATCTAAAAGATACACTCATCTCATCTCCTCTCTTTATACTCAACCATATTTCTTTATACTATACTATAATATACTATAATATACTATAATATGCTAGGTATACGATGATATCTTATACTATAGTATAGACCTATATACCTCCCTTTCACTCTCAACTTCAAACTCAAACTCAAACCCCCCAAACCGCCTCCCTAATCAACGGCGCCACCTGTTTCCGGCTCTTCGTCACATCGCCCTGCACCCAGACCCTCTTCCACATGTGCGCATGCTCACACGCCGCGAACCCAGACCCAGATCCAGACTCAGACTCAGACTCAGACGCCTCCCTATCCAGAACTGTCCAGTCTTCCAGTCCCAGCTCCGATCCGGCGCGCGATATGAACGCCTGCACGGCCTGTACCCCCATTTCATCTTCTTGTTTATCGCCAAGCGCGCAGACGAGTAGCTCGCGACGGAATTTCTCTTTCTTCTTGTTGTTACTATTATCATTGTGGTCGGGAGTGCTGAAGGCCGTCATGACCATGACTATATCCAGTTCCTTTTGGGTTGCGAATGTGTACAGCTCGTCGAGGAAGGTCTCTGGGTTGCCGGATTTGCGGAGGATCCAGGGGAGGGATTTGACTGTTGAGCAGATGCCGACTGTTAGGGGACTCTGCTTCTGGTTTTGCGTTTGTTGTGATGAGGACGAGGAGGATGGGGTTTCGGTCCATTGCTTGTAATCGCGATCTAGAACCTCGTGGACGGTGAGCAGGTCGAGGCTATTTTGCTTTGCGATGGCGATTTCCGTGAAGAAGACGTTGTTGTCCCAGTGGTGGGGCGAGGGGTGGGTGATAGTGTGGGTATGGATATCGGGGGAGGAGGCGTTGCTGAGTTTCGAGCGCAGGAAGCTGTATGCGAGGGTGTCTGAGTCGGTGACTTTTTCTTTGGCCGTGAAGTTGGCTGTGTCGATGAGGATGGGGGACATGGCGAGCTTGGAGAGTTGGAGTTCGGTGGGCGTGGTCGGGTGGCTGTGGCGCGGCCAGCGGGCCATTTTCTCGAGCATGTTGACGACGAGCGAGGCGCAGGAGCCGGATGGCTGTAGTAGAAAGGGCTGGTTGGTGGTTGTGATGGGCGCGAGGAAGTGTTCGTCGGCGTGGTGGTCTATGCAACCGATTACGGTGAAGTCGATGGTTGGGAGGCCTGTTAGGGAGCCTTGGCCGCGATGGTGGGAGGGGGAGCGTTCTGGGAGGGCATTCCAGTCGACGAGGACGGCGTCGGCGGTTAATCGAGTTGTGGTGTTGTCAGGGTTGTGGTGTTGTTGGAGGTGCGACGCGAAGTCGGCTACCGTGAGGATGTGGTCTTGGAGGATCTTCCCCGCGGATGAGGGCGTGTCGTCCCATGGCTGGTCGCCGTCGGCGGGCGGGTGGGTGGAGAGCCAGAGGGATTTGACGAATTCGGGACGGAGACGGCGCAGTTCGGGGCCCGATGGGACGGTGGGGAGGTTTATCAGGGGGATGTGAGGCCGGGGGTGGGCGAAGTAGGAGTAGACAAGCGCGGAGATGATCGAGTCGAGATCCGCAGAGGCATTGCCGATGACGTAGATGGGGGCCTCCGCGTGGGATAGCGTGCCTGAAACGAAGCGGTGGTGGGTTTGGAGCGCCTTGGCGAGGAATTGGAACAGGCTGTGTTCCGGGATCCCCATGGTGACTTGTCGGGGGACACAAGGGTGAGGCAATGGGTTGTGATGGGCGAATATGAAGGTTGACGATCGTCGATGCGAGAGAAAAGAAAAGAAAAGACGAGAGAGCGGAGGGGCAGAATCCCCCACCGCCTTGGCTGCTATGGCATCATCCCCAGGCCGTCAGGCACGCCATCTTCTCGCATCCAACAACTCCATTCAGTATAGACAGCTGCTTGGATCCTCCCCTCAAGCTTAAACAGCATTTCATCATAGAGCGTGAGTAACCCTCCCTACCAATCAACGACGATACTAACAACTGAATCCCAGATATACATCCCCTCCCCACCCCTCCTGATCTACTAAAGTATATACGTATATATCCTCCCTCCCCGCACGCAATCCTTCCCCAACAACAACAACCCCCCACCAACTCTACAATCTACTGGCAACATTGAATCTCCAAACACACCACCATGATCACCCTCCCCACCCCCCTCTCCCAAATCCCGCGCCACCCACTCCTCTACGCGCACCCTTCCCCCATCCACCCCCTCCCAGCCCTAACCGGCCTCCTCAACCCCCCCTCCCCTTCCCCAGAACCCCCCACATAACCCTCCACCTAAAACGCGAAGACCACTCCTCCCCCCTCACCAACTCGGGCAATAAATACCGCAAACTCGAATACCTAATCCCGGACATCCTCTCCGCGCATCCGCAACACGGCGGACTGGCCCCGGGCCCAGCCCACGGCACCGCCTCCCCACCAACCTCCACCTCCCAACCCCCTCAGCGCACAACAACCCTCGTCACCGAAGGCGCCATCCAAAGCAACCACACGATCCAAGTCGCGGCGGTCGCGAACCACCTCGGTCTCGAAACCGTGGTGGTCCTGCATAAAGGTGCGGGGGGCGGGTTATCCGCGTCAACGGATAAAGAGGCGTTTTTGAGGACCGGGAATGTGCAGATTGCGGGGCTTTTGGGGGCCGAGGTGAGGGTGGTGGATTCTTCGACGATTGCGATTGCGATTGCGAGTGGGAAAGGGGAGGGGGAAAAGGAATCCGTGGTGAGCAGGGTGTTGGAGGAGTTACGTGCGAAGGGCAAGAATCCGTATTGGATTCCGTCCGGGGCGAGTTTACATCCGTTGGGGGGGTTGGGGTATGCGCGATGTGCGGTGGAGATAGCGGCGCAGGAGAGGGGGAGGGACATTGAGGGCGGACGACGCGTGGATTATGTGTTTGTGGCGTGTGGGAGTGGGAGTACGGTTGGGGGCCTGATTGCGGGGTTTAAGTTGTTGGAGAAGATGGAGAGGGAGGAAGAAAAGGTGACGCAGCGCCCACCGCGCAAAGTCATTGGGATAATCATATCCCCGACGCAGTCGCTTGCGTGTCACCAGGAGAGAGTCCTGGGGTTTGCGCGGCAGGCAGCGGGGCTAATTGGGCTGGATCCGCAGAGGGAGGTGAGTATGGATGATGTGATCTTGGATGACCGGTTTGCGGGGACGAGGTATGGAGTATTGGATGCGGAGACGAAGGAGGCGTTGACGTTGATGGCGCGGAAGGAGGCGGTCATGTTGGACCCGGTGTATACGGCGAAGGTTTTCCGGGGGATGAAGCATTGGGTCCAGGAGGGGGAGCTGGCGAGGGACTGGACCGCGCGGGTCGGGGCGTCGAGTGGCTATGGCCATGACCAGGAGCGAGTCAATGCCCTGTTGATGCACACGGGAGGACAGTCGGCGCTGAGTGCGTATGCGGATGTGGAGTAAAGATCAAGTTTCGACGATAAAAAAAATACCCGAGATGTGATGGCAATATTATTAATAGAGGCGGACTATAGTTAGATGATCGACGGCACGGCATCGGATCATACTCTGTGTGTAGATCATGGCGCGCAGTAGTGCGGCTCTAACGGCCCAAGGTCAGTGGATGAGAGAGTAGTATGTCTACGGGAAACAGTAAAGAACTATCAATGTTGTCATTAATCTCACAAGCCACACATGCGTTGAAAAGCTGCAAATCAGGGCAGTGTAATAATACGGTCGAGAAGGAGAGAAACAGCAGTGTACATCGGGCTTCAACGAAGGCAAGTCAAGCCACTCCACCAGAAGAAACACAGGAAGGCAGAGAGAAAACACCACGCAATGCGGAGAGGACCCAGCTCACCAGATTCTCCGTCTTTTCGTACACCGAACACAGAACAGCCACCGTCAGTCATCAGACCGAAGGAAACGCAAACAAAGAACACGGAACCACATCCGGACATTAGACAAATAGGAACTCAAAACACATCAGAAGGAAGGGGTCAAAGCCAGCTGGCACCCAGGACGCAACACCATAACAAATCATGAACCACACAAAGCCACCAGGAAAGACTTGAACGCCGCAGAATGCCACGGCCATGCAACGTTAACAGATCAGTAGAGAAGACGAGTTGCGAGATAGGGAAACCTAGGACATCCCAACATAAGAGCCCACCACATACACTGTCCCCATGTAGGGCGGAAGAAAGATAGAATCGCACGAGGAAAAAGGGTATAAGATTTTGCGCTGCCACTCGGATCAGAGCTCATCCGCACTGTCGTCTGCGTCAGCTTGGCCGTTGGTCCCCCCATTGGCTTTCGCATCTAGTGAGGCTCCATCCCGCATGGAGTTGGCATCATCGTCACTATTGCTCACGTCGAGAGCCTCGAGCGCCTCATTGGCATGCATGTTGTCCATAGGCTCCGGTTCCTGCTCGGCCTCGGGATATGGCTCCACATCTTGATTGGTCAGATCCGCAAACACATCGTCGAGGTTCCCCCGAGGACTGCTGTCAAATGGATCGCGACTGTCAACATCGACTACGGGAGGCCCATCGTTGGGGTCTCGGTTATATCGGGGAGAGCTGAAGAGGGAGGTATCCAATCCTTGATGAGGCAGAGGCGGGGAACGGGGAGGAAACGAGGGCGAATCCGCGGAAACATGGGGTAGGAAAGCCGAAGAGCCAGGCGCAAAGGCTGGCGTAGAGTCGCTGGCTGGTAAGGAGTAATTGGCAGAGAAAGGATAGGGCAGGTTTTGCGACTCGGTCATTGGCGTCAGCGTAGGACCACCGCGGCCCGACTCTGAGCTGGGTCCATCGCCCAGGAGGGAAGGCCGGCCGGTCTGAGCATCGATCGATTTCCGTTTGTCGAAGGATGGCTGCTTGGTGCGCAGGTGCGGAGGGAGATCCTCCGGCCGCTCAACGCCTAGCTGGGCCATGATTTTCTGCTGCTTCGTTGGACGGGGTTTCCGTGTGGAAAGCGACTGTTCCAAGATCGGTGGAGCTTCCGGCGCAACAGGCGCCCACTTGTGTATCTCCTGTCGGAAAAAGTTCGTCTCATACGCCAATAGAACCTCTGCACCTTCGATTTTCCGTAGATAGAAGATCAACGTGGGGACCTCCTCGGTGGTGGTACAAGCCGCATTCGTGAAGCTCTGTAGGAAATCACGGAAAGTAGTCGCTTGGTTGATGATGTTATCCAAGATCTCCTCTTCGTCGGGCTGGAATGGCAAGCCTTGAATCTCCGCCTGCCAATCGAGGAGATCCTCCAGTTTTGGACGAGCAGCATCGCGGGGAATCTTTTGACGCCAGTCGCAGATAGGGCAGGTATACTTGTCGAACTCTTTGACCTTGCCACGTGCAATCTTCAGGCATTTCCCGTGGTACCTGCGCGCCAGAGTGAGCCCAAGGAACGCGACACTGTAGAATAAAAGCAGGTGGACCTACCATTCATGACAAACCTCGCACTCGATCATCATGCCAGCTTCCGAGTGCCTGCAGATGCAGAATACATCGCGCTTCCGTGACTTCCCACCACCCCACATGCTAGGGACACTGGTGCTCTCCAGCAACCCGTCAGGAGTATTGTCTCGCGACGAGGGTTCCACGGGCGGCCGGCACCGATCCTCCAGGTCAAAGCAGTATGAATTCCTTTTCTCGACGTACTCCATATGGGATTTTAAAATATGCAGCGGGGCATTGGCCTTCCCAAACAGCTTCTTGCCCTTCCTCATCCAATCCTCGTGGCGTTTCTGCTCGCGCTCCAGGTCGATCGCTCCAGTAGGCCGGCTGTTTAGCTCCTCCACGGATTCCATGAGTTCCCGGACTTCCTTGTACATGGGTCGTTTTTGAATATCCGGGTCCCGGCTCCGATCGTATAGGCTTTGGATTTTCTTCTGCGCTTCGCGTTGTTTGGTCAATATAGCATCTACGGCCGAAAGCGTGTCGGGAGAAACCGGGAACCGGGACGCCTGTGCAGACAATGCCTCGAGTTGCTGGTAGTGCACGGCTTCTACGGACATCAACTCTTTGGCTTTTGCCTCCCAGGCCTCACCGTGACGACAGTGGTCCCTGAAGTGGAGCAGGAGCTCGTTGGTTTCCGATAGTCCTAGTTGCTCGCCGGCAAGGATGAGCTCTTTGCATTCCTTCAGCGTCAGGTACTGGTCCCGTTTGCGACGCGCTTCGTCGTTCCATTTCATCTGTCGGAGGATGTGCTCTAGTCCCTCAACCTCGGGTAAGTCCACGTTGAAATTGCGGGCGGATTCCACCAGATCCTCGACTTCCTGGACCGATCGGAGGTGGGGGTTCATGAGGGCAGCGTTAACGTCCTGGCGGAATTTCTCGATCTCGCGGGTCTTCTCTTCCAGAGCCGCCATCTGTGGACAGTCGAACGACAGTTTATCAGCCTCTGCAAGAAGGGCGTAGATGTTTTCTACTCTGCGAACTTCACGATCACGTTCTTCCAGCTGCGCAGCCTTAGAAGTCCCCTTGCGCCAAGCTTTCTCGTTCTTCCTCCGGTTCTGCTGCTTCCGGGTAATGTAATTGGTTGCTTCTTCAACCCACTTATCGCAGCGCTGGACGAAGGCCGCGAGATTTTGGAGACCACGCAAATGGTATGGGATTTTCTCACCTTCATTAAGTAGGTTATGAAGGACCTTTAACTGGGGTTTGGGCTCGTCTTCCAGAATTTTGTCGAGCTTCTCTCCCCAGGCCTCGGGGATCCGGGCGCGTTCCTGGACCTTCAAAACCAGGGCCTTCAGGGCATCGTCGCTCATTCGGTAACGCAGTGTGTGGTCCGGACCAAGTAACCTTTGAGTTAGTGGTTCTCCACAGCAATCATACGTTTCCATGTGGGGCAGGCAAACAGTCTTCCCGGTCTTGTGACAGCGGAACTGTGCGAGGTAGGCAAACGCCTTGCAATACTGGCACTGGTAGTCTTCCTCCGGCAGGTCTTCCTCCTCGACCAAGAACTTAAGCTGGCAGTCGCCAGAAGCTGCCGGGTCTTCGGAATAAAGAGCGCAGTTATGCGGGGCCATCTCACGATGCCGGGCAGCGAAGGCTACTCGATCAGCCAGCTCCCGCGTGCAGGTGCGTTGGAGTGCAGGTGCCAACCATTTCGCGGTCGTGATCGATGAATCACGACCGGCGGCTGTCAGGAGCAGTTCGTCATGCGAGAAACACGGGTGGCGTCGGAAGTCTTGGAGGCGTTGCACACCCGCTGCGCCCCAGGGCTCCCAGTCGGCCGGCGCGAAGTTGACAGCTTCATTAAAGTTGAAGCCATGGTTGAATCCAGCATGGTACGCCTGGGGGAAAGTAATGACAAATTGACCGGCCCGCTGATCAAGAGCATACACGTTGACACCGGCCTTTCTCAGTTGGTCCGGAGGCATCAACGTGACCAGTTGGAAAAGGAGGTCGGGCTGACCCTCAAAGAGTTCGGGGACTGCTGATCTCATCGCTTCCTCAAAGGCCTCCGCATCGGCTCCCGGGATACCGTACCAGGTCTTGGTAGCACCAAAGTGCTGGTAATTGGCCGAGTAAGCGTAGTGATCCTCGTTGTGCCAACAGAACGTCGAAAAACACATGCCGACATAAACCCACGGAACAGTCATGCCAGAAATGTCCGACTTGATGTGACGAAACAATGAGTCTCCATGGAAAGGCATCACGTTGAGATTCCAGGGATCGACCGAGTGCGGGTCCAAAGGATTCCGCTCAATCGTGGGGAAGCCGCTGCCATGCGTCGTCGAGTGGATATCGGCGCCGTACTCGACCTCGACGGTTTCTGTCAAGCTCTCCACCAGTCTCCAAAACTCCCGCTCGACATCATCTTCCGACTCGCGCCTGTGGGTGTTCAGGACGGGATCGAAGGGCATTTTGGAGGCGAAATAGATTTTCTTGAAATTATTCGCCTTCTCCTGGAACTGCTTGAGCGAGTACACTCCACCTTCTTCAAATCCAAATTCCCCTGTACCGACTAGGCACTTGGGACAATGCCAGTCATATTCAGGCACAGTAGTCAGGGGCGGATCGAGACAGGTCTTGTGGTACCCATGGTCACAGCTATCGCACACAAGGATAGACGATCGCTCCTCGGCTTTGCCACATATTTCGCATTTCTAGAATGAGTCAGCAAACGGCGCAACGACTGCAAGGGAGATCGGAAGCCTACATCGCCAATCTTCCGGTTGTCGCTTTTGCGTTGGCGGGGTGGAGCTGGGCGGAGAAGACTCATGTGGGAGCCCGAAACAGTGGGTAGAGGCGCGTCTAAGTTGTTTGTTTAGATTGCAGACAAAGAAATTAGCCCGAAAAACAAATACATACCTTTCCGCAGGCGCTTGCTCCGTCGCCCGTTGGCATCAACTTCACCATTCTCGGGTTGCGATCCACTTTCGTGGCTGATGGCGCGCTTCATCGGCTGACTTCCATGGCCGTTGGAGACAGCGCTGGGATTTGGCGGGGGCTCAGCGATGCTCTTCGGGGTGAGAGAACCGTTATCTACTTCTCGCTTTACGGGAGGACCGCTATTCACCGCGATAAAGGATGGTGATCGATTGACAGCAGTGAATCCACCGGAGCCAGCATTAACAGCCGTAAATCCAGAGGCAATAGGTCGGGGCGGTGTAGGCTCGACCGGAGGGGTGGGCTTCTCCGGGGTCGCCTCAACTTCTTTGGATGCGCTCGGAGGTAGAACGGGATTGCTTAACACCGGCTGAGGCGTGGCCGATGGAGTATTGCTCTCGAGCGACACCGGCTTTTTGGGCATGGGTGAATGATTAGGGGAGGGTGTGTAGGGACCGCCGTGTTCCAGCTCCAGTTGCTGCTGCACCCCGGGCTTGGCCAGACGCAGATACTCTTCATATGGCTGCAGCCATCTTTGATAAGAGTTCTTGAGTGACGTTGAGAGGGAGGACATGATTTTGCCACTGTAGCCCAAGTCGCGACCAATTTCCGCCCATTTTTTCATCTTACAGACCTGGTCAAAACCGCCGCGAACTTCGACGGCCTTCTTCAATTTGTACAGGTCCAAGGGACGTTTGTCGACGCTCGGAAACCGGTTGAGGTTGGTACCATGTTGCTTGTGAAACTTGGCTAGCTGATCGAGATAGTTCAAGTTTGCACGAGTTCCTGGTTCCGGGTCAGAACTGGGCTGCGGAGCTCCACCGGCAGCAAGCTTGGCTGAGCGCGGGGGCATACCTCCTTCAACCGAGTTGAGCTCCTGTCGACGAGTTTTGAAATGGAATCGCTAGGGGGAAAACACGGTGTTAGCCTCATCGCTCTCTATGAAACGCTCCACCCCCAGCCACTGCAACCAGAGACAGCTTCGCAGCAAGCGAAAGTGGCCACAGGACAGCAACCAACATACCTCGGTGTCTATAGCAAATGTGGGCTGCCAATTCTCAGGAGGAATAATCCTGCAAATTCCATATTTCTTTCCCTCCGGCGCGATTTTGCGAATGTATGCCTCGGGGTCTCTAAATTCCTCCTCCGTGGGGCGAAAAGTCGGGGCCTCTTTTAATCCATGGGGACGGACTCGGTGGCTCGGTTCTCGAGGGGCATTGGGCTGCCCCCGTCGTTCGACGGTGGATAGGTCGAGGGGCGCGGATCGGCGAGCGCTCAAAGGCACATTGTGAGAATGCGAAGGGTGAGTGCTAGACGATCGAGCGGGCTGGCGGCTCGCTGGAGGCTGTCCGCCTGTCGAGGAGCCTCCCGTTGAGGCCGGAGCCACCATCTCTTTTAAGCGACAGATGAATTGGGACGAGAGAGAATTTGCGCGTGTTTTACCGCGGACGGAAGGGGGCCAGCGTCCGATGCGAAAAACACATGGAGGAGGACCAGAGTCGATAAAGAGACGATGGGTGATTGCGGGAAGACAACGGACAGCTGGCTAGTCGGGGAGGAAGGGGGAGAGGGGAGGGCGCGTTGAAGGAGAGAGAGAAAGGGAAGGAGGGAGATGGGGAGGGAGGTAAATTGATGATAGAGGGAGGAGGGCAGCAAGCAGATGTCCCAGGGAAGGCCGAGATGAACCCGGGAGGGCTAGTGTGGAGAATCTCGGAACAGGAACAAGGATCGAGTAAAGTCACGACAAGGACGGTCCGGCAAAAGCAAGTGCGCGGTGGTGGTGGGAGAAGGGAATATTTAATCAGTAGTAGTGCAGCAGGAAGTTAGTACCGAGCAATAGCATTTGGGGGGGGGGGGGGGGGGGAGGGAGATGGTTGTGAATTAGCAAGAGTGACGATTGGAGGAATTGGCCGTAGCCGGAAGTAGTAGTTCGTGGGTAGGCCAGTTGGGTCAGGCCAGGTAAGGTCAGCTCAGGTCAGGTCAGGTATAGTAGGGCAGGGTGTTGGGTTTAGGTAAGTAATCGGACTAAAAGTGCTGTAGTTGGAGGGTGTGGGTAGTAGATAGAACTAGAGCAGGTATCTACCTATCTAGGTCGATACGGCAGTAGGTACGACCTCCTAGTACCTATCTAGGTAGATGAGATGATACTAAACGGTGGGAAAGTGGATCGAGGGAAGCTGAAGAAACACTCAGATCCCGAGTCCATGGAAGGAGAAAAAGGCCAAAGGGGGGGGGGGGAAGGGAAAAAAAATAAGGGAAAAAAAGAAAAGGAAAAAGGGCAGCCGGATGACGGACAGAGAGAAGAAGCCAGCCAGAGAGAGAGAGACAGACAGACAGACAGACAGAGGGAGAATGATTTGCATTTGGCTTCACGGCCTCAGGCCCGGTAGCGAACGAACCCTGAAGCGGTAATGCTCCCTACCGAACGGGATCAGCCAAGCTTACCGTACTCCGTATGGAAAGATACCTCTTCCCCATCCCGTCCACTTGCCCGCAAACGGTGATGTAACGACTCGGAGCAGAGGAACTGGAACCTGCCCGGGCCATATTGTAAACTCAATACAGCCCAGGTCGTGCCGTACTGCTAGCTACTAGTTGTTGTCGACGGACCATTGAACTTCTTACTACTAGGAAAGGATGTTAGGATGGGGCTGGGAATAGTTACCACCTCCGTTCTAGTAAGTACCCGGGAGGTATGTACTTACAGTAGCTGTGTGCAACTCAGGACTCAGGTACCAATCTAGGTACCTTCATATCAGGCTATCAGCATATGGCTGAACGTTTGTACTACAAACCCTTCTCCCCTCTCCTTCGAGAACATTAAAGAGGCCCTTATTTCGTTCTCCTTTAGTTCTTTTGCATGCAGATACTATCTAGGTACATCCGATAAGTAGGACAGCGGACAGGAGTCCAGTCCCTGAGGCTGGAAAAGCGAAGGATAAAACGAGGCAAGAAGCTATATGCATGCTTTCAGTTACCTGCCCATTTTCATTTGTCATTTACCTTGTTATTGTGGAAAACAAAAAGACAAAAAGACAAAAGACAAAAAAAAAAAAAAAAAAAAAAAAACACAAAAACACAAAAAAAGATACTATCAGAGTGCCTGGGTAAGCAAATTGCCCACGTCGGATGGCAGGATACCAAAGTTCCATCGGAAGCGTATTGGGGGTGTAATGGAACATTACGGCCGGATACTACGTTGACCTTCCTTCCTTCCAGGGGAACGGAGTGGCCGGTTGCTTAGCTCAACCATATCAAGGCTTTATCCTCACGTCGCGAGACTTCTTGCCTGCTGAAGGGCCCCCCTGGACTTGAATCTGCCATGGAGAGAGACTAGCGAAGCACGACACAATACTAACCATATACTGGAGTAGCCAGAGAAATAAATTGGAACCTCCGTCTGCCAAGTCCCTGAACTCCGACGGAACAGAGGGAGACAGAAAAGGTGTGGTGGGTGTTGGGGGAAAAGAGAGAGAGAGAGAGAGAGAGAGAGAGAGAGAGAGAGTCTGAAGGGATCAAGGTATGATACGCATTCCTGAGTGTGACACGTCAACCATGGTCCGGAACCGACCATAAAATATCGCAAAATGATTCAGACCAAAAGCCAAAAGCACACAGAAAAGGTGCGTCCCTCTTACTGTCAACACTTCCTTCCCGCTGGCAAGGGACCTGACCTGGAATGGAAATGGCTACTGGCGTCCTGTCCTTCGTCCTCACTGGTCTATCCCAGGGCCAGAGGAGGTAAAATCATGCAATGCTCACTTCCCTAGCCCACTCAGGGCCGATTTTTTATTTTAAATCACATGGGTCTGGCGTTTCCGGACTCGGGGGATCCAGCCCGTACTTACTTACGGACCGCTGCAATGCGGGTGAGATGGGATGGGGGGGGAAGACCGTGGGTGAACTGGGCGTTGGGTGTACCTTTGTATCTAGCCCTCTAACCCTCTCTCTCTCCCCCTCTGCCTCCTCCACATCCGTCGTTGTCAGTCAGCGAACGTCAAGCTCGACCGTCAATCAGCTGCAGCGTCATCTGCAGTACTTATGCCCAGCTGTAGGTAGTAAGTACTAGTACTACTGTCCACCCGGCTGATTAGATGCTGGCTGTAGACTTTCTAGACTCGTGTTTTCTTTTTCCAGCGCCCTTTTTGCGTTTCTCCTCCCTCGTCTTACCGGCAGTGTTGGTTCTTTGTCCGCTTCATTGGGACTGGTGTCATGCCATGCATTGTCCCAATGAGGTTATTTGGTCGCAACAGGGCAGCAGCCCCTGGATTGCAGAGCCGGCCAGGGTAAGGTTTCGTTGCCATGCTTGCGTTGAGCCGCAGCCAGTGGGTGTCGATGGTGGTTGCCTCAGGCATACAAGAGCCCCCCCTCTTGTGTAATTTGAAACAATTGAATATACTACGGAGTAACTGGATGAGAATCGCAAAACAGAACATAAGTCGTAAAGGAGTTTGTAATCCGATGTAAATAAGACGTTCAGGATGAGAATCGGTCGCGAGTTTAATCGTGTCTGTCATGTGACCCTCACACATGGATCTCGGACGCCCCGAATCGGATCGTAAACATCCACCACCGTCCTCGCATATCTCTTAGACAAGCAAAAGCAAGTGCACGGACAGGTCAGAAACCCATGCTGCACTTGTGCGGATGTCTTGGGTATATTGATCCGTATCGTTCCTGACTTGATTACCTCGAACCCTCGAGCACCCTTCGGTTGATCTATCGCCATGGATGAGGCAGAAGTCGACCATACTAAACCGATCCCCGCGTTCTACTGCTGCTATCTGCTGCGATCGACCAAGAAGCACATCTCACTGTATATTGGCTCGACTCCACACCCTGCGAGGCGACTCGCACAGCACAATGGCGACTCCAAGGGCGGCGCCCGTAAGACCGCAAAAGATGACAGGAGACCATGGGAGATGGTCCTGCTCGTGGAGGGCTTTACAAGCCGCGTTGCCGCGTTGCAATTCGAGTAAGTGAATTCCCCGCATGCAGTCGATGACCGTTCATCTAATGGATTTTGTAGATGGGCGTGGCAGAATCCAAAATTGTCTTGGCAGCACCCCGTAAATCGCCGGGATTTGGAACTGGATACTACATGCGACAACGCTCGAGCGGCTCAGAACAACCCAAAAGCGCCAACGACCAAACGCCGAGGTCGTGGCTCCCGAAGGTCGCTCAAATACCATTTAGAAGACCTGCATGTCTTTCTACGCTCCCCCTACTTCTCAAAATGGCCCCTGAAGTTACGCTTCTTCAATGCGGACGTGTATCAGCTGTGGACGAGCTGGTGCGACCGCGTGGATGGCTTGCTTCCCGACCATGTCAGGCTCATTTTAGATGGGGACTGCCCCAAGGATCACTCGCACGACGAAGGCGACCTGCGGGTTAGAAACGTCACTTATATGAAGGCCGACTATAGCCCGATTCACGACTACGTAGAGAAGGCCAATTTTATGCTGGACGATCCGGAGGATCTGCGTTGCAAAGTCTGCCAAGCACAGATCCTTCCACAAGAAGACTTGGCGGTGGTCTGCCCTCAGGTGGACTGCCACTGCATCAGTCATCTATTGTGTCTATCAACCAAGTTTCTGAATACCGCCAAAGAGCCAGACCAGCTCGTTCCGATTGATGGCAACTGCCCCGCGTGCAACAAGGTTGTTCAGTGGTCAACGATGATGCAAGAATTAAGCCTTCGGAATCGGGGGCCAAACGAGACCCGTGCAATACTTCGAAAGGCAAAGCGAGATGGTGCTAAAGCACGTGGCCGTGTCCCTAAAACAAGCGCTGCCGGCGAAGTGGGTAGCATCATGGAAGAACAAGGCCATAAATCTGCACTAGTTGGAAGCTCAGTTGTCGATACAGGCGACAATCTGAATGTGGACTTCCAGGATGATGCCAGTTTGGACGATAACTGGGCGGAGTCGACAGAATTCGATATGGAACCGGACATGGGGGACGCATCAGGGGCCCCTGAGACAGAATCACATAGGGTCGAAATCGTTATAGAAGACAGTGACACCGACGGGCTGGGGGATCTGGGATGACACCCTGGTTTCCTTGAATATTCCCTCGCCAATGATTATCAGGACAGGACTAAACGGCGATGGATGCGAATCGCTTCAATGGCCCAATGGAGTCCAGACGAGCAATACAGTCGACTGCGCTCTTCTCAATGTCTATCGAGACATCTGGGAATGCCCTACCGGCATCAAGTACTTGAATGTTACCGCTCTGCTGTACGCGGAAGATTGTTTGGAACAACTCGCGCACGCGGCTTTGCATGGTCTCATTCTCATAACGTTCGGCACCGAATCCACCGCGCTTCGCAGCTTCCCCCGGGGCAATACTCAGGAAAAGACAGAGGTCGGGTTGGGGCAATCCGATTTCTGGCATCCATGCCCACTCCAGGGACAAAGTCGGGTTGGATTTGGCGGCGGAGTATACGGCACCGGAATAGGAATAACGGTCCACGATCACGGTGATGCCAGCTGCTATGTCTTCCTCGATGCTCCGCGCAATCTCCCAGCGATTGGCGGAGAAAAGGAGATGGATGGAATGGTCGTCCAACTGCGACTGGCCACGTAGGTAGTCATCGATCAACTTTCCAATGGGAGTGGTCCGGTCTGGAAGGACGGATGGGTTAGCGCGATGACTGTTCTGTACCAGGATGTGGGATGTTGCGTACCTGGGAAACGGATGTACTTCACCGAGTGGCCTAATTCTTGCAATTTGTCGCGTAGAGACTCGCATTGACTGGATTTGCCCGCGCGGTCCAGGCCTTCGACAACGATGAGCGCCCCGCGGCGCGAGTGAGCTGCCATGTTGGGGCGGTGGGATACAAAAGAGAGATCTCGGTCGGTGGGTAAATCAGGCTGTACCAGTCAGAGATGGAAGAATTGCAGGCCAACAAGAAGTGGAAGTGGACTTTCGGGGGCAGAAGGTGGAGGTTGAAAGTTGAAAGTTAAAAGTACTTGAAGGATCCCCTCATTTCATCGCGCTCGACCGCGTCGTGTCGACGATCACCTGGATGGGGTTAGCCTGGCCGAGTCGGGTATAGCGCATGTTCCGCTCATGTCGGAGGATTGTGTCTGGATGGATGGATGGATGGATGGATGGGCACATCCACTGTTCGCTGTAGCATTAAATAATCACAAAGATGTGGCCGTGACCTCGAGTAGGCCCTCATGTGGCCCTCATAATTCAAAAGGCAGAAAAAAGGTCCATGGTCACCAGTCTGGCGTTAGAACGTACCAAGGGACATAACCCGTCTGACTGGGTTCAACCTATTCGGGGTCCAAGAGTCTAGATTCTCCCATAATGCGCAAATCTCCACGTAGAACGAAAACGTTCATTAACATCCAGCTTGTGTAGACGTCAACTGCGGCGTTGGGATAGTCTCGTCGATAGAGCTTGGCGGGAGGCAGATCGCGAGTGGGGGAAGGAACATTTTCTCAGGCACACACGGCCTGCCCATCTTCTTCTTCTCCACCTCCACCTCCACCCATCCTTCTCAACTTCCCACCCCCGTCCCCCACGTCTCTCCAGGGTCGCGATGGGCTCCGAGTCCTCCCCGCAATCGCCAGATGAGATGCTCTCCTTCAATGTCACGCCCTCCGTCCTATCCCCGCGACTCGGAAGACTAGCCATCGCCGGCAGGAAGCCCATCTCCACGCCGCATTACATCCCGCTGTCCTCCCGCGGAATCGTCCCCCATATTGCCCAGGATGTGATGCGCGATCACACGGCCATCGGCAGTCTCTTCGTCGGCCTGGAAGATTGTACGTCATCCAAATTCCCCATACCGACCAGTCGCGATCAAGCCGGAGCACCCCCGCTGACATGAATGCCCATCGGGGCCCAGATCAGTCCTAGAAAGACAAACCCCCAAAGAACCGCTACCCCCAGCGTACATGATTCCCACAGCCCAGGGTGAATCCGCCCTGCGCAAGTTCATCTCGCTCCCCGATGACTTCCTCTTGATCATGGGCCCGCGCCGCGAGCCCTCGATCACATGCCCTCCGTCCAACACGCCCAATTCCGTCGCCATCTACACAGCCGTCGGGTTCAGACAGCTCGAGGCGCGCCAATACATCCATGCCGTGCAGAACCTCAACCCCGACATCGTCGTGGGCCTCGCAGACCTCGTCCTGGGACATACACCGGGTCTCAAACGGCGCGGAAAGATGGTCGACAGAACGCATGCGTTCACCACGCACGCCACTGGGCAGCTCTACGGCAGCTCCGTTCCCATCGAGAACCGATCCAAGACGGCTTATTTCGCGCCCGTCCTTCCCCTCGAGAACGCCGAACAGTCGATATACATGGACGATCTCGAAGACGAACTTCGCCCACATATCTCCGGTCTGGCGCTGTACGAATCCGCCTCGCTATCAGCGATCTCCGAGCCTCTTGGGGATCTCCCCCGACTGCTCTTCAGCGCACCAGCAACCCCCCACGATATCCTCCGCGACGTCTCTCTTGGCGCCGATCTCCTCACTATCCCCTTCGTCACCGTCTGCTCCGACGCCGGCATCGCCTTAGATTTCACCTTCCCCGCCAACTCCACCACCACCGACCCTCAACCCATGGCCTACGACCTCTGGTCATCCTCCTACACAACAGACACCTCCACCCTCTCCGGCTCCTGCCAATGTTTCACCTGCCGCAACCACCACCGCGCCTACATCCACCACCTCCTCTCCGCAAAGGAAATGCTCGCCTGGACCCTCCTCCAAATCCACAACCACCACACCATGGACGCCTTCTTCTCCCAAATCCGCGACAGCATCGCACGAGACACCTTCGAAACAGACGTCCAGGCCTTCCAAAAGGCCTACGTCTCCGAATTGCCTGAGCCTACCGGCCAGGGCCCAAGGTACTTCCCCATCAACCCCCTGCTTCTCTATAAAACAACACCACCTAAACAAAACCGAACTAACACTGCTCCCTCCCAGACTCCGCGGCTACCAACTCCCCGCATCCGGCGCCAACCAACCCCGTCGCTTTCCCCGCGTATACGGCCGCCTCGACGACGCAGTGGAGAAGTTCACTGAGTCGCAGTCGCAGTCCTCCGTCGCTACCCCTGATACCGGCGCCGATGGGCTCGAAGAACACGGGTTTGCGCAGAAAGAGATATCTTAAATATATCATTCGTGACCTGTATGGTCTCGTGATGCAAGGTCAAGGGAAGAGTTGCGATATAGGGGTTGGGGTGCTATTGCTGCGGAGTATCATGGTGTTTTTGTTGTTGGGATTGGTTGGGTTGGGTAGTTGGTTAGTTCATTGGTCAGTGTGATCTATGACGTCGTAGAGACCCGTAGAGAACTACCTTATTACTACTACATGGTATATAGATGGATGGATGGATGGATGGATGTGTGCATGGAATGCGTTGCTGCATAGCATGGCTTAGATGGGAATTGCATATCATTTCTTGGTTTTTCTTTTTCCTTATTTTTTTTTTTTTTGGTTTCTTGGTTCCATCGTGGTGTCTACATCAGAAGATAAGGTAGATAGAAAGATAGTCTGCTGTAAACACGCTATTCAATAAATTCCATACTCTATTTTGATCCGTCCTATATCGTATCCATATATAGTGACACACATACACACACTGACACACTGATACACAAAGACAGATACCCAAGAAAAAGTAGATAGGTAGGTAGCACAATGGGTCGATCGGACGGCAGCAAAAAAAAAAAAAAAAAAAAAAAAAGACCAAAACCAAAACCAAAATTATAAACATCATACATAGTACTTATTATGTACTACACATACCACATACCACGTAAAGCAAAGCAAGTAGGATACCCTGACCAAGCCAGCGGGCAGGGATTAAAGGAGGATAGATAGATAGTTGAGTGGTTGAGGGGTTGAGTGATTGGGGAATGTATAATGACTTGACTAGCAGTTAGCCAATTCCCTCCACATCCACTTAACCTCGTCCTCTTCCTCCTCGGAGCCGACCTCGGTACCGGCTCCGAATTCCTGCCCGACGACGCAGACGAGCCAGACGTCGTTCTTGGTCTGGTCGAGGAAGCGCTCCGAGGCGGAGTTCTTGGGGTAGATGCGACGCCATTCGTCCCAGATGCGGTAAGCCTCGTCGCCCCAGGCGCGGAAGCTGACTTCCTCGATGATGGTGGGGGAGACGATCTCCTTGCCGCGGAAGACGCCCCAGGTGACGGCGTTGACGTTGGCCGGGTTGATGTCGATGGGGTCGGCGTCGTCAGGGTTGGGGCCGGGCAGGGAGGACTCGAAGTCGCCGGCGGCGTTGGTGGCGAACCAGGCGAGTTTCTCGTGGCCGTGTTTCTGGAAGAGGGGCTTGAGGACGGATTGGAAGTCCTTGTCCGGGCAGAAGAACTCGACGAAGGGCTTCTGGAAGACGAAGCCCTCGCCGGGAGGGCCCCAGCCGAAGATGGGGTCGTCGCTCCGGACGCCGTTGATGGCAGGCTGGGAGGCCAGCGTCCACCAGTTCTTCTTGTCGATCAGGGTGAGAAGTTCGGAGCGGATGACGGCGGTCTCGGCGTTCAGGCCGCTGGTGTTCTCTTCGGCGCCGCCCTCAGACCACGGCACCATGTGCAGTTCTCCGGAGACGTGGCGGCGGAAGAGCGCGCTGATGTCTTCGCGGGTGACGGGGAAACCCCAGATGCGGCGGGCGACGGACGGTTGGACGTGCAGGGACGGTCCGTAGCCATCGATTTCTCCGAAGGCGGGGGAGCGAGCGTCACCCCAACGACCGTTGGGGAAATCATCCCAGGTGGCTTCTCTGCCGAGAGCACCCAGACCTTCCGAGATCTGGAGGGTCGTGCTGCGGTCTGGTGGCTGGGCGGGTAGGCCTGCGCTCAAGGCCAACGCCTCGTGCGTGACGGAGTGGTTTGAGGATGCTTCGGAGGCCTGGAGCTTGTCGACAATAACACGGTTGTGGGGGATAGAGCTGACGGACGAACGGCGACTGGTGAGGTTGCGGATCTGGGCTCCATTCGGGGCGAGATACGACGAGGAGTCGAGAGCAGACAGGTTTCCGCCGTCCGCCAGTGCCTCGCCATCATCGTATTCAGAGTAAGGAGGGATGAGGTCACAGCGCTCGAGAATGAAGGAGACTGTCTTCTCCAGATTCAGCGTGTAGAAATGGAAACCGCGCTGCCCGGAGTTGGGAAGTTCCCGGATGCCATGCACGATGTTGCTGATAATGTCCACACCGATACGCTTCACGGCATCGTCGTCATGCTTCACCTCCTCCAACTTGGCCAGAATATGGGGCGGGACTTGGACATGACTGAGCTTCGTCACTCTCGTCAGGATCTTGTAGCTGTGAATGGGCATCAGACCAGGGAGGATGGGGATGGTCTTGAAGGCGCCCGATTCGTGGTTCCGTAGTCTGGTCTCGAACTTGGTGTATGCCTCCAGATCATAGGTCAACTGAGTCATGATGAAATCCGCGCCCGCTTGCGTCTTCTCGACCAGGTACGGCAGATCCCTCTCCGGATCCTGTCCATCCTGGAAGTTGTCGGCGGGGTGACCCTCGGGGTACGCAGCGACACCGATGCAGAAGTAGTCGCCGTATTGTTGCTTGATGTACCGCACCAAGTCCACCGCGAAGGTGAAGTCCCGGTTGCTGTCGTCCTCCCCATGGATATTATATTCCTCACTACGAGGCGCGTCACCACGGAGGGCGAGGATGTTCCTGATTCCCAGCACCTTGGCCTCCTCGAGGGCCTCGTCGACCAGAGCGCGGCTCATGTTCGTGCAGGTCAGGTGTAGACATGTCGTCAACTGCAGCTGGCGCTGGCAAATCTCGGCCAGTTCCAGAGATCTCGCGGCGGTACTTCCTCCAGCGCCCCAGGTGACGGTGACGAACAGCGGACGCAAAGCCTGGGCCATGCGCTCCAGACGAGCTTGCAGATTGGCGAAACCCTAGACAGCGATATCCAGATTAGCGATCACCTTGGGCTTGCAGAGCCGGTTTTCATTTCGTGCCGGTGCGGGGAGGGAGTAGAGGCGCGCCCCACCATCTTGGTCTTGGGAGGGAAGAACTCCAGCGAAAAGTAATTCGTGTCTGGCGGCAGAGCCGCGATCTTGTCCGTGATCTTCTCCATGGCGAGATCACACACACTATGGCGGGCGTCGGGGCGGATGCGGAGGAGGGGGAGGAGGAGGGAAGAGCTGAAGGCTGGCGGTGGTGGGGAAGAAGAAGACTTCCTCATGCTAATAATGCTGGGTCGCACGCCGATGGACCCTCCGGAAAGGGCAGAATGACGAATTGCCGACCTCGACTGCCCGAGTCAAGGCTGGGTTACCAAGCCTGCCAGTCCTGCTGGGCGCATGTTGCTCCTTTCTCCGACCCGACAAAAGCAATTGTCTGGCTTTCGTTGCCTCCTGGCTTTGTCTCCATCTTCTCGCTGTGTGCCTGGGCTCTCTGCTTGCTCGGTTAGTGACTCCCTGTCGTCGTACTGAGTTCTTGACGCATGCGTCATCCAGGCACGTCTCACCGGCTCGCATTGGAGAAACTCCGGGCGGATGATGCAGGTCGAGTCTTGTTCCCTGACAATGGCATGATCGAGAGGCATTATTGGCGAGAGAGAGAGAGAGCATCGCTGCCCTTGCCAATGCGCTCGTTGTTTCCCCAGGCACTTTATCGGGGCTGCAAACAGAGCAAACATCCTCTTTCTCCGTCGGACTCGCGATAGACTCAACAATCAGGCTAACATTATCACTGCGATATGACACTTCAGCCCAATTAGACCCCCAAATACCTCCCCAGGGAACCCCCCTCCCTGATTCCATCCCTCCAAAATGCCTCCCCGACCCTCACTCCTCCAACAATTCCGCTTCGCAGCGCGACGCAACCCTCCATCCCACTTCCACTTCCACCGATACTTCTCCACCCCGCGCTCGAAGATATCCCTCGAAAAGGTCCGATTACGTCTATCCAGGCTAAACGACAGTCTCCCTCCCCTCCTCCGCAAATACACCACTCCCCTCCTCGAGGCCCCGTCCGCCCACATCATGTCCTTCGTGCTGCTGCACGAGCTAACCGCCATTGTGCCCATGCTGGGGCTATGGGCTGACTTCCACTATAACGGTCGCCTCCCGGACTTGACCTCCAACGCCTCGTTCCAGGAAAAGACACAGAAGCTGGGGAACTATCTACGGAAGAAGGGCTGGGTGGAGGACGCCGATGTGGATAGTGCTAATAGTGCCGTCGCGGATGCTCGGGGTCGTGAGTCTGACGGGTTTGAGGGGTCGGCTTCGGGTGAGGGTGTGGTGGGCGGTGATAATGAGGGGAAAGGAGTGCGTCTGATTCTGGAGGTTGCGGCGGCTTATACGATAGTAAAGGCTTTGATGCCGCTACGGGTGGTGGTGTCCGTGTGGGCGACGCCGTGGTTCGCGCGTACGGTTTTGGTTCCGACGGAGACGTGGTTTATGAAGACGTTGAGAAGGAAGTGAGCCGGTGGTGTTTGATGACACCGCGCAGGTGCATATAAAATACGGTTTGTACATAAGATTTTGTAGGATACGCTGTGTAGTGGGTGAATGGTTTTTTCATGTTTCTATTTCTCATGACGTCTTTTCTGTATATGTACCTAGGTACGCTCTACATCCCAACACGGGCCGGGCTGCAGACGCTCAGGCGCAAGACCGGGCCGAGAAATTTAGGCCTTCTCGTAGATCCAGTTGAACTGGGCGGAGGTCCACTTCTGGAGCTCGCTGGGGGAGAACCAGAGGGCAATCTCCTTCTGGGCGTTCTCGACGGAGTCGGAGCCGTGGCAGACGTTGCGGCCGACATCCTGGTTGACGGTTAGCGGGGTAGATATGGAGTCAGGGACTGGGATGCTTACGATGGCGTAGTCACCACGGATGGTGCCGGGGGCGGAGGCAAGGGGGTTGGTGGCACCGAGGATGGCTTTGAGACAGTTAGTACATATAGACGAGTGGTCATCAGCGGTGGAACTTACTACGGCCGGTCTTGACGGCGTCACGGCCCTCCCAGACCATGGCGCAGATGGGGCCGCTCAGCATGTCTAGATGTAACGTTAGCATGTTTGGAAGCACATGAAGGTGCTTGATGGCGTTCGGGGCTACTGACAGGAGACGAGACCGGGGAAGAAGGGCTTCTCCTTGAGGTCGGCGTAGTGCTTCTCAAGGTGCTCCTTGCCGGGCTGGCAGAGCTTGAGGGCAACAAGCTTGAAGCTGTAAGACGTCAGTCCCAAGTCCTGTGTGGCATCGAGGTATAGGGGATACGAACCCACGGTTCTCGAAGCGAGAGATGATGGGGCCGACGAGTCCACGCTGTTATCGTCAGTACGGGTTCGATCCGTGACAAGCCGGCGTAGCCATCGTAAAGGCACTGTCATTCATACCTGGACACCGTCGGGCTTGATGGCAATGAAGCTATATCAATTGGTTAGCAGGAGCATGGCAAGGAGGGAGGAGGGGTAGATGGGGGGGGGGGGGGGGCAAGGCTGGCTGTCCTCGAGGACCTCGAGGGAGAGGACAGAGCGGCTAAGGGTGAGGGGCAGGATGGAGGGGTAAAGTGTGAGGATAGAGCATAGGAGATGGGATCAACTTACGTCTGCTCGGTAGACATTTTGAGGGATGGAATAGTATGAGATACGATTGGGGAAACAAGAGGGAAAGGAAAGAAGCAGGGCCGGCGTGAGTTGGCGAAAAATATAAGGAGGGACCGCAAACGCTGTGTGGGGCAGCAGAGGAGGGGCAGCAAACTACGCCGTCGCCGTCTGCCACTCACAGCCGCCCATCGCGGGCGTGGGCTGAGCTGAGGGTGGCTGCCTGACTGCCTGATCCCTGGCTCCTATGTCAAGGCCTCACCGCCTCAGGCGTCTCGTCTCAGGCTCCCAGGTGTCAAATCAAACCCCGTACTGTCCAATCCGGACTAGCGCCACGCTAACCCAAGCAGGAGCTTCCCCCCCCATCGGCATCTCCATCTGGCCAGCCTGGAACTATCCTTGATCGCCCTGTATCTACGATCTCCTCGGTACATGTCACCCTTCCCCTGCAACATACACCGGCCTTCTTTCTGTGTGGGACCTTCGCCTCTGGTAGATGCAGGTCGGCGCGCCAGTGGCTGCTGATACTTCTTCCTTCGGAGGTTGAGTGTCTCTGATTGCATCTGTTAGCTCAACCATGGCCGGCGCCCGGCCACTGTCCACCCGTTGGACCCTACTGCTGTCGTTGGTCGTCCTACTTGGATGCCTCGTCATCCCCGGAGGTGCGCGTTTCTCTTCACCTGTGCACTTCTCCGCTCTCCAGCTCTGACAATCCCTCGCAGTCACCGTGAAACACGAGAACTTCAAGACATGCTCCCAATCCGGCTTCTGTAAGCGGAACAGAGCGCTCGCGGACGATGTATCCGCCAAGGGGCCATCTTGGACCTCCCCATACCAACTCGACCCTTCGTCGATCGAATTCAAGGACGGCCAATTGCGCGGAACTATTCTCAAGGCGGTCTCGGCCGATGAGCAGGTCAAGCTGCCGGTTGTCGTCTCCTTCCTCGAGTCCGGCGTCGCACGAGTCGTTGTCGACGAGGAGAAGCGGGTGAACGGTGATATTGAGCTGCGGCACAACAGCCAGGCACGCAAGGAACGCTACAATGACTTGGAGAAATGGGTCTTGGTTGGTGGCTTGGAGCTGAGCAAGTCTGCGACCTTGAGGCCGGAAACCGAGGAGGGCTTCACGAGGGTCTTGTACGGTCCGGACAACAAGTTCGAGGCGGTGATCCGCCACTCGCCATTCAGCGCAGACTTCAAGAGGGACGGACAGACGCACGTTCAATTCAACCACCAGGGCTACCTGAACATGGAACACTGGCGTCAAAAGGTGGAGCGTGAAGGTGATAGCGAGGAGCAATCCCAGGAAGATGAAGCCCGTTGGTGGGATGAGAGCTTTGGCGGAAACACGGACTCGAAGCCTAGGGGTCCCGAAAGTGTCGGATTGGACATCACCTTTCCTGGCTACAGCCATGTTTTCGGTATTCCAGAGCATGCCGACTCCCTCAACTTGAAGGAGACCAGGTAAGCTGGCCTCGCCTCGACCCTCACCTGAGATGGCTAACAGGAATGTCAGGGGTGGAGAGGGCAACCATAACGAGCCTTATCGCCTGTACAATGCCGACGTGTTCGAGTATGAGCTTAACAGCCCGATGACCTTGTACGGCGCTATCCCGTTCATGCAGGCCCACCGCAAAGACTCTACTGTGGGTGTCTTCTGGCTCAATGCCGCTGAAACCTGGATCGATATTGTTAAGCAGACTTCTTCTGCCAATCCTCTGGCTCTCGGCGTGGGCTCCCAAACCGACACCCAAAGTCACTGGTTTTCCGAGTCTGGCCAGCTTGACGTGTTTGTGTTCCTCGGTCCTTCCCCCCAGGAGATCAGCAAGACCTATGGCGAGCTCACCGGCTACACCCAGCTTCCTCAACAGTTTGCCATCGCCTACCACCAGTGCCGCTGGAACTACGTCACGGATGAGGATGTCAAAGAAGTTGATCGCAACTTTGACAAGTACCAGATTCCGTATGACATCATCTGGCTCGACATTGAGTACACGGACGACCGCAAGTATTTCACCTGGGATCCTCTGACCTTCCCGGACCCGATCAGTATGGAGCAGCAGCTTGACGAATCCGAGCGCAAGCTTGTCGTTATCATTGACCCCCACATCAAGAACCAGGACAAGTACAGCATCTCCGCAGAGATGACGAGCAAGGATCTGGCGACTAAGAACAAGGACGGCGAAATCTACGATGGTTGGTGCTGGCCTGGCTCGTCCCACTGGATCGACTGCTTCAACCCGGAAGCTATCAAGTGGTGGGTCGGCCTGTTCAAGTATGACAAGTTCAAGGGAACCCTCGCCAATGTCTTCATTTGGAACGACATGAACGAGCCCTCTGTTTTCAACGGCCCCGAAACCACGATGCCCAAGGATAACCTGCACCATGGCAACTGGGAGCACCGTGACATCCACAATGTGCACGGAATGACCCTGGTCAATGCTACCTACGATGCACTCCTGGAGCGCAAGAAGGGTGAGCTCCGTCGGCCCTTCATCTTGACGCGGTCTTACTACTCCGGGGCTCAACGGATGTCTGCCATGTGGACGGGAGATAACCAGGCCACGTGGGAGCATCTGGGCGCTTCCCTCCCCATGGTTCTCAACAACGGCATTTCGGGATTCCCGTTTGCCGGTGCGGATGTTGGTGGCTTCTTCGGCAACCCCAGCAAGGAGCTTTTGACCCGGTGGTACCAGACCGGCATTTGGTACCCCTTCTTCCGCGCTCACGCGCATATTGACACTCGCCGGCGAGAGCCTTACCTGATCGCCGAGCCACACCGATCCATCATCTCCCAGGCCATCCGCTTGAGGTACCAGCTTCTCCCCGTCTGGTACACTGCCTTCCACGAGGCTTCCGTCAACGGAACGCCCATTGTGCGGCCGCAGTACTATGTTCACCCGGCCGATGAGGCTGGCTTTGCCATCGACGACCAGCTTTACCTTGGCTCGACGGGTCTTCTCGCTAAGCCCGTGGTCTCGGAGGAGGCCACCACGGTCGACATCTACCTTGCCGACGACGAAAAGTACTATGACTACTTCGACTACACCGTTTACCAGGGTGCTGGCCAGAAGCACACGGTGCCTGCTCCCATGGAGAAGGTGCCTTTGCTGATGCAGGGTGGTCACGTCATCCCCCGCAAGGATCGTCCCCGCCGCAGCAGCGGGCTGATGAAGTGGGATCCCTACACTCTGGTTGTGGTCCTGGATAAGAACGGCCAGGCCGATGGCTCGCTGTATGTGGATGACGGTGAAACCTTCGACTACGAGCGTGGAGCCTACATCCACCGCCGGTTCACCTTCCAGGGCTCCACGCTGGTCTCGGAAGATATTGGTACCAAGGGTCCCAAGACGGCCGAGTACCTGAAGGCCATGGCCGGTGTTCGTGTGGAGCGCGTGGTGGTGGTTGACCCTCCCAAGGAGTGGCAGGGCAAGACCAGCGTGACTGTGATCGAGGACGGGGCTTCGGCTGCCAGCAAGGCCTCGATGGAGTATCACAGCCAGGCGGATGGCAAGGCCCCGTACGCCGTGGTGAAGAACCCCAACGTTGGAATTGGGAAGAAGTGGCTGATTGAGTTCTAAGTTGGAGGTTGGGGGAAGTATCAAGTAGACATATATGGATTGTGTTTAGATACCGAATGCATGGTACTTTTGAAGCTTTAAAGACAGTGACTGGTCTTCAATGGGAGTATTCTGCAGTAATACTTCCGTACGGAGTAGTATGTACTAGATGCTATGTAGTGTTTGTTTGTTGTAGAACAGATGGGCCCCAACAAAAGGAGCGGCTCCACAACCCGAGTGGGGCTGACTCAGCGCCAGGCACGCCGCCGATCCGAAACCCGAATCAGGAAGCAAAAAAAAAGGACGCAAAACAGGCGACGCATCCGGGTTTGGCAGTGAACGTTCCATTGGACTTGTCGGTACGGAGTTTCTGGGTCGTCGATCGCACTTTTGCCTCGCCAGCTGACTGTTGTGGCAGCGTTCTGCTTGTCCAACCCACCCCAAGCCATCGCCTGCTGTCTGCTGCATCCTCACGAGGTTCCCCCCCCCCCCCCCCCCCCCTGACTCCGCTGCTCCATCGCATCTCATCTCCGGAAACCGCAAGCTCCGCCGTTCGCTGCTTCGCCTCGACACCAACCCTGTGTTGTCTCCTCCATTCTTGCGAAACCATAGCTGGAAGGCATCACATCCACGATGTATCTCGTGTCGCAGGCTCTTGAATATGGAGCTCCGCTTTTGTACGTCTTCTCATATGCCCGATCAACCAACCGCTACGAGATGCGATGCTGACTGCCTGCTTGAACGAACAGCCTGATCACCTCCCCCTTGACCTCCTATGCGGACCAGATCCTCAGCATTCATCGGAGTCGGAATTCCGCGGGCTTCTCGCTGGATATCCCTCTGATCATGCTGGTCGCCTCTGTCTTCAAGTAACACTACCCTGCCGTCGGCTCTCCGGAACATCGGATTAACATCGCTAGGGTCTTTTACTGGTTCGGCGCTTACTACTCCCTCTCGCTCCTGATCCAGGCCGTCATCATGATCGGCGTGCAGATGGTCCTCCTGAAAGTCGCGTTGGACAATCGCCCTCCTCCCGGGGTCAAGAACAGCGTCGAGCACGTCCCCTTCAGCAGTGTGGACAACAGCGGAGGGGGTCGGCCCTACGAGTTCTGGCAGTGGAAGAGCGCAAAGCCGTATGGACTCATTCCCCCCCCCCCCCCCCCCCCTGGTTACTGGTCAACCCAAATGCTAACGACAGCTCGCCCACAGCTACTGGCTCTTCCTGGCCTACATGATCGGCGCCCTGACCTTCATCCAAATCATCCTGCCCCCGATCGCCAGCTCCGACTTCTACATCAATGTCCTCGGATACGTCGGTCTCGCCGTGGAAGCCACGCTGCCCCTGCCGCAGATCGTCAAGAACCACAAGTCCCACTCTTGCGCCGGGTTCCGGGTGTCGGTGCTCGCCGCCTGGATCCTGGGTGATATGATGAAGCTGAGCTACTTCTTCTGCAGCCAGGAAGTGATCCCCTGGGCCTTCCGCATGTGCGGCCTGTTCCAGTGCGTTTGCGATCTGTACCTGGGCGTGCAGTTTTGGATGTATAGCGCGTCCTCGTTCCGGGCTGCGGGCAGTCCGCGGGGACCCAGTGAGAGCTGGAATGTGGAGGAGAAGGACATCCGCATGACTTGAATGAGATTATACACGGCCGTGGGGGTTCCGTTGCATCCGTTGGCGTTGTATATATCGCTTAGTTAGACGCGTCGGACCTTGGCTGGGTCGGACATGAGTTGGACTGGTAGAAGACCTGATAGGATAATTAATACGCATGTTTCTGGCGAACATTTCCGAGCGTAGATCGTCTATATATAAAGTCGAAAGATGGGTTGGGTGTTGAGTTGGCGTGAAGAGCCGGCGGGGTAGAGAAGAGAGGGGAGGAGGGGAAACCCCGCCGCTAGTCGACTTAGTCCACGCGATCAAAGATTAGAGCTCCATCCAGCCCATTTCATCTCATCTCATCTCATCTCGTCTCATCTCCCACCCGCCAGCTCAATAAAACGACCCTCACTATCCCTCAGCCGACTCGCTTGCGCCCGTCGCTCCACCCAGATCACCATGGCCTCCGACCCCGAGACCATCCGCATTGGCTATGTCCCCGGTATGACCCCGTGCCCTCGTTCCCCAACTATTATATACTTTGTCCCTCGTTCCACCGCAGCCACGACAATACCAATGACCCGGGCTCACTCCATCCGCAAGCCACGGCCCATGATTATCGGAACTGACATCCCATCCATGTAGAACACTACCTCACCCCCCTCCACCTGGCCCTGCGCTCGCCAGCCCAGGCCGCCCTCCCATTCAAGATCTCTCTGATCCCCTTCCCCTCCGGGACAGGCCACATGATCACGTCCCTCCGCGAGAAGGAAATCGACATCGGCATCGGATTGACCGAAGGATGGGTGGCCGGGCTGGCGGGGAAGCAGCAGGCGCAGAAGGATCCCGCGGAGGGCGGCTACAAGGTGGTCGGACACTGGGTGGACACGCCGTTGCGCTGGGCCATCGTGACGGGTCGCGAGAGAGAGGATATCCAGTCGGTGGCCGATCTGAAGGACAAGCGAGTCGGTGTCAGTCGTCTGGGAAGGTGAGCGCGCCCCTTTCTCCCCGTTCAATCAATCAGCAAGTGCTGACCCCACCAGCGGCTCCCACATCATGTCCTTCGTGCTCGCCCAGCAGCAGGGCTGGCAATCGGACTCCCTGTCCACCGTTCCCTTGGGCCCGTTCCAGGCCCTGCGCAACGGCGTCACTGGGTCCGATCCTGCGCAGCCCGAGCTGCCACCTAACCCCACCGCCGAGTTCTTCATGTGGGAACATTTCACCACCAAGCCGTATTTCCATCCCACGGAGGAGAAGCCCCAGCCGCCATTGAAGAAGATCGGGGAGATCTATACACCCTGGCCGTCGTGGATGGTCGTGGCGTCTACTTCGACTTTCTCGAATGTGGAGGTCAACGGCAAGCTGGAGCAGCTGTTGAAGTTCCTTGATCAAGGTGTGAAGGACTTCCAGGCTGATTTGCCGCAGGTGGTTCAGCTGCTCGGTACGGGAGAGCTAGGGTGTACGTATGGAGAGGAGGATGCGACGGAGTGGCTGAAAGATGTCAGGTTCACAGGCGAAGTGCGGGGCGTGCAGCGCGCGATCATCGAGGGCGTCGTGGATGTCCTCAAGGTCGCGGGGGTGATTGACACCTCCATGAGCAATGATGAGGCTGTTGCGCGCGTCGTGGGCATCCATCAATAAGCCGAGTACAGTCATTATGTTGGATGGAAGCAAGCCAGACTTCTGCGTGCTGTGCGGGATATCCGGCAACTTTTGTGTCTATGATGAATCTGGAGTGAACATATTCAATTGAGATCCCCTTATTGGGAGTCAAACTGCTCATCAACCTGATAGTCATGCACCAGTCCAGGCTTCCGTACCGCAGCAAGTGTTCTTTTGTCTGCTAACCCTTGGGATACAGATCATGAGGGGATAATCTGCTTGCGGGAGGTTATTCTTCTGCCATCTCACTGATCGACAGAGCTAGCTGCAGCCGATTATGCTGATTGATAGAAACAGAAGCAGGCCTGATAAGGCGTACATACCTTCATCACCGGGACAACGGGCATTCCTCAGCGCGGCACCGTGCAGTACCCCGGAATAGGGATAGAAATAGAATTAGGGTTATTTGCAGTCACGACCTGCCTCAGGAGTCGGGACACGGGTGCTGTAGATGCCAGATGGAGCCATGTCAGTGATGGATGATCACTTGTTTCCCCAGAATGAGCCCTCTGCCACACGACAGAATCAGTTGACTCGATTCAACCCCGGGATAGCAGATATAGGCTGCTGCTGGTCAACATAATACTATCCTGATATTGAATCCGAAGACGTATAGCCATGCTATGATGCTGCTGCACTCATCACGGCTGTCTTACCGAGTCCTTCGATTATCCCATCTCCCCTTGCAGCACCTCATGGCATATGCGCAGAAAAGGAAGGATCGGACCCCCTATTGGCCGCGAACGAGCTGTCAGGGAGACCTTCCTCGACACCTGCATGATTCACAACCCCACAAACACCCAGTGCGGCCTGATCGAATGGCGCTGGCATAGGCAGGCTTGTGACTGCGGCCCCCTGTATTGAATGCATCACGAGAAGAGCCCTGGCTCCAGGGGTCTGGTCATCACAAGCTTTGGGCAGCGCGGGCAAGTGACATTCCTCGGGCAAAACACCATCCCCAGCAAACAGCCCCGGAATGTCTCCCAGCCATCCCAGCGCCAATTGCGGCCGGCAGCCCGGCAGGGGGAAAATGTTCTGTCCGGAGACCCCATCCTGCTGCCCGCATCTGTCACTTTCGGCCCTGCTTCCTGGGCTGTCTATCGGATGATTGACTGCTCTGGAATGCCTGACCCCGGACGCACGCCTGACAAGGACGTCGTCCGTGCTGTGAAGCAGCATGAGACCGGCTGGATGTGGATGGCGAGAGGAAGGCTTAAAAGGCCGAGGGAGACGGGCTGTGAGGAGGGAGATCGGATCAGATCAGATCAGTTTCGACTTTGACAATCACAAGTTCGGCACCGGCACCGGGGCAGCCATCATCCGCTGGTCATCGCGCTTCATTGTGAAGTAATACGTCGTTCATCAGTCCGCTCGTCTATTTTTCGCACAAACCACAGTCCATCCCACCGAATCTTGATATTCAGTTGTTCGCGATGTCGGTCCTCAAGCAGATCCTTGCCTTTTCGACGGCGCTTGCTTCTCTGGGAGGAGCTTATGCCAAGCTCGACCTGTCTTCCCCGTCCAATGTGGTTGTGTACTGGGGTGCGTATCTCGATCTTCTGTGTCAGACAGCCAGTTAACATGCCCAGGTCAAAACTCCCTAAAGGGGTCGGGAAACCTTGCGCAGCAGAATTTGGCCTATTACTGCGATGGTGAGTGTGGAGTGTTCCGAGTCTCGATTATAGGCATCCTACTGACAGGTTATAGATGACAACATTGATGTAAGCCCGTCTGGCATAAGACAAGTTGACGACGACTAACCACAGCAGGTTCTTGTACTTGCATTCTTGATGAGAATCAACGGTGTGGGAGGCGTGCCCGAGTACGAATTCGAGGACCAGAGCAAAAGCTGCGAGCTGTTCAACGGCACCAACCTGTCGAACTGCCCACAGATTGGGTGTGTATTGCATTGCGCCACCTTCAGGCCGAGTGACCAGCTAACCAAACCCTCTCCAGCGCCGACATCACCACCTGCCAGAAGAAGGGCAAGACGGTGCTCCTGTCTATCGGCGGCGCGACGTACAGCGAAGGCGGCTTCCAGTCGGAGTCTGCAGCCCAGGCCGGTGCCGACACAGTCTGGGAGACGTTTGGACCTCCCAAGGCTGGCTCCTCAGCCTTCCGGCCCTTTGGCAACGCGTCCGTCGACGGCTTCGACTTCGACTTCGAGGCCAACGTCAACAACATGGCCCCGTTCGCCAACCGCCTCCGCTCCCTCTCCGACGCCGACACCTCGAAGAAATACTTCCTCACGGCCGCGCCGCAGTGCCCGTACCCCGACCTCTCGGACCAGGAGATCCTCAACGGCCCCGTCTCCATCGACGCCGTCTGGGTGCAGTTCTACAACAACCCCTGCGGCCTGACCTCGTTCGTCCCCGGATCCAACACCCAGAACACCTTCAACTTCGCGCAGTGGGACACCTGGGCCAAGAGTGTCTCGCAGAACAGGAACGCGCGCATCATGCTCGGCGTCCCGGCTAATACCGGCGCCGCCAGCTCGGGATACATGCCTGTCTCGCAGCTGCAGGCGGTGATTGACTACAGCAAGACCTTCGATAGCTTTGGGGGCGTCATGATGTGGGATGCCACCCAGGCGTATGGCAATTCGGGCTTCCTGTCTGGTGTCAAGAGTGCCCTGAAGAAGACGAGTTCGCGGATTTCCCGCACGGTTTATCGCCTTCCGACACGGGGGTGGCTGTTCGGGGCTGATAACTAACTTGATGAATTGCCAATGGTGGTCGTGATCATACCCCTCAACGCATACCCTAATCGGGGGGTGTAGTTTCACGGTTGTTGTTGTTGTTGTTGTTGTTGTTGTTGTTGTTGTTGTTGTTGTTGTTGTTGTTGTTGTTGTTGTTGTTGTTGTTTTATACCCGAGTGGAGCTGTATATAATATATATTGGCTATTTCATTTTCCTATTAATCTATTTCTTGGCTTGCCCCATGTCCCAGAAGACGGAGAACCCACTTCACTTCGTGTACGCCGCCGTTCCTGTAACTACGTACTTGTATTTGGATCTCGTCATCCCATCCTTCGATGGCCTGCTCGTCTATCTTCCTTCCTTCATACACTCTCTTCCATCCTGGTAAGTAAGTAACCCCTCCCCCCCATCCCATGCATATCCACTCCTTGCATAAACTATCACCAGCCCTGCCGATCCCACCCACTTGGCACCGATCGACGCCTCACAAAACCAGCCATCTTGGCCCCCGTCATGCATAAACTGACCTCATCGGCCTCCTCAGCCGGAGAACCCGTCCAATCGCCACCCCCCCAAACACCCGCTTTAGGTATACGGTTTGTGGAAGGGTCTAAAAGGTTTGGGTTGCACGGGATGCTTAATGCAGATTGCAGATCGCAGGCGGTAGCTGGGTACTTGGGTATTTACTTAGGTGGGTATACAGGACCTTGGCTGGGTTGCAGGTAGATGCATAGGACTTGGCGAACTAAGATGATCTAGTTCGATAGGTATGGCTGAGCTGGGAGGAAGAGGGGTGAGGTGAGGTGAGATGAGGTATAAATCCCCGTCTCTGTCTCTGTCTTTGTCTCTTTCTGCTGCTGCTCTGATCGATGAACAACTGGCTAACTAGCTACATGGCTGGATAGGTCGACTGCGCGCTGCAGCCCTAAGCCCTATTCCTAATTCCCTATTCCCAATTCCCATCCATCATCCAACATTCATAATACTCTTCACTGCCAGCCAGTCACTATATCTATCTAGCGATCCAGCTAACAGCTAAACCACCATCAAAATGACCCACAAATCCCTTCTCTCCACCATCCTCACCCTCCTCTCTCTCTCTCTAATCGCCCTCGCCACCACCACCACCACCTCCTCCTCCATCCCAGAAACAGACTACGATGTGATTGTCGTAGGCGGCGGGCCCTCTGGCCTCAGTGCCCTGAGCAGTCTGGCGCGAGTGCGTCGCCGCGCCGCCATCTTCGATTCGGGCGAGTATCGCAACGCCCCGACCAGGGAGATGCACGATGTTATTGGGAATGACGGTATACCCATCCCCATCCCCATCCCCATTTCCCACCTCATACCCCTACACTTCTCTTCTCCATATCCATCCATTCCACAACGATGGCTAATATAATAACATTGATAACGAATACCAGGAACCCCCCCTCCCAATTCCGCGCCCTCGCCCGCACCCAAATCCAGCGTTATCCCAGCGTATCCATTCACGACTCCAAAATCGTCTCGATCGTGTCATCGTCGCCCAACACCAACCCCAACACCAACACCAGCACCTCCAACTCGAATTCCAACTTCATCCCCACCTTCCACGCCACAACCTCCACCGGACAAACCTACACCGCCCGCAAAATCATCCTCGGAACAGGCCTCGTCGACCTCCTCCCCGCCAACGTCCCCGGGCTGCTCGATGCCTGGGGAAAAGGCATCTGGTGGTGTCCGTGGTGCGACGGGTGGGAGCACCGCGACGAGCCGCTGGGTATCCTCGGCAGTCTGGTCGATGTGATGGGGAGTGTGTTGGAGACGCACACGTTATATGACGACGTGGTTGCGTTTACCAATGGGAGTGATACGCTGGCGAACCGCGCCACTCTCGAACAGAAGTACTCGAGTTGGGAAGCAAAGCTGAAGGCATGGAACGTGACCATCGACGATCGGCCCATCCACTCTATTGAGCGCCTGCAAGACGGTGATGGGGTTGATGATCATGAAGATCAAGATTCCCAGGGAAGAGTCTTCGATCTCTTCCGGCTGCATTTCGTCGACGGGAGCACGGTCGATCGGGGCACCTTTATCACCAATTATCCCACCGCGCAGAGATCAGACCTGCCCGCCCAGCTGGGCATAAAGATGGAGGATGGGAAGGTCGATACCTCCGATTATTCGGGCATGAGGACCAGTGTTTCGGGCGTTTTTGCCGTCGGGGATTGTAATTCGGATGGGAGTACCAATGTGCCTCATGCCATGTTTAGTGGGAAGAGGGCGGGGGTTTTTGTTCATGGTGAGTTTTTTTTTTTCTCCCTTTCCTTCCCTGTTTTTTGTTATGGATTGTACTGTTTTGAGAGGGTGTGTGTCTGTGTGTGTGTGTGAGGTATATATATATGATATATATCTTCCTGCTGGTGGCTAACAGTCGTATCTACTATCTAGTGGAAATGTCCCGCGAGGAATCCACCGCCGCCATCTCCAAGCGCGAGCGCGACTTCGATCGACGCGCCCTCGAGAAGCAGACCGAGCGGATGGTCGGCGATGAGATGGAGGTGTTGTGGAAGAGGGTGCTGGAGATGCATAAGTACTAGGATGTACGATTGTCTTGTCTTTCGGGTTGCGTAGTGTATTGCAATGTATCTGTGTCTGTATCTTGTGGACAGCTACGTACTAGTAGTAAATATATTGCCGTTAGGGCTGGGTTATTTCCTTCCCATATCCACCACCATCACCACTACCTATCTATCTTCGAGGTAGTAGACGATCACTATTCAAGACCTACCACTGCAACTCCTTCCCCAGCCGCATATCGACTTCTTTCTTCCCCCCCCTCACCAGCCCCTGCCCTTCAGCCTGGGTACCAGTACTGTGTCTCTCATAAACTCCAAAAACATCCCCCAGCACCCCTCCCCCCCTCATCATCCCCAATTCCAGCTCATCCAACACGAACCCCCACTTCTCCTCCCGGCCAGCCACGCTGACCACCCGCTGCTCCACGTTGATCGTCACCTCCGTCCCGTTCTCGGCTACCGCGGCGTAGAAGCTCTCGTCGCGGATCACGATCCCCAGGAGGCCAAGGATGGAGAGGTTGCGCGCGAAGATGAATGAGTAGGATTTGGCGATTAGGGCTTGGGTGCCAGTTCCTGCGGATGAGTATGTTAGTAGTTGCGTAGTGCATAAGTAAGTGGGGAAGGGAAGAAAAGGTGAAAAGAAAGGAAGCAAGAAAGGACAGAAAAATATACCGAGTAAAGCCCCCACCGCATTCTCGCGAGACGAACCACATCCAAACCCCTCGCCCGCAACCACAATCCCCTGACCGGAACGGACTGCATCCCGGAAATACGGATGCGTGTGCTCGAGGCAGTGCGCGCCGATTTCCTCTTGCGTTCTACAGCTGACGAGGTATTCGGCTGGGGCGAGCTGACAGAAATCTCAATTGGCTTTTATACTGAGAACTGGTGGTGGGATATATACGTACAGCGTCTGTGTCAATGAAGTCGCCCAGGTTGTGGACTTTGCTGGTGATGGTCCATGTTTCTGGGGTTGAGGTGGGAGGGGGAACAGGGGTAGGGTTAGAGGATTCTGGTTCTGGTTCTCGTTCTGGCTGGGTGTGGATCTGAGGTTCCGTGTAGAGGATGGCTGGCTGGCTAGTTCGGTCCTGGGGGTTTGTCTTCCGGGTGAGGAGATAATATCGTGCTTTGTCGATTTTGGTCAGGAACGAGGATGGGTCTGTCAGGGACATGGAGAAACTTGAGGCTGCGACTACGGCTGCGGAACTGAGGTTGCCGAAGGAGCCTGCGATAGTCAGTTATTAGCATATGAGTTAGATGATTGAGGGTGTATATTAGTATACTAGGGGATGATTGAAACTCACCCTTCCCCATCCGATTCTTAAAATTCCGGTTCTGCGACGACAGCCACACCTCGCCCTTGCCTGCGCGATCTGCGCCCATCCCCACGCAGAAACTGCATCCAGGGACAGACTGCGTGAAGCCGGCCTGGTTGTATATCTCCACGATGCCCAGCTCGCGCAATCGCTTGGTGATAGGGAGTGATCCGAACACGACGTGTCGTTTGCCGTTGCGGAGTGGGAGGTTTTCCTGTAGCCCTATCTCAAGCACCAGAGCACCCAGGATCAGGTCCTCCTCTGTCGTGGTGCAGGCTCCAATGAACACTCCGTCAAAGTCCATAGCTTTGCAGTCGGTCACCGGCACGACGTTATCCGGCGAGGGATAGATGGCCACATATGACCGGACCAGACCGAGATCCATCTCGTATGTTCCTGCGTATATGGCCTTCTCATCTGGACGGAAATAGTGCGATGAGGTCTTGTGGAGTTTCGTTTTTCGACGGTCAATGTACCCCTTGACCGTCTGGTCCGGGACAAATAGCCCGGTGATGGCGCCGAATTCCTGTATCTGTCAGCATGGTTCTGATACACTGCAAGTGGGAGGCCACTGAGGCAGAATGAGAAATCCCCGCCTGTGAATCCATGGAAAGTGATCATGTGTCAACAGTAGGACAGTAAGAACACTCACTGTGCACATATTACAAATAGCGAACCGGTCATCACACGAAAGATGCCTCGCCCCTGGCCCACAGAACTCGACGATCCTCTCCGCGGCAACGGTATTCCGCTTCAACTCCCCCAGGATATGCAGAATGACATCCTTGCCCCCGATCCCGAACCCGGGCTCCCCAGTAAGCCAGACCTTAATCGACTCGGGAACTTTGAACCACGACACCCCCGTCAACAACGACATGGCTACATCCGCCGCCCCGAGCCCGATACCCAGACACCCCACTGCCCCAGCTGAGCAGCTATGCGAGTCGGATCCGATGACGAGCATCCCCGGCTGTGCTCTCTCGCGTACGAACTCGGTGTGGAGGATGGTGAACTAGCACTGTCAGAAAGCATCCACAATCTGTAAAACCTCCTCATAACTTGTAACCCAGCGGAACAGCAAGTAAGTAAGTAAAGAAGTAAGGAAGTAAGAAACCACCCACATTCTCCCCCTTATAATCTGTCAACCTATATACCTTCTTCGCCCGTTCGGACTTCTCAATCAAATCCTTCACCTTCGGTTCATGTCTATTCCGCGGATCGACGAGATGATCCGCCGCGAGCCAGAACCGGTCATTCCGCCAGATCTCCTTCGCGCCGATCTCCTCAATGGTCTTGAGCATGCCCTGGAGACGTCAGTTCCAGTTGTCCTGCTTCTGCTTAGAGACCTGTGCGTGGGGAACTGTGCTAAGAACTGTCACCATACCATCCACGATAACTCGGACGCGAGGATCCAATCGACCTCAACGCGGATCACGTCTCCTGCTTTGAGGCCTGTAGAGTTACTGCCTGCTAGCAAGTGGTGGGTGAAGATTTTCTCGGAGAGGGTCATTGGGGGGCCACTTCCTGCGAGGTTGGGGTGGTCGGGGCTGGTCTGGGATCCAGCATCGAGCTGGACATCCATGTGCGTACTGGCTCGAAGCCATGCGTCGAGAAGGAACCGGATCTGTTCGCGGTCTGGGTCGGAGAGGGGCCGGTCAGGGCTTAAAGATAGGCCGCCGAGCTCGATGTCCTCGGTGCAGAGGTGCAGGACATGGGTCAGTGCGTCTGAGACGCTTGGGTGTCCGGTTTTGGAGAGGGCGTGGGCGAGGGTTTGGATTGCTGATAGCGCGTCGGATGTGTCGGAGAGATTGGTCACAGCTGCGAGGAGGGTGTTAGTTTGGGTGTTGGGCCTTTTGGATGGGATGGGGACTTGCCAGTGCTAGGGATGGGTTTAGGGACGTTGGTTGTGGTGTGGCATTCGATGGAGGTGTGTTCGTTCAGGAAGTTCAGGCATTGACGGATCAGCGCGGCATCTGGGTCGGGGAGGCGATGGCCGATAATCACGGCGAGGCGGAGGGGGTTGCTTGTCTGGGACTGGGGTATGGCTGGCATGTTGGATCAGAGTGTAAGAGGGAGAGGGCAGTGGATGAGAGAAGAAAGATGAAGACGAAGGAAGGAAGGATGGAAGGATGGAAGGATGGCTGGTCCGGGAGATGCGGGGGGCATCACATGTCCGTCTACGGAGGGAAAGAACGACCGCCAGTCCAACAGGTGGGTTTATATGTTTATATTACGACCAAATCAAATTATACAGACATTCCCCCCCTCCATCAATCCATCCCCCCCACCTCAGTCAATCCTCCCCTCCCTCCCTTCAATCCGCACGTCCCAGAACTTACTCAACCTCCTCCTCTTCCTTGCTCGTGGCAAGGAAGAACCGCCCTTTGGGCTTCCCAGGCTCCTCGTACTCGACAGTCAATCGCGCCAGGTGGCCAAGCAAGTTCTCGATTTTTAAGTCCCCCTTGTCGCGCTTGGCGCGGCCGAGGTTATCCAGCCACGCGAACTTGTTCAGCATGAAGTACACCAGGGCGATCACGATCTCCACGCCCAGCGAGTAGCCCCAGATGCGCACCACCGTGACGATGTCCGTCCAGCCGTTGCGCGTCTCCACGTACGAGTCCGCCGGGTCCGTGTGCATGTCCTGGTTCGTGAACCACCCGAACAGACAGAAGATCGTCGCCAGGATATCAACCCCCAAAATCGCCGTCACCAGGTGGATCGACGGCCACGAGTCCGCCCCTCGTGTAACGAAAATCAGCCAGTTCTCCGTCAGGGCCACCTCGAGGAACAGCACCTCTTGGATGGACCCCCAGTTCTGGATGATGCCACCCGAGGGCAGGAACATCGTACCACGCACCACCCAGGTGCCCAGCGCCAGCAGCAGTCCCAGGAGCACCGAAATGAACCAGATCTTCGGCAGCTGCCATTCCACCGGCCGCAGCTCAAACGACGCATTATCATATGCCACCGCCACCGTCGCCAGGTCGGCGAACAGAGCCAGAAAGACGATCAACTCAACGCGGATACTCTCGTTGAGGATGATCATCGATGTGACCAGATAGATCTCCAGGTGCAAGCAAAGCGCGATACGGTACTGGATATATGCCTTCATGCGGTGGAAGATCTGCCGAGCCACCTTGATCGAGTCGATGATCGTAGAGAGGCCAGGTTCCAAGAACACGATGTCCGAAGCCGACTGGGCTGCTTCCGAGGCGCCTTCCACAGCAATACCGCAATCGGCCTTTTTCAACGACGGCGCGTCATTCACACCGTCACCTGTCATTGCCGTCAAGTGGCCGCGTTCCTGGAGCATCTGCACGACTTGATATTTATGTTCGGGGAACACCTCGGCGAACCCGTCTGCTTTCTCGACAAGGTCACCAGCCATTGCTCCGCTGAGGCCTCCATGAATCAACTTGTCCGAATTGTACACCTTGGTTCCGAGGGCCAACATCTTGCAGGTTTCCTTGGCAATCGCGATCGCGTCACCAGTCAGCATTTTCACGCTGATGCCCAGATTTTGCGCTTCATTGATCGTCTGGGCTGTGTCTTCGCGCGGCGGGTCAAACATGGGGAGCATTCCCAGGAGGGTCCAATCTTCTCCTTCTTTCTGAACCGCGACACCCAAAGAGCGGAATCCTCTGTGCGCAAATTCCTGTGCCTTGGCTTTGTAGTGGTCCGCAGTGCTCTTCGAACAGTTCGTCAGCTGGAGCACGGCCTTCGGCGCGCCCTTCGTGCAAGTATACCGAGTGCCATCGCAACTGGCAACCGTGACGATACGCTTGGACACCGGATCGAAAGGAACGAATTTCTCAGTCTTCCAGCCTCTGCGGAGGATTTCTCTTGCCTTGGGGTACTGCCGGAGGGTGAGAATGGTGACTTTATCAATCGGATCCAGCGACTCGATGTTGTGCGAAGAAGCCAGGACTGCCACGGCAAACATCCAGTCGACGTCGACCCCTTCGGCCACATACGGCTCCCGGATGCTGAGCTTGTTGGCCGTCAACGTTCCCGTTTTATCCGAACACAAGATATCCACACCCTGCTGGGGTCAGCACCCATCTACCGGTCCATTGGAAATGTGGCACTTACCGCCAGGGATTCGATGGCAGTCAGCTTCTGCACAATCGCCTTCTTCTTGGCCAGGTACGCTGCTCCCACGGCCATCGTCGTTGTAGTCACGACGGGCAGACCGACAGGAACACCAATGATCAGCAATGCCAGGGTGTAGTGGAGCAGCGTCTGCTGGCCCGGCGAGGCAATGGGGATGTGTCGGTAAAAGCCGCCAATCCACGCAGCCAAGATCCAGGCCATCACCAGGACCAACAGAGAAGTACCGATGTTGTCCATGACGAGTTCGAAGTGGCCCGCACCTTTTGCCGATTGCACCATGGTCGCGGTCTTGCCCACGAAGGAGTTCCTCGCGCCGGTTTGCACAACCGCATAAGCCTTACCACGCTTGCAGCCCGTCGTATAGTAGACCATTCCACCCATGTAGCGATCCACCGCGAGCGATTCTCCTGTAATGGCTGAGTGATCACATGCGAGGATCGGGTAGCCTTTGCGTCTAGCCCTGGATTCGTCTTTCTGCTCTTCCTTCCCTTCCTTCTCCTCCTTCTCCTTGGGCTTCTCCTGGCCCTCTCCCTCAGGGTGTTCTTCGAGGTCGGACTCGGAGGTGCTGCTAAGATCGCCCTGCTCTTGCATTCTGTGGAACTCTTCCCAGCCGTTGGGGTCATTCACATCACAAATGACCTTGGAGTCGGCGGGGATAACTGAGCCTTCTCCCACAATGACCTAGAGCCGTCTGTCAGCACCAGCTCTCGTCCGTGTTTTCACCCTCTGGATGCTCGTCACACCTACCACGTCGCCAGGCACAAGCTCTCGCGCCAGGATTTCCTGTTGCTGGCCGTCGCGAATGCAAATTGCCCTCATCGCGATGTCGCCCTTGAGACTCGCAACGACGTCGGCGGCTTGCTTCTCTTGGTACCAACCCACAGCCGCGTTCAGACACAAAATACCGATGATGACACCGAAGTCAATCCAGTCATCCAGACCCGCGGCCAGAAGCACGGCCAACTCCATCACTGCGATCTTGTCAGCCACACTAGCACAGCCCGGGAGAGATGGACGACGTACCGTAAAGAATAGGACCTCTGAAGTACGACAGGATCTTGGCAATGGGGTTCTCTTTCTCCGACACCAGCTCGTTCCATCCCGCGCGGCGACGTCTGACGCCAACCTCTTCGGAGGGCAGACCCTGGCGAATGTCCGTAATGAGCCACTCGTCGGGGAACAGGCCCTGCTGGTCGGCGTCGCTTTTGATAAAAACCTTGCGCTTCTTCCAGGGTGCATACCACACCCGCCTCCACTCGGCCTCGCCTTGCCCTTCCTCCCCGCGGCCCGCCTCGCGGTAGGTGGAGGCATACTTGACCAGCTTGCCGTACTCGTCGAGATTAGCGTAGTCCTCCTTGTAGGACACCCGGGAGACCCGTCGCGAGTCTCGTCGCTCGGAGGTCGAGGTACGTCCTTGGGCGCCGTCACCGGAGGGACCGCCCGTGGCGGTGCCTTGCTCGGCCATGTTCAGTCCAGTAGCCCACGAGTCGCAGGGGATCTAGTCGGCGTGCCCTGTGCGCACGCGCTCCGCAGTCCTCGACTTGTGTTACAACGAAAGATAGAAGACTCCAGCAAGAGAGCGAGAGGAGACGGAGGACAGATTCAGAGCCAGCGACAGAGCACTACGAGGTGAAAAGGACCTCCCCGCCAGGATTGAGACGATGTAAGAGAGAACGGGGAAGCTTCGATCGTCTCGGACCCAAGGGCAGGGATGCTTGAACGACATGTGCGGCCGATCCATTGTCTGCGCGAGTGGTCGCTACGGGCACAATCATGCTGACGTAGTTGAGTTGCAGGAAGCTCCGGCACGCGACGGAGGAAACTTCGAGACGCAGCGTCGCCGGGGTTCCCGGCAGGTACCTTCGCTGGGGAGCTTCACGCGGTGAGACTCGGGGGAGCCAACAAGCTTGGGGGAGGGGGTGACTCGTTGATTTGACGACTGGCGGGGGTCTTGACGTATGAGACATGGCCAGCCGTCGGAGGGAACCATACGGGTTTGGCGGGCCGAGTCTGGGAGGACAGCAAGAAAAGCTTTGTACGGATGGTTAGCGTTGAGGGTGGCTGTTGTGGCTGTTATGGCTGTCATGGTTGTCATGTCATGACTTGATGATGGAGTAGGAGATGGAGGAGTCCAACTGTCAACCCGTCAACCCGTCAAAACGGGCCCCGATCGGCCCTAAGCATTAGCACGTCCCGCATCGGGCTTAGCGCAGCCGGCATCGAGTCTCGACGTAATCCACTTTCCTTCATCCATCTCCATCTCCATCTCCATCTCCATGTCCCACTATCCAGCTGACGGAACATGACAGCTCCCAGCTTCCGATGAATTGGTGTTCCCCGACACCAGTTACACGAGTGCGGCCTGACAGTGATCAATGGCCCAGCCTAAGTCATACCATACCGAACACCATCCATCCATCCATCCATCCATCCATCCAAAGAGGGTAAGTAAGAATTGAAAAAAAAAAAAAAAAAAAAAAGGGAAATCAAACAAAGAACGGCACCAAAAACGCCAAACAACCAGACAACCAGACAAACCAGTCCAAGATGCCGTCACCACCTCGCAAACTTTCCTGAATGCTACTCCGTGCTTTCCGCCGACTTCCTACCCACCACCACCACCATCCCCGCATCCCCGCGGAGGGATGAGGGATTTTCTTTCCGGTCCAACGGGCGGATTTGCTTTTGCTTTTGCTTTTGCTTTTACTATAGAATGAATATAAGCTTCGTGAAGGGATCGCGGACTGGGTCCCTGTCCTGGGTCGAGCGCCGATGATCGCATCATTGATCGCATCGGGGATGGTTGGGCTATTTTAATTTCACAACAGGATGGGTTATCCCTGGCTTTGGATGTCATCTGCGGCTCTTTTTGGGTGGTTGGTGGTGGGGGGTGTGCGTGGTGATTTATATCTATATATATCTGTATGTGTGTGTGTGTGTGTAGCTACTAGTACTTCATGTATACATGTAGCTCGTATTGACGGTGCTCGTTAGGGGTGTACAACTGTACAACTGATACAGGAGGGTAGAGAACATGTGCTTGAAGGGATAAAGTTGCTAGCAGGGCTTACCAACTTAGTAGTACCTCGTGTCTGATTACTATGCGCATTCTGCCTGGGCAGGGCAGGTAGCTATCCGACCTACTTACCTCTCGATGAACATTTGGCTTCTGAATCTCCTGGAATGGAAATACATGGTAGTTTGAGTGCTCATGACGGTGCCTTGGGTTGGTGCATGTGGTCTGCATAATCAATACGTAGTGATCACGTGGAATACGATTGTGTTCCGCGAAGAGTCGAGTATGCCATCATCTAGAACTACAATCAGACAAAAGTGAAGAATTGGATTAGTCCCCACGGGAGATTAACTAACTTACTACTACGGATGCTTCCCAACCCAAGGAACAGGCTAGTACCAGAACGTCAATCCATCGTCTTCTGCTAGAACATATAAACAATCGATTTTTCAAGACTCATCTACCTCTCCTATCTAGCGTATATTCATAGCACGTCGAGATATCAAGATCACTGCGTCGTCTATTTGCCCGCCTTACCTGTGGGGATGTTGAACAGAACAGCCGGCTTGCCAGGGGCGTAGGCGCGGTCCAGGCGGTAGTAGCCCTTGCGCTCGAACTGGATGATGTCGCCCTCCTTGAGGCTGGCGATGTTGCAGTCGGCCACGGCGTCCTCACGGAACTCGGTCTTGGGGTTGAGGACGTCCTCCAGGGTGTCCTCCTCGGTCATGGTGTCCTTGTTTAGGAGGAAGTCGAAGTCGACTAGCTCGACGGGGATGACCTCCTGGCCCTCCGAGGACAGCCAGGTGACCTTCTTCTCGGTCTTCTTGAAGTCGCCCTCCAGGTGGAGGTCCAGCTCCAGGGACTTGACCACACCGGACGCGGCATCGGTCTCGATCTTGCGGACGATGGCGTTGCCCCAGCCCATCAGAGTGATTTCCTCGTCCTGCTTGAAGGTCTTGGCGTCCTCCTGGTCGAAGAGGAGGGAGCCGCTGTAAGCAACCTTCTTCAGGCCGATCTCAGCGTTCTTGTTGTGCTTCGGCTTGTCCTCGGTGTAGGCAGCGGGGGCTCCGTTCACAACGGCCTTGACCATGTCCTTCTTGAGGATGGCGGTGTGGCGGGGGGCGACGGGGTCGATGTACTTCTTGTTGGTGGCCCAGAAGAGGGTCCAGTCGAGGTTGACGATGTTCTTGCTGGGTCCCTGCTTGAGGATGAATTCTCTCAGCGCCGGGATGGTCATACCGCGACGACGGATACCCCGGATGGTCGGGAAGCGAGGGTCGTCCCAGCCCCAGACGACACCCTTCTCAACCAGCTTGGTGAGCTTTCTCTTGGACAGCAGGGTCTTGACAAAGTTCATGCGGGCAAAGTCCCAGATGTGCACGTGTCTCAGGGCAAGAGTGTCAAGGAACCACTGGTACTGAGGGTTCCGGTCACGGTACTCAATGGTTCTCAGGGCGTGGGTGACACCCTCCATGGAGTCGACGATGGGGCAGCAGAAGTCGTAGGTCGGGTAGATCTTCCACTTGTCGCCGGTGCGGTGGTGGGTCGCCGGGTTGCAGCGGTAGATGACGGGGTCACGCATGGCCTTGTTCGGGTTGTCTACCGACATCTTAGCGCGGATGCACCATCTGAAACCCTCGGGGGTACCCTGCTTCATCTCCTCGAAGCGAGCCAAGTTCTCCTCGACGGAGGCATCACGGCGCTTGCTGGCCTCGCCGTCGAATCTCTGGCGCGCCATCTCCTCCTTCTCCGTGTCATCGGCATACGCATTGCCTTCCCTGATGATGCGCAGACCGTACTCGTAGAGCTCATCGAAGTAGTCACTGGTGTAGCTCAGCCTATCGGGCTTGATGCCCATCAGGGCGAGATCCTCAACGATGGCGTCCTGGAACTCCTCCTTCTCGTTGGAGGGGTTGGTGTCATCGAACCGGACAAGCAGGGTGCCAGCAAACTTCTCATGGGCGAAGAAGTCGTTGAGGAGAGCGGCCTTGGCGTGTCCGATGTGGAGGTATCCAGAAGGCTCAGGGGGAAAGCGGGTAACGACGCCCTTCTCGGTGTTGGGGAGGGAGATGTCGTAGCTGGCACCCTCCTTGGCCTTGGCAGTCTTCTTCTCCTTGGCCACGGCGTTCATGGTCTCCAGAGCAGTGGTCGCCCAGGGGCAAAGCTCCTCGAGGAAGTTGAACCAACGGGTCAGGTTGACGAGGGCACCCTTGCGGATGGCGGACACGGCGACACGGTTGCCGCGGAGGACACCCCAGAGGGCAATATCGGGGGTGGAGAGGGAGTATCCCACCACGAAGGAGCGGAGAAGCAGGTGGGTGTTCAGGCGCTGGAGAGCGGGGTCGAGGGCCTTGAAGTCGAGAGTGGTGAGGGACTCGAGCTGGGAGAGGAACTCGGTCTCCAGTTTCTCATCCTTGCCTTTGAGGAAGGGGAAGCTGTTGCGCAGCTCCTGGATGGCATTCTGGGTTCCGTAGGCGGGGGTACCACTGGCACCGGTGAACTGGACGATGGCCTTGTCGCCCTGCGACAGAACGGCGGCGTCCTCGTAGGTGATGGTGATCACGGGGGTGGGACGGGCCTCATTGATGGAGGTGGCGACCAGAAGGACGGGGAGCAGGGCCGCCTGGTTGGCGCGGGTGGCCAGGGTAAGCTGGAACTGAGCCATGACTGCAGTGTCTGTTGTGTCTGGAGGAGAGGAGAGGAGAGGAGATCAATGGTGGGGGAAGAAGAGCAGGCAAATTGACTCGCCGTTCCGCCGGCGGTAAGTTTCTCCGCCTGTCATGGGCCGAGCAAGTCAAACAAGTCGATTTCGGCCAGAAAACATTCCCGTCGCCCTGAGACTCAGATCCCCCGGACCTCGACGCCATGGCTTCCTCCAGCTCCTTCCTGCCCTCCGCCACCCGCGGCGTCTTATCCTCATCATGTCGTCCGGCCATTCGCCCCCGCACAATGCCCCCCTTCCTGTCCGGCTTCCAGCAGGTCCGACCAGCCTCCCAGACGCGCAGCAAGAAGGCCGCTCCCCCCAAGAAGAAGGGTGGACCCAAGGAATTCAAGCAGGGCAACCTCGATGATCTGGAGCAGTTTGCGCTGTGCGATGCCATGAGGTATGCATGTCTGCCCTGGTCGTGGTTCGACCGGCTCCGGCTTCATCGCTGACTGCTCAATTTCTCCCGCAGATACCTCCGTGCCTTCGAAGTCGGCCGCGAGCCGGCCTCTTCCAAATACGAGGTCCACATCCGCATGAAGACGAGGAGAGACGGACCGGTCATCCGGAACATGCTCCGCTTCCCTCACTCGGTGCAGACCGAATCGCGAATCTGCGTCGTGTGCCCCCCGGGAACCAGAATCGAGAAGGAAGCCCGCGCGGCCGGTGCTGTGCTGGTGGGAGAGCAGGAGGTTTTCGACGCCGTCCTGGCCGGCAAGATTGAGTTCGACCGCTGCATTTGCCATCCCGATAGTTTGCCTGCGTTGAACAAGGCTGGTCTGGGCCGCATCCTCGGTCCCCGGGGTTTGATGCCCAGCGTGAAGACGGGCACCGTGGTGGAAGATGTCGCCTCGCGAGTGGAGATGCTGCGTGGTGGTACGATATACAGAGAGCGCGACGCCGTCATTCGTCTGCCCATTGGACAGCTGGCGTTCTCCCCGGAGCAGCTGCGTGACAACCTGCGCGTAACCATCGACCAGATCAAGAAGGATGCGGCCGGTCTCAACGATCGCATCACCAAGGAGGTGTACGAAGTGGTAAGCGACTGTCCTGTCTTCGCCCGCTGAGATTCCGTTGGCTGATCGATCCCTGCTAGGTCCTGAGCTCCACGAACGGCCCCGGCTTCAGCCTGAACGGAGAGTTCAAGACAGACAATTCCCCCGACGTTTCCGCCCTACAGGGTGCTTGAGAAGGTTGTTCGAGTTCATGGTTGTACAGAATATGTTTTATTAGGAAGGATACGGTGTATAATGGTATTGTTTCATATATCACTCGGAAGCAGCAAAAAATCCCCCACGCCGACGCTATGCAAAAATTGGCACTGGCCAATCCATCCTCTGAGAGACGCCTGGACGCCTAAGATTTCATGTTCTTGAGTGCGGATACAGCCGTGGTATGCTCGCCCATGAGCTTGTAGAGACGTAATACGGCCAGCGTTTTCGTGTCGCGCTTCTCGCCCGCATGGCTCGCTTGCTCCAGCGCGGTTTTGAGGTCCAGGAGCACCGCCGACCGGATCTTCGACATTCTCGGCTGTTGGCCCTGTAGGAACGGGTGGTCATCTCCGATCCGCGCCGACAGTCTGGTCAAGTAGACATATTTCCGGATATGATGATCGAGTGTCTTGAGGGAGACCAGCGAGGCGGTGGACGACGCGCCATTGGGAAGCTCCTCCTCGTCGCTCTCGTCGCTCGCGCTCTCCAGCAGATCGGAATCCGAGTCGGGATCGTCGTCCGACGAGCCATCCCGGGGCTGGCGGGGGTTGTCTCCGATCATCAACTTCTTCTCCAGCTCCTCGACTCGGTTGGCGAAATCCAGCAGGGCCCGTCCGACGTTGGTCGCCGCTTTCAGGCTCCTCTTCTCCTTCAGCAGTTGTTCCATCTCCTGCTGCCGGGCCTCGACCTTATCTCGGATTGCCTGGACATCGCGCTGGAAGGCCAGCAGGCCGACTCGCACCTGCTCGACCTTCTCCTCTCCGCCTTGCAGCGCGCTCCCCAGGGAGAGGAAGTCCCGGTAGTTCTCGTTGACCAAGTCGAGCAGCTCCCGGCTGAGCAATTGGTCCAGATCGCGCAGCTCCTGGCGCAGGTCCTCGAGGCTCTGGTGTCGGTTGGTGAGGGAGGAGAGGTATGCGGCGGGGTCGAAGTCGGGGGTCAGGAAGGAGGCTCGCGACAAGGGCTCGGGGAATGGCAGGCCGGAGGTGTCGTCGTCGTCGTCGAAGTCGGAGGCGGACGCGGACGCGGACTCATCGGAGTCGCCAAACTACCGCATCACGGATCAGTTCCACTGGTGTGGGGGTGGGATGTGGTATGACGGGAGACTCAAGATGGGCAGGGGAGTGGCATACGCGAAACCTGTTCATTTTGTAGCCAGGGGCGGGGGGAGGGGGGATCGAATGGGGGATCGAATGGGGGATGCGAAGGTAACATGCAGGTGGTGTGGGAAGAAGAAGAAGAAGAAGAAGAAGAAGAACGGAATAGTAGTTGGATAGTTGGTGATTCGTTGTTCCCTTTTCGGGTCTGTTGGCCCGCAACTCCGTCTCCAGTTGTTGTTCTGGACCCTCTGACCCTCTCCGTTACATCGATCGATCCACCATCGACGGACTGTCATCTGGCCATGCATCATCTGTGTTCCCTCGAGCGATGCGCTGGAGCGTCAGACGTGTCCGTGGTCTGACAGGCCCTTGATCCGATCTGCCGCCTGCATTGGCCGCACGGCGGGGGTTCGACCTTCTCTTCTCTGCCTGCATCCACCATCGCCGCCAGTCGACCTCCCCTCGAGATGGATCATCGATCCGGCCGACTGCTCGCCCACGCCGACGCATTTCCACCGTCGTCCTCTGCTTTGCCACGCCGGCGCTGGTCGCAGCTCAACCCGCTGCATGCCTCCCCCGTCGTCGACACTGTCCGACCTCTGCAGCAGACGCATCCCTATCGCCATGGCCATGATCCGGATTCCGCTCCGGCTCTAGATGAGTCTTCGCGCGCACATCGTACCACGGCGCTACGTCAGCTGAATGGCATTAACCCCAGGCCCGCTGCCCCCTCCTGGTCCTGGAAGAGCCATCGCCGACCACCCCCAACTACTACTACTCCTCCTCCTCCTCCTGCATCTCGCCCCGCGACCTTGTCCTCGCCCTCGCCCTCCCAGCCCGTCCTGGTCCGGGCATATTCCGGCGGCCCTCATGATCCCTCCGCCACGACCACGATGCCTTCGCGGCGCTCGTTCCCCTTCATCACCGGCTCCCGGTCGGGGAGACAGAGGCGCGCCCCTGCCCTCCCATCGGAAGAGGACTTCAGCATCGACAGCATCCTGCGCGCCATTGAGCCCAACATCCGGCATACGCTCGACTCCATCGGAGAGATATGCGGCCGCAGCAGGCTCAGTCTGGCCAACGAATACGGCAGCCATATCGCTCCGTTGGGGGAGATCCGCGCCCCGGGCGGTCTGGTGACCGTCGACGAAGCCAGCTCGGACCATGAGCGCCAGGCTGCCAACGTGGCTATCTACGATGACGAGACCAGTCTGACCGATGGGCGCGATCACTCATCGTTCTCTCACTACCGGTACCGGGACACCTCCGGGCAGGCCGCCACGGGGCGGATCCCGCCTTCTGGCGATGCCTCGTCCGCCCAGGCGCAACCTATCCCTACCACCCCGCGAGCTGCAGCGGCATTGGAACTCGCAGTCGCAACAGACGAGTCTCTCGGCTCGCTCCCCACGACGCGAGAATTCGCTTCTCAACCGCGCTCCTCGGGTCGGACCCTCCTGGGAAAGCAGGGTAGATCCGACATGCAGGACCGCCCCCAGAGCATCTCGACCCCGGCGCTTGTGTCGGAGATCCTGCTTGACGCTCAGGCGGAGGGCCGCCGCTCCGGGCAACCTGGTTCGTCGCCGCGAGACACTCCCCATACCTACCGTCCCCTCAGTCTGGGCGCCTCGGCCTTGCTCCTCGGCTGGCTCAGGCCAGCTACGGTAGCTAGCGGGCCGGAGGGGAAGCAGGCAACGGCCGAGATGCAGCTACGAGCCATGTTGGGACGATACGAAAGTACTGCCACTGCGTGATGATATCTGACATGCAACTGAATGATTGATGATATGAACATATACAGCTGCTAGCCGTTATGATATTTATGATAGCTACTACGACAATTATGATATACGATGACTCTTACAGCCCTACCTACCCACACCCCAGCATCTTAACGACCCGTACCAATGAACACAACGCAAGTCTAAATGAACACTTTTCTTTTCATTGTAGCTGTGGCCATGATATCGTATCGTATCACCGTGTAAAAAATGCCCAAGACGCCCATGATAATGCAAACACAACCAACCCAACACTATATACCAACCCCATGCACATGCATGTGCACATCATATCCCATCACATCACCCCTCTATCTCCGCAATCAACCCCTTTGCAAACTCCTCAAACCGCCCATACGACCAGCAATCCTGATACTTCTCCACCAGCAACCTATCATCATCCTCAACCTCCTCCTTCCCATCACCATTCCCATCCTCATCCTCACTATCATGATAATCCACCCTCCCCTCCACCAACTCCCCAAACTTAACATCCACCGGCACCTTTCCCAAAAACCTCACCCCCATCTCCTCCGCCATGACCTGCCCGCCCCCGCTGGAAAACAAATTCGTCACCTCCCCGCAGCACGGACACGTATACCCGGACATATTCTCGATGACGCCCAGCGTGGGGATGCGCGTCTTGACGCAAAAGTTCACTTCCTTGCGCACGTCGCTCGTGGCGATCGCTTGGGGGGTCGTTACCAGGATGGCGCCGGCAAGGCGGGGACGGTTACCACCACCGGTAGTAGTAGTGTTGGGGTTGAGGTTGGGGTTGACTGAGCAGAGAGTGAGCAGTTGCTCCGCCAGCGCGATATGCTCGTCACTTGTGCCCGGGGGCGTATCAACAAGTAGGTAGTCGGTCTCGCCCCACATCACGTCGGAGATGAATTGGCGGATCATGGCGGTTTTTTTGGGCCCGCGCCAGATGACGGCGTCGCCGCGGTCGCGCAGGAGGAAGCCTAGGGACATGCAGCGGAGGGAGCCGCGGGGGGTACTTGTGGGTGTGGGTGTTGTTGTGGTTGGGTCGGCGGGGGTGGTGGGGGTAGGGTTCGTCGTGGGGGAGGAAGGTGAGGGTGTGGTGGTGGAGGGATGCACAGGCACTGGGAGCCAGCCGCCCGGTGCCTGGGTGATTTTTGCGTCTTCGAGACCGACGAGTCGTGGCATGGAGGGCCCGGTCAGGTCGATGTCTAGGATGCCGACGGATTTGCCTTGGAGAGTCAGGGCCAGCGCGAGTTGTAGCGTCACGGAGGATTTGCCGACGCCGCCTTTGCCGGAGAGGACCTGGAGGTGGGAAGGTTAATCATGATGGACAGAGTAGGGGCAAGTGGAGGGTTGCGAGGGGTAGAGATGGGCATCCATCCTCGTGCTCTGGGTCTTGCTCTGCGATGCACAGGCGCGTTATCGATAAGAGGAGGGGTTTGGAGGGTTGCTGAGGTGGGACTGGGAGGGCGAACTTACCAGGACGATGTTCTTCACTCCGTCGAGAGGCATCTTGGTGAGCTGGATTGAGTGTCAAGGGGGGGAATAGAAGAGAGTGAGAGAGAGGAGGAGGTGTTGGTGTGGATGGCAAAGAGCCGATCTCGGGTGCTTTTTTTTCTGCGTCATTCCGCGGAGGTTGCGTTGCTTATCAATCCATACCTCTACACTGGATCTACACTGAACTTCACCTGATCAAGCTGCGAGCTCTTAACATTTCTAGCATTTAGATCATTATCCATCCGATGGACAGATTACACTATGCTACTGGAATAGACTCCGCGTAATCTGCTCGTGCACATCTTCCCAAGTCAACCAAACCAACCCCTCTAGTGATCCGCTAACTCATGAGTCGTATCATAATTTTTGTTGAAAACCCCGAGGCGTTGCCATCCCATGACCTCGCACCGAGCTATGCAAACCTCCATGGCCGAACATCACCTCAATGCGTTCATTGCCATTTCTGCACCATCACGCCGCCGCGCTTGAACTCCGCCATATCCCCCAACACAGCGCTCTTGTCCGTGAGATCCTTGCTCGGGAACGTAGTCATCAACACCCAGGGGCGCGCCTGGCTATTGGGGCTGGCTGCAGACACAAACTGATACACGTCCCCGATCGTGTGTGACGTGTTGAACCGCGACGAGAGTCGGGTGCCGTCTCCAAGTCGGATCTGTAGAGTCACGGTCGGCTGCGAGTCGTCGACGTCCGGCTTGGTGGGCTCACCGGCCTGGCTGGCCGCGGGCGCGGGCGCAGCCGCTGGAGCAGGCGCGCTTACCCCAGGCGTGGGGCTGCCCAGTCGCTGCCCAGCGCCGGAGAAGGGCTTGTATTTGGGCTTCGGCTTCACGTACTTCTCGTCATGTTGTTTGATCTCGACGTCGACCTCCTGGTTAGGCAGCACGTTCATGATAGAAAGCGGGGCGCGACCCTGTCGGATACCCTCGAGGATCTCAGCGTTCCGGGGGTCTTCGTTGTGGTAGAGATCGCCGTCATCGACGGAGAAGCCATCGGTCCAGAAATGGAGTCTTCGGAGCACTCGCTGCGGCACTTGCGGGGCAGGCGCACTGGGGGCATCCACCACCCGGCTCGGGGCATCGTCACCACCGAGCGTACGCGCCGTGCCAGTGAAGAAGGACCTCCGGGAGGGTTCGTCCGATGGCGGGGGCTGAGTTCTGCGCACGCATTAGCTCCTGGGCGGCCAGGTTCTGCCGGGCGGCTTACTTTCTCGCCTTCTCAATGATCTTCTTCTTGATATCATCGGGGTTCTGCACGGCCAAGCCGGACTTCTCTCCTCCAGCGAATAGGTCCTGGTTCTCTGTGTCGTCCTCTTCCGACGATTCGCCGCCGCCCGATGCAAAGTCACCCAGGGTCGTGATGCCCTTCTTCGGGGCGGATCTACGGGAGGAGGGCTGCGGGGTGGTGGAATGGGAGTGCGAGGAGCTGCCCGCCAGCGGGGCGGAGTCGGTGCCCAGACGTTGACCCTCCGCGCTGGGGGGCTGCGTGGCTTCATCTTGTTCGGCGAAGAATTCTGTCACTGCTGCCTCAAGATCCCATCCGTTGGCGGCCAGGTATTCTTGGGCCTGAGGAGACTTGGGGTTAGCGAATGCAGGCGAGTGTAGCGCGGGGCCCAGCATACCTCGTCGGGAGCCGTTCCGGTCATGGTACAGAACTGAGAGACGACCTCGTCGCGGTCCGCGTTGGACTCCATGTTGGCGGGGTAATAGTAGGGAGGTCGAAAGCTGGACGGGTTGAAGAGAGTTAAATCGCAAAGTGCGGGTGGGTGTTGCGACCAGCACAGGTTAGGGAGAGGTGGGAGGAGATGGATGGATGGATTGATTAGACTGGAGCAAACAGCTCTTCTCGAAGCTGGCTGAAGAAGGCCTCCCGAAGCGCCGGTACGTCACCGTTGCCTGATTGGTCATCCGGAAGAGGGGATCTTCCGCTGCTGCCTGAGGAATCCACTGCCGGAACAGACCGTGCCTGCGAATAGTAGTGGAATAGTAGTGCTGCTGCAGCGAGACCGCCTGCTTACATAAGGTCTGCAGGTCAGGTGTAGATCATCCATCCATCCATCCAACCAGCCAACCAACCCCAGAGACCTTCAACAACCCTCAACCATTGCGCGATTCCCCTCCCTTCCACCCTTGCCGTTTGGACCCCCCCCGGTTTCTCGGCCTTCTCGCTATTCCGCCGTATTACCGGTCACTATCACCCCTCCAACCTCCGTTCGTCGCGCGTTTCGACTCCCCGTGTTGATAGCCTCCCTCCCCGCACCATGGCCTCCGACCTCTCCAACTCGAGGGAGCTCTACGAATCCGGAATCACCGTGCATTCGGACTCGGAGAACTACTCGGCACACCACGATGTCTCCGGGTCCCACTCGTCATCCTCGAGCTCCCCCCTGATCCTCTACAAGCCCCCGACGTTCTGGGGCGTCCTGCGCGGGGCCGCCATCAACCTGATCCTGCCCTTCGTGAACGGCCTGATGCTGGGATTCGGCGAGTTGTTTGCGCATGAAGCGGCCTACAGACTTGGATGGTCCGGTACAAAGGTACGGGGGTTCCTTGCTCGCCCACCTCGCCTCTCTGACCAGGCTAACATGATGGATTCTAGGTGTTCCCCGAGCATCGGCGGTCGTCGCGACCGATTGGCCCCGGCATCGAGGTTCGAGATCTCCCCGCGCGGAGGGGCACCAGAGCGGCTGGCCTGCAGGATGCTGCGGCTCTAGAGTAGACGGTATAGATCATTGATTTGTTCATGGCACCCGGGTGAACTGGCATCAAAATGGGATGGGATGGATACGCATATGCGGGGGGGGTGTGGGGGGAGTTGTTACAGTGTAGTTATGTAAATAGATCAAGCATCAGTAATCGGGATGACAGGACGGCGTCTGGCGAAGCACCTTTGAATTTGACATATCAGATGGGCTCCGTAGACTTGTTGTACGGCGTAGTTAGTCGGTCGGCCAAGCGGTCAACCGCCCGGCAGAAAAACGCCTCGATGGGGTCTCGCCAGCCGCGATTTTCCCCATCCCCCCGATCTCCTCCCCCGTCGCCCATCCCCAATTGCTTTGCTTGCCCCCGTCCTTGCCAAAGTCATCATGCTGGGAGGGTCCGCTCTCACCGGGCGTGGCGTCCTGCCCGCCGTCGCCCGCCAGCGCTTCTCTGCGCTATCTCGCTCCACTCGTTCGGTTGGTTGTCCTCCGCGGTCATCGTCCATCGCGCGAGTGCAATGTTGACTTTCCCTCCAGATGTCCTCATTCCGCCCCCAGGTCTCGAGAACCGCTGGACGCTCCGGACTCCTGAATCAGACGCTGACTGGCGCTCGCTCCTGGCGCCCTGCCCCTGCCGTCCTCGGTGTGTCCGCCGCCCGCTTCAACTCCACCGGAGTCACCCCAGAGACGACCGCCTCCTGGGCAAACACCCAGCCCGAAGACTTGGGTGTCTTGTCTTTTTTGGATATCTCCTCGATCCCGGAGAAGATTGGATACTTGAAGGAGGTCGGGCTGGACTTTGGCTGGGGACCATCCGCCGTTATAGAATTCTTCGTGGAACACTTCCATATCTGGGGCGGTCTCCCCTGGTGGGGTAGTATTGTCGCAACCGGTATCCTGCTTCGTATCGCCCTCGTTAAGCCGATGATGGGCGCGGTGGACACAAGCACCCGGATGAACAACATCAAGCCCCTCATGGATCCGCTTCGGGCGAAGATGACGCTCTACCAAAGCCAGGGAAAGTTGAACGAACTGGCGGTCGTTCGGGAGGAGATGACCCAGCTGCAAAAGACTCATGGCGTCAATCCCTGGAAGTCGTTTGTTCCGATGCTGCAAATCCCCTTCGGATTCGGCTGTTACCGCGTCGTGAAGGCTATGGCCGTATTGCCGGTTCCTGGGCTGGCCGCGGAGTCGGTTGGCTGGATTACCGACCTCACCGTTGCTGATCCGTTCTTCATCCTTCCGCTACTCACCTCGTACTTCATGTTTCTCTCTTTCAAGGTACCGACCCATGTCCCCGTACAGCTCTGGCGCATTGGCTAACCCCGTGGTCACAGAGAGGAGGAGAGCAGGGCAACAACCCGATGAACAGCAAAACCACCTTTGGCTCCGCGGTCCTCTACGGTCTGCCCGCGATCTCATTTGCATTCATGGCCTTCTTCCCCAGCGCCCTCCAGCTCTACTTCGTCTCCACCGGTCTGTTCGGCCTGCTACAAGCCTATCTGGTCCACTCGCCGGCCTTCCGGTCATGGGCCAAGATCGCCCAGAACCAGCCCATCGAGGTCGACGCCTCGAAACAAGCCGAGGCCATCCGCATGCTCACCGACCAAATGGAGGCGGAGCGTGCCAGGCTGCAGGAGCAGCAAACGACCCAGTCCCGCCTGCAGCTGAGTCTCATTGACCGTTTCCTGAACAACGCTAAGACCGCCAAGACGAATCTCGTCAAGGAGACGACGGAGAAGATCAACGAGATCCGCGGCGCCGGCCCCGCCAAGAACGCGGACGGCTCCTTCGCCGAGCCCCCGCGCCTCAGCGAGAAGGACCGCAAGCTGGCCGACGACTACGAGAAGCGCCGCCGCGAGGAGGAGGAGTGGAAGCGCGAGGAGCGCAATCACAGCCGCCGCAGGGCTCACCAGCAGGCGATGGAGCAGCAGCGCGAGAAGGCCCGGTCCGCCTTCAAGCCCCCCCGCAAGGAGTAAGTGTTATGTATGACCTGGCAGGCGTGATGGCTCGAGCGAGTTGATTGTTGTATTTCCCTTGTATATTATTGCTACGGTCCCGTTCTCCTCTTTGTTTTTCTACCTTGGATTTGTATAGAGGTCGTGGTTCGATCTCCGTGTCGTGTCCCGTCTCGGTTCTGTCATAGACGGGTGGACACCCTTTCTTATTCATCCCTTTCCCCCCTTGTGTTCCTCATATAGTCGTCTCTGCATAGAGAATGAGAACGGTCGGGTATAGACTTGGAGGATTCTTTGGTCTGTAGATTCGTGTTCGTATATCCAATTCAGTGCGCAACTTTGTTGGACCATATCCAACCATGCCGTGCAGCAACCGTCTACACCTGGTAGCATCCCATCCCCTTACCAAACGCACGGGCCAAATACAGAACTGTGATCTGAGCTTAATCCAAACAGGGCACGGCCCGCTGTCAATCGTGTAGGTTAATTGCCATGCTGACTGCAGAACATCCACACCTCTCAATCGTCCTGTTCATACCCTACTATACCAACCTATACTACCCTTCCTACACTTCCTTACCAGCCAGTAAACCTCCGATCAGATTCCAAACACCGTGAATTATTGTCTTCCCCAGGCATTGAATTACATGCACAGCCCGCATTCACGTCCCTTCCCGGTTTGGCAGCTATAAATCCCCCTCCGATCCCCCTCTCCGGCCATCTGCTTTCTCTTCCTCCTCACATCTCTCTCACATCCTCCTCAGTGCCCACTCACATCGGCCCAATCAAGACCATTGGGCCCGGTCAAGAGGTCTGGTCCACCGCATCAAGTGAGGAGGGCTAGCCTCTATTCCAATGTAGTACATACATACTCATCGAAATATGTATATACTCGGCATGCCTGATACCCGACGGCAAGGGCACGACGGCATGGTGGAGGAGAAGCATCGTCCTCGCCGACGAAATGCTAGAGCCAATGTACACTGGCGGTTGCCATTCGAATCCTTCCGAGGGCGGATGTCTGGTGGTACGTTCATTGACCACGGACGGCATTCCATAAATATTTCATATCAGAATGAACCGCCGTTCTCCGACGTGGCCGGCAGCAGCAGCTGCCCCGGTTTTGAAAATATGTGGAATCGCTCGGTCGATCGATTGGCCAGTGATCAGATTATGGGGTCAGGAAACGGTGCTTTCCGTTCGACTTGCTATCCTTGATGGATATGCATACTTTGCGAACTTTCTTAGCAAAGCGTCGCCTGGGTTTCGTCTCAAAATACAGGATCTACCGATCGACAGTTTTCGACACGGCTTATGGCCGGTTTCCTTTCCAACATGTTTTGCCACTGTTGACAAGGGCTGCCTCTACCTCGCAGGGCATTTTCTCGGCCACGTTGTATCTTGTCGGCTGCTTGGGGGTGTCTCAAAGCTCGCAGGATTCACTTGTCGACAATAGTCGACACGGCTTATAGCCGGTTTCCTTTGAAAGGTGCTTTATCGTTTTTGACAAAAGCTGGTTCTGCCTCACAGGATATCTTCGGCCAAGATGTATCTGTTGTTGCCTGTGTTTCGCCTCAAAACACCTGATCTACCTGTCAAATGACCGGTACGGCGTATAGCCGGCTTCCTCTGAAAGGTGTTTTGTCATTCTTGACAAAATCTGCTTCTACCTCGCAGGACATCTTCGATCAAGATGTATCTGCCGTCGGTGCCTTTTGGCTTGATGCCGTGTGTTTTGACACCCGACGACTAGAGCAATGACTCTGGTTGGTGGGCCTGGGGATACCTATTCGAACAGCACAGTGAAGCTGTCGTCAATGTTGGATGGCAGGCCGCCCGTGATAGTTCGATCAAATGCGTGTCAGGACATTTTCTATGACCGGGGTCTCGAGTCCCCGAGATGTGGACTGGCTGTCGCCTTCTCTGCAGGATGATTGTGGCTGCGCTTCTGCTGATAATGAGTCTGCATTTGTGGACTAGTCGGTCGACTTTCTTGTCGACTTATCTTATTGACTTGTTTGTCGCTTCATGCTTTATCTGACTGGGCTTTGCATTGATCTCGTTCCAAACCATGCATGCAATGTGTATTTTTTTACGTGACTGCACTTGTCGACTCTGTTCGACCGAGTTGACTGGTTATGCATTTCGGCTAGTCGGCTGGTTTCATCAAATGAATTAATCGACTGATTGTGTCGATTGAATCAGTCGACTCTTTTCTCGACTCTTTGGTCGACTGAGTGTATCGACCGTCGTATCATTCATTAGATGGGATGGTCAGCAACCTCCTGTCCGGAGGTAGGACTGATTAAAAGCATACGCAGCATGGGGACATGAGACTCGCCAGAAGGCATATGTACAGGCACGCACATCATCATTGGATGTCGATGAAGCATCTGCGTATCGACATGGTGGTTCTGATCCATGTGAAAGGTCTTCGTATGTTTGACCTGAATCTATTGCCTTTTTCCGGTAAGGGTCGAGAGCAGGGTCGGTTACTCGGCGCTCTTGTTGTTCCAAGCGAAGAAATGTCTTCTGTTTTCTGGACAGCTAGATTTTGTCGACAGTTGTTCGACACCTTGCCACCTTCTTTCTTTACCCGGCTTGATCTGTCGGAAGTTGTGGACCCATCTCATCGGCCCACAATCTTCGTCTGACTGATTTTTATATCAGCCCGGAGGACATCGAGGAAGGACCTCGAAAGAAGATGGTTATGCACGGGTGTCATCCCTGCCCTGCTGGAGGATGGTATGCCACCAGGATGGGAGAGGAGGGTCATTCTTGCCAAACTCCACCAAAACAAGACTGTCCGAAAAAGCGCGTACCACTTGGGCTTCCACCTCCCCAAGTTCCAGCCTTTGTCCACGAAGTTTCATCTGGTTATATTGTCGATCGACAAGAGTCTGACCCGTCCTCAGCATATCGAACCAAATCACCGGTCCTGCACAGCCGGATTGGCCGTACCAAACACCACATCTTCGGAGTCTGTGTGGCTTGATACCACAATTGCCCACGCCAAGCAAGTGATATTGGGTATGGTCACTCTAGACCCAGCCTGCAGAAGAAGGTTGCTCTGTCTTATTGAGCTGGCATTGCAGGTCAGTGTTAAACAAGACCATGCAGCACCAAAGTTCTGCTCATGCGCCATCCATGAATGTCCTTCGTCTCCTCAGCCATATTGACTTGAATGGAGTATATGCAGGCGTGTCGTATAGACAAACCTGTTCCCTCCCGTGCACCCGTCCTTCTCCTCGAAGAGTCTTCAACCAAAAGGGAGCCTCAAACACGGTGACCGTCCTCTGCTTGTACGACCCATAAGTCGAACTTTCGACGTTCGCCAACTTTATATCCGTCGAAACTCGATCGGTATTGTACTAATACCTGTCGCCAGGCATCTATATTGATGCAGCAAGGAAGTCTGGACTCATCAACAGAGCACTGTTTGCGCTCTGTTTTGCCTCGAATGAGGTATAGATCTTCCATTCGATGGCTTATTGGTCTTCATAGAGCACTGCTTGGACTAACTCGTCCGATGGGCTTTGTACAATGCGAGCTTTTAATATCGAATTGGCATTTACTTCCATCTGCCATGCCGCGTGCTTCGACAAACCGGACACCATTTTCAATGGCACACTATAACGTCTGTCAACATATTGACAGGGCCAGTGGGTGCTTAAATCCCACGGGGACATTCTCTCCGCACAAGCGTAGGGTCTGTAGCCCAGGAACCTCGTCTGGGGTGAGAATCATCGCAACTAAAGGCGCCATAGCGGTTCAGTTGACTCGGTGCTCTCGAATGAAGCCCGTGCGTACCAGGCTTTGCACAACGATTCCTCATGCTTTGTCTGTTCCGGGCGCTAGAGGCCACTCAAGGACCCTTGTCTCGATATTGGTTGATTAGGGGGATTGTCAGATGAAATTTGACTTATTTGGTCGAACTGCGCTGGAATTTGCCCCCCACTGGGGTGGGGTCTCTGTGTCTGGGTGTCAGCATGGAACGCCACATGAGTGTAAAAGTGTGAGAAGGGTTTGATACGTCAGTTGTTTATCCCATGAGGATATGTCCGGCGCAAGATGGCATCCACAGATGTCGGGGTTTCCTTCCAGGGCCCCAACAATATACGCAAGTGGAGTCAGACTCCTTTCGTCGTAATTACCTCGTGCAGAGTGTAGGAAGACTCTGGAGGCAAGTCTCCCCCTTTCCATTCCTTTATGACTTCCAGTTCCCGTCCGACTGGCACTATGGCCAGGCTGAACCCAGCCAGGGTAGATGATCGGCCACATGCTGTGGCATGGGTGGAGCCGGGGCCGTGACTGTCAAGATCCAGAATGATCAGGTGTGTGAAGGACTGACAAAGAGGTGTTTGGGGGGAGAAGAGAAAGAACAGCAAGACTGAAGGAGAGGAAGTCAGGCAGACGCAGAAGTGACTACCGGGGCCGCTTAGTCGCTAAGATGCTTAGTCGTTCAACGATGCGATGATGATGCAAAAACGATGCGATGGGCCACCCGTGCCCCCAACCACTTTCCTGGCTGCTTACTTTGGTGTTGTTTCACTTCTCATCTTTGTGATGTTTTCATCTTTGGCCCCAAAAATGATTCGGACGGAGACAACAGGTTCTCCAACATCATCTTGGTCTGTTGGTAAACAGGCTCCCAACACGCATACATACCATCTGAGGAATTCCAGACCCTGAGAAAGTCGCCTCGCTGCGAGAACCCCACTCCAGTCTTCGTTCTGACGCGTTTCATTGCTGATTTATATCTACATCAAACACAGACTCTGACAACATACTCGGGAGTGGACTTAATCCAAATCCAAATCCGTACCCGAATTTCCCCTCCGCCCCAATTTAGGGTTCGCGTTCGCCGTCTCCACGGACCGCCACGCCACGGAGAAAGACGAATGAATCCTAATCCTCATTTTTGCTTCTACTTCTTCTGCATTGTATATTAATTACTGGGAAATGATTGATTACTGACTCATTCTGCTGATTATATAGCGTAGAAGATAGAAGAGGAGAGGAGAGGAGAGGTGCTCCGTGGGAAGGGATTACTAAATATTCAGATATTATTCCCATGTTTAGATGACCACCAGTCACTGACAATCCAGGCTCTCTCGTCTGGTTCTAATGACAATATAACTATATCATAATATAATCAAACCAAAATCAAATCAGGTCTATAACCCAGTAAAAGAACTAGTACTAGTAATCGGTAGGTACATCTATATATAGATAGCCCAGCAATATACACCACCACACCAATCGAAGTGACAGTCACGGACAGAAGATGACCAGCATATTCCAATCCACCCTCTCTCCTTCTCTCTCCCTTCATATAACCCTAACCCTATACAACATCAACCCCAACCCACTACTACCCCATCTAAGCAACAGCCATCGGCCTCATCTGCATCGGCAACGGCAAGGGCAGTCCCTCGCCATTCCCATTCCCATTCCCCTCGCCCTTCTCCCCATCCTCCCCCCTGACCCCGACCTTCCTCTCCACCCACCCCGTCAGCCTCTCACAGGCAGGATCAACCCACCCCGTCCACAGCACCGCAACGCCATACACCAGCCCAACCCAGCCGACCATGCCCAGCCCCACCACCCACGGCCCCATCAGTGGCAAATACGGCGGCAAAACCGGCGCGCCATTCTCGTCGACGCCCTCCTCCCACGGCTCCCCCGTGATCGTCCCATACAGCACCCAGCACAGCACCGTGCGCAACAGCGTGCCATGCACCAGGTACACGGCGAAACTCTGCTTGCCCAGCCAGAGAAGCAGCCGGTTGGAGAGGAAGTGTTGGGTCGACGGCGAGAGGAAGATCGCGGCGATGAGGAGGTCCACCCCGATGGCCGTGTAGCGTTTCCCGATGTTGACTTCGGGCGGGAAGATGTAGGGGGACAGGGTGAGGAGGCTGTTGGACCAGGGCGAGTATTCCGGGTGTTCGCCGGGGTAGCTGGCGAGGTAGAGGCCGAGGGTGGTCAGGAGGAGGAGGATGAGGCGGCGGGGCCAGCGGTGGGTGGGAGAGGAGAGGAGGGCCTGGAAGGGGGTGTGGTGCGTCAGGTCGCTGAGGAGAGTGCCGTAGATGGCTTGGATTTGGAAGGTCTCTAGACGGTGGGATTTGTTGGTTAGTTGGCAGTGTTGGAGGAGGAGGAGGTGATCGATGAAAAGGGAGGAAGAAACATACCGGTATCCTTGCTGGCATCCTGATGGAAATAGGCAATCAAAAGAAAATACACCACCACCCGCCACCGAAACCGCACGTACATGGTCGCCGACACGAGAATATAAACCAACATGGACGCCTTGAGCAGCGGCAACAGCGCCCACTGATGATCATCATACGCCATGTACCCCGTCGTCCAGGTGCTCAGGAAGTTCTCGCCCAGCCGGACGACCTCCTTGGACAGCGAGTCCTCCAGATCCGGGGCCGCGTAGCGACACCACCAGCAGTCGGAGCGGTTGGCGACGACAAAGGCCCCGAACTGCGCCATCGTCCACGAGATCAGCAGTGCGATGGTGGCCGGGAGGATCAGGCGCGGCGGCCGTCGGAAGGCGCTCTTCGCAATGGCTTTGAAGGCGCCCAGGTATTCGCCGGCGCGGGCCAGTTTGAGGGGCTTGAGGGCGCACACGTAGCCCGTCAGGAAGGCGAAGATGGTCACCCCGATGCGTCCCTGCCAGGGGATTCGCAGGACGGGCCATTGCAGTACTCGCGGGGGGACGTCCTCATTGTCGCGCGGCGAGAAGAGGTCGTAGTCCCAGGCTCGGGCTAGGTGGGTCAGAACGACGAGGAATGAGGCGATTCCGCGAAGGCCCTGGTGGGGGGGGGAGTTAGTTAGTGAGCTGTGCTGGTTGGTATGGTTGTGGTGGTGGTGGTGGTGGTGGTGGTGATGTTTGGATCAAGGGGGGATCGGATGGAATATAGGGTTGAGATAGGGTTGAGGGTTGCGGGTTGCGGGTTGGTTGGGAAAGGGAAGAGACAGACAGAAAGAAGGAAACAAAACTCACATCAATCCATTTGACGCTCTTCCGGGAATTGCCCTGCGACGGGGTCCAGATGGTATCGCGAAGGCGAGTGTAGAGATGGGAATCCTGAAAGGACTGCATGATGGTGAAGCAGCGACGGAAACCGAGCAGCAGCCATGGGCACGAAAGGAGGGAGGGAGCGACATTATGAAGAAGCGGGCCAGGGGATTCAGGGCAAGGGACGGATTCTCCATCGCCTCGCCTTGCCATGCCATGCCATGCAATGCATACGCGGCCCAGCCAAGCCCTTAAGGGATTAAGGGTTTGAAACCCCAAAAACTGGATACGCGATCCAGGGGCGACGCTGGATTGCGCCATGCCGAACCCTATGATGCCATGCGAGATGCAGTGAGGAACCGCCAGGCACGGCTTCGCCCCCGGCTAATTATAGGCCGAAGCGCCAGCTTCGCTTCATTTCATTTCATTTCATTGCATTGCATTGATTAACTATTAACAGCAGCTTATCTGCGACAACTGACTGACCTGTCACCTCGGCCTCATGCAATCAATAATCATCTCAGCACATCATCCAGATCAGCGGAAGATCCGCCGCCCGCCGACACTGCCAGCCGTCCATGTCACCGACCCTCGCACCCCCAGGTTGCCCATACTAAGACCTGAGAATCCGACGCCGCCCCCTTCGCCGTCCCGCTTGTACCGTCGCAGCGCCTCCCGCAGGTGCGAGGGCAGCAGTTGGCCGCGGTGGGGATTTGGCGGCAGCTTGGCATTGGCATTGGCATTGGCATTGGCCTCTTTTCTTGGCGCAGGAAGGGGGTGGGATGCCGATGCCGATGCCGATGCCAATGAGGAGGAGGATGAGGATGGGTTGTTCGCCTGCTCGGCCTCCAACGCGGCCATTGCCGCCTGGTCATGAGCCAGCGCCCATTCGGCCTGCACCGTCCGCGCCTTCTCGATGATCTCGCCCGCAAACACCTTCGTAAACCCATTGATCGTCGTGACCACACTGGCCGGCACCGACTGCGAGAGGGCATGATTGACAATCCTCCGCAGCGTCTCCTTCCGTAACTTGGCTCGCTTGAACAGATCATACCGTTCGGACTGTAGAGGATTAAACGCGTCGACCAGTAACCTACCCATCCCCATCACCACCACACCAGTTAGCAGTTTGCACCCCACACCATACCCCATCCCACATCAAAAGGTAAGAAAAGAAGGAAGGGAAAATCCCACATACGCAAGATTCTTCTTCTCCGCCTCCGTATCCGTCGTCCCTTCCTCCCTCCCCAACAGTTCCCCCTCATCATCAAAATCTTCATCCTCATCCGCATCCTCTCCGCCCGCACCACCACCACCACCACCAACACCAACACCACTCCCTGCCGTCCCAGCCCTCATGGACATGCCCTCCGCATCCACAGACCCCGAACGATCCATCCCCGCCCGCAGACTTTCTTCCCGCTCGCGCTCCTTCTCCGCCTTACTCTTCCGGCCGCGCTTCTTGCCCTTGGTCAGAAACACCCCGTCCGCGCTGGTGCCGCCCAGGCTGCCCGTGAAGCTGCCCGTCACGCTGCCGGCGTCGCTGAACGTGCGGGAGTCGAGGTCCATCGTGCTCGGGAAGGAGGTCTGGCGCAGGGGGTGCATGCGGGCGCGTTTCGGGTTCGTGCCCAGTGGTTGCGAGGAGGTGGAGGAGATGGAGGGGCGTTTGAGAGGGTTGGTCGGCGGTGGGGGTGGGGAGGACATTGTGATGGTTTGGTGGGTGTGTAGATGAGTTGAGGTCGTGGCTGATGGTTGAGAATTGCTGGCTCGGCGCGGACAGAACTGGACCGACCGGAGTAAGGGAACGGTTGCAATGCGCCAGTCAAAGCGGTCGCTGGGATTGTCGCGAGGCGATCGAGTTGAGGTGGGGAGGTGGGAGATGCAGAAGAAGCAGAAGCAAGACGAAGATGACGAGAGAACGAGAGAACGAGAGAACGAGAGAACAAAGACCGCGCCGGCTTATCGGTGGTACCGCCCCATCCGGCAGGTCTGCCGAGTGGCCGACCTTCCTTGACTAGTGCCGCCCGTCAGGGTCACCGCCCAACTGCTTATTTCTACTTCATTCTACCCTACGATTTACTCGGGAGGTGCTAGCAATGCTGGAAACCAATCTGGTTGCTGTAATTCATAGCAGATGCTAGGCACGCAGGCGGTGCAAATGAATGTCTCCACGAATACCACGAATACCACGAATCACCAAGCTCAATCGCTGGAAGCAGAAGCACAAAGCACAAAGCACAGAAAACAACCCGGAAATTGCAACCCATCAACGTGTCTCATTCTCCCATGTCCTCCGATCGTCACACAAAGGACCGACGGACGTGTTCGCGCTAGATGCGCTCTTCTCCGAGCCGAGGGGCCCCCCCTTTCCAGTCAAGTCGTTCGTAGTAGCGGAACACAAGGTCATATCCGTCCAAGTCGTGCACGATCCGATCCACCCGCCGGTACCCCTCCACGTTCTCCATCCGGGTGCGACGCGCCGCCTGTCGCTCCAGGTACTTGACCTCCTTGATGGTGTCCCAGTCGCCGTCCGTGGAAGTCACCTCGGGCTTGGCCTCGAACAGCGTGATGGTGAAGCGGCCGGGCTTGAAGATGTTGACCACCTGCTGCACGATCTCCGCCGTGGTCTGGCCGTTCTGCGAGTGCGGCACGTTGGTCTCGAAAGAGGCGTACGAGCACTGCGGCTCCGGCGTCACATGCACCGTGAAGTAGTGAGTCCCGGTGGTCTGGTCCGGCGTGGGGATCACTCCGTTGGCAGAGAAGCCGCAGGGGGTGAACAGATACGCGTCGATCCGAGACTCGGGAAACTTCGACTTGGGGTAGACGTCGGAAAGTCCGCACGACTCCGACACCACCGTTCCCAGGGCGTGGCCCTCGGTGGTCAGTTCCGAAGGCAGGATCCGGCTGCCGTTGGACGAGACATCGTCCATGTCGGAGTTGTTGCTGAACACATCCACATGGTCATCCTCGGACTCGAAGTTGCGGTAACGCTTCTCGGCAACGGCAGTCGCATGCTCGAGGTAAAACTGCTTGGCGTTCTCTTCCTCCAAGTCGGTCATCAAGACCTCCAAAGTCTCGTCCTGGTCTTCGCCCTTCGGGCGGACGGCGTGTTCGGGCACCTGGAGTACCTTGGTTTCGGTCACCGGGTCCTCGGCCTCCTCCCTGGGACTGGACGGCGGAGTGAGCAGGGTGTTGGGCTCGGTCAGGTACAGGTACCAATGCTCGCCGTTCATCTTCCCAATCATGTAGGCACTGCCGTTGAGGAACAGCCGGTCCATGTTGCGAACCTCGTCCCGCCAGCTGCGGTGGGGACCGCGCTGGCGATCGGGGAAGAGGAAGTTCTTGCGGCTGTAGAACACGCGGTACGGGGCAGCGGCGACGGAAATGCCGCGCGAGGCGGGCGCGGTCGCCCTCGGGAAGCCACCGAACAGGGCAGCAATCTCGAGGATACGCGGAAGCCCAGAGAGCAGGGTGGTCGTGCCGCAGGTCTTGAGGATCAGCTTGTGAGGCCAGACGAACATGCTAGACTCAGACAGGAGGTACGCGTCCACGTCCTCGGACGAGACAATCGAGAGCACCTGGCAGTTGACAAGGTCCAGCATATCCTTCCAGATCTCCTCGGGCACGGCCTTCAGACCGAGAGGGCCGGCAGATCCCAAGCTCTGGGCGGAAGGCGCAAACCAAACCTCCAAAAGCTTCTCGGGTCCTGTTCCCCGTCAGAATTGTCCACGTCTCTCAGAGCATACCGATGCACATACCTTCGAAAGCGTTGGTGGAGTCCAGGTCCTGGGTCGCCTCATGGTTGATCGTCAGGGACGGGGTCCCCATAAAAGAGGACGGCGACGTGGTGTAATTCTTGGGGATTCCAATGTAAACCATCTTGGCGGGTTTGCAACGTAGCGGGGAATCGGTAAAGCCGATGGATCAAGTAAGAACAGCGCGTCTGAATCGTCGACCTTAGACCAGAGAGCCTAGGAAGCACTATCTGCTGCCCAGACGAACAGGGGGGGCTGTGTCCGTCTGAGAGAGTAGGCCCTTTATCTAGTGTGGAATTGGCACTCAGCCAAAGAGGATAGTTCGGTAGGAGCCTGAAGGGCTGCTAGGGAGGGCGGAAGGAGAGGGAGAGGAGGAAAAAGCCTCTGGAAAAGGGAATGGTGGCTATCGGCTGGTGACCCTCGCTCTGAAGATACCGATACCGGCAAAAGTATCGGGTCTAGCAGACGAGAGAATCTGCTGGGTTGGATTTAGGAGATGGGGAGGAAGGTTGTGCGACTGGAAAAAAGAGGTGGGGTTTAGTCGCGTTATCGAGGCCTGAGGGGGGGGAGGGGGGGAAAGCGGGTTAGCGATGCGCCGCACCACAGCAATCCGCCAGAAGGGAGGGAGGGAGGGGGAAGATAAACCACGTACTTCGCAGGCTTAGACAGGTACCGCAGAAGATCCTTTGGGTTCATGGAAGGCAGAACACAGATCGAGCTTATAGCAGCACGGTATCGCGAGACGCCACGGCACTGGACATCTGCGAGGCGAATTCGAGGGGCTGGACGACCACGACGCGAGGAACCAGCAGGGAGGAGCGGGGTGAGATGGCTCTGAGGCAAAGACACCACCACGAAGCGAATCCCCGACAAGTGTCAAGAGGGAAGAATAAATCGGATGGAGAAACGGCAGACGAACGTGGGGGGGTGAAAGAAGTTGTCACGGACACAGGATGCTTGAGCGATTATTATTGCTGGTCGGTGTGTGGGCCCGAAAAAAGTTCGTGGGGCGCCAAAGGCCAATCTGGGTTCTGGGTTGGGCTGCGGTGGCAGCGCAGATTCTGATCTCAGTCACGGCAGGGAAACGGCCAGGGACATGCAGGTCGGGTCGGCCAGGGATCTCGGTAATCGACGCAGGAACGGGTTGGTCTTCCTGGGTTGGACACTAGACTAAGTACTTCCCTCAGTCCTCAGTCCAGAGGGATGGGATGAGATTGACTGGACTGATTTGACTGACTGACGGACTGACTGACTGACGGGGGGAAGGAATGATCCGGCAGGCAAAATCCACGAAAAAAGCCGGGTTTAGTCCCAAGGGGGCAAGCGGTCGTACAAGCCGTCACATCGCAGTGGTTACCTAAGCCGGTGACGTCGTGGCGCAGGCCCAGAAGGGGACAGAAGGAAAGCCGGTCGCACGAAGCTATACGTTGTATACTCCCCGACTCATATGATATCTGATGATATACCCATGTACCTATGCTCCGATAGCAAACACCGCTCCAAGCCAGCAGACAGGAAGACTTGAAAATTAAAAATTTAAAAAAAAAAAAAAAAAAAAACACCCCCCCCTTCCATCCATCCATCCCAAACGCCGTTCGGTCCGGTCCGTCCATGCTTGCTTTCCACCGCCATTTTAAACTCTGTATATGTGCACCTCACCTTGCAAATTTAGAAAATCCTCCCTGCAGCCAGATTCAGCACCCCACTATCGCACGCGCCATGTCGACCTCCCCCGCGTCACTGATCTTGCTCGCCAGGAAGTCGCCCACTTGGCTGCTCAGCCGCTCGCGTAGATCCTCCGTCACCACGCCGCCGTGTCCGTTGGCAAGCGCCGTCTGTCCCTCCCGCAGCGTGGCCAGGACCCCCAGCAGCACGGTGAGCACCTTTTCTGCCTCCGGCCGCCGCGAGCTGTCGTCCGCCAGCCCGTCCTTGAGCAGGTTGCCATAGGTCGGCAGATTCGGGAGGATCAGCACCCGCACCCCCTCCGCGCCGCCCACCGCATGCAGTCCGATCACGGCCCCGTAATGCGCCCCAAAGGGCTTGGACGGGTCCAGGAAGGTCTTCAGGCAGGACCGGGCCAGGCGTGGTTTGAGCGTGTGCGACGAATTGGAGTATTTCTTGGCAATGAGGCCCAGAAGCGACGCCGCCAGGTCGCGCAGGGCCACTTGCTCGGACAACTCAGCGTTGCCACCCAGCTGCCGACCGATCAGGCAGGTCAGAATGGGCGGGACCAGTGAGGCAATCTGCTGGGGTCAGTCGAGGGTCGTCGTCATACGGCATGTGAAGGCGGAACTCACGTAGGGGTCCACGTAAAGGGACTGGTTCTGCACCAGAGCCTCGGCCATGTGCATCACCTGGGTCAGGACGAAGATGTCCTTCATCCCGTGGGTCACCTTCTCAGAGATGAACTGGACGAAGTACGGCACCAGCTGGTGGAGACCGGGGTCCTCTCGTAGACTGGCGTAGCCGGAGGTCCGGTATTCCTCGCTGGAATCGTCCAGGAAGGCGTTGCAGACTTTCTCGAAGTAGAGCTGCAGCTCCTTGGACAGCACATGCTTGACCAGGGGCTTCACGGACACATTTCCTCCGCCACTCATGGCGGCCAGGGTGGAGCTGGAGTTGGGCCCCTTGGACATCAACTCCAGGTTTCTCGAGTCGGCGGCGGTGGGATTCTGGGGGATGGACGGCTGTACGCCTTCAACGGCGAGCCAGTGTGCTGGATCGAGTCAGCACCGTCAGCCTTCCATGGTGATTAATCTTCCGGGCTGCTGGGCCGACATACCTGTGAAAGCGATCTCCCGAGGCACCCTGGGCAGCGGCGCATTTATCAACTTCTCGAAATCCACCTCCTCGTCCTCCACGTAGAACAGCGGCTGCCCGGGCCCGAGGGATGCCTCGCCGAAGCGCAGCGGTCTGGTAGCTTCGTATCCATAGAGCGGCTCGACATCCAACACCCGCAGCGCCTGCGCTATATCTTGTGTCGTTAGGAGGGTGCGTCGACTGTGGCGCATGAATTTGAGGGCTTCTTCGAGGACCTGGGCGATGCGGTACTCGACGTCGCGGGCCAGGTTTTCGGTGACATCGTTGTTGAGGTTGACGATGCCGACCGATTCGGCGACGTCGCGAATGTTGTCGGGGTTCCAGACCGACATGGTGGTTGTCGTGGTTGATGCCAGAGGGCGGAGGTGGGATTCAGGTGGAAGGTGGAGTTGCGGCGATGAGTATGCGGGGTTTTCCCTGAGTTGGTGACGAGAAGAATATCAGGGTCAGGATAGGGGTCAGTTGGGAGAGAGCGAGCTCATTCTGGTGGGTGGACAGTTTCCCAGACAGTTGGAGCTGGGAGTAACACCAGCCGATATGCGACGCGGAACGGGGGGAGAGAGAGAGGGAGAGAGAGAGAGCTTCGGAGCTGGAGGCGGAGAAAAACTACCGCCGGGGAGGGGAGGGCCCCGCAAAGGCCGACAACATGGATGCATTCACATTGATCGATAGCCTGCAGGTGCCTAGTTAGGTCTTGGCTACTTAATGTTTGTCTATTGATGGGTGGGTGATTGCTTCTTTAGCGAGAAGGGATCCCATTGTTGTCTCTTTTGGCATGGCTGCCTGAGCTCTAAGGCTGCGGTTTCTATACTTCATTCCACCAGGATATCCTGTTTCTCCTGATCTAATTGATATGGTTTTATTCCACCTCTTGAATAGGCATACAGTACACGAATACCTCATCCTCTCTAGTGGATATGTTACTATTCACTGTATTATCTCCCAAGCCGGATCTTTCTGGGGGAGAAGATGCACTCCTTCACTTTACCCATCAACCCAGAAACACCTCAGGCCAGCAAAGCGCAGACTGCATCATTCTCGCATCTCAACCCAGACTCAATCTCCTCTCCTCTCCTCTCCTCTCCTTACTTCCCATTTCACCCACTTCCCCAACAACATCATCAACAATGACTTCGACCCATCGAGAACCACCCCCCCATCCTCAAATCCAAGCCTACATCCACGAAACCCTCTCCACGGCCCTCGACGAGCTCTCCTCCCCAGATGGTCAACCTTGCATAACGCTGAAGCAACGAGCCAAAAAGACCTCCTCCCTGTTCATCAACCCGAAAACCAAGGCCCTCGAAGCCAAGACTACTGAGAGAGAATCCCGCTCCACCACCACCACCACCTACACATGGCCTGGGGCTGATGTCACTGAGGCGTGGAAGTTCAGTATGGGATCTGGCTTACTAGCTTTCTTGCTACCTTCCTACATACCTACTGTCTGCCTACCTGTCTGAACGTGTTGATCTAACACTCTCGCAGCCGTTGCCTTCCGGGTCCTAGCCGCCATCGCGGAGGCATTTTCTGCGGGCTTGATGGTTTCTAAACGGTATTCAGTAGCATGATTCATCACTGCTACACCTTCCAATCCATTTTATTCTACACTCAGAGACGTTCTGCCGGGACTAACACTCAAAAGTGATATCTACTACAGCGACCCCGCCTGTTTCGGGTCCCAGCGAGTCGTCGACACCCTGGTAGATGACTTCGCGCACACGATGGGCGTGGACAGGGCTGCGTTATACGTGGTATGTACTGTCTCATACGCATCCCATCTCCCAAATATCCAACCATCCGAGTTCAGTCAATTAACTAACCACGGATTCCGCACAGGAAGCAGCAGCAAAGGGTCTCGTCGTGGGATGGTACCAGCTCACCACCACCCGGCACGAAGTCATCGATGCGCGGTTTTCTAGCCAGGTAGGTCGGCTTTTTTGCATTGTGCCGACTACCCTGGGCTAAAAGTGTGCAGGATACTCTGGTACCTAGGGTACAAGACATCGAGAGCATCGATCTCACGGATGTGGAGTGGGTGTTGGTTTTGGAGAAAGAGGTATGTATTATCATACTATCCTTTACCATCTTATACTATATCATGAATCCCTACCCAACCCAATCCAACCCAATCCCCCCCCCCCCCCCCCCTTCTCCACAGGAGTATACCTATATACCTATATATATCTTACAAAACAGGCTATATACCGCCGCCTCGCAAGCAACAACTACCACAACACCTCCGCAGCCGGAAAGGGGATCCTGATCACCGTAAGCCCTACCCTCAATACCTCAATAAAATCAACACCACCATCAACATCAACCCACTATCACAGGGAAAAGGCTACCCCGACCTCTCCACCCGCGCCTTCGTCCGCAAACTCCTCGACAGCCCCACCGCCAAACCACCCCGCTTCTACGCCCTCGTCGACAGCGACCCCGACGGCATGTCCATCATGTCAACATACAAGTACGGCTCTGTGGCCTTTTCCCACGAGAACCGCAATCTCAATCTCCCCGCTCTGCAGTGGCTGGGGGTGCGGACGTCGGATGTCGTTGCCGGGGCGAGTCGTTTGGATCATGGTGGTGTGCTGAGTCTGACGCAGCGGGACAGGAAGAAGGTCGTTGCTATGTTGGCCAAGCACCCTGTCTGGGCGGCTGATGGGCCGGAGCCGGAGTGGCGGGCCGAGTTGCAGGTGATGCTGATGTTGAATGTCAAGGCGGAGATTGAGGTGTTGTATGAGGGGGAGGGGGAGGGGTTGGTGGGGTGGTTGGATAGGAGATTGGTGTCTCTGTGAGTGAGTAGTAAAGCTGTGTAGTGTGGCCTTTGTCTTTAAAGGTCCTGTTTATTGATATACCTCTTCTGGCTGAAAGAAAGAAAGAATGAATGAATGAGTGGGGAAGTATCTATGTAGGTCGAAAGGAGACGTGAACTTGATGCCTAGCGCGTCTTCATCTTCATCTAGCAAAGGGACGACTTCCGTCCGGGCTCTGTTCACAGAATGAATACAAAAGAAGAAAAGGAAGGAAGAAAAGAAGAATAATGAATCGACCGCACCGCACCGCAACGCCATACCAAGCATCCAATGCATCCAAACAAGCTATGCCCTATGCCCCATGCCCCATTCCCCATGCCACATTCTCCCCTCCCCATCCCCATCGCCCACCCCACACTACTATAGACACAGGTCAGGCAGACAGGCCAACGCACGCACAAACACATATATACACAACCCCTCGCCCCACCCCCTCAGAAGAAAGATAGGTATAAACAGACACCCTGACAGCTCACAGCTCACAGCTCACAGCTCACAGCCCCAACCCCTTGCGCACCTCATCGCGGACCTTCCGCTCATACTCGCTCCTCCGCTCGCGCCACATCTTCGCGGCCTCGACGTTGGCGGGGCTCTCGTCGTTCGGCTCGGCCAGCATGCTCATCACGGAGATGAGGATTTTCTCGACGCTCTGGATGGGGGACCAGCGTTCCGAGGCGTGTTCGTAGTGGTTGGGGTCGTCGCCGGGGGGGTGCAGGATCGAGATGCAGACTGTTCCATTGGGGTAGACTATCATCATCATCATTCATTGTTAGCGTTTCATTCTTGGTCTTGGTCTTTCTTTTCTTTTCTCACATCCAGACGAAAACGAGTCAGGAAAGAAATAATAGCGCTGCAAAGCAAAGCAACACAAAGTAAAGGGAGTAAGGAGTAAGTAAATAAATACCATTAGGATGCCACACCCCACCCCCCACGAACTTCATAGTCGGCGGGCTGAGCGGATAATCCTTGGGGAACTTCAACTCGGCCGCAAAGATGCCGCCCTCGAAGGGCGTGCCCTCGGGCCCCTGGATCAGCGCTTCCCAATGGAACATATCATCTTCGGTGACGGGGCCCGCCGTGATGCCCTCGGGGGGGTTGGTCGAGAGGTTTTTGTATTCGTGGAAGAGGCGTTTTTGCGCGACGGTGGACATGGTGGTGGTGGTGGTGGTGGGGGGGGGGGGGGGGGGTTGGATGGGATGGGATTGGACTGGATTTCAGGTGGATATATGGGGTAGGTAGATGGGGAGATGGATGAGTGTGGGAGAGAGGAAGGATAGAGTGTTGGTGTACTGTACTGGAGTGGGTGAGTGGGTGGGTTGGTGGGTGTCTCGATTAGATAAAGAGGGATCGGAGGTGCGGAGATTCGGTCGAGTAGTGAGTGGAGAGGGGATGCAGGGGGGGAGTGGTAGTTAGTACCTGACGGTGGTAAAAGATGAGATTTCTTTCGGGGGAAGAGGCGAAAGAGTGGCAAGGAAGGGAATGGAGAGACGAAGAGGGAATAAGGGAATAATGAATCATTTTGAATGGGTTGCCACCTGAAAGAAAAGGCCGACGGTTGAGGCCGGCACGTATCGCTGCCTCAGGCAGCTGCTATCGTCATGGTTCTCATGGTTCTTCGAGTTCCACCTCATAGGCTGAATGTGAAGGGGAAATCTGAAGCGATAATAGACTGCCTATATAGTACATAAAGAGGGAAGGCTCGTAGACCCCCCAAGCAGCTCCTATACATCCTTAGACGGTATCTATACTAGGGCATTGTGAACCATCCCTGCCTGCATGATTGACAATCGGTCCGTCAAGTCTTACGAACAAGCGGCAACTCCCGTTAGTTATATGCAGACCGCGTAATCCTACAAGTCACTAGAAGAAGTCATAGTCATCTCCATCCCCTTCGTCATCTGCCCACGGGTCCTCTTCAAAAGCAGATGGATCCTCCGCCCCATCCCCCCAGACCTCCGTATCCTTAGGATTGCTCCCAAACTCTGACGGCTCCCCGTCCTTCTGATCAGGCTTGCTTGCTCCCTGTCCCCGAGACATGGCCTCATATCCGGCCATTGTTCCAGCACCCGCTGCAGCAGCGCCTGCGCCATCCGCCATTCCACCGGCAGCTCCAGCCCGGCCAACTGCCCCTGCGCCGGCTTCTCCCACCGCGCCCGCCGCGCCCGCCTCGCCAGCGGCAGCGCCCCCGGCTGCCTCGCCGCCGAAGCCAGGGATCCACATAGGCATGAACCCGAAGCCACCCGCGCCGCTATGGCGACTGAAGTAGTCGAAATCGATGCTCACCGCGGTCGCCAGCATCACGGCACGTTGGTCCAGGGTCATCCCCAGCTCAGCCTTCTTGTCGAGGAACTGTTCGCTGGGGGCGGCAGAGTCCATCCGCAGGGCATAGACACCCGTGTCGGTGAAAAATTCGCGCGCAAACCCAACAAAATTGCGATTGACGGAGCCGATCAGCTGGTTTTCGGCAGAGCGTAGGGAAAAGTCCCAGGATAGGAATGGCTCATCCACGTATGCGAACTGGTGGTATTCGCCAAGGTTTTGGCCGTCCTCGGATGTCTGGACCAGCTGCATCTGCTGCGCATTGGACAGGCCTGTTCGATCAAGAGGTAGTTTCTGGGTGTTCATGTCGGTCGCGGGGTTGGGCGAGTGGTGGTATGTGAACATGTTGTATTTGCGACGCAGCGGGGCCCATTGCTGCTGGGTTTCTCCGATGACCCGCATGTCGTCAAATCCCAATGATGAGACCCGGGCGTTTGAGCCACCTGCCGACGGAACAAGGGTGCCAGCAGAGTTGGTTTGGAGAGCGGTCGACGAGGAACGGGCACCTGTCGCCACATCAAGAGGGTCGTACACTCGGATGCGGGAGTTGATCCATGAGAACGGACGGTGAAACTGGACAGTCAGTCAGTCAGTATCTTGGGCAAAGCAATCAAGCCCGCACGTACTTACCCGAAGCACTTCATTCTCATGCTTGTCGAACACATGCGTTACGAAGCTGCGGTGTGTACGGAACCACTGCCGCGCCATCATATTGCCCATCCCCTTCTCCTGCTCCGCCATGTAGCCGATATGGTTGCCGTTGGCATCCATGATCACATATTTGTTGGCCTGTTCGAAGCCGATCATCACATTCATAAGCTCCAGCTGCCGCTGCACCACCAGCCCCGAGTTTGCCAGGATCCCCGTGGCGGGATGGGTCTCTTTTATGACGCCATGAGGGTCTTCGGGGATGTGGACTGGGGCGAGAAGCGTGTTCTGGGAGGGGTCGTATTGGGGGTTGGGGGCATCGGAAGGTGTGTCTGGGGCGTGAGGTGCGGGTTGCTGTGAGGGCGTGGCATCTTTTCTGATGGGCGCTGGTCTCCGAATGGAGTTCCGGGGGCCACGAGGACTGGAACGTCCTCTGAATGAGCTGGCGAGAGCTCGGCCTGGGACGCGAAGGCTCCGCGCGGGCGATGTTCGGAGTGTCAGACTCCACATATCCAGGCTGTACGGCCAGTCCTGTATGGCTAGTGGAGGAAGAAGACGGTAGCAACGATGCGGGGAGGTTGAAGAGGGGAAGAAAGCGTTCGTAGAATGGATGGATGGATCTTCTTTAATGACGAAGTTGCGGGTGGCGGACTTAGCGGCGATAAGGCCGTCGGGTGCGCTGCTCATGGCTGGCACCACTCTGTAGTTATTCAATGGCGAATTACACAATGGGTGGTACTCTGCTTTAAGTTGCTCGATAATGTTCAATCTGGAGGCGGCAATATGTCTGTATTATAGGCTCCAATCAACATGACCCCCAAGCCAACTAACGAGTAGGTACACTGCGCCGTGCTCATGTCTCCATCACACAGCTGACATATATTGAACGAGTCGATCGATATCCTCGGGCATCTCCATCCACAGGTATCCCATATGCAACGAGACGTAACCCAGTAATCCAGTCCCACATCTGTATTAACATCCACCATCCATCCAATAAACAAAACACCACCAACCCCCCCCCCCCCATCACTAGTATGAACACCCCTCAAGCCTCAATCACAACAGTCCCTTCCGCGCCAACTCGACCTTCCGTGCCGTCTCGCCCTCCTTATACCCTCCCTTCGAAACACAGATCGCACTCCCCTCGCCGAGCTCGATCTTCTCCTCCACGTCGGGGTGGGGACACGGACAATGGTGCGGGAAATGGACGCATGCGAGAGTGCCGGGACAGAGGTATTTGTCGCAGATAGCTAGTAGGTAGGTGATAGAGTTAGCATCTTCCATTTCCCCAGTACCACAGCCCCCTCCCCTCCTGCAAGAGCATCTCCCTTATATGCGAACTCACCCGAATCCCACTGGCCCCGATACCGCGAACTATCACTGGGGACATTCTGCGCCTGCTGCTGTCGGCCCTGATGGCCTCCGCCGCCACCACCGCCGAACATATGCTCGAAGAACTGGAACTGGGCATTCGCGACCGAAGCGAGGAGGAGGAGGGCCCCGAGGAGCCTGATCCAGGAGAACATGGCGAGTAGATAGATCAACTGTTCCCGAAGCAATCCGACAGAAGCAGATGTGTGTGCAGCGTCACCCGGTCCCATAGACAGTCCCGGCCATCTGGCCGTTCCGGCACGTGACCCGCAGCCGCCAAGCCCATCTCCGGGCGCGCGAAAAAAAAGGCCGTCCAAACCTCACCTCCGATCCAGTTCCCCATCCACATCCCACGCAAAGCAGAACGCCATGTTCCAACCCCGTCTCCTAGCGCCCCTCCGGGCCCTAGAACGAGGCCTCCCGACCCTCCGCAAAGCCCACCACAGCACCACAGCCACGGCCTCTCTCCTCCGGCCCCGGACCACCATCACCTCCATCCCAACAACCAGAACCACAACAACCTCCCTCCTCACCTCCGCCCGCACCACCCCCTCGATCTCGATAACCTCCTTCCCCCTGCAACCAGCCTCCATCTCCCTCTCTCAAATCCAGATCCGCCACGCCTCGCACGCCACCCAAGGTGCCGCCAACCGCCACTCCCGCGATCCGGCCGGAAAACGCCTCGGCGCGAAGCGCGCCGGCGGCGAATACGTGGTGCCCGGATGCATCATCTTCAAGCAGCGCGGCACGAAATGGTTCCCCGGCGAGAACTGCGCCATGGGCCGCGACCACACCATCTACGCGAGTGAGGCCGGCTATGTGCGGTATTACCTGGATAAGGAGCGGCATCCGGATCGGAAGTTTATTGGGGTCGTGTTTGAGAAGGAGGGTGTGCTGCCCGTGCCGAGGAATGCGCCCACTCGGAGGAGATTGGGGAGGGTGGCGGTGAAGTTTGAGCCCGAGCTGGAAGTCCAGGGTGAGAGTACTGGGAAGACGGGGGATCTGGTGGCCGAGGTGAATGTGGGTGCCCAGGGTGAGGGCGAGGGTGTGGTTGTGGGGAGTGTCGAGGCGGAGAAGGCCGGTGATGGGTTGCAGCTTCGTCCGGGTTATATGTATCGTGAGGCGAATTGGGTGATTGGAAGAGCCGCGGAGAAGGCGGGCATCACGGCCAAGCCATTTGATCGGGGTAATCGGTGGTTGGCGTGGAGGAAGAGACAGGCTAGGGCTGATAAGGCGGCCCAGTTGAAGAGTTTGAAGGGTAAGAAGAAGAAGAAGGGTGGGAAATAGAGTATGATAGAGGAGATGGGGTGAGCTGTCTGTTGGCAAGGTTCGGATCTGCTATGTATGACCTTGTTGTGATATTGTTATGGGTTTTAGGATGTTTCTCTGTCAGTTGTATGTATGTATGTATTATAAGATAAGACGTTTACTACTACTCTCTTTCGTTGGACGTGCATGGACAATATGGGAGGCAATCGTAGAAGCAAGCTATTCAAGGGGTATATTGCTGTTGCTATCTCAATTTCGCAAAGTTATCACAGCATCAAGTCCCTTCCTCATTATCGTAGATATATATCCCTTCACATACGCCATAGCTAGATCAGCCAACGCTAAGCCCGTGCTACATTCAGCAAATGCCAGGTCATTGGTCAAACAATCTCCCCAGAATCAGACTCTGGCAGAGAAACTCATTACCCACAATCTTGACATTGGTGTCCAGCCCCAGATCATTGCCGCTCGTGGACTCGGTCAGCCGGGACCGCTTCCGCTTCCTCGAGCCAGCCAGAGACGAGCCCGATGTCACGGCCTTCGCGCACAATCGATCATCCTCGTCGACGTAGACCCAGTCCCAGCCGCTGCCGTCGGTAGACCCGTCTGCCTGATTGCCCAGAATGGCCCGCACGGTCTTGAGATCGGACACGCGCTCGATCCGGGATGCGCCGAGCGCGTACGTCAGGAAGAGGTATGCCTTTCTTTTCTCCTCGTCGGTCCGGCCGCTGCGTCCGGTGACCAGGAGCACGGACTGTCCGCTCAGGAGATTCGGACGGCCAGCGATCGTCTCCGAGAAGCGGGCCTCTGTCGCCGGGTAGGGCGCGAGGAATCTGGATTTGGTTGCCCCGTTCAGGTATGTGGATTCTCCGGCCGGGAGGAGGTAAAGCTCCCAGCTGAGGATCTGTCGTTTCGCGACACAGTCCTCGATCCAGCGGTCTGAGAGGCACGGAAGATTAAGCGCCAGGGCTTGCATGTACTTTGACCGACGGGAGTGTCTGTCGGCGATGAGGCAGGCAAACCCCACGTCCGCAGCACCGCTGGTTAGCCGAAGGTAGCCATCTTGGGCGGCGGTGCTAGAGACGGCTGATTTGGTGGGCGTGGCCACGGGTGCGTTCACGGGCAATTCGAACAGTTCGTTGAACCCATCCTCCAGGATACGACCATCATTCTCCAGGATCATCTTCGCAACGCGCGACTTGGCACTGTTGTTGTCTCCGTACGACACTGCAAAGACCATACCGGCGAACAGCCCGGTGGATAAACGGATACTGCGGGATAGCCGAGCACCTGGAGATATCGGCGTGGAGTATCTATCGGCGGGGGTCTGGAGTCGACTCTCCGGAGGCACAGGTCCAGAGTCGTAGCTGAAGCCCCGATCTTTCAGCCGATTCCATAGAATTGTGTCAAGGTAGATGCGCGAGATAGGCACGGTGATCTTGGCTTCCGTGACAGCAAGCCCGGCACTTGGGAGGCTCTTGCGCTGCTTCGGGGTCAGGATCACGGCTGAGTACCCGTACACATCAGTCATCGGAATGGCCCCGTTAGCAGCCCCCTGCTCGATATCCTCCATACTGAGCTTGTTGCTGAAGCCCGAGATGATGTGTGTCACCTTGGGGACGTTCGGCATGTCCACTTTCACGCCGTCGCCAACACGTAACTCAAGTCTTTTCACTGCCCCGGTGGGTATCTCGATAGGGGTGCTCTCTTCAAATTTGACCAGGTACCGCGACTGTTGAGTCCCAAACGGCTTTCCAAAGCACGTTGCAGGATAGTATGCCCGCTTCGGTCCGCTCCATGGCGCAAGAACCTGGTTGACAGCGATAGGAGTATTATCGTGATTGACTGCAGGCGGGGCGGTAGGCTCGGCAGCAGGGTAGACAGGATGGACGGCAGGATAGACGGTAGGCTGAACTTGAGGCTGGACTGGAGGCTGGACTGGAGGCTGAACCCTGGGCGTTCCTGTAACAGGTTCATCCTCAGCCGCGATCTCAGTTGAGCCAGTTCCATTGGCATCACTCCGTAGCTCAGGCACATGGCTAGCCGCTCGATTACTGTGCATGGCAGGCACCTCATGAGCCAGTTCGGGTTGCTCATTTTCAACATATTGCCGTCCAACTGGGCGAGAACGAGGCAGAAGCTTGGATCTTTCTCTGCGCGAAACATGATACTGAGGAGTATCATCCATATCCCACACGCTCTCTGCTCTCCTAGGTTTCGATCGTCTCTGGAACGTCGACGGAGGTTTGGTCTGTGACTCTGCTGGCTCCACCTCGGTTATGGTTGGCATCTCCTTATCCTGGTGCTGTGAGAAGTGAGCCATTGGGCGAGGCGTAACGGGAAGAACAGGATCAGAAGCGTAAACACTTTGACCATCATTACCACGGCGCTTTTTCCTTGGTGGCGCGGGAGACATGGCAACTGCTGACCGAAACTCGCGATCATCGGCAGACAGAATGTTAATGTCAAGGTTAAAGGATCCGGCTCCTATTCTGGGTGAATCATCGGCTGCGATCTCCGTCAGTGCCCGGCGCTGTCTGCCACTTGGGCTAGAAAGTATTTTCGATTGGTGGAACGGAGAGGGCTTCACAGGCGAAGAACTATCTGTCATAATCGGATGGGAAGGCCCCCGTTCATGCGCATCCACGTAGACGGGCGGTAGATCGTCGTCTTCCTGATCCGCTGTGTCTTTCAGCTCATTGGGCCAACCTGGGTGACCCAGGCGGCTGGGACTGGTTTCGGGTATGCTCGTCATAGGGATCACATCTGCGAAGCTCCTTGGGGCGACAGGCGTTTCGGCGACACGCGAGGGCATCGACGATGACTTCTCTCGAGAATCGCGAGTCGAGGATCTGTCAGCTATGTCGGCAGGTCTTTGGAGGGTTGAGTTGCTCGACTTGATCTCGCGAGCTGAAGCCCTTGGTGTCGGGGAGCGGCATGGACTGCCCGCGTCTGACCCAGGCTGGCTGGCAGCGTTGGCATCACCAAGTTCAAATCTTTTACCGCGTTGAGACCCCGGGGGAGAAGAGCGTATACGGACTTGCTTTGTGGGGGATGAAGTGATCCTTTCCACATCAGACGAAGGGTCTATTTGCATCTTCGAGCCAGGATGACGTGTGCCCCCCCTATCCCACTGTTCGGTGTCATCATTACCTCTGTCCTTACGTCCAGGAGAGCGCTGGGAATCCTTCACAACCGAAATCTGTGATGACCGGCTTGTGGCAGGCAGGTGTTCATCCGGCACAATACTGCGAGAACGTAGACGTGACTCTCTGTGTTCTCCTATCTCCTCTCTGTCGCTAGAATACGGGCTCTGTAGGGCAAGAGCTTGAGATAGACGGTCATGCGCACTACTGGTAGCTGCAATTGTAGTGGCTGGGTCGTGGCAATTTTCCTTATCTTCCTCGGTCGAACTGGGCTGAGACTGTGAGAAAGGCTGTTCCAAGTCATCCTCCAGCTCCTGTTCCGTCTCCTCCTCGCTGAGAACCACAGGGTGGGTGCCAAGCTCTTGGTCGCCACCGTCTTCAACAAGCCCACCAGTCCATTCCGGCCCCTCTGACGCCTTGACTGCAGAGTCTGTCGCTGTGCTCGTCTGCCCTTCCCGCCGACTGGCCGGTCTTGCAGGCGCCGTGCATGCAATAAGCTGCGCATCAGCCTCCTCATCGACCAACCTACGCCGCCTCATACGCTCGACGAAGCTGGGCTCCTTATCGAATTCCTCGTCACTCTGGTCGGAGTAGATATGGTCCGCCGAACGTGTCATCCTTTCATGGAAATCCTGATCCCGATTTGCCTGCGACTCCTGCATGCTGATATAGTTCAGTCGATGTGCGGACGCGTTCTGCGGGAAGGTTGCGGCAAGACGGTTGTACGGAGAGGAGAGGGTTGTAGCAAGCGGATGAGTCTGGATGGGAATATTGGGCGATGGCCGGTCCGAAGTGAGGTCAGGATGATGTGCATGCACCAACGGTGACGATGGTGCCTGGGTTGCTCTGAAAACCTGGCTCAACGCCATGATCCCGCCACTTGAACCAATATCCGCTGCGAGGGGATTCCGCGAAGCTGAGGGGGACACGGTAGCGAGGCCATCCGAATGAGCACGCTTCACCGCTGTGACAGGCGTCTTGGTCAAAAAGCGCTGCGATTCGGGGAACAGGTTCGACTGGTAGACCATGGGCGAAGATTCCCCCAGCTTGGAGCTGCTCTGGTCGTCGTCCAGGTCATCCGCCTCCGCGTTGACGCCATCGGTGTGTATATCCTCGTAGCCAGACAGTAGATCGAGATGGCCGCTATCACCCTCGTGAAAGGTCATCAATGATGCCTGCCCCCCCAAGTTGTTATCCGGGGCGTTCTCCGCCGCGTCATAGTTTTTCTTGATGAGCTCGTCGAGCACGGACTGGGAGATGACCTGCGTATCGGAAGGGGCAGATTCCGCCGACATTTTCCCCGACGGTGCTGCACCGGCAGCAAGACGGTTTCGAGAACGGGATTTAGAGGACGTCGGAGTCGGATCTATCGCACTTGGGGCATTCTGTGGTCGTGTGGGTGAGCGAGAGGACGACAGGCCGCGGCAAGGCTGGGACGGGGACTTTTGAGCGTCCGGGGCAGCAACGGGCGACGGTGAACTTCGCTGGGCGTCCTGCTCATGAAAGAAATCCTGGACGATCTCTGGGCCATTGACGGCCAGCTGTGATGGGGCTGATTCCTGGGGGGCAAGCAGACAGAAGGTGTTAGTAGCATCACTTGGTACGATCGAATCGAATCGAGCCGATCAGGGACTCCGCCACCCGTCACTCACTAGGCCCAACGCGACGCGTTGCAGCTTCGCGATGTCGAGACTGTCCTGAGTCTCCATGATGATCCCTATCACTCCGTGGGTTGCGTGGCACCCTGCAGGCGATAGCTCATAGTTCACACGCCCTCACACCGGAACCGGGGGTCCGTCCGTGAGGTCACTGGCAGAGAAGGAGGACTCAACTTCCTCCCTTTGGGTTCGGGAACCACAAAACGCGAAACGCGTGCCTCACGTGACTCCCACCCATCCAATATGACCGCTCTGGGACTAGAACGGGAGGGACATCGACATGGACATGAGCATCACCAGATATCAAGAACTAGATACGGGCTATTTGTACTGGGACCAATTGTCCGCTTTAGACACAGTGCATCAAGCAGGCACAGGAAGAGGGTAGTGTTGCATTCATCACACCGTGAGATCAGATCACGAGGTTGGCGACAGGAGCATGGTTACATATACTAGTAGTTACAGTGGGCCAGTGCATTGCGTCTTTCACAAGGCAAGCCCGAGCTCAAGAGATATGCTGCGGGTATTGTACAGGAAGGTGAACGGGTGCACATGGTCAGTCCCGCATCCGATTGGGGACCCATCGTCGGATCACCATCTCTCGGACTCTGTACCGAGCCAGCATGGCCCCAATATCCTCCTCAGACGGGGTGTCCAGCTCGTAGGAGGTGGGTGGTGGCACTTCCACGTAGCAAACCACCAAGCTCTTCTTCACCTGCGCCTGGACCCGGTTGACGCAGTGCAGCCACCACCAGCTGCGCGCTTGTTTCTCTGCACAGTGCGCCCTGCGGTCTGCCGTCGCCGACCAGTAGGGATGTTCGTAGGCTGGGATGACCACAACTGCAAACTCGGCATGGGAGAAGACGGGCCCGCGGTTGTAGAGGATGTAGTCCACACCGAACTTCACGCCGGAGCGCACAACCCACCCCAGGGACCGGAAGTGGTGGTACACAACATATGATATCATGAAGGAATCATCCGGCGTCAGATCAGCGGACGGGTCGCGAGGGGGGAAGTACGAGTGTTGACAGAAGAGCGGGAGCAGGGAGGACGTGGAAATGACTTCCTTCCGCGAGTCGTCTAGAACACGCAGGGCCCCGAGCCCGTATACGAGAAAGAATGCCTCCTCGCGGGACAGTTGGAGATGCTCTTCATTATTCAGAACAGGCTCCTCTTCGGGTTCACGTTCGAGAGCTGGCGTCTCGGGCAGAGTCAGGATGGCTGAATCTGAAACGAACTCTTTTGCCTGGACTACAGGGGAAAATCGCACGGTCTTGCCGCCACTGGGGGACCGTTTCCCGGGACCGGGGGCGTGTGCCTTGCCGTCTTGTGCCACCGAGCGCTGTGACTCAAGGAGCTTGGCTTCTCTAGCCTTCCTGAGCGAGAACTTCTCCGTAGCAGGTATCGTGCCGTCGGGAACACCGTTTGGGGTTGGCGAGAGGGACTGCTCGACTGGCGTCGCGCCGCCTTCCCTGGCCGCCGCCTCGGCCTTGAGTCTCTCCTCAATGGCAAGCTTTTCCATCCTTGCTCGCTCCAGTTTCAATTCGCGGCGTTCAGTCCGCCGCTGTCGTGTGACCTCCTCGCTGGTCACCCCCCCGAGAAGCCCGCGCCTCTTCTTCTCTCGTTCCAGCCAGCTCGGCTCACTTCGACTCAGGGTTCCCTTGCCGAAGAAGCCCATCTCCCAGAGCGCTTTGATCGCCTTCGGGTCCGTGACATGGACGGAGGAGGTAGCGGAGTCAAAGTAGGCGGAGTGGATTTCGCGATGAGGGGGGGCAATGAAGAACGTCAGGTAGGAGAGCAGGACGCTGACGAGCGAGAGAGGGTTGTGGGGGATCAGTGGAGGGAGCGGATGCACTTCGACGGGGAAAGGGAAGCGATGGATGTGTCTGTAGTTGGGCCTCGAAGGCCGCGGACGGCGAGCCGGAGAGGCATGATTCGGCGTGGAGGGAGCCTCCGGCGCAGGACTAGAGATGGGTTGGGAGGGAAAAGCCATATTTAAGATAGAGAAGAAAAGTTGTATTGATTTCGAAGTCTAACTACCGGGGGAAGAGTCAGCAGGAACTCTTCAATTACTAAGTAAAGAAGCCGTCCCCATCCGCCCCAGAAGCAAATGCAGTCATTGTTTTTTCTCCTCAGATACCGTTGTAGTCAATCTAAAGCCTCATCGACAACAGCGAGAAATCAAAGTGCCATTGCCTAAGCTTAGCTTAGATAGTTATCATCACCGGAGAAAACAATGAGAGCCAAGCGCTTCCAGCAAGACCGACGAAGCCGACGAAGCTGCTGGCTGAAGCTTACCCGAATCTGGGTTGAGATCAGGGCAGAATCCACGCGGGGCAAGAGACCTCAGTAGTGCGTGCATTCATTAAATACAAGAGGTCAATTAGCACGAGGACTGTCTCTCAAGTCAAGTCAAGTCAAGTCATGTTGCAATGCGGGATATAGATGCGCATCATCATCGACATCCTAAGCACAGCACATCCTGAGAATGTTGAGTGTGGGTTGGTTGCGGAAGAAAGAAAAAAGCCGTCGGCCTCGCTTGGGCAGCTTTAAATGGGGGGGGGATGGTGACTAAGCCGGTCCCTGGCCCGAGCGTCGCTTTCCGCCAAAAATTTCCTGCGGGCCGTCGGACTCCATCAAGTTCAGCGAGTGGAATCGACAAGAGAAGCCGGAATTCTTCGCATCGCATCAGCCAGCCCCCTCCTTTCGTAGTCAGGTCCAGTCGACAACTAATCATCATGTGAGTCTGCCTACTTCCGCTTTGCTATCTACCAGCGGGTGCTAATCGTCATTGCAGCATGCATCTTATGTGTAGGTCTCCGCAGTCGCACGCATCGATCGGTCACAACTAACGCAGAATCAAGACACCTTGGGCCCCGATGGCAAGCGGGTTTACACCCTGAAGAAGGTCCTCGAAGGCACCGTCACTAAGAGTGCCCACCCGGCTCGTTTCTCGCCCGACGACAAGTACTCCCGGTAGGTTCTTTTGCCCCGACTCAGAACGACTTGGAGACCGCGGGGCTAACGATGGTTGATAACAGGCACCGTGTCACCCTCAAGAAGAGATACGGTCTGCTTCTGACCCAGCAAGCCGGTATGCACTATCCGAAACCACCCTTGGACACCTCCCCGTGGACATGGCTGACAGTAGAGTACAGACAAGGAGGCTGCCAAGCTGTAAGAGGCTGGTTGATGGAATCACACGAATGAGATAAAAAGGTGCTTTCGAATCATTTACGGCGAATGGTGTTATCTATGGTCTTTGGACGATGAGAAACTTCTGTTTGGTTTCTGTGCGGTGCCTAGGGCCGGGATCTTAGGATGGTCAAATATACCTTCGAAGAAATTTGCTCTATATCCGTTGCCTAGCATATGCTATATGCTCTATAAATTGTTGAATTTCAACCATCATAATCCATCAAAAGCCATAGACAAGAACAGTCATAATTTTGTAAGCCAGACGCCGACCCAAGTTCATGCAAATCGATCGGAAGCCATGTCATTACCGCTTCCTCGAGTTCACGTTTCTGCCCGCTCCCACGCGAATGCGCCCGTTCCTGCTGCGGTCGCCCGTCAGAATGCTGGGCAGGTAGTCCTCGTCCATGAGGTCGTGCTCCTTGCGCATGCGGCGGTTCTGCTCCGCGTTGGCCCGCACGAACTCCTTCTGATCCTCCGCGAGAATCAGCTCCGTTCCCCAGCCGCCTTTGCCACCACCGCCCTTCCACTTTCCGTTGGAGGTGCCGTGGGTGGGCTTGGGGACGCTGAACACATTGCCCCGGTTGTTCCACTGCATGTTCTTCTTCAGGTGCAACTTGAATTGCCCGTTGGCATCGGTCGAGCAGGCGACACGGGTGAGGGTGTCCTTTCCGCAGCGCGGGCAGAACTGCTTCTCCATTTCCCGGGTGGTGGAGAAGCAACCGTGGCAACGCTTGATGAAGGACTTGAGATGACGGACTCGCTGCAGCGTGGAGGTGGACAGCAGGTTCAGGTTCATCTGTAGTAGCACGTTTTGGCACTGGACCACAATCAGCATCTCCTAAAGCACGTGGGGACTGGTGTGACACTCACCGCGAAATCCGTAGTCATGGTCGCAACCTGCATCACCTTGGGCTCGGGCGCCGCAGCGGCGGAGCCGGCATCGTCAAGGGCCTGTCGCTTCTTCAGGTTGGAGGGGGTGATCCAGCCACCGTCAGAGTCATCGTCCTCCTCCTCCTCGGGGGCCAGTTCCTCTGTCTCTGCCTCTGCGGGGGTCTCCTCGGGAGTCTCCTGGGGAGCCTCGGGAGTTTCGGTCTCCTGCGGGCCTGCCTCTTCGTCTTTCTTGTCTTCCAGGCTGGCGCTGTTCAAGTCCTCAGCGACAGCATCCACCTCAGTGCCCTCCGCCTTGGTCTCTTCCTTGGTCTCCCCCGCAGATGCGGCTTCGCCCTCACCCTCCGTCTCCGCCGCCGCCGCCGCCGCCTCCTCCTTCACGGGGGGCTTTCCGTTCACGCGCTTCTGTCCGGGCACACTCCTCAATCTCCAGTCGCCCCCGTTTCTCTCACACTCCACCTCGTAGGCCAGCGCCAGCACCTCGATATCGGTTTTACTCAGCACGGCGCGATCACCGGTCTTGCGGGAGAACTCGCTGATGACGCTCACGCTCTTCGGGGAGGGGGTGCGCTGCTTCAGGAAGGGGAGATAGAGGGTCTCGACGCGCTGGCGGGCGGCGGGGTCGCGAATTTCGTTGACGACGGAGGGGGTGATGAGCAGCTCCTCGCATTGTGTGAGGAGGGTGGAGAGCGGCGGGGTATTCTTGAGGATGGGACCGGCGTCAAGCACGATGGTGTGGACGGGCTTGGGGGGGGGCGTGGAGTCCGCCATTTTGACGGAAGATTGCAGGACAGTCTCTGCGACGGGTGTCGTAGTTGGGGAGCAGATCTGGTGGGCGAGGGAGTGGGTTCTGAAGCGGAAGTTGTTCGCTGGCAAAAAGGCATCAGGGCATCTGCGATGGGATTTTCAGCTGGTCTGTGCGTTATACTTATCTTAGCGCCCGCTTATCGAGGCAGCAAGGCATCCATCCGGACCGTCGCCAACTGGCCAACTCCACTCCCAGAAGAACAATAAACATTCTTTCTTTCCATTCTTCTTTCCACGGAGCTTTTCAGAAGCTTGACTTCTTCCACAATCAGCCATCCCGCAGCGCACATCATCGCGACTGTCGCCAATGTCGCTCTGGATATTCCAAATCGCCGTCGCATGGCCATGACACGTCCATTCGATCCAATCCGCCACACCTGCCCAGTATGTCTATTGTCTGCAGGATGTCTCTCTCTGTCTCTCTTCCACTTCACCTGTCAAACACATTCCAGTCGCTCTCTTCCCGACTGCCCCCGATTGCCCCCGACTGATTGGATGGGTTCCATCGCCGTCGATCCACGTCCTGGGATCGTCGTTGGCCATATGGCCTGAAAGCCGTTTTTTCTTATTCCTCCTGTTCTCCCTCCCCGTATGCAGGCAACCGACCAGCCAACTGCACTAACTGCTGACCAACCCAACAAACCCAACCAACCGAATGCTGCTCGCCGCTGTTCCAGCTCTCAATGATGTGGCGGCAAACACCCGCGAGGTCTCAATCTCACATGGAGGGGGAAAATAAACGACTCGCCTGACTCACTTGACTCATACTTAGTCTCATATTCAGGAAATTAGCAACCGATCAGGGCCGCGGTGATCAAGCAAAAGTACTTGCATCCGCGGACGGCGTCTTCGTCACTTCGTGTCGGCCCACTCTGGATCAATCAATCGGTGGACCCGGGATGGCAGTCCTGGACGGAGTGGACGGAGAACCCCGTCTGGCTGCAGCAGTGGGCAGGACGAAGTCCTATACGGGAACCATGCGTCTGTCTATCTCCAGTCTAATGCAGCTATCCTCGAGAGCCAGGAATTGGCATGCCGCCAGTGGTGGGCTGGCTGACAGGTACGAAGGGATTTCAAACCCGTCGACAGATTGCTGTGGGTGACGGGAATCTATGGCCATCGTGCATGGCCTACAGACGTCACAGCGGTCGGTGTGCAAAGATTGGATGGGGTTGACCAATGTTTGATTGGCCTGCGGTTGTGATGGAATTGAGATACCAGCTGATGTGCAGAGGAGGAGTCTTCTAGTCATTAAGTATATGCGCGACCCGACGACACCAAGATTGAGCAGCACAGAAGAAGCGCGGCAGGATGAAGACCTCCCACGTGCAGGCTTTTCGCACCCCTACGGCCCATGTCACATACGCGCGACATAATTAATTCCTAATAGCGGGTTATATATAGCAAAGGTCTCCGTTCGACCTGTCCAGACCTCCAGGCTCGCTCCCTGACCACTAGGCAACCGGATGCCTCTTGCTCCTATACTGGCGGCGCTGAGGTGAACTAAGATAGACAAGATATCTGGATCTGGGATCTAACGGCGACCGACCAAGTCACCCGGAGAAACTGTATTTTGGGCATCAGATCCAACCGCCTCGCCATCGATGACTGGTGCGGTTATCGCATCGACTGACAGATTTGGGCCAGTGGGTGACACGATGGTGTTACATGACTCCTGGATGACCGGTGCGAGATCTCTCGATAACCACTCGACGGGCACTCGATGGGCACTCCACCCTGACCAACCCGGGAAAGCGACGCATCGATCAGCCAATGGATATAGCCCTGCGTGGAACTATCGCTGTGGTGGCGGCCATCTCAGGGCGCCAGAGCCGAACGGGCAGCGCCAGCATGTTGCCTGTGCCTCCCCCCAGTCGCCCTAGGCGCGCCCCCTGGCCCAAGTGCCACCGCGACAATGCCCCAACGACCCCCGATTATCATCCAATTCCCTTGATCATTAGACAATAATTTAAACGGTCTGACTCCGATCCTTTCTGTGGTGGGCTGGATTCGGAGGGAAGTTCCGTGTCTGCGTTGCACCGAGAAAAGCAGTCAAATGCGATACATCAAATTTCCCCCTCCTCGTCGGGCGTTTCAACCAAATGATCGCACCAACAACATGCCATAGCCTTCCCACACACTAAGTTAGAGCAATCAATCAAGCTGACTCTGCCTGATTGACAAACGGCACAGTGAGTCGAATGAGCTCACCGTCGAGCTAGCGACACGGCCTTCCGCCTGTACGGTACTTTGACCCCTGCATGTCCGTTATTCGATGTGGCCCCCCACCTCGAAAATCATCTTCAGGAAATCCCAAAAAAAGAAAATGACAGGTCGCGTTTGTCAGTTCGGTGCGCTCAGGGTACTTTGGACGCTGTCCTGCTCCGAACACGAAGTTTTCCCCAAAGGCTCCTGGCCCGGGCGTTGACAGGGGGAACCGGTTCCTGCATCCCTTGCTCTCCTTCCCTATCTACCCCTTCACCAGGCTCAGGTTGGGCGGTTGGAATTGTTTGTGCGACCTAACCAAGCCTTGTTGTGTCCAGGGCGAGAGACCTGATGTTAACCAGGGGCTACCCTTAGGCTATCCTTAGGTCGTCTCCCACTACGCCGTACGGGGGCAACAGTCGGAGATAATCCCTGCCTGCAGCCTGGACTCTGCGCCAGTGACAGCTCCGGCCCCAGGACCCAGGACTCCCTGGCTCCACGATCTGCCGGATGTGCAGACTGTCACTCATCCAGTTGCCCTCGCGCGCAGTGCTGAAGACACATCCGGGCGAGATTCATCTGGTTGAGCCACAGGCAATTGACGCACAGCGTACGCACGCAGCATGCAGCCATTCTGTCAACGCATAGAACAATCCATGTATGTGACCAACCAGAGCAGAGTTTTGGATATATCGTCGATCCATTGGCTTCTCCACTTTGGGTTTCGACTGGATGGTGTTTTTGCTCCATGGCAGTGGAGGCGGTCGTTGATCATCGGCAGTATCATTAGCCCTAGTGACACCAAAGGGCTGGAACTGTCGCTTGGACCTCTCCTATGCATCGAGACGGCCCCAGTCTCTCTCTCCACAGAAGTCAAACGCACAGTACACGGGTGCTATCCAACAGAGCCAGAAAGTCAGGAGGGCAATATAGGCGAGGCACCCAACGTACGTACCTTGTGGTGTCGCTATCTGTCGACCTGAGGTTCTCCCAGGACCAACTGTGGCTCCTCGCTACCATTTGCTGATTTTCAGTCTCCCTTGCTTGCTTTTCCTGCGCTCCCTTTCTCTCCCCATTGGACCCGGCTCCTGTCTTGGGATCGGTCCGCAGATCCGGAGAAGCAATAAGACATGACTGAGGATCTTCACGGGCTCAGTGCTGTTGGTGTATCTCCATCCTTTAATGAGCCTGACCGTTACTGGGTCTCCTAGGTAGGCAGGAAACGCTTATATCCCCATCCTTTCCTCCCCCCTGCAAGTGCCCCCTCACTGACATGCCGGAGAAGGATACACTGCCTGTCGGGGTCACGTAGACCCCAGGACTTATATGCCTGACCTTGCCGGTCCCCGAACCCTGAACTGAGGCCCGTGTACTCGTGAACCCTCGACCACGTTGGACTTGTCCGACTCTCTCGTTTCTCAAGCACAGCAGTCTGAATCTTGGCCGAGCGTGAAACCGCCCAGCCAGTACCTCGGATGCAACCATGGACCCTCACTCTCATTTCGTGCGATCCGACGATGGGCATGGCCCGTATGTGTCCGCCCGAGGCGATCGAGCGTTGGCAACCAGTATCGTCTTCACCAGCCTGGCAACCATTTTCGTGTCCGCTCGTATCTACACGCGGGCCAAATTGATGCGCCGCATGGAGCCCAATGACTGGATGATCTTGCTTGCCTTGGTAGGTGTCTCGGTTCAGCGGCCGTGGGCACTTTGCTAACTGTCTGAAACATCAGTCTCTCTCTTTTGTCTTCATGGGCCTATTCATTGTTGAATCCAGGACTGGAATGGGCATGCACATGGCCGATATTCCTCCGTCCATCCTCACACAGCAGATGAAGGTAAGAGAGCCGCGCCATGAGGAGTGGCACATACTGACGGCGTCTGGTTGAAAAGGCGTTCTGGCTCACCATCCCGTTCTACAACGCCGCATTGCTGCTCGCCAAAGCGTCGATCCTGATGCAGTATTTCCGTGTCTTCCCCACCCGTCGCATGCGTCGCATCTGCTGGGTCATGATCGGCATGCTCGCTACCTATGGCTCCTGGGCGGTCCTGAGCGCCTTTCTCAACTGCATCCCCGTGTCCAAATTCTGGGACCCGACAGTGGAGGGATACTGTTTGAACATGGAAGGCCTGTGGTTCTCGAACGCGTCCATGCACATTGCCACGGACATTGCGATTCTCCTCATCCCCATCCCAGCCATGTGGGGACTGGAGCTGCCGCGGAAACAGAAGATGGCTTTGATATCTATCTTCGCTTTGGGTGGATTGTAAGTACAATGCTCGCCGGAATTGACCATTGCTAACGTCCACAGCGTCTGTGTGACCAGCGTGTGCCGCCTCGTTTCGTTGAAGACGATCGCCGACTCTTCGGACCCTACCTGTACGTTGCCTCTCCCACAGCAGATACAATGCATATGCTAACGTAAAGGCAGACGACAATGTCGGTGCCGCGTCCTGGTCTGCCATCGAATGCAACACCGGAATCATCTGCGCCTGTCTCCCCACCCTGCGGCCTCTGGTGTCGCATTTCCTCCCACACCTGCTCTCGACCTTGAGTGGCGGCCGCACCTATGGCCAGGCCTATGGCCACCCTGCCTCCACCAACAGCCAGACCCCGACCTTCTGGGACGGCAACGGCACCGTCACCACCACGATCACCACAAACATGGAGGATCTGGAGTTCGCGCATTGCCCCGGCGACGCCGACCGCTATCTGACGCTTGTTCCGGGCCACGAGATCGGCGGAAAGGGGAAGCTCATGGTGCGCGAAACCAGCAGCAATGCGGAGGAACTCCACGCGGCGGCGCGGGTCGAGCCTCGCGAAATGGCCCGTTACCTTGATCTACCTACACCCAGTCAGAAGCGTAGGATCTCCACCTTCCTCTTATACTTGCTTATATTATATTATATCCCCGTCACGGGCCACGGCACTATATCCATCCTGCCCCTCGTTCCTTAGGCTTCTTTTCCTTTCGTTGCTTGGCCGTGCTCTTCGGCGTGATTATCTACCTGTCTGTCTGTCTGTCTGTCCTTTCTAGATTCCCTACCGTGGTCTCTCCACCACGACTTGTATATATGATCTTATTATTATCCTCCAAAATGTACTTCTGGTTATGAAACAGGTGAGCTGGTCCATCCCCATCCATCCTAACCACTTCCCATCGGCCCTAATATCTCCAGCTAAAAAGCCTTTAATGCCATTTTCTTACCTTTTTCTTCAAGCCAAATGTTTGTAGATCCAGAATATATAGCGTAGTTGTATCGTATGGTATTGAGTGGAGCACACTCATTCCCTGAATTTGATAACCGCTGTATCGAACGAGAACATATAGTACACGAAAGCGGTTGTGTAGACTTGGTCATTTCGAAGATTTGTGTTGTGGTATCAGGGTAGATGGATGGATGGAGTATAGTATGTGTTTGATACTGCGATGAGTTTGTCGAAGACACACTCACACAGTAAGTGTCAAGTGTCAGGTGTCAAGTGGAATACCTAGGTAAGGTAGCTAGAAGAAATCAACTTTTTGTGATTTTTATTTACTACCTGGGTAGAAGTCGTAGTATAGTATAGTATAGTATAGTATAGTGTAGTGTAGTGTATATAGTAGCACGCAACTTCGATGACTTTCTAAAGAATAAATATAATAAATATAAGACTACCTACCAACCAACCAACCAGCCAAACTGCGTCTTAACTACGATCCTTGATGTACGATAACAGCACCCTGCCATCCCTGTCTATCTATCAACCTATATACCTATATACCCATCCATCATCTACAGCAACGGATTCCTGACCTCAACACTCAACAAATCAGCCAACTCCTCGACGTCCGTCAACAGCTCCATCTCCAACACGGCCTTCTCGATCTGCGCCTGCCTCTCCACGGTAATCAACCCGGCCGTCAGACGACGGAACTTCAGCAGAATCTCAGCGTTGGAGATCGGTTCATCGACGCCCTTCGGCTTAAGCAGGGAATGATGGAGCTGCGTCCCATCCTCAAAGGTGACGGTGATGAGCGAGCCGCACCCGATATTCGGCTTATCGAGGTCGGGGGTATGCGAGCAGTGGGTCTTGTGCACCAGAGACCAGATCTCGTCGCGGTCGAGCTTGGCGGATGCGAACTGGTCGAGGAGGACCTGGCGGTCGACGAGCTGCGAGGCCGCCACGAACGCGGTGTTCATCTGCGCGCCTGTGGCGGAAAGGGGCCGGGTCTCGGGCGCCCAGCCGCAGTGGTGGAAGACGGCGTCGCTGAGCTGGATGTGGATGTCCTTGATGGTGGAGAGCTGGGTGGGAGATAGGCGGTCTGGGTACAGATCCTGCATCTGGGCGAGACATTCGATCGTGCCGTGGATGCCGCCGCAGCAGGCGTGGAGTTTCAGACGGATCCATTCGGCGGTGTGCCAGAAACTGCCGAGGTCTTTGGCAATCTCTTCGGGCTTGGTGTTGGGGGTGTGCTTGGATCCGAGGCCGTACATGGCGAGGAAGCCGCCGTATGGGCGTTCGAAGACTTTCTTGATGCCCTCGTAGCCGCCCCAGGCGAGCATGGTCCCCAGGAGCCCGTTGCGGGCGGCGAAGCCGTGGTGCATGCGCTTGACCATACCGTCGTACTGCGCGGCCATCAGCCCGCAGGCCTGTGTGCAGGCGACGCCGATGGCGTCTTCGATTTGTGCCGCGGGGAGGTTGAGCAGTTTGGCGGAGCTACCGGCCGCGGCTGGGCCGCCGAAGATAGATCCGCAGTGCCAGCCTTTGGCTAGCATCTCGGTGCCGTGCAGGGCCATGCCCACGCGGGGCCCGACTTCGAAGCCGACTACCGAGGCGAGCAGTAGCGAGGATCCATCGATGGTGCGCGGGGAGGTGGCGTGGTGTTTGGCGCTCACGGCCGCGGCGAAGAGGGGGGGGATCACCACGGCTTGCGAGTGGAGAGGGGCGACGCTGTGGTAGTCGTCTACTTCGCAGGCTTGGATCCAGGATCCGTTTAGGGTGGCGGCGGCGACGGCACCGAGGCGCTGGTAGGAGGTGGTTAGTGGTGATGAGTGATAGAGGTGGGTGAGGTTGGGTTGGGCAGGCACCTCTTTGTATCCGATGACAACATGCGGTCCCGGGGCCTCGAAGTTGCGCATCGCGTCGAATGCCTTTCGTGACCAGGGCACGCGGGCACCAACGAGGGCACAGGCGAGTCCATCTAGGAACAAATACTTGGCCCGAGTCCGCACGCCCTCGGGGATATCCTCGAGGGTGAGGTCGTCGATCCAGGTGCACAGCTGGCTGGTGACGCCGCCATCCGTGTTATAGGAGGAGGTCTTCGCGGATGCAGGCGCATCGGTCTGTGCGAGCTTCTCAGTGCCGTTGGATGCAGACGTCACCGTCTGTGTCTGCACTGCCATGACCATGGTGGACTGTTGTGGTTGGATGATCGACTGGAGTGTGAGAAAGGGAGACCAGCGCCGATATATCGTTCCTTCGGAGGCGAGGACGAACTGAGCCGAGATATCGTCTAGTCTGCCCCGCATCCATCGGCTTTTGTGCAGATCCGGCCGGTTGAGTCGGTTGAGTCGGAGCTGAAGGAAGCAGTATGTCCGATCTCCAGGATAATCCAAGTCCCCCGAGTCTCGGATTGCGGAGGAGGTCACCACCAAGCAGGTAGGTGATAGAGACGGAGGATAGCAGGCAGCGGATGATGTATGGATCCCCCGCGGCGCTGTGCCTCTTCCGGGCCTCCGGGGTGATCCTGTTCGCGACGTTCTCGATCTGACAGGTAAAAAAAAAAACACCCCAAATACTAATGCGTAAGCGGAGTCACGGTACGGGCGAGATTAGATTATGGAAGGGCTGCTGTGGTTTCTTGCTTCCGTTGGGATCCCCGACATGAGATGTATACGGCGCCTTCGTTATATTACTAGCCTTGGTAATTAATCGGTGCTGTCGGGCTAGTGCTAGCTCATAGTAAGATGGAAGGAGATCGCCCGAATGTGTCAACTGTATCATCATTGGTATATAAGCATGTGTATGGGCAGTGTTGTGTATGCACTCTTATGCACTCTAAAAATCGGCAAACTCCTTGTCCACCGCCTCAAAGTGATCGAAGAATCCCTTGAACAGCTGCACACCCAACCCCGGGTCCAACTTCCCCGTCGTCGCCCGGATACTGTGCATGCTCAGCTGCGGAATCCCCACGTCAATCGCCCGCATGCCGATACGCGAGCTCGTCATCGGCCCAATCGTGCCGCCGCTGCGCGAGTCGTTGCGGATCTGGAACACCTGCAGCGTCGAGCCGCAGCGGTCCGCCACGCGCTTGATGAAGGCGTGGCTCACGCTGTCCGTCGTCATGTGGCCGTTGGAGTCGGTCGACACCGCCACGCCAACGTTCAGCCGCGGCGCGTGGTTCTCCAGGTACACGTTCAGGAAGTTGGGGTTGACGGCGTGGATCACGTCCGACGAGACGAAGAAGCTGTTGGCCACCGTCTGCGCCAGCACGTTCGGCCCGTAGTTGGGCGCAAACGCCTCGGTGATGCGCTCCATCACGCTGCTCATGAAGTTGGACCGCGCGCCCTGGCGCAGCAGACTGCCGATCTCCTCGTCGTCGAACATGCCCACCATCTTCACCGACCCCGGGGACGTGTTGTCGGGCGATGCCAGCAGCGCCTCCTGGGCCGCAAAGCAGCACAGCTTGTCGTCGATGCGGCCCGCGAAGATCAGGTCCTTCTCCAGCCCGCCCAGTTGCGCCGGCTGGCTGTCGTACAGCTCCAGCTCCCAGTTCAGGATCGTGCGGTAGTCCGTGATGCCCAGTTCACTGGAGATCACCTTGACGAGCTTCTCGGGCTGCGTCGCCGCGAACGTGCCCGCCTCGAACGGACTGGCGGTGGTCGCCTGCTTGAAGAGATCCGAGTTATCCACGCCCACGATGGGCACCATCTGCGTCTCCTTGTTGAAGGGGCCCTGGGACGGGGCACCAAAGTGCGGCGCCAGGGTGGGGATGCGCGCGATAGGCCAGTCCAGCTTGACCAGCTTGGACTCGACCTTGCCGCTGCTGGGGTCGCGGACGAGGACCCGGCCGCCAATGGCCAGGTCACGGTCCCACCAGGTCTCATTCAGGGCGCCGGCGTACGGGGCCACGCCCAGCTGGACGTATCCGGCCTTGGTGGGGAGCTTGGATACGGGCTTCAGCTTGGCGGTGAGGGCATCGATGTGACCGGCCACGATGGCCATGCCGTTGCCGGACTGGTAATCGCTGCCAATGGAGAAGGCGATGAAGGCGCTGGCATTGCGGGAGGTGTAGTACTTGCCGCCGCGCTCAAGCTTCCAGGCTTCGCGCTCAGGCAGACGCTTGTAGCCCTGGCTCTCGAGCTGCTTGGTGAAGCCGTCGACGGCATGGAAGATGGTGGGATTGTTGGTCATGAAGTCGCAGTAAGGCTTGGAGTAGTCCTCAGGATTGACGGCGGTCGAGGTGGCGGGGCGAGGGGCAGTGGCAGTGGCGGTGGGCTTGGGAGAATAGTCCTGGACGGGGTCGGGGAGCTGTCCGTAGGAGCTCGGGCGATAAGCCATGGCGGCCTCGCGGAAACCCATGACGGTCTTCTTGGCCATGAGAGCGGAGAGGGGAATTGGGGGTGGGAGAGCTGGAAGGACAAGAGATAGAGGAGAGGAGAGGAGGGATGGAGAGAGACGAGATGGGGATGAGGGAGAGGAGGGAGAGGGAGAGAGAGAGGGAGAGAGGGAGAAGGAGAAGGAGGGATGAGCAACAGGACAAGACAGGCAGCGTCATCAGGTGCTCCGACGGAGATGCCCCGGGCACCCCCGAGCGGAGCTCCCCATTGGCTCGGCCCGGCTGGGTTGGCCGGACTGGGCTTAGCGTGGTCTGACAGGCCCGATAAGCGGTCACGCTGAACTGCCTCAGGAACACCCGGCCTCAGGCATGACTCGCTCCCTTTCATCTCATCCGTTCGTCCTCATCCCTATCTCTATCCGGAGAACTTGTAGAACGTGTATATATGCGATTCAATCGCCATGTGAATGTAATGTAACCCCTATCCACTATCTAAAAATCTATGTACAACACCATGATGCAAGAAGAAGAGAAGAAGAAGAGAAGAAGAAGAAGAAAAAAAAGGATGTCCCATCACTGACAAGACACCTGCAGAAGTGAAAAGAATGTTGAAATGTCATCAACTAGCTGGAGCCCACGTAGGCGTTCCAGTTGACATTGCCGTCCTCGCACTCCTCCGTGATCTCGCGTCCCGTCGCCGACACCACCTGCTTCCCGTTGCGCCGGATCGACACCTGCACCGCCCCCGTCTGCCCGTTGAACGGCACCGAGTACTGGTTCAGTCCCCCCGTCGCCTGCAGCACTGTCGGCTCCGACGACCCGATCTGCACGTACACCTGGCTGGTGCTGTTCACCAGCGCCGTCACAAACACCATGTCCTGCGCCAGCAGCCCCGGGTTCATCGCCGTCTCCCCCATCGACGGGTTGTTGCCCGTCGTGCCGTTGGCGCTGCCCGCGTCGCTCGGGTTGACGTGGTACCAGTACACCACCTTGTCGTCGTACGACAGAGACGTGCTGTTCGACCCGTTCACGCCCCCCCGGTAGGCGTCGATGTAGTGTGGGAGCAGCGTTCTCCACGCGTCGTGGGGGTTCCCCATCACGTAGCTGGCAGAGCCCGTCGGCAGGCCCGCTTCGTGGATCGGTCCGATGTAGTGTGCCTCCCCGTAGTCGTTCCAGGTGATGATCTAGACCCGTCAGCGGCATCCAACCTTGTGTATCATCCGCATCAGCGAGCAGTCCTTACCTCGACGAACGCGGGCTGCAGCTCCGCCGCCTGCTCCCACCGCGTGTGCCACAGGTCATCGCCCCGCCAGAGCCAGTTCTTGCTCCACTGGGGCAGGTTGGTGTAGAACCACGGCGAGATGGGCATCATGTACGCCTTGCCCGGCAGGGCATCCATCCAGGCCACATCGCTCACCGTGGTCTTGTTGGTCGCGCCCACCGGCCACGCATCCCAGCTGAAGAAGCCGTCGATGGTGTCCACGTACTCTTGGATCCCGGTCTGGCCCAGGTCGGTCCACGACGGGACGAAGAAGCAACCCGTCGCACTCTTGATGCTCGACCAATCGCCTGCGTTGGCCGAGCCGGCAAAGGTGGACACCAGGGGCTTGCCCTGGTAGTAGTGCTGGGCCGTCCGGCTCTTGTACTCGTTGATCGTCGAGATCACCTGGTCCGCCGGCCAGGCCCCGTCGGACTCGTAGTCGAACGACAGAAAGAGGGTGAAGTTGCCGACCTTCTCGGCGGCGGCGTAGGCCTTCTCGAGAACGGCGTCGTTGTAGTCACAGTTCATGGCGATGTTCAACGCAAAGCCATCGATGTGGGCGGCCCGCGCCTCCGTGATATCCGACTCCCATTGCGTAGAGTTCATGGCATCGGCATTGCCAACCTGCTCGGGTCAGCGCACTGGCCGTTGACACGACAGGAACAAGGCCGGACACTTACAATGAAATGAGCGAAGACATGCTGCGGCACAGTCGCGGCAACCGCAGGCGCGCCGACTAGCAGCAGCAAAGAAATCAGAAACGCAAACAACATAATGAGTGTGGGGGTTATAAGGAATGGAATGGTTGGACACGATCGAAAGAAAAGAAACACACGGGCGCCCTCGGGGAATATATAGGACGACGCAAGGGAAGGGGAAATAAGCGCGCCAGGGCTAAGGGACCCCCGCCTGACTCTAAGGGCTTCGAGCAGGGCAGGCCCGGCGGCTATTGGTATAGCCAAACTAGGTACCTGACTACCTGTCAACCGGACCAGGGTTACTGGTCCGAATATTTGGGGTCCCAGCCAGCTAGGGTCGGTTTCAAACAGATAAAGTGGTCAATGGAGTCATGGATCAAAGGGGTCGGTCCCTTGTTCGAACCATCCTTTCATTCCAGTAGATATCCCACACCGACAAATTCTGATCACATTTGGTCAAATTACTGCACTCACCTGGGGCTGAGGGGGGAGGCCTCCCTTTCGCATGGCGAGCGATACGGTCTAGCCAACGATCAAGGCGTTTCATCCTGGTCGCTGAAAGGAAGAATGCGCCACGCCCGCGTGGAATGTACGACGGACGCTGGAGATTGGTCGACGGCGAGATGAGCGATCGGAAAGGTGGGAGATGAAAATTGAGACTGGCGGCTGCGATTTGCTAGAATTGCAGGCGACGAAGTAGATAACCCCCAAGCGGATGGCGGAGTGGAGATGAGACGGGGGGCCACCGGAAGATAAATGAGTCAAGGCTCAACCGCCTTGCGACTGGCGATCGCAGACAAGCAATCAGAGGGCCGCTGTCAAGTCTCGCGCACCGTCGGGCTGCAATTCTGAAACAGCCCTTGGCCTCGCATGGCTGACCGGACCAACCAGGTGGGCCCAACGTAGCCCAACGAGATGAACGCCAACGAGAACCCGTTTGATTGTCTTCCTAGCCTCCTCCTGGCCGGCCAACCACGGGCGACCATTCAGGGGGATCTCTCATCCTGGGAGTTCGGCCATCCGTTGGATCGTAAAGATCGTAGGGATCAGAAGGATCACAAGGATCCCAAGGCCGAAGTCCTCCGTCGATGCTTGCCCGGTCCGACCTCCACAGTATCTACCACAGCCAGCATTCTCTGTCTCCTCCCGAGTGTCTGCCCCGTCCCGTGGTGACCGACCGTTTGGTGATGGATGACGTCATGCCTGAATGCGCGAGTAGAGCCAGAGTCCAGATACGAAAGCCAAAGCTTGCTCGGTTGTTATTGCAGCAGTAGCTGAACGTACAGTAGGAGGTGGGTATCTTCCCTGCCATGGATCCGTTCGTCTCCAAGCTTCGAGCCCGAATGAACGAGGCTCCAGCGTCGGACAGACGACCTCACAGTGATGTCAGTCCGCGAGGCCCGGCGACGGGCGACCTCAAATATATCGGAGTGACCGTCGGTCGCCCAGCCTTGCGTGTGCAATCTCAGCTGTTCTCTTCACTCATCCGGTATCGGTATCACAGTGTCAACGCCCAATTATCCGACAGTGATGGCTGCAACCCAGGCTGCCAACTTGGTGGAGAAGGCCATCGGACACGGCGACAACGCGACGGTCACGACGGATGTGAGCAACTATGCGGGCGAGCACGGCCAGGAGACGGGGGAGAAGATCAAGGCGACCATCTGGCAGGGGAAGAACCAGGTGGAGGTGGTGGAAATGGCCAAGCCCAGGGTGATCGACGAGGACGACGTGCTGGTCAAGGTGACGGGCAGTACGATCTGTGGCAGTGATCTCCATCTGTATCACGGTTTGTCTCACTATACCTGGCCGTCATCAGCTCTGGCTCACCGGTTGACTTACTTACCCACGGCACAGGCGTCATCCCCCAGCTGGAGAAAGGCGACGTGCTGGGCCATGAATTCTGCGGGGTGGTGGAGAGCGTGGGACCGGGCGCGAAGAAGGTGACGGTCGGGGATCGCGTGGTGGCCTCTTTCCCCATTGCCTGCGGCGACTGTCGCAACTGCCGCCGCCAACTGACCTCGCAGTGCGACCGCACCAACCAGAACTCCATCGCCAACGCCCTGTACGGCAACCGCACCGCCGGCATGTTCGGCTACAGCCACTTCACTGGCGGCTTTGCCGGCGGCCAGGCCGAGTACGTGCGCGTGCCCTACGGCGACGTCAACCTGCTGCCGCTCCCCGACGACGTCCCCGACGAGAAGGCCCTCTATCTCTCCGACGTCCTGGCCACCTCCTACCACTGCGTCGTCGACACCGGCGTCCAGAAGGGCGACGTCGTCGCGGTCTGGGGCGCGGGACCCATCGGGCAGATGGTGTCCAGCTTTAGTTTCGCCGAGGGCGCCAGTCGGGTCATTCTCATCGACGGGGGGGAGGGTGCATGGCGGTTGGATTTCGTCAAGAGCAAGATCCCCAAGCTGGAGGTACTCGACTTCACGAACCTGCCCCGAGGCGAATCCATCACCTCGCAGCTGAAGAAGATCGTCCCCGGGGGTCCTGATGTCGCGCTGGATTGTACCTCCGGGGAATACGCCAAAGGATGGGCGCACTACTTCGAACTGCTGCTGGGGATGGAGACTGACACGTCCGAGATGCTGAACGAGATGATCACGGCGGTGAGACCGTTTGGTCGCGTTGGGATCACCGGCATCTATGCTGGATACGTAAGTGACATGCGTGGTCTAGCTCTTTGCTTTTTTTTTTTTTTTTCTTTCGTCTCTCTCTCTCTAGACTGACACTGAGAATGTTTCTTGCTTCAGACGAATCACTTCAATATCGGTGCGATCATGCAGACCGGCATTCGGCTCATCGGGAATGGCCAGGCCCCCGTCCACAAGTACTGGAAGCATCTACTGGAGCTGATCCAGAAGGGGGAGATCGAGCCCCTGGATATGGTTACGCATCGGGTGCGCCTGGAGGATATGGATAGGCTCTACGAGCTGTTTGCCCACCGCGAAGGCGGCATCCAGAAGGTCTTCGTCCAGACGAAGCACTCGGCACATCCGTTGTCGGGATCGCCGGTCCTAGTCGACCTGTGACGGCGGGGATTGGCAACTACGACTCCGCTGCCCTCAGAATGATTGTCGATGATTTATGTTTCATGCAAGTGCTGTACATCATGACTAGTGTGTATTATTCATTATTCGGTGAAAGTCTGCCAGGTGCAGTTACCAGTGAGACGGGCGCAAAGGGAGGTGGCCAGGACTACCTGCTAGTGGAACTAAAAGAGGAGAACAGGGGGCAAACGGCGAGGAAACGGCGAGATCGGTGGATGTCCATCCTGCATCAGTCATCGCCCATTGCCCTGCTGGCCCGACACGCCAGCTAATTGCAGGGCTCGAGGGACCGTGTCCGCCAAACGACTCGCAAGCATACATTACTAATGGCGATCCTGTGGGCTCATGGTATGTATCATATGTACGGAGGATCAATTGAAGACTTTGCCATCTACCAGCAACTCCATCGTAGAGCTGAGCCTGCATCAAAAGTCGGTCTGCCGTGTTCACGCAGCATCGGCCCGGCCTCGCCAGTGGTTTCCTTCCGTTCATCGGCATTTGGCCCGTGTAGAACTAGAGTGGCAGGCAGGACCAAGACCAGTCACCACGACGGAAGAGTTTTCACCTCGACCCTCCCTCCCTTCCGGCTTGCTGAACGCGGCCAGAGGAATTATTGTTTCTGATCGGATCGTCGACGGGCTCTGGTTCGTGCATTACGACACCACACGCAGGGGGGGGGAAGGGGGGAGGGCTCGGATTGCCTGAGCGGGAATAGCGTGATCAGATAAGATCACCCGACGGAGGGAGAAGTGGTACCGAGTGCATCATATCCAGGCCAAAAAAACGGGGATGGAGTAAGAGGAACCCAAGTAGATATTTCCAGATAGTAAAAAAAGACTAGAAGGGAAAAAGGCCAAGGGTTTGCCGCGTGGGAAGCCGCCGGTCAGCACGGCGGACATCATTGGTCGTGGCGCATTCCATTGCTAATTGCTAATCCTATCGCATCCCGTCCATTTCGGGCCACCCTTTCCCTCGGCCAAACTCGGATGCTGAGCCCTCCCTGTCTGCGGGTTTTTTGCGTTTCTATGTGTCAGTTCCGCTTGATCCAGGGGCAAGGGAGATGGAGCCCATGAGAGAAGCGTATATTAAGCCACATTATGACCGGCGTTTGCCATGTGTGGACGAGCAGAGCAGAGCAGAGCAGACTCTGCGCCAAGATATCCGCGCGCATCACGGGTGGGAATCTGACCAACAGAGGGTGAACGGAAGGCAGGCAGGTGGAGACCAGCGGACTGGGAGGTGGGAGGGTGAGAGAATTTCGGTCCCATGGAAGAGGGCTTGGGAGAGAGTCAGGGTTGACTCGTTGGGGTTGGGGGGGGGGGTGGTGATTGATTGCTCTTGCAGATGTCGGGTAAACAGCATACATAAGATGCCAGACAGACAGACAGTGTGTTATTCTTGTGCTGCAGGGAAGATACGCTACCACAACCAGCGAGGGTGCTCATCATCAGCCCTACCCTCAAACTGCAACAGCCATTGCCCCGGAGGACAAAAGGGCCCATGACCCATGATGATGCTCGAGTCATCCCAAAAACAGGCTAGCCGTACCCTAAACCCCAAGTCTGACCGAGCTGGGTGATTGATAACCAGCGGGCAGCGACGGGACGGCGAATGAGAGGGCGGCACTGGGAGGGTCCCACCGGAACGCCGAAGTCGGTGACCGCGCACGATAATCTAATCAGATCCGATCGCCTTTTCTCCCAGCAAATGCCCGTCCGTCCCCCTCTTCTTAGTTCTTCTCTCGTCCCTCGGTCGCTCGCTCGCTCTCTTCTCTCCTCCCCGTCGTCGTCCTTATCTTCTCGCTCCCCTCCTAGCCTCGTCCATTCCATGCTCCCCTGGCTCTATTTTCCTCCCTGATCCTGCCTGCTCCTGCCTGCACTTGCCTGCACGCCAATTGCTGTTGGTTCTTCCGTTTGGTTGCCCACAACTCGTCTCGCTTACCGGCTGAAGGGGCGCACTTCCGCTCTTCCGGCCGAAGCGATCAAGTGACACCACCACTCACTTTGCTGGTCCGTCCAAACTCCAACTCCAACTCCTCCTTCCTTCTTCCTTCTTCCTTCACTCCCCGCCCACACCCACCACCACAACCACCACCACCACCACCAGATAGGAGGAAAATGCCCGCTGACCACACCCCAGACCTCCTCGTCGTCCCCTAGAGAGGTGCTCTCGACAACAACACCATGGCCACACCCGCCCCCGTCCTCGCCATGGCGCCCGGTCCAGCTCCGTTGGCGCCCGCGTTGGCCGCCAAGCCGACCATCTCACCGTCACCCGGCCCGGGCACACCCGGATCCGTCACCTCCAAGGAATGGGTGATTCCACCTCGTCCCAAGCCTGGTCGCAAGCCTGCCACCGACACGCCGCCCACCAAACGCAAGGCCCAGAATCGAGCCGCCCAGCGAGCCTTCCGCGAGCGCAGGGCCGCCCGTGTCAACGAGCTCGAGGACCAGATCAAGCAGATCGAGGACGAACATGACCTCCACGTGGCCACCTTCAAGGAACAGATCTCGTCGCTGTCCCATGAGGTCGACCAATGTCGCAGCGAGATGGCCTGGTGGCGCGACCGCTGCCACGCCCTGGAGAAGGAGGTCTCGGTCGAGCGCAGCGCAAAGGAGAGCCTCGTCAAGGAGTTCCGCTCGTCCTTGACCGACAGCAACAACAATAACAACAGCAACAACAACCATCCCGACAAGGCCCCCGTCACCCGCGTGCCCGCCAGAACCCCCGCCGTCCCCGAACACCACGAAGACCCGGACGACGTGCCGCTGGGCTGCACCAACTGCTCGACCGGCCACTGCCAGTGCATCGAGGACGCATTCGGCATGCCGGGCATCGAGTCCTCCCACTCCAAGCGCCCGGCTCACCCCGAGCCCGAGATCAAGCCCGAGCCCGAGGAGATGGAGATCGACTTCACCACCCGATTCGCCGCCCCTGCCCTTCCTCCTCAGCACCATCGCCTCCAGGACGACAGCGTGAGCGTGACCGCCATGTCCTCGCCCGCCGTCGACCCCTGCGGCTTCTGCCAGGACGGCACGCCGTGCATCTGCGCCGAGATGGCCGCCCAGGAGGAGGAACGTCGTCGGAACTCCTTCGAAAACAACCGTCTGGCTCCCATCCAGAACCTCTCCCAGTTCACCCCGCCGCCGTCCGACGGCGACGTGCGCTCCGAGGTCACCCTCCCCCCGATCAGCCAGGCCACGGCCGCCAACCCCTGCGCCAATGGCCCCGGCACCTGCGCCCAATGCGTCGCCGACCCCCGACGTACCCTTTTTTGCAAGACGCTGGCGGCCGCCTCTCGCTCCGCCAGCGCTGCCTCCTCCAGCGGTGGTGCTAGCGGTGGCGGTGGTTGCTGCGGCGGTAAAGGTGCCGACGGCGGCTGCTGCATGAGTCAAAAGCAAGCTCCTCCGCCGCCGCCGCCAAAGCGCAAGTCGGCCTCGCCCTCCCTGACTCTCTCCTGTGCCGACGCCTTCACCACCCTCTCCCGCCACCCTAACTTCTCTCGCGCCAGCGACGACATCTCCTCCTGGCTCCCTAAACTCCACACCCTCCCCGACCCTAACCAGCGTGATATCCCTCAGCCCGGTTCCAGGGCCGCCCTGGAAGTCGAGGCCGCGAGTGTCATGGGTGTTTTGCGGTATTTCGATCGTCGGTTCGCTGATAAATGATCGGATCAGTGCCCGTCCTTTTCTTCCTTTTCTCTTTCCTCTTCCTCTTCCTCTTCCTTCCAGTGATACCCAAACCTGACTCATGCTTGTCTGAGTTTGTACTATACTACTCCCTGCCCTACTTATACACCGAACCTGTCTCTGTCTCTCTATCCGATCTTCCCACTATTCTACCCTATCCTGTTCCTCCTTCCCCTCAACCACCTCCCTGAATCTTCTATTCCGATTCTTCCGTGATTTTTAGAGGATAGAACGACCTACCTACCTATCTACCACTTACCACCTACCCACCCACCCCCTCCCATTACCTCTCCCTCCCTCCTCTAATTCCATACCATACCCGTATCATGTCATACTATAGATGTCTGTCGTCCCCTGGCTATCAGGACTCGGGACTACTACCGGGGGAAAGAAGGTTCCGGGAGTGAGGGCTGGGCTTGGTTTGGCTTGGGTTAGGTTCATCGGGAGATCCGGCTGTCGGATACTATCTACCCTACCTACTACCATACCCACACGGGCTTCTCATAGAGAGCCCAATCGATCCTCTCCAACTGAGATGATCCATACAAAAAGAAAAAGGAACTCAATGGACTGACTGACTGACTGACTGCAACATCAACATCAACATCAACATGCATTCCCATGCATGCAATGGATGGATGGATGGATGGATGGATGGATGGTTAAACAGTCCAGTCCTACGATTTAGACGGGTGAAATGATGGCGTTTTGTGTGCTTGATTATTTTTTTTTCATTAAACTATTTTCTTTTTTGGGGGGTTGGTTGGTTGTTTTCTCGGGTTGGTATTTTTGCCTACCTACTCCTACTCCCTACCACCTGTCTATCTATCTATTTACACTAGTTGGCTGCTTGGCTAGTGTTGGGCGATGCAATAAAAGAATTGGGGTCTTCTTCTTCTTCTTCTTCTTCTTCTTCCTCTTCTTCTTCTTCTTCTTCCTCTTCTTCCTCTTCTTCCTCTTCTTCCTCTTCTTCCTCTTCTTCCTCTTCTTCCTCTTCTTCCTCTTCTTCCTCTTCTTCCTCTTCTTCCTCTTCTTCCTCTTCTTCTTCTTCTTCCTCATCTTCTTCCTATTTCTATTCTTGTTTTGCATATCACTTCTCCCTTTTGGTTTGGCGTAGTGTGGTGCGGTGTAGATATTTCGACTTTTATGGTGGGGTGGGGTGAGGTGTAGTGTCACGGTAGTGTACTAGTGTAGCGTAGATATATATCCCGTCGCCTCGCCTGGGTATCTACAATCAAAACAATCACTGGCCAGTCAGTCTAACGACTAGAGTACACACCACTAAAAAACCATTATCCATACAACTTGCGGTCAATTTACGTAGTAAACTATCCCGTCACATGACCAGATTCAATTATCTACACGATAGTATAACGTAACGACTAGCTAGCTAGCTAGACAGACAGACAGACAGACAGACAGACAGACAGTCCAACAACGCCTTGCCTTCCCTTCGACTCCCGCCCGGCTGTACTACACGTAATATGGCATGAGTGAAATGGATACCCCCAAAGGAAGGAAACAAAGAAGGAAAAGAGAAAGAAGAGGAAGAAGAAGAAGTAAAAGTACATCCCATAGCAGCGTCAATTGGTATTGGTATTGGTATTGGTATTAGAAAAGGAGAAATGAGAAGTATTGATGTGGAGATGAGAGGAGAGGGTGGGTGCGCTCAGGTGAGCTGAGGTGAGCTGAGTTTTAGGGTGGTGGAGATGTGAGTGAGGAGATGACGGTCCCGCAGAACTCGATCGAACATGGGTGGTTTAGCAGTTGGGGATGTCGGGTATTCTGCTGCTTGGAGCAGGAGGGGACAAGCTCAAGTTGGACCGGGTTGGCCGGGCTGCGGATGATAGGACTGCAGGCGCTGGTGAAGGCAGCGCTGGCTTAGAATTGACCGCCACTGGGCATCGTGTCGTCGTCCCCGATGACGCTGACACTACCCAGCAGATTGGCTCCCCAGATCCCAACAATCCCCCACATGCCGATGCGCCAGCCCCGGTACAGCCCTTGGATGCCCTGGCCCTGCCGCCTCCGGTGCCCGACCGGCTTCTTGAACATCTGGCGCGCGCGTTCAGCCTCCGGGGCGGCCTGCACGCCCTCTTCGTAGACAATGCCCCACATCGTGCCGATGATGCCGCGGTAGGTCTGGGGGGTCGGGACAATCGTCTCCACTTCCGTCGTCGGTGGTACCTCCGCGGTGGTGGGCGACGATACCGAGCGGGCGGGGGCGCTGCATTGTTGCCGGATGCTGGGGGATGTGAAGGTTGCGATCTGGGCGCGGCGCAGAACGGTCTCCAGCGGGAAGCGGACCGCCAGCTCCAGGCCGGACCCGAGGAAGGTGAACAGGCTCCACGTGGACGGGTTCAGGACAGGGTCGATCGAGAGGTATGTTTTGAGGAGCAGGGGCGTCGTGTGGGTGATGAAGTTGGGCAGACTGGAGTGGAGGATGGTGATCGGGATCAGGTGAGGGGGGATGGTGCAGTTGGGGGTCGGGATCTGGCGGATGGCCCGCAGCAGCGAGCGGGGCCCGTGAGTGGCCGGGGTGAGGATGAGGAATGTGCGTGCGGTGTCGATGGGGGAGAGGAGCATGGCCGACAGCGACGAGGAGATGAACGACAAGAGCAGGGTGGCGGCGGGAGAGCTCGAGGTGAGGATGTCCGCCATCATGGAGGCCGTGACATCCTCCTCCGGGAGGCCCACGATGGCGGACAGAAGGCTGCGGATGAAGGTGTTCAGGGTCGGCAGCAGCAGGGAGTAGATGAAGGTCGCATTGGTCGCCTTCCACGGCGAGGTCGGCCCGCTGGTGCTCCAGAGCTGGGAGAGCACGTCCATCAGGGAGGTGGGGTTCTTGATGCTCAGGGCATATCGGGACGAGGCCGGGGCGGGAATGTAGCCGCTCCGGTCGGTGATATGGCGGCGTCGATGCTGCTTGCGAGATCGCGGACTGGACGGCGACGGCACAGCGGGAGCTGCGGATGTGAAGTAGCTGCTCTCATCGTCCGAGGATAGGGCGTCCTGTGAAGCCGGGAACCACCAGTCGTTAGCTGTCACGTCTCCTGTCCACCACCGTATCCCATGTATCTCCTCTCTTGGCACGTACATCTTCGTCGTAGGGGTCGACCTGACTGTTATAGCCCGATGCGCGGCGCTCGTCCATGGCATATTGGCCATCGGAAGAGGAAGAATCGTCGGGGGCGACATAGGCCTGCAGGATGGTTTTGGCGACGTCGAAGGGCTGGGCAGTCAGGACGCTGGTGTAGCGACGGACGGCCTGGTCGAGGGCATCGCGGACCCAGCTGGAGAGCGAGGGGGAGCTGTCGAGGTATTCGGAGTAGTCGAGGTCGGGCAGCAGATCGCGCGCGGAGCCGCCAAAGACCTGGGTGGCCGATGACGCAGATGCATCGGGGGCGAGGCGGGCGAGGTGTCGAGGCCCAGGGAGGGAGGGAAGTAGTAGGGACGCAATGGGTTGGGGCCGTCGAGGGGGACAGACATGATTGAGGAGGAGGGGGGGGGGGGGGGGGGAGAATCCAATCCCACGAGGAGTAGATGAACAGGCAAAGTTGGTGGAAGGAAGAAAGACGAAGCAAAGCAGAAGCAAAAGCAAAAGCAAAAGCAAAAGCAAAGCTCGGGCGGCGGTCGGAGAAGACGGACGAATGAACAAGTCCGAATTTCCCTTTCTTTTCCCGCCGCCCGGCGGCCTCGCCTTTTTTTCCTGCCCCAGGATTCGCTCTTCTCCACCTGCTTCTGCTTCTGCTTCTGCTTCGTCTCCCCTCTTCTCCCTTCATCTTCTTTCCATTCCACCCCCCTCCTCCTCCTCCTCTACACTCCACTCCGCCATGTCGTTCTGGAAGGAAGCCTGTGTCAACCTCCGTCGCGCCGTGCCCCGGTCCGCCGAGAGCCTCTGTCGCGCTCCCTCCAAGCGTTTCCTCACCACCTCCTACCCCCCCAGACATCCCGCGTCCTCCCTTCCTCCAGAGTCACCGCCAATGCCACAGGGAACATCTTGAGCCCGCGCCCGTGGAAGGCCCCCGAGGCGGCGGGTCGCCGCAGCTTCTCCGTCACGGCGGGAGTGCAGCACGGCCATATCACCCCTCCGAAGCCCGGCGAGGAGTGAGTCACCGGAAAGAACCTCTACGTCGCCATGCCTTTCTTCTAATGCCCGCGCAGGATCAACATCACCTTCATCGATAAGGACGGCATCCGGGTCGACCTCCAGGTTGCCGAGGGCGACAACCTGCTGGATATCGCGCAAGCCCACGACCTGGAAATGGAAGGTTCGAGCAAGTCAACAACCCCCAGAATGGCAGATAAACTGACCGTTTTACGTCTTCTAGGTGCCTGTGGCGGCTCGTGCGCCTGCTCTACGTGCCATGTGATCGTCGAGGATGCGGACCTGTTCGACAAGATGGAGGAGCCGTCGGACGATGAGAACGACATGCTGGACCTGGCCTTCGGGCTGACGGAGACCTCCCGCCTGGGCTGCCAGGTCATAATGACCAAGGACCTCGAGGGCCTCGTGGTCCGGCTGCCGTCGATGACGCGGAACCTGCAGGCCAGCGACTTCGAGCAGAAGAACTGACGAGGCGGGGGGGTGTAACTATATTATATACGATGAGGGCCGGGCGAGGGACTGTATGATTATCACTGCGGATTGTATGGCTGGGTGGTCCGGTGTCAACGAATGTTTCTATTGGGTATTCCGATCTCCATTCACATTTGGCATGAAAGTACCTGTACATAGCATATCACTTTTAATCCAAACACTTAAACACGAAAAGAAAGAAAGAAACATTTCGAAAACCCCCCCCCAACGCCAGGTATGCCAGGTCTGTCTCACCACACCGCGCGCGTAAATCCCCCCTCCGTCCGGCCTTACGCCTCCTCGATCTGCAGCGGCTTGCCCTTCTTGCCGCTGATCAGATCCAGGAAGCCCTGCTTGCTGACCTCGTTCACGGCCTTCTCACGCTCGCCGATGCCGATGGTGCCCTTCTTGCGCTCCTGCTTGGCGGCCTCCTCACCCCGGACCTGAGCCGCGCGGACGGCGTTGAACAGCTTGACGACACCACGCTGGGCGATCTTGCGCAGCCGCTTCTCCTCCTCGGCCACCGCACCGGCCTGCCCGCGCCGGAGGCCCATCACATCGCGGATGCGACCCCGGTCCAGCTCCTCCCGCTTCTCCGCGCGCAGCTTGGCCCGCGCCTGCCGGTCCAGCTTCTCCTCCGCTACGTCGGTGCTCTTCTGGGCCGCCTGCTTGCTGCGCGACAGTACGGGGTCGTGTCGGACGGATGTCGGAAGTTTGGTCGACAGAATCTTCGCGATGGAGGTGGAGAAGGCCGTGGGGTCATTGCGCTTGGACACGGCTTTGCGGTCGGTGGGCTTAGAGGTGTCAGAGTCGTCGTCGGAGAGGTCGGAGGCCTCGGAATCCAGTTCGATGTCCCCATCCTCGTCCTCGTAGTCGTCATCATCGGCTTCCTCGTCGTCGTCGTCGTTGTCGGAGACATCCTCTTCCGCGGGCTTGGTCTTGGTCTTGGTCTTTTTCGTCGACTCCCCAATGGACTTGGTCTGCTTCTTGGGCTTCTTCACCTGGACCTCCTCGTCGTCGGAGTCGGCGAGGTCGACCGCCTTAAAATCGGAGGGCTCATCGTCGCCCGAGTCCTCGGAGCTGCTGTGGTATGCGCGCTGCTTCCTGAACTTCTTCTTGGGGCCGGCCTGCAGCGACTCGAGGACCTTGCGCTTTTTGATGTGGGGAGGAGGCATGGTGAATGTGAATGGTAAAAATTCGGGCGGAGAGATGGGGGAAGAAACAGACTGCGAAGTGCGAACAGACCGTTTCGCCCGAACTTTTTTTCCCGGCGGGCGGACAGGCCACGGCGGGCGGTGATTGGCCGCGGGGCTCTCCGCAGGGCCTCACGCTTTCAACGCTGGCCTCTCCTTCTCTTCCTTTCCCTCTTCTCTCTCTCCCCCCCGCCTCTCCTCTGCGTGCGCTCTCTTACCTTTCTACCCTCACCCTCATTCCCCGTACATGCTATATCTGTTCTCCCCCCGTGCTGTCAATATCCATCCGACATGGTCCTCCAGGATCTCGGGCGGCGAATCAACGCCGCCGTCAATGACCTGACTCGGTCCAGCAACCTGGACGAGAAGGTGCGTGCCTTGCTAATCCCCCCCCCCCAAATTCTTTGTTCCTGGTGGGATCATTGACTAACTGCTTGCCTGCTCCAGGCCTTTGATGACATGATCAAGGAGATCTGCGCCGCCCTGCTGTCCGCCGACGTCAACGTTCGCCTCGTCCAGACCCTCCGCAAATCCATCAAGGCCAGCGTCAACTTCGCCTCGCTCCCCCCCGCCGTCAACAAGAAGCGCCTGATCCAGAAGGCCGTCTTCGACGAGCTGGTTGCCCTCGTCGACCCCCATGCCGAGCCCTTCCGCCCCAAGAAGGGCCGCTCCAACGTCATCATGTTCGTCGGTCTGCAGGGTGCTGGTAAGACCACCACCTGCACCAAGCTGGCCCGCCACTACCAGATGCGCGGCTTCAAGACCGCCCTCGTCTGCGCCGATACCTTCCGTGCCGGTGCCTTCGACCAGCTGAAGCAGAACGCCACCAAGGCCAAGATCCCCTACTACGGTAGCCTGACCCAGACCGACCCCGCCATCGTCGCCGCCGAGGGTGTCGCCAAGTTCAAGAAGGAGCGCTTCGAGATCATCATCGTCGACACCAGTGGTCGCCACAAGCAGGAGGAGGAGCTCTTTACCGAGATGACCCAGATCCAGACCGCCGTCACCCCGGACCAGACCATCCTCGTCCTCGACAGCACCATCGGTCAGGCCGCCGAGGCCCAGTCCTCCGCCTTCAAGGCCACCGCCGACTTCGGTGCCATCATCATCACCAAAACCGACGGCCACGCCGCCGGCGGTGGTGCCATCTCCGCCGTCGCCGCCACCCACACTCCCATCATCTACCTCGGAACCGGTGAGCATCTGATGGACCTGGAACGCTTCGACCCCAAGGCCTTCATTCAGAAGCTGCTCGGCATGGGGGACATGGCCGGTCTGGTCGAGCACGTCCAGGCCGTGACCAAGGACTCCGCCTCCGCCAAGGAAACCTACAAGCACATCTCCGAAGGCATCTACACGCTGCGCGATTTCCGCGAGAACATCACCTCCATCATGAAGATGGGCCCCCTCTCCAAGCTCTCCGGCATGATCCCCGGCCTCTCCAACCTGACCGCAGGTCTCGACGACGAGGATGGCTCCATGAAACTCCGTCGCATGATCTACATCTTCGACAGCATGACCGCGGCCGAGCTTGACGGCGACGGCAAGAACTTCGTCGACCAGCCCAGCCGCATGGTCCGCATCGCCTGCGGCAGCGGCACCACCGTCCGCGAGGTCGAGGACGTCCTCTCCCAGCACCGCATGATGGCCGGCATGGCCAAGCGCGTCGGCGGCCAGAAGAAGCAGATGCAGCGCGCCCAGAACATGCTCAAGGGCGGCAACAAGGAGCAGCAGCTCGCCGCCATGCAGAAGCGTATGGCCGCCATGGGCGGCGCCGGCGGTCCCGGCGGCGGTGGCGGTTTCCCTGGCATGCCCGGCATGGGCGATATGGCCAAGATGATGCAGATGCTCGGCGGCGGCCAGGGCGGTGGTGCCGGCGGCGGCGGGATGCCTGGGCTCGGCGGCATGGATCTCCAAAGTATGATGAGCCAGATGGGTGGGTTGATGGGTGGACTGGGCGGAGGCGGTGGCCGTGGTCGGGGACGGTGATGATGATGACTTTTCACCTTTCTTTTCCTTTTCCTTTTCTCGTCCTTGATCATGCTCATGCTCATGTTCCTTTTATTATATCTCTCCTTACTTGATGACTCGCTTCTGTGCCCCTATTTACTAGCCTCCGGTACGGCACACGATTCACGTCGACTGTACTAGCATATTATGGTGTTTGGCGCGTTTCAAACTTTCTTTTTTCTTGTCCCAAACTTTCTTTCTCTGTCCATTCTTTTTATTTTGAGGTTTTTTTTTTTTTTTGCTGGATATCAATTCATGCAACAGCTGGTTGCTTAGATTGTCATGCCGTGTCGTGTCGTGTCATGTTATGTTATATTCTTGGTTATAATGCTCTCTGTTCTCTCGAGAGTGAATCTGGTGAGTGAACGGAGCGAAGGGCAGAGGAACAATTATATCCATTTCTAATGAAACTTACTACCCCGGGTCTTAGATTGGATAACTGCTATGGTCAGATATTACTTTAGTATAAAAGTGAATTCGAAGGCGTATACCTGGGCAGGTAGTCTGCTCAATGTGCATTACCGTCTTTCCAGCACTGCATATGGCATATGTCAACGTGGTCCGATTCCTTGACCGTCCTTGGCCCGTCCTCGCATCGCTATCATAAGTCATCTAACTAGCTATACTATATTATTAAAAACCTTTCAAGGGGGATCACAATGTCCTTTGATAGAGAGTCATGTGGTGGCTCCCGGAAGTCTATCCCATCAAAAGAACCAAAAGCAACACAACACACGCTAATATTATCTTGTTACCTTGCCAACGACGACGTTTAAGCGTCTCGAAAAAAAAAAAAAAAACATCAGGGTCACGGAAACACGGATATATATACGAAGGATAGAGGGAGGGGGAGAGGGAAGGAGGGAGAGAAAGAGAGAACGCTCAATCCAGTCTCTCCACGCGGCTAACCCTCTCGAGCAGCCCAAATGCCTGCGAACGCAGCCAGTCTACCTTATCTGTGACTTCCCCGATGGCCCGCCTAGCGTAGGCGTCCCAGCTCTCTGCCTCGCGGGTATCCAGGAGGAGCTTTCCGGGGGGGAAGCGGGGATGTTTCCAGGCAGCAACAGAAGCGATCTTGTCTTCGTAGCCCGGGAGAGGCACGCTGAGGGAGTATTGCCAGACGAGGTCTGAGTCGATGTAGAGGGAGTAGGTGAGGACAGAGCTGGGGATGGTGATGGTGGCGCCGGACTTGGTGGTGTCGATGACTTCGTCCTGGACGTCGATGTCGATCAGGCCGAATTTGGTGTTGCCTTCGGGGATGTATTTGATGGCGACGTCTTCGGTGTCCTTTTGTCGGTAGGTGCGGATGGGGAGGTAGAACATGTTGAGGGGCCCGACGCAGAACTCGTGCAGGCCTTCACCGGCGGTGTTGGGGGAGAGTTCGTCCGCTGTGAGAGCGAGTGCTGGGTCCGGGAAGCGAGTGGCTCCGAACTCGTGGCGGTCGCCGCTGAGGAGGACGACGCGGACGCCGAGCTCGCGCTCGGCGCGCCACATGGCGTCGAAGACGACTTGGCGTTCGTTCAGGAATCCGCCCCATGTGTCAGTCGTGCCGACAGGCCAGTTCTTCGTGAAGGGCACGCTGGATGCGATGAGCTTCCAGCGGACCTCGGCCGGTTCGGGCCGGGAGAGGAAGGCGAGGAGGGATTGGAGCTGGGCGGACCCCAGGATGGTGGAGTCGGGCTGCGCGGGCGCGGAGCGGTAGGTGCGCGTGTCGACCATGAAGAACGAGGCGGGTCCGTTGATGAAGGAGAAGTATGTCGTGTTTTCGGGCTTCGCGAAGGGAGTCGCTGGGATGGGAGGGTTGGCGCTGACGTGGTAGTGGATGTAGGGCTCCGCCGCGGCGGGATACGGCGCGGTGGTGTTGCCCTTGGACCAGTCGTTCTCGATCTCATGGTCGTCCAGCGTGTGGATCCAGGGGAGGTCGATGGCTGGGTTGTCCTGGGACTGGGTCCATGAGGGGGAGTTGTACACCCGGCGGTACTCGCTGCGGTAGTGGGAGATGGACGATCCGAAGCGCTGAGGGACGTCCACGTAGATGAAGTCGCCCAGGAACATCATGAAGGATGGTCGGAGCAGAGATGGCAGGCGAGTGATGGCCTCAGTCATCTTCTCGATCCCCGGGATCCGGAGGGGATGCGATAATGGGTTGTAAGGGAAGTTCGCCTTGATGCAGCTCGAGGTCAGGAAGCTGACCCGGTTGGCTGCTTTCGACCCGGGCATCGGAGCGGTGGTGAAGGAGCCCGTTTGGTTGTTGGACAGGGAGTAGCGGTACAGGGACGACGGCTCGAGGCTCCTGATGGTGACTGTGGTGGTAAAATCCGTCGTGTCATCGAGGGAGTAGATGATGCCTTCTTCCGTCCATTGCGAGGGATCCTCCTCTGCTTGCTGGTAGAAGACAGCCAAGGGCAGCTGGGCGGGATCGGGCTCGCGAACCAACAGGTTCGCCGTGGTAGGAGAGACATAGCCGACGCGAGAAAAGGCGATATCAGTGCTGGGGTAGACAAGAAAGCCTCGGACCACAAAGTCCAGCGCGAGCAGTCCGAGGGCGATGTTGATCAGGACCGTCAGTCGGGTTGACAAGGGCAACCGAGCGGAGGGCAGCCCCGTCAACAGGGTCTTGAGCACACCCTGAGGGGGCTCTGTAGATTCTACATGGATACGTCAGAGTCTGTTGCAGCATCGATGCTGAGGCCTGCTTACTGGAAGCATTCCGCGAGCCCTTGGCGTTGTGCTTGCGACGATCGGAGGAGCTCTCATCGGCCGGCCGAGGGAGCGACACCAACGCGGCCAGATACACGGCCAACAGGGTGAAGATCAGGGGTGGGAAGTGGTGACCGGGGATCTATACCAGACGAGTTAGTTAGTTAGTTTGGGTTGTTTAGTAAAGCGGAGGCTGTCACGCGAAGTGTTTACCCAGCGGAGGAAGAAGAAGGTCGTCGCCCGGAGCAGGACGGAGCTGGTCGCGGCGGTTGCCCGCGGTAGGGACACCATGGTGGTGGGCAGGCGAGACGGTGGAGCTTAAGGTAAAGGATGGATCAGAGCCAGACCAGGCGACTCTTCCAGAGAGGCAGACTGTTGAGAGAGGAGCTGAGAGGGAGGGAGGATGGAGAAGATCGGAGACAGTCAGGCGGGCGGAAAGCCGGGGGGGAGGACGCGATGACGACATCGACCACCCAGTACGCATACCCCCTCCCGATACGTCTACGCCAGGCAACAGCAAGCCCATGCAATAGTACACGTTGGATATGATCTGAGTAATCTATATATGCATCAATGGCCCCCGCCTTGCCTCTCCTCTCCTCTCCGTCAGCCTCCCTCCCTCTACCGACGCTGCATCAGCCCCTGGAGGGCATTCATCAAGCTACCCGCCCCCGCGAGCATCTGTTGCGCAACATCCACCAAGTCCTTCATGCGCATGCTCAGCGTCATCTCCGCCGCCCACTGCCACGGCTTCTCGCGATCCCCCGGCTTCGAGTTGAAGTACTCCCAGCCCATGACTCCGCCGAAATCCGGGTACCGCGCCACCAGCGCCGCCAGGACCGGCCCGATCTTCTCGGGGGCCACGTAGCCCTGCGACCCATTGCCTGGATTCGTCAACAGCCCGTATACCACCCGATTCGGGGACCAGCCCTGTGAGATCATGGCCGCATACATCCGCGGGTCTTCCGCCTGCCCCCAGCCGTTGTAGAACTGCGCGTTGTACCAGCTGATCTTGGACGCTCTCTGCTGTTCCAGGCTAAAATAGCTGAAGCCCGAAAGGTTGCCCAGCCCCAACAGGGCCGCCGCGACCGGGGCCAGTGTGATAATAAACCCGTCGCCCATGTCCGCCTTGAGGCGGTCGATCAGCCGGATGACGCCCGCCAACGACATCTCCTCCTCCACGTCCAGGTCGAGCCCGTCCAGCTGGTGGCGCCGTACCATGTCCCGCAGGGGCTGGTAGTATAGCTCGAACTTCTCCTGGTCGCCGTCCAGGGACCGGAAAGAGCCCTGGGCCGCGCCCCCGAGCATCCCCATAATGCGCACCCCGGCCTGCTTCATGCGGGGCACCTCGGCCCACAACGTATTGTACATCTCATGCTGGGGCGGGTCGTTGTTGAGGGTGATGTGCTGAGGGTCGGCGTTCAGGTGGAAAGCAGCCAGGATGATGTGGGTGACACCGGTCTTGTTCTCCAGCAGCGGCAGCATGGAGACATACTGGCCGTCGGGGCAGATGGTCTGGTGGTAGAGAATCACCCGACGGCGCTCGGGGTTCGGGAAGACGGGAGGCATCGTTTGGATCGGGCGAGCGAGGGAGGAATTGGCTTAGGAAGGGTGGAAGAAGTAGTTAGCTCTGGGATGGATGAGATGGTCTCAGCGGGGAAGCGAGCCGAGGGAGGGTCTGCTTGAGGGGGCCCGCTGATTAACCATTCACCTCGTCCATTGTTTCAGGTGGGGAGGTGGGGGGGGAGCAGTCACGATGGATGACATCCCACCCAAGGCAGGAAGGCAGTGAGGAGGAAGTGCACCCGGCATCCACGGGGAATCTGGTGGTGAGAAATGAGAGGGAGAATCGAGCTGGGTTGAGCTGGGTTGAGTTGGGTGAAGTTGTGACTGCCACTTTGCTGGGCGGTTAGGTAATGCCCGCCCGGGTGGGGGGGGGGGCTATCTACGACCATCACTACAGCCATCACGCGATCACTATGGCAGAACTATCTATTGAAATGCTACCTCACCTGTGCCAGGTCTGTTCGTGGGCTGAAGACAGGACAGGACGACCCCCGTGTAACTGACGTCCAACAACTGTTACACTGTATTGCTCCATTGCAACCCCCCTAGATGCCAGAAGAGGCCATCGTCAATCTTAACCTTTACTTCCGGCAAAGGCATACAATATAGTATGCTTTTCGCATCTTGCTCCCATCACGTAGTCCCTTCATAGCTGACTGTCTGCGCACATCGAGTCCCATGGTTGTGGGTGAGATTGAGAGGGTCATCCTGTCGCATCGCGTGGATTTAATCTCCAAATATCCATGGATTCAACTGGCGGAACGGCTCGAGGAATCTGTGGTACGGCACCCGGCCCTCGCAAGAATCCCCATTTCAAAATCTGAAATTGGCCTCAGTTGCTTGGCAGTATCTACCATGCCTGGGATATGAATCGACAGTGAAACATGAGGTGTCTGAGGAGGTTAAGTTGAGGTACGGATGGATTGCAATCGTTCTGGGGATGTCTGTCTGATTTACCATTGGGTCAATAAAACAGAAACACCTTCGAAAACGATGGTTTAGATGCGCTCTTGCGACGATTATCATAGGCGGGAGGGACCAAGCAGCAGGGCTTCAGGCCTCATCATGGCCTCTGCGGTAGACACTGGTGGGTCGACTCTCGGACGATATGTGTAGTATGTGTATGGGTCATTGACCAGGCACTCGTAGCAAGGTTTCCATGACCAGTGAGTGATCAGCCGAAGGAGTGTGCATGTTGACCGTTGTCCTTGTACGGGGTACTCGGAACTCATTCAAACGACCTGGTACCAGGAGGGTGTAAACAGCGTGCGATGGGAAGATGTGTACAAAGGAAAGCGACGCGTGGATCCGATGCGGGAGCATCGAGACCGCACTAGACCCTATCGGGCATCGGGCGACGCCCCCTGTCAGCCTGAGGAACACCAGTGTTGGACTGCCTGAGTGCCTGCGAGACGATTTCCACGTTTATCGACTCGTCCACTCCTCCGCCTGTTGCGCATCTTCCTCCGCTGTTACAGACCGACTCCTATCTTTATCGGTGTATTTCTCCCCAAACCCCCCCCCCCCCCCCCCTGCCCTGAAAATATCTCCTACCCTCCGAACATTTAATGATGTTGCCTATCGGGGCCTCGATATTGTGACCGATCTTATCGCGCATGCCTATTCTGAAGTAAACAAACAACATCCCATTCCCTTTTCCCTGCCCGTCCTCATGGCCGACACAACCTCCCACGACACCGTCGGCGCGTCCACCCTCGCCACACCCCTCTTCATGCCCTCCTCACCCCCTCCGCATCCCGACCATGGCGACAGCTATTCGCCCATCAGCACCAAAAGCCTCCGTTTCAGTCGTCGCGTCTCCACCCGGTCGGCGGACGACGGCGCGCGGTCGCCGAAAGATCCCTCGCCGCGATCCTCCAGAGCCTCATCCCTCGAGCGCGCGGCCTTCGAAATCGACGCTCGTCTAGCGCAGTATACAGTCGACTTCAGCCAATTCCCCAGCAACCAGGCCTTGGATGAGGAGCCCCTGGGCGACCTGAAGCTGCCTCATGAGGAGAACCTCTCCGACGTGGGGGGTCCGGACGATTTCACGGCGAACATGGAGAAGTACTTGATGAGCGACGATGATACTATGGACCATAGACATTTCGATGCCGATCGGCTGGAGCCCGAGTTGTTCGGCCCAGAGCCCGAGTCGGAACCGGAGCATGACTCGGAACCGGAACTGGACCTGCAGGAGGGTGAGGAGGAGGAGGAGGAGGAGGAGTATCCCCAGCCTCAGGCTCAACCGCAGCATTACGCAGAGAAGGGACAGCCGCCACAGCAGGAGGAACAGCAACAGTCATCTCAGTTGCATCAGCCCGCAGTGGAGGATGAGCCGGAGCTCGGCGAATACAGCGAGTTCGGTCCGCCGGTCGACATGTCCACGCCATCGCATCTCCTGCGCCGGGCTGGGGGACTGGCGAAAGATGTCACCCACCTGGAGAATATCGAAGAATACCCCGATGCTGAGCTCGAAGCAACAACTACCACCCCCTCCGTTCGCAAACACAAATGCACCTCCAGCAAGGGCGAGAAGGATATAACCGAGGATCTGCGCAAACAGATCGCAGAGCTCAAGAACGCGCTCCGGGAACGAGATGAGCAACTGGAAAGAAATCGCAGGCGGGTGCTGGAGGCTGCCTCGGCGGGGGAGCAAATCAAGCACCTCCAAGGAGAATTGCAGCGGAAGTCGACGCTACTCGAGGAACTCTACGCCAACCGCAGCGATGAGGCTCTCCTCCGCCAGCAGATCCACCTGCTCCAGAAACAGAACGACGAAAAGGAGTCCTTCCTACACAAGTCTACCTTCAACTCGTCCGAGCTGAGTACGCTCCAGAAACAGATCAGCGACATGCAGAAAGAGCTGCAGAGCCGCAGTACACCGGTAAATACCGATCTCGACACGGAGCGACTCGAGACGATCGCCCACCTTCGCCAGCAGTTGGATTCGGCCCAAGAACACCTGAAAACGCGCGATGCTACCCTGGACCAGACGCTCGCAAGGCAGGAATCGGACAAGGACTGGAAAGACCAGCAGCTCCTGGCGAAAAACACGGAAATCGACGCACTGAAGGCCCAAGCCAGCAGCAATCTGCTACGGGCCGAGAAGCTCCAAGCGGAGCTCGACCGCGCGAACCAAGCATACCAGACCCTCGAGGAAAAACTCCTCACCCTCGAATTCAAGAACCGCCCCCTGGAGGAGAAGAACAGCACGCTCGAAGCCGACCTCACCCGCGCTCAGTCGCAGGTCACCGCCCAAGAGAACGCCCTCAAGGCCATGGCAGCCGATCTTCCCCTCGAGACCGGCAACACCTACAGCGAAATCCTCGAGCTCATCAAAGACCTCGGCCAACCCACCACCAGGCGCACACCGGACCCTTTCTCTGTCTCCAAAGACAGATACCCTGCCGACTCGGAAACCAAACAACTCCAAGACGAGATCACGAAGCTCCAAGCCGACCTAACGGACGCATGCTCCGCCAGAAAGACCCTCGAGGTGCAACTAACGCACTCCGAAAACCAAGCCACGGAATCCCAAACCCTCATTCATTCCATTGAGACCGAAAACACACGTTTGACCAAACGCGCCGACGAGCTCAAGTCCCACCTCGACAAGGCCCAGCACGAACTCAACCAAGTGAAAGACGAACGCACCCGGGCCCTCGAAACCATCGCCCGCCTCACCAAGGAACTTGAAACCCAACGGCAACAGCAGCAACCTCCTCTACAACCTCCTCAACAACCCAGTCCACCCCCTACACCCCCGACCCCTCGCCAAACCGATCCCTCCCCCTCCACCCTCGACAACGAACGCCTCCAAACCGAACTCCGCGCCCAACGCGTCGCCCACACCGCCGAACTGGCCAACCTGCGCGCCTCCCACGCCGCCTCGACTCGCGACCTCCAATCCCTCCTCTCCGCCGCCGAACACCGCGAATCCAAACTGAAATCCCACCTCCTCGCCCACCGCGACCGCCACAACTCCCTCCGCGCCAGGATCGAGTCCCTCGAGTCCGTCATCGCCACCAAAGACGAAACCGCCGCCGCCGTCGACGAGCGCATCGCGCGCTCCGTCGAAAAGCGCGAAAAGGAATGGCAACGTCGCGTGGACCTGCTTCTCAAGGAGCGCGAACGCATGAGTCGTGCCCTCATGTGGTCGTGGGGCGAGAAGGAGCTTGGTAATGGTAATGGCAATGGCCGTCGTGGTGGTGGTGATGATGATGACGACAAGGAGAATGTGAATGTGAATCTGAATGTCGATGAGAAGGGCCGTCGGAAACAGGCCTACCGGTATAAATTTGCCCAGGCGCATGGACATCCCCCGTCTCAGGTTTCGGGGAAGGTGGCGCAGTCGAAGAGGGGGTAGTTGTAGTTGTGTGATATGCTATGGAGCCTGTCTTTAAGTTGAGGGGGTTGGATTTTCTCTTTTCTTTCGGGCGTTTTGAGTATAGGACTCTCTCGTCGTCGTCGTCTTCTTCTTCTATTGCATTTGTTTTGTTTGTCTGTCTTTGTTTCTTTGTTTACTTGTTTACTTGTTTACTTGTTTACTTGTTTACTTGTTTACTTGTTTACTTGTTTACTTGTTTACTTGTTTGCTCGCTGGCATGGGTTGGCTTTTCACTACCTAAGGGTATTCAGTTCCTCGGTGTCCGGGTTGGGATTTTGGGATTTATGGATTTATGGACGGATGGATGCACGGATGGATTGATGGGTACGGTATGGATGGATGGTGGGTTCGTTTGGATGTACCCCGTACATACTGGCTACATAAGTACGGTAGGGTATGTCGGAATGGCGTCTTGTCTTGCTTGCAGATGCATCGGGTTCAGGTTCGGGTTCGGTCCGGTGCAATCCAATCCGATAGATTACAATACGATCAATCTCAATTCGATTCGATGCGATGCGATGCGACTCATTATCTATCTCAGAGTGTGGTAGGGTCAAATGGGTATTGCTGTATTGTAGAAGGACTGTAGACGGCAGGAAAAGAGAAAGAGAGAAGGAAAGGAAATGCATATTTGAGTTCCGTAGATCGTGACAGCTAGCTAGAGGACACGGAGAGAGAGAGGTAGACAGAAGTAGAATAGAAATGAAATAAGTAAAGGCACAAGTGGCTGTAGAGTTACATATATAAGTGGTGGGGAAGCAATAGAGGAGTGGCCTGCTAAAGAAAGGAAGAATTTTATCATCGGGTAGTGGAGGATTAGGATAAGTGTCTAGACATATAGCTGGTTGGGTTTTGATGACGGTGGTCTGGCCGGCAGACTACCATACCTAGTAATAATGCCCACTGCTTGTTCGATTGGTGCCTCGGTAGGTGTTCGCATCGGAGAACACATTCGCCCGGGTCTCGTCGACGGATGTCCCGGTCTCGCGGATGCAGTCGAGGGGGCTGGAGATGGCGGAGCCAATGCCGCCACAGGTGTTGCTGCGGGGGCGTCTTGTACTTGAGTAGACGATCTCGACGTCGTTTCTGCGTGCCAGCGAGGCCATCCGTCGATGGGGGTCGTTGTAGGTTCGACGGCCCTGGCGCGTCTGCTGCGGAGTGTACTGGCTCTGGGTGTACCGTGGTATTTGGTTCGGTTCGAACCGGTACAGCTGGCTTTGTCGACCGCTATTGTGTCTGGTGTTTATGAGAGTGGTTTGATCGAGCTCTGCTGGATGCCCTCGGTAGAGGGGATTCTGCGGAGGCCGGGCTGTTGGAGGGGGTGGTAAGGGATGAAATGTTGTCTGGTGAGGATTGCTGTATGTTCGTGGGATTGGAGCTGTGTATGAGGTGTTGGATCGGTGCACGTTGAGTGACTCTGGCAAGACGACTTCGGGAGCATCGCCTGAGTTCATTGTCATAGTACGTCGCCTGGTGTCGTTGAATTGGTTTGATTGGGCCCCGGCTGTTATGGCCGGTGGTGGCCTCTCAACTGGAGCTGAAGCCAACGGGTGTCCCGGAGCGTATTCTCTCTTAGGCGTCGGTGGTCTCTCCACTTCCACTGCCTGCTTTTCAACATCCGTGGGGGTGTTGGGGTCGGCGAGGGCACGGATCTGAGGGTCCGCCGACAGTGGGAGTGGGAGCGCGAACACTTTGGGGAGAAACCGGCGAAGGGACGACACGGACGATTTGTGTCTTTTATGCCCGGACTTGGACGATGTCCCTGGTAGCTCTTTAGCGGCAGCTGGGCGATAAGGCTCGTAGGTAGACTTTGATGTGTCCTTCGTAGGTGTGCGAGAGACATATGAATGGATATCAGAGCTGGTCGTGTCCCCGAAGGACTTTTTTGAGTACGTGCCCGTGGGCGAGAGGGTTGTTCCTGACAGTAGCGTCTCGTTGTCGCCTTCATATCGCGTATCTAGCTTCAAATGAGGCTTCATGTATGCACCTATCGGCTGCTGGAGAATTGCGGATTTGCGATACGCATCGTAACCTGATGGCTGATACATATCTCTCCCGTACGTAATGTCCGGTCGGCGACAGACATGGTATATGTCGTTCTTCAGGCTGTTTTCGCTTTCCAGACTCGAGCCAGAAAGGATGCTACCGTCGCAATTTAGAAGCCCTTGTCTGTATACACCGAGCAGTGATACATCATATGGCCGCTCGCAGAGCTCTCTCGAGCAAAAGAACAAGCTCACGGTCATGCTGGTATAGAATTAGCCAAAGATATCGGAAATTGGAGACAGGGCATGGCTTACAAGGACACAATGGAGACAATCACAGACACCCGATGAAGGACGCAGCTGATACCAATTTTCCAGAAGTTACCAGCACCATCATCAGCGAGACAAAGGGTCTGCTGTGCAACCAGAACCAAGCCTGCTGCACTAGCAGCTACCCAGACAAGGATCGTCAGCCGTAAGATATAGGTGCAAGCAGCATGCAGGAAGGCTTTCTGCCCCGCGAATCCTATGATTCTGTTATACTGCCACGCCAGAAGACTGTGAAGAGCAACTAAAGGTACCGTCAAGAATGACTGGATATATGTCAGTGTCTTTCCCATCGGCCGTGGTCAGGCAAGAGGTTCTCACCGCAACGAGAGCGATAATTAAGCTCGGCGTCATTTTCGCGTCGACGCGTCGCACCGCGTATAGGTAGAGCACGATGGCCCATTGCGTGAGACTCTCCAGAAGCAGGGCATAGAGAGAGATGAAGATGGCGACCTTTGTCCACGCCCCTCCTTTTCTGCAGGTCATGGATCGGTTGAACATGGTTCGCCACGAAAGCAGCAGGCTGTACTACGGCTTGGAGACTGCCGAGCATCCACGCGCGTCGGCGGGGTACAGGTAGATGGGCAAGGGAAGATGCGGTGCCAGAAGAAGTGTGGGCAGGTAAGCAAGCAAGTGTGTACCAAAAGAATGTCGATTGCAAAGATGCCGACTAGTGCAACGATTGCCTTCCACAAATGTGAGTCGATGGATACATAGCCAGAGGGAAGCAAAGCCACGGGCCATGGCCGACTAAATGGAGGTGGAAGTGGTTTATCGGCCGGCGCGTCGACGCGGATGCATGAGGGGGGCTGGAATGGACGATCGGGAGGCATGTCCGTTCGCGGGGAGGGCCATTGGGCCGATTGAGGGCTGTCTCTTCTTCCGGGACGAAGGCAATGCCTCCGGAATGCAGGTCCAGCCAGGCCGTCCAGCGCCGGAAGAAGAATATTCGCCGCGGCCACACTATCCAAACCTTGAAGACGCCTGGGCTGGCCCTTCAGTCCTCCGGGCGATGTCATCGATGGGCGGTGGCAAGTCATCGGGCAGCTAGGGTTGAGATCTCCCATCGACCCTGCGTATGCGCAGGAGCGGATCCCTCGGCCAGGGCGAGGCCATGGGATGGATTCCCGTACCACAAGATCGCGTGGTCGACGGGGATGTCAAAGCTAAAGTGGTGATGAGGTGGTGATCGGGTAGGGAATAGAGGCGAGTGAGACAGTGTAGCGGGATAGAATGCAGGATGCAGGATGCAGGATGCAGGATGCAGGATGCAGGATGGTGAGGCCAGGGATGAGCGAGGAGGCGAGAGGAAGTGCGAAAGAGACCGCATTGGGGAGAGTAAGTATTGCCTTTGTGACCGCAAAGGGGATGCGCGTTGGCCACGTGATGGGGGCGCGCTCCCTCTTTGCGCTCTCTTGCGCTCTCACTCTACTACTTCTCTCACACACAGTCCGTCTCCTGCAAGGGAAGGCCATGCCGTCAACTTTGTTTACCCATACTGCCAATGACGTCGACGCGCAAAGCATGAAGGACGGGCAAGGGGCGGCCCTGTCGAGTCCGAGCCCTTTCTCTTCTCACGAACCGAGCATACTGGGTTTCGAGGGGATTCGCGTCCATCACGGATCTGGGATCATTCCAAAGGGAGCTTTTCAGTCCCTCGCAAGTTAGCCTATAATCTATGCATCCGTCATCCAACCCTGGCAGTTTGGAAGGGTATCATGCTCCAACTGGTGGGAAAAAAAAAAAAAAAAAAGAACATCCCCGTTTCAACGCGTTCTCTGAAGCAGGTGAGGAATATAAAACGAGGACTATAATAACTATACATCCCGAGATAAGTGTGGAGGCTGGCGATAAGAGAGGTTCACGACGGGGCCGGTCCGATCACCGCACGATCGGCAAGGAACCTCCAAGAAGAGACGGATCAACCCGAGTGATGATAGGGGATCTCCCCGTCTAGATATGCTCATAGCTATCAACACCTGCACAAGTGGTCCAGAACAAGCATGATTTGTTCCTTCGAAACCATCGCTCTTACTTCGTTTTATCCAGGCTAAACAATACTCGGATATAGATAGATGTATCTCATCTATTGATGGACAAAACACTCGATCTCCTGTCCGTGTCCAGTGGCAAGGGTTTGACCGCCACGCATCTAGACATTGACCAGTCGAACTCAGCGCAACATGAACAAAAGAAGACAATGACCGACAAGACATGATATCCCCCAGTACTATGTACGGTATAAACCGAGCTCGTTTCGGCAAGGTTGTCCATATCTAACAGATATATATTTGCCTCAAGGGCATTGGTGAGATTGCTGCGCTGCTTGAAGGAAATGGCCCGGTTCTTGATGATGCACTGGCGCCTAGTGTCGAAAACCCGTCAGCATGGTCCTCGGAAAAAGCCCAGCTGTCGGTACTGCTAGGGAGAGAGTGTCGTGTGAGATTTAATATCACCCTCAACAATCTTCTCCGCCTCCGGGCCCATGCCCATACCATCGGAGCAGTAGACGATGCGTTGTTGGTAGCCGTTTTATGGGACTATCTTGTTTTTGGGAGCAGGCAAAGGCTAGGTTTTTCTTGCTCTTGTCCTTGTTTTCCTGGGACAAGCGATCCATAGCAGGGAATACATACAGCAGACAGCCCTGTCCGTCCAATCAACCCTAATAGCGCCCGGATCGGGGAACCCAAGCATCGATCCCCCACCTCGTCAGCTTCGTGTGCCAATCGAAACGGGGAAACCCCTCAACCAAGCATCCAGCGGCTACAATGAGGGCTAATTAGCCCATCTGGGAGATGAGAAGAGGGGTTCTGCTATCGAGGCTATCTATCTCCTACTAACTGGGTATGCGTGAGGGGAAGCCCAGTTGGTTCCCGTCTTCCGCCTCTTCACCTCCCACACCTCCTTGCGTCTGCGATGAGACCTCGATGTAACCGCGCGATATTACCCTCAGAGAAAACCCGGATACAAAATACTAAGCCAAAGTCCCCTTCTACAGTTTTCATCGCGAGAAACGTTGCCTGCAGTTTGGGAAAACAACGTCCGAATGAACGCCATGCCGATTCCGATCCCCGTGCCGCCGTACCCCCTCCACCCCTCGGTGCTGGACAAGCTCGATCCGGAATACGTCGCTTTCTACAACCAACATGTGATCGACAAGCAGCAGGTGCATTTACAGCCGATCGAAGATTCACGATCAAGCGGTGTTCTTATCCCCGGTGGAGGCCCTCTGGTTTCCGTGGGCAGGACCTTCGATCTGAGTATCGCGCGGCAGGTCTCCGAGGGCCCTGAGATTCCGTTGCGCGTGTTCGTCCCTGACGAGGAGACGCCGGAAGATGGATGGCCGGTGATGCTTTACTTCCATGGGGGTGGATGGGTGCTGGGGAATATCGACACCGAGAATCCTGTCTGTACGAACCTGTGCGCGAGGGGTCGCTGTGTGGTGTTGACGGTTGATTATCGGTATGCTATTGTTGTACTGCCATTTGGATGTGTGAGTGTGCTCAGTGTGAAGGATTCACTGACAATTTAGTCTTGCGCCTGAACATCCCTGGCCCGCGGCCGTCCACGACTGCTGGGAATCCCTCCTCTGGCTCATCTCTGAGGGACCCCACCGTCTCCCGATTGATATCAGAAGCATTGCTACCGGGGGCTCATCAGCAGGCGGGAACCTTGCCTGCATTATCACTCATAAAGCCATGACTCTTTCACCGCCAGTCCGCTTCAAGGCCCAGTTGCTTTCTGTGCCCGTGACGGATAACACCGCCACCGTGGCGACGAACCGCGCCTACCGTGACTACCAGTATACGCCTGCTCTCCCGGCGGCCAAGATGCTCTGGTATCGCAATCATTATCTGCCAAATACGGCGGACTGGGGAAATCCGGAGGCCAGTCCGTTGTTCTACACCGGGGACTGGTCCGCCCTGCCGAGGGCGTTGGTCATGGTGGGTGAACTGGATGTGCTCCGGACAGAGGGAGAGGAGTACGCCGAGAAGCTGAAGCAGGCGGGCGTGAAGGTGGACTTGCAGGTCATGAAAGGCATGCCGCATCCGTTTCTGGCTATGGATGCGGTATTAAAAGAGGGGAAGAGGTCTATTACTCTGATGTGTGACCTGTTGGAAGAAGTATTCTGGCCGGTAGATCGATAGCTTATCTTGTGTAGTTAGACGGTGCTTGCCTTTCAGATAGATTTTCATCCTGCGAACTCATGCTTGGCCTGCCCTCTTGCCTGTCCGCGCTACATGAACATGTGTCCACCTTCGTCGGCTGTAGCGTGTCCATTCGGGTTGGTGGCGTTGGCTAGTATATATACACTGCCCCATATCAGCATCCAGACGCCCTCCCACCCGCATGGTTGGCACACAGATACTCATCTTATTATCCGGACTCCACGCCAGCCCATTCCCACACATCATCCGCCCATCGGCCATCCAATGCAGCGTTCTATCCGGATCATAACGCCACAATCTACCCTTCGGTCGCCCATACTCTTTCGGCAGTTGGTCCGCGCCGCACGCCAGCGTTTTCTTGTCGATTTCAGCGAGCCAGAACCGCCCACGTGTATCGACGGCGCCGTCATCGAACCGCAGTTCGTCGCGCCGGGAGGTCGGGATGATTTCCTGCACCAAGTCGATGCGCCCCGTTTGCTTGTCTAGGAAACAGACCCCTTGGTAGTATGCTGCGATATAGCTGCCGGGTTTGTTCTTGCGGAAGCAGGCTACCGTCATGCTGTCGGATAGGGGGATGACGCGGGCGTCGCCGGTGGGGATTCTGCTGTCGGCGTCGACGGGGAGAATTTACAGCTCTGCTGGTGATGATAGACAGTAGACAGCCGAGCCAGTGTAGTGTGGAGTTGGATGAGGTCGATCGGGCCTTCTCCCAGGACCATCTGTCCTTTGGGGGGGTGGAAAACTGCATTGTTGCCTTGGACTGTGTGCATGGTTTTTAGAGGGTTGGATTGTCGGGGTTTGGTTTGTTGAAGAAATGTCAGTAGGTCTAGTTGAAACTACGGGGGTCTGGACGATTGATTGGAAGCGGAGTCGATCGTGGTTGAGGCATTTGTCTGCTAATTCACTGTGATTGTAGGCTAATTAATGGAGACAGGAATGGGATCCAATGTAGGCTAATTTGCCCTGATCGGTATGTTGTCAGGCGAGTTAAAGTATGGCCACATTCTTCATTTTTGTGATCCAATCATGTTAGTCTTCTAATGTTCATATCTTGCATCAGGATTTTGTCTGATGTAGATACCGGGCTACTATCTGATGGGTTAGTTATTTCAGGTGACTCTTCTCAGGCGCTCTGCTTGTCCTGATATTTATATAGATGTGTCAGGTGTTGCACTATCGCACCTCTCTAGGTGTCTAGTAGGCAACTTTCCAGTCGAATGATTTTGTTTCATAAGATGCTATATCCCGCAAGGCACTAGGAATAAAAGACCAGTAGATGACGTTTATCTGGACTTTGGGATCCAATCAACAACTTCAACAGCAGACGATCGCTGAGGTAAAGAGTTGATGCCTGACAGGCCTGGATATGAATCATGAAACTCCAGGTCTAATTATCATTTGCCTTGTGGCATTGTGTGACGTGATACCCTTCGCAGCGGGTGTAACCTGTCTTTGCACCCTGAGGGAACTAATCACGAAGGTGGTATGGATTATATTGCAGATCACTTGTTGGTAAGACACGGCAACTGGCATATCTCTGACGTCGGCTATTTCTTCCATGCCGGTTGGTACTACTCCCCAAGGTTTGGTGTGCGGATGTCTGATCCTTTCATCATCGGTTGCTTTCACTGGTTTTATAGGCAATCCTGGGCATTTGGTCACGCATCGGCGGCACATTTCCGGGCCTTTGGTGCCATGGAACGCCTGGAAGATTCCAGGAACGAAATGATCAAAGCCAGAAGTTTGATATGACAGTTGTCAAGGAGTACACAACCCCCCCCACCCCGGGTCCTCCCAGTTCTAGAAATAACGATACCGGCTGTGTGATTGTACTGTACCTGCTGATACAAAGGAGGCACCGACATACATTCTATCTGCGGAGTGGGATGGTTTGGCTCCAATGAAAATAGGGACCTATTTTTTTTTAAAAAAAAAGGAATCGTTAGGATACTTTTTGTCGAGATTAGTCCTAATTCTGACGATTTGATATATTACTGTGTCCTTCATGGTATTCGAATAGTCGTACCGAGGTACTAAAGCTAAGAGACACCTGTCCTTCTGTCATCTTTTCTTTCATCCCGAGGCATAACGGGGAGTACTTGGGATATCCAAGATACGTGGAAAATGCCCGAAGAGGCTGCATGGCCGTTCGGTCCTGAGTACTTAGTAACTCAAATCTCAACAGCGTTGCAGCTGCGCTAAACTGCTTGCAGGGGACTGCATCAGGAGTAATTTCCGAAAGTCAGACGAGGAATCCCGCATCGCCTAATAATGCCTCGCTAGAGGGGCTGATGTCGACACACCGGCATGCTAGAACTGCGCCTCTTAGCGCTCCCTTCACTCGTTCGCTGCTGGCGGAGGTCAATACTGTATACATTCGGACAAAGAGGCCCGTGTCCAGCCAATGCGCGATAGGGGTCCGGTGGGGGTGCTGATTCGGCCGACTAATCCAGACAGCCTAGCCAAAGGTAAGTAACTTCGACCAGGGGCGAAGACCCGAGCAAGTGCTCCGAATTCGATTTGCTTATGGTCGAGAGTGAGCACTTTGTTAGAAGCGTCACTCATTTCGTCCCAGAAAACGAACGATGTTGTTTCACGTTCGGACCCTGAGCCATCAGGAAATGAGATTATAAGCGGGCGAACAAAGAACACAAAACAAAACAAAAAACAGGGTCAACAAGAGGGTTGGTGGTTCTCTTGTCGATCGGCTGATCCGGTCACCTCCGAGAGCCTTACTGACTGACCGGTCTAGTCAGATCCAGTCGAGGACCGTTCCGTGGATGTCCCCCCCACCATCTGACTTTTCACGAACTCTATCAAGGCCCGGTTTTTTTTCAAGTGAGACATTGGGACCGAGTGGCAGCCAGCCATCACTGGCTCTGGTGCTCGCCTGCCACCGGCCCACCGTCGCGCTCTATATCCCGACCCGCTGATTGGTGTTCCTGGAGGCGGTGATGCCACCAGGACCCCTCGCTAGTCTGTATCCGGTAACTGCCACATGGGGGAGGTCCTGGATTCGGTCTAGCGGGGGAAGCTATACGGTATTGTCACTGCTTTACCAGAACCAACTGGGGGCCCCGTGTTTACCCCGACGGAGTATGGCCAGAAGTACCTTAGTAAAGTAGTGAGGGATCTTAGTTCCTGCTAGTCACAGGGTCCAGCAATCCGCGAGCAGCCTCAGATTCTCCCATCTCCATCATCCACCTTCTCTTCGACCTCAAGTCCACCGGGTGTGGCTTTGGATCGTTGTCTGTCTAGAAAAGCCACCACCATCATCACCATCCATCCGAACTGACAGAGGATTCATCATCCACCCACAGACAAGCATCAGGTGCGACGATGTACCTACAGCTGCATCGCTGACGGGGCTCCTTTCGTGCTCGTTCCCCCCCCACTTTGGCTTTCATCTTTCAGGCACCAGATGTGCCCGGACTCAGTGGGTGGATATCACACTGGCCTCTCATGACTCTCATCGCCCACACCGGCCCAAACTAACCATGGAATTCAGACCCTTATGCGGCTCTGCCCTAGGCAGATGCTCGATCCAGCGGCCTAGTGCCTGCTGCTGCCTTGAACTCTTGACTCCTCCTGGCTGCTGATAATGTCGGCTTCCACTCGTCCCTCTTCCGGAGCCAGTCACATCCTCGCCTGGCTGGCCCTCGAGGATCAAGCGCTTCGTTAGTCTCCGGGACCCTCTGCTACACGGTCACTAGCACTGGAATGGTGTCTTCCTCCTATGCTAGTCAAAGTCCTCCAGCTGTACCTGCCAAGCCCTCGCATCAGCGTGGTAATTTCGGCTGTGCTCGTCCGATAAACCCATAATTTGGATGCCGTAGCCAATGGGTGGGGGGTTGTGAAATGGCCACCGTGCAACGGCCCTAGGGGGAGGAGGCCTATATCATGTTATGTTGCCTCTCTCTCCTCTTCCAATATCTGTAGTGCTCGATTCTTCGCCATTCGCTTGCGGAGACACTCCAAGCAGCAGACATTTGTCTGCGTCCTTTCCTTGAACTACCTGACGTCGCTCTTTCTTGGGTTCGGTGGCTTGCTCGCCCCTACCAGTCGTCACTCTTTCAAAATGTGGTCCAAACTTCTGACCGTTACCGCGGCCGTGGCCAGTCTCACTCCTTTTGTGTCTGCCTTCGACGCCGAGGCGAAGAACAACGTTGCGATCTACTATGTACACCTCACAGCTACATCCCGCCATTCCAGTTCTGTACTGACTTTCTATAGGGTCAAGGGTATGACCAGAAACGTCTGAGTCATTTTTGCGCCGAGACATCCTTGGACATCATCAACCTTGGATTCATCGATATATTCCCGGACCAGGGTCCTGCTGGATGGCCGGGCAGTGATTTTGGCAACCAATGTGATGGAACGACTTACCAAGTTGGCTCTGTCTCAACAGACCTGCTCAAGGGCTGCTACCAGTTGATTGAAGATATCCCAATCTGCCAAGCGGCGGGGAAGAAAGTTCTCTTGTCTCTTGGTGGCTCCACTCCAACTAATCAGCAGATTCTCTCCAATTCTTCTGCTGTTAACTTTGCCGATTTCCTTTGGGGTGCCTTTGGTCCGAAGACAGATGAGTGGGTGAACAACAATGGACCTCGTCCGTTTGGAGATGTGGTTGTTGATGGTTTCGATTTTGACATTGAACACAATGGTGGTTTTGGTATGTTTCCTGGGCTATCGTGATGTGTTACCTTCTCTAACCGCTACAGGCTATGCTGTCATGATCAACCACTTCCGACAGCTATTCAAGCAGGCTCCTGACCAAACCTTTTACATCTCCGGTGCCCCTCAATGCCAGATCCCCGACAAACAGCTCGCCGATGCAATTACAAACTCTGTGTTTGACTTCATCTGGGTGCAGTTCTATAACACCGACGGTTGCGCTGCGATCGACTATGACTTTGTTAGTGATGTTAGCACCGGCTTCAACTTCGATTCATGGGTCAGCTTCATCAATGGTGGCAAGAGCCGCAATGCAAAGCTTTATATGGGTCTGCCCGCCAGCGCGAGCGCGGCAAACGCAGGCTTCTACATCACGCCCGCGGAGGCCTCTATCCTGGCAACCAAGTATATGGGTCTCTATCCAGATACCTTTGGAGGTATGATGGTTTGGGAAGCAACTGCCTCGGATGAGAACTCGGTTGATGGTGTTAGCTTCGCTGGTGCGATGAAGGATATTCTCCTTGAGCTTGATCCTCTTCCGGTCACTACTTCATCTAGTGTAGCTGTTGCATCCAGCACTCCTGTGCCCTCGACCACTGCTGTGCCCTCGAGCGTCCTTACCACGTCCAGCTCTGTTGTCTCGTCCAGCACTCTATCTGCTGTGACCTCAAGCACCATTGTGGTTCCTACCTCTCCCGTTTCCGCGAGCACTGTTGTGGCCCCAAGCACCCCGGTCCTGTCAAGTACTTCATCTGCAACGAGCTCTCCGGTGGTGGTCAGCAGCTCTGTGTCCGTTCCTGCTATCTCCTTGACTACATCCGTTCACTCAACTACTCCAGTGCTGTCAAGCCTCTCTATTGTTTCCAGCAGCTCTGTTGTTGCAAGCTCTCCTGTGGTGTCAATTGCACCTGCGATTACAACTTCGAGCATTTCTTTCTCTCCTAGCCCTGTTGTTGCTTCAAGCTCGCCTGTTGCATTGAGCAGCTCTGTGAGCTCAAGCAGCCCTGCTGTCCCGAGCTCCTCTGTGGTATCAAGCGTCTCTGTCGCTTCAAGTGCTATCGCAACTTCAGGCATTCCTTTCTCCTCAAGCTCCTCTGTGGTACCGGTCTCTCCTATTGCGTCCAGCTCTTCTGTGGTGTCAGGCTCACCTCCACCAAGTTCTCCTGCTTCTTCAAGTATGGCCACAGGAAAGACATCCAGCACTCCAATCATTTCGAAGACATCCCCCTCGGCTACTGCACCCCTCGGTGGCTCTTCTGGGTCTTCGGCTTCATCCAGCATCCCCACCGGCTCTGGAAAGCCTTCATCCAGCATCCTGAGACTCTCTAGCACTGTGTCACTGCCAGGCTCTCCTATTGCCTCCAGCAAGCCAGTCACTTCGGGATCAAGCCTTATCAAGACTGTTTCATCCAGTGCCGGCTCTGGTAACTCGGCTCCATCGGGCCCTTCCAGCTTCCCAGTTGCTGGAAACTCCGCTCCTTCAAACTCGGGCTCCACCCATACAATCTCGTCGTCAAGCGAGTCGGCTATTTCCAAAGGGTCGAGCGCAACTGTCTCTGCTATCTCTGCAACAACCCCCTGCGAAACTATTACTCGTGTGACCGTCGTTGCGTACACCGTCACTGAGTCTGGTGTCCCTTCGGTTGGCTACTCAACCTCGACCATCACCGAGACTATTTCCGGCCCGGCTGGTAGCGCTCCCAGTGGTGGTGTCGCCCCCTCCAGTGCTGCCACTGTTACTGCTGTTCCTACTTCCACCGCCGCTGCTACGACCACCCCCTGCGAGACCATCACTCGTGAGACTGTGATCGCATACACTATCACCGTTTCCGGCTCTCCTTCGGTTGTTCGCTCAACCTCGACTATCGTTGAGACTGTTTCTACCCCTACTGGATCTGGTGCCCCTGGTGCCCCCAGCGGTAGTGAGACTCCCTCCGGTGCTGCCAGTGTTACTGTTCCTACCTCTAGTGTCGCTGGAGGTGCTGCCACGACCACTCCCTGCGAGACCATCACCCGTGAGACCGTTATTGCGTACACTATCACGGTGTCCGGCTCTCCCTCGGTTGTTCACTCAACCTCGACTATCGTTGAGACTGTTTCCACCCCTGCTGGACCTGGTGCCTCTGGTGCTCCCAGCGGTGGTGAAGCCTCCTCTGGCACTGTTATTGTCACTGCGGTTCCTACTTCCAGTGGAGGTGCTGCCGCCGTTGCCTCGACCACCCCCTGCGAGACCATTACCCGCGAGACCGTCATTGCGTACACCATCACCGAGTCCGGATCCGCTCCTTCGGTTGCTTATTCGACTTCGACCATCATCGAGACCATTTCGGCGCCGACCGGGTCATCCGGAGAATCCACCTCCAGCGTGTCGACTACCCCTTGCGAGACTATCACCCGCGAGACTGTCATTGCGTACACCATCACCGAGTCCGGCTCCGCTCCTTCAGTTGCTTACTCGACCTCGACCATCGTCGAGACCGTCCCTGCACCTGCTGCCTCGGCCACCGGTTCAACAGCATCCTCCAAGGGCAATGGAAGCGGGCCCGCTCCCATCGGATCTGCCATTATGACCGGACAGACATCGGTTGGATCGGACGCGAAGGCTGCCAGTACCACCACGGTCATCGTGACTTCTTACGTCGACATCTGCCCCGAGGGCTTCACGACCATCACCACGACCTACACCGCAACCTACTCTCCTGCCACCGCCACAGCATCCGTCACCAACCCCGTCGGAGTCGCGGCGCAAGCCACTGGCCCTAGTGTTCCCGAGGGCTGGACCACTCGAGTTACGGTCTGCACCCACTGCGCTGCGACACCGACCACGGTGACCCTGACATTGCCGGCCACCGGTCTGGCCTCTGTAGCAGCATCAGCCACGAAGACACCCAGTATTCCCGAGGGTTGGACTACCACGGTCTCTGTCTGCACGGGTTGCGGCCCTACCCCAACCACCGTGACCGTCACGGTACCCATCAGCGCCGGTACGGGCGCTGAAACTCTCTCTGCCCACGCGTCTGGCGCCCAGCCGGCTGGCAACTCTTCAGGGCCAGAAGGTGCCGGCGCCGCATCTGCACTGACAGCGGCCGCCACGACCGCCACGGCGGTCGTGCCTGCCAGTCACTCCTTCTCCAGCCGACCGGTCATCCCTGGAACGGGCAGCGCGCGTCCCTCGTCGACGTTGCATGTCCAGCCATCGGGGAGCGGATCCCGGGTGGCCGCGACGCCCAGCGGTACGCAAGTGGGCGTGTCGCCTGTGTTCACCGGTGGCGCGTCCCGGGGTCCAGAACTGCGGATCGGAGCGGGGGCCGTGGCAGCTCTTGCGCTGGCCCTGTTGGCTGCGGTGTAGAGGCTGGATCGTTTCTGACACCCGCGCAGTTGGAGGACGAGAGGGGGGTTTGGATGGATGTAATGCTTTTTTTTATCTACGACCACGACATTCCCTGAGCATGTACTTAGTTTCGATTCTTCCAGCGCTAGCTGAACCCTCTTATGACCATACTGTATAATTTCACACCCCCCATTTATTTGTGTGTCTGTCCTGCTGCCCGAAAGCCACCGACGCGGGGATGATGCCCCAGGCAGGCAACAAGCTCAGCCAAGACGGGACGATCCGGTTGCGCCAAGCAGTCATAAGTAGTAGTTGCAAGTTGGAGGGACTGTTGGAGGTGGGGGCGATGCGTTGTAACCGAAGTTTGAGCACGATGGTCTGAGTCTGAGTCTGAGTCTGACAAGCTGACTGACTGACAGCCTGACCGCGAAATTGGCCCCCCCGAGTCCAGAAGGTTGATAGGCCGAGAACCGCCGGGGCCATCGGGAGGATGCTTCTTGCTTCTAGGTATAGTAGTTCGCATACGCGTGGATACGGAGTACAGTACGCAGTACGCAGTACGCAGTACACGGGACAGATCGACGCCTCAGGAAAAGATACGCGATCCGCCATCGGATCAGCCGGCCTCCTTCAACTCCAAGATGACTCGATCACCAGCCCCTCCTTTTCGGTTCTCTTCGTCCCATCATCCCCCCTGAGCTCAGCTGAGTGCCAGCGGTTAAATGAAACTGCCGAGACCTCGTCGAATCCACCCCAGATGCCAAGATTAGCATCGGTTGGACCCTTAATGCCTGTCGGTCTGTCTGCTGGCCCCGCTGGCCCCTCTTGCCCCCCCCCCCTTCCTGTCTTACTCTCCAAGATTAATAATGGATGAGCCTGTGGCACTGCCCCGGATATACTATTATCGTCTCCTCCAGGATCCCCCTAGCTACACGCAGACTAGATAGGATGTAGATAGTCGTCGTCGTCGTCGTCGAAGTAGCAGTAGCAGAAGTAGCTCCAAGCTTGGACCTGGTCAGCCATCAGCCAGTCATCAGCCCTCCCCTGAACCTGAGCGCGAGTGATTTATTCTCCTATCGGGCCAGAACCCCCCACCTGGCCTTATTGACGGCCTACTTAAGTAGTAGGCACAGAACACTCGACGTATATAAATCCCCGATCCTTTTTTTCTTTCCTTTCCTATTCCTTCTTTTTTACATCTCCCCTTCTTGTTCTTTTCCTCCCCACGCAAGACATACCACACACATACACATCCACATACACCCCCCACCCAATAAAAACCATGGACTTCATCAAGAACATCGCCGAAGAAGTCATCGAGTCCAAATTCGGCGGCGGCAGCAACGCCAACACCAGCAGCGAAACCTACAGCGGTCGCGAGGGCTACTACCCCCCTCAACAGCAACAGCAGCAACAGCAACAACAACAATACCCCAACCGCGAAGGCTACCCGCCCCAGCAATACTACGGTGGAAACGAAGGCTACGGCCGCCCGGAATACAACCGCGAGGGATACGGCTACGGAAACCAGGGCTACGGCGGTGGTTACCAGCAACAGCAACAGCAGGAGTATGGGTATGAGTCCCGTCAACAGCAGGGGTACGGATACGGTGGTGGATACGCACAGCAGCAACAGCAGGAGTATGAGTATGAGTCTCGTCAGCGGCAGCAGGGGGGGTATTATGAGGGACGCAGCAGTGGTGGGGGCATGAGCAGTGGCATGAAGACTGGGTTGGGGGTTGCGGGGGGGGTGTTGGCGGGTGGAGCGGCGGTTTTGGCGGGTGAGGCCATTCGTATGTTTTTCCCTTCCTTTTTCTTTCTTTTTTTTTTTATTTGTCTTGGGGCTAATTGCTGGTGCGGGTGATGGATAGATAATAAATGGGAGGAGGATAAGCAGGATATCGAGGAAGATGTAGAGGATTTCCCCGAGGATGCGGCCAGGTGGACGGGTGATAAGGTATGTTCTTTCTTCTCTCTCTCTCTCTCTCTCCTCACCGGACCGTCTTGATCATAATTATCATACTAATCAAACTGAATGTATGTACAGGTCGGCGAAATCGAATCCATCCCCAACCGCATCGAAAACGGCTGGGACAACGCCGTCGACGACGTCGAGGATATCCCCGAGGACGTTGCCGGATGGGTCGGGGACAAGGTCGGGTCTGTGGAGCGGTTTGGCGATAATATGGACAATGCCTATGATGAGGGGAGGTACGAGGGTGAACAGGGCTGGTGATTGATTTCTGGTGCAGGAATTAGATGGTGATGTTATATGGCATTTGCATACCCGAGTGCCAGTGGTTTTGATGAGCCAGCTGGTAGTATTGTCTCGACGTACTTATATATTGATTTCCCCGCACGTGGCCCGGACCTCGGCTGCGGAGATGAGAAGCAACTTATCGGGCCCGGAGCTGATTCTTGTTCACCTCCCTCCTTCCTCCCTTTCATGATCCATCCCTCGCACTGCTCTGTATCTTTCCATCGAGACATCCCTAGAACCAGAACATCTCCCCTGCCACAAACGAAATGCCCCCCCTCTCCGGAATCCGAGTAGTCGAGCTGGCCGGCCTCGCCCCCGGTTCGTCCGTCCCACCTCCCGCAGAGCTTCAGGAGGAGTATGTAGGTAGTATGCATGTACTAACCTCATCCATCCATCCGTCCATCGACCACCAGGCCCCTTCACCGGTCTCCTGCTAGCAGACTACGGCGCCTCCGTGCTACGGATCGATCGCCCGAAAACCACCAGTGCGGACCAGTTGACCCGCCGCAAGACGTCCGCGACCCTGGACCTCCGAGACCCCGCCTCGCACCGCGTGCTGCTCTCCGTGCTTCGGGATGCCGACGTCCTGATCGATCCGTACCGTCCCGGGGTGCTGGAGCGGCTGGGCCTTTCTCCGTCCGAGGTTCTCCTCAAACATAATCCGCGGCTGATCGTGGCCCGGCTGACGGGGTTCCGTCGCGACGGGAAATACAAGGACATGGCCGGCCATGATATCAATTACATTGCGGTGGCGGGCGTCTTGTCCATGCTGGGTCGGTCGGCGGAGCGGCCGTATGCCCCCGGGAACCTCCTGGGAGATTTCGCTGGCGGGGGCGCTACGTGCTTCTTGGGGATCTTGCTGGCGTTGATCGCCCGCATGCAGACGGGACGGGGCCAGGTCGTCGAGGCGAATATGGTCGATGGCTCCGCGTACCTGGCTGCGATGCCTCGCTTAGGTCGACAGACGCCCATGTGGAATGCCCGCCGCGGGCAGAATCTGCTGGACGGGGGCAGCCCTTTCTACGATACGTACGAGACCAAGGATAAGGGCAGGTATTTCGCAGTGGGCGCGCTGGAGCCGCAGTTCTACGCGGCGCTGTTGAAGGGGCTGGGGTTCAACCCGGACGAGCTCCCGTCGCGGGACGACAAAGACAACTGGCCTGCCCTTCGGGGTGCGTTCGCGAAGCGGTTCAAGGAGAAGACCCGAGCGGAGTGGGAGGCCGTGTTTGATGGCACCGATGCCTGCGCCACGCCCGTGGTGGAGCAGGATGAGCTCGAGGCCAGTGGCTTCGAGCAACGTCCCATCGTGCATCTGGGCGAGACCCCGGGGCTGCCCATTTCGGCCGACGACGGGGGCTGGACGGGTGGGGGCCTGATCCCGGGGACCGGAAGTGAGGAGACCCTGAAGACGTGGTTGGGGTGGGCAAAAGGCCGCGATTATGATGTCAGACGCGATGGAGCACTGGTGCAGCTCCCAGATGGCAGGGCGAAGCTGTAAGGAGGGAGAGTGATCGATGATGATCCTAATACGAGATGGTATGCCAAAAATGGATATTGAGTTGGGTTAGGCCTTGGGTGGATGAGGCTTGGACAGCGAGTGGCGTAGGGCTGAGCAGTTGGGAAACGGGCGAATAAGCAAGTGGTCGAGGACGGCCAACCGCACGATGGGGGGAACCTTATCTGTCCCCGATGTACGGAGTAGTCATCCTGTTGATACACACAAACACAAACACACTTTTGGGTCGCGACCGAAAAAATCGGGACTGGCAGAGACAACCGCCTTTGGGGGGGGAGGGGGGGGGGTCCAGAATCCATAATCGCTTTGTTCCGACGTGATCCACGGACGAGTGCGAACGTAAAACCGGCTCGAGAGGAGTTCAACTATGGGACGCACAAGCAATCAAGGCACAGCACTGCAGAATTGGACACTCGGTACAGTGGACGTTGAGACGGAGGTTACTCACTCAGTCTTCACTACTCCATGGGGGGGATTGCAATGCGGACCGCGGATGCTGGACGACGGGGGAGGGAGGCACTAAAAGGCAGGCCCGGAGATATCCGTGGACTAGATAGTCGGTGCATCGCGAGTCAGAAGCGTGACAGCGGGGGGGCTTGTTGGCGACGCGATTGGCATAAGCAGGTAAGCAAGCCGGAAGAAGCGAGGCTGTCAAACAACGATGATGGACGATGGTAAGCTGAACAGACAGCAGTCCCCCGTCCCCCGTCCCCCGTCCAACGGTTGGCCGCATCGCAACAGGCGCCGAAACGTTACAGCGGCGGGATGTAACACATGCGGGGGGGGTTGCGATGGGGAGTGTGACGGAGAACGACTCGTCGCGGTCATCGTCACGTCACTTTCGCTTACGCCGCGGAACTGGTCTCCGGAGATAACTCGTATGTATCGTTAGTGGGAGCGGTGGTACCATGGGTGGAGGCTTTCGATGCAGTAAAAGGTTGCCTGGAGACTGGAGTAAGTACCTGGCTCCGGGGGAGTGGTTGGAACAAAGACTGCGACCTGAACCCACCAGACAACTCTCATCCATGGGTGTGCCTGATCGTTTGTTGCAATGAAGTACCTTTTTTCCTACAGTATTTCGTTTCAGAGTCCCGAGTTCAGAGGTCAGTACCGCCCCCCTACAGTGTACTTTATTACCCTTTCCTCCCTCCCTACCGGACGGTCCGCTGGTCCTTACCGTTCATGTTGACTTCCTCCCAATGCATGACTACCCCAGTGCAACAGTGCAACAGTGCAACAATGCAACAATTCTCTCATCGATAGTCCCGAGATTGATTGCTTCACGCCGGGCCTTGCGGGTGTTTCAGCAGTGGGGTAAGAAGACGTCATTCATTTGTGCAATGATCCGGTTCCTTGTTGTAGGAGAGTGTAAGGCTCTCGTATCCTCAAAGGCGACGGTATCTCCCGCGCTTGCCTCTTGCGGCATCGTTCTACGGTACAGAATACGGAGTCGTACTCTTCTGTTACCCTCGAGGCCCACGTGCTCGCCGTGGCTCAGTACGCAGTAGACCAGAAGTCTGCTCTTCCACCGTCAAAACCACCCGTCTTTGAGCCTGCTAGCAGTCAAGTCAAAGAGGGATAAAGCCCGGTGGCTAAATAAAGACAGCGTCATTGAGGTGGATTCAACGGATTGTTTCAGTTTCATTTCCCTATCACTGGCCTCTTTGTGGGCTTGGTTGGCCTGTGGCGGTGCAGGTACTCCCAGGTACTTTCCGCCCGCCAGCGGAGGTTCGGGTACGGGGCAGGTACCTCCCATTATTACGGTCACGGCTGGGTTTTTTTGGACCCAAGTCTCGTTTTTTCCCGATCGATCGCCTCCAAGTCCAAACTCCAGAGTTCACTTCATTCAAAGTCCCAGCTCAAACCCCCTCCCACCCATCCATTCCATTCCATTCATTCATTCATTTCCCTTCCATTTCCAGTCCTCACCCCCCCCTCCTTTCTTGCTACCTGTCTCTCTGTCTCTCTGTCTGTCCTTCTCTCCTTTCTCCCTCTCTCCTCCTTTCCTTGCTTGCCTCGATCTTCGGGTGATCAGACACGGTTCGACTCTCTCCGAGACCTTGGTTCGGACTCGTCCTGGCGGTACAATTGCTGGCGTCAGCACTGCTCCTTATTAGTACCTGTACTGCCCCGTTAGCTCTATCAGTATCAATGTCCCCTGCAGGTGTGACTTGGTAAAATTGGGTACCCGCCAACTGCCAGCCCTCGTGTGCATGAGTGACTGAGCCAGTTTGTTTGTCTTGCTTGCTGCTCCTCCCTCCACCACCACCACCACCACCCTCCGCGACCTTCATCTTCATCCCTCTTCTCCCCCCCCCCAAAGCGCTCTTTCCTCCTTAAGCGCTCGCCGGTCTTCTTAGATCTCCTGGCGCTCGACCGCTGATCCTGCGATCCCATTGCATCCGCTTGGACGGGCTCTCCCTTTTTTTGGCGCCTCGGATTCCGTTGCCTGTCTGGTACGACGACTGAGCCGCTGGCCGCTCATTGATCTAAAGGACGGCTCGCCCGCAGGGTCTGCTTTTCAGCTGTGCCCACTACCCACTGTCCAGGCTGCGATAATAGCTGGCCCACGCTTAACTTTGGACTCCGTTTCATCTGTCGCGGCGGCTACTCCTCCAATCTCCGCCGCCACCCGGTGTGAAAAGTCACTACATCCCCTCCCATCCCCTCCATAACCAGTCGATCTGCGACTAGATGGCTGGTGTGCAGCTCCAACAACCCAGCATGACCGACTACCGCTTGCCAATGCACCAAGCGCCACCCTCTCGAAAGCCTGTGCCCGGAATGCACTCCGGCTACCCGCTCCAGTCCTACGAGGGGCCTCACCACCAGCAACTTTCTCCCCATCCGTCTGCCGCCTCCCTTGCGCACATTCGTCGCCGGACTTCCTCTTCCCATGTGCTTCCGTACATGGCCCAGCAGCAGCAGCAGCCGTACTCCGGTGGCCCTTCGCCACACCATACCATGACCATGACGGGCCCCAACTACCCCCCTTCGAGGCGCTTGTCGAGTGCGACGACCTCCACCACCTCCACTGGAAACGTGGCGAACCCGTATTACGGTGCCGCCCCAAACGCAGACATCCGCCGCAGTACCTCGTCCCGCTCGGCCAACGCTCAGTTGGGTTACGTGGCGCTGATGCGGAGGCAAAAGGCGACAGTATGGTGCGATCGAGCACAGCCGGAGGATCCTCGGCTGCGGGCGCAGAAACTGGTCGATAAGAAGCGGGCGTATCTGGAAGTCCACGGCGCAGGCGCTGGGCGCTCGGGTACCCTGGGAAGCGGCAAGAACAAGCACAGCGGAAAGACGACCGACTTCTCGCCATCGACGCTCGTTGGCGCCACGGTTCCCGTGCGACTCAGTGCCAACGAGGTCGGCGACGCCGATGAGGATGCTCACAGCGAGCGAGGATTTCCTTATCGCCGTACCGGAAGCGGCCGCAGTTCGGTGGGCAGCATCTCTCGTTATCCAAGTGGGTACCAGCGCACCCCCCAGGGGACGATGGGAAGCAACAGCACCCCTCCCAACGAAAAGACCGACCTCCCCGACGTCTCGGAACATCCCCCGGCTGAGAGCCTGGAGAGTGAGCAGTACGAAGCCTCCATCAAGGACACGGCCACCAGCTACAGCCGAGGCAGCGAGGAGAACCTCGATGTCGTGGGAGATATGGCCGCGCCGAGCGCGGCATCTGCCGCGATCCAGAAGGCGAAGAAGGCGGATGAGTTGAGGCGCCGGGGCAGCGTAGATGAGCGAACGACGTCGATGACCAATGTCCGGTTATTTGTCGCGAATCCAGATTTAAGCGATTGAGCAACGCCTTCCCCATAATGGCACTCGTTTGGCAATGCCATCCATTTAACTTGAGCTCTGCACATTCCTTTTCCTTTTCCCCCACCATGAAACGCATTCGGCTCGGAGCCCACGTATGGTGCCACGACCCTGCAATGCCCCTCCGCCTTGAGTCGCCTTACGACGGGCCGGACGCCCTCGACTGATTGATTGAATTGCTGCACTTGTTCTATTCCCCTCCCCGCATGTTCTTGGCGCTGTTTCCTATGTTGTCTGGGCTGTGCTCCCGATGCTAGCATCCATTGCGGCATCGATCGGGCCCCGGTGGATTTATGAGCATCTTAATAATAATACTATTGTACATACGGCCGCCCGCGATCGTTCTAGTGGAGTATACAATGTGAAACCCAGTAGATACTGTAGATAATCGATGATCTACCGCTGAAACACCGGATCTCCCTAGGTTAATTACCGTGTAGCTACGGGGTACTCCGTACTACTGTCTATCTAGCTGTACCATTCAGATTGAGTCTCCATAGTTAACTAACTAGTAGTTAGTTAGTTATCGAGAGGGGTCTTACATAAGCGGCGCCCACACACGTGCCGGCAACGCGCCCGCCCGGCGCGAACATCAATTAACGCGTTTCGGGCAACCTGGTAGCCAGCAACCAACTGAACAGGCCTGCCTGCCTGCCTGCCTGTCTGCCTGCCTGCATCTGTCGCCTATCGTCTGTCTCTCTTTGGATGGGTGATCCACTGACAAATAGCCCTGCTGGCAAGGTCATTCATGATTGACTGGTCTTTTCATAACCAATGCTCCTGGCTTGATTGACTTGTTGGTTTTCATTTGATACCCTCGGATTATACTCTGTCGTGAACTTCACTTCACTTGGACCTCATCATTCACCCGGCCGATCTTTTATTTGTTGTCGTCTGTGCGATTTTGTTGTCTCACCCTCGCGACACGATACATACTACCGACCTACATACTACACGATACGCAATACACCGCTTGCATCAACTGAACGTCTGAGGAGATATTTCCCATCTGCTTCGATTTGATTTCATCACGGCCTCTCGCCCCTGATCTCGAGGTCGGGACTCAGATACCCACCACAGATAAACAGACAGACAGCCACCATGTCCACCTCAATGGATACCACCACCACGACCCCGAGTCTACACACACCAACCCCTACGCCTACGCCCGCTCCCGCTCCCACCAGCCTCTCCCCCCTTCCCACGAACACATTCTCCGCCTCAACTACCGCCACCACTGCCACCACCACGCCAGAATCTACACGGAAGCGCTCAATACAAGATACCGAGATGGGCGGGACGACGGACCAACATCACCACCATACCGCACCCACACACACAAATGGCGATGTGGAGATGAGGATGGACGGGTCTGACACGGAGGTTGATGGGAAGGTGGCGTTGGATGATAATAATAAAGAGAATCGGAATCAGCATGCCAGGGCTCGTGAGGGTGAGGGGAAGTCACCTGTTCCTACTGCTTCAAATGTGCATGTGGCTGCTGGGGCTACTGGGGTGGGTTCGGCTTCGGGTGCGGGCTCGGCTTCTTCGCCTGCTGCGAAGAAGAGGAAGCTTTCGCCGGCGAGTAAGGAGGCGAAGCAACAGGAGAAGGAAGCGAAACAGCAAGAGAAGGAGGCGAAAGAGCGTCAAAAGCTAGAGGAGAAGGCGAAAAAAGAAGAGGAGAAGGCGAAGAGGGAAGAGGAGAAAGCTAAGAAGGAGGAGGAGAAGGTCAAGAAGGAGGAAGAGAAGAAGAAGCGTGAGGCGGAGAAGGAAGAGGAAAGGCGCGCAAAGGAGGAGGAGAAGAAGAAACGCGACGCGGAGAAGGAAGAAGAGAGGAAGAAAAAGGAGGAGAAGCGGAAGGCCAAGGAGGAGGGTAAGGCTGCGAAGGAGGAAGAGAAACGGAAGAAGGAAGAGGAGAAGTTGAAGAAAGAAAGGGTATGTTTCAATTCCTTCTGATCTTTGGGACTGGAAAGAGAGAGAGGGAGGGAGGCTAATGAACCACAGGCCCAAATGAAGCTGAACTCCTTCTTTGCCAAACCGAAAGCTACCACACAATCGTCCCCCTCCAAGCCTACTACCCTCTCCCCGAGCAAGCCTACCGGCGCTGGCGCTGCAACCGAACCCTCTCACGACTCTGCATCCACCACTCTCTCCGACTACCAGCGGGAATTCCCCGACTTCTTCCTCAAATCCCACACGACCGTTGCGCCGCCGCACCAGTTCCAGCGCGATCAGGAAGCCCTGCACCACACGCGAGAGAAAGTCGATACGTACCTCAAGTCGGCTAGCGAAAGCACGCAGGCACCACTGCTGTTTCGGGCCTCGGAAATCTTCCAACTGATGCCATACAAGCGACGACGGGGCCGACTACCGGCGTCAGTACGGGAAATCCATCTACAAATGCAGAATCTAGGCGACCAGCCCGAGACTTCAGAAGGGGCCCAGCGGCTGCGGAATCTTCTCAAGCAGGTCAGGATGAAGTCGATCCGGTTTGGCGAAGACGTGCGTCCCCCTTACCAAGGAACATACACCAAGAGCCTACCCGTATCGTCTGCCCGTCGCATGATGCGCAACCCTTTCTACCGGGGCTTACCAGAAACAAACTACGACTACGACTCGGAGGCCGAGTGGGAGGAGCCCGAGGAGGGCGAGGACCTGGACTCGGAAGAAGAGGAGGACGGAAGCGAGGACGGTGAGGATGACATGGATGGCTTCCTAGACGATGACGACGACCAGTTGGTGGACGGAAAGCGGCGCCTCATCGTCGGGGACCTGGAACCAGTCAACACCGGTTTACGATGGCAGGAGCATGGCGTGGACCCGGAGCTGCAGGTGTACAAAATGGAGACCATTTCCGACTCGGTCACTTTCCCTATTGACCCGTTCTCCACCGCGTACTGGCAGAAACCGAGGGCCTCCGCGGCAGAGCCCACGCAGGCCGCTGCTGGTCCGGGGCGGCCGTCCATGCTCGATGCCTTCGTGGGCCAAGCCTCCTCTCACAGGAGTGGACAGGAAGGCGGCGCCGCGCTGGCCGTTGGGAGGACGAAGCGCCCGTTCCCGCCGGAGCAGCTGGCTGAGTTCAAGCAGGTGGTCGATGGCAGTGATCTGACCAAGATGGGACTGATTGAAATCTTGAAGAAACGGTAGGTAAAACTAAGACGTGGGCCCACATGGGGATGCTTGTTGGATCGGGAGGCTAATCACCCGGCTCGCGCTGCGATAGGTTCCCCAAGGTCTCGAAAGACATCTTAAAAGACACGCTGAACAGCGTGGCCACGCGCGTGGGACAGAAGGAGGCTGACAAAAAATGGGTCTGCAACAACAACTCTTAGTCGCCCACAGGGATTGGCTGTTGGCCCCTCAAGGACAACGCATACTATCTATCTAAGTATCTATCTACCAGGACTGGCTAGGGTTTTATTTCTTATCCACGGCGTTGAGGCGATCCATCGCAGGGTGTTTGGTGGGCCAATTGAGCGCATTGATTGGTTGCCAGTGGACGTGCACCCCCTCACTGTGCTTTGTTTATTTCTCTCGTCAGCCTCTCTTTTTCTTTTTTTTTCCCCTTTTCTCGTTCATTTTATTTTCTGTTCTTTTCGACGTCTGTCGTCATATCACTGTCTCCCTCCCATCTTCCCCACCAGCTTCACGAGATATCTGAGGGGGCGGCGAGTGATCTGATCGGAATGAAAGGTATCTGGAAGGCGATGCCGTGTTACTTACATGGAGGCCAGACCCCGACGGCTCCGGGTGCATACGGGATAATAGCATCTGTCTTGTCTGTTCACGTTCGCATGGCATGGCATGGCATGGTATGTCCGGAGGATTGGCCATAGAAGGGTGCAAATCCGAGGCGGTGCTGTTGTATACAGTATCTATTGTACATAAGTGTCAACGTACCAGCGAGGCAGATCACCAATCACAAATGTTCCTGATTCAAAATGCGGAAGGCGGGGAAATCCAGGGCGCCCCGACAAGCCGAATGCCAATCCCAACTAGACAAAACCCGGCGCAAGTGACAACTCAGCCAACGGAAGCGCCCCCTCCCTCCCCCTGACGTGACAAGCCAGATTGGCATTGGAACCCGGATCGAAGCGAATCGGGGAATCGGGGAGTACCTACCTACGAGGTACAAGGTGCGTCGGGAGGGATGAGAAACCGACGGCATCTAGACCCTGGGGGAGATGGGGCCGGGGGGGGAGGGGGCGCACTCGATGACATCTTGTCTAGTAGTATCCGGTACCCCGTAGATAGGTACTCCTCCTGCACCTGTCCCGGATGCAGCGCATAACCCATGTCCATGTCCATGTTCATGGGAGCTGAACGGGGCCACAGCGACCCGGACGAAGCTGAAGGAGACTCGAACTCAGGCCAGTCTTCAGTGTTCGGGTCATGCCTCGGAGCTAACCCCGGTTGGGACTAGGGCCGTCAAACTGGGCAGTGGCGGATGGACACGTGCAGGTGGGGTCTGCCGCCCGCCGGAAGGGGACTAGCGCCACGACTAACGCTGGCCGCTTGGGACGGGCGGGAGGTACCGTCAACTACTCCTCCGTACTTACTCTAACTACTTACTCTACTATGTCCTACTAATCCTCGGTCGGAAGATTCTCTGATCTCTGACATACAGTCAGCGCTTGCAGGCCCGTAATCGTTCCATACTTCCAGCTGATCCGTTGAACGAACGACGGGCGAGGGAGGAGGAGGATGATGCTGCTGCTGCTGCTGCTGATGATGATGATGATGGAGGGAGACCATCTGGCCAACGCAGTAAGGGGAGAAGGGAGGGGGGGGAGGGCGGCCAACAAATCAGTGGCTCCCGACGGAGGGTCCGTCATGCATGCATGCAGTGCCAGCACATCAAGATTTCAGAGTTGTTTCTTGCTCCCCTCTTTTCCTTCGTCGCGTCGTGGTCGTCCCTCCAGATCATCAGAGGATCGGTTCGGTTTGGTTTCTCATCGTCCCCCCCCTCCTCTCTCCGTCTGGACTCGACTCGACTCGAACTCGTCCCGTACCGCCGTTGGACGGATGGGTGGTCGGGTAATGAATGGATGGATGGTTGTGGTTGCGTTGCTGGGACGGACTGGGTTTGGCTTGGTTTGCTTTCGTGTCGCGACAGTGCAATAAGCTGTTGCGAACTGGCTATACCTCCCTCCTCCCCTGCTGGCCTCCCTTCCCTACCTATCACCGGTGAGAAGGAGGGTTGGAAGTCCCGTAGTATTTTGTGCACAATGCACACTGACTGACTGACTGACTGACTGACTGATTGATTGCCTGCCTGTCTGTCTGCCAGGTTTTTTCTATTTTCTTCTTCTTTTTTTTTTTTTACCCGCTCTGACTGGATCCGTTTGACCCTCCCATCGCGTGGTGTCGCTATCCTGGGTTCCTCACCTGGATCGATATAGTCTGTATATTATAGGGTCTAGTAGTCAGAAATCCGAAAATGTACCTGGTTTTTCCCCAGTCTGAGGTCATCCTGCTGGGGTGGGATGAAGAACGCCCAGTGGCCTAGTAGGACAGTAGTACCCAGCTAGGAACATAGTACGTTGTAGTAAGTTAGTACCTGCTCCCGCGGAGGTGGCAAGTAAGGTACCTGAGCTGAACCAGCTGCTTCTTGCTTGCTGCCTTCAGTTTTCGCCCTGCAGCTTCCTCGCGCCCTGCAAGTGGCCGCTTCGAGTCACCGCCAGCCAATGGCTTTTCGGAGGTTTGGCCCGCGCGTTGGTCGGCTGCTGACTTACTTTTTAGTACGAGTAGTAAGTCAGTACGTATTCTCCGCGCTGGTAATTTGGTAATTTGGTCTTTCAGCTCAAACAGGCAGTCACACAACACATTGGTTCCATTCGCTGGCATCAACTAGATACCTTACTATTGTGTACTTACTTACTTCCCTCCTACTACTACGACGACGACGACGACGACGACTAGATACTACTCCGTAGTACTTACACTACTTACTGCATGTCATCCCGTCTGCTCTCACTCTCTTTCTCTCTCTTCCTCTCTCCCTCTCCCTCTCTCACCCTCTCTTCTTAACCCCCCCCCCCCCTCCAAGCCAAGTCAGCCAGTTGTCCCTTCTTATCGTTCCGGATTAAGTCGGAGTTTATCAGCCTGTGAATCATCATCAAACTACTATTCTTATTATTCTTGCGATTATTCTGCGCTTTCTGGCTGTTGGCTAGACTACTGCCTGCCTACTGCCTGTGTACTTTGATTTTCTCCATTTATTTTCGCCATCCGCATAATCTCCCTCATTGTTATTATTCCTCCCCCTCTCATTAGTTCGTAGCCTCCCTCTCTCTCTCTCTCTCTCTCTCTCCCTCCCACAACCAACGCGACGCTCGACTCGACTCGACTCGTTCCCTCTTCAGCTTTCCCCCCTCCTCCTCCTTCCACACTTCCTTTTTTTTTTTTATTCTTATTATTCCTGCTCCCTCCCCCTCCTCTTCTCTGCTTCTTCTTCTTCTTTCTCTTCCTTCTCTGCCTCCTCCTATCAACCCCCCCCCACCTACTCCCTCTTATCGCCCGTCCTCTGCTCACCCTGGAGCACTCCACCGTGTCCGTCCTTCACCATCAACGTCTGGACTCTCCCCATGAGGACCGAGTGCCTTTTTCCACCGCTCCTTTAGGAGGGCCATGCGCTAGTGAGGGAGCTTCTGGCGCCGGGGGCATCTTGCGACCTCAACTGTCCTCGTCTTGCCCCAGTGGCCGGGACACTGCCCATGGCAACACCATGTTCGATGCCCAATCCGATGGTCTTTCATCCACCCTGGCTTATGTGACCTGTACGTGTGCGCACGGCTCTTTTTTCCAATTTTTATTCTTTGTTTTTTTTTTTTTTTTTGTTTTTGTTTTTACCTCTTTTGCCCTCTTTCGCCATCTTTGGCTCTTCTAGGGCCTCCTCGGGCGTCCCTTTCCATCCTAATTAATTGCCGAATGCCCCCTTTTATCACCCATCGATATTGGCTTGCCTCATCCGATCAATTCCTGCCCTTTCCTCAATAGTATACCTGCGCGTCCGACTCACCGCATGCTAACTGCTCGATTCCGTTCTCTCGCTTTCCAGACCCAGATCCTTCATCCACCCAGGCAACTGCACCATGTGAAGCCGCGCCTCCATCTGCGACCCCTAGCATGTCCCCCATGCTGTTCTCTGCCGACGCAATGGCGGGTCGCACCGTAGGTGAGTCCGGCGACGTGGATCACCCGATTTCGCGAATGGCAGCTCCCATCCGCTCCCAGGACGGACATTCCCAGGAAACCAACCGTCCCACCATGCCCACGGAGCAGCCCCAGGTATCCTTTGAGGAGTTGGCCGTTCGCTATCGTCAAAATCAACACAAACAGACCTCTCGGAAGAGACTGGAAAACCGTCTCCATGCCCTCAAGGTCTCCATGGGCGTCTCCGCGCGCTTGCTCCGCGTCGGATCCGTCGTCCAGCGCGGCTTGGTCGACCGACTCAAGCACGACGACAAGGTCAATTTCATTGCTCTCTACCATACCATGGCTGATCTTCAGGAATCGTGTGATTCCGCTTTCCGGCGCCACTTTCACCGGCAGGATCCGTTGGAAGAATGGTCGCCCATTCGCGAGTCCGCCGTGGACCATTCTCCGGACTTTTTCCTTCAATTGAGCCCCCAGTCCCGGACCGACCTGGTGGAAATCCTTCACTTAGTCCGTACCGACCCTCAATTCATTCTTGACAGGCTGTACAGCCTGGCCCCGGCCCAGCTCGCAGCACTGGTCTCATCCGCAGGCCCCTCAGGGGACCCCAGTGATATCTCGTTCCATTCGGCGTCACGTTCCCGGAATCCTTCCTCGTTTTCAAAGCGCGTCTCTGCTTCTACCCTCCCTTTCAAGGATCGCGTCTTGGCTTTTGAACGAACGGATGCCTTGTCTATTTTGCTCTTCAACGTTTATGCATCCCCTCTGGATTCTGATGCTCCTGAAGCACAGCTTCGCTTGGATGTTTGGTCTTCTGTCTGTGCAAAGCTCATCACCGATGGTGGCAGCAGATACTATCCCCTGATCGGCCAGATTCTGGGCTCCTGGGCCACAGGGAGTGATTGGAAAGCGAAGCCCAAGTTCGAGCTCTATCTGATGGACATCCTGCAAACGGGCGCTTTCCTCCTGGAGCATTTAGATACCCCTCCTGGAGTGAGTTTCGATGCGGATCCTCCAGACCCCTTGAAGACGGATGTGGCCGAGGAATTCTTCGCGTCCGCGGTAGATGCCTTGTTCCAGCTTTTGGATGACCCAGATGGAGGGTTTCCACATGCGGTGATGCAACTGGGCTGTGCCATCCTCCAGAAACTAGACCACCAGGATGGTCGTGACCGTTTCCTCGAGTTCTTGTTTGTTCAGTGGTTCTTCTCCAAGTTTCTCTATGGCGCACTGACCTACCCGGAGGTAAGAACTTCTCGCCGCAAGTGTTTGAATGCCTTGTCTAATATAGCACCCAGGCCCATGGTCTTCTGCTCGACTTCCATATCAGAAATGATGCCAGAGAGAAACTCCTCGGACAGGTCGGCCTCCGCGCGTACTCGCAAGTCTTCGCTGTTCTTCGTTCCATGTCAGTTTCCCCGCCCCTTTTGCCAACCAGAATTGTGCCAGTGAATACAGGCTTACCTTTTTCAGGCACCACGTTTACATGATCCGTCCCACAGTGAGGCAGCACGTTGAGAACATGCTCTGCAGATACAGAAGCGCGAACACCGGTGTTCAATCCTTTCCCCGCACGACATACACGACAGGACGAGAATCACCTGCTGCATTCCTCATGCTCTCTGCTGCTGACATTGTCGCCCTGCTGAACGCACTTTTCCCTAGATCGCCTGCTTCCGCTTGTAGCTCTCCGCTTTCGTCCTCGGGGATGCCCTCATCTCCTGTCAGTTCTTTGGCTGCTCGTTCAGACCGTTCCATAGCATCCATCCTTGAGCCTGGGTTTTTCAAGCCTGTGCCCGATCACAATGCTGCGCGTGTTCCCCACGTCCAGAGTCTCTTCCCCGCTGACATGGCTTTCCTGTCGCTACCGGAGAATTGTATGAGCCGCAATGCCGATAGGATCCGCTTTGAGCTGTCAGACCTGAGTGAGCCGGATGGCCGTACCACTCTGGAGCAACCCGCAGCGGAAGAATGGTCCATCTTCTCCATGTCACAGCGTGGGAAACGCCTGACCTGGGGCCTTTTTCCTGAGGATGGCCAGTTCAACTTCCCGGACACCGCCTCAGTGGATGACGCTCAGTCCACAACCTTGGGCATGGAGGACAACTTTGAGGCTCTTCAAACAGCCATCGTGAAGTTGATTCAAGACAATCCTGCTGATGATTGTGCAGAGTACGGCTTCACGGACCCCGATGCCTGTTCCGAGACAGGCAATACCTCCCTCAAACAACGGTTCGATAGGGCCATGGAACATTGCCATCATGACTCTGATTTCATCGGCGCTCATTACTGGTGGAATGCCGGCCGGCAGCTGCTTCGCAGCGTCGCAAGCTCGCAATCCCGACGCGCAGACGACTCGTGGATCCTTGAACCGATGCACGCCTCTTGTGTCCGCTCACTCGCCACGTCACGAGTGGTCATTGAACGATGTGAATCCGACTTTGTTGCCTTGAACAGACATGCGCAACGACTGCAAAGATCGATCAAGGAAATGATGACCACCGTGGCCAAGCTGCGAGACAAGATGTGGTACATGACCGACGTCCGGAACTCGATGCGGTACGAAGATGCCAAACACGTCGCGCTGGCCCTGAAGACCATGATCTATTCTGCTCGCCTTTACAAACAGGCCCCCAACGAAGGCCGCTCTCGCGGCAGTACGAGGTCATTCGGGAGCTCTCTCCTTCAGAAGCCAGAGCTGCAAGTCATGAACATCATGAAAGCGCCGAGCAGCCAGGGCGGCCCGAACAAACTTTCGGATGAGCAGGTGGATTTGATCCGCAAATGGCTCTCGCACAACAACATTGACAACTTCTGCAAAGGTGAAGAGCGAATCCATCGATTCTGCTATGAGGTCAAGGCCAGTATCAACCGGCTAGTTGGGGAGAGCATGGCAGAAACCCCCGTTTTGTGGGCCAGCGAATTGTATCATAAGGAGCGGGCCAAGTATGAGGGCTCCAGCAACCGGGGGCTTCTGAGCCTCTCCTCGAGCCTACGACCGTTCGGCGCCTCCAGCGAAGACTCTGCATACGCCTCGCAGGCGTATGGCAGCACTCGCCCATCAGACACCGCCTCGAAGTTCTCGCAGGATCTTCCGCCGTTGAATCGTAAATCATCCTTCCAGAGTGTGATTTCCGACAAGTGGAGAGTTCCTCGGGATCCTTCTATCGCGGATACGTCTTCAATCGGTGGCTCTCCGGGAAGGGCCGCCTCGACTACCACCGGCGACTCGTACAGCACCTTTTGGTCGACGCCCCAGCCTGCACATTATGCCCCCAGCACCTCCAGCTTCTACTCCCGACCCCCCTCGATGTTCGGTGACAATGGCGCCCCGCCGCCGCGTCGTAATGATCGCAAGACGCACGGCAAAGCAGCGTTCCTCGAAGACCTGAAACAGACGCTGACTAGCCTGCTTTTAAGTGACCTTGGCTCCCCAGTGTGGAGCTGTGGAAGTGAAACCGACGCCTGGTTCGAAAATGCGTTGGACCAGAAAAGGATCCAGACGCAGATGAAGAAGCGGGCTCGTATTCAGCGATTTTACACTCAGTGTGATGAGCGGCTCGTTCATCAGAGCATCCATCGCACTCCATCGGACCGTCGGCGAAGCAAATCCTTGGAGTCGTCCGAGCGGGCTACGCTCGGCGACGCCGAGACTCCATCCTCTGCGGCCGATACTGCGGGGGAGCCAAATGATGCATTGCAGTTCTCGTATGGATCGGTCTTCCGGCGCCTGATCGAGGTGTTCTCCCGGCACGGGAACCCCTTTGTCAAGTTGAAGGCGTTGCGAGACCTGCGGGCATTGGTCGTTGCTTCGTTGAACTCCGCCAACGAGGATACCTGCAAGTTCGATGCCACTGAGGAGACTACTCTCCCCCGCGGCCGTAACCCAGGGCTCCAGGGCAAGAGAAGCGCGCGCCACAGCTTCTCCGACTCCCAGGCCAAGCGGAGTCATAGCCACAACCTTCCTCACTCCCCTATCTCTCCTGCCGCCGAGTCGGTCATCTTTGACTCGCGGCCTTCCGATTACTGTGCGCCCACAGAGACGCAGATTGTGGATGCACTGCGTGACCTCCTGCTGGAGGTGAAGCCCAAGACCCTTTTCCGGGATCTACAGTTCATCTCCGCCTTTGTACCTGGGGAGACGCTAAACAAGACCGACAGCGGAACTGCGTTCTTGCAGTTTGGTTTGGCGGCGCTGAGTCTCAAGGATGAGATCTGCAACAGCATGGTCGAGATTGCCGACAACATCGTGTCGCAGGAGCTCAGCCGCCGTCATCCTCCCCCCGGCCACGACACCACTGCCCGGACCGGGCATGCCATTGAAGATGCCGCGGGCATGTGGATCATCACTGCCAAGGAAGGCAATCCAGTGGCCCAGCGCGAGCTGGCCATTCTCTACCTCACCCATCCCGAACTCCTGCCGCGCGTGACGCTGCCACTTACCCTCCTGCGAGACACATTCAAGGCGGAGATGATGTATCGCCGCGACAAGGATTCCAAGTCCGACCCGCAAAGCATGTGCCTGGCGCTGCACTGGATGCAGCTGTCGGCAAATGGCGGCGACGAGCTCGCGCGGAATCGGCTTCGCGAGCGGGAGGAGTTCGAGTCTATTGCATAATCTCTTTCTCATTCTCAGTTCGTTCTCAGTTCTATTCTTCTCATTCTTTTCTTCCGTTGCGAGCTCGTGCTTGTGATCTCTGTTTGACCTTCGACTTGACATTTTTAACTTTTTTTTTCTCTCTTCTTTTTGCCACTTATGACATTGATACCATTTACGACCTGGTGTTTCTGACCTTCGACTATGGTCTACTTACGCGACTAATCCTGGTGCAGACGTGCAAATCTTGATATCCCCCTTATGGATCTGGATGGACGGTGTTCTCGCCGGTTGCTCTTTGGTGTATTTTGCTACTATCTTACGGGATGTGCTTCATCTTTTATTTTTTCTTTTTCCTTTTTCATGGGAGCAGGGCCGGGTCATATGATTCCCCTATACACTTACACTTCTTTTGTGCTCGGGGCGGCATTCTGCTATTCGATCGATCACTTGTTCATCTACCATTTCCTTTTCTTGGGTGAGTTCTTTTGGGAAGGGGATGGGGCTCGTGGCGTTGTCTGTAGAGAGAGAGAGAGAGAGAGAGAGAGAGACTCAATACTGTTTAGCATATAAGATAGCATAGGCCCCGGGGAGCACACCCCGAGGCCCCGATCCACATAGGGCAGAATACAAGGGATCTATGCGATCGACTTCGATCGGGAGACTGAATTGTCTGGTCAGGTAGCAACGGGGAGAGAGAGTCGCTCATTGTTAGTACCTGAAGAAGGGCGCGACGTCATCGGCCGGGCAGCCCCACGTGCCCGTCAGTTGCCAGTTCAGATGCAACTTTCCACTTTCTTCTCTCTTCCAACAATCAACACCTGCTCTTCGGGTCTCGCGACATTCCCCCCCTTTTTTTGACCGTTTCCTCGGACGTGCCGAGAAAGGCGATCGAATCAAGCCACCGGGGATCACCAGATCAGGCCGAACCCAACCCCGTCACCACCACTGAGCAACCGTGCCACCGCCCTCATTTGTCCAGTCCCAGGGAGAGGCTGAGACCCCCCGCCAAACCCATCCTCGATCACTTCCACAGCCTCAGCCGTTGTGTTGTGTTGTGTTGTGCTTGCTTTTGCAGCTGACGTCCTCATTACGGGTTCGCATCTGCAGCCTGGCATTTGATTTTCCTCCCTCCTCTCTCCCCGCCTCTTTTTTTTCTCCCTCGCCCCCATCAACCCTCTTTTCTCCCTATTCTCCTCCACGTTTCTTTCTCCCATACACATTCTTGCTCTCTTGCCCCTTTCTCATGATCATGGCTTGCAACATGGAAGATACGCAGAGAAGACCCAAGGGTAAGCAAGCCCCCCCCAGCCCCTCACCACCGCTGGGCAACGACCCCGCTCGCCCATTCATGCTAAGGCGACCGCAGGGATCCTCAAGAACTCCAGCTCGCAGGTTCCCCAGGTCGCACAGGCCCACGAGACCGTGACTATCCCGGAGGTTTCGACCGACTCCGTGGACACCAAGGAGCTTACGCTTCAAAACACCCTCCAGAATGCCGGCCGCCGTCGCTCCCTCTCCAACACCCGTCCCGGGTCCTCGTCCCGACGCCAGTCGCTCGCGCACATCCACGGCCAGCCCGACGACAGCTCCCCGCGGCTGAAGTGGGACGAGGCCAACCTATACCTGACTGAACAGGAAAAGACCGCGAAGATGAAGATCGACGAGCCCAAGACCCCGTACGCGCCCCAGTACAATCCCGCGGAGGATGAGGAGGAAGAGCTCGCGGGCGAGGACAGCCTGATTGATGCGCAGGGAGTGGTGGTGGACGAACTGGACCAGACGCAGAAGGCATCCCGCAAGGGGATGGCGGAGGACGATATCCCGGAGCTGGAGCTGGGCGAGCCCGAGGAGGCGATGAACACAGACACGCACATGACGGGCGGGGATCGGATCGTGCGCGAACGGAGCCTGAGCAATGACTCCCACCGGAGCGCGAAGCATGTCGTGGTGGGGGCCAGCGAGGCGAACGGCGATCCCGAGTCCCACGGCGACACGCTGATGACGGCGGGCGAGGCCGAGGCGAAGCACCGACAGTTCGAGCAGCATCGCAAGAAGCATTATGAGATGCGCAACATCAAGGAACTCCTCGCGTAAGTTCCTTCCCCCCCCCATTCCCTTTGGGTAAACCCGACCAGGGATCATGTGTACTGACCGACCAGATCCAGCCACCCCGAAGACGAACTGGACGAGATGGATGAGGACGAGGACGAGGACGAGAATACGGCGCCGCAGGTGCCACCGGCGGTGCCCCAGATCCCGGAGCGGTTTGTGAACGGCGGTCAGTGAAGCGACGGGGTCTACAGGGGGTGGACTACGAAGACGGAAGACGGAAGACGGAAGATGGAAGACGGAAGACTTGCGCATTGCTTGATTGACTGACCCCCAAGCGGTCTAACTGTATATTCCCCAGCGTTCTATGTATGTATCGGACGTATCTCTTTCTCCGCGTTTGTTTCTGACGCTTGTTCCCTGGTTAAGCCACCGGAGGGATGCTGGCCGGGTCATGCACCAAGTACCTGATGCAGGCTGCAGCGCTGCAGGGGACTGACACTGACTGACTGACTCGTCATCGCCCGACGCCAGACCGATGCCTATCTAGGCCCAGACCGTAGAAGGCAAATAAAAAGTAAAAATAGCACAGGATAGAGCACACGACCAAAGTACCAGCCTCGTCAGCCCACCTGTACTCCGTATCTGTGTATCTGTCTCCTCTGTAAGACTTGCTGCCCGGGCAGTGGCAGGGACGCGCAGCGGTGCCTTGCATCGGGCCAAGTGACTCGTCACACTCGGGCATCGCTGCCACATCCATCGGGGCAGATGGGCAGATGGGCAGATGGGCAGATGGGGAGATGGGGAGATGCAGCGATGGAATCAATCCCAAAGGCTGAAACTGAAACGCCCTTGCAGGACGAGTCAAATTAAGGAGGCTGGACCTGTTCGGTTATCAATCTCTCTCTGTCTGTCTGTATCTCGCAAATAGTTTCAGGTTGACGCCCCGACAAATTAGCGGCCGTCGAGTCGCAAATTAACCTGCCGGTTGTTTTTGTTCTGTTGCGCCGCCTCGTCGCCTCGTCGCCTCGTCGCCTCGCTGTCTCCTTCTTTCTCTCTCTCTTTCTCCCTCTCCCTCCCTCCCTCTCCCTTTCTTCCCCCTGGTCATTCATCGCATCACGTCCTCCCCCTCTTCCCGTTCCGGTGCCCACGTTCCTCTCCTGCTCCATTTCCCTCGCTTTCTCTCCCCCTCCCCCATCATGGCCGACCAGCCAGAGAAGACAGCTGCTGCTCCTGCTGCCCCCGAGGCGCAACCTGCCACCACCCCCGTCGCTGTTCCCGAGCCTGCGGTCTCCGAGCCTCAGCCGGAACCCAAGGCGGATAAAGAGGACCAACCCTCCGTGGAGGCTGAGCCGGCCTCCACTGCTACCACCGAACCGACCGTTGCTCCCACGGAAGCTCCCGTCACGGAGTCCGCTCCCGTGACCACCCAGGAACAACCCCAGCAGGAGGAGGTAAAGGAGGAAAAGGAAGAAGAAAAGAAGGAGGAGGAGGAGAAGCCCGCCCAGCCGGAATATCTGGCCAAGAATCCGGCCCTGAGCCAGTTCTTCGACCGTCTGCCTTCCATCCTCTCGGCCACCAGCTACAATGAGATGTGGGGGGTCTCCCTCAAGGACTCCAGCGATGTCCCCACCGTCAACGTGCTCATCAAGTTCCTGCGCGCCAACGAGGGCAACGTCAAGCTGGCTGAGGAGCAGCTGACCAAGGCCCTGCAGTGGCGCAAGGAGATGAACCCCATCGCCCTGGCCGACGGCCACTACAGCGCCGAGAAGTTCGGGGGCCTGGGCTACGTGACCAAGTACCCCGAGGCGAATGGCAAGGAGGTCATCACGACCTGGAACATCTACGGCAGCGTCAAGAACGTGGAGGCCACCTTTGGCGACTCGGATGAGTAAGTGGCTGCCATTCCCACACGCATTGAGTACTGTGAGTGTTAGCTGACCCCAGACAGGTTCATCAAGTGGCGTGTCGCGCTGATGGAGCTGGCGATCAAGGACCTGAAGCTCGGCGAGGCGACCGTCGTCATCGACTACGACGGCGAGGACCCCTATCAGATGCTGCAGGTCCACGACTACCTGAACGTCAGCTTCCTGCGCCTGAACCCCACCATCCGCGCCGCCACCAAGAAGACCATCGAGGTCTTCGCCACCGCCTACCCGGAGCTGCTGCGCGAGAAGTTCTTCGTCAACGTCCCCACCATCATGGGCTGGATGTTCGCCGCCATGAAGGTCTTCCTCAGCAAGAACACCACCCGCAAGTTCCACCCCATCTCCAACGGCGCCAACCTGGCCCGCGAGTTCCCGTCGTTCAAGGACCAGTTCCCCAAGCCTTACGGCGGTAACGGTCCCGCCCTGCAGGACGGCGCCTGGACCGTCAAGCTTGACCAGGCGGAGCCCGCTGCCCCGGCTGAGGCTGAGACGGCTGAGACTGAGGCTGCGGCTGCGGCTGCGGCTGCCGTAGAGGCCCCTGCTGTCCCTGTTGTGGCTGTAGAGGCCCCGGAGGAGGAGACGGCCCCAGTCGAGGCCGAGGAGCCCAAAGAGGAAGCCAAGGAGAAAGCTCAAGAAGAATCCAAGGAGGAGCCCGCCAAGGCCGAAACGGCACAGGAGGCGCCGGTCGCGACGGAGGTCAAATAGACACGAATGTGACGGGAGAATGGTAATGGATGGATTGGATGGATTGATACCCGGGGGAATCGGTAGAATGATTCCATGTCGTTTTGCGTACTTGATACCTCAGACTCAAAATAGTCAGCTGTTGCTTTGGTGCACTGGATAGCGGATAGTAATATTTAATGGGCGACGAATGTGTTAGAAGGTGACTCTGGACCCTGTCTGTAGGCGATGTGCATCGATCGTACGGTCAAATACATATGCTGTGTCTGTGTTGTCCTCAGGCAGCCTGCCCCTGATGAGTCAGCCGCCACGCCTCCCCGCCTGGGCGAATCAAAGCGGGCTGTGTGTGTTGCCTGCTCAGGCAAGGGAGGCCCATTGGATTGGGTGCCGGGGAGACCATCCATGATCCTTCTGTCTGTCTTGAGCCTTGTCGTCGTTGTGAACTGCCTGCCTCTGCCAATTGTCTCCCCCAGCATGTCGGCTCCCCAGATCGGGATTGGCCCGTGGAGAACCTCCGCCCAGGGCCATTTGACTCGCGATGCCAACGGGGATCTCAAGACCGACTACTCGCGCTGGCGACTGAGGGATGATCGCGGCCGTCAGACCTGGCATTACCTCGAGTCCGACGAGGAGAACGAGAATTGGCCCCAGACGGTCGCCGACAAGTACTTCCTGGGTCTGCCTACGGTAAGTTGATGGCCGATATGATATAGCCTCTCTCTCCGCTCGCCTCTGCTCTGCTCTGACCTCAATTGACTAGGAATTGCCGGAGCTCCCAACCCCCAAGTCTCCCCTGCAGAGTGCGGAGAATGGCCTGGAGTTCTTCTCCAAGCTGCAGCTGGAACCGGGCAATTGGGCGTGCGAGTATGGCGGTCCCATGTTTCTGCTCCCCGTGTTGATCATCACTTACTACGTGACCAACACGCCCATCCCCCCGAGTATGCCACCGAGATCAAGCGGTATCTCTTCGCCCGGCAGCATCCCGACGACGGCGGCTGGGGGCTGCACATTGAGGCCCATAGCTCCGTCTTCGGCACCTCTCTCAACTACGTCGTCCTCCGTCTCGTCGGGGTCGGGGAGGACGACCCTCGCATGATCAAGGCCCGCGGACTGCTGCACAAGTTCGGCGGTGCCATCTACGGGCCCCATTGGGCCAAGTTCCTACTCGCGATCCTGGGTGTGATGGAGTGGGAGGGCGTCAATCCGGTGCCTCCGGAGACCTGGTCTGTTGGCTGAGATCCCCCGGGGTATTGTGCTTCAGTGCTGACGGTATTCGCAGGCTACTTCCGGACTGGGTGCCCTTTGCCCCCTGGCGGTGGTGGATTCACATCCGCCAGGTGTTCCTGCCCATGTCCTACTTGTGGTCCAAGAGATTCTCGCATCCCTTGGACCCCCTCACCAAGCAGCTGCGGCAGGAGCTGTATACCCAGCCCTATGACTCGATTGACTTTGCTAGCCATCGCAACTCCATCCACAAAGCCGACAACTACTACCCCAAGACCTGGCTGCTCAACACCCTGAACTTCCTCATCGTCAACATCTGGAACCCGTTCCTCCGCATTCCCGCCATCGTCCGTCGCGCGGAAGAATGGACGTGGGAGCTGATCCGCATGGAGGACGAGAATACCGACTATGCGGGCCTGGGCCCCGTGAGCAACCCGCTCAACATGATCGCCTGCTACCACCACGATGGGCCCGACAGTCACTCGGTCCGCCGCCATCGGGACCGCTTGCACGACTACATGTGGATCAAGGACGAGGGCATGCTCATGAACGGGACCAACGGCGTCCAGGTCTGGGACACGGCGTTCATCACGCAGTCCATCGTGGTGGCCGGCCTCGCGGATGACCCGAAGTGGCGGCCGATGCTCACGAAAGCGTTGGAATTCCTGGAAGACCATCAGCTGCGCGAGAACGTGCCCGATCAGGACAAATGCTACCGACAACACCGCAAGGGCGCGTGGCCGTTCAGCAACAAGACACAGGGATACACAGTCAGTGACTGCACGGCGGAGGGACTGCGGTCGACGATCCAGCTGCAGGAGATGCACCACTTCCCGCAACTGATCTCGCCCGAGCGACTGAAGGACAGCGTCGACTGCCTGCTGCTGATGCAGAACCCCTCCGGCGGGTTCACGGAGTACGAGACCACGCGCGCCTCCGAGAAGGTCGAATGGCTCAACGCGGCGGAGGTCTTCGGCGGCATCATGATCGGCTACGACTATCCCGAATGCACGACCGCCTCCGTCACCGCGCTGTCCTTGTTCAGCAAGTACTATCCGAACTACCGCGCCGCGGAGATCAAGGCCGCCAAGGAGAAAGCCGTCCGGTATATCAAGCGCGTGCAACGTCCGGACGGCAGCTGGTACGGGTCGTGGGGGATCTGCTTCACGTACGCGGCCATGTTCGCGCTGGAGAGTCTCGCCAGCATCGGGGAGACGTACGAGACCAGCCCCGACTCGCGCCGCGGATGCGACTTCCTCCTGTCCAAGCAGAAAGAAGACGGCGGCTGGGGTGAGTCCTACCTCAGCAGCGAGAAGCACTACTACGTCCAGCACGAGCAGTCGCAGGTCGTCCAAACCGCCTGGGCCGCTCTCGCCCTGATGGAGGCCGACTATCCCAACGCTGAACCCCTGCGCAAGGCCATGAAGCTGCTCATGTCCCGCCAGCAGCCCAACGGCGAGTGGCTCCAGGAGTCGATCGAGGGAGTCTTCAACCAGTCTTGGTGAGTACAGTACTCCTAACCGTCACATCCATCCATCCATCCATCCATCCCCTTTCAGTCAACAACGAGCGAGACTGACTATTTAAACAAACAGCATGATCTCCTACCCGAACTACAAACTCTATTGGCCGATCCGCGCATTGGGTCTGTATGCGCGCAAGTTCGGTAACGAGGACCTGGCCTAGTGGTTTGTCTGACGATAGAAGAAAAATGGGCAGCATCCACTGTCAAAGGGATCAACCTCATGCATGATTTCTTGAGTGTGTCGATCGACCCCCGACAGAGCAATGGTCACAATCCGTCTGTAAAGCTGTTGCCTGGCGCCGCTTGGAGAAGGGAAGAACAAGAAAGAAAAAAGAACTTTCCACCTCTATCCGACAAAGTATTTTTCCACGGACACTGACTGAGACACTCCCGAATCCTGTCGAAGCATGCAACTGCCATACCAAAGACAGAGATCAACAGTGACAAGGCGAATACCCCCCACTACCACTCCTGCACTTACCTTGTACTTGCGTACTTGTACTTGTACTCTTTAATATGTATTACTTACTGAGATCTTTTTTTTCATTCAATGTACTAATTACTTACCTCCTCACCCCCTTTGTTGCTCTTTGTACTGTTTGTCTTGCTTGCATGTCACGTGGCGGGGGACTCCCCGCCATTCCGTCCAGAAGCCGATGGAATCTCGACTCGACAACTTCACCTTCAACTCGGAATCGTCCCTCTTCTTGGTATAAGTAGACCGACGCGTTCGCTGCTTTTCTGGTCCTGTTTTGTCAGACTGATTTTATCGATCGGTTTCTTCTGTCTTCTCTGGTCGGTTACTGAACTAGATGCCTGCTACCTCATTTACAGCTCATACTTACCAGCTACAGCTATAGCTACAGCTACACAACTAACCACCAACCCACCAATCTATCTACCCACCTATCTCCCAACCACACACACACACCACCCACCAAACCCAGACAAAATGAACGCCGCCACCCTCGGCGACGCCGCCCTCAGCGCATCCTCCTACCCCACGGCAGTCCTGCACTTCACCACCGCCCTAATCGCCCACCCCCGCTCCCCGGCCTACTACACAAAACGCAGCACGGCATTCTCGCGCCTCAAGCCCCCAAACTACGATGCCGCGCTGCGCGACGCCGATGTTGCCGTCCTGCTGGCCCTGGAGCGCGGGAAGCGCGAGCTCGTCCTGGCCGCGCAGATGAGACGCGGCATTGCGCTGTTCCAGCTGGGACGGTGGGGCGATGCAGCGTTTGTGTTTGGGTCGGTCGAGGCGAAGGTGAATGCTGACAAGGGGGCTGGGGCTGGGGAGGATAAGGGGGAGCAAGTGAGGAGTGCGATGGCCGGGGCGGGGAAGAAGGGGTTGGAGGTTGAGGTGGGGGTTTGGATGGCGCAGGTGAAGACGCAGTTGAAGGGGCTGGAGGACGGGGATGTCAGGGGGTTGGTTACGGTGGGGGAGGTGCCCGTTGGGGTTAAGGTGCCGGAGGTGGAGGAGTTGAGGGCCCAGTTGGAGGTTGTGAAGAGTGGGGGGAGGGTGGGAGGGGCTGGAGGTGAGGGTGAGGGTGAGGGAAAGAAGGTTGAGGAGGTGAAGGATGAGAAGGAGGAAGTGAAGGAGGTCAAGAAGGAACAGGAGGGCAAGAAGGTTGTCGAGAAGGTCCGCCATGAGTGGTATCAGTCTGGCGAGTCTGTCGTGGTTACGCTGTATGTGAAGGGCGTGGCTAAGGATAAGGTCGATGTTGATCTGAAGAGTGAATCGGTATGTGCACACAGGCTTGCTTTGGGTCTTTGGTTTTTCCGTTCTCAGTGTTGTGTTGTGTTCTATGTGCCATCCGAGCTAACATGCAGCTGCGATCCAGGTCTCCGTGCAATTCCCTCTCCCCTCTGGCGCCGACTACGACTTCACCCTCGACCCGCTGTTCGCCTCCATCGACCCCTCCTCCTCCAAGGTCTCCGTCATGTCCACCAAGGTCGAGATCGTCCTGCGCAAGCACTCCACCGGCCAGAAATGGAGCGCCCTTGAGACCCTCCCCACCGATATCAAAGTCTCTGATCGCCAATCTGCCCTCGGTGCAACTCCCCCCGCCACCACCACTGCAGCTACAGCTGCGCCCACAGGCCCCGCATACCCAACCTCGTCGCGCCACGGCGTGAAAGACTGGGACAAGCTCGCCTCCGACCTGACGGCGAAGAAGAAGAAATCCGAGTCGAAAGACAAGAAAAAGGATGGTGGTGAGGAGGGTGAAGATGATGATGATGATGGCAACGTATCCGATCACGACGGCGCGGACCCCGTCGACTCCTTCTTCAAGAAACTCTATGCTGACGCTGACCCGGATACTCGCCGCGCTATGATCAAGAGCTATACCGAGAGCCAGGGTACTTCGCTCAGCACGAACTGGGATGAGGTTGGTCAGGGCCCGGTTAAGGTTCAACCGCCGAGCAAGTAAGCGCTACCGTTACTCTTGTTTCTGTGGCTGGTGCTGCTGCTTTGGATAGCGAGTCGGCATGTTTGAGGCGTGGGTGGAATGGAGTTCTGGTGGGTGCATGGGCGGTATTTCTTATTAATTAGCCTTGCTTGCTTTTGCTTTTGCTTTTGCTGTTTTGTTTGGCTTTATTTGATTTTTGTATGATTCAAGTTAATTTGGTTAGGTTGTGTTGTTTGTTACTCTGAGTCGATGCTTCGTCCTCCCTCGTAGTGGCTGGCCTAAGCGGGTGTTTGCTGGATTCATGAAACATGGGTCTTTCTTTATGAGAGTAGGTAGGTGGTACTCAATCCAATAGAGGGTACGAATACCAATCAATACTATGGAAAACAAAATAGAAATTGATTGATATTGATCTTGATCTTGATCTTGATGATGAATGAGGAGGGCAGACTTGTTTATCTATCTATCTATCTACTTATAGCCAGTTATCCGCTTGGATTAAATGGAAAATCAGTCGGTATCCGATAGCCCTAAAAAAAAAAAAAAAAAAAAAAAAAAAGGAAATACTAACAAAAAAAATTTTTTTCCAAAAGTCAAACCCTATCTATCTATCGTAGATCTCATGTAGGAAGGACCATGAAGGGTTTGGTTTGTCTGAAATGGTTCCTGCACATGGTTGGAATATCTTTTCGGGTTCTGCACCGCTATTGCTGGGCAGCTGAAGCAGCAGTTTTCATCCGAGGACTAGGTGGTCCTGGTGGCAGATGGGAAGGTAAGAAAAGTATCGGTATGAGAATTCTTAAGATATGTACAAGCAAGCAAGATAACTCCTAAAGCCAAAGCCAGGCCTAAGCTAACCACAACACCGGTAGATCGAAACATGCTTTTATGAAGCCAATGTCTTCCACCAACTCCTTTTAGTCCCGCGTCTGTGGGGATGGATGAATGAAATAAAAAGAAAGAAAGAGAAGAAAGAAAAGTAAAAAAATAAAAATAAAAAAAAATAAAGACAGGGAAGAGGACTGGAGACGAGATAGACTAGCCCCGCAGACTCTCATCCGTCTCGTCGTCTCCCGCCCCGTTGCTATCCTGATACACGAAGAATTGAACGAAGATGCACATGTCCAGCAACAGCGTGCCAAAGCTTCCGATCAACCAGGATAGATTCACCAGGATGTACCGCCCGTACAGCGCTGCCAGCTCATCGGACCGGCATCGTCCATGGCGCGATGAGCTGTTCGCGCAGACGGGCGAATACGCCAGGATGGAGAGCACGTACGTCAGGTTCCCGATGCAGGCAAAGAGGAAGAAGAGCAGAGATACCCCCTCGGTGGACTTGCGGCGGTAGTTGAGCAGGATCTGCGGCAGCCGCGATCCTAGGTACAGCACCGCGCAGAGGTAGCCGAACACTTGGCCCAGGGGGTCCATGGTCAGGTTCTGGGGCGTGTCACTGCTGCCACCGTCGCCCTTGATATGGGTCGATCGCTGGCTGATGTACCAGCCTAGGATACCTGCAGCGCAGACGAGGATGATCGCGGAGCCGTTGAAGAGGATGGATTGGAGCATTGTAAGGCTCCGAGGCGGTCGGGGTTCCTTGGCGGACTCAATGAAGGGCGTTGCGGGAGAGAGATGGGTGCCGTCGACGGAGGGATGGAGGAAGGAGGAGGCGGAGTGCCGACGCTGGGAGAGGAGGGGTGGGGCCGTGATAGTTGCGGAGGATGCTGGGCTAGGGCCGCCGAAGTGGTTGTAGTGGACGGCCTCGTACTGCGGACCGCGCTGGTTGGACAGCAGCGACGACTGCTCGGATGGTTTGCGAGGCACGACTGGAGACGGAATCTCCGTGTCGTCGTCGTACGATTCTTCGGCAGGACTGGGCGAGGAGGCTCGCAGCGGCGGGGATGGCTCGTCGCGCAGGGTGAAGCCCCGGTAGTAGAAGCATTGTCCGAGGAGAACGACGTCGGCCAGCGTGTAGTAGACGGCGAGGATCAGCATGGTGGGCAGGACGCCCTGCAGGACGGCGCCCAGGATGTTGAAGACATCGCCGGCGAGCCAGACGATCAGGAAGAGCAGGGATAGGCCATCGGCGGAGCCACGACGGAAGTTTTCAATGATCTGCGGGGAAAAGACCACCACCCAGCACGCAATTGAGATGGATCTAGAGGTTGGAGGTCAGGATAGTGTGTTTGGGATGTGATTGATGGCTGTGGCCTACATACCCACATATGCCACTCAGAGCTTCTAGATCTAGATTGCCGGTCAGTGCGGGAAACATGTCTAGCCAGTGCGGAATGAGAGAGCAGATCGGGACGAGACTCCCAATTGCACTCTGCTCTATATGTCTGTCTGTCTGTCTGTCATGGGGGAGGGGAGAAGAAGAAGGGAAACAATGACGTCCGCAGAGTCTGCCGAGGAGGGCACGGGTCACGTGGGGCGATCCGGGGTAGCTGCTACTATAGTACTACTAGTAACTAGCTCGCCCTGGGCCCCTGCTTAGCAGTTAGCCCCCCTACACTCTTGGGATCTATCACTCCTTGGTGTTCCTTCCCTTGGGACTTTGGGTTCTAATATTTCAAGAGTCTTGAGATGGAGCAGCCCACCAGCCACCCTTTGAATGCCACAGCCGGTCATGTGATCCGCTGACTAACCCCCCTGACGTCGGCGATGAATGCGCCCCGCCCAGCCAGCCAAGCCAGCCAGAGCCGACATCCTCCCTCTCTCGACCATGTAGATAGCCTCAATGACTGCTCCATCCATCCGCATCCCCTTCACTGGCCCGCTGCCCCCACCAATTATCGTCCCTCCGTCCGCGCGCACGATTGCCGGTGCCATTGATGCGCTCCGCGCCTTCCTGACAGCCCCTCCGTCCCCCTACCTGCGTGGCGTCGACGTTGGCCGACATTCGCAGACGGTGCTCCTGACGGGCGCTGGCATCTCCGTCGCGTCGGGCCTGTCCGACTACCGCGGTGAGAACGGTACCTACGTGACGAACAAGACGTATCGCCCGATCTACTACCACGAGTTCGTCGCTCGCCATGAGTTCCGCAAGCGGTACTGGGCTCGGAGCTTTGTCGGATGGCCGGGACTCCTCAAAGCAAAGCCAAACTCGACCCACTGGTCTATCAGAGACATCGGCGCCAAAGGCTACATCAGCTCCGTCGTGACGCAGAATGTCGACTCCTTCCATTCCACCGCCCACCCCGAGCTACCCACGCTTGAACTCCATGGCTACTTGAGGTCCGTGGTCTGCATCAGCTGCCGGAACCAGTTTCCCCGCAAGGAATTCCAGCAATCGCTCGAGAAGCTCAACCCGGCCTGGGCGGAGTTCGTGAAGAAGATGGTCGACATCGGGGCGCTGGATACGGATCACCCCGAGGAACAGCGACGGAGAGGCTTGAAGGTCAACCCCGATGGCGACGTAGATGTGCCTGAGGCGCCGTATTCTACCTTCAGGTATCCGGCATGCCCGACCTGCTTGGAAAACCCACCTCCACTGCAGGACGGCACCCCCGGCCGAGTGGAGGTAGAGAAGGATGGGGCCTGGCTTCCTACTTCCACGGCTGGGATCTTGAAACCGGCGGTTATCATGTTTGGAGAGAACATCGATGCGAGGGTGAAGGAGGGGGCAGAAGAGGCCATCGACGACGCGGGCAGGCTCCTGATCCTGGGAAGCAGCCTGGCCACGTTTTCGGCCTGGCGGTTAGTGGAACGGGCGCATAAGAGAGGGATGCCAATCGGGATCATCAACATTGGTGGGGTGAGAAACGAGTCGGTCCTCTTTGGACAGGTCGAGCCGGAGAGCAGTGGCGCATACCAGCATGTCCGTTGCAGCCTTCCTTCCCAGGAGATCCTCGGCCCCTTGGCAGCCCAACTTCCCTCTCTTGGTCACTGAATGGATGGAATTAGGGGGGGGGGGGGGCATGTATATTTATTACATAGAAGCGCAGTCGAAGCGCCGTGTAGGAATGATAGATTGGATTGTTGCAGATGTCTAGACGCCGTTGGATGATAACAAGTCGAGGGTGGATACTGCCACGGCCACGGCCAGTCAAGTTGGCCAGCCGCCTTTTCCGCCCTGTCGGGACCCAGCGCGGGGCTCTGCATCGCCCCCCCTCCCGTCCCGTTCAAGACTGCCAGACTGCCAGACTGCGTCGGGTCATGGACTGTCGCGACGCCTTAAATCCTCGCTCGACCGTGCAGCACTACCTCAATCTCATCCCTTCGCTCGTCTCGCCCAACTCCTTTCTCAACCTCCCTGTCCCGCCGCGTACTTCCCTCCCTGCGCAAACGCCCTCGCCCTCCACCTCCACCTCCACCACCATGGACAAACAGCAACCTAGCTCCTTCCAGCAGCTGGAAAAGGTGCCCCCTCCACTCTGCCATACAATAAATATACTCCCCGCGATGCTAACTATGTCGGTTACTTCTAGCTCGGAGAGGGCACCTATGCCACCGTACGAACCTCTTCCCCTTCCCCCCCCACGGAGTCTCCATGACCGTACGTACATTACGGCCCATAGACTGACACCCACCACAGGTGTTCAAAGGGCGTAATCGCCAGACGGGCGAACTGGTCGCGCTGAAGGAGATCCACCTCGATTCCGAAGAAGGAACGCCATCCACCGCCATCCGCGAGATCTCGCTAATGAAGGAGCTCAAGCACGAGAGCATTGTCTCGCTTTACGATGTCATTCACACGGAAAACAAGCTGATGCTGGTCTTTGAATTCATGGACAAGGATCTGAAGAAGTACATGGACACCCGCGGGGATCGGGGTCAGTTGGACCAGGCCACCATCAAATCCTTCATGCATCAACTCCTCAAGGGCATTGCCTTCTGCCATGAGAATCGGGTCCTTCACCGCGATCTGAAGCCCCAGAATCTCCTCATCAACAAGAAGGGACAGCTGAAACTGGGGGATTTCGGTCTGGCCCGCGCCTTTGGCATCCCTGTCAACACGTTCTCCAACGAGGTGGTGACCTTGTGGTACCGCGCTCCCGATGTGCTCCTGGGTAGCCGGACATACAACACCAGCATTGACATCTGGTCGGCGGGATGTATCATGGCCGAACTCTACACGGGTCGCCCGCTGTTCCCCGGAACCACTAACGAGGACCAGCTCATGAAGATCTTCCGTCTAATGGGCACGCCGTCAGAGCGCTCGTGGCCGGGCATCTCCCAGCTGCCGGAGTACAAGCCGAATTTCCATGTGTATGCGACGCAGGATCTTGGCCTGATCCTCCCCCAGATCGATAGCCTTGGTCTGGATCTTCTGAATCGGATGCTCCAGCTGCGACCCGAGATGCGCATCAGTGCCCATGATGCACTGCAGCACCCGTGGTTCCACGACCTGCCGCAACTCCAGGCGCAGCTGCAGCAACAGCACCAGCAACAGATGGCTGGGGCGTATGGCGGAATGGTTCCCCCGCAGCAGGCATATTAAGCCGGCACGCTTCTCTCTTTTTTCCTTTCCTTTCCTTTTTTTCTTCGTCTTTTCTTCTTCGAGCACTGTTTTTTTTATGTATAGCCTGTCTTCTGCCCTGGCATTTCGTTAACTGCTCCTTTCGGTGGAAGGACATGACGAGCAACGGATTCGGTTTTAGAATGGGGAGAGCGCGGCGTTTGACTCCAAGAAGGACATCGAGATAATCTGGCTTCCTGTTTCTTTCAGTACATCTTGAGTTATGCGAGAGGATCATTGGCATTTCATAAATACAAGTTGGACATTCTATTATGCATCACTCGCCGTTCCGCGGTATTCTGTGCGCTGCTCCGTCCTTGAGCATAAGACCAGAAGTGAATAATGATCTTACAACCCTCTCAGGTGAACAGCCCTGGCTTCCACCAGGAAATGAATATCAGTAATCCCTGCTCCACGTCCATCATCCAGTGCTCCTACTTGTCCGCTTTAGAGGCAGTCCCCTTGATGCTGTAGCTTGACACTCTCGAATTCGGTTCGGGAATGTTTGGTATATCCTGTCTCAATTCTGTCCAAGTTGATCACTCTCGCATCTCTGATGACAGATCTTCCTGGTAATTGACACAGGCAAGACGGAAATCACGGCGGTGATTGATCAGAGGTGAAGCTCAGGCTGTCCCTTAACACAAACTGCAAATATCCACCAGATTGAACAGCTTAACCACCCCCCGATCTATACCGATCACGTGACGCACGCGTTCCCCGTCGCGCGCCTCCCATCCGACCCATACATAGATGACCCGGTCCGTCCATACAACACTCTTTCCAACAACCAACCCCCGCAACCCCCAAAACACCCCCTCCTCCCACCACTCCCATCCCCAACACCAACGCAAACCACACAACCAACCCACAATGTCCGAAGATCCCACCACCACCACCCACCAACGACCCGCGGCCTCCCCTTCCCCGCCCCTCCGGCCCCAGTCCCCCAAACCCCCGGCCCACGCGCCTCCAAGCTCCAAGAAATCTTCGACAAGGCGCTCCTCCGCACCCTGCGCGCAAACTCCTACGCGAACTTCTCCGGCTGTTTCCCGACCCCCGCGAAATACGTCCCCGCTAGTCTGGAGAGCGTGTGGAGACAGTTGAATGCGAAGTTGGAGGAGAGCGCGAAGGCCGAGTTCGAGGATATTCTGACGGAGAGGGATGCGGTCACGCAGTTGAATGAGTTGGATCGGCTGGTTGGTGAGGCCAGGTATCGCAGGGATCATGGGGAGGGGGAGGAGACTGTTGCGTATGTATTTTGTGTTCCTTCTTCTGGTCTTGTTTTCTTTTTTTTGATTGATTGGTTGATTGGTCGATTGGCCGTGTTCTGGTGGATGGGCTGGTTTTCGTTTGGCGAAGTGGTTGGCTAATTATTCGACCGGGGTGGGTTTAGGCCGCATACGTTGAGTCCCGAGGAGTTGTATCAAGCGCATCTTTTGCCGCATTTGATGGAGACGCAGGCCAACTTGGATGCCAGGATTGGGTCCGTTCAGGTTGAGAATGAGGAGTTGGCTGGGAAAGTCCAGGAGCAGAGGGCCGAGATCGAGAGGTTGTTGTCTGGGCTGGAGGCCGTTGTTGCCGATGTGGAGGGCGCCGCGGCTGCGACAACCCAGTTTACCACCGAGAATCAGCTTCGTCAGGAGGCGGCACAGATGGATGGAGAGGTCAGGGCTCGGTTGGGGATGTGATTTAGTGATTTGGTGGTTTGGCTTGGCTTGGAGTGGTTCTACGATGTGATGGCTGGCTGGCTGGCTGGCTGGCTACTCTCCATTTTTGATCTGGCCCTTGTTCGCTTGGGTATATTACTACGGCAACAGAACCTCCATATCGCCCGGACTCATCCACCCATCGTCGACCACGTCCTCCGCCACTATCATCAGCTCCTTGGGTGCCGCCTTTTGGAGCTGTCGAAGCTTGTCTTTTTGACCTTCCAAGGCAGCTGCGATCGCCTCTTTACACGTCCCGTCCCGTTCCTCGTCTGCCGCCCGGTCTCTCCTGGCTAGGGCTGCGGCGCCTCGGTAATAGGTCTGGGCATTGCGAAGCAGTAGCGCTGCGTTCTGCTGAGCCATACCATACTCCCATGGAGACAGTCCAAGCCTCCATCTGCTCATCTCCACGTCCCCCCTTGCCAGGTGAATCTTGGGCAGGTCTTCAGCATCGGGGTGTTTCGATGCCTTCGTTAACGCCTCCAGAGCAGCCGATAGCGATTGCCATCGCAACGACAGCGCTTTGGCGAATAATTCCGGTTCGAAAGGCGGGAGGTCTGTTAGCGCTGTGTTGAACGACGTGAGCGCATCTGCTTTGCTGCAAAGGCCACCCGGATCGGCCGAGAGATCCAGACCAGGCCCGAAAGCACGCGAAACCTCCTCGGAATACGTGTCAACTTCTATCCGTCCACTTCTGTACAATACTTCGGTCAGAGAGCAGGCGAACTTAGCTCGAGCCAGGGTCGCCTCATAGTGTCTGTTGGACCCTTCAACATAGGCTGAAATCCGCTTCTGAAGCAGGTCCGATGAATACTCTTCCACCCAGCTAATTCCAACGCCGGGGTTGAATGTGAGTAGATTGCAGAGAGTTGTAAGCGTTTCGAGCTGTGCCACTGCCGTGTCGACAAGCGTGTCTTTTGTCACAGGCTCCACAATGGCTGCCCATTGCTCCTGTTGATCTGCGGATTTCGATTCATCAGCAGGAGGGGCGTCCAACTGCGTGTCTTGCGCCCGCGCCTCCGTGGGGCCCGTCTCGCCTGCCTCCATCTGTCGGATCTGCTCCTGCATGTCTGTGTACTTCAGCTCTTGAAGAACTAGACAGCGTTGGAAGAGCTCAATGGCTTCTTGCAGAAGCTTTACTGCCTGCGAGAGTTGATCGTCTGAGGGATGCTTGGATTCAGTCAGAGTCTCCGCAATGCTGGTGAGGACCTGAGCTGTGTTGAAAAGCGCGTCTGCGTTGTCTTGCTCCAGCCCGAGGGCTGCCCTGTGAGACTCCAGTGCTACGCGGAGGACGTCCACCAGGGGCGCGGACAGCTGTGCAGCCAGCTTGGGATGCTGTGTGATCTCATACTGGACCCTCGCTCTGCCGGGCGTCAGTTCATATGCACATTTTCTTCATGGAGGCATTTGGAAGAGATGGAGTAATTTAGTGCAGCAACTAGCAGCAATGTATATGAATGATGATGATGATGAGTGACGTACTTGTTATAGGCCAGGTCGAATGCAGCGGGGTGCTTGTTCAAGCCCTCATCGTAGGTGTTGATGGCGCGCATGAAGAAGCGCAGGGACTTGGCGGCATCACCGGCGCGCCATTTCTCGCCGGCTTCTTCTTGTTCCACGCCGACTAGAGGGTGGTATCCCGGTTAACCATGAGACCACAGGAGAGCACCAATGCGCTTTATGAAGGACAGGATGAGAACCCACGAGCTAGATATTCATCTGCAGTTTCTGGCGCCTGGAGAAGTCGGGTGAAGTCAGAAAGGCAAATCTGGGGTGACGGCGGATGGTTGGATGGCGCATACCCGCTGCGCCGACTTCTTTTTATTGCTCTTGGACTCCTTGAGGAAAGCCTTGGGTTTCGGCATCTTCGACCCTCCGTGTGACCGGGAGCTAGCTCTGCTGGCAGGTAGAATGGTAGCAGCAGTAGAACTGCGCGTCGTAGCAAGTGGTGTTCTAAGTGGTTGGTGGGATCAGCAAGTATGACGTTGTGTGTGTGTGTGTGTGTTTTCGGCCTCGCATGAGGGGGACGGCGACACCGCCTTCCCGGCCGCTTTCGGCTTGGTTTCCCAGATACAGTTATACGGAGTAGATACAGTTTGTACGTACGTACTAGATAGTATAGGTACTACTAGTATGACCCAGGAGGGCCGGCTAAAGAACTAGTTAGGTCCTGCTACTAGATAAACACTCCGTAGATTGCTGATAAGATGAGCTTCTCCCGTGTTAACTCTACTATCTACGCCCGTTCCAGTCTTAAGCCAGCGGGCATGCAGGTCAGATCTCCCCGGGAAAAGTAACTATCTATCTATCTACGTTCTACGGAGTACTTGGTCCGGCTAGACTGCAGACTGACGATCCTTGGTAAGTGGAATGTCTTCCACCACATGGGCCTGTCTTCTGCCTTGGTCGCCCTTTAGGATTGCAAGAGTAGTAAGATCCTCGTCAACGGTTCGTTTCTGAGTGAGACGGGGATAGATACCACCCACATGGATCCATGACCATGACCATGTCTGTGTCGTCTGTCTGAGCAGGAGACTGGGGGAGAAGGAGGGGGGTCCTGACTGAAAGAGAGCAACCGAGCATCTGCCATGGCCAGCCCGCGTGGCTGCCCGGGAGCCACTTGGCTGCACGTGGCGGACCGTCCGCACTCCGGGCTTTAATCATCCTAGTCGCATTGTCCATTCTTCTGTTCCTCCCCTTTTAATTAATCGGCTAATTAACCATCATTACCGTGCCCTCCCTCCGCCATCGCTTGCCATCCAAGCGCTGTACGGAGTATCTATCTATCTAGTATCTATCTAGTCCGTACTATGTGCGGATACATGATCGACATGATGATTTCCGTCGAGAAGGGACAATAATCAGCAACGAAGCCCACCTACCTACTGTGCTGCTGCTGCTGCTGCGCATGGTATCATCTACCCTATACTATCTTTCCACAAAGCACTGTCAGCAGATAGGGGCAGTGGTATGATGCATCCACTCGCCTTGGTCGGCTCCGTTCAACCAGTCGATCGGCTATTCTCAGGTAGAATTCTAGGCGGGTGGGTGATGACGATCAATCCGTTGGGTTCGCAATCCCCATCCCAATTATTCCCACCCCCCTGTCTGATGATGATGGAGCTCGTGTCTGTCACCGACGCGCCACAGGAGTCCGGTGTCTCAGGCTCCCAGCGATGATCCGTTTGGGGGGGGGGTCCAACCCGGCCGCATAGATAGAATCTGGAATTCCAACCACCGCGGCCACCTCCGTAGTCTGTAGATACTCCGAACCAAGCCAGTTGACGCAACTCCGTCCGGAAAGGAGAGCGCGCGAGAGCGAGAGCGAGAAAGAGAGAGCGCGAGAGAGAAAATCAGAGAAACAGGGGAAGAGTCTAGCCAGGAAAACCTTAACCACCGCGCAAGAATCCTTCCGAGGAAGATTTTATCAGCATTGCGTTTTGGCGCCTGTCGGGCGACCCACCCCCCATCCGCGCCTCCCTCGCCCCCCGGCCTCTCCTGAATCCATTCCAGTCCACGGTGCATGTCACGCCCGCCTTCATCCTACCATCATCCAAGACCGTTCCCTTCTCCCACCCCTTCCACCCGACATAGAACCCCATCTCTCCCTGATAGATCGGAATCGCGTATGATCTGGGAAAGACATTGAGTGCTCCAAGGTATGACCACCCACCCACCTTGAGTGATCCCTGCAGGATATCCCGGCTCGATCACTGTCTCTACTCTCTCTACTCTCTCTACCAGTCGGAGTCATTTCCCCCAACTTCCCGACATTCATTGGTGTTGTTTTTCTCCTTTTCGCGTCAGCTTGATTTTTTTTTTTTTTTTCTTTCCTTTTCTTCTCTTTTGTTTTCTTTCCTGTTTATTCTGCGTCCTCCCCTTTTCTCTGCGCTGCCTCTGATGTGCCTGCTGCGGTCCCTGCTATATCTACACAACACCGGTTCTCAATTCGCTGAATAGGATCCCTGACCCTCCAATCCCGCAGGTACGATCTCTTCGGGAGCCTCAACACCCAGATTTTCCTTCCACGCCAGAATTCCACCCGTCGTGACTCGCACACGCACCCCTACGGCCTCACCCAATTCAGCCGCCGCATAACTATGGCTAGACATACATCGCTGGACTCCGAAAGACCCATCATGACTCAGTCCGTAAGTCTGCCTGGGCTGCACGCAATCTTATCCGCATACGATCGCCGCCCCAGTGCCGTCTAACCCGGATATGATCTAGGCTCGTACATCGAAGAGATTCTCCACCGTCAGTGGAAGCCCCTCGGTCGCCTCATCGGAAGGCACCTTCGCGGGTCTGCCGGCCGGCGACCCCAGACTCGCCGATTTCCACAATCTCCGCGACGGCCTGGAGCGCCTGGAAAACAAGCCCCTCTTGAAGCAACGTTTCGTTCCTACCCCGGAGAAGACCGATGACTTGAGCAAGCTGGCTCTTGGCGCAAAGGTGGAGCGCGCCCTGGGACGCAGAATGACCGGCCAGGACGCTGTCATGCGGGAACCCGTGTTGAACGAAAAGGCGACGGTGGAGTCCACAGCATCCCCATGAACGGACTGAAAGCTGCAATTGATACCTTTTTGAATTTCTTTTCTTCTCGCCCTCTTATACTCTCTCTCCCTCTATGGTCATCCGCTTCAATGTTTAAGTGCGTTATTTTTTTTTTGTTGCTGCATGTTCAACGGCTCGTCAGATTCCCCTGCGGCGGGTTGTACGACCGATTTCGATACCTGTCTTGATGAGAAGCTTGTCTTTTATGTGTCTATCATACCCCCTTTCTGAGCCAGCTATCTGTGTTCGAATTGATGAGATTTCGCTCTGCTTACAAGCCTCGATATACTATGTATGTGTCCGATAAGTCTCACACCGTCTCTTTCCCGGGTCGATTCTGGCACTATCTTTTTTTTTTTTTTTTTTTTTAATGGATGTATAATCTCACCTTTCGCTCCCGTATATGTCAAGGAAAACTTCCGTGGTGCAATGTGGATTATGTAGAAAGCGGCGCAGACCTCTTGAATCAAATCAATTGGTATAGATCCTTGATCCAAGCATACTGCAGATGGTCTGGGTCCTCCCCCGTCTGTGATCTGTGAGGGAGGGAGGTACCTGGGCCATACCGCCAATCAGCGATCGTGCTGGGGAGGGAATTCGCCGCATGCTGATATATATCATGATTCATAGCAAACCGAGAGGGTGGCTAGGCGGTACTTTGTGCCAGGTAGAAATCCCAATGTCCCTCGACAAGAGCCCATGGCGCCTTCCGGAGTGTATCAGACAGAGCCATGGGCCAAGGCCATCCATGACTCGGGAGGGAATCACCGTAGTCTCAAGAGCCCATCCCGGCTTATTACTATTGCAGGCAGGGAAGGGCTTGGAAGGGCGTGCCCGGGTGCCCGGATAGGCAAGCGGTGGGGGACCGGCCAAGGCGGCAGCTCACTGGAAGCGGCCTAGCGCCGGGCACTTCTTGGGTCGGCCGCTGGATTTCGCACCAGCAAATTGAAGGCACTGCGATTCACTGCTGGGACGGGCCCTTGACCTCAGAACTGCCAGTCGGTTCTGCTCTGCGGCTGCTCCAGCACCTCTCGCTCTCTCCCTCTCACCACCACCACCACCTCCTCCTCCAACTCCAACCCACACCAACCTACTAAACCCACTTCCAACGGCATCGACCTCACTTTCTCCCCCCATTCCCCCTCATCGATCCCACTATCTTTCCTTCCCACAATTCCCGTCCTCGTCCTATTTTCTGCTCTCTTCCACCTCGTGAGCCTCTTTATCAAGCTTCATCCACCCGTCGTCCCTTGCTTTTTTCCTCTCCCGCTTGTCCCTCGGGCTTTTCCTTCTCGCACAGTCAATTCCGAATCGCACAAGACTCTTCCTACTTCCCACCTCCACGACTTCGACGCGCTATCCTTTGGAACCTACTCCGGTTTCCTTTTCTCTTTTTCCTCCACTTCATTGCGCCTGCAGGGAACGGTCCGTTCGCCCGTTTGACGTTGTGAGTTCCCTTTTTTCCTCGAGTCTTGTCCCCGAATTCTCTCCTCCCCCCCCCCCCCCCCCAAAATCGTCATAGACACACCTGTGCTTCACACACTGACAATTCCCCCCCTTCCCCTCCACGGTAGCCAAGCACCGGGGAATATTTCTTACTAGAATCCTTCCCTTTCGTCGCCGCATCTGCATATACTTTAGCTTGCCGCCCTTAGATTTTTCTTTTCTTTGTCGACCTTTACGCTTTCCTTCCCCCCTCACAATGGCCGACACGACCCAGGCTCCTATCAACGGTGGCTACCCTGCGCAACATGCGTACCCCGACTCCTACAACCATGCTTCCGTGAACAGTGCGGCCAGCTTCCAGCCCGCGCCGTCGTCCACTCCCTCGAACGCCCCGTCAAATGACCAGAAGAACGGCATCTCCAAAGATGAGGTCGGCTGGTACTTTGTTGAGCAGTACTATACCAACATGAGCCGTAGCCCTGAGAAATTGAACCTGTTCTACTCTCGGCGCTCTCAGCTTGTTTTCGGCACTGAGGCCGAATCCGTACAGGTGGCAGTGGGTCAGAAGGTCAGTCGTTCCGCCGGCTACGTGGGTTGTGTTGCTAACGTTGCTATCTGTAGGCTATAAATGACAAGATCAAGCAGCTGGACTTCCAGGACTGCAAGGTTCGCGTCCTGAACGTCGACTCGCAGGCTTCGTTCGACAACATCTTGATCTCGGTCATCGGCGAGATCTCCAACCGATCGGAGCCGTCTCGTAAGTTTGTGCAGACCTTTGTCTTGGCGGAGCAGCCCAACGGGTACTACGTTCTTAATGACATCTTCCGCTATCTTGCCGACGAGGAGGAGGAGATTGAGACCGAGGAAGCTGCCCCGGCTCCCGCCCCTGCTGCTCCGGCCGACGCGTCGGTTCCGGAGGTGCCTGCACAGCCCGAGGCTGAGACTGCCCCCGAAGCTGTCGAGACCCAGGTAGACAGTGAGCCTGCTGTCGCCCAGGTCGACGAGAAGCTTGAGGAGGCCGAGAAAGGCGCTGAAGAAGTGCCGGCCACGGAGTCTGCTCCCCAGACCAATGGTGACAGTGTACAGGAAGCTCCTGCCGAGGCTGCTCCCGAAGCCGCTGCCCCGGCTGAAAGCGATGATCTCAAGGTCGAGGAGCCTGCTGCTCCCGAGCCCACTCCTGTCCCCGAGCAGAAGGAAGCCCCTGCTCCGGCCAAGGAGAGCGCTCCCGCAAGGGCGGTTCCGAAGACATGGGCTACCATCGCTTCCAAGTCTGGTGCCACCGTACCCGTTGTTCCCGCCCTCCCCGTTACTCCCGTGAAGCCCACTGCTCCCGCTGCTCCCGCTCCCGTTGCCAGCTCTACTCAGTCGACCGCCACCCCTCCCCCTGTCACTACTGAATCCGTGCCCAGCCAGCCTCCCTCGAATGATGGCTCTGGATGGCAGACTGCCGGCCACGAACACAAGAAGACCCAGTCCCGGGCCGGTGAAGAGCAGAACGTTCTCGGCTACATCAAGAATGTTACCGAGAAGGTCGATGCTGTCTTGCTAAAGCAGACCTTGTCTCGCTTCGGAAAGCTCAAGCACTTCGACGTGAGCCGTCAGAAGGTATGTCACTGTCCCACAAGGAAAGGGGGGTGAATATTGAAACTAATTGTTGTTGTTTTTAGAACTGTGCGTTTGTCGAATACGGTGATGCCGCTGCCTATAACGCTGCCGTTGCCGCCAACCCCCACCAGATCGGAACCGAGCAGATCTACGTTGAAGAGCGCCGTCCTCGTGCCAATGCCTTCGGTAATGGCAACTATGGTGCGGGCCGCGGTGGCGCTGGCCGTGGTCGTGGAGACCGTGCTGGCAGCCAGGGCCGGGGAGGCTTCCAGCGTGAGGGACGCGGAGGCTTCGCTCCCCGTGGCCGTGGGGGCAATGTCAACGCCAAGGGTCGCAACCAGACTCAGACTGCTTAAACTCAACGACAATGCATTTGACGTCTAACGAAGAATGAAGAGAGACTGGAAGCGGAGGTCGACCAACAGACCGTTGTCCTTCGCCTGTCTCTCAGCCCCCCTTCTTTTTTCTAATAAGGTCATATATGATACTTAGCCCTTCATCCTGGCTTGAGACGGTGAGACGGTATACGGGTTTAGATGCTCACGGCGATCCAGGACATGTATTACTCTGTCCCTTCCATTTTTTTCTCCCCCCTCCCCCCCTACCCCCTTCCCATTTACTGATAATGACATGTGTTATGTGACCCTGCTCTGTCACACTGCATATTAGCGGTTGGAAAAGTTTTCTTATCATTTCCTAACTGTGCTTTGATTGGTCGTCGTCCTGACTTTTGCTTTTGCTTTCTGTATCACTGTGTTGCCAATGATCTTTCTTCTCCCTCTGACGGTTCCTTTCTTTTCCCCCTTCGCATAGCGAGCTCCACGCCCGTGTTGTTACCATCTATTTCCCGCTCCGCCCTGGTGATGATGCTCCCCATCCATCTCTCTTCCCCCGTTTCTGTATGTTCTTGATCTAGTATCTTTTTTCTAGGACTGTAAATGGATGGCTTCATTTATTTTCCTTTTCGCTCGGATCTCTTGCTGTTATCATTGCTATCGGGGAATTGTGGCCTCCGGGGTGCGTGTACTCTCCGGTGGCTGATCGAAGAAATCTACATGATGAATCAAAGAAAGCAAACGATATCTGTTCTTGACAGGCCTGAGAGGTAACTCTTGTACTGTAGTAGTAGTACCTAAGATAGTAGATATGTCTCCTTCGAAACTCCGACGCACGGGGAGCTGGGACGGGCGCATTGACGGCGGGGGGGGGAACCTTGCATGGACGAGACTGAGGAACAGCCCTGGTAGTCCGGGTAACCAGGTTGTGTAAGGTACGGAATACCGTGGTACTAAGTGTAGATAAATACCATGGCCATACAATACATCGTTACATGCCCCTGGGTAGAAAGTTCTGGCGGAAACCCAGGCGGTCAGAGAGATCCCGGCACTCATTGGCTAGGAGGATTGGTGGGGGAGAGGAGCGGAACGTTCTAGCAGGCGTGATACAACTGCTACCCTCGCAGTCTATCTATCTACTCAGTAGCACCCGGGGACGGGGGAAGGGAGGGGGAAGACTTCGGTATTGGTCTCTATTTTTGTCCCTCGAAGGGCTGAGATGGATCTAGATACTCCGTACTAGTCCCAGGAACCGTGACCCGTGACCTGTGACAACCTGACCCGTGAATAATTAATTCACTAGACGAGTAGTAGAAGCATCTAGATCGGAGAAGCCACTGGAAGATCCTGGGGGGAGAGGCGGCGGGCAGGCGTGGAAGTTGCTGGATCGCCGTAGAAACGCCGCACCGAAATTTCGTGACGGTCCGCCCAAAGAACATTAAGGTCCCCGCCCCGTCACCGCGGCTGCTTTTTTTCTTTCTCCTCTTCTCTCTCTCCTCTTCTCCATCCCTCCACTCTCCCATCTACCCACTCATCCCTCCTTCCTTCCTCCATCTCTCAATCTTTCTCTCCTCTTTCCTTCCTCCATCTCCTTCTCTAGCCCGGTGACTCGTGTGTCCCAGCTAGCCCTCTCATCTCCTCATCTCCCACCCCATCTTGTGAGTACACCACCACACCTGCAATCCTTACACCGGAGTTGTGTGACTCAGCGGGTAGCCTTGGGTGCGAGCTGGCCGGGAGGCAAAAAAAAAAAAAAAAAAAAGAGAGGGAGAGAGGAATTTTTTTTTCTAGAAACTTCCTCTCCCCTGTCGCCTCCCGCTTGCATTTCCTTATCTATATCTGCCGTGTTCCCCTCTCCTTCCCTTCCATCTCCTACCGTCTGTGTGGGATTTCACTTGCCCGTGCTGACCGTCCACCCCTCTCAGAATTTAACCCTTCCGTGCTACCTTCACCATGTCTGCCGAGACCTTCGAGTTCCAGGCTGAGATCTCTCAGCTGCTCGGCCTGATCATTAACACTGTCTACTCCAACAAGGAGATCTTCCTGCGTGAACTGATCTCCAACGCTTCCGATGCCCTCGACAAGATCCGCTATGAGGCTCTGTCGGACCCCTCCAAGCTCGACTCGGGCAAGGACCTCCGCATCGACATCATCCCCGACAAGGAGGGCAAGACCCTGGTTCTCCGTGATACTGGTATCGGTATGACCAAGGCTGTAAGTAGATGAGCTTCTAGCTGCCATCCTCTCTGAAGGAGACTCGAGACCTGACTATTCTCTGTCGTTTAGGACCTGATCAACAACCTCGGTACCATTGCTCGCTCTGGTACCAAGCAGTTCATGGAGGCTCTCACCGCCGGTGCTGATATCTCCATGATCGGTCAGTTCGGTGTCGGTTTTTACTCCGCCTACCTGGTCGCCGACCGTGTCACCGTCATCTCCAAGCACAACGATGACGAGCAGTACATCTGGGAGTCCGCCGCCGGCGGTACTTTCACCCTCACCCAGGACACCGAGGGTGAGCAGCTTGGTCGTGGTACCAAGATCATCCTCCACCTGAAGGATGAGCAGACCGACTACCTCAACGAGAGCCGTGTTAAGGAGGTTGTACGCAAGCACTCCGAGTTCATCTCCTACCCCATCTACCTCCACGTCCTGAAGGAGACCGAGAAGGAGGTCCCCGATGAGGAGGCTGAGACCAAGGAGGAGGAGGGCGACGAGAAGAAGCCCAAGGTCGAGGAGGTCGACGAGGAGGAGGAGAAGAAGGAGAAGAAGACGAAGACCGTCAAGGAGAGCAAGATCGAGGAGGAGGAGCTTAACAAGACCAAGCCCATCTGGACTCGCAACCCTGCCGACATCACCCAGGAGGAGTACGCCGCTTTCTACAAGTCCCTCTCCAACGACTGGGAGGACCACTTGGCCGTCAAGCACTTCTCCGTCGAGGGTCAGCTTGAGTTCCGTGCCATCCTGTACGTTCCCAAGCGTGCTCCCTTCGACCTGTTCGAGACCAAGAAGACCAAGAACAACATCAAGCTCTACGTCCGTCGTGTCTTCATCACCGATGATGCCACCGACCTTATCCCTGAGTGGCTCAGCTTCGTCAAGGGTGTTGTTGACTCCGAGGATCTTCCCCTTAACCTGTCTCGTGAGACCCTCCAGCAGAACAAGATCATGAAGGTCATCAAGAAGAACATTGTCAAGAAGACTCTCGAGCTCTTCAACGAGATCGCTGAGGACCGTGAGCAGTTCGACAAGTTCTACGCTGCCTTCAACAAGAACATCAAGCTCGGTATCCACGAGGATGCTCAGAACCGTCACTCCCTCGCCAAGCTCCTCCGCTACCAGTCCACCAAGTCCGGCGATGAGTCCACCTCCCTCGCTGACTACATCACTCGTATGCCCGAGCACCAGAAGCAGGTCTACTACATCACTGGCGAATCCATCAAGGCTGTTGCCAAGTCTCCCTTCCTTGACAGCCTCAAGCAGAAGAACTTCGAGGTCCTGTACCTGGTTGACCCCATTGACGAGTACGCCTTCACTCAGCTGAAGGAGTTCGACGGCAAGAAGCTGGTCGACATCACCAAGGACTTCGAGCTTGAGGAGTCCGAGGAGGAGAAGGCCGAGCGCGAGAAGGAGGAGAAGGAGTTCGAGGGCCTTGCCAAGAGCCTCAAGAACATCCTCGGCGACACCGTCGAGAAGGTTGTTGTCTCTCACAAGCTCGTCGGCTCTCCTTGCGCCATCCGTACCGGCCAGTTCGGTTGGTCCGCCAACATGGAGCGTATCATGAAGGCTCAGGCCCTCCGTGACACTTCCATGAGCTCTTACATGTCCTCCAAGAAGACCTTCGAGATCTCTCCCAAGTCTTCCATCATCAAGGAGCTGAAGAAGAAGGTCGAGGCCGATGGCGAGGGTGACCGCACCGTCAAGTCCATCACCCAGCTGCTTTTCGAGACCTCTCTCCTGGTCTCCGGTTTCACCATTGAGGAGCCCGCCAGCTTCGCTGAGCGTATCCACAAGCTCGTGTCCCTCGGTCTGAACGTTGACGAGGATGCTGAGACCACCGAGGAGAAGGCCGCCGAGGAGGCTGTCCCCGCCGCCGCCGCCGGTGAGAGCTCCATGGAGGAGGTTGACTAGATGTTGACCACATGATGTCACGTTCTTCTTCTTTTGATCAGGATGGAAACGAAATGTTGATGACCCAGAACTGTTCCGGCGGTATCTGCCTCATGGATTCGTTCCCTGAAGCGGTATTGCGCTTATAATGGGAACGGCCCACTACGGTTGTCCTGCAGTTCTTGATTTTCATTTTCTGAATCATGAATTTCACCTTTTCGGCGTTTTGAGCGTTTTATTACCCCCAACCTAAATACATTCCGGCTGATTTTCTCAACTGTCCTCCCTCTTCGCGGCTGCAGGACTTGAGTGATTTCGCGCGGGTAGACCTTTCTGAGAAATAAAAGCTTTCTCTCTGTTCCATTATCTTCCCTCCCAATCGTAGTTGATCTTCGTGAATCGGTAAACAAGCAAGTACATGCATGTAGTGCAGCTTTTCCACGACGAACAGAGCAGAGAGAGTGCTCGAGTACTTAGTTTTCTGGCATCTGTATGTCCAATCCACGTACGTACTACATACTATATATTTGAGCATGTCAATCAAACTTGGAAACCGGGCCTCAGGGTTTAACCACACAATTATACCATGCGTCGATCCCATTCAACTGTACTGCAACAACAGTACTGCACCACAATAAGACCCTGCTACGAAAGCTACAACAGCCAGACACGATTATATTACTATTAGAAGCATCCATATCCATTCCTACGAACCAATAACCCTAATTCAAAAAAAGCAAGAATAATGAGATCGACCGAGACACTGTGTCCGTGAATCCAGAACGCCAACTCCAGTGTGCGGTGTGCGGCGTGCATAGATGGGGATCGCATCGGTTCGTACATAGTGAAAATATTATTCATGGGGCGTGACTGGGCATTGCGAAATCGATCGGTGAGCAAGGAGGTAAAAAGAGGGGGGGGGGGATGGTGTAGTAGGAGTGAAGAACAATTAGAGAGGGGGGGGAAGGGCATATAGTGCCCGGAGGAGAGGGACATGTGCATGAACATTCCGGCAGACGCCTGTTTGGCAGTAGAGAAAGATGACGGAGAGAGGTCGCCCTGTAACATCGCGGTGGCTTTTGGTTACTTGGTTCGTTGGGGGAGAGGGGTGGTGGGAGTACCGGGGAGAGAGGTAGGAGGAAGGCAAGATAGGATAGGATGGTCCTGGATCAGGCGCGGGCACCAGACGATGATACACGCCCGGCGTCAGCTGGGCCCTCTAATCGCTAGGACCTCGCCAATCAAAGTGCCACTCCAAGAAACTGCGAGAGGATAGACCCCAGGCTTTGGCCAGCCAAAGCGCCAGTCCCCCTACAACCCCGAAACTGCCCACGATCTGTACGATGGCCCATCCCCGCCGCTTCAGATCATCTGACCACCAGACGAGGCCAAGAGGATCATGCGAACTGATTCTGGCAATGTGGTATTCCACATCCTGTCCGTTTTGAGTTCGAACGAGAAGGCCGCTCCCGCTTGCTTTTTCTGTGGGTGCACGGAGGCCGCAGAAGCCCGGCGTCTGCGTGACTGGGATCAATGATCCGTCCACTACACACTCGCCCAGTCGCTCGGTGAGCCAGACGGCTCGCTCGCCTCTTGCCATCGCGGCGTATCTCTCTCGTTCATTATGCAGGCTTTGCTGCAACTCAGAAGCCCACTTGGCTAACTGCACGCGCGCCAATTTCTCCTCTTGACGGGTGTGATCTGCTATCCGGGCCATGGTGTAACTGGGAGAACCGCGCCGTACACCGTGAGGAAACGTTAATGGACCGGACTGTGGATGACGCTGGAGTTGATATGGCTGCTCCCGTTGCTGCTGAGCCAGTTTCTTTGCAGCCGAATGCCGCATCCAGACAATGTTTTCGCCATCGAACATCCTCTGGACCAATAAGGTCAATTCGGATGAGACTAGCGGCTGGACGTAGTCTGGACTCATCAGGGTACTAGCATCCATCACATCGTCATCAGTGGCTTTTGCCGATGATACCGCGAAAGGGATTTGTCCATCGAAATCGTCTGCTCCAAGGCAGGCATTCCCAAAGAGAAAGGACTTGACAGAATTGGACTGGGCATGGAGATGGAACGATGATTTTAACATAGATATTTGCTCTGGAGTCAACAGATCTGCCTTAGAAACCAAAGGCACAACATTGGTCCACCCGCAAAGCTTTTTTATGCACTCGATGTCTGTGAGAAGAGTATCTAAGGACAAGTCAGCTAGCGAGCCAAAGATGTAGCGAGGGAGTGATCTATTTAACCTGCCTTCAGATATGAGGTATAGTACAGCGTCCACCTGAGTACCACCATGTCCTGCAAGCATGTTTTGGAAGTCATGGTTGCAGGAATCGAAAGCTGTTGTTGCGCGGGAGAGTTGTTGGCGCATGTAGCTTATGATGGCATCTGTTTGCCCGATGCGACCCACGGGATTGGCTAGCGTGTCAACGAAGCAGATATTGCGTTCCAATACCACATCACCTACGCTTTTCCTCCGGCGTAGTACACGGGAATCCTCCAAGTCCGACCACCAAGCCGGGTACGGTTTGGTACTGGCATATACCTCCGACGTCGGTAGTCTATGGGCCTGCGACAGCTGGGCCATTGAGAGAGACGTCCGTGAAAGTGCTGGGGAATAGGTCGGTGGGAAGTCATCAACATGCACAATATCCTCGCAAACCTGGACAATAGACCTGATAAGAGAAGATTTTCCAGAGCCTAGATGACTGTCAGCAAGCGCCCGCCCTGCGGAAATGCAGGCTGAACAATAGTGATGCGTGACGAAATGAAGAGCCTACCAGAAGCACCTGCAATAAGAACCTTGAACCGACCCAGCGCCTTCCCACGAGATGTAAAAGGTCTCCGGCTGGGCATCTTTATGCTTGGCATAATGAACTGTGATGTGCTATCGTGGTCCGAGTTATGCGTGGAACCAAACTCGTTGTCCTCGTCCCCGGAAGCGACCGCTTGACTACTCAACTCATCCGTGATCGAGATCTCATCGAGGTGGCGCATGGACTGGTTCGAGATCGATTTAGGACTGCTAGGTAGAGATGACGGCTCGTCAGGGTTGCTGAGGTTCAAGGGAGTAAGGGGCCGGGGAGAGGTCAGGCCGGAGGACAAGACAAAGGGATCAGGTCTGCTAAGATGGATGTTCTCGAGCGGCTTCAGCGTTGACCTGCGACGGTTCGGGCCGGAAACCTCATCGTCTTCGCCGCCATCGTGGACATGAGGCGGAAGCACGCCGGGAGCGGATTGGACTCCCGCGGGCTTCCTGAGCGCCGTTGGAGGGCCAGGCTGGGCCTCGGATGCAACCAAATCGGTCCCCAAGACGGTTTCCTCCAAACTGTGTACACCATACAAGTTAGCCCTGGAGGCTTCAGACTCGTCGGGGGAGAGCTCGTCGTCGTCGTCGGCAGCGGCAGCGGCGTCGGGCCCGTGATTGCGGGACAGGAAGAAGGTCGCGGGGGCGGCACTGTGGGGATCGGAGGTCCACTGCTGCTCGATGGAGGCCTTACGGGGTCGAGGCAACGCGATATCTGGAACTGGAGGTCTCATGGTGGGGGACAAAACAGGGATCTCGGCGGTACCTGGACAGACCACAGACGGGTGCCAGGCATCAGAGGAGAGAGAGAGAGAGAAGAGGGAGTGCTCGTGCTCTGGCTCTGGTGGTCGTGGTGGACGTGAAGGAAGGATGGGATGACCGTTCGTCAGTCAGTCAGTCAGTCAGTCATGCACCCGCCCGGTTATGTCATGTCATGCCTGCCTGCCTGCCTGGCCGGGGCCGCTGTCCGGTCACGTGATATCCAGACTCCGTACTGCTTGTGTATAGGGTATTTTTTAAAAGACAGAACCCCGCACCTGACTCATCCGGATTGTGACTGCATCCTGTGATAACTAGTAACTACTTCATTCTAGGTACTGATTACTAATACCAAGTGAGTATGAAGTACGGTAACTAGTATACCTTTGGATACACCTTCTTCTAGTACGGACTCTCTGTACGAGTTACCTATCATTGGCATTATTATCAATAAGAATTACTTTACCTTTACGGGATTTGCCGACCCTGGTGCGCAGGAGCCGGTAATTAACCAATCCAGCCACCGGAGACACGAGACTCGCCCAATCACTGGGGTTGAGTACCTTAATTTCCCTAGGTTTCCCCGTGGCCATAGCCGACCAGACTTTGATTCCGAGGTGCCCACCGTCGTCTAGATGGTAATACTATGTTGATCGTGTGAGCAGTACGGGTGTATGTCTGTTTCAACAGCTCCAGATTGCCTTCCCTAAATCAGAAGAAACCACCCTTATGGGATGGGAATGACATTGCAATCAATATCTGCAGTAGATCATATCCTGGCAACTCGCAACAACTTACTTCTGTCCGTGCAGGATATACATACATCTTAGCAGTACTCCGTATATAGTACTTAGTAGTGGTTAAAAGGTCAAAATTGACCTGTTCCGGATGAAAAAAAAAAGTGCCCAAATGTTTCAGTTGAGTGTGAGAACCCCTGCTAGATAGATAGATGCTTCGCCTGCAGGCTAGACTAACCACTAGCCTCCCCCTAGGCCTACGGAGCACCTACGCCGTACTCCGTCCTGCATCGGCCATCGATACGGAGTAATGCGTAGTTCGTCAACGCCAGGCTGCCAGGCTGCCAAACCGCTAGTTGAACCGAGCGTGGCCAAAGGCTTTCCAGGCGATGTCACCCCATGATTTGACGGGATTAACTTCTATCCCGGCCGCAAGTTGCTAGTCTTGCGTGGCTTCAGGCGGCAGCCAGGACGCCCGCCTCCGCTTTGCCCGGCCGGCCGACTAGGGTGCTGATGGTGGCAGAAACTAGACATAGCTTCATCTTGGTCGGGTCATATCTGCGGGCTCAGAAGCCGGAAGCCGGCTAGTGTTGGGGGTGTGGATGAGTCCATCCATCTTTAAGAGGTAGGTGATATTGTGACTTGTGAGCATGGCGGGATGAGGTGCGCTGTGGATGGCTATGACCATTTATACAAGCAGCAGCTACGGAGTACCATGATGTTAATGTTATAGTATACGCCATCGACCTATTACCCACCCAGGTATCCACTGGCGAAATGTCAAGGCAAGTCAATCATGTGTCCATGGGGTAGGTATCTATCTCTCCATTGAGTATCGACAACACGGGGGTCCCCGACAGGAATATATTGCCAGATAGGTAGGTATGGGGAGTCTTCATCTCACCCACCGTTCCAGGACTTGCCAGGTATTGACCGTGGCCCTGGAATTGCCCGTGCAAATACTTTTACTAGAGACGAGTGCATGCAGAGCTCAGGCCACACAACCCTGTCTATATGTGAAGAGGGTTGAACCGGAGAAGCTTTGGTTTTTAGAGTAGGTTGATACTACTGCTATACCCTTTTTTGGGGGGAGGGAGGGGGGAGGGGGGTTTGCTAGAGTCGGGGTTTTTTCTTTGAAATTAAGCGTTCTTGGCAGTGCAGTGTATGGTAGGTAGTACCCATCATCATCATCATCATCATCATCAAGGAAGGTAATTCGTCTATAATCCAACGCATACTCAGGTAGTAGATATGTAGTATGATGTATGATTATCACTGCATGGATTGGGATGGTCAAGCACAAAGTAATAAAAACATCGAAGACTTACTCGAAGTGCTCTACACCGTAGAAGAAGGAGGAAGAGACCAGCCCATGCATGGGTGGTGGGGGCAGTCCTTGCCAGATTAAGTAGGTGAAGTGTGAACTGCTGCTGCCACCGGACCGTTGTTATCCGCTGCGGACTCATCCCACAACCAGATAGATAGATACTGGATTTGTTTGTCTACTTAAGCAGTTGGTCTTTTCTTTTACGGCAGGAACCCTCTGGATCGGATTCATCCAAGCGTTTTCTCCCGGGTTGTTACCGTCCATCCACGGTGCTAGATCGGGTCCAGACTGATCTTCCCTCCTGTGGCCTTTCCCGAGTGGGCAAGATCTCTCCAATCCCATCCAATGGGGCCTGGCATGGCTGTCCCACTCACTCCTCCGCCACCCGGTACCTCTAACTGAAGTAATCCAATACGGTACCACCCCGTACATTACCGGCTGACCCATTCGTTCGCCTCTCCCCCGACGTACCTTACTTCTTTCCCATCCTCTCCTCCGTCCCTCCTCTCCGGGGCTCTTACTTTTTGACCTACCTAGGTAGATTAACTAACTAACTAGTTAACTCCTTCCTTCTACTGTCTAGTCAGTTAGCCAGTCCGTCCGTCTACGCTGTCTATCCCGTATCTACACCATACGGAGTACTCCGTACTACTGACTGTCCTTTGCCCTCGATTCCACTTGACCGTATTCTACTAGATACCACTCACTGCCACTGCTGCTACTTACTCTATTGCTCCTCTCCTCCTTCCCCTGCCTCTTCTTGGTCCGCTAATTAACCCGATCACCATGGCTTGATCGGTACATATATTATCACCCCTCCATTATTTTGTTTCTCTCGGTTTTTTTCCATCACGGCGAATCAATCACTTGGTTTTCGCTTCCTCTCTTCGGTCTAGCTCCTCTTTGTGCTATCCTTCTCTCCCTCTCTTCCCCCCCCCCCCCCCTCCTCATCGTCGCCAATTCCTCTCGTTCCCTTCCCTTCCCTTCCTTCCTTTCTCGTGCCTCATTTTTTTGCGACTCCCTCTGCCTTGAGTTCAGCTACCCCATAACCCGTTCTCTATCGTCACCGCTCTCACCATGCCCGCCAATTCTTGTTGAGCATTTGCTCGACTCGACGTATCCCTCCATTCTGCGCCGCGGTCTCAAAAAGTCCTTGCCTCCTAACCCCAAAAATTCGCACTGACATTGTCTCTCCCCCCCTGGTACCAGTGCTTACCTTGTCTTGATTGCGCCCGGAAATCTGAAATCTGAGATCGGATCACCAACCTGCACGTCATCCCGCTTGTCCTTTTTATTTTTCAATAGAGAACGGCAGAGGTTATTCGGAAGACATTGTTCGCCATGGAGCAAGAGCATCCTTTGTCATGGTCAGACATGACCAACGCTGGAGATGATGAATTCTCCAACTTCCTCGAGTTCGGCATGCAGTTCCCTGATGTGGAGGGGCATGGTTCAAGCGACCCTCATGCTTCTAGACCTCTCGCCCATGCCGCGTCGATGTCGATGCCCGCTTCAACGGTCCCCGCACAAGAACAATTGGTCCGCATGGATACCGATAGTGTTACCGCACAGTCACCGTCGTACAATCACATCATCAACAACGATTTCTCCCTCGACCTTTCCAACCCTGGCCAGCAGGGTCAGCCACATGGCCCGGCATACTCTAACGCCCCTGTCACCCCGGCATTTTATGCGCACAAGCCTCCGCAGCCCCAGTTCTTCCACCCTCAGCAGCAGGAACATACACAACAACTTTCCAATCACTCGCATGCAACGACGCAACCCTATGCTCCCCATGGCCAGACAGTCATACCTCCCACCCCCAATAGCATCGAACTCCAGGGCAATGCTGCGACGTATCCGCAACGGGTGGACGATAGCCATGATGTATACGAGCGGTTTACTCGTATGAATGATGAACAGGTAAGCGTAATCAAGAGTATTTCCTGTTCGTTAGCCTGCATAGCTAATGCATGCACCCGCTCTCCACAGGCCCTCTATACCCCCCTGGTATCCCCTGCCATGACCCCGTTGGAAAGCCAATTTCGTTTCCCCGAATATACTATCCCCGGGGAATACTTTACACCTCTTACATCGCCAGCGCTCGAAGCCCACACCTCCAACCCAACCGGCTATCCCTTCCATTCCGGCCAGATCTCTGAGATGAGCTTTATGCCATCGCCCGCGGATAATGCGCTGCCCATGTCTTCAGCACCCTCCTCACCAGGGCTAATGCGCAAACATCGACGGCACCCATCGAACACCAAGTCTTTCTCTGCTCGGGCGAAAAAGCAACAGTCGCCTTCGGTGCGGCCTCAGACGCGAAAGAAGTCACTTTTACATATCAACTCGGACGAAGTCTTGAATAGTCTCAGTCAGGATCAGGGAAGCTGCAAGTCTCGCAGTTCTGGTGGCAGCGGGCTCCGCTACGGGAGTAACGAGAGTTCCGGTCAAGATTCCGTCTCCCCAGAACCTCTCTCCGAACCCTTGATGCCTCCACCCGCGCTTCCTCCGTCGCGAAAGTCTCCCTCGATCGGTCCCCAGGTAGCACAAGGGCCGCAGCCTAGTGAGCCCGCGACTCCGGCTTTACTGATGCGCATCCAAAGGTCGCCACACAGCCCCATATCTGCTGCCACCATATCGACTACAACCAGGACCCTCTCATCGGAGCCCCACGACGATGTCATGGAGGATGTTATACTTCCAGAAGCAGTCGCCTCTTTTGGACAAACCTCAAGGCCACAAGTGGCTCGCATTGACACCACGGTTTGGGCAGATTCGGTTTCCTCGGCCACACCAGCCAGTTCCACCCCTGCTCTGGAACCCAAGTCGGCTCACCGTAATTCAAGCTCTCTGGCGCCGAGCCCTCGCACTATAGCCATGCCGTCACCTAGCGGGCCGATACCAAAAAAGTCAGATACTCCCAAGCTAGGCCCTATGAACAGAAAGCGACAGAGTCTCAGCTCGTCTCAGCCTAGCCCTAATCTCCGCCCCAAGATAAGCCCTAGTATACAACCGCTCGTGCGTGGAGACGGTGAGTTCTTTTGTTTCCCCGTTAACTTTCCCAGGCGGCATAAGCTAACTCTCTCTGTTCAAAAGGGTTTGCAAGCGAAACGTCCGCTCTATACCTCGCCTCAAAGTCCAATTATCAGCACATACTAGACGGCACTCTTCTTCCTGGTGTCTCTTATCCCGAGACTTTGGCCGAGAACCTGAGTTCGAAGAGGACAAACCACAAGCTTGCCGAGCAAGGGCGGAGAAACCGCATCAACAACGCACTCAAAGAGATTGAGACGCTCATCCCGGCCCCGTTTGTTCAAATGAAGAATGCCAAGGAAGCTGCGGCCTGTAATGCCAAGGGAGGCGAGAAGGAAAAAGACAAAGCTGGTAACCAACCCATCAGCAAGGCGAGCACTGTTGAGATGGCAATTGATTACATCAAATCCTTGAAGCAGGAGTTGGAAGCAACCCAGGCAAAATTAGCTGCAGCGGAGGAGCGGCTGGGGGAGAAGAGTGACCTCGAAAAACGCGATGATAAGTTATCGAACCCTGAGAACGGGCAACCGACAAACCTTGTCGAGGCAGAACCGACGACCGCTGGTTTCGATAAGAACAACTCGACATAGCTCTACGATTGAAATCTCGTAGTTGAGTGGCTATCGAATATGGTTATTTGCTGCCTCGATCCATCACTGTCATGTGATATGTGTTATGAGCTTGAATTTCGGCAAAAGTATAGACGGCGGAGGAAATCGGGAAACAGCATACTCTACGCGTATCCTGATGATTTTTATTTCGATATTTATGATCGGAGATCTTTCAAGATGTTAATACGGGAGGGTGGCTCTTGTCTTTCATACGGATGTCGGGGTTTCTGATTCCAGGCGCTTGCGGCTTTTTCCTCTTTTACTTCCCCCATATAATTACGATCATTTGCTTTACCTTTTTACTTTCGTGTACATGGCTCTTCATCGCAATTTCCTCTAGCGGCCTGTCAGCTCACACCGGTGCGCATCCTGCTATGGAAAGGGATACCTTCTCCTTTTGAAGGGACTCTCCTGTTTTTCTACCCCGTATTCAAACGTCTAGTTCTCGTTATGATCGTCAATTGAATTTGAATTTTAAAATTGCTCCTTTGATGAGAACAATAACGGTATGTATACATAGATGCAGTCGCTTGGACAGTTCGAACTACGTATGAATCGAGAGCATTTTCGCGTGTCTCCTGTGTATGGAGAAGGCTCTCGCTATGGACATGTCGAATGCAAGGACGCTCAAAGCCTCTTCCATTTCATCGCTCATTAGAAGGCTGAAAACCAACCCCTCAGTAGTCTCGCATGACCGCAACCATGTCATCTAACCGGGCCACTTCACCAAGCAATAAGGCTTCTTTGGCTTTCCACTGCTCCAGCAGGGTCAACTCTGCCTGAGATAGATACCGTTCCTCGTTACCCTTGACATCACTCCGCTCCGTCTTCTCCAGAAACTCCTTGAGCCGGTTCCGTTCGAACCGCTGGCGTTGCAGACACCGGGACATGGCCTTGTAGGTATCTTCCAGCATGCTACTGCGGATACGGTCCGGGTCGTAGAACCACAGGTAGATTGTACGTGACGGCTGTCGCTGCGCGTCTCGCGGTACTTCCTGCAAGTCAACAAACCCACCAGCCTGCATGCTAGCGAGAACCTGGCGCAGGTCCTTGAACGGAAGAAGACTGATTTCCTGCAGACGCTTTTCGTCTAATTTGCCCTTGGCGTGAAGTACCCGGATCACTCGCAGTGCGACATCGCCATAACGGGCTTCGATAACCCGTTCCAGTTCCAGATGGCGAAGCTTGCGTGCCAGATGTCGGAACTCAACGGTCCAGGTGATGAGACCAGAGAGCATGCGTTTGGAGGTAAGGTTGTAGGGGGGCTGAGAGAGGAGAGAAAGGTGTTGGTCAACCTCGTAGATGCGGCTAGGTTTTTCTGATGCTTCATGATCCGTTCCATTGACACCGTCCTCTAACGGTCTCTTTCCACGTCTGTTGACGGGCTGCGACACCTCCATCGGCCCTATTGAGCCTGCAAGGTCCAGCAGCGGGTCGACTTCATCTGTCACCGCACTCAGGGCGATCGCAGCGGAGTATTGTTCGCCTTCTTCTCCTTCGCGGGGTATTTCAGCGCTATCTCGGCATTGCTTGGTTTGGTATTCTATGCGACGAAGGAGGCAGTCGTAGACCTGTGCGGTAGCTGGTGACGAGTTCAACTCGGCAAGGTCCAGAAACCGTCTATTCCGGAGGGCAACGTCAAGTTTTTCGTAATTTACCCGAACAACCAATCCCGACTGACGTAGCCATCCATCAGCTCAAGTCTTGGAGAAACATATCAAGCAATAGGGTCAAAGGTCTCACCTCCATGGGGGATGTATCCCCACCCATGTCATCATCCGACCACTCATCCTCATCCTCATCCTCATCCTCATCATCGTCATAATCTACCCGTGCCTTTTTGTTGGGGGCATCCGCAGACCCATTAGCATGCCTCCTCTTGGCACCCCGGGGCAGCCCGTTGAACATTAACCCCCGGGTGAGGTCCCCGTCTAACTTTTCTTTCAGGAGAGCGAGGGTTCCGTCTAGCACTGTTTCATCGAGCTTCTTCCCTTTCAGTTGTTTGACGTCAGGCCGTGACTTGAGCGCACGTTCTGCATCCAAAGCATTATCGGCATAGCTCTGAAATTGTGCATCCCTGACCCGGATAAGGTATCCATGAGACGCCAAAGCTTTCAGGGTCGGATGGAGCAGCGCTGGTTGTTCAAAGGTATGTCCATCATCCCCATGCCCATTTGCTTGGTCTTCGCTCTCGCCCGTCTCACTTTCGCCCTTCACGCCGTTTGCTTTGGGGAATTCGGGTTGCAGCTCCGGAAGAGTCTCGAGGTAGCTCACTTGGGCGTGTCCGAGGAACATGATGGTTGACATAAGAGTAGCCGCATATTTCCCCAGCCGATCCTGGATGAGCTCGAGTATCTTCCCTGACCGAACGAGATAGTACGCCGCCTGCAAGTTGGGCTCGTAGTAGGTGGCGCCATCGTCTAGGGAGGTGTAATGGTATACAAGGTGGTGCTGGATCATGGCGGCGAGACCATGGCGAAGCTGGCGGTCAGAGAGGCGCGAGTAGAACTTCAGTCGAGGGAATGACAGTCGATCGTAGCGTTGGAGGGTCGAGAAGATACGCTGGTGATCACGAGGGCAGAGTCAGTTTCATGGCCGCTCTGACCTGATCAAAGTACCTCGACTAGGGGAGCAGCATACCGCAAAAAGCTCACCGAAGTTATCTTCGACCAGGAGCGCACATAGCTCCGCCGCGTACTGATTTGGGCTCAGCGTTAGTATGTTAAGCTTGAAGATGAGATGCGGAGAGGGGAGGGGAGGGGAGAGGAGGAGAGGGGGAGGGGGAGGGGCGCATACCTGAGAAATCATGGTTGAGGAGGGCTTCTAGAGAATTCTGGCAGGTTCAATTCTCCAGAAGAGAGAGACGGGTCACCGATGGAATCGCATGAGGTGAATGGCGGGGTCACAGACACCAGGTGAAGAGCTGAATTGGAGCGACACTTTTTTTTTTTCTGGCGATGCGCATCGGAGGCCTGGAGGCTCCTCCGGGCGGGCACGGACGCATCACGTGCTCTCCCGTCTCGAGCAGCGGCGTCACCTGACCTGGGTGTCAGCTGACCCGGAGGACCGGGAAACGCCGGTTCCGCCCGCACTCGCGATTCGGGCCAATCACGGGGCGAGTAATCAAGACCAGCCGGCATCTTGAAGCTTTTCAGACATCGTTTCTGATCCGCCCATCGACCGCCAGCTGATTTCCCCGCCTCTCTCTCCTCCCAGCCCTCCCAATTGCTGTCGAGCTTCTCGGCTACTTACGCTCCTCGCCTACCTTCATCTCCTCCACACATGCGATGATGCTGTCGCGGTCTACTTTCAGCAGAAATGCGCCCCGTGCGCTCCAGAAGCAGTGCTCTGCTGCCGGCGCCAGTAGCCGTCGGGGCATGGCCTCTGCTGCCACTCCCGGCCTTCAGTACGATGTGACCGAGTCGGCTGGCGTCAAGCTCGCCCACAGAGAGGTTGCTGGCCCTACTGGCACTCTGGCGTTGGTTGCAAAGGCCGGTCCCCGTTACCAGCCCTTCCCTGGCTTCTCCGATGCCCTCGAACAGTTCGCTTTCAAGGTACTATGAATCCCCCTGAGCCCCCAATTACAACCCCCTCCTTCCATTCCCTCCATCATAAGAAACAGTCTGGATCTAACGATAGTTCCCTTCTCAATGGACAGTCCACGCTCAAACGGTCGGCACTGCGGATCAATCGGGAGGTCGAACTGCTGGGCGGTGAAGTTTCCTCCACACACTCGCGCGAGAACGTCGTTCTCAAGGCGAAGTTCCTTTCGAACGATCTCCCCTACTTCACTGAACTGCTCGCCGAGGTTGCTTCTCAGACCAAGTTTGCCGGTAAGTCAGCAGCTGGGCGGCGCCCCCCGCGATTCGGTGGATCGGTCTAATTCGGCATTCTTAGCCCACGAGTTGAACGAGGTTATCCTCAAGACTCTCAAGTACAAGCAGCAGGCCTTTGCTGCCAACCCTGAGGCTGTTGCTCTTGATGCCGCCCATGCCGTGGCCTTCCACCGTGGCCTGGGTGAGACCATTACCCCTTCGACCACTGTTTCCTTCGAGAAGTACCTCTCTTCCGAGGCTCTGGCCGAGTACGCTCAGCAAGCCTTCGCCAAGTCCAACATCGCCCTTGTCGGCAGCGGCCCCAATTCCGCGGAAGTCTCCAAGTGGGTTGGTGACTTCTTCAAGGGGGTCTCCAGCACCGGTAGCTCCATCAAGAACACCGCCTCCAAGTACTACGGCGGTGAGCAGCGCATCTCCTCCAAGGCCGGCAACGCCGTTGTGATTGCATTCCCCGGCTCCGGTGCCTTCGGTACCCCTGCCTACAAGCCCGAGGCCTCCGTTCTGGCTGCTCTTCTCGGTGGAAAGTCCACTATCAAGTGGACCCCCGGCTTCTCCCTCCTCGCCCAGGCCACCCAGGGCTTCTCCCAGGTCCGTGCCTCGACTCAAAACCTCGCCTACTCCGACGCTGGTCTGTTCACTATTACTGTCTCTGGTAAGGCCGACCAGATCTCTTCCGTCGGCAAGAACGCCGTCGACCTGCTCAAGAAGGTTGCCGCCGGTGAGGTTTCCGGTGAGGAGATCAAGAAGGCCGCTGCCTTGGCCAAGTTCCGTGCTCTTGAGTCTGCCCAGAGCCTTGAGACTGGTCTCGAGGCTACCGGCTCTGCTCTTATCAACGGCAGCAAGCCTTACCAGATCGGTGAGGTTGCTCAGAGCATCGATGCCGTCACGGAGGCGCAAGTCAAGGATGTAAGTTCACCAATCCCTTATATATATATCTGCCCCTGTTCTCTTTCCCCCGTGGTATCAAATCCGAGCAGTGACTGATGTTTTATTTCCAGGTTGCCAAGTCCTTCCTCTCCGGCAAGGCCTCCGTCGCCACTGTTGGAGACCTCTTCCAGCTTCCCTACAGCGAGGACCTTGGCCTGACCGTTTAAACATGTATACAATACATATTAGACTGGCTTTGGAAAAAAACAGCGTCCTCCCATCCACCGCCCCCCACCCCCATCCCTTTTTATGTGTCTAGATCGACCCTCGCCGATATTCTCTTTTTGTGATGTCGCTGTAGCTGTGTGTCTGTAATACAATTGTACCTTAACCCTATATCGTTCAACCCCCCTGCCGCTGTAGGCCTGCACTACTTACGTCGACCGATGATTGCAAATGGAATTGGATGACGGGAAATACACAGAGTTATGTTTTATGAGGTCCCGTTTTGCTGGGTATTTCTAAGATCGCATCGGTCGTCGATTGCCCCCCTCATTAAAGAAGACTCAAAAAGGTGGGTAATGTGGTGATAATTACATCCATACCCTCCGTCCTACTACCTCGTAGGTATTGTTCATAGTACTACTAGTCCCCTTTCGTGCAGCGACCACTGATTTTTATTACCACCACCAAGGTGGCTGCAGGTGGCTACCAGGCCGAGGATACTGGCACGTACCTAGGCACGCTGCACACAACCTACCTACCGTAAGGAATACAGGCCATTGACGGACCCCAATACTTCGTACGTCGGAGCAACTTATCTCTGCCTGGGTAATTGATTGTGCCAGACTTAACCCATGAGCGCTAATTCGTTGGTTGCCCCGCAGCAGTGCTGATGGTGTCGGCAGCTCGGAAGTATCCATCTCCTGATTTAATGTCGTGGCAGGCTATCATCTACTTGGTAGACAGACGATGGATGATCTTACATCCCTGGACGGGATCAATTGAGCATGTTGAAACTCTGTCCGCATCTAGTAAATTAAATTGCCAACTAGTCAATGAATGATATATCTACAGGGTACATGATAGTTCTACGCCGATGGGCCGCGTCATGGACACGGCACAACACGGACAAATGGACTTTCTTCGATTGAGGGGAAAGCAGGGTATTTCAAAGACTAGGGGTCCATTAACATTATTAGAATACGATAGTTCCTTGCGGTATGCTCAGCATCGCGCAGAGCTTCTGGTCCATCAAGTTCCACACAGCATGGATATGAATGGGACAGTGAGCTGACTAGGCACCTGCCTTCTGACTGAAACCGCGCATGGCAGAAGGGTATCTCAAACCTTCTCTAGTGCTTAGCGGTGACTTTGTCGCCCGTCAGTTTTTCGACTGCCTCCTTGGCCCTGTTCGGAGCAACGGAGACCCACACGTTAGCTCCAATTCACTCCTCGGTAATCACATGAAGACCATAATAGACAGGCGGGGGAGGGGCCGGGTTATTCCACTTACATGTCACCAAGAGCCACCATGCACACGGTCTGCCAGATTCCCAGACCCACCCGGGGAGCTACACCCCGGTACAGCCCCTTGATGCCGTTGGTTTCGTAAATGTACTTGGCAGCCTTACCAACCGTGAGATTCTTGGGACGGTTGGGGTCCTCGGTTTTGCTCTGCATCTCAACACGGATCACCTCGATGGGCTGGTTCCAGGCTGATAGACCACCTCCGAGACCGGAAGCGAGGATCTTCTCCAAGGCAGAGAGCTTCTGGCCTTCTTCCTTGTTGGTGACCTTGCGAATAGCCGATTCAGCCAAACGAGAAAACCCAAATCGGGAACCCCAGTTGGTGGTCTGACGGATGGCGACCGCATTCACACCACGGTTGATACCACGAATGCCCTCCTTGCGGTAGATATCCATGAAAGTAGCGAAGGTACTGGGGGGCTTTACACCCTGGGCGGCCATCTTATGTTTGGTGATTTCGACCGTCTTCATGCAGGTGCAGAAACCCATAGTCGCATATGCCTGAGCAATACCACCGACCATACCTCCGGCCATACCGGCAAGGATGTCAGGCGCACCAAGCACCTTGGCACGGAACTCTGCCTCCGATGCGACGAAAAGGAGGACAGCGCCCTTGGTTGAAGCCTCAATCCAGGCCCACGGAATGAGACCTTGGTAATCTATAGTCGCTCCATGTCAGATATGTTACGCCATACTAGTCGGGGTACGGAGGTGGGGAAAGAAGCACTAACAACCGAGCAACCCGCCACGACCCCAAATCCGGCCCATAGCACCAGCGAAGCTGTCGCCCCGGTTGGCAGCCATGGTCGTCTTGATCACTTCCAGCGGCTATAGGCACTGTGTCAGCAATTCCACTATGTATCGGCTCGGGAATCTCGCATCCGTACCTGACCCAAGGTGGTAACCCTATTCACGTCAGTATCATTCACCAAGGCAACCGGGGACAATGGGGAAGTGGGAAGGCGGATATGCATACTCGAATAGGTTCAGTCCTGCGCCCACTGTAGTAAAGCCATCAGAAAAGGATTCCGCAAGCCGTGGACCGGGCATGAGCAGATGTTACGTACGCAGCAGATTGCTGAACTTCACAGGCTTCTTCTCGAGCTGTTGGCCGGTGGAGGCCGGAGTAGCGGTAGCGGGAGACATCCTTGACCTTGGGAGTGCTGAAAGGGGCCCTGACCAAGGGAATGAGGGGGCTTCGTCGCCTTAAGGGATCACGAAAAGCCGAGGGTTGTCGGGGGCCGAGAACGTCAAAGACGGGGGTCCGCAGGGGATATGAGAGGTTGGTGAAGGTGGTAGGTTGTTGTTGTTGGGAGGGTCACTGGGACCAGGGCAGGTGAGCAGGAAGGTAAGTATATATAGTATATAGTAGGGATGGATGGGGAAGGAAGGAGGGAAAGAGAGAGGAAGGAAACGGCGACATGAAAATATAAAGGCGTTCAGGTCAGGGTGGGTACGTACGTCTCGGTCTCTCTGTCGCGGCGCTCTCTTGCTCTCGTTCTGTGTTCTCGCAGGCCAGGTACGTACTACCAGAAGGGTCAAAGAGTTGGTTGCTTTTTCCTGGATCAAGCAACCCCGTACCAAGGAGTACTCCGTAGTAATGAGCACACTCACCACGGAAACCCGCCAGAGCCCAATGAACGGCCGCCATCTGCGGATGGGGGATGCCGCTAGCCTGATCGGGGGGCCCAGGCACTAGACTGATTGCGGGCCGGCGGTGAACCACAGCCGAGGGCGTTCAGTTGAGGCCCGGGGCAACCCGGGCTGGCCCCAACAAATACGCTGTGACCCGTGAAGTGTTGAGGCTTGCAGCTGCGCTCCACCGCCGAGGACCTCCCGCCCTAGCTTCCTCAGACCTCAGCTCCTGCGCAATAATACGCCCGGAGTACGGCGCCCGTATAATCTGGCCGCGGAGTTTTTTCTTCCGATGCAGATACTACATACTATCTATCTCCCACTAAGTATGTACGTCGCACGGGAAAGATTATAATACTAATCATGTATGTTTTCCTGCCCGTGCCGATCTCCTGGCCGGTCCTACCACCCTCCCTTCCGGTAGTCATTACGAGAGAAATACGGATACGAAAGTCGAAACGATCTGACTTGGAATAGAAGTGCTGTTACAAGGCCCGCTCGAACCGTGTCCTATCATACATTAATCGAACCAACCCCAACACTTGACTCGTCCCCAGTCTCTCTCAAGGAGATAAACCAAAACAGGGTGGGCATAATACAAGATGTAGTGTTTATCGTAAAAAGAAACAAAAATTTCCCTCCGCTTTCATGTCATCCAAGGCGTTCACAGCTTAGCACCGACAAGCTTGGCGTAAGCCTCAGTGCTGAAACTCTTGGGGCGCTCGATGGGGGCACCGAGAGCGCGGTCGATGATCAGCTGGGGAAGGACACCGAGAGCACGGGAAACACCGAACAGGACGGTGTAGTAGTTGGCCTCAGTCAGGCCGTAGTACTGCAGGAGAACACCGGAGTGCTGGACAGGGGTCAGTACCGAGCTCGTGTTTTTGCCAGTCACAAGGGGAACAGAAAGAACTTACGGCATCGACGTTGGGGAAGGGGTTCTTGGTCTTGCCGTGCTCGGTGAGAACGCCAGGAGCGATCTTGTAGACCTGGCTGACCAGCTTGAACATGGGGTCATCGGGCAGCTTGCGGAGGGCAAACTCGCGCTGAGACACGTAGCGAGGGTCGGTCTTACGAAGGACGGCGTGACCGTATCCGGGGACGACCTGGCCGGCGTTGAGGGTAGACCACAAGTAGTTCTTGATGGCCTCATCGCTAAGGTCGTTACCGATGACAGACTTCATCTTGGTGAGCCAGTTAAGGACTTCCTGGTTGGCCCTATAAGATAAGAGTGGAGACATTAGTGGGAATGTTTGGGCAAAGCATCAATGGTGGCGGGGGCTTACAATCCGTGAAGAGGGCCAGCCAGACCATTCAGACCGGCGGCCAGGGAGAGCATGGGAGAGCTCAGAGCGCTACCAACCAGGTGGGTGGTGTGGGCGCTGACGTTTCCACCCTCGTGGTCAGAGTGGATGGTCAGGTAAAGACGCATAAGCTCAACAAAGTCCTTGTTGTCACCGAATCCGAGCTGGTTGGCCAGGTTGAAAGAGTAGTCCTTGTCCTTCTGGATAGCAGCGACCTTGCCATCCTTGAAGACGTTGCGGTAGATCTTGGCGGCGATAGTGGGCAGCTTAGCAATGAGGTCCATGGAGTCCTCAAAGGTGTAGTTCCAGTAGTCCTTCTTGTTGATACCCTTGGCGTAGGCCTTGGCGAAGGCCGACTCGTGCTCAAGGGCAGTGACGGCAAGAGAGAACTGAGCCATGGGGTGCAGGGTGCTGGGGCAGCGGTCGATGAGCTCCTCAATGAACTTGGGGAGGTCGGAGCGGGCAGCCCACTCAGCAGACAGATCGCGGACCTGCTGCTCGGAGGGGACCTCGCCGGTCAAGAGGAGCCAGAAGAGACCTACAGGATATTGTTAAAAGATTGATTCTAATAGTGCTATTGCCATCGGATGAATTACCTTCGGGGAGAGGCTCCTGACCACCGGGGGCCTTGGGGAGAAGCTCCTGGCATTCGGGGATCTAAATAGACAGTGAGCACATGGTGATCGTGGCTCCGGTAGAGCCAAGTAACACTTACGGTACGGCCACGGAAACGGATACCCTCCTCAGAGTCCAAAACAGAGCCCTAGACGTCAATGTTAGACAAACGTCCAATAGGTTGGGGCCTTAGAACCTACCTCCCACACGAGGCACTTCACGCCACGGGCACCACCATAGGCCTGGTCGAGGGTGAGCTCGCCAATGACCTTGCTGCCGTGCTCCCTGTAGACATTCATCGACTGATTAACGCTTGTTGCTGCACACATGTTTGCAGGGAGAAGAGGTGAGCGTACTTCCTGAGCTTCTTGACCTTCTCGATTTCACCGGGGAGCTTCTCGGCGAAAGTCTCCTTCAAGGACTAGGAAACAAAATTGCCTCAGTATGATAGCACAAGAGTGATCGTTATCGGGGCTACACAAACCTTGGACTTGCCGGTAGAGTAGCAGCGCAAGCCATTGAAGGCGGCGGACTGAACGGTCGGCTTAGCGGCCAGGGTGGTGGAACGGAGGGCAGAGGTGCCCAGTCTCAAGGTGGAAGCCATGGCGAATGTGAACAACCTGATGAAAGTTGAGAGGTGGATGAGGAGAGGAGAGGAACGATAGGACACGGTAGAGAAAAGAAAAAGGGAAGAGGGTTGCTAGGATCTCGGGAGAAGCTCTTTTGCGGCCCTTTTTTTCCATCTGGCCGTACCAGTACAGCCGGTACGCGGACTGTACAGTAACACCCGGCAACGAAGCAAGGCAATGGTGGATATCTGTATATTACGGTAACGCTAGTCTCGAGGTGGCCGGTGTCCCGAGTCTCAGCCAGGATTTCGGCGCGGTTTCCAGCGGTAACCCTCGCAGACTCTCTGGTTCTGACATGTTTTGGTGGTGACCCTTACCCGCCAGATTCCGTTGTACGGACTGTCCTCGGTGGTCTGTGTAATCCGTACTATCAACACAATCTGTACCTTTAAGTCCCCCGAAAGTACCTAGATTGCGAAATAAGGGCAGGTACATGTGTAGGTAGCGGTTCTACTGTTCTACGGCACTCAATTGATGGCCCTGGGTACCTCAGGGGTGCTTTGATGAACCCGATGCTTGTACAGGAATGAATCTGTTCCCCGGGTTGCGTAGCATGTATTGTGACGATCATCGGCGCCGTCCCATCCGTAAACGGAGTGCTTTGAGGTGTGTGTGACCCGTGGCTACGGAGTGTACTTAGTGACGTCGGCAGTCGCAACACTCATCATAATGGCCATCCGCCGAGCACTAACTAACTAGTTATGGAGTTTTACTCCATCTTAGATAATTATCATTAGTACGGGGCACATATCTACTCCATAGTCCCTACAGTACGGAGTACGGAGTAGTACGGAGTAGTATCTCGCACCTTAGTTCCTTGCGTCAAAGTATATCTACGTAAGGACGGAGTAGTAAACAATCATGCTCTCACTCTCTGTAGTCTGTATACCAGTACCTAGCTACGTCATCCAGGAATCAATGATATAGCGTCTAAGAATTGGTGTTACTAGGGGCCATGAGGTATCGAGTCTATAGAGCCCAAAGCCATTCAAATTGTGTACAGCAGCACCGTATTCATGACAATAATAAAAATCAATCCGAGCCTGAAGAACAGCCTGGAAATGTTTCCAGGGGTCAACTCTCTACACATGTGGGACGGCATCCATTACGGGATAGTACGGAGTGGTTGTACGGAGTAAGGCATCTACGTGGAGGTATCTAGGTCACGAAATCTGGAAGCATTTGTTACCTCATTCGACTCACCGAACCGACCCTCGGATGGGCCGAGGTCACGTGGCTACCACGTGATTTACAGAATACATATTGCTCACGTGACCGTGTTTTACAGCCTCAGGCTAAAAGAAGCTGGCTATTCCTGTCTGGGACTAGCGCATGCATTCTGATTTTTCTCCTCACCTGACTGACCACCTCTTGACTAAATCCCTTCCCTCCTCCCTCTCTATCCTTCCAACAACCTCAACTTCTCTTTACCTTTCTTCATCTCCTGGCTCCTTTCCACCGCAAATTACGGCCCACTGTAATACTCACCTCTTGAGTTCCTCTTTTTTATCACTCGGCTTGTTGCTTTTTAGGTCGTACTTTGTACACGCACTCTTTCGCGAGTTGCAAGGCCCTGGACAGCATCGCTTGGCCGTATTCCAGCTGTAGGCGGGAGGCCCCCCCTGGTCGCCAGAGTACGCTCGTGGAGTCCGTAGTGACACGACCAGAAGTCCGCTTAGGAGATTCCTTCCCACTGTTTCGGGAGGCTACGAACTCTTGCAGGTTTATCTGATATCCCTCTAAACAATCATCACAGACGTTTAAACTGCACTGGACCTTCCGGTAGTAACGGCTTATTGGGCACCTGGTACTATTCCGTCGCCTCTACCATATCCTTGAAGCGATAGTCATAACAGAAACCTCCTGCGTGTATCCTGTCCTCCCCGTACTGGGTTCGCAACACACAAACACCGCCCGCCATGTCGTCTGCTGTAGCAGAACTGGATAACTATCTCCAGTCTATGCTTGCACTCAAGCCTCCGGGTGTTTCAGGCTCTAAGATCAACAGTATAACATCACTTTGCACTGCCAACGTTCAGGTATTACATATCTCCCCCGCACAATCTGTCCCTAGAACCCTAGGCTAACCTCTGGTTCTTCTCCCCCACAGAATGAATCCGTTCTTATCCAGAAGATCTACACACACTTCAAGAAAGCACCAGGAACACACAAGTTGGGCGTACTCTATGTCGTAGACTCTGTAACTCGACAGTGGGTAGAAGCAGCGCGCAAAGCAGGGCAGCCATCCGGTAGTGCTGCCCCTGATGGGACCTTCGCCGCTGGTGTCAACAGAGTGACTGAGCTGTTACCCGTCCTGATGACTGACATCATAAACAACGCTCCTGAAGACCAAAAGGTACGCTCTAGACGCAATACGCACACTATATCATCAAACTTTCACAGTGGCCACGGGCAAAACATAGGGCCGATAGGAAGCAGTGACTTGCTCTGGAAATCCCGTGGTGGCCTGTCCTAAGAGTTGATATCCGTATCTACCGCTGTATACCTGCTCCCCAACTGCCCCGCATAAATTCCGTGGCCACTATGCCCCCTCTCTGCTTCACTTGATTCTTGTTTCGTCTTTTTGTCTGGTGACGAATAGTCCAACTTACGTATACGATCGCCTTGCCATATAGGAAAAAATCAAGAAACTGGTCGACATCTGGGAACGTGGATACACTTTCCCTGCCCCTATGTTGGCATCATTCAAGGAGAAACTAAACGCCCCTCCATCGCAAAGTAAGCAATATCTTCACCTCGGGCTGACTTTGCCTTGTATCACGGCGCGGAGCGGAATTGATTTGCATGACAATATCGTGGGTTCACGTATCTAATCGTTGCTCTTGTTCCCGGCCCTCTAGATGTCGAATCTACCACCCCCGAAGGGTCGCCTGCGCCGAATTACATGCCACTGGGAGCTCCGCAGCCACCATCAGTGAACGGCGCGCCTTCGACCATTCCCGCACAACAGGCCCCGGATACCTCCAGTATTCTGAAAGCCTTAGCCGATATGGCCAAGCAAAACACCGCAGCCCCCGCAGCATCGGCTGTGGCGGCGCATACTAACCCTCTTAATGCGTTAAACCAGCAGAGCACGGTTCCGCAGCCCGCGTCATCGTCCGTAGACCAGGCTTCACAACCCCAGAATGGGCAGGCTGGTGTAAACCCCTATGCTGCTGGAAGCATGGCGACGCCGTTCGCGGGCTTGAGTAATATGGCTCAGAACCCAGCACTGGTGCAGCCGCAGACTCAGAGCCAGAGCCACACCCCCAACCCATTGACTGCCGCGCAAAATCCACTGGCGGCGCTACTGCCGCAGGCGACTGCAGCTCCGGCTATGCCGACTGCGATAGGGCCGGATGCGCTGCAGCAGCAGCTCCAGCTTCTACAAATGCTGGCTGCCCAAGGCATTCCGCAAGACCAGTGGGCGACGGCGCTGCAGATCCTGAGTCTGTCGAATGCGGCCAACATGGGCGGGCTCAACCCCGGCCAGGCTCCCCCGTTCAACCTGCCGGGCCAGAATGTTGCCGGCAGCAACAACAGCAACAACGCTTGGGGCGCCCGTCCCGACTCGCAGTCACGTGAATTTGACCGCGACCGCGACTACGTGCGCTCTCCTCCCGGCCAGTATCGCCGCCGCTCTCGCTCCCCCGGCTGGGACCGACGTCGCGAGGCTTCCCCCCCTCGTCGCCGTGACAGCCCCGTCTATGGTGAGTACCATGGCGACTCTCCCGGTCGCCGCGGCGGTGATCCGCGTGGTCGCCGAGGCAATGAGTATCGCCAGCGCAGCCCTCCCGGCCGCCGACGCCGGTCTCCGTCTCCTCGCAAGGACCCGGCCCTGCCCCCCCCGGCCCCAAGTTCATCGAATGGGACTACTCGATCGGACAGGGAAACATGAAAGGTGCGTTGGACCTCTGCTCTTCTTCTCCGTTGTCCTTGGTTTCGCTAACATCCTGTCGTGCAGTCCTGAGTCGTACTTTGTTCGTCGGCGGTGTCACGTAAGTTTTTTTCCCCAGTCGGCCCTGGACTGGCGGCTCACATTACTATACTGGCAGGTCCTCGGAGGCGCATCTCCGTTCTCTTTTTGGCAAGTTTGGCCTGGTCCAGACCTGCATCGTCAACATTGACAAGCGTCATGCTTTCATTAAGATGATCAGCCGTCAGGACGCGATCAGTGCTCGGGAAGGCATGGAGTCCTACAAATCCGGCGATATGCAACTCCGAGTAAGCCCTCCCTCACATCTCACCCTTCCGTGATATGAGATTGTTCCGTCTAACACTTGGCCGTCCTTTAGACTCGCTGGGGAGTGGGATTCGGTCCCCGGGATTGCAGCGACTACCAGACGGGCATCAGTGTGATCCCTGTCGAACGACTCACCGAAGCGGACCGCAAATGGATGCTCACTGCGGAATACGGCGGCACGGGTGGAAGGCCCATTGAGACCGGCATGGTTGTGGAGGAACCCGACATTGAGATTGGTGCGGGTGTCTCTTCCAAAGGTCCGTTGCTTCTGTCACGATTGTTTCCCTCGCGTTAGTTACTAACTCTGCCACAGCCATCAGCAGAAGGATCGCTACCGACACGGGAGGTAAACGCGGCCCGGTGTCGTCTCGCACCCAGCAAGACCGATTTCGTCGCCAGGACCGCGAAGGACCTCCCGCAGCAGGGATGCCCATGGGCGGTGGCTCGGCAGACCGGGACATCCCCAGCGCCAATAACGTCGGCGTCCCTCCTGCCGTGCCCGGCTTTGGCTTTTCCTTCCCCGGTATGCCCATGTTCCCCCCCGGGTTCATGATGGGAGGCGCACAAGCCGGATCCTCGGGCGGCTCCGCAGCACCTCCTCCGGGCCAAGGAAACAACTGAGTTTTCCCTGCTCAAGCGTGATCGATACGAAAGTTGCTATTGCAGCGGTGATGAACAGTTGCTCGCCACCCTCTCATTCTTCTCTTGTCTTGATACCAATATTTCGTCTTCTTTCCGTGCTGCTTTTCTTTCTCCTCGCCTCCCTCGAGCTGTTACCAATTCTCCTTCTCGTGTACATTTGTTTCCACTCTCAAAATTCGGCGTTGGAGCTATCACATTGATTGCTTAGCGGAAGGCATGCGCTTGTACCACTGTACGTTGTCCAGGAGGCGAATCAGGAGCACGACATATTCCATAAAACTCCGCATTTCTTCTCCCCACACCCCGTGCTCCAGTTGCCAGATGGACAGCCCAATAGTTCGTTGCTCTTGTCGGGCGAAGGGGTGGTCTGAGTTTGCTGACTCGGAACTCTCACGTCTCATCTCCGTGCGGATTTCCCTTCTTCCTAGTATTGCCTCCATCCTAGTTCCCTTTTCCGTATGTGCAATGTGCTCACTTATGGCGGCTTCGTGATGCGACTTCTCATCCCCTGTTGTCTTTCAATATTTGCTCCTTTCCAACAATGAGCATGTTGACGGGCCTCTGCCTGTGTTCCTTTCATCGAACGTGGACCTTTCTCATGTGGATAAATTCAATAATATTCTCTTTTCTGAAATTTCTAGTTCCGGGTCGCTGTCCTGTAAAATAATCTAGCACATGTAAGGTAATTACTGATCCTGGGAGGTAAATATGTGTTCGGCGGGCTTGGGTTTCTACTACATCTTGGTGGTCACACCATGTCCGAAGTTCTTCAAGCAGTTCATTGATTCGTAGAATTATTCACATTTTTCAAGAGCTACATTCAGAACCTTGCAATACGACCCATTCTTCAAGTCTCCAGTTCAAACACCCACTCTATCCAGCAAGTAGTCCAGACAACTAACAACTTATGGGCTACGACTTCAAAGCACTGACAGCCTTAAAGGATTGCTCGAAATCTGCGATGATATCATCGATATGCTCAGTACCAACAGAGATGCGGATAGCATCCTCGGTGACCCCGGAGTCAAGACGCTCTTGTTCAGTAAGCTGCTCATGGGTTGTCGACCATGGGTGAATCGCAAGCGTCTTGGAATCTCCGACACTGGATCAAATCAGCTATTTGACGCTCATGAAAACTGCGTGTGGAGTCAAGGAGACTTACTTTGCAAGATTGGAGATCATTTTAAAGCCGTCCACTACCTGGCTACCACCAGAAGCACCTCCCTTGACCCCAAAGGACAGAACACCGCCAAAGCCACGGGTGAGATAGCGCTTGGCAGTCTCGTGGCTAGGGTGGTCTTGCAGCCCAGGGTACGATACCCAAGATACGTTCTCGTTTTGCAGAAGCCAGTTGGCTAGAGCAACGGCGTTGCTTGCGTGTCTCTGTGCACGCAGACTCAGAGTCTCGATGCCAATCAGAAGCTGCTGCGCAGCAAAGGGATTCAGAGCTGAGCCAAAATCACGCAGAATCTCCACCCGTACACGGATAGCAAAGGCAATGGAACCAAAGGTTTCCCAGAACTTTAGGCCATGATAGCCCTCGGAAGGTTCAACGAATTGGGGGAAGCGTGCTGCATTTTTGCCCCAATCAAACTTGCCACTGTCGACGACGACACCCGCGATAGTAGTGCCATGGCCGCCAATCCACTTCGTGGCGCTGTGCACAACAATATCAGCACCATGCTCAATGGGGCGGCAGAAGTAACCACCGGCTCCGAAGGTATTGTCAACCTGTATAGGACGCAACAGGTAAGCCGCGAATGCTCATTTCTGGGGAATGACCACACCCTACTGCACACACTTACCACAAGAGGAACACCCTTCTCATGGGCAATCTTAGCGATGGCCTCAAAGTCGGGTACATTATACCGGGGATTCCCGATAGTCTCGACATATACCGCCTTTGTATGGTCATCGATTGCTGCAGCGATGTCCTCTGGTTTGTCTCCATGGACAAATTTAGTTTTGATGCCTAGGCGAGGGAAGAGGACTTTGAATTGATTGTATGTGCCGCCATACAGGTTGCTGGTTGATACGATGTTGTCACCAGCATGGGCAAGGGCGGAAATGGCCATGAATTGTGCTGCCTGGCCTGACGAAGCAGCGACGGCTGCAACACCGCCCTCAAGAGCAGCGACACGCTTCTCAAAGACATCGACCGTTGGCTTCAGTGGTTTGACGCAAGGTTAGTGGTCCTGCTCTGAAGGAGTGCTTTCTGCCTACGGGATTATCCAACTTACATTCATGATCCGACTGTAGATGTTGCCAAACTCTTTGAGGCCAAAGAGTCTGGCGCCGTGCGCGGAGTCATTGAAGGCGTATGACTATTGGAAAGGCCATAAGAATCGACCAGGCTATTGGTGACAACCAAGTATGAGGTATATAACTCACAGTGGTCGCATAGATGGGGACTGCACGAGAATTGGTCGCCGAATCCGGCTCATGACTGAAAAGACGCACGTCAGCTTGGAGGCTTTACTCTGGAAGTGTAGAGGCATGTATTACCCCGCATGAAGCTGGAGGGTCTCGAAGTGAGGCTGCTTCGATTCAGACATGGTGTGCTCTTCTGCTTTCGTTCAGGCTCTCGACGTCACGACAAGAACAATAGGTGGGGGGTAAGTAAGGTTGTGTAAAAGCGGAAGAAGCCGAAAAGAACATCTGTCGGAGTGGAGGGGTTTCACTGTGGTAGAAGATAGATTATCATGGACAGCCAACTATGGTCTCTAGTACCAAGTCGGGGGTAGATACGATTGAGAGCGATGGCGTGATCAACCGATCGAAGAGAAAGGAAAAGGACCCCATAACGGAACGGGTTCCATTGATTGATCACTGGATGGGGTTGATTCCGATTATAATATTACCATGATAACCTCAAACACAGGAGGATCTAGGTATCTACTACGGATGGGGTCTCTAGTATAACATACCGATAGATATGCCTTGACTTACCTGGTGTGATTGATACCTACCTTTACATCATACGGGATGTACGGAGGACTATCTATCTGATGTTCGCAGGATTACGGCGCTAGTCCCTAGTTAGTAGTAGTCATGCGGAGATCGGGAAGTCCTTCTTTTAGGTCAGCCACTGATCCAATGCGGGGGATGGATTCCGAGGTCGGCTTGCCTCGGTGCCTGAGGAGGCACCCACCATACTCGGTACGTAGGTAGTATCAGTATCTAGTAGTACAGTAGTGTCGACTCCAACGTTATACCTACTTTTTCCGACCATCGGTATTATGGACCAGTTGCAAGGTAAAATGAGTACGTACCTACACCACAAGGCAGACAGACATCTTTACCTTGCTTTCTATTTAAAACCATACCATGAGGTCATCGTCCTGCTTAGCCTCAGCCCGGACCCAATCCCCGCTAATAATTCATACATGGTGCTTTGCAGCTCCTGGTGCCGCGGCACTTGCCGTCATAGGGCAGCCCGATGGATGATAATAATGGTAACTCCCTGGCAATTACTCCCACCCATCTTTCGGTTTCGCCAATCCGACGGGATCTGCAGCTGATGATGCAGACCCTGCAAATCAAACCACTCCAACACAAAATGTCGCCCACCCCCCCGGTGACGACTAAATTCTTCCCAAGTGGCTGGGTACGCTTGGGTACAAAGTACAAAACAGATAGGCAGGCAGCCTGGTGTTCGACTCAGCCAACCAACCGGATGAGCGGTCTGGAATAATCGTCTGATTGCCCTGTACTGTATCCCCGAGCCACCTCGACAGATCAATAAATTTGCCTGCCACCCCTCTGGGCGTGGAATCCAACCTTGAAATCAACAGCAAATCAAACAACAGCATAGAAGAAGGTCGGCCAGCCCCCACGTCATAGCCTGAAGTATACTAGCTTGGATCGAGAATTCACAGCAGCACCGGTTTGTGCAACAGCAGATGACGCTACCTATGCACTCAAATAAGCCCACATTCCCATTCCATTATGAGAGCCGTTCCCTTCGTCCCTGGACTAGCCCTCTGGCCATGCATTTAGCTGACCCATCCGACTGCAGCGACTTTATCGAGAAAACAAACAAATCTCGGGTTTCAGAACAAGACAACAACCCTCGCCATCGATACTAACGCTCAATATCAATCATGGCTTTGACTTTCCCTTGGATTTATCCTGTTCGGGTCGCTCAGGCCATCTTTGCAATAATCGTCCTTGCCTTAACCGCTTACTGTTTGTTGAATTCTACGCCAAGGATGCATCTAGTAGGGAATAGCTAACCCTCTGCAGATATCAGTTGGTACACGTACAGTGATACCGTCAACTTCATGCTCTTTAACGGCATATGGGCAGCTTTCTTTGCAACTCCCTACCTGGCTCTGGCGCCGGCCTTTTTCCCTCAATTGGCGCATCGATTCGTGATTCCGACTGTGGAAGCGATTACTATGATCTTCTGGTTTTCAGGGTTCATTGCCCTTGGTGTTTATCTTCCACCCTCGGAATTCTGTCACTGGAGTCGTTGCCGCGCTTTACAGGCTGCGACTGTGTTTGGGGCGTTTGAATGGTAGGTAGTTACACCCGCCTTAGCCGTTCCATATCTTTCATCTCTGGAGGAAAGCTTGGTATTATCGAGTGATGGACACAAAGCGGTTGGAAAGTACCTTGCTAACACAACATCCACAGGGCCCTGTTTCTAGCCACCACTGTCGCTGCTGTTCTCGACGCTTTGCGTTCCCGGTCCAGCCCTAATACGAAGACCACTCACGCGAATGTCCACGTTGGTGTCTAGCGAACAAATCAACGACTTTTCCTTGGTGCAAGTTCCTGAAAGATTATGACACGAGTCTTTGCATGCAGCGGCAGTTCTAGGGGAATGCTTGTGCCGTCATATGGTGTCTGGCGCAATTTTTAATTCGATATATCCAGGACTACCATACCGATGATGACGAACGTGGCTTCTGATACATATGAAGTGGTGGGGAAGGGAGCGACAAGGGAAACGGCGTCCGCTGGCGTTCTTTGAGGCTTTTAGGTGATGATTACTTTGAAGTTGTTTGAGCAATAATATACCCATATGTTTTGACTACCAGGCTGGAGATATGTAATTTGATAATAATGTCTGTACCTGCATGCTGTATCTACATAACAATAGATTTTGTGTCTCGCTCCTCGAGAAGCAAATTGCTCTCCATCTTGGGTTTTGTTGTTGCTTATTGAGCCACGATCGCGGGTGTCAGTTGCATAATACTCGCGCGGCCGAAATATATATCTACTAGTTGTAGATAGTAGTAGTGAGACTTGAGAAACAATGCCTCGTCTTGAATGGATGGCGGACTGACGGGTTCTCCGTCTTCCAGAGAATTAGCTTTGCGTACACAGTATGTTCGATCCACCGAAACCCCCACACCATGTAAAGCAAGGGTAGGCTTTTCAGTGAACTCGGATACGCATCACTGTCCATGAAAGTTTAAATAGTACGAATATATACGGAGCACTACTGACGAATGATGAAATCTTTATAGTGCACCGCGGTAGTCGCTCTTCGGTTGAGAGAATTTATTAAAGCTTGGTATATGTCGACAATAGTAATACGGATCATAGTATATCTCTGGGTAGAGTCAAGGCAGCAGTGGGATGAAAAACACGCCATTGTTATATAAGTAAATGTGTTCCAACACGATGTTATCTGGCCTCCATAATAACCATCCGCGCTTCTAGAAATCCGACACTGACCCATGGACTTGCACCGCGGATACCCGTCAATCCGATTTTCTGCTCAAAAAAATAGAAAAAGTTTGCGACGGAAAACCGAGATAGGGCTGGCCGGACCGGATCTCGCCGATTGGCTCTGAGCCTAACTAGGCTTGGTGTCAAGTGGGAGTGGCAGTGGTGGTGGCATACAAAATTCCACTGACGGGGTTTTTTGCCACTGAACTGTATTTATCCATGCTGCACTGCGACTACTTACTACTTACTAGTACACAGTAGTATATACACAGTGCATGCCTACCTAGATAATATCTAGTCTATCTTACATGTCTTCGCAACTGGGAATGAAAAAAAAGCCAAGCCGAAGGAGGCTGGAGCTGCAAGGTGCGTTACGAGAGAAAAACTCTGCCTCCGCCCGAGATTCCTTATCGAGGACCCAAGGGCCCACATTGATGAAGGGCGTTGTTGGACGAACCGCGACCGGTAACCGATCATTCGTCGCCATCCCCCTTCAAATTTCAAGGTTTCTAGCCGTGGATGGGGAAGTTATGATATGATGAGGGGGGGGGGGGGATATTTAGCGCACTCGAGGGTGGCGCGGCGCGCACACGACTTCTCCGGGCTGCGGTGTATGTACTATTCAGACTCCAGGAGATGGCCGATGGCAATGCATCCATCCATGTATCTTCAGAGCCCAGAAGAACGAGCTACGAAAAAACAAAGGGCTGCGCATGAGCCATCAAGTGCCCGATACTCTGCACCGCAGTTTGTCCGTCTGGTTTGGGGCGTTCCAAGGTGAGCGTGGCTCGAGGTTGCATCCGGCCGCGGTCCCCATCGACCACCCCCCCTCATCATGACCGTTCCTTTTACATAAAATTTTTTGGGGTTTCGAAACATAATTCGATTATATTCGCTATCGCCGTTATTCGTCGCTCTGCTTATCTTCGGAGGGTGGCCAGTCTATCAGCCACCTTATGACTGTCTGTCTATACATATAACGTCTCTTCCTTGTACCTGGGTTGAATTTGGATTTGATCCACCTTAGTGTCTTCCGAGGGGCGACAAAGGTTTTAAGAGCCCGATCTTCCAGAAGGTCAAATAGTACTGGACTGACCCGGCCTTTGGTGACTCAATTGAACCGTGTTCCGGTGGAGTCGGTCCTGACGGCGAGCTTGCCGTTTTCCTTCTTTTTCGCAACTTGACTTTTTGCGCCTTTTCCCGACGCTGGACACTCCACGCTTGACGATCCATCTCGAGGACGCAAAGCATCCTCAACAACTGGGCCGCTGAGGGTCTAACATGGCCTTCGAGAACGACTTCAACTCCACGTCCAGGTCCGCCGAGGGGACAAAGGGAAAAATGATGCCGGACGAAGCCGTGCAGGTTCAGGCCATGAACCCCTCCTCGGACTTGAACGACATCGACTGCGAGAAGCATGGTGCGAGTCGCGAGTCAAACCCATTGCCGGATCTCAAGCGGAAGCTGAAAAGCAGACACCTTCAGATGATTGCCATTGGTGAGTCGCCTCCTGTTCTTCTGTCGATTATCCCCCGTCTCCCGCCTGGACATCACCTTTCCGCCTGCAAAGATGCGTCGTGGACATGGCATGCTGAATCAATACTAGGTGGGACAATTGGGACAGGTCTGTTCATCGGTAGTGGCACCGCTGTTGCCAACGGAGGTCCTGTGGGCGCTCTCATCGCCTACATCTTCGTCGGTACGATCGTATACTCGGTCATGACTTCCCTCGGCGAAATTGCGACATATATCCCCATTCCTGGAGCATTCACAGCATACGCTGCCCGGATGGTTGATCCTAGCCTTGGCTTTGCTATGGGGTGGATTTATTGGTTTTCATGGGCTAGCACGTTCGCCCTCGAGCTGACAGCAACGGGACTGATCATTCAATTCTGGGATAGCTCAATTAACATCGCCATCTTCATCGCCATCTTCTGGGTCCTGATTACGTGTTTGAACTTCCTTCCCGTTAGCTTCTACGGCGAATTGGAATTCTGGCTCTCAAGTGTCAAGGTCATTACTGTTGTTGGGTTCATGATCTTTGGTATTTGTATCGATGCTGGCGCCGGCGATGAAGGCTATCTCGGGTTTCACTACTGGGTCCATCCGGGACCATTCGCTCCTTACTCTGGTGTTTCCCCTGACTCAACGGCAAAATTTGTCGGCTTTTGGTCGGTTCTCATCCAAGCCGGCTTTTCATATCAAGGAACGGAGTTGGTCGGTATCGCAGCAGCTGAGACTGAGAACCCTCGCAAAACAGTTCCAGCAGCTATTCGCAAAACCTTTTACCGCATCTTGTTCTTCTTTGTTCTTACTATCTTCTTTATCGGTATTCTGGTGCCCTACACCAACCCGAACCTCCTGACTGATGGAAACGATGCCAACTCGTCGCCATTTGTTATTGCAGCGCGACTTGCAGGTGTCAAGGTTCTACCGAGCATCATCAACGCTGTTCTACTAACTGTGGTGCTTTCTGCCGCCAACTCGAATGTCTACAGTGGCAGTCGTATTCTGATTGGCTTGGCTCAGGAAGGGTTTGCCCCACGCTGGTTTAAGAAGACCACGAAGAAGGGCGTGCCTTACTTCAGCGTTGCCTTCACGGCAGCCTTTGGTCTTCTCGGCTTCATGAATGTCTCCAATTCTGGTAGCACAGTGTTCAACTGGCTCGTCAACATTGCTGGTGTGGCAGGATTTATTACCTGGGCATCATTGAATGGCTGTCACCTTGCTTTCATGCGCGCCTTGAAGGCCCGCAACATCTCCCGTGACCTTCTTCCCTATAAGGCCATATGGCAGCCTTACTATTCCTGGTATGGGCTGTTTTTCAACGTCCTGATCATCCTCACTCAAGGCTTCACTGCCTGGATTACTAGCTTCAGCGTCACGGACTTCTTCATCGACTATATCAGCTTGATTCTCTTTGTGGTGCTCTACATAGGCCATAAGGTCTACTTCCGAACTTCCTTTGTGAAACCTCTCGAGGCCGACATCGACACCGGCCGCTTGGAACTTGAAAACGAGACATGGGAAACCGAAGTTCCAACCAAGTGGTACCAGAAAATTTACCACTCGTTCTTGGCTTGAGGGGAACTGGATATATCAAGTGAGGCCTGCGGCGGTCCGTCCGCCCCTTCCCACCTACTTCCTCCCTTTGTTCTTTCTTTTCATTTCTATACCCTCGACCTTGTTTGCAGAGAGGGATTCCTGGCGCAATACGCCTAATATTTGTGATGGACATAGATGGGGGGCACATGCATATACATCTTCGCCTGCATAGCTGTTGCCTGTTTATAGAAGCGGATCTGCATGAGTCCATGATGTATGAAAGTCAGACGGGCGCGCCCCTCTGACTTCAGCGGGCTTTAATTGTTGTTATTTGGCTCTGAGCTCTGAGCTCAAGCTTCTTGTACAGTATGAATACTGGGATGTCAGCATTGGCATGGAGTTAGGTGAATGGTTCTGTTGTTGATTATTCTTTTCTGTGGAAAGGCCATAATTTCAAAATCTTGTGAATCGGAGGTTTTTCTTATCATATAATTGTTTCTATCCTACTGCTTCTGGGGTGTAGTGCAGATGTGTCAAGCTGCTGTTGATGTGTACCTGCGATCCTCGCTCAGATGGCGGTGGCTCGGCCGAGTCCTACTACTGGGTCCTACTGTGTGCGTACAGCATATATGTACATAAATAGTCGCAGTACATGCACAGAGTACTGCTGAAACACTGCACTGTTATTATTACCGCCCGGGGGAGAAAATTATGCACAGAGACCATAAATACTGAGTATTGTTGCCTACACGTGTGGGCTCCCTTCGCTTTGATGAAGTAGAGTACTCCGTACCAGGGAAACAACTCATGCATGATCTCGTCACTAGTAGATAGCAAGCAATATACCGTGTTCTTCACATGGAAACCCTCACACGTGCACGCATCGAAGCGTCCGGCTAGATTGGGGGGCGAGGCCAAAAGTCTGCCAAGCGCGGATCAGATGGTCTTCGGATATGGGGTTCGGCAGAGCATGTGAGATGGTCAAAGGGTGGATGAAGGGCGGGATTATCACAAGACAACCGATCATCTGTACCCAAGTCCATGCTGAGGTATCAAATTGAAATGATGGATTCCAATTTCAGGCCGACAAGGTAAAGATACTAGGCCAGAACAGCAGCGGCTGACCCGACAGGGCGTTTCATGGCGCTTGGGCTTTCATTTCTGCCTGTACATAAGTACGGAGTACTGTGTACATTAGTACATTATTGATTTACATCGTGCGGGCCTGCGATCACCATGATGTTGTTGTAGCATGTCCAAATCCCTGCAATTATTTGCCACGGGATGGGGGGAGGAAAGAGAGCGGTCTTTGCCATTATTGTTATTTCCGCTCAGCAAGTCCGGAGTAGATACTCCGTAGCAACCCCAAATTCATGCGACGGTGCCTCCCCCCCGGTCCAACGGCTTTAACCCGATGGAGCATATGTTCGATGTTGACCCCGGATGAGCATCTCAGATAGGAAAGTGCCGAGGTTCATCGAGTCCAATTCAACCTGACGTCGCGTGGAGGCGAACGGGCCCGGCCACTCAGCGCCCGCCCTTTTGCCTGCATTTTTTTGCTGCACGCATTATTCCCGGAGGCCCACAGCGGCGTGCTTGAGGCCTCGAAGGACTGGTACAGTGGTAACCTGTGGCCTGTCCAGGGAACAGTTGTGTACACCACTCCGTACTGTGGACGAACATCCTCACCATATCGGGAAGGTACCGGACGCTCTGCTCTGCCCGTCCGTCCCTCTGTCGTCGTCCCTTTTCAATATTCCGCGCCGCCCGCCGCCTCCCCTTCTCCTTCTTCTCCTTCTGTCTCTACAACTACTACAGTAATACCTACTACTTCTAACATTACTCTATCCTGCATCTTCTGCCCTTGAGCCCTGTGCTTGCTCGCCCCTCCCCCCCCTCCTTCCTATTCCTCGTCTTTTGGCTTGGGATCCTGTTACCATCCCCGACCCGCCCTATACCGCACCTATTTGCCGTGACCTACCGTACTTATCCTCGGACTCCGAAATCGGATTGTCTTGATTGCATAGTTCAGTGACTCTCTGGTTAAGTGTATGCCTTCCCTGGGATGTAATAGTCTCATGCTCTGCGACTGCCCCTGTTTGCTGTTTACTACAATTCATTTCATGTCGCATTGCTCACTTCCAGTTCACCAGCCGCAATTCCGACCCCCCTGCCATGCTATTCTCTCAGCAGCCCCTTCACCTCGCGCGTGCCAATGAGCTGCGACAAGAACCCCCCAAAGGCACTCCTTACTCCGTGGCCCTGCCAGGAACAGAACAACCGGGGCGAAGTAAGGTCTACCGGGCATGGAACTCAACGGAAGGTATCCTGAAGTCTTTGGACCCGCAGGTATGCACTATTTGACGTCCGATAAGGGGCCATTGTGGCTTGGGGTTGGATTGCCTCTGACGTTTTTGGAACCTCCAGGTCCTCACGGCGCATGACATTTTCGAGTCCACCGCAAATAGATTGCCGAAAAACCACTGTCTGGGATGGCGCCCGTACAATCGTACAACAAAGACGTACGGCCCTTACCAATGGATGGATTACCAGACAGTCCAAAAACGACGGACTGACTTTGGTGCCGGTATAGTGGAGCTGCATCACAGACACGGGTGCAGTAGTCCCGGTCAGTACGGTGTTGGACTTTGGTGTCAAAATCGCCCGGAGTGGCAATTGACTGGTATGGGCATATAAACCCCATGTTTCTTCGGCTAGAGCGTTACTGATCCTTCCCAATCCAGATTTGGCATGCATGTCCCAAAGCCTGTATTCGGTTTCCATTTATGATGTCCTCGCCCCAGATGCGACTGAATATATCATTAATCACGCACATCTGCACTGTGTTGTGACTTCGTTGCCACATATTCCCACGCTGCTCAAGCTGAAGCCCCAATTGCCTAACCTCAAGATCATTATCAGCTTGGATCCTTTGGATGCTGGCGAAGAAAACGGTTACTCTAAGCACGCCCTCCTCGAGTCGGTAGCAGCCGGAAAAGATGTGTCTATCTACTCGATCGACCAAGTGGAAGAACTAGGCATTTCATCGCAACGTCCTTGCAACCCACCCTCTCCCCCTGATATCATCACTGTCAACTATACGTCTGGTACCACTGGCGCTCCGAAGGGCGTGGTTTTGACACACGAGAACGCTGTAGCAGCATCGTCAGGTGCCCTCATGATCTTCACACAAACAGCGGGTGATACTCTGGCCTCTTACCTTCCGTTAGCCCATATCTATGCTCGTATGGCTGAGCATGCAGCCTTTTGGGCAGGGGCCCGTATCGGATACTTCCATGGAAACATCCTGGAGCTCGTTGATGACCTAAAGCTGCTCAAGCCAACCGGTTTCATGTCCGTTCCTCGCCTTTACACTCGATTCGGGAACGCCATTCGCTCCTCCACTGTTGAGCAGCCTGGGTTCAAAGGTGCATTGTCAAGACATGTTGTCTCCACCAAGACCGCGAATCTGCGGAACCCCGACCCTAGCAAGGCCACTATAAAGCATGCCCTGTATGATCGTATCTGGGCCAAGAAGGTTGCCGCCGCTATTGGCCTGGATCGTGCGAGAATGATGGTCTCTGGCTCCGCGCCTTTGGACCCGTCACTTCACCAGTTCCTCCGGGTTACTCTTGGCGTCGATCTCATTCAGGGTTATGGTTTGACTGAGACGTACGCCATGGCGTGTGCGCAGCCCCTTACGGACTTGACTGCTGGCAATTGTGGATCGCTAGCTCCTTGCACGGAAGCTTGCTTGTTGTCTCTACCAGATATGGAATACTCTGTTGATGACAAGCCGCACCCTCGGGGCGAGCTCCTTCTCCGTGGCTCAAATGTTTTTCGCGAGTATTTCAGGGACCCGGAAGAGACTACCAAGGCGATGACCGAAGATGGCTGGTTCCGAACCGGCGATGTTTGCACCATCGATGACATGGGCCGCATTATTATCATTGACCGTCGAAAGAACGTCCTCAAGCTAGCACAGGGAGAATACATCTCGCCAGAGCGGCTGGAGGGTGTTTACTTATCAGAGATGGGCTATTTGGCTCAGGGTTATGTCCATGGCGACAGCATGCAGACATTCTTGGTGGCTATATTTGGCGTCCAGCCTGATACGTTTGCCGCATTTGCCGGCAAGGTGCTCGGCCGAACGGTCGAAGCCACGGATATTGAGGGTATCAAATCAATTGTCAACGATACCCGGATCCGTCAAGCTGTACTGAAGGATCTCGAGCGGATTGCCAGAAAGCACAAGCTTGCTGGGTACGAAAGAGTCAAAAACTGCGCTCTGATGGTTGATCCATTCACGATTGAGAACAACTTGCTCACCCCCACGTAAGAGTCCTTTCTTTCTCTTCCATTGCTCTGTGTGAATAAGCCACTGACCAATTCTCATCCGTTCAGTTTGAAGCTGAAACGTCCGCCCACCGCGAAGAAGTACCGTCAGCTCTTGGATGGGTTATATGCCCAGGCGACAGCTCAGGAGTCAGCTCCCAAGGCCAAGCTATAGGCATCACGCCGTTCCCTTTAACAATCCAACAATTTCTACCTTCCCTGTCGGCACCAAGGGAGCAGCTGGACTGGCACACAATCTCCAGGCCCACATTGTACATATATAATTGAGCATTTTCTATTCATTGCCCATATTTTGTCTCCATATTTTGTCGCCCAGGGCCAGCCGCCCCTTGGGCTCAGGCAGGGGGTGGGCTAGATGTTCTTGTCATGATCCGTGCGGATATGCCATACTAGGTACCATTTCAATGCATACAACGGCGATATGCCCCTCGAGTAAATATCCATAAGATGGTCTGTCTCCCTGAGCGTGTCAATCAATCATGGGGAGCAGCGCGGGCTCCTCCAGTGGTGTATGTACTAACCACTGGGTAGTCAGCCGCCAACGCTTGGCGTTCCCGACGAGGAATCATCCATCCCATCGAGCTAGCTACACTCCAACCAAACACCGGACACCCAGTCTCTCACGCCTCTATTGCTCCACAGCCACTTGCAGGGGTGAGCCGTCGTCGCCATGCATATATCCTTCTCTTCAGTCTTGGCCTTCTTCGCCCTCTCGGCTCCGGCACTGGCGACCTCTGCCCTCACCATCACCATCCCCCCTTCCAGCCTCCTCCCCAACCCCAACGCCCTTCCGGCCGGCACCCATGCAACTTTGACCACCCTTCCTTCATCCGAAGCTGCTTTTACATCACAGACAAGGGGCCACCTTGCCGCGCCCCTCACCCGCTCCGCGACCTTCTCCTTCCATCGACTGCCGCCCTCTACGAAACCGGAATCCTACCTACTCGAAATCCGCTCCCCGGAGTACATCTTCACCCCGTACCGCGTCGATATCGCTGCCGATGGCTCCCTTCTTGGCGTGTGGGAGACAATCCGCGGAAATCCGTGGGACAATCGCGGTGCGGAGAAGTTTGTCCTCGCCGACGCCGATGCCGATGCCGATGCCAATTCCGCAATCCGCGACGTGAATATCGAAGCGAAAGTCCTGGCAAAAAGAGGCTTCTTTGAGGAGCGATCCAAATGTATGGCCCCGCGTGATGTTTATTCAGTGGCAATGCATATTCTTTGGTTGCATTGGTATCAAAGGGTTGTTATAATATACGCATGCTAACGTTGGTTTCCACTCTAGTCTCCCCTCTGGCTCTGTTCAAGAATCCTATGATTCTGATTGCCTTGGTGGCGTTGGGGTTCACCTTCGGAATGCCGAAATTAATGGAAAACAGTCAGTCTTTCCCCCCCCCAAGACCCATGAGCGAACTTTATTGTTAACAGGGTCTCCTCTTCTTCTTCGACTCTAGTGGACCCTGAAATGCGTGCCGAGTTTGAAAAGCAGTCTCGTACTTCTCCCATAACGGGTGCAACGCGGAGTGCTATGTCCGGTGGTGGGGCGCCTGGCAATTTCGATCTGGCTGGCTGGATGGCCGGTGCTACCCCACGACCTACTGCGGGTGCGGACGCTCCCATATCTCCTCCGGCTACGATTTCGGGAGGAGAGAGCGGTGGTACTACGCGTAGAAGGGGATAAGCCTGAGGGAAGTAACAGGGAAGCGAAGCAGCATGGTGTCAAGAATACTATGTTTAATCATGTCTGTCTACCCAGGAAGAGCGGTTTTGATCAGCAGAACCCAAAGTGTCAAAACTCTCGCCCATATATTTCCGCCTAACTGAGAAAGGTCCCCGTAACGATGATTACAGTTATGAGAGGGGAGACCGCCTGGATAAACAAAACATTGAAGTGATCAAGTTTCCCCAATGCATTTCGCAATATATTCAAGTTCAGACTCCTCCTCGGTACCCTCGCCATAGAGAGACTGTTACAGGTTGTCAGACACGTAAAGATGGGCTAGGAGACAACAGAAACAGACGACCCAAAAAGTATCGACAAGCTGATTGGTAACACTCACTCACAATGTGCAGGATGGGAAAACCTTCCAGAAGTTGATTAATCAAAATCTTCGCCCACAAATTCTTGGGGAGGTAGAGCAAGATCGTTCGAGATGTCTTCAGTAATAAGCCGCCAAGAATACCGCCTCCAACTCCTAGCGCCCACACCCTGTCGGCGTTGCTACTGTTGCTGCCGATAATAATCACCTCGCGTACGAAATGAAGGATAGCTATATTTTGCCTGTTGAGGAGGAACGCCAGCGTAGTACTAGCTCTGGGAACAACCCATATATGACTGAGGCCGCGGCTCAGCTTTTTGCGATCGCGAGTAACCCATATTACTGTCCGCATGCCGTTTTCCCATTGACTTGTCTACGAATCCTCTACTTCCTCGTCGATCGGTCTCAATGCGGAGACTGATATCGATATCCTATAGACTGTATCCAAGAACTTTTCCATAGTAGTGAGATGTGACATATTAAGTTGTGCAGGACTTCTGCGGCAAGCCCGGGCATCTTTACCAGCCTAGCTGAGCAGTTAATCGCGCGTCACTCTCCAATACACGGGGTTCCGGGCTGAAATTTATTGTACGGATTCCTTTAGCTCAGGTGCTTCTCACCACCAGTGAGAGCCAGAGCACAGGGTTATCGGCAAACCAGAGGCCCGGTGCCAAATTGCAAAAGGTTGTGCCGTGGGTGTATCATTCTTCAATAATGCGGATTCATTTACAAAAAGATCTTACGAAATTGGGTTGTTTTTGATCCCAAGGGTGTATTTTCTCAAGGACAATGTACAATATAGATTGAGACTTCCATAAGTCGGGAACAGAAGGTATTGAAAGCTAAACAGGCGGAGCATACAACTCTCAAAATTTCTCGATGGTGAATGAACAGCGCGCGAAAGAAATGTAGAAGCATCGATATGACAGAACTCGCTCGATGAAGTAGGCATAGAGGCAGGTCCCTGGATTGCCGGGGGGGTGGTGGACGAGATCTAAGTAGTTTGCCGGGTGTAGGTAGTAGTTGTATTCACCAGGGGTTGCTCATCGATGTCGTGTCATTGGCTGATGATAGTGTTCAGAGTTTGGCGTGCCAGGAACCATCAACCACACCTGGACAGGTTCCGTCGAGTACACACTAAATACTGTCGACGTCTTGAATATTCGCATCAATGGTCCCGCTATGCGGCCACCAAAAGTCTTCCTCCAGTTCTTCCTCCAGTTCTTGGAGGGTCTTTCTGGATTCGGCGAGATGGGTGTTACCTGTTGAACTAAAGTCCTCGTCTGCATCAGTGTCACCAGTTGAATCGATCATCTCGCTTCCAATGTAGGTAAGACCCGATGCTTTCGGCATTTCTCCTATCCTTCGCTTGGGCCTGTGTGATAAAAAGGGTAACAGCGATGATCTCTCACCGACGGGGTTCATATTAATTGCCCTATCATTGGACTCCAGCTCTGCAAGCATCTCACTTTCTCTCTTCCTCTGATGGGGCCGCCCGTTCCGGATATTTGCGAGCTTGATCTGCGCTCTCACATCTTCCCGCGATTCAGTATCTAGCCCGATTCGAAATTCTGGGATAGTCCCTTCGAGTTGTCGTAACTGTACTTCCTCCTTTAGACAAGTTCGCGCGATCTCGTCTCGAGACGTGTTCTCAGGACGAGCCCAAGCTGCGAAGGGACCATCATAGTACGGACCTTGTCCAACTCCATAGACCGGGTGTCTAATGAGTTTGCCGGACAATAAAAGCTCGGAGCCTGCTCCAATGCCTGAATCGGAACTGTATTCATTTGTTTCCAAATAACGTGGTCGTGGAGGTCTAGGCGCACTTTTGAATTCCATAGAAAGACTCCCGGTATTTGAAAATGGCCCTGAGGATAGGACATGAATTCCCCCGGCGGCATCGCCAATCAAGAGATTGGTCTTATCTTTCGAAAAAGCACCGCACATTATCTCTTCTTCAAACTTGGCTGTTTCTTGGACGAGCACATCGTCCGGGGCTTTGAGGATATCCCATCGCTTTAAGATGCCATCTGAGGCACCAGTATAGAATTCGTCAATTCTATCACCCCACAATGCTATTCTCACGCCAACATCTGCCTGATCTCTGCTAATGGTCTCATCTACCTGGTTCAGAGGCTCGCCATGTTTGAGTTTGTGAAGAATATTGTCAGAGCGGCGATGATCCCATACATAGGTAATGCCATCGGTGCAACTGGCTGTCACATAATTTGGATTCATGGGACAGATATTGACATCATTGATGTCTAGTGCAGGGCATTCAAACTCCATTGTGCAGGCTCTCGACGACAGGGGTTGATATAATCGGACTAAGGACCTGGTGTCCTTGGAATTTTTGTTAGTAAGGCCATGGCCTAGGGATGTTGCGGCTGCAAATATAGGGATAGTAGGATGCCATTTGATGTCAAACATGTTCTGAGAGTTAGGAGAGAATTGCATAGGCGTTGCCGATGCCTCGCCTATGTGCCACCCTGCTAAGAGACCAGTTTGTGGCACACCATCATCCTTTTCCGACATCCCAGCAAGTAGAATGTTCCCAGTCGCATTGATAACACCCCACGCTAGAGACGTAGGTACCAGTTCTATGTCTTTCCTAGATCGTGACCTGGGCATTTCTAAGGGACCGTAACTAGACTCCGCTATCCCCCATAGGCCTATTGAATGAGTGCCAGTTGCTAACAAGTTCCCCTCGAAGTTTGAGCGAGCCATAACCTCCACTTTCGAATCGTGCCGTAGCGTCTTGAAGCATGACATGCGATTGCCAAGGCTATCCCACAGCTTGACCGTGTTGTCATAGCTAGCGGTAAAGAGCGCATCACCCCACCATTCGATTGAAGTGACGCTCATCCAAAGACGGTAGTCGTTCACGGTTTGACTTGCTGCAGCTCTCCCTGAAGGACGAGGGAGCCAATGGTCAGGCAGCTCTGCCAGGCTATTATCGACCAAATCCCCAACGACCAGGTTGTTGTTCCTATTGTATTCCATGTTATGCTCATCACATTGGGCAGTGGCGCCTGCTGCAAACTTTGTTCCATCAGGTGACCAAGCCAATACAATCATATCATTCGAGGCACCTTTCCATGTCTTGGCAAGTTTGAAGCCCTCATTTATACTGGAGCGAAGCCGCTGGTTTGTTTGACGCCCCAATTCACGGCGTTGCAAAAGTCCATTCAAGGAATTTTGTGCCTCAGCGGACCTGCCATCCAGTACGGTAGCTTGGATAATATGATGACTAGAGGCAAGGCAACCTCTCCTTGCATCAGCAATGAAGGCATCTATGTCAGTAAACCCCCGCCGGTTGAGTGTTAAGGCAAACTGCAAAGCTGCAGACAATTTCTGCAGCTGATCATCAGAAGAAAAGGATTGACTTTGCTGATTCTTGTTCTTGTTTATCCCCCAAACCTTTTTCATCAAGCGTTTGGCACGACGCATACACCATTCGTTTGAGTCCGATGCCATCACTTTTAAGATCCACATGTTAATGTCCCCACTGCTTTCCTGTGGTAAAAGTTTTGCAAGTTCACATATTCGCCAAATTCTTTTCGAAATCTTCTGGGGAGCATTGTGTATAGAAGCGGAGTGGATAATCTGATCTGAAAGAGACATATCCATGTTCTCGGGTAGCTTGTAACCATAAAATGAGAATAAGTTCAAGACAGCTTTTAATTCTTCCCGGTCAAAGTCAATATGGAGGATATTGTCTGCTGGCGGTGACCCACACTGATACTTCCTAGCATATTCCGCTGGAGTATAGCCCGGGGAATAACATGCATGCCTCAGATCTTCAAAATCACCTATTGATTGATACGATGACTTCAGGATCTGAACAGAAGGAGAGGAATAGATGACACGTGAGTTCTTCTTTCGATCCTGATGCCGAGGTGAGAATTGAAATGAGGGTGTATTGCTAGGAGATTGAATTTGTTGAGATATGACAGGGGAGATGTCGGTACGGTTATCAACAGCTTCTTCATCGCAATCAAAACCAAGGTAGTTGGCTTTATCATAATAGTTGACTGGCCCAGATTTTGCACGGCTAGAACGCCGAGCTCCGGCTATCTCACGAGTATCTCTAAGTGACGATACTGGGATAGACTGCTGATCCCGGTGTGATTGTTTGGAGGAGAGTATGCTGGTTGTTTGGTGCTTTCCATTTGCGTTGGACAGTGACCTAGATTCAGTATGTGATCCAGGTAGCCTAGCATGCCTCTTGACATTCTTTTTAGGAAGGAACCTTGATACAGGGTATTTATCTGAGCTTGAGTCCGGATTGCTATCATTCTCTGTTGGTGATTCCTGGGTATCGCGCGATGATTGTCTCATAAATTGTGAGAGAAGGACCTCAGCCTCCTCCATCAGAGACAGGTCCTCGGAGTCTTGTGCTTTGAATCTACGGGACATTGTGCATAAGCAATCTGGTTTTAGCAACTGGGTATCCCAAAATAAGCCCGTGCATGTCGACCAATATCTGCGCACAACTTGAAGGGTCAGTTTATCATCCATAAGAAGTTCAGGATAACTCACAAGAATCTCTCACAGTTTTAAAGGGAACTTGGCGGACAGTAGTAACCGGAGCTTTGGAGGACTTGGAAATAAAAGGATATAACTAGCATGAGATAAAGAAATAAGGTAAATAGGAAGTTAATATATCAAGACCTGCAAAGTCAATTACTTGGTAACGCGTGAACGCGCGCTCTACCATACTAGCTTTAATAGTCCCTATAGAAGTAGGCGGTCACCTACGGCAATTGGTGTCTTTTGTCAACTTTTGTCAACTTAGGCGGTGAGATAAATATAGCAGCATCATTGGCCAGATTGACTACCACCTCCAACAGGTATTATTCTATTTAAACCCCTATTTAGTAGGTCTAGTGCCAGTGGGACTACATAGTATTATTACTTTATACTGTAGGTAGTATGTACTCTGTGTATGGAGTACTCCGTACAAAGTAAGGTAGATTACCCCGGTACTCCGTACTCACCTTACTTCGACCCATAGATGCCTTAACAAGTGACGATCTCTCACCACTTATGAAGTCTATCTATCATAAGCTCTTCTCAGCCCAGGAAAAATATTTGGATTGTACACAGTACATAAAAATCAAATGTTTATGTCCTGAATGGCAGGAAAATCGATTGCCTCAAATTTGGCATTGCTAAATCCTCCGAAGCGTCTTATCCGCGAGCCGTATTATTACAACGTCTCACTGCTGTCTTGGTACATCATAGATTTTATTTGGAGATTGTCCGGTTTTTCTTCCGAATAGAGATTATTAAATCATACAGAACATCCTTGAATGCGAATAAGAATGCTGCAGTGATAGCGCTCTGGGTGACCTTTGGTGCGATACCTGTTTACAGATGTCAGCCCAGTTCCACGAAATCCTCGCAGTGGACCCATGCAAAGACCAACTTACCTTTGTACAATCCTACATAACCCTCCTCCTTGATGATCCTCCTTAGACTCCCATTCAGGCTTTCTTTGGGATCATCCTTTTTGGCAACATGCATCTGGCTTTTGACCGTGATATAAGGGTAAGTAATCGAGGTAGCCAATATCTTGCCAAGAGCGCCGAGATAAAACGCATCCTTTGGCGTCATTCGCCTACGGCGTTCCAGAACGTTCTTTAATTGTTCAAATATTGTATACTGCAGAATCGGGTTAATCACCAGGATTAAAGCAGGGAGGACACCGGCAAATAGAGCTTTGGGGCCCTCATGTCGAAGCAATGCCATCAATGTGGCAATTGTTGATGATGCTCGAGTTTTCTTGGCAGAAGCACCGGGCAATGCTTCTTGGACTGACTCGGAGTTGCGAGCTGTCATCCTGGTGTTCACAACCCAAATTGGATTGGTAATCATGACCGTTGCAACCCCAGCGATAGCCCCGGAAACTATCGACTCAGCTGTCGTAAGCTTTTTAGAACTCCGCCCCGCTCGTGTACCTGCCTTTTCGAAAGCCGAGCGCGTCCATTCATACCAATAGTAATAGACAAAATTGGTAACACTTATGCCGAAAAGAGCAGACTCAAGACCCGCATAGAGCCCAGTAAATCCCTCCCTCTGAACAATACGACATATAGCATCATAAGTTGTGGAATGAGCGCGCTTGGACTCAACTTGTGCTCTTGTTGAGAGGGTTATGAGGGGGTAACTGAAATATATCAAACGTTAACGATGGTTATACTAACGGGGACGGGGGTTCACACGTCAAGACCATTGAGAGAATACCGCCTCCAGCGCCAGCCAGTGCATGTGCGATATTGTCACTTTGCTGAGTCGCAGCGGACACTGCAACTGCCTTTTCTGGACCCCCAACTCTGGACTGAGACATTAGGGGTGGTGTTTGGACCGTGGAGCTGGAATGGGATAATTAGGAAGGCCAGATGAAGCTGGGCTGCAGCGAGGGTACTGGGGTGAAAGGCAAGCTACGACTAGAAAGGTGGGGTGGTAGAATTGAGTGAGGGGGTAATGATGCACACTGGTTCGATCGGTGAGGGAATTAAATATCAATGAGGGGCATGAAAAGGGGCAAAAAGGTTGACCTGGAATAGAATCATATGAGAAATGACTCGGCTGTGGATGGGAAAGGATGGATGGTTTCCATGACGTTTGCCGAGATCTGTACTCCGTACCTCGGTTGATAAAAGAGGCATCGGCTGATCGAATCAACTTCATGGATCCCATTAACTACTCGTGAATTTCTGGAACATATTCCCAATTATGAAGTAGGCAGGCTTGGTGGATCAAATTCTACAGTGATATGGCGTTTCACATCTTATCAGACACGGAGTACCTACTCTATACTATCTAAGGTAACTTCAGCGAACATTATTATTAGTATGTGGAGTAAGGAGCATACAAAGTAAGTACATGCTGCTCCATATTCCGTAGGCGGTAAGGGAATCCACCTGATAGTGCATAGTAGACGCGGCAACTCGCGCTTGCGGGCATGTGACATACCTGCTTGTCCGGGCTTACCTTATCGGGGATAGTACTCTGTAGTTGAGCAGCGTAGACTACAGAGTACAGAGGTCTAATCCGCTCTTATATTCATGACGCAGGGATAATTCCGCTCCATTCACGATGCCATGCTTGAGGGTTCACAAATAAATAAGTACCACTCACTGTTACCAGTCGTCGTAGCTATGTCTCCCATACAAGGAAGACCATTGGCAGAGCATGTAGATCGTATTAGACATTGATTTCAAGTGACCGCAAAAACATGCCCACTAAATATTCATTATCTTCTGCGTTAACCGGCCCTAACATGATCACGCAAAGGATCCAACTAACTAAGAGAAACTCAAAGAACCCGATAACGAAATGCTTGAAGAAAAGAACAAACACTAGCAAGGAAACGGTAAATGATAGCAAGCCGAAGTGAAATGAAATATCCGGAGAAGGGGGAGAGGGATGGAAGGATCAGCTGGAGGTGGGGAACTTATACATATCGTGAGGTTGTATCAAGACAAATCAAAGGCCTTCTAAAGCAAGAAAAAGATAAACTAGTCCCTTGAGCCATCACTAGCGTAAGACGATTGCAATCATGCCGGCAATCAAAGACTGCCCGGCAACGGGGCGCAGCAAATAGGTCACCCTCATATATCCTTTTCTTTTCTCACTTTTTTGGTCCCCGTGCCAAAATGGCCTATTGCAACGCGGGATCAGAATCATTAACAATTTAGCAGCAGCCGCCCGCGGAACCGGATTGGACACCCTGGCCCTGACCAACTTGAACGGTTGGTTTGTTATTGACAGTAGCAGTGCCCATACGCTCCTTGATCTGTCTAGCCATTGTCAAGAAGGCCTGCTCGACATTTGAGGCATTCTTGGCCGAGGTTTCCAAGAACGGGATTCCGAGACTATCAGCGAATTCCTGTGACGAATCACATAGCATGTCAGTCAAAATCTGGGGCTCAAAGACAGTAAAGAGGGAGTTATTCCATTGCATTCGCGCACCTTGGCCACTGTGTACTCGACAACCTTTTTGTCCTCCATATCACTCTTGTTCCCAACAAGCAACTTATTGACACCTTCGGTGGCGTAACGATCGATCTCTTGAAGCCACTGCTTCACGTTGTTAAAGGAGTCCATGTCAGTCACATCGTAGACAACACAGATACCATGAGCACCACGGTAATAAGAAGACGTGATGGTCCGGAAACGTTCCTGGCCCGCCGTATCCCACTAAAGTGTCCGTCAGTTAAGCCAGCTAGCCTGTAGTAATGTTTGCGGCTCCCCTACAATCTGAAGTTTCACAGTTTTGCCATCAAGTTCAATGGTGCGGATTTTCTGCGGTCCAATAATCAATAATGTTCCCGTGTTTCAATACGCCATGGCTGCTAAGGCAGGACAAGGTTAGGTACGTACGAAATCAACGCCGATGGTAGAGATATAGCTTTCCGTGTAGGTATCATCGGCGAAACGAAGAAGCAAGCAAGACTTTCCGACACCAGAGTCTCCGATAAGGAGGAGCTTGAAGAGATAATCGTATCTGACCGGATCATTAGCATATCGATGAACACGAACACAGAGGGCCGGGTGCGGGGTGAGCAGGGGAGTGAGGCCTCAAGGATCTTGAATACTCTAGTGAAAGGCAATAAAATCAGCACGGAGATCAAGGAGCTATCGGAAGAAGTGCGAAAGAAAGGAGAAGCCCTTGCGGTGACGCCAGCATCACCAAAACCTGATGGGCTGTGGCCGAAAGACAGGTGGTGAAGGCACTTACCACTCAGGATTCATGATGGAGGGAGTGAGACTATGTGTCAACGTATGCAGGATGAGGATTGTTGTTGAGTGAGTAATTAAAGAAAACAGCTGGCAGACAATGTATTAGGCGTGGCAGCAAGCCGACGTTGTAAACGATACTAAGTGTCTACTTCGCTGAGGTGACCAGGCGGTCTCTTGAAATGGCGGTTGCGTTGCTGACTACAGGAGGGCAGGCGAGCCCAACATGCAGGCTCCAAGACTGCCACTAATCCCCCTTGGCCTAGTGTCTGCGTGCTGGGTGGGAATGACCGTTTCTCGCTCGCCTGCCCCAGACCCATGACCGCAGCCCAGTGCACCAATCAGGAGTGGATAGCGGTCACTAGCACTAGATACGGAGTATCGGAGTACTAGATAAGACTTACTACTATGTACTGCCTACCCAAGGTACGGAGTATCTATGTCTTGTGTATCTATCTACACAGCATGTTCAGAGTACGGAGTCCCTACTTATACTACCCACGCATAGACCTTATCTTCACCCCATACGGAGAGAGAACTTGACGACTACCTACGGGAGGGAAGTAAGTAGATGGAATAGTTGCCTAGGCATCTAGTGACTTTCACAGCTGCGCATAAGTCAGGCAAGACATGCAGATCGTGCCATCCATAATGACTCGAGCATTCGTCCAACTTTCTTCACATGTTTCTCAAATGTTTAAAGGGATTATCTCGCGCCCCATTCGTGGGCGAATGGCAACAGCAGTTGCCCTCCACAGTCAAATGTACCTATGGGCCTGGAGCCATTCCAAGACCCGCCCTTCATCTCTTTCCTTGTAGTGCGCATTCGTCCGGATGCTGTCTGCAACGATTACTAGAGCGCGATCGTAGGCGCTTGTGTCTTTGTTTTGGAAAAATGAGGCAATGTCGGCAGCAATGTCGTGATCTGCAAATTTTGACAAGCCCATCCGCACGAACCTTTCGAATACAACGTTGTTCGTCGACAAGCGGGACTCAACAGAGGCCCAGTTCTTTTTCATGTAGTCCCATAGAAGGTGGCGGGTCTGGGCGTTCGAAGCTAGTGAGACAGCACCGTTGTGTATGTCCTGGATTGCAACCTTGTCTGAAAACACAAAGTCTAGGTAGTCGTTGACAAGGTTAGCATCTTTTGTACGCCCGAGAGCTCCCAAGCAAATTTCCTTGCCATCAACGGAATCTGTTTTGAGATACTCCTGTTTTACAGCACTGTACTCTTGATGACTGCCTTCTGAGATCGCAATACCAAAGATTACGGAGCGCAGGTTTGTATGCACGGCACTCTTGTCATATCCTGATTCCCAGAGCTGAAAACGTCGCCGAGCCTCTTTGATGATGCTAATAGAGGTTAGACTTTTAATGAGCATGCACACCAATTCCAGATTGACCTACTTTTCATGTCCAGCAAGGCCAGCCATCCCGATGAGGAGTTTCCGGAGTTGTACAGTGAGATAATCGTCTTCTGTGCTAAATGCCCAGCCAATACTATTGGCTGCAGGTGACACCAGTTCGAGGGAAAAGTTCTTGAGTCCTGCTGCCACCGAACTATTTTGAGCAAATACCGAGCGTAGATTTGCAACGGACGATGATATTTGGGACCAGGCTCTATATGGGTTATTAGAAGTCAAGCAAGAGTAGAAAGGGCCAGATCAGGGGATGGAAGACGATATTGTAGCTGAATACTCACAAATAATTCTGCTCCTCCTTGAAACCCTCTAGCAGGGCTAAAAGAGCAGCGGTATTTCCGTCGCCAGAGACAGCAAGGGCAGCGGCATCACCAATCAGCCCAATCTTATCCTCGGTGCTTAACAGGACTAAGGATTTGCCGAGTTTCGCAAGTCGATCAGCGGGGTAATTTGTTCGATAGAAGCCAGAAAGGTCACTGTTAAGCTTGTAGAAGGAATCCTGTTCAATATCGCCGAGTGTATCCGCTTTAGAAACGAGGGCACAGGGCTTCGCATCCGCCAACTTAGGTCCAGCTCTTAGGCCAAGAGGAATCCACCATGTTGTCTCATCCTCTTCAGGTTTTGCGTCCCCCGTTGACAGGAAACGATTTTGACGAACGCTGATTTGGCCGGACTCCTCTGTTACAGTAACAACAGGAAAACCAATTTTACGAATCCATGGGTCCTTGGTATCGGAGTAAGTGTACTGACCATATGAGAAATGAGATAACATACCATGAAACTAGTAACATCCTGATTGGACGCTTGGCTGAGTGCGCTCCAGAGGTCACTAGTAGTAGCATTGCCTGATTGTTGTCCATAGTCAGCAAGCACCATTCCCAGCCTGTCGTTTGTTGTTTACTTGCCGTATGCGTGAGCTTTGAGATACGCGGCTACTCCACGTAGGAAAGTTTCCCGGCCAAGGTGGTCGCTTAGCATCCGAATGACTGAGCTTCCCTTGAGATAGCTAATATGATCAAAAATTTGATCAACCTCGAGAGCGTTCTTCACAGGTACTTCTATAGGATGCGACGCACGCAACGAATCAAGTTGAAACGCTTGTTGAACTCCCTCAGCCTATGAAAAAAAGTCAATTTCCTGTCAATCAGGGCACATTTACCTCGGGAATTGCGCACAACAAACTGAGACCATATGTTCCATTCTATTTGAATACATTAGATGAGCTGAACTTGACCCGGTTGCTGGAGAAATTTGATACTTACCAGGATAAAAATTATCAACAGCAAGCCAACCAACCCAGGTGGCAAAGCCTTCGTTAAGCCATAGCTCGTTCCACCAATCCATTGTTACAAGGTTTCCGAACCATTGATGAGCCAGTTCTGGAGGACTTCATGTTAGATAGACAAAAAAAATGGGGTTCGAGTTAGAAGCTAGACCAACCATGCGCGACGACGTATGCTATACGATTCTTGTATCGAGTGTCTGACTTGCCTTCATCGAAAAGAACGGCAGTCGTTCGATATGTAACTAGTCCCCAGTTCTCCATAGCGCCCATGGCCTATAGTCATATTAATTAGATTTTTTTCTTGTTTTCTAAAAGAAAAAGGGGGGGGGAGGGGGGGAGGTAGCTCAGAGCTGGGCGGGGACTGGCTGTCTTACAAATTCATGGACAGCAAGGAGATCAGCCTTGGGCAGAGGATACTCGATCTCAAAAACTTCTGAGAAGTAGTCGACAGTGCGGTGGGCGCATTCCAAAGCAAACCGAGCTTGCTCCTTGAGACCCCTGGTCGTATACACACGAACAGGTATGCTCTTGCCCTGGTACTTGCGCTGGGTCATGGCTTCAACATATTCAAAGTCGCCGACTGCCCATGCCAGAAGCTAAAACATAATTCCCCAGTCAGTCACATATCATAAGGTTTATGTGCAGACGAACATAAGTACTCATCACCGGAGTTGTTTCAAAAGAAACGAACTTTAAGCCCGGGATACTACCGGCCCTCTCGGACTTGATAGGCATGTTGCTAAGAGCTGTCTGTCCGCTGGGAACTTCAATCTCGAAGTCAAATGTAGCTTTCAAGTTCGGCTCATCAAAACACGGGAAGGCTCTACGGGCATCACATGACTCGAATTGGGTGCTTAACATGTAATAGAAGTCTCCCTCCTTAGGGCTGTCTTCGGTTGGATCTGCCGCCGGCTTGTATTTCGAACGGTAAAATCCAGCCATGGCGTTGTTCATAGTTCCGGTGAACTTGATCGACAGGACAGTGTCAGAAGGAGCGATTTCTTCCAAGAAGGCCAATGTAACTCGTTCCGATTTCGTATCATATGTGATCTCGGATGCCTTCGCCAGCACGCTTCCTACAAGAAGCGAGTCAATACAGTTTCCGTAGTGGTAAGGAAGTTGTCCAATTGAGCTGTAGGTTACCAACCGTTGGATCCATATAGTTCAGCGCTCTGGACGTAGATCTCCTTTGAATTCAACACGATCACGTTCGTGGAACGGAAAATTTTTAATTCTATTTTGACGTTGCCTTTATAACCCCATGAGTCGCCGAGTTGGAGATCAAATAAGGACAAATTGTAATGAACTGGCTTAGCCCTGTCATCATGTTTTAGAAATTTGTTAAAGTCACAGGACCTGGTAGTAGTAAGTTTTGGACGATCAGCAACTTACACGTCGGGAAGGATATCTCTATCCTTCAGTGCCATTGCGCGGATTTCAGACGAACAACACCTTAGAGAGACGAGAGACGATACAACACACTTGGTCGAGCGCAGGGAACGTGTGCCTGGGAAGGGTAGACGGGGGGAAGAGCGGGAGCGTGAAGAGGAAAGGAAGGAGGAGGAGGAAGAGGGGAGGAGGAGGGGGAGGAGGAGGGGCAGAGGTGGGAGACAGGTCGGACCGATCGATAGTAGATTGGAAAGTGGCCATAAACATTCATGCCACCACTTCTGGCTGAGCTGAGGCACTTTCCTCCCCACATTTGTTCAAAGGATTCTAGGACGGAGCCAATGTACCCACGGTTATTGCCGGAGCAGGTGGCATTTACTGTGGTCCAGAGAACCGTGTTACCTAGAGTAGATAGTACGGAATGAAATGGCTAGTTAAAGATTCGGGTCACTAGGCAAGCTTTTACTTGGCAATAAATGAGGTAATATGGAGGCCGTACGGAGTACTCCGTACCTACATCTCATTGGAATAACATGGAGAAATAGGCGTAGAGGGCTGAAGTGAGAAAAAGGCCCAGGACTTCCGCAAATTCTCATCATAAAATTTCTGCGCAGAAAACCCAATTCTACGTATATCTATCCATATGTTAGGTGCAGGATATTACGTAGATAACTATGGTTGCTGGGACTCTCTGGTTCCCGGGAGGTCTGGGACCGTACTTCGGGGACGGGGCTCCGACGGAGCTCGGGCCTTCCTAGCGGAGTGTGGATCGCTGAATAGAGTACACTACGTAACTACTACTGCTACTTACAGTCCTCGTAAGGTACTAGATACTACTAGTCCTAGTACAGGCTACACAACTACACCTTTTCAATCGCTTGGCGACGCCCAAATTCCAAATCTCACACCCTTCTCCTCACATCGTTGCCCGGCGCAAGCATGGCCGATTCTGATGAAGAGTATGTAGGAGAAATCTCTGAGGATGAGGATAATAGCAACATCCCTCGAGGATCACGCGGAGGAGCTGCGCCTAGCTCCCGATCCAAGAGGAGAAAACACCGCGGAGGCGCAGAATGGGAAGTTTCGAGGACGTGGGAAACCTTGGTTGAAGGCGCCGACGGTACAATTAGCTCTACAGTTGAAGGACTTCTTGAGGCTGGAAAAAGGAAAAGGTGAGCTAGTCATAAGACCAGCTAGTATCAAGACAAATTTGTGAGTTTGGACTGACCTTGTATTCATTTCTACAGGCTTCTGAAAGACACGACGCCTTTGCAACGGGGTATAATCCGTCACCTCATTCTGGTTCTGGATCTATCGCAATCAATGACGGAGAAAGATCTCCGGCCGACGCGGTACCTGCTGGCCCTGCGCTATGCACAAGAGTTTGTGAGGGAGTTTTTCGAGCAAAATCCCATCTCTCAAATTGGCGTCCTTGGGTTGAGGGATGGTCTTGCAGTAAGAGTCAGTGACATGAGTGGAAACCCTACTGAGCATATCAGTGCAATTCAAGCTTTGCGAGACCAGGATCCAAAAGGTCTTCCCAGTTTGCAGAATGGCCTTGAAATGGCTCGTGGTGCTCTGTTGTATGTGTTACCCAGGAAATTCAAAAAAGAAAACGTGGCAAATGCAAAACTCTGACTGATGTGCAACAGCCATACTCCAAGCCATGGCACCCGGGAGATTTTTGTTATTTTTGGCTCTCTTCTTTCCTCTGACCCCGGTGATATCCACCAAACAACAACTACGCTAATCAACGATAAGATACGTGTTGGAATTGTGGGCCTTGCCGCTCAAGTAGCTATCTGTCGGGAACTTTGTGCCAAAACCAATGGTGGTGATGATAGCACATATGGCGTGGCACTTAATGAGCAGCATTTCCGAGAACTGGTGATGAGTGTAACAACACCTCCAGCTGCGTACTCCCAGAAGCATTCGGCAAGCTCTCTCTTAATGATGGGCTTCCCATCCCGCACTGTTGAAGCTTACCCTTCTTTTTGTGCATGTCACTCTAAACCTTCTCGTGGGGGCTATTTATGCTCACGGTGTAATAGCAAGGTTTGTGGTCTTCCTGCAGAGTGTCCTTCCTGCGGCCTTACTCTGATACTCTCAACACACCTGGCCCGGTCTTATCATCATTTATTTCCTCTAATGAACTGGGTGGAGGTCTCGTGGCAGCGCGCCTCATGCAGCTCTATTTGCTTTGCTTGTGGTATTCCTTTCCCTCCGGTACCTCCCAGAGAACAATGGCAGACTACAGAGGGGCAGGTAAAAAGCATGAGTATAAGCAGCCGCTATGAATGTACTGTGTGCAAAAATCACTTTTGCATTGATTGTGATCTCTTTGCTCATGAAGTTGTGCACAACTGTCCTGGCTGTCAGAGCAAGGTCACAATTCCGATTCCGGCGAAGCCCGAGCCTACTCAGATTCCAAAGGTTTTAGATAAGATGGATATCTCTGCATAATTCGGTACCTATGCAGTTGCCTTACATGGCCTTCTTCCTCCTAACTTGCAAAAAGATCTAGGTATTACCCTCGTAAACAGAGCACGCAGTCTGTATACAGCTTGCCGGATTTATATAACTACTGGATACATTACAGCTTCAGAAGACACGGAACAGATCTATCCAGTACGCAGTAGCTCAAGCCTCAATTAATCAGAATAAACTCTCCTTCCTTCCAGAGTTAAGCACTTAAAGCCTCAAGGGCCATAGCACAACAACTGAGGAATTAGCTTGTTGACTCTGCGGAGTAATTAGTACCGAAGACAACTTTCCTAATCATAGTATGGAAACTGCTAGTCCGCCCATATCAGGAGTTCAAGTCTTAAAGGACCATCAGGGGACTATAGAAGAGACCGCAGTTGATTGATTTATACACCATACGATACAAAAATGTTATACCAGCAGTAATTATTGCGGGCTGTACTCTCGACCATCTGACTACATCAAATTTGTTTGGGAAAGTTGGAAGATCCCATTAATTACCAAACAAGGCAGAAAAGGTGCACGGGGACTGACCCACCTTTCCCCGGTGGGAAATAGCTACCGGTTTTCGGGCTTGAAGTGGCAATGGAAGGTGGAAGGTGTCGCAGGATAACAAACACATATCTATAACTGTAGCTACACCTGTTTGAAATTGGATCATGTACTTTGTATAGTGAACACTACACAGTGCGGAGCATGTCTATTAGGTGGTGCACACATCTTGGTGCTAGAAGCTTTCACTGGACATAGTAAATGAGGGCTTTCAGGTCAAAATTTAGAGGGAGGTGGCAGGGTGCCCATTCATATTAATCACGTGCTTCTTTTGCTCCTACTCCGTAGTACGCGCTGTTCCAGGCAACGGAGTATCTTGAAAGAACCTCAATACTTGTAATATTTACTCTGTACAATCATGAGGTTTCAGATGATCAACCAAACAAACCGTGCGAAGTAGCCGCAATCGTTGTTCATTTTCAGAGACCCTGTTGATAACCCAAGACGGAGTATTTCCTGCGCCGACTCACCTTGTATTCGATTGCTCGCTCAAAAAGCGAAGGAAATGGCAGAACAGAAGCGATCGGAGGCCGAGCAGTTCGAGCGGTTGAGCTCATACCCTTTCTGTTCGGACCCTGAATTTGCAGTTGGGCTTTCAATCATACTAGGGCATCCAGAAATCCCTGCATCGGAAGCGGAAATGAATCGCAATGATGACCTTGTACTACAGGCTAAGTGCTTCTATTTCTCAAGGTATACTATCTATCATTCAAAATCCCGACCCCGTGGAGATACTGATCCATGTCGCCATTTCTTTCTCTGGGGACCAGGAAAAAGAATATCACGCCGCCACTCAATCTCGCAAACTACAAAGCTTGGTTGATATCTGTACCAACCGGGCATTCCCCTGTTCCATTTGCAGAACAATCCAACACCTCGACAACAATGTTTCCCCCCGAAAGTCACACGGAGTACATACCAAAATCCGGAGAGGAGCCTGATTATCCTTCTTCTTTCGCAAATATAGTCGAGCTCATCACGACCGGTCAACCGATTCCCGGAATTCAGCCAATACCAGATACGGTCTTGGCGGGCTATGACACGCCAAGTACGAAGTCAAATAGACGAAAACCGTGGGAAGCAAGTAGGGAAGGTACAGATTCCCGAAAGCAGAATACCAGGGACAGCTTTTAAACCTTCAAGTAGGATCGGCCCACTAAAGACCCTTAGGTCGACAGTCGAGACCGAGCACGATATCCTGCACTTTTAAGGGATAACATCCTTGAAACCAATGAATGGCAGGTACGATACTTCAATTCACAATTTAAGAATATCAACTCTCGCTCTCACTTTCGTAAACCAAGCTCCTGACCTGCATAACTCACACTTGATAATTTCTCGGTACCCTGATAAAATATTCAGCAACTTCATAAAAAATTATAGTTCCCGTCTCCTATCATTTCCCTCACGCCGAAATCCTTAAGTCCTTGGCCCTTTGTAGTCTGTGAAAGGGTTTCTTTTTTTTTAATTTCCTTTGTTGCAGGAAAAAAATGTTCTTTGAAGCGTGAAAGGGGTGCATTGTGCTCATGATATTACACAGAAGGGAGACTGGCATGATGTCAAAATTTGTCTCAAGGCTTTCATATGCTGCAAGTAAAGTTCACAACGCCTACCATATGAGTGGGTCTGATAATTCCTGTCAATAGCAAAGACAGCGACGGACGCAGGGTCTTCCATCTAAATCTTCAACGAAATGGTGGGTAGCTGGGATTCCACTGGTTCCCGCGGCTGAAACGCCCTCCGTTTTGTCCGGGTATCTGAAACCTGTCGTCGTTGAAGCTATTAAAGCGGCTGACTGGCATCCCAGCACCTGGTCCTGGGCGAGTTGCGTGAGAGGGGTTGCAGCAAAGCATAGCCACACGTGAGCCAAATTTGGAGCCTCTTAAAGAAACCATGTGTTTGCTTATAAGAGCCCGAATTAGGTTCATTCCTAATCTTACTATGGGGATGGGGTCCGCACCGAATATGGCTGGCAACCAGCTCACGTTGGTGAGGTGCAGCATTCATCAGGATCCACTGGATGAGGTAGTTACCATACTGATCACCAGCAACTACTTTATGTCAGAGATACACTTCCCTATATAATTAAAAGTGCATGGTCAAACTTACCATCAATCAAAGGCATCCTCGGTCGATCAGTTCGGCCTGTGCAGACTCGCGCAAGGTATCGATCCAAGAACTCCGATCCTCCTATCTTCAAACACTTCTCTACAATTTTTGAGGCAAACTGGTCCATACTATAATCAACTGACCAGACAATTATGTGTTCAATGGCACGACTTTTGTCCTGGGGGGCACCGTGCTCGCAGATATGCTGGATACACCAGTTTCCAAACTGCCCGTGTGCGAGCACGTCAATCTTGGCTAACACTTCTTCAATCGCCGGTCGCTAACATCTATATCAGCATTTTTCGTTGTAGGTCACATATATGTAGAAAAAAAAATCACTGGCACTCTATACATCTCAGCCTTTGGGTTAGGGGTGCGGCAAGTGGTTCGAGGGAACGGTGAATGCAATGCGATTCTAATAAAAAAAACTGTTACCTTCTCATCCTCAACGCAATTCTCGAAGATATTTTGAACAACCAAGCTTCCCGTTTCGCCCAAGGCAACTTCATGCCACATTCCGCGCAGTGCTTCGTTCACTTTTGCCATTATTTGCGGTGGCTCCCCACTCCAACGTAACTCGAAAAGTTTCTGCCAGACATGGCATGCATACCGGTGGATGACAGTTTCCGGGATCCTTCGAAGGAGCTCATGGACCATAATTGCCTTATGTTCTTCGGGAACACAGTCAAAGGCTTTTTGTATGACATGGCAGCCAAATGGATCCATACTAAGACTCAGAGTATTGCCCTTGATAGCATTGGCGATCGAAATCACCTGCTCAGGAGTTCCATGCTCAAAGCAGCGTTGCACAAGGAAATTGCCAAAACGATTAACCATCAGGGGATAGGCTTGATGTGATATAGCCTCTATGATGTCGAATTTCTGTTCAGGTGTTCCGACTTTAAGCTTCTGTTGCAAAAATATTGAAGCCTGTTGGTCATTGTTGCAAACGATTTTGTCAACTATATATTTCCAATCACAGGAAACATTTCTGTCGAGGAGTCGGCGATAGTTTATCGGCTCTAGAGGCGAAATGTAAGTGTGGTTGGAATTCCCCCCGGCCTGTTCTCGTAAGCTTGAGTTAAGTTAAAAATTGGAATTAGCACATACCGAAGATGTTTGCCACGGCACTGCATTGGCATTGGAGACGGTAAACTCAGTTGCCGTGGGCGAAAGAGGTGTTCCAATCGGCCGTTGGTGGTATGGAGGAATGGGATACAAGCCAACCTGCTGGTATGTACTATTTGATCTGTTTGCAGGGGATCTCGAGCCATGGGAGTCCGTAGACCCAGCGGTAAGCGGGCCCCAAGCTAAGCTCTGTGCTGAAAGACATGATCCATTACGGCTCATCTGGGTAACCGAACGACGTGGCCCAACCCCCGGTCCTTGGAAATACCGAGCCTGTTCTTCAGACAGCCCTGTGTCAATAGCATAAGTACCTTGGGAAGGGCCTGAAAATACTCGATGGGATCGGAAGACATCATGACCAGGTATGGTGGAATTCGCGCCCGTGTTGCCCCAGAACCTGTTTGAATCGTCGATAAACGAATTACTGCTGGGTAAAGATAATGGCTCGCAATAAGGTCTTTCAGAGGCTGGAGCATTCATGCTTGAGCCACTTAGTTGTTGCGTTGGGGGGATCCAGAAGCCCCGAGCCCTGTTATACGCTCCAGCAGAGAGTGCATCAGACATATCGGAGTGGGAATCATCTTGAGTATTCCATCCATCCTGAAACTGATTGAGAGCTAGGTTGGATTCATTGAGGACACTTTGTAAACTGCTTATGGTTTGTTCCGTGATTTCACGTCCATTGAAATCGGTCTCGGAGGGTGGGCCAAGTGCTTGATCTAGCGTATGTTTAATCACACGCGTTTGTGCAAGCTCCTGCTCTTGTAGGGCAATTTTAGAATTAGCAGCTAGCAGTTCTTGTTTCAATCGTTGCACTTCACACATATCGACCGTTGCAATATCTGTCTTGTCGACATCTGTCAGACAAGGGAGCTGGTGCGAGTCTCTAGCAGGCAGTATGCCTGAAGTTGTGTCCAACCCTCCATCATCACTTAGGAGCATCCTACCATTGACAGGAATGCGGTTTTGTTTAATGAGCAAGTCTTGCTGGTCGGATAATCTTAGGGCAACAGCTTGATCTGCGTGAAGCTTGCTGTCGGATGATTGGGGCTTGGGAGAGAGCTTTGCGAGAAGCTTCTCCATTTCAGAATGTCCAGTTAAAGCGTCAATATTTGAATGATCCAACTTCTGCTTCTAGGACTGTGAGAAGTCTATTGAAAACAATATTCCCTGGAAATGACCTGACCTTATTGGATGGGATATCATTATTGTCACCAACCGGAGCTTGATAACTTCCAACTTTGGACGATATTACAGGGTCCGAGGGATCATTCGACGTATCTATGTGCTTTGAACTCTGTTATATTATATGAAAGAGTCATTAGAACATCATATATCGAGTTAACTTAACAGTATTTGCATGGATTCGGACACTTACTGGCGCTTCACGTCCAGTATATACTGCATGTGTCATGGCACTCGGCTTACTGTTAAGAGGCTCGCCAGATTGGTTGCAGTTAAGCTTAGGAGACCCAGCTGAGAGCAAAGACATTTTAGTAGAGATTGTGGACGATTTGAAACCCTGCATTGAATGCTGCAATTTGGAAATGGCAGGGGGAAATCCAGGAGAACAACCGAAGGTTGAAATCGCGTCGGTCGAAAGCAAACAGACCGTACAAAATCCAAATCTTCCACATGTAATGGAAAACTGAAAATGGGGCAGATAGATAACAAATGATTGTACGTGGAGAGATACGCTTGATTAGCTGCGGAGCAATTTTAAGGTAGATGGTAGTATCTAAGAGCAAATGGTTCTTCGAGGACCTAAAATTTGGGTCGGGTTGCTAAGAAACTTGCCAGGGAAAGACAGGTTAAGGAAAGAGCAAATGGATATGTATGGGAGGATATATGGAAGGAACTGCAATAGAGACGGCATACGTCTGAGGGGGCAGTTCCAGGACAATGTCCCGTTCCCAGGAACTGTATAGCTGTTGACTCAGTTACTTCAGGCAATTTTAACATAGGGAGAGGTTTATCGGAGACGTACAGTCCATTCAGAATGCTTGATATTGGACTCGAACATGTAGTACTAGTAGCAACTATTGCACTTAAGAGTGGGTCTAACACCTCTATCATTCTTCTATCATGGAACATTTAATTCACGGTGAGAACCTTAAGCCAAGCAGTACCGGTCACCGAGTACAAGTATCGATCCCCTACCATTAAGCGGTCATTTCCAGCAGCAGCCCTTCAGTCAGTTGAGTGTCTTTAACAGCGGGTAGTTAGGTACTATTAGCAATTTACAGCCCTTAAAATGCAGCGAATAAAATCCGCCTTAATCTATTCATCCATACACTATTTTGAATCCACTACCAATATGATCTATTTTACACTATACTAGCTTACCTTCGTTTTTCACTCACATCTGCATTTAATAAATAATAATTGGATACAGTTATTTCTTAGATAGGTAGATATCTTACATGATTCTCTAATATACATTATCTTGCTATAGGCAAAGCAATTATGTAATTTCACTTTAAGTCAACTCCCAAGCCAACCATCTACATGGTTTCAAGCGATAACCTGCTTTTCTAGTGGGGTAGTGTTAGTATTTTACTAAAGCACCTACATACAGACAGCAGAAGTCAGAATTAACCCCCCCCCCCAAAACCCGGCGCGTAGTATAATATAATCCTACAACACCCCTGCCTCTTCAAGTAAGGACATAGAACTTCCACCACTTTTATGTGAATAAGAATATACAATTGCTTTTTAATATAAATCAACCCTATAAATACCTTACCAGCCTCTCTATAGACTATATCTGGGGAGGTAGTACATGAACACCCAGAATACTACATGCACACCTGTCACATAGCAACACCTTCCTATTTAGGAAGCTTATATATAAAAATATATTGAATTTGCCATGCAAAGATAGGTTCACTATAAATCGAATAGTTAATCACTTGCAGGCATATTAACTAGACACAGGCACTACTTAACTATGTGCAATACTCCTAATTAGGAAGGCAGAGTAGTAAAAAAGAGAGTATGTAGCAATACCGGTGTGCCTGTAGCATTTTAGGTGTGCCTGTAGCATCTCCCTGTATCTACTAGATGTAATATTTATTTCTTTAACAAAATGTCGATTGACTTTTTAAACCAATTCCAACTACCTTCAGTACCACAATTAACACAAATCATTTGAAGGATTCTTTTTTGGAGGGGGGGCCTTTAACTGCGAGAGCGAGACGTATGATGTATCTTCCTACTCATATAGGGTAGGTGGAGCAGTGGAAGATAAGTAAATTAGCCTGAAAATACAATTGCCATATTCCAGCTTCCATGGATAGAAGTCTGTAATTAGGTATTTGTCTAAGTACTTTAACCTTGTGATTTAATTATTGTGTGACAGTGGGAGCTACCATTGGATGTTAATCTCTTTTCCAGTAGTTACAGATATGCCAATGGGCCAATAGCTAAAATATTAATAATATATTTCAGAATAAGAAAACAAGATTATTAACATTTAGATTCGTTGCCCTACGAAGCTAAACTAAAGTGGTCATGAAGCTTGTTTTCTTGAAAGATCCCGATCTACGGGGTAGAGGTTGATGGGGCGATACATGCGATTTTGCCTTCCCGTCTTCGTGCCTGGTGGCCGTTCTTCTTCTACTCAAAGGTGGAATTACACTTATTGGCAGCTGATATGTCCCCCATGAAATATCTACTTTGTATTATTGTTGGATTTCACACCTCCATCCCAATCCCTCCCACTTGATGTTGATCCGCTAGACTACTTGAAAAAAAACAGGTGTCAGATGAACAAAGGAGCTTTCGAATATTGATGAATTGTGTCCAGAGCAGCTTTATAGTTATATTATTACAGTACTACTCCATAGTTCACGTAGAATGATAGTATCTTGTGTCGGAGGTTACTTATTACTTTCCCTCTTAAGTAAAGGGGGTTAATCTAGCGGCACCCCAGTGCCTGGAACCCCAGCCTTCCTGAGGTAACATCCCGCATCAGGATTCGTCATCCTTCAGAAGACCGCAAACGTATTACTCCGTCCCTAGACGCTCTCCTAAAAGGTACCTCCTCACTTAAGGTGTAATTGTTCCACCTGACTTATTGTACGAGCCAATGTCTTTTCCATAACTCTCTAACATACCGATAGAATAGGCTACCTTGATTGATTATTCACTATACAAGTGCCAGGTTTCATGGTAAAGTTATTGTCATGTTATCCTACCTAGAGCCAGCTAACAACGCCAGCCTTTTATCTAGGCCATTTTTGCTACCGCTGCCGAGGAACCGGGGAATGACCACGACTTTTGTGATTGGTACTGGACGACGTTCTTCTATACGGCTATCCGATTTGCAAGCACCAGCAGCTGCATCCATTTCACACCAAATGACCAGTCCGATAGACAAGTTTCCGCCGTTCCATGATGGATTATACGAGACAACAACGGAGTCAAGGGAAGAGCACCCAATTTCCTCGATCGGATATACACCAACCGATTACTGGGAGTCGCGGACCCCAGCTCAATTGCCCCGGGATTTGAAAAATGGCGGCGTGCCCCTGAATTCGAAAAGAGGGCCAAGGAAAAGTATCAGTGAGGCAATTAGCACAATCAGAACCCGCAACGCCAGTGTCAGTGCCAATGCTCAAGAATTAGCCGACGCTCTCAGAGCACCAGTATCATACAAGTTGATAGTAAGATCTTTGGTGTTTGGATTTTTTTTTTTAATTTGTTGCTTACCTGATTCTAGATTCTCTGTCTCGTCTGGTATATGACCTCCGCTCTCACAAATACTTCATCAAAGTCCATCTTGAATGCCTTGCCGAAGCCAATTACTCTCACGGTTGTACAATTTGCTTTCGTGGCACTCTGGTGCTTGGTCCTGTCCTATCTGTCGGCTACGCTACCATGGCTCAGAGAGAGCATACCGGCCCTCAAACATGGCATTCGTCCGCCATCCCGCGATGTTGTCAGGACCGCTTTACCTCTGGCAGTTTTTCAGCTAGCCGGCCATATACTAAGCTCTATGGCTACTTCACAAATACCTGTCTCACTTGTCCACACCATCAAGGGACTCTCGCCTCTTTTTACAGTCCTAGCTTACCGTGTGTTTTTTCGCATCCGATATGCTAAGGCGACTTACCTTTCTCTTGTCCCCTTGACCCTGGGCGTCATGCTTGCTTGCTCTACGGGGTTTTCAACAAACCTTTTCGGCATATTGTGTGCGTTAGTCGCTGCCATAGTCTTCGTCTCTCAGAACATCTTTTCAAAGAAGCTTTTTAATGAGGCGTCCCGTGCAGAATCAGATTCAGAACTCTCGGGCCGGCAAAAATTGGATAAGCTGAACTTGCTCTATTATTGCTCTGGGTTAGCCTTTATTCTCACATTGCCTATTTGGTTTGTATGTGAAGGGTATCCTCTAATCTCAGACCTTATGCAAGATGGCTCCATCTCATTGTCAGGGAATCAGGGCTCAATGGATCATGGTGCACTTTTTCTTGAGTTTGTATTCAATGGGATATCACATTTCGCACAAAATATACTGGCGTTTGTTCTACTATCCATGATTTCACCAGTCTCATATTCTGTTGCATCTCTAGTGAAGAGAGTTTTCGTTATTGTTGTTGCGATTATTTGGTTTGGAAGTTCAACAACACTTGTGCAAGGATTTGGGATTATACTTACCTGTATTGGGCTGTATCTCTATGATCGCAATAGCCATGATGACGTGGCAGACTTGAGAGCGAACGCTGATAATTTTCGTGCAAGGGAAACCATTCTGCCCCTGAGTACTCAGGCCACAGGCAAAACATGGAACTTGAATGGGTACGCCTCCTCAGCAAACAAATTTCCCCTCTATCACACCTTAGATGGTTCTTCCTTGCAAATGAAGGATCCCAAGAAAGATGATGGTGAACAGGGTCATGTGCGCCCAAGAGGCAGCAGTAACTCCAGGGTATGGCTGCCTCCTGGTACAAAGCAGGAGACTACCTGGCAACCAAATGACTCCTAGGTTTCCCTGTCCTTCTGCTGGCATTGTCATTTATTGATATTTTTGTTCTTGTTGCTACATCCACTTGCCAGGAGTCTAATTGTAACATATCAAGGCGATTAATTATCCCGGTACTTATCGCCGGTCTCATTTTCTTATACTTTCTTAAGTTGTACATAGTTCTACATATTACATTATACTTCATACCATACCGAGCACAAATTTCTATATAGAAATCTAACGTGGGAAGGTCAAACCGGGTTGAATAGCTGTCATTTTAGTACTTGTGGAGACAAGTGGCCATCCGAATCACATCTAGCCAAGCTTCTTGTTCCGTACAGACCCGACGATCATGTAACTAGGCTTCGCCTCCGAGGTGTTATCCTATACTTCTTGTACGTAGCCTAGCTAGCATCACCTCTCTACCAACCACCGTTCTTGATCCTCGTTCCTCCTCGGCTCCTAGTAGTCCACACGTCATCTATGAAAAGGATTCTCATCTCCCTCATACTCCTAGAACCTGGATACTATGTAGAAGACTTCGATGTAATCTTAATACCTGAACAACACGATGCCACGGGCATCAATCTGTTCAAAGGAACAGACAATTCTCCGATACTAACAGAAAGAAAAACACACAGAACCCGATAAGCAAGGAACAGAACAAGCAGCAGGATGGCCGCCTATGTGGACAAAGAGGATAAGGCTATATAATACAGCCCAGCTCCAATCCTTCTCTAATCGCCCCAAAACGAATTGAGATATACACACAAGAATGGAAGTTAATTGGAACTGTCCTACTACTTCAAGTTTGACACTTGTTTGTTATATTGACTTCTACCCCTACAGAGCTATCAGGTGACAAATAGAATGTAGCTACTGTTAGTAAAGAACTATACCTTCATCAGGCAATCCTTGAAGGATGACCCTAAGGAGCTCCAGCTCAGTGCATCTGTTCTTGGGTCATGTAGCAGAGGAGGTAGGGAATGGGGGACCCTACCACCTACAATAAATCATGCCCGTGAATGAGTTATGATGAGAAAAGAGGAAAGGAAATGGAAATGAAAAGCCGATTTGACGCTTATTAACAGAGAAATGTGCATGAGTCGGATTAAAGGCTTTTCCGGAGAGCCGAGCCAATCCGCAGGCGGCAATTTGCGAGTGACGCCCTCTGGCTCCCGCCGTGTCTGGCAGAATCCGAACCAAGCCAAAAGTGCTCTCTCATCGAGAATCACCCAGCTTTATAGGCCCCCCTTCCACCACCCTATATTGGCTCTCTCGTGCTTCTTCCTCCCCACCACTTTACCCACTCACATTTGCTTTTCTTCACAGCATGCGGCCGCAGTTGCATCGTGCGGCCGCCCGGCTCGTCCGGGTCTCCAAGGTCAACTATCCTAGGACTTTCGCGACGACTATCCCTCGCTCAGCTGAGGTTGAACTCACAATTGGTAAGTTATGATGCCTGCTGGCCTCTAATACTCTTACTGAACTTTCATAATAGATGGGAAAAAGGTCTCTGTAGAAGGTAATCATTACTCGCGTCTCAATATATAACATTTTATCACTCTGCTTACATGGCTTCAAGCTGGCTCGGCTCTTATCCAGGCCTGTGAAAAGGCCGGCGTGACAATTCCAAGGTAATCCTAGCCAAACAAATTTAATTACGAAGAGATACTAACAGAATCCACTAGATACTGTTATCATGAGTATAGTATAATCCATTCAGGTCATTATTTCAAATACTAACTAAATAATAGAAAGCTCTTGATTGCAGGCAACTGTATGTCCATTGCATATTCTGAACTGTTAGGAAGTGTACTGATGTTGTTTTAGGCCGCATGTGTCTTGTGGAGGTCGAACGTGCCCCTAAACCAGTGGCATCATGTGCCTGGCCTGTACAACCCGGCATGAACGTCAAAACAAATTCACCACTCGTACACAAAGCTAGGGAGGGGGTCATGGAGTTTCTGCTTGCCAATCACCCCCTTGATTGTCCGGTTTGTGATCAAGGAGGCGAGTGCGATCTTCAGGACCAATCAATGCGGTACGGTGCCGACCGCGGGCGTTTCCATGAGGTTGGTGGGAAGCGTGCCGTTGAGGACAAGAATATCGGACCACTGGTCAAAACATCTATGAATCGATGCATCCACTGTACTCGGTGCGTCCGATTCATGAACGATGTTGCGGGTGCTCCTGAACTGGGAACCACTGGCAGAGGAAACGACATGCAAATCGGTACTTACTTGGAGAAAAACCTCGACTCCGAACTTTCCGGTAATATAATTGATCTTTGTCCTGTCGGCGCCCTTACTTCAAAGCCTTATGCTTTCCGCGCCCGCCCTTGGGAGTTGAAGCATACCGAATCCATTGATGTGCACGACGCCTTGGGCTCGAACATCAGGATAGACACCAGAGGAATGGAAGTTATGCGTGTGGTTCCGAGGCTTAATGATGACATCAACGAGGAATGGATTAACGATAAATCTCGGTTTTCATGTGATGGTCTGAAGACCCAGCGACTCACAACACCATTGATACGTCGGGAAGGGAAATTCGTTCCTGCTACATGGGAACAAGCTTTGACTGAAATATCTTCGGCTCACCAGAAATTGCAACCGAAGGAGAACGAATTCAAGGCCATTGCGGGACATCTTGTGGATGCTGAGTCACTTGTGGCTATGAAGGACCTAGCTAATAAGCTTGGATCTGACAATCTAGCTCTCGATCAGCCAGGCGGCAGCTCGCCCATTGCCCATGGCGTTGATGTTCGTTCTAATTACCTTTTCAACTCTAAGGTATACGGAATCGAAGAGGCAGACGTGATTCTTCTTGTTGCTACCAATCCTCGCCATGAAGCCTCGGTCCTCAACGCGCGGATCCGCAAGCAATATCTGCGCTCTGATCTCGAGATCGGGCTTGTTGGCGCAGAATTTGACGGCACTTTTGATTTTGAACATCTTGGATCTGACATTTCCGCTCTAAAGGCTACTCTTTCAGGTCAATTCGGCGAGAAGCTTGCTAAAGCTAAGCGACCAATGATAATTGTTGGCAGTGCCGCAGCTGAGCATCAAGATGCGAAAGTCGTCTTCGAAACTATCGGTAACTTCGTCGAAAAACATGCAACCAATTTCAACACCCCTGAGTGGCAAGGGTATAACGTTCTTCAGCGCGCGGCATCCCGTGCGGCAGCCTACGAGATTGGCTTCACAACGCCTTCCCCCGAAGTTTCTCAGGCCAAACCTAAGATGATCTGGCTGCTCGGTGCTGATGAGATCACTGCGGATGAAATTCCAAGTGATGCATTTGTTATCTATCAAGGTCATCATGGTGATAGAGGAGCTCAGCTTGCTGATGTTGTTCTGCCGGGCGCAGCCTACACCGAGAAATCTGCCACATACATCAACACAGAAGGCCGTGTTCAAGTTACTCGAGCAGCCACTTCGTTGCCCGGTGCAGCACGTGATGATTGGAAAATCATACGCGCTACCAGTGAATTTCTCAACACGCCTCTTGCCTACGATGACATTGAGGCACTCCGCGACCGTATGGAAGAGATTAGTCCCGTGATGCGCCGATACGACGTTGTTGAACCCACATCTTTAAGCTCCCTGAGTAAAGTCCAGTTGGTCGATCAAAACAAAGGCACTCAGCCAACTGGAACATCCTTCAAGACGGCCATTGAAGACTTCTATTTCACCGACTCAATTGCCCGAAGGTATGTACCGGCAATCCTTATATTTTGTTGGTGTCAGCCAATTTCTAACTATATTATAGCTCGCCTACCATGGCCCGCTGCTCAGCGGCAAAGGCTACAGGAAACCCCGAAACTAACTTCATGGCTGCTGGAGAGATGTCACCCCAGGCTTTATATGGCTAAGCTTTAACATTTATAGTTGTGCTCTCCGGTTTGTTTTTATTTGGTGTAGGCGTTGTTGTTGTAACACCTAAACATCATCTTTTTGTTCTTTCCCCTCAGTAATTCTTGTTATTGATCTTACCACATCTTTCTTGATTATATCTCGGGGTAGCTTTTTGAGACAACTCGGGACGTGTCAGCAGAGGTGGTTTTGTACATAAGATCAAAAATCAGCTTCCGGGGCCTGACGAAGTTTTCAACCCCGATATGTATTTTGTTCAGAATGGAATCAGTTAGTCCCATTTCTAGACAGTACTATGTAGCTACTCCATACCATTTATCCGTCAATTTAGGGCAAGCAGCACGTTCCTATTGCTCAACTAAGCCTGTCGTTTTCACTATCATCGGAAACAGGCATTTCGTACTGGTCCGTGGTGTTATCATAACTCATCATCATCCGTTTCTCCTGCACTTTCTTCCCGTTCATGTTGCTGATTCCGCAATTTGTTTCTCCTTCGTGTCGGGGGGATCGGGGTAAATGGAAGCACTCTTCGCGGGGGTGGCGTCTGTTCATTTGTAATAGGACGATCGTAAGCTTCTTTGGGTCTGCGGGCCTTTTCCTCTCTCTGATCATCATGAGGCGACAGGGACATATGTCCACCGGCACAATTCTCCTTCCCCACTCCCTGCGAGGTTGGAAAAAGCCAATCATCGGTATTTGGTTCTTCTTCTTCTTCTTCTTTTTCTTCCTCTCCTCCTCCTCCGATGGGGCTAGATTGAGCATTGGTCCGCTCGGGATCCAACGATTCAAATACATCTTCGCTCTCGGTATCATCACTCTTTAATTCTGAAACGGTACGTTTCATGTGCCAAGATGTCTCGACAGGCTCGCTAAAGCCACCCGATAAGGCTGTATGACTGTTGTAAACTACATTATAATCTGAATCAGTTTCCACACTCGCATGGTAATTGGCCGAATCTTACCATCTACATTGGTCTTTGCTGAGGCCAGTAGGCGCTGTTGATTGCGAATCTTGAGCTTCTTTTCATTCAAAAGTTGCGTGAAGTTGGTTATCAGCTGCTCTTCATGCAGGCGTTTAGCTCTAGTGAGCTCTTCGAGCTGCGTGACAAGTTGGTTGATGGTGTCTTCAGCCGTGTGGTAACATTGTTGTAAAGTTGAAAGGCGCTGCTCAAGAAAGTCGGACCTCGTCACGGCGACAGCAGCCCAATCAAAAAGCTCAACTGCCTGTTCCCCAGTCTCCCTCAGGATTATGGACCCTAGCTTTAGCTGTAGACGATTAGCAGCTATCACGGTGCCTGTTGGCAGATAAGCTTACGGTTATAGCCTGTATTTTTCTGCGAATCGAGATAACCAATTCATTCTCGCCAGTGCTGCATGTAGTAATGCTCGCCCAGGATTCAATCCCGGGAGGTATTGTTGACTTTTCTATGGAGCCTTCCAACTGTCCCAAAACATGCAACATGATGTGAGTCCAATCATCATCGCTCCCCTGAAAGCTTTTGGTTCGATGACTTTCCGAACGAGCCTGTCGCACTGTGCTAGACGTCAGTACTCCATGGAAATCTAGTCTATGCATGGGGCAAATTGAATTGGGGGTGCGCCATACCGACTCCAGTGTAGGGGATATCGCCTTCTGTAGCTGTAAGGTTCAGGTCCAGAGCGGCAGAACCGACCCACAAGACATGGACTAGAACATAGGTGTCGGCCTCATCCGACCTCGGAATACGTAAAATTCGGGGCAAGCTAGAACTGGCGCGAGACATTTCTCAAGTCAAGGCAGAAGCTTTGGGAAGTAGTAGTTAACATGTGGTAGGTGGAGTGCTTCGTTCACAAGATTCACTTTGAAAAGTGGCTTGAAATTCTCGACATACTTCATTATTGGTGTAAACTAGGCAGGCATCCCAAGCAGTCTACACCAAAGGGTTAAAGTGTTGCCTGCTTTTGCCCGCTGTAGCCTGCAAAGTCGCAGGAAAACGTATGTAAGCAGGTTTTAGTAATGGTAAGATGCACACCTCACGAGCGCTTTCTTTGACGTCGCGATACAAGTCCTGATAGTATCGAGTAATAAACGGCACTGACATTTCTAGAGTAATAATCCCAATAACAACTGACTAACTGCGTGAGCTGCTGTCGAGGAGACTACTAGTGGTAAAAGCTAGATAATAAGACGAAGTATTAATGGGTACTCCGTACAGTGACGGTCTATCTATCTACCTACTACTTACTTAGGTAGCTCGTGTAATAGTTTAAAAACACCGGGTAAATGAAAGCGGAGACGACAGATCCATTTTTGAAGCAGGAGCTGCAACAACAAGTACTCCGTATACCTACCTTCAAATCAGTCCTTCGTTCATTCTCTAGCCTTAACTCCCTCAGGGCATCACTACCATTGCGTTGCTCGGACAGGGACACAATAATATCTGGCCGCGTGGTTGAGGGTGGATGATTCCTGTGCAGCCCTCGCGCCCCTTTCATACCACAGACAAGTAAGTAAGATTACGTTTCTTCCCTCGCAACGGGTTCCTCCAGCCACCACCATTGATCACCACCATTACCATCATTATCATCATCGTCATCATCATCATCATCATCATCATCATCATCATCATCACGACGTACGGATACTTATATGATATCCGGGGATCTAACCCTGTGCCCCTTGGTCTACTCATGATTTATTGTTTCTTCAGTTTACGTGCTTTCCTTTATGTTTATTCGCATCATGAGATGACCTGATATCCATCCAAACTGTATCCCAGCCAGGTTCCCCTCTCCTGATACCCGTTGTCTCTAGGCTCCACTCTGACTTGCCAACGTATCCCCAAACTCACTCGTCTCTTGCAGCACGGGATGACTTTCTTTTCTCTTGACAACCTGATCCAAGCACTTGTATGCTCTGAGTCCGCCACATAGGTCTTCGAATGCCTTTTTAGGCCATTACTTGGACATACGTTTATTTATCACAAGGACATGGCTCCATTAACTCTCGAGGTGCGCCACAGTGAGGAGGAGACTATTGAGTGTTGGGACGATGATGACGATCTTCAATGCTTTGAGGAAATTCACTTGCGGGCCGCATCAAGTGCTACATCTGTGACAACCTCTTCAATACGTCGGTCGGGACATCGGGACTCGATATCATCGCGTCGTTCCGCGCGTTCCGATATTGACTCAAATACAGGAGATGAAGACTGGCAGGTTCAATTATTAGATAACGATGAACTCGTGAACGAAGAGGCCATCGCCTCTGCCAGGAGCGCGGGGATACCTTTGCCTACAAATGTTCCCCGGTCAGCTCTCATTGGGGGCACTATCAAGCGTCTTGGGCATAGAAAAAAGAGGAAGGACATTGTTGATGACTGGTCCGATGACGTCGAATTCCCAGGTCCCGATAGCGTGTTAGAGTTGAGAGGTTCACTAGATACGCCTTTCCCCGAGTCGCTCCGGCATGTCAGTTCGGCTGCCGTAAGTCCAATCAAACCTTTGGCTCCTCTATTAGGTAGAGATATATCGACTCAGCTCAACTCGGCCCTTGAAATCACTGCCACTTCTCAGCAATGCAGCGAACCAAACAACACCAAAGATGTTCCTACAATCAGGGTTGCGAGGCCTCAAATTCCAGACGTGAATTCATCTGTCGGAAACTTTATTTCTGATAAAGATATTAATCTGCCCGATAGTTTCGAGGAGGATCTTGAATGGCCAGCCGATGACATCTCACTTCGACTCTCTCCTCGGAAGCCCCATCTGGAAAACTCAAGCCACTCCCCGGAGGACTTCGATGTAGACTGGTCGGAAGGCAGTATTGGTGTCCGACTCGGTGGCACCGCAAGAGAGCCCCCATCCAATCCAAGCTCATCGGTCTCTATTATCAGCCCAAGTGCCTCTAGTTGCCTGACGGCCGAAAGCGAAGATGATGGCCTCGATGGTCTAGTAATTCCAGAAGGGCCCCTCGACTTGGAAGCGACCTTGAAGTCACGAAAAGAACCGGCCCGTCAAGAAGCTGTTCCATTGGAACCGATTTCTCTTGATCAAGCATCACTCAGCACTGATGACTTTTTCTCGGGGCTTGAAGTTGACAGCGGCGATGTTTTTGATCCTCGGAGGCTATCAATAAATCCGAACGTCAAATGTAAAAGGGAGTCCCCTAAAAGCCCTGCGCGGCATTCGACAACTTCCATCACCTTTACCAATACAACAATTTCCCCGAAAACTCGGATTCCGCGTCTTTTGGGGCAAGATCGCCCGCGCTCAACCCATCTTGAAACTGTCTCGGAGAGCGGTGCTCTGTCGAGGTTTCGAACACCACAGCGCCGGCCCGGCGGTCATTCATCACAATCATCTATATCCAGCGCTCCTTCTGGATCTACTTCTACTCCGTCACAGATTCCCATGACCCCCAACCGGCGACACATGGGAACCTTGATATCAAATGATTCTTTTGTTGGAGAACGTGTCGCGCCCGCAAGGCAGCTACTGAGAGCTAAGCGTTCAATGCCATCTATGCGAAACGTACAGCAGTCCGTGTCAGATACTCAAAGTTCCCCTACACCTCAAGATGGGCCAGGTTTGTATAATCATTCTACTTTCCGGCCTAAGACCCCTATTGATCGCATATGGACCGATACGAAGCCATTTGTTCGTAAGCCTCAAGCGCCATTCCTTCCAGCTGGAGCCTCCGAAAAACAATCCCATCACGCCAGCGTTAAGAACTATCGATACAATCGTCGATCCAACCCCGACAGTCCCCATGACGCATTGAGTCTCCAGGGGCCTGTAGCTCGACTGGCGCGATCAAGTCGCCATGACACCCCAAGCAAAATTATGAATGAAACAAGTCCAGAAACTCTGGCCACCACAAACAAGAGGGCACTTACACGGCCCACCCGTCGGCGCAATTTTGGTGACGGCTCCGAGTTAGCGTTGTTTGACGACTTGCCTACCTCTTCTTCAGCAGAGAGAAAATTTGTCAAGCATCCCACAGGGCGGGGTGTTCCAAGAACTCTCCGAAGTAAGCTGGGCCAGGGTCAGTATAGCTCACTAAAAGCAGAAGTCCCAACCGAGCCAGCTTCTCCGAGTGCCACAATAAAATGCAATACCGCCACTCCGAGATTCGCACGGGACACCAATTCATCGAGAAACGCAAGAGAACAACGGATTGCCTCTATGGTAGGTGTCTTGAAGAATCGCGAGCATTATCCGCTTGCACCCCTTGGCTCAAACTGGAGGCCTCCAAATACCTCTCGACTGTCTTCTACCATTGGGTCGGCATCTGTTCGAGGCAAGAAAAGTAAATTTATACCAACTTCTGTGTGCAAGCCCCAACTGATCAAGTCTATGGGTGCGGGTGTGCAAGAGCGCAAATGTAAGTTAAGTTCTGCACTGCACAATCTGAAAATGGACTGACATTACCAGCCCTAAATGGCATGCGCTACAATCCAAAATCGTTCTGCTGGGAGGGAAATGAAGATATGGTTCATGACTTTGAGACAATGTCGCCCAAGTCACCGAAGCCAACCCCAGCTCTTATCACCAATATAGGTGCTATGCAGAATGTTCAGGTTGTCGGCGGTATGGTATTTGATCCACAACGTATGTGCTGGCTCAAGCTGGCACCGTTGCAGCCGGGAAAAGATGGACTGGTGGCTATACATGATGAAGACGACGTTTTTGCCGGCCTTGGCGATCTAAAGGAGACCACAAATATCATGGCTGGTCGATTCCTGGGTGTCAATGATGAACCAGGCCTTGTAGCCAGTGGCGATGATAGGAGTTACGAAGATTCGTCGGATGAGTGGCCTGTAACGGAGGAGTTCGATGTTGGCCCCGAATTTATTCGGCGCCAGCGTGCAGAGGAAGAAAAATGGAGGCGCAAGGTCGATAAGTGGACAATCTATGACCGTGGGAGGTTTGGGGACGGCTGGAGATGGGCTATTCGAGATCTGGTGAGATTCAATAGCACCCTCAGAACACAAGATCTTGACCACACATGATTCAGTTCCGAATCGGACTATCCCCTCCTCGCCCATACACATCCGTGCTGGTACTTCTACTGCCGGATGATGAAGTCGATGCGGCAATGAAGACTTTCATGGTTATGAGAATAGACATCCGCCGCTCCTATATTCGGTTGGGCCGTTGGGACTATTCCCCATGAGATTATGACTTGAAATGCATGTACTGATGTATTGATGATGAATTGATGTATATTACCTACCTTCATGCTGTTTATGCATATATGACTCTCCATAGTACTTTTATCACCGCGAAAAATGAGAAGATTATACACTGTAATCGCTTCAACACCCTTAATTCAAGAGGGGGAAAGGTTGGCCGTGTCTGCTATAATAATTTAATAAGCCTCTTATGATTGTTATGCATGCACAGTAGTGGCAGGACTAATATGTCTCCGTAACATGTACTTATTTACTTCTCTGTACATATGTACCTACTCTGTTACCTAGGTAGTAGGCAGTGCCTTATTTCTCCAGAACAGGTAGTAGGTCTAAACATTGTGCATACCTGGCCGACCTTTTCCCTAAAAAAGAATGATGGGTGCTTGTCAAATTTACGCCCCAAAAGCAAACTGTCGTTTAGCTATGTAATTAACACGACCTAGGTGCAAAGTATACAAATAAAAAGTTCGATGTCACTGTACATAAGAATACCACACATGGTGGTACTCCTTAGACGTCTCCGGTTATTTGTTCTTGTTTTGTCATATTTACCTCAAAAGTACTGCCTGATTACTACTACCACTAACACTACCACTACCACCATTGCTTATCTTTGCCGTGCTACCTATTATATTCACCCACCGCACACCAAGAGCAAACAGCACAAATGCCTCTCTATATGGTAGTTTAAAAAAGGCAGCAGGTGCTGGTCACTACCTCAAATATAGCATCCATTGAATATCTATAAAGTTTAAACGAATGCATGCTAAATACCCTACATACATTACCATGCTTTAATAATACCCCAAGGTACGTAAGGTGAGACGTATAGACTACTCTGTACAGAGTGAAGGTAGCAAGCAGCGCTACAAACGACCCAGCTTGGTGGCAGCTAGCCAGAAGTTCCAGACCTGAATGAAGTATGTAGCACTACGTACAGTGCGAAATGACTGCATATACATGAACCAGGATCAAGATTCCAACATCATAGAACAGTATGGGTGTATGGACTAATAGAATGAATGTAGTGTCTCGAGTTGACCCCCTGTATAGCATACATAGTAATCGTTATCAAGCACAATAATAGTATCCCAACGCCCAAAAAAATGAATCAACATAGTACTATAAGTAGAAAGTAGGGGCCCGGCAATTTACAAGGCCACTAAGCAGTAATAACAAAACACAAGTCTCGCGGCGCAAAAAATGCAGTAAAAGGCGGGATAGATTAGTGTCAGCATCAGAGTTTGGCTTGAGACAAGATAGGACTCCGTACCTGATATCATGTATGTAATCAATGACCATGACTACCTAGGTAGATAGTACTATATAGATACTAGTGCTACTGGCTTGCTTACTAGTGGTACCTATTTACACCGGCTACTTGCATAAGACAGGAGGGAAAATATTAATAGGGGAATCTCTAGCCCCTTCCTCAATCGCCAAATAATCTTCCCTTATCTAGGGGGAAGGATCCGGAGGGTATCCTGGCTACCCCATTGCTAGTGTAGAGGTTTTTTGTGGAGGGAGATACCTACTAGGTACATAGCCAATCTGTACGGTCGTCGTACCTACTACCGTAGGAAAAGCACATGTGGACTGGCCCCCAGGCCCTATTAGGCCGGTACAGTATGTGTACTATGTGCACCTCATAGTTACTGTCCTTTTGTGCACAGTATAGATAGTGGATACGCTGTCTAGTGAAGGGGGCCAGCCAACAATCTTCAACAATAGGCGGCTTTTTTCCTTACAGCCAAACTAGGTATGGATCCACTTATAGATAGTAGATATCCCCACTGAACTTACTCCGCACTCCACTGAGCAGTACTGTCCAGTAGGTTGATAGCATAGATACCTGGCACGTAGCCCCAACTCCGACTGACTGATTGCCAGTTTTAAAAAGGAAATACCCACCACAAGTCAACGGGGGTTAGCACTTTCACTGTCCCCCTTGTAGTTATTAACACTAATCTAATTCACTCATTAAACCTTCATATTAGCCCTCTGGAAATGATTGCTCTTTCAACTGTATAAAGAGTTACTGTGCTGTTTTGCACAGACCTTCCTAGGGTCAGCTTATAAAGATCTAACAATATATACTATATTAAATACAATCGCCAGAGAAATGCCGACGCCGTCAAACAAAAAAGCCAACTCATATATTCCGACATACAGAATCTACCACCTAGGTACCTGATCTATCTCACTGACAGGGCACTTTACATACTTACAGATCCAGCCAGGTGTGTTGCTTATCCAGGTACCTAACTAAGTACTCTAGACATATGCCTTACGAAGTACATGTTCCGTGCCTGGACTGTGCCTTGACCTCGAAGAAGCATGTGGTCTTGAAGCGCTAGGTGTGTCGTCACCTGCAGGATAGTCCAGGAACCTTGATGCTGACATTATCATCATTGCCATAGTCGTCAGCGTCTTTTTGGGGGGGGGGGGGGGGTGGGGGGGGGGTGATATCACCACAGAGAAAAAGGTTCAGAAAGGGTGGCCAATGGCTCAATGGCTCAAAAGACCAGCCTACCCATTGACTCTGTAGAGAGCCAGCAAAGCTGCGTGCGGATGGTGCTTCTGCGTACGCATGGCGCTTGTGACCTTCGGTACATACCTAGGCACAGAAGTAACACCCTCGACTACCTACCTCCGGGCCATCTCTATTCCATTGTCAGGCTAAACTCGGAAGATGGATGGTACTCTGTTACGTTTTATTACAAATATTGTCGAACATGGCACCAGCTTCAATGTTTTCGACTTTGTCCCCGTGGTACAGATAGCTCTTGCAGTATTGCATTAGCCATGCTATGATAGGGACAGGACAATAGCCTGTTCTCAGCACACATCCAGACCTTGGCTCATGGTGACAATGTATGTACAGTACCCTCGCATGAAGAGTAAAGCAGAGGGCGCACAATATCTTTGCCCAACTGCAAAATCGTTGAGTTTTCTACTGCGCCCTTGATAGGATACCCCTGACCAACCAACAAAAAGGGTGGTTGCCACTAATATCGTACAGGCGCCTCTACATGCGCGCCGGACGACTATTCAAGTCTGTCAAGATGAATCACGACAAACGCTCCTCCCAGGGTTTAAAGCCCATATGAGCGACGATGCTGAATTTTTGCCATGAAGGCCCATCATCTTGCGGTGTTTGAGTCCCCTGCAATTTCAGGGATCTTCAACTTTCCTTTTTCTCCCCATTCTGATCCCTACTCGTTCCTTTCTGAGACCCCTCACCTTCGTGTTATGATGCCTGATCCATGTCCGTTCCACAAGACCTTCACCTGTAAATGACTATGGGCTCTTTTGCTTTCCTTTTTTTCCCGCCTTTTTGTTCTGCTTCTTTGTACAGGGGTGGGGCTGGCAGATGAGTGTTCCCTGGTACTCAGCATTATCATGCTCATACTCCCTTACATATCTTGTTTCTTTTGCCGCTCACGGCGTTGAACCTGGTCTGTGTGCATGTGTACGCGGCATACTTTTGCTTGGAGAAAGAAGCAATTTACACCCTACACAGGGATTCTTACAATGGCTCTACCTACTACGTGGTTTCAAGACCGACCTTGTATCCTTGTCAGATACTATGCCTTGGTCTTGTGCATATTGCACCAGCACATTCTATTCTACTCATGCTAAGACTTCTCACAGGGTCTGGTCAGAGCTTTCAGCTACAGTTACCCATTTAACTGTGACTTCGTACCCACTTGGGATTGGCATTCTGGCCCTACTTTTCTCATTGTTGCTCGGTTTTGCCTCAGCAGGAATTGAAACTGCCTCTTGCCATCGTTACTTTTACTTATTCAACCGAAGATTGAATGAAAATCTTCTGCCATGAAATTACTCTCATGTTTGATCTGGTACACTGTCAATGAATAGAGTACACAGAAGAGCTCATTTGATTCTTTCAATCATCTTGATAAAGCCTAGGAGCCTTGGTCACACTCTCCATTCTTTGGTGTTCTGTCAAGCCCAATTTTGTTTGTTTATTTATGTTAGACGTATCCCTCAACGTTTCCGCAATCATGAGCAATATGAGTGGGTACACAAGACGCAACAATGATGGCCCTGACAGCTACATCATGAACCACCAGATTGCCTTGCCTGTCCCGTACAATCATGGGGATACCCACGAGTTTGGCGTTAATGATTCGGGGTCATATCCCTTCCAGCAACAGTCATTCAATGCTTATACACAGCAGTTCAGCTCACCATATGGCCATTCCAGCATCTCCCCCAGCACGCATCACCTGTCACCACATCATTCGCCAGGGCATTCAGTTCCATCAACGCCAGATCATATACCTCTTCAACACGCTATGCAATATATGCCCCACTCGCGTTACCTGCAGTCTCCGGGCTTCTTGCCCCTACGTGAAGCAATTACCGAGGCAGATATTGAAAGCCAGGAATCCCATAATGAGTCGACAATGTTATCAGAAGCAGTGATTCCCCCTCTTGATGGCTTTCCTAATGTAAGGGAATTCGACCAGCTAATGAAAAGGTATGAAATTTTTCACTATCTAAAACAGCACCAGACATGCACTGGCACATACTCATATCAGATATGCTATAGTTATGTCGATGATTTATCCATAAAGAAGCAAGACAAGGCTCTGATTCACGCAAGAAGAGCACGAAATATCAAGACAGTACTGATGGATCCTAAAGACACAGCAATAGAATCAGCTCAATTCCGGTATGATACTTCTATTTTTTTTGAGATCCAAAGAACTCTCATGCTAAATTTGGTTAAACTAGATTTTGGGTAAAGAAGATGTTCAAGCTCCAAACAGTTGGATCTGTTACATCAGATGTTCGTATATGATCCCCACTACATACAAGGTCTTGATTACTGATGGAATGTGATATTCAAGTGTGCGAAAATGATCTGCCACGAAGGGAAACCAGTGGCAATTCGGGAAAAGTTATTCAAGATACTTACTAGAGCACATCAGCAATGTCAACATGGCGGCAGAGACAAAACATCCGCCCAGGTTCGACAAATCTACTCTTGGTAAGGCTACACTGCTCAAGTTATTATCCAAATCTAGCATTTAGCTGAACAGCACAACATCTGATACACTTCTTATTTCACACCCAAGCTTATTGAGCGGCTCCATGTTAACGTCTCCCAAGGGTCCCGAAAGAACTTATTTCGCGCTTTGTTAAAATATGTCCAACTTGTCAAGTGCGTCGAGGTGGATCACGACTGACGCCCCCCAGCTCAAGAAGAAGTTCTCCTCGTCTCGAGGTTGCATCCCGTTCACCGAAGCTTCCATCACCGCCTATATCACGACGCGATTCTACTTTAAACGGACAAGTTCCAATTGATAGACCGCAGGCAGACTATTTTACACAATTCAACAGTCATGGCACTTGGCTAGAAAGTCAGCGGAGCTTGCAAGAGAGGCAAGCCATGAATACAGGCCATGTGCGCTCCTTCAATAGTGGCGCCATGGGCCACCTCACAAGCACTCTCCCCGGGACACTGGATTCATTTCATAGCGACATGCCAGTGCCATCTTCACAAGTTACCTACACTGCAGGTTACCCTTCCGCTCATGGGGCACCTAGCCATAGGGAATTTTGAATTTGGACTACATAGCTTGGGAGAGGGGCAGTGATAACCTAATTCGATTTCGTCATGAGCTCGCCAAGCCCACAATAGTCCCCTTTGTTTCTCGAGTTTCTATCGCATTATTCAATTTGCTCGCGACGATTTGCACAACGCCTCTGATCTATACCTTTGCGGACTAAGTCGGGGAGTATTGCCACTTGCATTCCATCCAGTTTCATCAAGGTAGCCCGGCCTCGAGAGTAACGGCTCGACTTATGGGCTACCAATGTCTCCCAAGGCGCTATAACACGAGCACATTGCCACAACTCCAAAAGGAGCGGTTACAGTAAGCCAAGTAAGTCTATTGCCTTGGTTGGCTGCAGGTGTTAGCAAATTTGATACAAAATGTTTCGATAAAATACTTTGTGGCATTTGGTAGAAATTAAAGAAAGCATCAAGCCACCAACCCCTCCCCCCCCCGTCCCCAGTCCCAGGCCCCTCGGGCGCAGGCCTTCCCTTAACTCATGATACCCCTACCCCTGCTCCGTTCAATTATATGCCTGATATCAAACGGGAAGCGAAAACTTTTTGCCCTTCATTACCCTACAGTGTACTTAGTTTCGCGGACGTCCATTGGTTGCCAACATCTTGAGACTTACTTTGTGTAATAGATGTAGAAAAAGTCGGAATACAACAGTGTTTGTATTATGCCCGCAACGATGGGGATCGGCTGGAAATGGTGCTCCGCAAAGTAACGGTAGATCCAGTTCGGGATGTAGAGTGCTCGATATAGGCCTAGGGCAAATAGATAATGTGTTGTTATAGTGTCTGCCTCGCCGGTACGCTGGAGCATAAAAAGCTGTGGCAAGATAGCAACAGATTCAAGCCAGATGGAGAACGTCCAAAGGATCTGCAAAGACGTCAGAGTTGACAAGATACAAGCAGTCCCAGAATAGTTGGTTGACCTCTGAAATGCTATAATCATGCGGGAAAAGGAGGGCCAAAAGAGCGCTCAAGCCAAGAAGGTACTGCACTTTGAATGTATCAGTGTTAGGATCATGCGTTGGCTTGTAGTCGTTCAGCATGAGGTAGATGATATATGCCGATGAACCAATGAAGAGGATCTTGAAAGTGGTGTTGTAAACAGAGTCCGTGAAGGCCCAGAAGAGATCTGACAACTGTCAATGGTGTGATTTGGTCTACTTTCCAATTTTTGGGACTCACCGAGATATCTCGTTACAAAAACCATCAAATACAACATCTGCGACTTGAATGACAGTCCCGAACAGCTCTGGGTTTCGGTCAGGCATATTTAGAGAGGGATAAGAGTGAGTAGAGAATATACACTAGAAGATTTCATTTTATGCAATAGGATGAAGATAGACGCAAGATGCGAAAAATCAGCTTTTAGATTTGGTGGTTAGTGCTGCTTAATGATTTCAAGATATAAAATGAAGGTTCACCTGATAACCTGAAGATATTCATGATGTCGATTCCAGAACAATGGGCAGATCTGAATCAGGTTCTAATGAGCGGAAGAAAAAGATATTTATGTCAAGAATTGGTGTTCACAGAAACATCAGCCATGGAAATTCCAAGAAGGAAAAAGCCAGCCTCTTCAGTCTTGCGAAAATTGTTGGGCAATAATTCACAGATGAAGTATAGCTGAATAATAGATGTTGACACGAAGCCTCAAGGATACGCGCGACAGGGTGCGACCCACATTACGCGTGATGCTGTAATACATAGAGACAATGTATGAATTTAGGTAGCACTAGTATGGGATAGTACTAGTAGTAGTGACTTGGCACGGGCTACGCTGCCTTAGCGCCACAAATTACTGGAACGGGAGGAGGAAGATTTTCGTACTAATGTATTTGTACGAGGTACAGTACTCGCAATACATACCTATCCTTGACTAATGCAAGTTGTATTCAATATCTTTGATTTAATTTGTGGTCATGAATTTTTAATTAATTCTGTGATATCAGTGATCGGCTATTATAAGTAACAGAAAACATGTATTCTCTAGTACCAGGTCAGACCCTTCCCCCCCTGGTCTAGATAAAGTACTGAGGTCGGGAAAGTGATTAAAAAACTATACAAATTACAGGAGGGCTAGGCGCCCCTGGAGCGCCCCCTGGATCCCCAGCCCTCAATGTATGCACCAGGGCCGGCAAGATCACCCGGGGGCGTGTAGAGGAAAGCTATATGAAGTATACCTAGGGTAAACAAATATATAGAGCATCATTAATTTAACAGACTGCTGCTTATCTTCAGTTTTGGGGTTTTTATAGTAAGAAAATATATTAACTTTCTAAATTATCAACGACTTATAAGAAACAGTAGAAGTTACGAGCAAATTTCTGAAGCAGGGCCAATCAGCGTTGAAATCGGCTAAAAGACCTTTTCCGCGATTTGACCATATACCTGTACAGTTTCGCTCCGCAATGAGGCTATAGTAGACAGAGCACTACGCCAGTTAGCTGCGGCCGCTAAATACTATTACAGGTCTTGTTCACATGGTTACCTGCCTGGATAAAGGGTTCGAGTGGCTAGTTATAGGTAGCTCGGGCTGATAATTGGAAAAACATAATTCGATAGACATAGCAGGATGAACTTTCCCAGAGAGGTGCTGTATGAATTGTTCTGGTTATCCTCTGCCGGCTATTGACTGGAAGACAAATTGACCGTCAAAACATTGCGCCAACATGCACGCCTTCAACATCAGCTATACACTGCAGGTGTCCTTCTGCCAGTTCACTCTTTAGTGCACAGATTGAACTTTCTCTATCAAGCCTATCCCAATCTCGAATACCAAGTCGCCTCAAAATTTGGCTATTGCCAATTTGGTCGAAAATTTTGTCTTTGTCTGCATCTAATTGAGAAAGACGCTTGTCCGTAGCCACATCAAGACTAGATGGAAGAAGCTTGCCATCCGGAATTATTGGACGGAGTCCGGCGAGGTGGCTAGTATGCCTCGGAATACGAGGAGGGTAGGAGGGGCCGCTGAGGCTACTTTGTCTGTTGTTAAGATGGGGCCGGGATAACTCCACGCCTGGACCGGTTGGCAAAATACTACTGCGAGGACCGGTTGGCGGAGGCCCACGGAGACCGGTTGACGAAGGTCCACGCCGGGCTGGGGATCCTGACCAGGGCGCCTCCTTAAATCCAGGGCTGCCGCGTGGCCGAGTCGGAGCCGACAGTAAAGATATGTTCGGCGCACGGTTTTGTAACGACATTGTTTTAGGGCCATTAGATGGTCCAGAGGGTGGTGTTTGGCCATCTAACGAGTTGGAGTATGCTTTTGGTTGAAGTGGAACATTCCGGGGATAGACTGGGTTAGGTTGGCTAGCTATCTCGTGTGTTTCTGAATGTTGCTGTAGCCCGAGGGTGTCAATGCATTGTCCTCTATTCATGGGCTGCTCCAATATTGGAGACCTATGTCTTAATTCTTCAGTATGGGGCCTATCTTCAGTAGGAGGCCTATCTTCGGTAGTAGGCCTATCCTTGATGACGTGCAAACTGTCTTCACGTGAGGACAAGTGATTCAAATGTCCAGAAAAGCCCCCGTATGAATTGTGATGAGTGGGTGACCGGCTATGGATATTAGACGACATCATATTGAACTTTTCGGCAGAAGACGAGGATCGCCTTGAACCAGGGAGCGACCCAGAAGTAGAAGCGCGTAAAGGCGATGCACCTTTGGGAGACGGTGAGCGATTTTTTGGGGTCAAAGAGATATCTGGGTTGCGATCCCTGCGTGCTCCTTGGAAAGGGCTTCGAGATCGATGTGGAAGTGGCGCACGGCTGCCACTATTCCGAAATGAAATATCAGATTTCATATATGAATCTGCAGAAGATGGATGGCGCTCTCGCCTAGGGTACCTAAAATCTTGGCTGCGTGGTGATGGATCTCGCGGCCGTTTGGGAGTATTTCGCCCCCATGAAATATCACGACGTCGGGATTCGCCATAGGGAGTTCTTGACCGCCAGGAAACCTGGGGAGGTGATCTATTTCTTGCTTCACTCCGCCTAGGAGAGAAGCGTCTGGGTGGTGAGCATGCCTTCACATAGGCTTTATTTCCCGTATCCCGACTGTAAAACGAAGGACTTCGCCGTCTAGAGACTGGGGGTGAACGACTACGGGCGCGGCCATATGTTCGCCCGTGCGGTGGAACCCATGTATCTGCGACAAGACGAGGGGAATGGACCCGTGGAGATCTGCTGCGTCGCAAATATCCCCGTGAGCCAGCAGGGCGATAACTCTCTCCGCCACGGTGATCATCAAATCTAAGTATAGACCTTTTCTTAGCATCTACTAAAAATGAAGGGGCCATTAGAACAAACCGCCTATTGCGATCCCAATCCATCACTATTGGTGTTATAGGCAGTCGCGAAGATCATTAAGAGAGAATAGTGATTATAACAGGTTTATTATTAAGCAATAATAAGTTGTATATTGCGGTTTTTTAGAAAGATGGCAGGAAGTCATTGAGACAGCAGAGCACTGTGAGCCAGGGCTAAGTTACAAAGAGTGATTGTATCACGTGCCTTGATGACTTATCAAACAGATTTTACTATTCTGTGTACGGAGTACTGCCAAGGCCGTCAACAGGAAGCAGTGGCACTGCCGAAGGCGGCGAAGAGGGGGCGAGTCGTACTTGCCGTGACAAGCAGTTGCCACTTGCGGCCGTTAGTAGTATAGATAATCTTATCTGATCTTATTATTGTATCTTCTAGCTAGTTATAATATAATAATTATCTGTTATTTTTTTCTAGCTATTTATAAATAATTTTATTAGATATTAATAATTTAAAATAAGTGTTGTCTATTTATAGTATAATTATGGCCTGTTTTGTTATTATTGTTACTGGCATGCTTTGTCTATTCTAATAAAGCTATACTAGCCGGCTGTTTCTGCTTTATATTTAGTAATCTAATTAATTAATTATTATTATCTAGAAATTCTATTAAAATAAATAAATTATATAGTATTATATTAATAATAATATATCTTTATTTTAATATTAATGCAGAGAGCTAAATTCTCTTAAATAAATACATAAAAAAGTTTTTCTGTATTTTATAATTAGAATTCTGATTATTTATATATAATAATCATTATTAATATATAATAATCATTATTAATATATAATAATCATTATTAATATATAATAATCATTATTAATATATAATAATCATTATTAATATATAATAATCATTATTAATATATAATAATCATTATTAGTAATAATATTCTTAGATTAACAGAGTTAGAGTGGCTAACAGTTAAAATACAGGTTAAAAACAAATCTTTTAAAAAGCATATTTAGATCTAAATAAATTTTAAATTTAAGTTTTAAAATTGAATTTAAAAAGACATCTAATATTTATTTATAAGTTATATTTTAAATATTATCTAGTATAGCTAGTCTATATTTAATATATAATTAATTAATTTTAGACTTATTTTATATAATAGTTTTAAATTATTAAGTATTTTATAGTAATATCTATATATTATATAATTTAGGAATTAATTATATAATTATCTAGTTTAGATTATACTTATTATTTAAACAATTATTTTATAGGGTTCTTGTATAAACCCTCTAAATTCCAAAAACTTGATAATACCTGCGCGAATACTTTGTTTAATATACTATAATTAAATAATTAATTGAATAAAATAAGAGATAGTACTATATAAAAAATAATAAAAATATAAAATTTGAATATTCTTATTTTTTATTAATTTTTTATATTAATAATTAATTATTAGATTAGCTTAATCTAATTATTTTTTTAATATTAAAAATTCATTATTATTAAGAGATAATCTCCTTAGAATTAAGAATTATTTAATATATAAATATAATAATTTTTCTAATTTAATAATTTATAATAATTAAAATATTAGTTAAAATCTTATATAAGTAATATATATTTTATAAATAAATTTAAATAATTAATAAATATATTTCAATTAATAAAAATAAAAATATTAAATAATAAAAGCTTAATTATAAATCTAATTAAAAAATTTATAATAAAATTAGTTTTTATTTAATATTTAATTATATAAATTTAAGCTTACTTCTTAAATTCTAAATTATATTTTTAAAAAAATCTTAAGATATATTTCTTTTTAAAAAAAGCTTTATATAAAGTTTCTTATTAATAAAAAGTATTTTATAAATAAGATAAAAAAGAATTATTATATTTATAATTATAGTTATAAAAAAAATCAATAAAAATATATAATAAGATAATTTATTATAATTAATAAACTAATTATTTAAAAATTTAGATATAAAAGAAAGACTCTTAAATAAATTATAATAATAAAAAAAATAAAAGATTTAGAAAGATTTCTTAAAAATTTTAATAAGATTTTTTATTATTAATAATATTAACTAATTAGATAGTTAGAAAAAAGCTATATTTAATATAATTATTTTTTAAATGATTATTGAAAATATAATTAAAATAAAAAAGCTAATTTATATAAGAAATATCTTAAGAAATTAATTATAATATTTCTTATATAAATACTCCGAAATAAAATTCTTATTATTTAAACTATTTTTTATTTTTAATTAAAAATAATAATCTAAATAAAACAGACCAAGGTATTATATTAATTAAGATTATAATTTTTTATTTAAAAGATTTTTAAAAAAAGAATCTTTCTTAAAACAATATTATTTCGCAATAAATATTAGAAAAAGAACTTTAAAAAAATCATAAAGAATAAATTCTATATAAAGTTATATATTTGAGAATATTAATATATTATAATCTTATATATACTTCTTAAAATAAAATATATTAATAAAATATAATTATTTAGTTTATACTAAAAAGTTTCTTGCTGTTATATAAAAGCTTGAATAGTAAAATATTAAATTATAATTAATATAAAATTTATAAATAATGATTAATTATAAAAATCTAAAATATTTCTTTCCTTAAAAAAACTAATTAAATAATATATATAATAATATTTATTTTTAAGCTAATTTAATTTTTAATTAAATTATAGAAATAAAAATAAGAATAAATAAATAAATATTTTATTATAATATAAATAAGATATATTTACAAATAAAAATAATTATCTTTAAAGCTATATAATTTAGTTATTTCTTTAATTAAATAAGTTAATAAATATAGTTATTATTCTATTAAAATAAATATAATATATTAATACAAAGAGCTGGAGAGAAGCTTAAAATAATAATAAATTATATTAAGAAATAATTAAAATACTAGTTTAAAAATAAAGAAAATTTTTATTTTAACTAGATTTTAAAATATTTATTATTAAATATATATTAATAAATAAAATATATATCTATTTTTAAAAAAGGAAATAAATTTCAAATTTTAAATCTCTTTATATAAATATTATTAAGTATATTTATAATTTAATATTAATAGAATATTCTAATTATAAAATAATATATATTTTAGTTAGTTAATTATATTTCTGATTTATAATATTAGAAACTATATAAATATTTATAAGAAACTATAATATCTATAATTATATAAAGATCTAAAAAAAGACTGCTAAAATTATTAGCTATATTTGATTAAATATAGAAAAATATTATTATAAATTTTATTATAAATCTGTTAAAGAATAAAAACTGTTTAAATATTTTAATATAAATAGACTAATTTTTAAAGAATATAATTTTAATACTTATAATAAAAATTAATTAAAAAATAATTATATAAAATATTATATAACTACTTATAAAAAAATATAAAATTCTAAGTTTTATTATATTTAACTAAAAGATATAATTTATAAATAAAATATAAAAATAAATATATTAATTAATAAAAATTTAATGAAAGCTTTTTATAATCTATTATTTAGAGATAGACAGAATTATAGAATAAATAAATAATATCATTAAAAAATATATTTATATTTATATCTATTAGATTAATCAAAAATAATTATTATTATTAAAAAAACTAGTCCTGAATAGCTATATATTTTTATTTATAAAAATAGTTTTTTTCTTTTTAAGTTATAGATATTATCTTATATTACTCTTATTGATTAAAGATTAAGAATTCTTAGTAAAAGAATTAATATAAAGCTTAATCTAATAGAAAGAAGATATTATATAAATTATTAGAAAAATTTAAAAATAAGTATAAGTATTAATTTTTTATATATATAGAAATAAATAAATAATAAATAAATTAACAGAGAGATCTAGTATTTAGATATAAAAAAAATATAATTTAATTAAATATAAAAAATATCTATACAGACTAATCTAATAAAAAGCTTAATTAAAAAAAATATAAAATATATAATTATAAAAATATTTAATTTTTATATTATATAATTAAATATATTTATAGATATTTGATTAGTTTTTTATATAAATCTTTTTTATTCTGTATTATTAGATTTATTATTATTTTAAGAATTAGATAATATATAATTATCAGAACTAATAATTAATAATAAAAAAGACTTTATAATAAAAAAGATCTAGGATAAGAGATATATAGAAAAAATTATAAAATATAACTTTAATATAAGATTAAATAAATTAAATATATTTATATAACTTAACAGTCTATTTTTATTTTATAAAGAATTAAAGCTCTTAATAACTAGTTAAAGCTTAAAAAATTTATTAAATTTCTAGATAATTAATTAATAATATTATCTAGTTAATAAGATCTTATTTCTTTAAAATAATTATTCTAATTTAAAAAAGAAGTAGAGAAATCTTCTTTATTTAATTAATTTAGTTTTTTAATTTCTTAATAATAATATATATACAAATACTACAATACTTGCAGAATAATATTTTATTTTATTTTTATTAATATATATATATCTAGCTTTATAATTATTTTATTTATATTTAGTATAATATTTATCTTAATAGCTAAAAAATTATATATTCTTAAAACAAAAATAAAGTAGATATTATTATTATATAAAGCAGACTGCAATAAGCTATAGAAAATAATTAGAATAATATTAATATATAATAAATATATTATCTTTAGCTATAAAAAAAATTATAATATATATTAGCTATATTTATATAAGACTTAGAAATAAATATCTATTTATATAATAAATAGAAAATTAAGATAAATAATAAATTTATATAAAAGAAATCTCTATATTTTTTTATATTTTAATATAATAAAACTAATATAAGATCTTATTTCTGCAAGCTATAAATTATATAGTTATATATTTATTTTTTTTAGATAAATTTATAAATAAATAGAATAAGCTTGTTATTATATAGATTAATTTATATAGATTTAGTTAGATTATATAAATAGTAGATAAATATTAGAAAAATAATATTTTTAATCTTAAATTTCTTAATTATTACTGCAAAGATTAGAAAGAATATATTTAATATATAAAAAGAATACTTAATAAAAATAATATAAAACAATTTTAGAATATTTAA